TACTACCTACTACCGCTTATCTCAGAACTTAGAGACCTACTATATAGAGCCTAGTAGTTTATAGCACTCAACTTAAAAGGAGCCTATAACCTAATACATATAAAATCAAGTAAGGAATAGAAAATAGCGTTTTAAATATGCTAAGGATATTATAAGTACCTAGTAATACCCTTTAGACTCACTAATATACCTATAACATTCTAGACAATAATTAATCACATCCTATAAGAATACCTAGATATATTCATTATAGTTTATCTTAATAACATCCTAATCTTCTTAAAGACGCTAGAAGACCACAAGAAGTATATATATTAAGTGCTATAGAAACTCCAAGAAGCTAAACTCCTAGTGGAACCAGAAAAGAGCAAATTCTATACCTAAGAAGTTAAATTCCTAGGCTTTATAATAGCCCCTAGAATCCTCAAAATATCAAAAGATAAAATCGTAGTAGTATAAAACTAGCTAATACCCTAGAACGTTAAGGATATATAATCCTTTATTAGATATATAAACTACTATTAATAGTTTCTAGAAGGATACTTAGATAAGAACGACCCTCTTATAAGACTCTTAAAGAAAGACGTCCCCTAGCAATAGGAAGAAGAGCAAGAACAGGCCTTTAATAAGATTAAGCAATAAGTTATATTAGAACTTATACTTATTATACCTAACCCTAAGAAACCATTTAAAGTTAAAACCAACTCCTCAGACTACACTATAGGAGGACAGCTAGGCCAACAAGACAATAAAGGATAGCTATACCTATACGCCTTCTTCTCACATAAGCTATATAGCCTAGAACTTAACTATTAAATCTATAATAAAGAACTTATAGTAATTATTAAAGCATTTAAGGAATAGAGACCTTAACTATTAGGAATAAAGTATAAAGTTAAGGTCTATACTAATTATAAGAATCTCACCCACTTTACTATATTAAAAGAACTTAATAAATAATAGATTAAATAGTCTAAATTCCTCTTAGAATTTAACTTTAAAATTATCTACTAGAAAGGTAAAAAAAACGGAAGAGTAGACGCTCTCAGTAAGAGACCGGACCATAAAGTCCAGGTACCTAAGGAAACCCAAGTTATCCTCAAGAAGGATAAGGAAGGAGACCTTATGCTAGCAGTTAGACTCTTAATAATAGCTAGAAGAGATAGTACTAGCATAACTAGAAGAATATCTCCTGAAGCTATTAGGGAGGTATACTCTACACCTATATATAGCTACTAAGGCGTAACTAAGATATAGAAACGCATTAGATAATACTATAATAAAATAGCTATATAATAAGAAATATCTTTAGTAATTAGGGACTATAAGGTTTATATAAAAAGTAAACCTAACTAATACTAGCCTTATAGTAAGATATAGCTACTCCTAGTGCTATAAACTATATAGAAATCTATCTCATTAGACTTTATTACTAAGTTACTTAAGTCCTAAGAACTAATAACTAAGGTCTACTATAATAGTATCCTAGTTATTATTAATAGACTTATAAAGTATTTATACTTTATCCTATATATAGAATCTAGCATTATAGAAGACCTCACCTATAAGTTTCTATAGATAATTATTAGCTAATATAGAATGCTAAAGGAAATTATATCTAATAGAGATAAGTTATTTACTTCTAAGTTTTAGAGATCCCTAATCTTATAGCTTAAATCTAATTATAAAATATCTACTACTTTTTATCTATAAACTAATAGCTAGATAGAACAAATTAATTAGATTATAGAAACCTATCTATACTACTATATTAACTACTAGCAAGATAACTAGGTATAATTACTACCTATAGCCTAGTTCGCCTATAATAGCGCAATAGGAGAAAGTACAAAAGAATCCCTATTCTATCTAAACTATAGATTTAACCTAACAGTCTATAGAGAACTATAATAAGGCCTAGCAGCTCTAAAAGCTATAGTAGACATTAATAAACTTAAGGAAATCTAATAAGAACTCCTAAAAGAACTTAAATTTGTGCGTAAACGTATATATACCTATACTAACTAATAAAGGGTTAAGGGACTAACCCTAGAAGAGGGAGATAGCGTCTATCTTACTTAATAAAATATTAAAATAAAGTAACTAAGCAATAAGTTAGACTTTAAGAAACTTAGACCTTTTAAAATTATTAAAAAGGTATTTAATATTAACTTTAAACTTATACTACTAGATATTATAAAGTACTATCTAGTCTTTTATATTTTACTTCTCAAAAAAGCACTATAAGGTTTATATATAAAAAATTATATTATTATAGAACCTCTTAAACTAGAGTATAAAGTTAAATAAATTATTAACTACTATAATAATAATAGAAATATAGAATATCTTATTAAGTAGAAAGGATATAAGTATAAAGATAACTTATAGGAACCCACTAAGAACCTCTAATACTCCTAAGAACTACTCTAGGACTACTACTAAAGCTGGATAACTCTAAATCCTAAAATACTGCTTCCCAGTTAATTATATTAGCAGCACTATTAGACTAGACTTTAGCAACTATAGAGGAAGAAGCCTCTATAACTAGCTTACTAGCTTCTTCCTCCTCTATAGCTAAATAACCCTATTTAAATATACTCCTTTTTATCTTTTAGATATAATCTAATTTTATAAGAGATTTATCTATCTTAGCCTAAGCCCTCCTAAGAGCCTTAGACTTTTAATATAATACCTCTACTTTTTTATATAAAACCTCCTCTACTACTTCTTCCTTATTATTAAGGTAGTTTACCTCCTCTAATAAATAATTAACTAAAAAAGGGTTAGCTATAATCCTAAGGAAAACTCTACTAAGAAGCAACCTATACTTATAAATAGCATTCTATATTACGTTATAAAGCTTTTCCGCCTTTATATAGGCACTATAGACGTTAAGGCTATATAATATTTTATAGTATAAACCTTAGGAATAATAATAAGTATAAGGTATAACTTTAATTCTAAACTTAGTAATATATAAGGCGTAAGTATAGTAATATAAAGTAGATATAATAGAAGAATCTATTATAATATAAGCATTATAAAGGAAATATAAACTTAACCTCCCTAACCTAGGAGAAGATACCTACTTATATTGGTCTTAGGGATAAGACTATCTAAGGGGAGACCTAATATTACAACCTATTAAGTATAATAGGACTAGAGTGATGCCCCATAGTATACCTAGCGGCTATAGGACATTTATATATAGGAAGATATAGGAATAGAAGACTCTCCTTAGAACGGAAGAACTATAGGTAAGTCACATAATAATAAGATAAGGTAATTATTCTATATATATAAGAGTAATTAGTAATTAATTACTAATAGGATAGTAATTAGTAATTACTATACTAGAACTTAGTGATCACCTTAAGGTAGAAGAACTATTTAGGACTTATATATAGGATAGACTTAAGCCCAGCTTAAGGATAGACTTCTATAGCTCTTTAGTAATTAATTTATAATTATTACTTATAATACTTTTAGCTATACCTAAGTAATAATTATTTTATAACTCTTATTAAGGCCTTAACTAATTACTAAGACCTTTAAAGACCTATAATTACTTAACTAGACCTATAAAACGACTAATTACTATTTATAGTTCTCAATCCCTAACTTACTGCTAATATAAACCCACTATCAGTTAGCTGGCCGTAACAACTACGTAGAGATCCTGCAGACGTTGTGGCCACTATAGCTTTATTAGTATGTGATTTATATAGGAGGGAAGCTGGGGATAATATACCAAAGTAAGTGCTCTTAGGGCGCAGAGGTAGCAGTAGCGCTAAATAGATAGGGAGACCCCTTTGCGTTATATTATTAATAACTCCAAAAGGACGTACTAGCATAACCCTAAATAATCTCAATAAGGAACTCACTATACTCTTAGATCTAGCTAGAGTAGCTATAGCTACGCCTTTATAATAATTATTCCTTAAGAATAAACTTTTAACTACTAATAATAATGGGATAGAGGTTATTAATTATAGGATTTAGAGGTAGGTTAGTTATTAGAGCCTCTATAATCTGTATTGAGATCTAGCGGTGTGGGGCACCTAAGATCTTATATGTATTAGTAGTAGTAATAGTGGTAGTAGTGGTAGTAGTTAATATTATAAGTATAAAGTTAAAGTAGATAAAAATAGCTAAAAATAATAAGTAGAAGATAGGATAATTAATAACTCTTACTAGTAGTAACTAATTATAGGCTTATATATATTATTTAAACTACTATAATTACTTTTACTCCCTTAGAGATTTTTAAAAGGATTAGATTTTATCTAATAATATAAGGGTAGTTAGTAAAACTATATTAAGATATATAAATATTATGAGGTTAGTAATAGCGTTATATCTTAGAGGCTAGAGATGCCTAAATAACTAGGGCCTAGGCTAATCTATAGCCTCTTATTAGCTAGAAGTAAAATAATTAGGTATTTTAAGTTAATTGAGGGATATAGGATTGACTAATTAGTGGCGGCGATAGCATCACTTTGACTAGTTAATTTAGGTAACTTGGCAAGGCGCCTTGTACTTGCGGAAGCGCTGATGCTCAATTCTAGGGCACCCTTGAGGTCGGACAATTGTGTCTCAATTCAAACCATTGAATTGAATATCACTATCTCAGTCCATCATGACAAAAACGGCGGCCGCGGTTCACAGCATTGACTTGCCTAATGTCAATGAGTCGCAAAACGACTGCCACCAATACTGGTGGAGAGACAATGGTTTGAGGGAGTTGAACCTACGTCTTCTCCCCGTGTTCATTACCCCAATCATGATTGGATATGACGGAGCTTTGATAGGAGGGCTTTTGGCCATACCGCAATGTAAGTACGCTTGATTCAAAACCTGATTGAGCAGTCATCAGCTTACAGGATAGCAGGGTACAGAGGTATGCTATCCCCTAAACAAGATAACTTGTTCATGTTCTGAAGCCGACGCACGCAGATTTGGGATTCAGTCCTAGAGACACGAGCTTGACCGGCATCATGGTTGCAGGCTTTTCATTAGGCGGTGCTGTGATGTTCTGGGCTGTGAGCATGGCAGCAGACATCGTTGGCAGGCGGAGAGTCATGATGATCGGCGATGTTATCATTATTGCCACATGTGAGTTGATCCATTCCTCGAAGGGACTGGACAATAACTGATAGTTCTACCAGCCCTTGGACAGACATTTTGTTATAATGCTCGGCTCTACATAATGACTCGATTCCTGGTATGTTGTATTTCTGCTCATCAACTTAGATAACATATTTGACACGGAGAAGATGGGGATCGGTGCAATCATCATACTGAGCTTGGGTCCTGTTCTCCTTACAGAGCTGGCTCATCCACGGCAAAGAGGGGCCCTAGTTGCAACCTATGCGTCCTTCTTCTATGTTGGTGCCACAGGTAAGTACACCCACAGCAGAGCGACAGCAGAGAGTAACACTGACTGCTGCTCCCTAGCCTCAGCATGGTTCACATACGGAAGTCTTCACTTCAACAATGAGTGGAGCTGGCGTCTGCCAGTGCTAATACAGACTCTCCCACCGTTGCTTCAGCTGCCCTTGATGCTTTTCGTGCCAGAATCCCCGCGATGGCTAATGGCCCGCGGCAAGACAGACCAAGCCAAAACAACCCTGGCACGTTACCATGCAAACGGACATGAGTCCGATGAGCTGGTGCAGAAAGAGTACGAGCAGATTTCCTGCTCTCTTGAACTTGAGAAACACCAAAAGAAAGCTTCGTGGATGGCATTCCTCCAGACGACGGGAAACAGACGAAGGCTCTTCATCGTGGTTGCGACATCGCTCATACAGCAGTGGAGCGGTTTTGGGATTGTCACCTTCTACTTCGCCGCAGCTCTCAAGTCTGTCGGTATCACCCAGCCTTTGCAGCAGGCCGGCATCAACGGGGGACTGCAAACTTTCAACTTCTTCGTCGCGTTAATCAGTGCAAATATGGTCGATAGAGTCGGTCGGCGAATGCTCTTCATATTCTCAACCACGACGATGTTGCTGGCGATGGTCGGTCTCACAGTCGCTACTGAGCAATTCTCAGTCAACACTAGGCCCGGCGCCGGGTCCGCGGTGGTTGTCATGTTCTTCATCTTCCAACTGGGCTTCGATAGCGGGTATGCCCCCCTTGGACCACTCTACCCGGCGGAGATATGTCCCTACTATTTAAGAGCCAAAGCGCTTGCTCTTCATTACTTCATTACGGGGATAGGTGGAGCTGCTGGCCAGTTCGCAAACCCCGTTGCTATGGCTGATCTGGGCTGGAAGTACTACCTCGTTTACGTTTCCGTTCTTCTCGTTGGATTATTCGTGGCGTGGTTCTCGTTCCCGGAGACCAAGGGCCATACTGTCGAGGAGATTGCAACAATCTTCGACAAGAACTGAGGCCGAGTGTACACGTAATATGTGGCATGACCTTCAGTTTGAAAAGCAGTTAAATATAAAATGGAAAACCTATGCTGTCGCCAGCTTCTCCCCTATGTGAGTATCAACCTGTTCCACAACACCTGCTTCCATTCCGATGGAATTTTGGAACACATGTGAGTCCCACATTCGTACAGGAATCTTCTCTGTGAAGAACCTATCAATGTCCGCATTCGTTCGGAAGGTTGTCTCCCCAACACAGAACCAAACGTAAGCAAGAGTCAATAGAGTCGTACCGGCATACACAAATCCCAGCATCGGTCCCAGATTTGCGGTGTAGTACAGATAGGGGCTGACAAACACCATAAGCCAAACCGTGAAGAAGAACACCCCAATTGCGCACGCTGTGATCTTGTTCCTGTTCCGGCCAACAGCCATCTCTGACGCGATGGTGTATGAAAGAGTGCCGATCGAGAAGTTGAAGCAGATGATGTTGATGTAGGCGAACACGACGATGGCGATGCCGACGCCCTGAGAGAATGGCCCTCCTCGTTTTGTCGTGCCTAGTCCGCCGACGGCAACAAGGGAAACAAACATGCCTACGGTGCAGACAAGCAAGTTGGTACGGCGAGGGACCTTGTTTCCCAGCATCACCGAAGCGCCGACTGCGAATATCTGAATGACGTTCGTGATGGTATTGATTGTGAATGGCTGCGCAACGCCGATGGACTGGGCGAAGACCACGCCATATGTGTACCAGAACTGTATTCCGTTGATCTGTTGGGCAAACATCGCGCCGCATGAAAAGATGAGCTTTCGCCGTTCGATGGAATCGCTAAGAAGGGATGTCCAAGTCGAATCAGCTGAAGAGTCGAACTCGAGGCGGACCTGTTCATCGATTATCTGTAGATCATGGGCGGCATCGTAATCGGGAACCCCTCGATTGATTTGTCGAAGCGCCTTCTCTGCCTTCTCATGGCGGCATTTATAGACATACCACACAGGCGTCTCGGGAATGAATGGCAGACAGATCAGCATGGTAGTCGGCAAGACGAGCAGTAGACCCATGGGGATGCGATAAGACGCAGCGGTGTCGATGTTCGAGGTGCCCTGGGTGATACAGGCAACTACGAACTGCGACCAAGACTGCATGAACTGGAACATCATGAGGGCAGGGCCTCGTATCTGTGCAGGCGCAACCTCGCTGATGTAGATGAGGCACGTGGCGGTGAACTGGCCGATGCCTAAGCCGATGAGGACCCGGCCGAGACAGAAGACTCCGTATATACCAAAGGAACAGACCTGGACGACTGCGCCAGTGATAATGCACATCGACGCGGATGCGAAGACGGCCTTTCGTCCCCATCTGTCGTTGATTGGCGCGGTAGCCAGGGCGCCGCAGAATTCGCCGACGTAGATCAAGGAGGCGGTAACGGAGAGGAACGTGGTTCCTAGTTCGTATGAGCCATCGGATTTTCGATGTCCGTAGTCGCGGATGAACGGGGCCATGCCCTGGATGCCGGTGTAGTAGATCGTATCATATCCGTAGGCGAAGGCGCCGATGAGAGAGACGAGACAGTAGAATATTGGCCATTTGTGCTGTTTCCAGCTGAGGTGAATGTTGAGGATCGCCATCAAGCAGCAAAGTTTGATATCATGGGCAGGCGTCGAGACGGAGAAGAACTTTGAGGGTGAAGATTCATGATTCATGGTAGTTTGAACAGGAAATTGGAAGCTTTATATGGAAGGACATTAGCTCCCGTACGAGATCAAAGGAGTACCAACATCGTGACTCCGACATGATCAAGAGGAGAGCACCGCGGAGACCCCGCGGGGAATCCCAGCGTTTGACAAGGACACAGTCGAAGCTTAATTCTCCCAGTGACAAAGTGGCCAATAAGCATTGGAAGCCTGGGAGAACTCAAGGAAGGTGGTTGCCGGTCAGTAAGTCGGCAGTTTGTTTTCCTGTTCGGGTAGTCCGCCTCCGACTAATCCAGGTTCGAAGACCCGGAGAGCGACCAGTACAAAAGCACGAGGACAAAGTCCAGTAATCGGTGGAATCCTGCCAGATCTAGCTTAACGACGACGGCCGACACGCTGTCCCATGCTCTCACGAAACCCTGAAGCCGAACTGAAGCCTCGGGACTTCGTTCTTGTGCCCCTTTACACGACATCAAACACGCTCAAGACAGAGGTGCCATAGGGCCGAATTCAGGTGGTGCGTCACCCCCCAGGATAGCGTCGATAGCATTGAGATCGAAGCTGGGGTGGAAGTACTCAAACACATCCAGACCAGCTGGGCCGTCATAAAAGGCCGGATCAAACGCGTTGATGAGCTCTGCTTGCTGTGCGACGAAGGTGTTACCATCGGGGTTGCCTTCTGCCTCTGGGCCAGCTTGCACAAGGGCATTCTCCTGACCAGGGGTGTTGGCCGCATTTGTCGAACTATTTGTACCGTTTTCATCCGGCTTATTGGCGGCACATACTTGGTCCATCTCCTGGAGAACTTGTTCCGCGAGGTCGACCATGACCAGTGCCGACCGAAACATCCCGCCAAGATTTCGCAGGATACGACAGGTCGCTTGGAGTTGCCGGCGAGATCGTGCCGTCAGCATCGGCACCTTGCTGGACCGAAGCTCTCGATATGCAACTCTCAGTGACAGCGATACGGCGTAAGGTACGAAAGTCATATGGGATAAAGAGGCACCGAAGTCCTCGATGATGGTGGTCACTTTGATGGCCGAAAGAGATTGGCGAGTGTAAGCTAGCGATGCTTGCTCAGATGCTGACGGGCCGACGGGTATTCGACAAGAGAGAATGGCGATGGCATGGTACAAGAGCTCAATAGTTCCTGCGGGTCGTCAGTCAGAAGTTTTCGCATTGACTGCATATGTAGTAATTGAACTGACCTAACAGTCGAGACTCCACGCGGAGGGCCTGCGCTTTGTCCACAAGGCTTTCGAAGCTTGGAAGATCCTCCATAACTGGACAACTCGATGTCTTCCGAGCGGGACGATAGAGGTCGATAATTCGACCCAGGAGGGCCACGATCTCGAGAAACAAGCGGAAGCAACTATCCTGTTCCTGGATACAGGCTATCACATCTCGGCCGAGGTCTCGTTCGTGCATCATTACAGGCCGGCCGTGAAAGGCAGCGGTCAACTGATCTGTTGCCCAGACGCAACAGAACAACCGAGTGAGATAAGCCGAATCCTCGGTCCTCGCAGGCGGATTTTGTAAATGCAGCCCGACTGTTTGCGCATTACTTACGGCCTGCGCCGCCAGTTCTGCTGAGAGATGCCGGTCGTCAGAAAAATGGGTATAAAGCGAGAGAATAACGAAGACCGCAGTTGCGTGAACTCTATCCTTGAGCAACCCGAGACCAATTGCTTTGCGCATGGCGGATGATAGCCGTTGCGCGAACTCTGGATAAGTCAGAACTACTGATGAGTCCTCGCCGAGGGTCAGAAAGGCCTTGGCGCTGGGGTTCGACCCCGCGGCCAGAGAAATGGCTTGTTTGCATAGGATCTGAGATATCGATGAGACTGGCTTTTGGAGGATATCCAAGTCGATGACTGGAAGTATTCTGTGAACGTTGCGGAGGTAGATACTCTCCAACTTGTCGTAATGAGATTTCCTGGGAAGAACAGCAAGAAACTGGTGTTCCGCATGGTCAACTGACCCGGCGGGTGCGAGTTCCGTGATCGGCTCATTACTCCTCGCGCTTCGGCGGGAATACCAGACGCCCACGGAATGTGATTCTGCATACCCGCGGCTGGTACCTGGGCTGTCGGCAAGAAACGCTCCTTCGGGATTCAAGTCGCCAACGAAGCGAGCGTCATCATGTTGGCTAGAGTCGTCGTCGGCGGGAAGCTGGCGTCGCCGCGGCGCCTGATCGCCGCCAGAATGCGAAGTTCGGTCCCGTGACTCTGCAGTCGGCTCCCGGTCTGAGCTGGAAGGTGGCCGAGGATTCAAGGGGGTCCTCTTCGAGACGGCGGGAGTTCCGTCTGAGGGCCTCCGTGTCGGTCTCGGGCGCGCAGCGGGACGCGTAGACTCGGAGTCCGGAGTCTTAGGCGGAGATGCAACGGCATTCTCCAGGTGCTCACATCGTTTCTAAGATCTCAATTAGCATCCTTCTTTCGATCATTCCGACGGACGTCAGCAGAGACAGGCGCATTCCGATTGGCTGGGAGGCATCCACGCCGGGCTCTCGGATCCAGTGGGACGGTAATCGCGATGTTTGCGACGCGGTCATGATCGCCGTTGACAAAAAGGCACACGTGCTTACCTTACGCTTCCGGCACGTATCACAAGCCTGCTGTGCCTGTTTGCGTTTTTGCGGCAGACCGTCTGTCGTGTTGATGAACTTGAACATGGCGATGTGAAGACACTGGATGAAATCCTGTCAACATTGACTTCGCGTAATGAACATGGATTCGGGTGATGTTTGTGGGGTTGCGGGGTTCTGCACGACGGCGGAGTCGGCGTGGGATGGCGGGGGACAATTCGGAGATTCCCAAAGGAGGAAGGCCGATTTCTCAGTTAGGAACTCCGATAATTACGGTCCAGCTCAAAGGCGATAGACTGTGCATCATAAAAGCGCTTCGAATTTGGTGTTGAATTTGTCCTCGTGTTAGCGAAGGTGTGAAATATGTCGGCCCGAAGGTCAGGCTCTGCGACTTCTTTCTTTACGCAGTAGGACGTTTCGAAGACGACCGCCCTGCTGGGATGCTCTTTTAGTTTATAATTTGTTAAGTTACAGTTCGGTTGAAACCTCTTGTAAGTGCTACATTCATGTCGAGGCTTGAGTGTACTGTGTGACAGAACGACATCCCAACCCAGAGTAACAGATGTCTCAATCGTATGAAGGGCCGAGCTGACTTCCACAGCCCCCTATCTCACTCATCGTATCCTTTTGTTCGACAATTTCAGTCATGAACTCGTGTAGGACAGTTATCTCCGCAGAATCATGTCACCAATTTTAGTGATTTGCGACTTGATGATCAGCACCACGCACAACATACATCGTGTCATTTATTGCAAAAAGAGAATAAAAGAGCATTGATACTAAGTCCACGTTGTAGAAACCCCTGAGAGCGCAAAAGGCTTTATACTGGCCAGGACAAATATTTACTGCTTGAGGACTTCTCTCACTACGTCTTCAACCTTTTCTCCGTCCAGCTCCAATCTCGTATTCCAAACACCACCGTTGACGTTCGTATGGTCCTCCAGTCCTTCACTGCCGAGCACCAACGCCATGATGACGGCGGCTCCACCTCCCGCGATGTCACCCTCACCGAGTCTCTTCAAACCGTCTAGGCTGACGTTCTCGGAGGTCGTCTCTTGAACCTTCCACTCCAGTCCCGTTGTGTCTTGCAGAACCTTCAGAACATCAAGCTGTGTCGTCGTGAAAGACTCGACAAAAACAAGCTGGTTCTTCGTCTCGGAAGGATGCTTCAGGACTGATATGATGGCACGACCAATCTGGGCTACAGTGCTCGTGGGGCTACAGTGCTCGTGGTAAAACGGGTCTTCCCACCATCCACTAGCGTGGCTGTCTTGTTAACAAGATCGAACCCAGTCATACCTAACTTCAATCCCTAGTCTCGATGTTAGGTGGTGTGATTCAGTCGAAAATGTGTTCCATGAGAAGTCATGGACATACCCAATCAAAGAACGGACCAGTGATGATCCCGGTCCAGCTGATGCGGTCTTCCTGGGTCGCAAGCCAATCCAACTGATCCTTCTTAGGCTGAAAGAATGGAACCGCTTGGATGACAAGATCAGACTGTGTACAGTCCCATTAGTTGAAGCTTCCGACCTGAGCAAATCAAAAGGCTCATACCGAAGAATCAGACCCGTACTCGCTGGGGATAAATCTTTTTACCCCTGCCTTGATGGCTGCTTCAGCTACCTTTTGCTGCTCTCCGAGAGCAACGATCGGAAGCATGCTAACAACGGCATCTTGGCCACTGAGTGCCTCAATAAGAGACCCTTCGGTGAAATCGCTTTTGATGACCTTGACTTCCTTTGGAAAGGTTGCACCGGAGCCCTCACGACTGAGAACGGTCAGGTCGAGGCCGGATTGCAGTAGTTGCGGTAGAACACCTCTTCCGATGTTGCCACTTGCCTGTAGTATGATTTATTAGCCAACTGGTCTCGTTTGGCAGTGAACGATTCAAGATAACCTACACCGACTAGCATGATCTTGGTCAGAGACATCTTGTAGGATTTTGATGGAAGTAAAGTGAGATAGAGCTCAACGGGTGCAAAGATGTCTTCTCTTTACAGGCTTCACAGGAGATTATTGGCGCAACTGCAACACTTTTAAACTCATCAACTGCTTCTTACGCTTCTGTCACTTCGTAAATTGTATTGACTCCAGATTACCAAGCACAACTCTGAGCCAAACATGAATCAAACTAATTCCCGGAAGGCGCCGTATCACTATCCTGTGAGACTGCAAAAAAGAATCACTTGGAGGATATTGACATGATGAGTAATGGGAGCTCCGTCGGCTTTTGGGGCTATGAGTCGCTCCGACGAAGGGGGCCAGACACGTTTTTGGGCCAACTGTTGAGCCGACGAGGTCGGCTTGTCGTGTTCAGACAACAGTGAAAAGACTTGCATTGGGAAAATTTAGTACTATCAAGGTTGATTTATGCGCTGTAATGACGACAAGGTGCGGTAAAGGGTGTGACCGTCGGCTTATCTGAAGGCCGACGGCGTCAACACAGTGCTCTCCGATGTGATTACTGAACAGCTTCCAACCTCCATTGCATTTGTCTTTCATAAACTTTGTTGATCTTTGGGCACGAACAAGCTGGATGAGGTAAATCCTTCGCCTTTCGCATGCGAATGATTAGAATGGCGGGTGAACTATGGTCTGCAAATCGCCACTGCAGCAATGATGAATTCATATCTATATCAAACAGCCGCCGCCCCATACGGCCTTTCAATATTGGCGGTTCAATGATCCAACAGCCTACTTCACGTAAGCCAGACTTTCATACCTTTTACATTCAATTTCAAGTTCAACCCGCATCATGGCCGCTTGCCCAACCTCCAAAGCAAGTATGAAGGCCCTTGTAACGAACCGGACCATCGCAACTCGCGTGTTCAACCTTAGCACCGGGAAGTCAGTTTTCAAGGGCGCCCACGTCACTGAAACGCCAAAACCCACTATCAAAGATCACGAGATCTTGGTAAAGGTGCACACTGTGGCCCTAAACCCTAGCGACTTCAAGCACATCGATGTCATCTCCCCCAAAGGCTGCATAGTCGGGTGTGACTATGCCGGAGAGGTCGTCGAGGTTGGACAGGCCGCCTCCAGTTCCTGGAGCGTGGGAGATCGTGTCGCCGGTGTTGTTCATGGCGGGTTGCACCGAGACCGCGGCGCCTTCGCAGAATACCTCAAGACGGACAGTGACCTGGCGTGGAGGATTCCGCAGAGCGTCAGCAACGAAGAGGCAGCTACTTACGGCGTGTCGGCCGTGACTGCTCTCTTGGCGATCAACGTTCATTTGGGCCTCCCATGGCCGGATAAGCCTGGAACTGGTCTGCAACCGTCCGAACCAGCCAACAAAACAGTTTTCATTTACGCCGGCTCCACGAGTGTCGGCCTTTTCGCCATCCAGCTTTCCAAGCTTGCAGGATACACCGTCGTTACTACAGCGTCGCCTCACTCCTACGAGCTCGTCAAGCGTTACGGCGCAGACCATGTCTTCAACTACAGGTCAGATGCCTGGGTGCAAGAGGTTACCTCCGCCTTTCCGGATATTTCCATCGCCTTTGATTGCTTTTCGGAAGGAGGGTCCGGACACGCCACGGCCAATGTGATCAAATCTCAGGGCGGAAAGGTTGTCACCTTGCTTGATCAAGGCGAGTGCAAGGTTCCTGGTGTCAAGTACGACATGATCATGCTTTATACCGTGTTTGGTCGCGAGTTCGCTTGGCTGCCACCGATCGGTCCCAAGTTTCCTGTCGACGTGGAACATCGCCAGGCATTGGCCCGGTTCTACTCAATATTACCTCAGATTCAAAGGTCACTCAAGCCGCCTCCCATCAAAGTCGTTGATGGTGGAATTGAGGTCTTGCTTGAGTCGCTGGATTTGCTGCGCCAAGGCAAGGTATCAGGGAGCAAGCTGGTTGTCAAATTGTGAAATTGAATCAACTACGTTGTCAATTTTAGTTATTAGAAGCTCGTAATCGAAAACATATTTACGTTAGACTTCTACAGCCTGCTCTACTCACAGAATAACTCCCTAGTGTGACGGAATGACGACTACTAAGTATCTACACATAGAATTAGTTTTAATTAAGATTCATCCTCTTCGTTCCATCCAAAAGTTTTAAGAGCTACTTCAAGGCATTTTCATTGTTCTAGATTGTCAGGATCCAAAAATGATTCATCTCAATAGGTATGCTGCTATGCAGTGCTTAGCGTGGTCAAGATTCGAATGCTAAATGAAACAATATGTGCCTTTCATACAGCTGACAAATCTTTCAAATCACAGTACGATGCCGGCGGCGGAATGATGAAGAGTTACAACGGAGTGCGACGGAGTTTGGGCTTTCAATGCCTTTCACAGTTGACAGTCGGAGGGACCGTAATGCCGACGGCCCCGCTTGGCAAGGAAACCCCCATGGTGATAAATGAATCCAGCAATGGAACTTCTACCGACTACTTAAGTGCGCTAGTGTAGCAGTGTAAGACCCCTGAGTATCCATTTCCGCCTGAACATATACCAAAGATCAGTAAGATGCCCACCCTCGATCAAGAACAACCTAACCTCATCACCGTACTTGGAGCCACAGGAAACCAAGGACAAGGTGTTGTTAGAGCTCTGCTAGACTCAACTCACCCCTTCCAAGTCCGTGCAGTTACCCGAAACCCAGATGGTCTGGCTGCTCGAAACCTTCTGGAACTGGTCGGTCATCACAAGAGGCTGACACTGATCCGCGGTGATGTCTACGACTCGGATAGCTTGGTAAGGGCCTTTGAAGGCTCTTACGGCGTCTTTGCAATGACGCAGAGTTTCATCCCCGGAACAGTGTACCACAAAGAGGAAGATCTACGCCACGAGCTCGAGGCTGGGCGGAACATTGTCAATGCCGCTGAAAAGACCGGTGTCAAGCATTTCATCTTCAGCAGTCTTCCAAACATCCAAAAGGCCAGCAACGGCCGCTACTCCAAGGTGTTCCACTTTGACTTCAAATCGCAGATTGATGAGTGGGCGAGAGAGCGATTACCAGCCGTCACAACCCTGATACCAGGTACGACCGACGAATCATATGCCATAGCTAAAGCCGCGTAACTGGCAGCTGACGGGTTTGAACAGGATTATTCTATGACAACCTTCAATGGCCAAACTATTGTCGCCGAGATGGTATGAAACATTCAGCAAGTAAAAGTTCTCTTTTGACATATGAAATTTAGACGACGGAACAGTCCGATTCTGTGCTGCAGTTTCCGAGACCACGGTTGGTGAATGGGTCGACGTGGAGTATGATGTTGGGATATTTGTTCGCGGTGTGTACAATGCACGTTCTTTTTCGATGGGCAATCGTTGACCTGTTTCTCCCAGCTGTACTTTTAGCGGGAACAGCTAAAACCGCGTCGAAGACATATCCTATTGGGAGTCCAAAGGTCGCTTTCGGGAAGCTACCCGGCATCCTCTCCACTGTGATGGGTGTTCCCGCTCGCTACGAGAGAATTAGTCTAGAGGAATGGACTTCTACCGTTGTCTCAGTGGCTGGGAAAGGATTTGAAGAGGACATACGGCAGATGGTGCAGTGGGTTGGCGATGCGCCTGCAGACTTGATTTGTTACGGAACAATGTATCCAGGGGACGACCACTCGTGGGAAGATCTTGGAGTCAGGGCCAGCACGTTTGAGGAGTGGATTTTGAGAACCAACTGGCAAGGTCCTTGAGTTAGTCTCTGAGTATGTTCACCTCTCGCCATCAATTACCAAAGCTTACCACAATGGGTCTTTTGTTGACTAGAGCTCCATTTGGTGCACTTCGTTGCCATTCAAGTTGAAATAGTCATCTCTCAGTTGAGCTATTCAATTACTTGTTAGCACGCAAACTGTACGCTTCGTGTGGTCGTTCATTGAATATAAGGTGTGTGTAGGAACTATCTAAAGGGAAAGTGCATGAATCTTCAAATGTGGCTTAGATATCTAGCAAACTTCATATCTGTATTATTGATAATGGTTTTAGAAACGATCGTCGGTTTAGCCGCTGAAGGTGTCTCGGAAGAACGCTCTAGTCTGGCCAAGCGGCCCAGCTTTTCTTAGTAGAAGCTGAGCTTCGGGTCTAAAAATGGCGAGAACACGAATAGCTTATTTCCGCAACATTCCAGACCACGCCACGCACAGCATCGGTTTACACGGTCTTGCCTAAAGCAGAGGCCGAGACCTGGGTAATCGGCTCGGCAGCTTGCCACCTAATCTCAATGCATTCCGCATCGAGTCTCAGCACGATGGCCTTTCGTGTGGTGAAAGGTGGCAACAATAGATAAAGTGAGCTTAACCAAGAGGCTGAACTTTGCTTTCCGTGATGTGTGTTGCGTGTGTTTCTGGTGATCATATCCACTCCTTTTCCATCATCGTTTTCCGCCTTTCAGTCTTTTGGACTTCGGATCAACACTTGAAAATCCTCAAACAGTTCACCTGTAACACTAATACAAGACCACATCGCAAATTAAGAAACATGCGCGGCTTCATTGCCGCAGCAAGCACCCTACTCGTCTTGCGAGGAGTTCACGCACAGGTTCCTCAGATTTCAGGATACAACTTGACATGGGCGGACGACTTCACAGGAGCCCGCAACACGCTGCCTGATTCAAAGAACTGGATCATCGACACGGGAAAGAGGTGAGTCATTGATCATTATACGTCGTAGTCCGATTGCTAATAATTCTGTCCAGCTATAATAAAGGACCGCCGAACTGGGGGACAGGGGAGATCCAAACATACACCAGCAGTACCGGCAATGTGGCAGTGACTGGCGCAGGAAACCTGCAAATTACTGCCATCAAAGATCGTTCGGGGAATTGGACATCCGCACGAATCGAGACGAAGCAGACGTTCATGGCACAGCCGCGCAAGAAGATGAGGATACAAGCCAGCCTCAAATTACCTGGCTTGGGCGGTGGTGGAATTGGTTACTGGGCAGCATTCTGGACTTTGGGTGCCGAATATCGCGGCAATTACTGGTGAGTGTGTTGGACAAAGGAACCCTGATAATTCAAAACTAATAGACCACGCAGGAACTGGCCATCAGTTGGCGAAATCGACGTCATGGAAAACGTAAACAACGTCAACCGCCTATGGGGTGTCCTGCACTGCGACCAGAACCCAGGCGGAGCTTGCAATGAGCCGAGCGGCTTGGGCAACTCAAAGAATTGTGCTTCAGGTTCACCTTGTTCTGGCGCCTTCAGAACGTATGCTGTTGAGGTTGACAGATCGGTGTCACCAGAGGCTATCCGCTGGTACGTGGAAGGTCAGCTGCTTCATGCTATCGCGCAGACACAGGTTCCGGCGAATGTCTGGATACAGACAATACAGAAGCCTCATTTTATCCTTCTTAATATGGCTATTGGTGGAAGCTTTCCCGATGCTATTTATGGCTCCAAAACACCAATCGCTAGTACGGTATCCGGTGGGATATTCGAAGCTCAATATGTAGCTGTTTATAACTCACGCTAATACAAGTTTTGTGAGGTCATGCTCCTGGCGAAGTTTTTCACTTCTCAATTCTTTCAAGAAAGCATGACGCTTGAATCAAGAGGTTTGAGTCAGCTCATCATTGGCAAGGTATCCCTGAAGCTATTCCCACCTCCCGATCAATGACTAAGCCACCTAGAGCAAACTCAAAGCGATGGCAGCGCATGGATCAACAATAAAGCGTGACTTGGACCCAATCCAAATGTAACCCCCTCCTTCCCATTGATATAACACGACGCGACTCTCAGCTCTACGCGACTGCCAGCTCTGACGATTAACACCTTACCCAGACCATCTCAACATATCTCATCATACCATTCAGAACAATACTGCAATCCCTGTCCAAAACCAAATCCCACCATCGTCCTCAAAATGACGGAAACGTGCGGGAAGTGCAAGAAGGCCATCGTTGAGTCCGAGGAGAACTCTCAATGCGAACGCTGCGACGTCAAGTACTGTACCAAGAGTTGTCAGAATCTGCATTGGAAAGTCCACAAGAAGTCATGCGCTCGCTCTCGCCAGGCCGGGCCATCCAACACCGGTGGCTCAGCTCGACCTTCACGTACACGTGGCCTGGAGAAACCCTTGCCAAGGCCCTTCACACGCCTGGAAAGAGGCACTTACTTGCACGACCGCCCCGAGGGGGACGTCTACAAGTTGCTGATCGACTGCTACCGTCTCCGAATGGAGGACAACCTGAACATCGAAGGTTTTGCGGAGCCGGACTCCATTTATGCCTCCAGCGCCAACGATGGCTTGAGCGGCTTCCGACGCTTCTTGGATGAGGCTAAGAGGGCACTAGACGGGAAGCTGTTGCCCCCTTGGTGGAACGATGAAAAGCAGGACGAATGCGAGCAGCTCGCGACCGAGGCAGGTGGATATTCGGATCTGCGGGCCAAGGTTACGAAGAAAAGCATTATCAAACATTACGGCGATGACTACTTTCCCATGCAGCTACGCATGGTCGGTGAGTTCGTATGGGGTTCGGCACCTGGCGGACAAGATGGGTCGGCGATGAGACGAGCGATGGCGTCGCAAGAGCGCTAGATGCGGGGACCCAAACGATCAGAATCAGCTGAAATTATAGATATATTTGAATACTGCCACCAATCTTAGTTTACCTGATAAGAGTCGTCGGCAACGGTGATAAGCTGCGATCAATGCGAATTACATGTTACATGTACTTGGCCAGAGCTGTGCCCAGTGCTACGACGGCAGCGAAGAAGTTGAGTTGCCTAAGGATACAACTGTATCTCGATTAATTACTGAGAGTTATTATTGAATGCTTGCAAAGTTTCATCTTGCCCTCCGTGAAAGAATATGATAGCATCAAAGCCCTTACGAAAAAGACACCTCCTTGTTCCCATACTACCCTCCGATGATGTCCTCCATCTAGGATGTTTTCGACACCGGTAGAATTAGGCAAGAGTCGCTTCCACCGCCAAAGTGCACAGTATGCCGAGCCGGCTTGAGAATGGTGCCTGTCGCAAAACTCTCCCCGGAGCCCAGGTTAGGACTATACTTCGGAAAGCACCCGCCGGCGATGACGAGTCGAATCCTTGAACCTGAGGGCACCCTATAAGCAGTATCCAGAAGGTCCAGATCGATCAATTTCCCCTCTCTACTGGCATCAATCCGTCGGTATCTCTCCGTGATGTTACGCGAGCGGCCTTGAGAGTCGACAATACTTAGTCGCACGAATAAGTCGCAGAAGGGCGTGTCGCTTGAGTGAAATAGATCGACGCAAGGGCGTCCGAAGATGTCAAGGGGCTCGGTCAGCGGCTCCGAGGTGAAGGTGATGACATCGTCTCGGGAGCACAGAGCGGTATCCTCCACGCTGCCTCCTCCGATCATGAGAGGACCGCCAACCGTCGGCGTAGGGTTAGAAGGGTCAAACACGAAGCTGGATGTGTCCCCCTCTGACGAATGCAGATCGCCGAGTTTACCGCCCGCGGATAGGAAATACTCCCGATGACTTGTAGACGGTGGCCATTTCGGAAGCTCAAGCCACTCCGGAGCGTCTCCGTCCCGGTATATCCTAACCGCCGGGATCTTCTTCGATGACTGATTCCGTGCAAGATGGGTTTCTAACCATTGGAGGCTTTGCTCGGTGGTGTCCCCATTCTGAGCATCCACATGCCCCCCGGAACGAATTCTCAAAGCTACCGGGCAGCCTCTTCGGCTCAAGACTTGGTACTGTTCCATAGTCTGCTCGAAGAACACATCGTACCAACAAGTGACGAGAAGAATCGGTATGTTCGCCTTCTCCAAAGCTTTGCCATGTCTCTCCTTCGCCCAGATCTCGTGGTCCAGGTCGGGATTCTTGATCTGCTCGTAGAGCCACGGGGTCTTATCGCCGAAATAGCGTCTCAACGCAGGTTCCAAGGGGATGTTTTTCATGAGTGGATCAAGGCGGTTGGGATCCCTGAAGGCCATGAATTTTCCCCAAAGACCCTGAGTCTCTTGCTTTGAAATTATGTCGGCCCATAAGATTTGTTGCTGCAAGCTGAAGGCACCGGTTCCCCATAATCGCTCGGCAGTATCGTGAGGTGCGACAGTCATGACGGCAGCCACCATGTCCGGCGGCGGATCCGCAAGCAATGCCCATTGCGTGAAGCCGAGATAGGAGCCGCCCAATGTTGCGAATGTTCCCGTGTACCAAGCCTGCTCTCTCATCCAAGCTACGACATCCTGGCCGTCTTTCGCTTCAGAAGCCCCGGCGTCGAAGACTCCTGTCGAGCCAAAGGTACCGCGGCAGCTGACGAACAGGACTTGGTATCCCCGGGCGGCGTATATGCGTGCCATGATCAGACTGAAGAGGAACCCACGACCATAGGGTCCTCTTACGAGGACGGTTCCCTTCACATCTTTGCCGTTGGGCCGAAAGAAGTCAGCAATGAGAATCGCTCCATCTGGCAGATGGATCTTGAGTTCTTGAGTGGTATAGCCGCATGTCTCCGGGGGCAGACCGAGAGCCCACCCAACGACGCGTTCCAGCACGGTGGCCCATAATGGCCGCGCCACGGGGGCTGGACCAGCCATGGCGATGGGGAAAGCAGTATCTCGGCAAGGCTACTACGAGATGTGCACAATATGAAAATGGCTTGAAGACGCGTCTCGAGGGGCTATTTGATTCTGCCAGAAGAAATTGTCGCCTACGGGAAGAGAGACAGATGGGCGGAGTCTCGGGAGGCGCAAGTTTCCGCGCCCCCGCTTCTGAGGGAGTGCGCCACCATCCCGCCAGTTTGATTAGTCCGGAATAAATCGAGTCCGCTTCCATAACATGTCTCACTGGAGGTGTCAAGGATGCATCGACGTATGAACTCTGTTCGGTCTTGCATAGACCGGGTGATCACTCTGTGAAGATGGTGTTCATGCTGTTTACCTCGGTTTCGGGATTCGAAACATAGTCAAGTGGGTGAGACGGTCGAGGAAAGATACTCGATTTGATGGATAGAGATTCCTGATGAAAGGTATGATGAAATCCAACAGACTAGAGTACAAGTTCATCGGCATGCCTCGGCTTTCGGCCCTCTAGAATACCCACAGCACGGCTCCGGGTCAGTGGGTCCGCCGTCGCCGTACGGACCGGATGACGCCCGGGAGGTCCGAGAAACTGACGCTTACGTAAAAATGGCAGACGTCACACTCGCGCACGGGGGATGCGGGGTTGATGAGTTCTGGTGTTCGACTGCGCTGTCTCTCATGGTGAATCTATACTAATCAACTTCATCCATATCGTGCCCGCCTCATCGGAGATTAGAAGCACAATGTCGAAACCAGGCCAATTTCGAGCAGAGTGAGTACTATTCCCCAGTTACAGTCTATACTACTTGAGTCCTTCAGGCTGACACCCGGTCAGTCTTCCCGAGCTTGCCCGCAACCTTTTAAAAGACGGTCCTCAGAGGGTCCGGCCTACCGACCGGCGGATTCGGGTTCTCCTGAACCACACTTACATCGTGGACACAACCAAAGCCGTACACGTCTGGGAGCACATAGCATATCCTCAGTACTACGTGCCGACGTCGGAACTCCGTAATTGTATCCGGAAGGACAAAGAGAGCATCCACACTGCGGACGATACCTCGGCCTCGCCCGCAGCAGCTGTTGTTGAGCTCACAATCGCTGCTCGTGATGGCGTCAAGGAGTTTACGACTGATCGCGTTTTGAGATTCTCCGATGATCCAAAGATCGGTGGGGCGTTGAGTGGCATGATTAGATTGGAGTTCGGGAGCATGGGCAAGACAGAGATGATGCTTGAGACGTATGACAGCACGACTGACATATTCTTAGACCAATGGCTTGAAGAAGAGGTCCCCATCTACGTGCACCCAAAAGACCCTTTCAAACGAATCGACATTCTACCATCGACCCGATCCGTTGAGGTCAAGATCGCCGGCAAAACCGTCGCCAAGACGACCAACTCTGTTCACCTGCATGAGACATACTTGCCCGCCCGATATTACGTGCCACTCTCATCAGTCGACCAGACGGTCCTGCGCAAAAGTGAGCTCGTTACGTCGTGTCCTTACAAGGGGGATGCGGAGTACTACAACATCGTGATCAACGGCGAGGAGTTCAAGGACCTGGTTTGGTATTATAAAGTGCCGACGCATGAGAGCGCCAACATTGCGGGGCTCTTGTGCTTTTACAACGAGAAGGTGGACATTATCCTGGATGGCGAACTCTTGGATAGGCCCAAGACGTTCTTTTCTTGAGACACTGTCGAACACGACAAATAATACAACTCAACGTTTTGAAGACTCTGTTGACTAAACCTTCGCAACGCCTGGTTTTTAGACTGCTAATTCTGGACGTTACAAGTGCAACTTTCACGATAGGTTAATAGTGTGATTTGCAAATCTCATAATTTGGGCAAATTTCTTGTTACATACACAAGATGTGTTGCCTTTTCCAAAAACTTAGTGGTAAAGACCGGCTTCGTGATGCGGTTACAGAACCTTCAGCCGTCACCTCTCAGACCTTCATCATGTCAAGTTCACGGGCCTCTGATCTCACACAGGCAGACTTTTGCGTGATGTGTGTTGTGTTGGGGTTTCCATCGCTGATCAGATCGGTGAACCTTTATTCACATTGACCTGCTGGTCTTTCCCAATTATGTCGTACCGTCCGCCTTTGGTCGAGGACAGGTAGTGTTCCGAATTCTCGTGTTCCAAGACAGCAGATGAGGCACCAATATTGTGTTGTTTGAACCCTCACTGCGAAAACTTGGGTTTGACAATCATGTGTGTGTCGACGTTTAGGCGTACATGTACGGGTAACGGAGGCTGACCCAGGTGGTACGCCACCTCGTAGCTACGATCTGGATACTGTCCGTCCGCAACGACTGCTCATGATCGGCCACGAGCTTCCCACTCGGCTTTTGGTGGATTCTCGTCGTGTTATTTCTGGCCCGGGGTGTGCGGAGTCACTGCTCGATCATTATTCAACACTTCTTGATGCCTTCCCGCAATCCTAGCGGCAATTGAAGGCTGAGCGTGTCGGATTACTTGGACTGCAACACGTCGCTCAGCAGTTCGGGCGATTCGAGTCGCCGCTGAACACGACGGCAAGGCTCTTTCCGTAATGACGTGAAGTCGGAAGCGATCACCATCCTGAGGAGTGAGAAACGCTCGCCGAAATCAGTTCGACTCAGTAGTATCCTTGCATGTGCCCGTAGGGCGCCGCAGCATGGTTGACATCGTACCCGTGCGGAATGAAGTCGTCCATAAAAGCAGGTGCTGCCATGCTGTATATGGCGTTAGGATAAACCTGCATAGCCTGAGAGCAGTCGATGACATCCTGTGCCGGGTGTTCGTCGGTCGTCTCGTGTTGGGTGATGAGCATCCGTTCGTCTCGCAGCTCTCGCTCGTCTCGCTCCTTCAACTGGACCAGTGAAGCTTGCTGCGGCATGGTCGGTGACGTCGGGGCCTGGACTGCTGGTGTGAGGGACTGCGACAGGGATTGGAAGACGGGGATGTCGGCGATGAGCTCGGGGAAGCGGGTGAAGAAGTCCATCCCCATGGTCCACGAGTTGATGTCTGAGAACCTGTCCTCGAACATGGGCGATATTTGATATTGGCCCGTCACCAAACTCTTTTTATAGGTGTCTCGAAACTCGTACGGCCAGAGGAGATGGAAGTTTGGACCGAATAGCTCCCAGAATGAGTTGTTACAGTAGTGATGTTGTCCAAATACAAAGCGTTCACGGACGCCGGGCCTGAGAGCCGATTAGCTGCGGTATTATTTGAAATAGGAGACACGTAACTCACCAGACAAAGAAGTCAATTGCATATGAGTGAGGCATAGCCTGCGAAGGCCTGAATTTTGTTAGCGATTGGTTCTTAAACAACATGCTACCAGACAAACCTTTTCAGATACCAAGTCGGCAGTTTCGCATACCGGCTCGGTGTGGGATCGGAGTGATATTGAAGAAGCAGGTGCATAGTCCGAAGGATTGCCAGCCTTTCTGTTTTTGGACAGCTACTAAAACAAAGCTCGTCGACTCGGCGCAGCTTCTTCCACAGCTTCGACAACGGACGAGACTTTGCAACGGCATCCCAGCCCTCTAACAAGGCACGAACGGGAACGTCCTCGTCAGAGGCATCTTCGGCAACATGAGCCTCTTGCGATATCCGACACCGCTTGGCTAAGACCTGGTTTACAGCCCTCCAAACATTCACCCTTGGTGGGGCTGGACCGGCCGGCGTGCGGACGGCGACGCAGTCGCAGGGAACTTCAGGCGGTGGAACGATGAGGCTGGGGTCGTCGTGATCATCGTGGCAGTCCATGTCATCGTCCATCTCGTCGCCAAGGTCCTGGCTCTCCGACGTGGAGCTCGGCGCGTGGACACTCGGCGCGTGCACGCTGGACGCCGACATCCCGTTCGGCACAGTGCCGACGGCAACCCCTCCGTGGTTGAAGGCGTGGATGTCAACAACAGGAGGCGTCTCTGGGACTACACCCATGGGCGCGGCATACGTATTGGGCGCCGGCGGTCCGGCCATCATCGACGATGCATCCCGGGAGTCGGACAGGGATGTTGAGGTTGAGGAGGAAGACTGTTGATGCGGCGCCGGGGCCGGTCGGCTCGGGGCCATGTTGTCGCGGATGGTCTCTTGGATGACCTTGAGAGTCTCGGAGAGGCGGTCCCGGTCCCGGCTGACGGTGGCCAGCTGCTCCATGCAGGCCGACAGCCGCGTGGAGTCATCCTTCCGAAGCTCCTTCACCTGTGCCTCGAGCTCGGCGATGCGGTTGCGGGTGCGCTCGCGGGCCTGTCTCTGGGCCCTGCGGTCCAGCTCGCGTTTCCGGAGCTTGCGGGCGATCTCCTTTTCGGAGGGGACCTTGGCCGGGGCTCCTCCTCCTCCTCCAGGTGTTGCTGCTGAAGTGGGGGCATCGCTTGGCCCATTAGACGACATAGTTGAAGGAGAAAGACGCGCAGACGCGCGGGGGGATTGGCAGATGTAGGTATTGAGGTTTCTGACAGAGAGAGGAGAGGACGAGGAGAGTCAGAAGGGGAAAGAGAGATTGCGAGTGTTGGCTCTAAAGGCTTGGATCCGGCCTTCGTCTGGTCGAAAGCGGATTAAAGAGCGATAAGTCAGCGCAATAAAAGAGAATAGATTGTCAGAAAAACCGGGCACCCGATAGTGTCGAAGAGAGTTGACGGCAGATGTGCAGAAAGTGGATCGAGCGGGCATCAACAACTATTGGGAGAAAAGGGGACTCGAGCAGTTCAAAAGACGAGAAAGGCCCTTCTTCTTTTCTGAACATGGGCAAATTAACGTTCACCTAGCTGAGAACGGTCACCCCGGCACCTGTCCTGCCTCTCTAGCTTGACATGGGGATGGGGGAAGGCGGAAGAGGAATATCCAGGGAATGGAGAGAGGGGGCAAAGAGAAGCTGAAGAGAAGATCAAAGAATGTGGGGTAAAATGCGGCCACCCTTGCCGAGGAGCATTTAGCTTAACTGTCACCATTTGCCCACAGTCCGTGTCTCTCGAGGGCCCCCTTGACCATGACTTGTAGCTAACTAAACTGGGATTCGGACGTGTCATTGGGCTCAAACCTTCAATCGGTGGCTTTTACACAGCTCTGATACTGCGGTCAAGTTCAGACGACGCCGTCGATTTCGTACATTTTACCCCTGCCATCCGGCGAATCAACGTTGGTGGAGCGTCGTCCGACCTGGCTTAAGGCGGATTCGTCTTAGGAATGTCTTAGTTTCCGCTGTTCGTTTGTTTCCATTTCCATTTCGTGTGGGATAATTAGCCCACAGTGCATTCCGCGGAGGCCGTCTCCGGACCGGTTGAACAAAGACCCTCGAAACTCTGTTGTCAACAAAATGCGTTCTCTCCCCTTTGTATTGCTCAGTTATTGTAGTCACAAGCTTCGAGCTCACCAGCTTCGACTCTTATCTTACGAATCGTGCGCCATCAATTTCAACTCCACTGCGGCACCTATGCAAGGCGGTTGACGTTGCAACGTTGACTTCAAATTGTGATATGTCACTGGACAACTGGCCTGCATATTAACCATCTCAGAGACATTCCAGCGCTAGGAGCTTTCAATCAGGCCCAATCGCGATCTTCGATTCTTATGCAATCTGCTTCCCGTCCTCCCTCCGATTGAAAATCACTTCCAACTCCGGCAGCGACAACGTGAAGCCGTCCTTCTTCCCTTCAATGAAAGCCTCCGCCGTCTGCCCCGGGGCGAATGCCACGTCGTAGCGGTGGATAATCTGACTGACGCAGTATCGGATCTCCATCAACCCGAGTTGCTTACCCACACATGAGTATTTTCCTGTGCCTGCAGTCAGCCTCTTGAAAGTCCTTTATCTCGCAGCGACGAAGGGCGAGGTGGAATTAGAGTGCTTACCGGTGCCGAAGGGGACAAAAGCCGACGGGTCCTTTGCCAAGTCTGACTGCGTCGTCCATCTCTCCGGGATGAACTCCGACGCGTGCGGGAAGATTCGCTCGTCTGACTTGCGTCAGTATTATCGTATTTCAGAGACATTGACGTCCAACGGTTACACAAAGACCGAATTCTAGCCAAGGAGTGACTCACCTCTGAACATGGTGTGTGTGGGTACTTGAATGATGGTGTTTCCCGGGATGAACGTCCCGTCGATGTCCAAGCCTTCTGGCGGGGTCATTCTCTGCACGCCAGATGGCACGGGAGGATGAAGCCTGAGGGCCTCGTCGATGCACGCTTGCAGGTACGGCAACTTCGACAGGGCAGAGTGTTCCGCCGATGGGTTTTCTTCAAAGTAGCCATCAATTTCCTTCCTCAGCTTTTGATATACCTCTGGCTTCTGAGCAAGCTCGAAGAATAGGCAGGTCAGGGATGCAGCGGTCGTGTCACTGTAAGCTGGTGTCAGAGGGGTTGCGAGGCCCAAACCACGAATCCAAAGTTACATACCTGCCAGCTACGATAATCAAATATGCGTCGCCGTAAAGGTTAAGAGTGTCTTGCCAAGTCGGCTTCTTAATAGCCTGATAGTCCTCCAAGACCCAGGAGAAAACATCTGGGCGGTCAGGGGGGTTCTGCGAGACATAATTAGTCACCAGTCCCTCACTTTTCGTCGGGTTTCGGCTCGTACCGCGATTCTCTCATCGACCTGGGCAGTCACGAACTTCCAGAATCTCTTGTTGTTGGCATTGAGGATCGGTGTGTTCTTGAAGATCGGGAACAGCCATAGCATATGGCTGAAGGATCCGATAGCCTGCATATCCGTGTGTAACGAAGTCATGAAGTAGTGCTTGATGCCCTCCTTGAGCATGCCGAAGGTCTTGCCAAAGGCCAAGTCGCCCATGACGTCGAAGCTGTAAAAGTTAAACCAATCGGCGATGTTGAATGCCTTGCCTTTGTGTGCTTCGATCTGGTCAAGCAACTGGTTGGTGTGGTTGGCAACCCGGAACTCGTAGTCTCTCAGAGCTAGTTCCCAAGTCAGCCCCTAGGTGTGATTCGGAAACATGGGGATTAAGCACATACCTTTAGAGCTGAATCCACGATCCCAAGCCTTGCGGCGCTGCGCATGCTCTTGCTTGTCACGCACCAGCTGTAGGGAGTACATAGGATGCAAGACGCCGTACCACGGCCCCTTGATACATGGTGACCGGTTTGAGTGAATCGGCATGATTGCTTTGGGGTTGTTGATGGACAACTCTGTCGGTCCTAAATCGAGTCATGTCAGTTGCCAATGCTCAGGACCTCAGCTTTCAGACCTGGAACGTTCTTACCAATACGAACAATATCGCCATAGGTAGCGTGTAGGTCTTGCATCTCCGAATAGAGATGTAGCTTCTTCAACGCTCGGTTCGTGATGTACAAGTTGGACATCCGCGCGAGCCATGGCCCTTTGAAGGAGTTCAAGCGGTGGAATCCCGCTCGATACACGATCAAGCTGGAGTATATGCCCGCAATCAGAGCAGCCGTAAGAGTGCATGCGGTCTTGAACGCAACCAACTTCGTCTGGAACGTCTCGGACGCCAGCTGGAAAAGGGCAGCAGTGAGCAACCCGATGCCCAGGGAGAAGTTCCTGATCAATCTCGTAGTCGCGATGTCCCACTCTCCGACGCGAAAAGCGAAGACGTGGAGTTGTATGCCCACCACGAAGAATAGGCAGTGAGCCTGGAAGAGGTGCGTGTCTGTCATCGCCATCGTGATTCACCCGACCGCGATTCCGAGTATGGTCTGTGAGCTGAGTTCAAAGGTCCGGAAATCAATGGAGAAGGCTGGCCCTTTTTGGACAACTTCGCATCTCCCCCGCGCCGCCGAGGCTCGTGGAACCGATCAGCGGGCATTTGACTGCTGTTGGACATTCCGATTAGGCGAGATGCATGAACAATCGTCTGCGTCAGAATCGTGTCGCCATTGTACAGAGGACCAACAACCTTGGCGTGAGAAAAGAATCTGTTGGACGTGTCAGACCAACGACATTTCCAATCGCGCGATCGACAGCTCAACGTCGACTTCGAGTCAGAAAATCTGCCACTCTTCTGGGACAGCCGCAGCCGCGTGGTCCCAACGATACGGTTGCAAACTCAGCTGAACCCCGGCTGATATTTGTTCGTCACGGCCACCAAACGGTCCTCGCGCATCACAACGAGTTCAAACTGGTCTCGTCTCATTGGACCGTCGAGGAAACATCGCCTGGCGCCTACGTCACGCCACGGTCGACTCAGAAGTTGGAAGCGTTCTGACTCGGCCATATCTGGGGTAAATCATGGGGCTCCTCCAACACTCGCGGGGTGCAGAGTTGTGGAGAAGGGAGAGTCAGAAAATTCCCGTCTGTTGCCTCGACATCACAACGTCTCTCCAGATTTCTCGATCTCGGAATCCGGGGAAGATCTGAATGCCCTTTTTTTAGTTTACCCCGTACTATTTGCCCCGCGTGGGGTTAATTAACGATGTCTGGGAATCTGGGGCGACTGCGTGACGACGGCGTGAGCTACCGAGACAATAAGCCGGTTGACAGCACAGCCATTGGTTTCATTAACTCTAATCACCAAGAAGTTCCACCTTCAGGGTGACAAACAAGCAAACACGGTGGTAGACATGATAGCCCTACGACACTCATCCCGCATTCGAAGTCTGATCCGAAGTATTGGGATGAAAACCGACCATCCACGTGTTTTGTATCAAGCAATTATCCACTCAAAGCTGTCGATCACTCTTCTCGGTCATAATATGGTCTGATTTGGATACGAAATCCTCAAAAGCTATGTACACTTGTTCTATGTACACTCAGACATCAACGCTACTTCAAATCTATGACTACGCGTCCCTGAATCTCTCCAGACTCCATCTCGGTGAAGATCTAAATCACACGATGGATTAGTATACGCATGAAAAGAATACGTCATCAAACATCCTCGCCTTCTCGGGTTCGGCTAGCATACCTTTGTCAAGCTTCTCATCCGCCGAAGTTGAAAGTGTGTTTTGACCTTGCCCCGTGCAGCGATTTCGAGACATTCCTTGGCTTCGAGACGGTTGCCCGTTTTGACACCTGAGTTCGTTCTTTGTCAGCCTGCAAAACACACAGGTGCATATGCAAGAAAGGCACACTTACCAAAGATGGTCAGCTCATCGCAGAGCATGGGCTCAACGTCGGCAATGGCCGGGCTGCTGTGCTCAGGAACGCCCAAGCAGACCAGCTTGCCTCGAAAACCCAACCACTTCGGCGACTGCACGTACGCCTTCTTGTTCGACGAGCACATCAAGACAATTCTTGCCCCGCCGCCCGTGACCTTCTTGACTGCGGCCGCCAAATCATCTTCGGTGGGGTAAGCTGTGAAGTCGATGAACTCGGTGGCACCGAGATCTCGGCAAAACTTCTCCTTCACGCCGAGGTCCATGGCCAAGACGCGGCAGCCAAGGACATTTGCGTACTGGATGGCGAGATGGCCCAAACCTCCGCCGGCGCCGGCGATGACAATCCAATCTCCGTGTCGGGCGTCGGCGCGTTTGAGCGCGGTGTAGACGCTTACACCTGCACACATCAACGGGGCAGCCTCCGCCGAGTCCAGACCTTCGGGGATGGGTGTGACATATCGCGCAAATGATAGACAGTATTGTTGAAGTGTACCCGGTGTAAAGTATCCCGACAGCTTGACCTCTGTGCACGATGACTCGCCACCTTGAAGACAACGATCTGAGATGACGACATGATTAGTATGAACTGATTATGAGAGGGCTTCATGGGTAGTGACTTACCGCAGTTTAGGCAGGCGTCAGCGGCATACTTGATTCCTACTCTTTGCCCAACGGCGGGCGATGTTACTCCGACACCAGTAGCGACGACCTCACCAACGCCTGGATGGTGTTAGTTGTTAATCAGCTGTGAAGCTGACTCTCATGTCTCGTCTTTTCGGACTCAGAACATGTAATCATGTGATGGCTTACCCTCATGTCCTCCAACCTGGCCTATGATATGCTTAGACCTATAACACAACACAGACATCTGCGATTCAGAAAAGACTCACCTTTTGGTGTAGGAAATGGGACTGATGAGAAGGCATTCATGCAGAATCCATAGTCGGTATGGCAGACACCGGAGTACTGTCTGTGATCGCAATATCGTGAGCCACTGAGAGACGATGAGAGTCATGGTGAGCTCTTACAATCGAATGAGAACTTCTCCCGGCCCAGGCGTCGGTATCGGTAGTTCAACGACCTCGGTCTTGGTGGTGCCCGGCTCGGAGTACACGACCGCACGGTTGAAGTTGCTCTCGCCGCCCATGGTGGTCGCCATATAATGCTATATCGATAATTCTGCCCTTCTTCTTACGTTCTAGGGAATCGCGAGGGATGCATGTCATTATATTTTCTATGAAAACCAGATGCAGCGCGGAGGGCCACACTTATTGGATTGGATCCCTCCACACTCTCACACACGAACATGAAGTCTACTCGCTGCCGAAAGTACACATCGCTGATCGGGGGCATAAGCTCAGCTGTCCAAGTTTCCCTTAATGGACGGCGCAGCCAATGTGATCTTGCCAGGCCAATTGCCGGTGCAGTGGCACGAGAGCATTTCTGCCCTGCCGGCGCCGACGCGGCGGGTCAACCTTGACTCGACTGAGTCTCGATGCATGACCAACCTTGCAGAACATCATCCAAAACGAGCCGAGTGACGCAGCACGGCTCAGAAGATGGTCGAGTCAGACGGGAAGTGAGATCGGGAAACGCATTCCACGATGAGATTGAGAGAGTGTGTATGAGAAACCGACGAGTGAGTGAGAGTGAGCGAGTGAGAGTCCGTGAGGGGAGCGGCACGTTGCCGAGCTCGTCTCCAACTTTTCCCCCGCGGCATCCAGCAGCAGTCCGTGTTGTGTCAAGTTTATCTTCTGCCCGCCTTGCCCACGTAGACTGGAGTAGTTGACTAAGAACTCCTCATGTACCTATGCTGTCCTCCTGCATGTATCTTTTCCCCGGAGCTGCATGTACCTTTCTTCAGCAAAACGGCGTTATGGGGCCCAACACGTTTCAATCGTCTTTCCCGTCGGACCTTGGCAGTGTTAGTGCCGCTGCCGACGTGCGAGAGACTAGTGCGATGACAAACGGCCATGCAACCCAGAATTCTTTGCTCGGTGAGCTGTCCTCAAGAGACATTCCATGATTCCATTTGTCGCCCGCCCTGTTGCCGAAGGAAGGGGCGAAACCCCGTTTCCACGCAATAGTCTCTGTCAATCGTTGGTGGCCATCGTGACATCGACGGTGGAGTTTCCTGAAGGGGCCTCGGTTGAAGACAGGGAATCCTAGTCTCGAGCCCTAGTCCCTCTCCACGGCCCCTCCACTGGTTCGTTGTTCCTCATAATGACCAGCACAAAACAGACCCTTCTGACCGGAGGGGGAGGGGCAAGAAAGGGGATGGGGAAGAGACAGCTCAACGAAACGCATGGCCGCTGGCGCATACACTACCCGTCCCATCCCTCTTCTCCCTCTTCCTTCTTATATTCCCGACCTGGACACACAGACCTCGACTCAATCCGAATAAACTCTCGAACTTGAGCGTAACTTGCCGTCTTCCGCGAGCCAACCGTCTTACACCAGTCTTACACCAAAATCAGTCGCCCATCATGGCAGCTAACGGCACGACGAAGCTGGACTTCACCAAGTTCTACAACGTCATCAACGGCAAGCTCGAGACGACGCCCAAGACGAGACACAGCGTGAACCCCTCTACTCTTGAGCCCCTCCACGAGGTCCCTCTCTCGACTGCTGAGGATGTCGACAGAGCTGTGCAGGCCGCGAGGGCTGCTCAGGAGGCATGGGCCGAGACGCCCTACGAGGAGCGCCAGAAGGCCGTCGCCAAGCTTGGCGACTTGATCGAGGAGAACATCAACGAGTTCGCCGTCTTGCTCAGCAAGGAGCAGGGCAAGCCTGTAAGTTCAAAGCTCAAGGACGGACACTTGGACCCTGCGCGTGCTGGAAATCGAGTAATGCTGACCTGTCTGGTTCTACACAGATCGGATTCGCCCAGTTCGAGATCGCTGAGGCCGTCAAGCACTTCAGAGGAGTCCCTAACCTCCCTCTCCCCGAGGACGTCGTCAGCGACGACCCGGATCGCCGTGTTATCACCAGATACACTCCCCTCGGTGTTGCCGTCGGTATCGTTCCCTGGAACTGTAAGCCACTGCCTTTGTCCTGATGACCATTCATGGAGTGCTAACCCGTCCCCAACAGTCCCTATCCTCCTCGGTACGTTTTCCGAAAATCATACTCCGGATCACGGATCCGTACTGACTTGAAAACCAGCTTGCGGCAAGATTGCTCCGGCCCTGATCACCGGAAACGCCTTCATCCTTAAGCCCTCGTAAGCTCTCCGAACCGCGGCGCGCCGGTCCGTCATCCCATGTTTCAGATCACCGCTGACACGAGTCAAGTCCCTTCACCCCCTACTCCGACCTCAAGATCGTCGAGCTCGCCCAGCAGGTCTTCCCTCCCGGTGTCCTGCAGGCGCTCAGCGGCGACGACAACCTCGGCCCGTGGTTGACCTCCCACCCCGGCGTCGACAAGGTCAGCTTCACCGGCTCGACCGCCACCGGCAAGCGCGTCATGGAGAGCTGCGCAAAGACCCTCAAGCGCGTCACTCTGGAGCTGTGAGTGGAGATCCCGCCGGGTGCTAAATTGCACCTTAACTTTGTTTATCGCCGATCCTGACTCGTGAACGCAGCGGCGGTAACGACGCCGCCATTGTCCTCCCCGACGTCGACATCAAGGCCGTTGCGCCCAAGATCGTCACCTTGGCGCTGTACAACTCTGGACAGGTACGTAAACTTGGCATCGGATGAAGGATTTCGACAAGCATCACAAAAGTCCCGTCTTCATGCAAGACATCAGCGGCTGACATGATCATCACCAGGTCTGCGTTGCTATCAAGCGTATCTACATCCACGAGTCCATCTACGATGAGATGATCGCCGAGATGGCCAACGTCGTCAAGAGCTTCCCCGTCGGCGACGGCCAGCGGGAGGGCACCATGCTCGGCCCCGTCCAGAACCAGATGCAGTTCGAGCGCGTCAAGGACCTTCTCAAGGATATCGAGGAGCAGAAGCTCAAGCTCGCCGCTGGCTCTACGGCCCCGGCTTCCAACGGCAAGGGCTACTTCATCACCCCCACCATGGTCGACAACCCTCCCGACAACTCCCGCATTGTTGTTGAGGAGCCTTTCGGTAAGTTCATTCAACAATCACATTAATGAGCTCGTTCCAGTGGCTAACAGGTTTATCACAGGCCCCGTCTTCCCCGTTCTTAAGTGGAGCGACGAGAAGGAGGTTGTCCAGCGCGCGAACAACACCGACATGGGTCTCGGCGCCTCAGTCTGGTCCAAGGACCTCGACAAGGCCCAGACCATTGCCAAGAAGCTCAAGGCCGGCAACGTCTGGATCAACACCCACTTGGAGCTCCAGTACGATGCTCCCTTTGGCGGTCACAAGCAGAGCGGTCTGGGATACGAGTACGGCGCCGGCGGCCTGAAGGCCTACTGCAACACCCAGTCCATGTACATCACCAAGGCGGCATGATTATGATATGATACCAGAGTCTCTCGAGAAATCTCCGGAGCTCATGATGAAACAAGAAATAAAGATAAAAGATAAATAAGCATTACAAAAGATCGGTGTGGACATTTGTCAGACGACGACAGCTTGGCAGCGTGTTGTTCTTTCCCCCGACGTTTCATACACTAGTAGATCAGTTACAAGCGCCGATAAACCAGATCCATTCGGTGTTAAGACAACCCCGGTTGGCCCGCTCGCATTGTGTTCGGTCCTGTTGTCTGAAAAGATCGTCTTGCCCCGGTCTTCGTTTGGGGCCCATGTCCTTTTGGGGTCGAGACCTGTCAACCGTGGAGAACGCCGTCGGGGAGTTTATGGAGGAATTATGGAGCTGTCGAATCGCAAGCGGTTGCTGCCTGCGTGCTAGTCTCCTAGTGAGCCCATTCTCAAGGACCCTAGAGCAGAAAATGCGCGGTGTGTGAGCTCCAATGCTGCTTACGGAGGGGAAGGGTCCATCCGGAATACGCAAGCTTGATGCCCGGGTGCGGGAATAGTTCCGCAATAAACATGGGTGCGGCGGGGTATTGCGGTGAACATGGAGATACAAGTGGGATTGTTCCATGGGGGTGATTTAGGGATGAAGGAAGAACTCACGTCAGGCATCATTTCAAGTTCCAGTCACGACGACAACGACTTTTCAACACATAAAGGGAGTGCAGATATCAGCAATGTAAAAGTTGTCAAATCCTACAAATTAACAGGAAACTCTCCAGCTCCAAGTTCTCGTCTATGATTTGAGGTGCACCAAGACCCCAGATGTCCAACTTGAAGAGAATAATAACGCAATTCATCAACATATACTTATATTGAAGGCCAATTTCTTCTGGTACGTAACATCGTTTAGTGAGATATTTCAAAGCCTGGTTCAAATAAAACTCAAACGACTGACCTTCATATCCAATAACCTTGCTGAGCAGGGTTCTACTGTATTCGGAATCTCTCCATCTTCATCCGGCGGAATCTCTCCTCAGAGTCCATGGTCGTTAATTCCGGTGTCGAGCCCCTACGAGTTAGGGGGAATTTGGCCTCTATATACGGAGGAAAGCCTATTGCGTGAAGAAGTCCAACACGAGTCCAGACATCGTCGCTGTAGTCAAGGACAAGAAATATGCACCTATACCCATAATGTGCAACATAGACGCATCGCCTGGTTTTTTCGTCAAGCAAGCTTTGATGTAGTTCAAAAGCATCGCAAGGGCCGGTTGACAGGAATACTTCAGTAGGGTAACCTAAAACCAGGAAGACACCGGCATTATCAACTGAAAATGATGAGCTTTCCAGCGGCGGCGCAAGCAGGCGAAGAACCCGCGGACTATTGGACTCCACTGGTATGCCGTCCATGGATCTGACAAAGTCAAAGAAGCTCAACACCAAACCGTCCTCGAACTCCAAAGACAGAGATTGTAACCTGTTGTCAGGATGCTGTGATTGACTGGTGGACGAGATTCTTAAGCTGTAGTGTTCAACTTCTCCGGACCAGCCGACCCATGACCAAGATGGAAAGCCTAGCCTTCGACGTGGTGTGGATTGTTCTCCAGGAGTAGAGTTCGAATGATACCACATCAAACCATGAACAAACGAAGCTTCCGTTGTGGTCGCTGATTTGCCTGATTGAAATTGGAATGGCACTCCCCAAATCTGACTGATACCGTGGCCCTCTTCGTCAAATCTGCGTATGATGCCAAGAAAAGCATTCAAAGAATCCGACTCGCGCGTCAAATCCCTAAGGGTGTACCGTTTAACCATTGCCAAATATCGACAGACATGGAAGTTGCGCCTCTGTGACAAGGCCGACCTTTGCTGACGGATATCGTACTTTTGCATATCGTTTATGCGGAAATAGCCGGGTCGCAAGATGCTTCTGAACTTCGATTTGTCCTTTAGATGCGCCCGATCTAGATTGATCATAAAGTTCTCACGACAGTGCATGGCGTTACATTCGTAGTACACTTGGTCGTCCGTGAAAACCAGTCGGCGACGACTGAAGACAGCTTCTTGAAGAGTCCAGGCTCTTTGGGACCATCTGGAACACTGTATGGCATTTTGCGGGTCCCTGGTGCTCAAAACTACCTCAAACTCGCCGAGTTGAGCAGCTCGCTGTCCGCCTTGTGTTCTGGCTCGTCCAATCCCCACCAAACCATAGGTGGGATCTTCTCCAGCAGCAGCTATGATAGTTAGCTCTGCATTCTCGTATATAGAGTCCATTTGAACAATCTGGCCATGCTTGACACTTGGGTTGTCTTGGTCTATGCAGAAGTTGTCAACCCATAGGTATTGGAAGCCCACTTTCTTCGTCAAGTTGACTGCGTCGGAGATAGTTGCTGGAAGCAATGAAGGTAATCGAACACTCTTCTGAGTTCCCTCCTCGTGCTGTTCTAACGAAGTAATAGAGGCCGTCGACGATCCCCAGACGTAGCTTAAAGCCACGTATGAGGCCTGAGGAGGAGCTGGTACGATCGTCATGGAGTAGCAATCAATGAGGCGAAGTCCAGAAGTGGGCCCGGTTGTGGCAGAGCACAATCGATCGTGATGGCGTTGACAGTAAGTCAACCAACGGCTCGCTATAGATGGATCGAAGGTTGGTCTGATAGCCCGTGCAACAAATGTATCTGGTCTGGGAGAGTCGCTACGCTGAGCTATGGCGGATTCGTTTTCCTCATTGCTGCTTGATAGCCAAGTGGCTCTTACATTGCTTGCGACATAGCCGTAAGGCGCGACGACTAAGCGCATTGATGTTTGCTGCTCGAGAATGCGGTCCATCTCTGCCGAATTTCCCATGATATCGATTACTTCATCCCCGATAAAGCGACTGAGAATAAGCTCATCATTGCTCGGAAGTTCTGGTTGCTCCGAACCAGATTGCGTGATGCGGAGACGAGATCGAGAAAGTATGTGGCAGAGTGGACAGTCGCTGGCCGACGTTCGTCGATGGTATTGTCCAACGTCTGCAATCTTGATAGCCTTTGGAAACCGCTCATCTGATATGAAACTGGCTCTACTGAGGACTCTCTCTAATTGTAGCTCGGAGCAAGTGTTGCACAAGCTTGCTTGGGGCCGATTGATGTTCGTCCCGTATGCGACCCGACCATCGACTTCCATATTGGTAGACATGATGCCGAAAAAGTTGCCGAGACTCGAATGTCGATAGACAGACTACTGTGGTTTTCCAAAACTATAGCCTGGCGGTGGAGATGGTGTAAATCGTAGCGTGATGTCTTGGCCAGATAAATTCTGCTTGATTTCCTCTCTCCTTGCAGTGAGAGCATTGTTTCTTATGGAGTGGAGGCACGAATGCTTGGCTGGTTGATTCAAGGCAACCAGCTTTGAGGCAACCAATGTTAAGGCAGCCAGTTTCAGGGCGGCCATATTCAAGGCGGAAGGCGCCTAATCAAGCAGTCTTGTTGGCCTGAAAAGAAAGGTGGCGCACACCTGATTGTTGCGTCATATTCTCTCATGTATTTCCAAGAATTCTAGGCACTATTCTTAATGGAACAATTAACATTGTAACAGTTCTTGTCCAACACAGATAGCTATTAACAATGGAGCCCTTTGTACTTCTGACACAGTGCAGCTTGGCACACATACAATTTTATTGTGAATCAAACCACTACTCAAAGTTAAAACATGTCAAACCAGTAAACCACCACCCTCAGGCACTAGGTGGGTTGTCACTTGCTATCCTATAATCCAGTCTTCCATGTCCATATATTTGGCTCTCTGGAACCACGTGTCGGCAATGAAAATAGCTTGATGCGTCGTCCACCCCCGATGAATCTCATCTTCCATGTACTCACTCCCCTTCTCACCAGACCAACGTTCGACAGCTCTCCAGTCTATCAACCACACATAGGCCATGTCGGACTCCCTAAGCCACTCACTTTTCTCCAGGAAGTCAACTGGAACGCGAAGTGGAGCCGTTCTCAGCGGCAACGCGGCCAGAACACGCATGCAAGGCTCGTCAATAACGAGAAAGTCGTAGAGTCTCGGGTTCCATTCGTGCGCCTCGGGTCGACCGCCTACACTAATAACCCACTTCTTAAAGTACTCGCAGAGACTTTTGACATCATCATGGCTGGCATTTTCAAGCCTCGGCTTGTTGAGTGCTTCCTTGTCTTCGAGAGACTCGATACGAAACCGACGGCCAAGTTCCTCGTTTACTGAAGCATCTTTCATTCTGATAAAGTCGCGCACGCCCCTGTCACCCCAGAGGGGAAACCGCGTGCGATGAACATAGTATTGAACCACCCAAAGCTTCAATCTCTCCATTGCAAGGGGGAAGAGCGTGTCGGATTCATCGGTGTAGACGGTGCGGAGGACTTGTTGGTGTCAGCAAACGTCTTTCAATATCGGAAAAAGCCAGCAAGTATGGTGGGATATCCAATGCTGATGGGCAATCTTACCAGTGTACCCCCAGGAGCCTTTCCCATAGGTATTAGGCTCTGCGTTACTGTAAACACTCCGAAGAAGTCGCATGCGCTCACGAGCTTCAGGATCTGTATATGGCTGGATATCTCTTTCAGGGGGAACATCCTCGTAAAGAGCTATAGGAATAGAGAAGATATCACTGATATCGTCAAATAGATCTGTGGGTGCCATGTTGAAAAACCTGACATAGCAATGATGCAGTATGGAAGTTGGTAAATCAGGCAGCAGAGCTCGCGCTCGTACTTATGTTGGTGCCGCAACAGGGGCCTGTAGGGCTTTACCCGCAAGGATTCGTGGACTTGCATGATACCGCGAAACATTGTTAGGCATTTCATGTCAGTTGAAGGAATTGTAAGTCGTAAACCTTGAATTTCATTCTCGCCAAATGCGATACCTGCTGAAACTTTTGAATGGCTTGGCTTGAGATGTGAGGTCACCGAGGGCACGACGTCTGACGGCAAGTGCCCATGAGGTCGACTCCGACAATAGTGCAGTCATTGTGTTAGTCGTTTGATGGCGACCTCTACAGAATTTGATAATCACGGCCTTCTAGATCATGGGTCAACCGGACGACGAAGTTTGCGTTCCCAGTTGAGGACTTCGCCGGCAACAGCAGTCGCTGAACAGGCCCGCGGGGGTTCGACTCATCCGCAACGCCCGCAGCATTAAGGCCAACATAAGATCGGAAATATTACTCCAACCATCGACTATCTCACGTGCGACTTCATCGAACCAGACAGTTAATAACAAGAACTAACGAAATGCCACCAAACATCGACGGATCGTGGGAGAGAACGGGGGCTCCCCCGCACTCAATTAGCAAGGGAGCGGGTCTCGAACGACAGAGACCCCCACGAGACCAATTGGAGTCGTTATCAGTGCACCGTTCATCGATGACGCGATCGCGCGGCGCAAATCCGCCATCAATCAACCTGCCCTTTCCCACGCTTCGGGGAAGAAAACAGCGCAGTCTGCCAATCCGAGTTTTCACAGAAGACGAACACCAATGTAACAGCTCGGTTCTTAACTCGCGGTAATGCATGTGCAAGGGCCCCGGCCCGTCTTGTCGGGTCATCTTTAAAACCTTTTTCAACCCCCATAAAGTGTTTGGTTGAACATACTCTCTAAATTCCAATCCAATGACTATTCGTGAGTCGGCGCTCCTGTAGTGGAACTCTGCGGGGAGAACGACAGGAACCACTGATAAGATCTTATCTCGCCCGCATGTACGGATCCTTCAACTCCTCTCACCGCACCACCATGTCACGATACAGAGCCTACGACAAAGACGATGGCGTCCCCGTCGTCGAGGACGCAGGCGTCCGCGGGACATATCACGAGGATTCCATGTCGGCAGACTTCGCCTCCATCGACCCGGAGAGCGGTGTGAAGCGCGGGTTGAAGACGAGACATCTCAGCATGATGGCCTTGGCGGGCATCATTGGCCCCGGCTTGCTGATCGGCGCGGGCGGTGCGCTTTCCAATGGCGGGCCCGCGTCTTTGCTTATCGGGTTTGGTGTGATTGGCATCATCGCCTTCAGCATCATGCAGAGTCTCGGGGAACTTACGACGCTTTACCCCAGCGGCGGTGCTTTCACGGGGCTGGCCGACCGTTTTGTTGATAAGGCCTTCGGAGTTGCGCTTGGCTGGAATTATTACATCATCTGGATGTGCGTCTTGGCAAACGAATACAATGTGCTGTCGAGCATCTTTGTGTTTTGGAGCGACAAAGTGCCCCTGTGGGGATACTTCCTGATCTTCTGGGTATGCCCGTTCTCTTCTCAGCGTGGGAGACATATCACTGACAGTTTCAGACACTCTTCCTTGGTTTCCAGCTTCTAGGAGTTGAGGCCTTTGGGGAGGCCGAGTTTTGGCTGGCTCTGCTGAAGCTTGTTGGGCTTGTGGCATATTTCCTCTTTTCCATCGTGTGAGTATTGTGAATAATAATATCCCTTCACAGAGGCTTATCAAAATGCAGATATGCTGCTGGCGGTATCCCGGGACAAGAGGCGCTCGGCTTCAAGTATTGGCGCGACCCCGGAGCCTTTGTGGACGGCTTCCGTGGCGTAGCCAAGGTCTTCGTTTTCTGCTCAACCTTCTATGCCGGTGTTGAGTCTGTTGCTGTGGCAGCTACCGAGACGAAAAATCCTCGCGTGGCTGTTCCTCTCGCAATTCGACAGGTCTTCTGGCGCATTATATTCATCTACATGGGATCGGCCTTCTTCTTCGGTCTCACTTGTCCCGCGAATGCCGATGAGCTCGTGAATGGTGGCTCTCGTGCTGTCAAAAGTCCCATGACAGTGGCTCTGCAGAACGCTGGATGGGAAGGAGGTGTCCATTTGATTAACGCCTTCATCTTCGTTACGTGTCTCAGTGCCTGCAACTCAAGTATTTGTAAGTCATCGCATAGCATTTGTTCCGAACCAAGATGCAATTTCTGACTTTCTTATTCTCTAGACATTGGGTCTCGGACGCTGCTCTTCATGGGCCAAGATCGCAAGGCACCCAAGATTTTGGGCAAAACCGACAGTCGAGGAGTGCCCATCCCCGCCATCGTCTTCACGAATCTATGCGGAGCTCTGTCGATGATGAACATCAGCACCGGCGCTAGCAAAGCGTATTCATACATTGTGAACCTGAGCGGTGTCTCAACCTTCTTGGTCTGGGGCTCAATCTCGTTCATTCACATTCGATTCCGTCAGGCATGGAAAGCACAAGGACATGCCGAGAGCTCTTTGCCGTTCATATCCATGTTCTACCCCTGGAACGCCTACTTCGGACTGGCGGCCAACATCTTCCTCGCCATTATCCAGGGATGGACGACTCTGGCGCCTTTCGATGCTGGCTCCTTCGTCGATGCGTACATCTTGCTGCCTCTGTTCCCGCTGATTTACTTTGGGTATAAGTTCGCGTTCAAGACTCATTTCTGGAGGTCGAGTGAGGTTGATCTGCTCTCTGGTCGCCGGAGAGACTTGGACGAGTCGCGAGAAATTGAGACAGGAGAACATGACTTGGATAGACTTCCTTGGTGGAAGCGCCTGCTGAAAAGCTTTTAGACGGCTGATGGCAGGCTTGATTGCTAGAAGACTCAGTCCCTTTCGTTTTCTCTTGTAGAAACTCTGTCACTGTGACACCATTTACAGGCTGTGACTTCTATAGATACCCCGAACAAATCAACACAAAGAAGCTGCGGTTTCCTGCAGCGCTAATGATGATCCAATCGCGCAAAAGTTCAACTATAATCTCATTGTGATGCCTCAAATCGAGCGGTGATAGAGCCGCTCATCACCTCAACTGCCTTGCCCCCGAGATGCAATGCCTCGAGTTTTCTTATTCCATTCTCATCACTTCCGACCTCCGTGTCTATCAGGATATCGCTGTCTCGTCCCATCTCAACTCCCTGGGTGATCTCGAAGGTGATTGACTTGTCTTTCAGCTCATGCAAGCTCAGGTAACTCGCCAACGCGCAAGCCGCACTTCCAGTGGCTGGGTCTTCCATGGATCGTCTGACCATCCTGGTCCTGATCTTATAGACAGCTCTACCATTGAGATTCTCAGCGGCGATGCGGATGAAGTAATACCGCCGCGTGACCCAGCCGGCGTTCCAACCATCATCGAGGAGTTCCTTGGGAAGTTCTGGCATCGCGCCGAATTGCACTGCTCCTAGAGCTTCCAGAGAGGGTAGCTCAATCAGAGCAAAGGCCATTCCGTTGACGATGCTAAACAGAGGAGAACCACCTTCCGCCTTTGCAACCTCGGCCTGTGATACCGGGAACGATGCGGGATCTGGGACTGGCAGACGATTCTGGTGTAGGCGGACATTGTACGGAATGGCCGCCCTGAGAGCCCTGTTTGCCATTGGTTCAATCGTGATGGGCCCTGCCTTTGCGATTAGAGTTCGCACACCGCGCGAGTAAAGAAAGGCAGCTGTTCCAATCGTCGGATGACCAGCAAACGGGATTTCCGCTTCGCGAGTGAAGATATCGAAGCGCCGTTCACTAGTCGTCGCAGGGTCGGCAACATCGTGCACGAAAGTGGTTTCCGATAGGTTGAACTCTCGTGCAATGGCCTGCTTCTGATCTTGAGACAGATTGACGCCGACTGGGATCGTCACTACTGCCAAAGGATTGCCCTTAAAGGGTGTTTGGGTGAAAACATCGAGCGTGGTAAAGGGTAGTGTCGTCATCGTGATCGCTGAGTAAAGAGGCAGGCCGATTTGAAGCAAGTGTTGAAATGAGGTAGAAATCAACTTGGTGAAGAGGCACGGGGCATGAAAGATGAGCTTTCATCAAAATGATATCTTCAGTGACTCATCCTGCAAAAGGCTTCGATGTGTCAGCCGGAAAATATCATGAGCGCGGTTCCGAGAGTCGGAGCGAAAGTGGCAGCGAAAATCGGAGCAACATTTGAACAATATCGATATACTCATTGAGGGAGGGACTGGTCGGATAGCTTCAATACTCGGAGTATGCGGTAAGATGTTGTGCATCGCGAGATTGAAAAGTCTATCAGTCGATATTAACATCCATCACAAATGACAAGTTTGACTAAGCACATCTGCAGATTTCAAGTTTTATCCCGGAAATAAATCCAAAGTTCCAAATATCGTGCTCACCTCTCCGCTGCGCCCTTCATTGACATCTCCACGGTCGTCACTTAGAGGATTGATAGGTCCATCAGTCCAATCAAGTTGCGTCATGGCAGACGACATGTCCTACGCCCTTCGAGAAAACTCCGATTTAAAAGCATTAAATATTTCGCGGAAACGTGTGGATAGCTCGATCATAACTTAACTCTCAAAATCCTCAATTGCCTCGACCGAGTTGAAACATTGCCTTTAGTCGCGTCTTCATCACGAAACAAAAACTCACCTCTTTCAAATGTCTGCACCGTACGAGGGGAGCTGTCTCTGCGGCGCGGTCCGCATCTCTGCCTCGGCAGAACCAGTCGGTGTGGTCTCATGTTTCTGTGACCATTGCAGTAAGGGATCCGGTGGATTCAGCCAGACGGTAAGAAAGTTTTCAAGACATCGTGACCTATAAAGAATTGCTGACAAGCATATCATCGCAGATTGCTAGATTCAAGGTGGAAGACGTAAAAGTCACATCCGATGATGGGGCCATCAAAGAACACGAGTTTACCGACACTTCAAGTGGTAATCCCAAGTTGAAAACCTTCTGCGGCACGTGTGGTTGTCCGCTTTGGACAGTTCCTGCGGCAGCAAAAGGAGTGCTTCTTCTGATTCGTACAATCTTGTTCGAGAATGGGTAAGTCTTCGGGGTTCACTGGAGCCCTGGGTAATATCACTGACAAACAACTTCGATTAGATCTTCGCTGAAGCCGGGAGACGAGGTCTTCACAAAGAATCGCCCTGAGTGGTTGCAGCCTGCGGCAGGAGCGTCTCAGTGGCATAAACTGAAGCAATGATACGATTCTGCTTCTATAAATTATCACAAATAAGTTCATATTTAGCAGTACAATTGGGAATTTAGGAATCAGTCTTATTGGCAGAGGACATAATCTGAGTACCAATGGAGCTCTTATGCTGTCAACTAAATGTGTGTTTCACATGAAGACATCTTGATTTGCGTCACCAAAGTTTGAGTATGGTTCATAAACCTATCAAACATGAAATTAGTGAAACGGAATATAGAGAGAAGCCATGAACTTTCCTTCGTTTCATAGGAACTCGTCCGACTTGTCGTGCTGAGGCTCAGTTACATATAAATGCAAGACTGATTCGCAAGAATAGATAAGCGGAAGTTCGAAGTGTCTCTTCACTCAAAACTTTCCAAACCAACCAGGCAGTTTCAAGCACATGAGGAAAGGCTTCTCATGTTCTGAGTAACGGGTCGTGATCCCATCTTTCAAAAAATTAGAAAGAATTAATCACAATACTCATAAGCACTGCAAAAGGCTTGTGGCGTTGAAACCGGAGGTCAATTATTGTATTCTAGACCTAATCCGATCCATCTTTGACCCACGACACCCTGACCATCATATGAACTACCTGCATCCAATGGGACATAACTCATGATCAAGCTAGACCGGTGCTAACCACCCAGCTTACATCAGCGTTGAATGAGTTGGCAGCATCAAAAGTGTGAACGCCACCGTTGCTCGCAACATAACCAACGTTTGTGTAATGGCGAATGTAGCGAGTGGGGTAGCCCCAAGCTCGGATAGAGCTGCCTTGGCCACTGAGACCTGCCTGGGCGCAGAAAGTCGCGTCTTCCTTGAACAGCTTTGAGTTGTCGTTGGCACCTACGACGAGCTCAAAGTTGGAGTGACGGATGTAGCTCCCCGGGGTATCCTTGGACTCAAAGGAGTAGCAAGCACTGTTACCAAGGCCGGTGCGGACTGTCCAGCTGGCCTGTTGCTTGAGAGCGGTTGCGCTGGATGAGGATACGACCTGGGTGTTGACAGTAGAGCCGGTGTGCGCGAGGTATCGGTCGGTGTAGCCAGAAGTGGTGGCCCGGAGAGAGACGGAGGAACCAACGGTAAGAGATGTGCTCAATGCCGTGACGGCGTACTTTGCGGCTACGATGTTGGCTTGCACTGAGTTCTCGGTGGCGTCGGAGGGATATCCAGATGTCATGACTCCCTCGTAGAAGGTACCCTGGGCACTGACACTGTTGTCACCACCGATGCCAAGGATGATGGCGCCCTCCTTGCTCATGGGGTTGTAGCCAGACTTGTTCGGGCGCACGCCGTTGTAGAAAGTTGACAGCGAACCAGATGCGGCATTCGCGCCCTTCATGGCCCAAAGGTTTGGCCCTCCCTTGAGAGTGGCGGTGGTGAAGCGGTAGTTGATAGATGGGTCACCCGCGTTGTTGGTGGGACTAACTCCAGAAAACAAGCCGTTCTCCAGATCAGCCATGATCCAAGGACCACTGCCGGCCCCAGTACCCCAGGCAGAGTTGTCACCGAAGTAGATGGCCTCCATGTGACCGTTACCCGTGTCGAGGCTGTTCGTCTCTGCGTTGCCGTAGTCGAAGCAGCAACCTCCGTTGTAGTGAGTTCCATCAATGACAGCGTACATGCCCTCCGCAGCATCGCCCTTGGCCGAGCCGCTGACGGCGTTGTTGCGGTAACCCGTGCCAGGCGAAACGAAGACACCGTACGCCTTCTGGCCGTTCAAAGTGACCGGTGCGCCAATGGCGCTGGCAAGGTTGTCGTAGCCATTGGCCTCTGGGCCTTGGAAGCCACCGGGAGGGGCTTGAGTGAGGTGGTTGCCACGCCCGGACTGATCGTAGATGATTGTGATGAGACAAGTCGTAGAGGCACAGAAAGTGTCTTGGGCAGCGGCATTGGCGACACCACCGGCGGATAGTGGCGCGATGTTCGTCGTGGCACCGTCGGATCCACGCTTCACTTGGTACAGCGAGCCGGTGAAGGCACTGTACAAAGCACGAGTTGTGCTGTGCGCCGCGATACAAGGCGTTCCACCAGAGGCGTAGATATCACAGGGTCCCGCGGCAACGAGGTGAACGGAGCCGGTGGCGACGAGACCCAGGGCAAGAACCCAGATACGCTCGAAGCTTGGTCGTGAGAACATCTTAATCTCTTGGTGATACTGAGAGGTAAGGTGGGACGCAAACACCTATGAGATCTCGGATGTCGAACTCAATGACATCTATCAAACGAAAAGCTCCGAACCCTTGGGCTTTTAAGCCTCGAGACGTCCGATCAATCCATCTTCGCATTCTCTTCTGGTTGGGCCGCTTGAGAAAGAGAGAGGCTCTTCCGCAGGGTCGTCGATGATTGAACCGCTTGAAGTGAGTGACCCGTCATGTTAGCTTTCAACTTCATCCAAACTGTTAAACGTCCGTTGTTCGGATTGTGGGTGGCTCGAGCCACTAATGTGCCAAGAATTTCCTCCAATAATTAAAGGCAAAGAAGCTTTTGTATTGCAACCTTCCCATCCGGTGCTACATATCCGCTTGAACGCGCAATAGTGTGTCCCTTTGAAGATGGACTTTGTGCGGTAGAGTGACCTCCAGGATGGCCGAAATGGCTTAGGGTGCGGGGTTGGGTTGGGCAGCGGAAGACCGGCACAGCAGGTCGTATTTTAATAGATCACGAGATGATGCGACAGTGGTATGTAGCTCGGACAATCCGAGCACAGCAGTCAGCATACCGAACTTTACCATGTGACAAAAACCATCCTACATCTCAAGTCTGGAGAGACGGCACGGGCTTCAGCAATGGATTCCAATCTTACCAGGCCTTACAATCCTAATCCTTTGCGGCCGTTGAAGATTTCCGTGTAAAGAAGTAGAGCGAATGTGGTGAGCGTAAGAAAGAGAAAACAGCGGCGAGTGCGGGGGCTGCGATGTGAGTCTGGACCCCAGACCCCAGATTCCAAACCCCAGCCGCCTCACACGTGGAGAACAGGATTTGACTTGGCGGCATGAGAATGACGTACTCTAGCTGTCTTCCGCGAAAACCCATTGGCGCGGTAGAGAATATGCCATTAGTCGTGTGCCTAAACTAAAGAAACACAAGAAGCTACTTAGCGTCCGATGAGATGCCGAGACGGGCACTAAAATTCGTTGTCGCCAAGTCAAAGCTTGATTTGGGGAGATCGACTTGAACTCGAAGTCAGTTACAGTTACTTCAGCAGAGCCCCCACAGAAAACAAACAGACGAGTTGTTGTTGTCTGAATTTCCGTCCCGGAGATGCCAATGAGGGGTATCCCTGGATATTGATGATCCATGTTCATCCCAAGTATTAGGGTTGGCTTGATAGCAGAAACCTTGAGAGTGAAAGGTTTCCCATTATTAGTACACTTTTGCGTGGTTGGTCTTTTCCTTGCAACTGGCATCTCAATTGCCACTCCACGGCTGCTGTCCTCGTTACGTTACCTCTTTTGCTATCCTGATTTCCTCTCGGGCTATTGCTATCCTCATTCTCTCTAACATTGCCCTTTCTATCCGTGATTAACCATTCAATTATTCAACTAGGGAATATAATAGTGGTTGTCGAGTATTCCAGTATGATGTCTATTCTTGCCTGTGTGATTTCGGGTTTCTCTATTAAATCATGTTTCCACAATCCCAAACCGTTGAATATTCAAGCACATCACCACATAACATGCACGTCGAAAGAAATCTTCAAAATTAGATCCATTGAAATTATGTTGAGTACCATCAGTTTACAACAATACGAACATAAATGTAGTGGTGATATGATACCACCACCACCACCATCTTCGGCGAAGAGAAAGACCGTGTGACTTCAAAACTACATTCAATTCATCACATAAGCGTAAACGAATTTTAATCTGAATATTGTACATCGGAGTTTGTGTGTCGTTCACGATCTTTGTGAAAATGAAACGCCTTCTTCAACGCTTCTTCAAAGGTTGCCCATGTGGCGGGATCATGCTCCTTAGGAAAGCACCGGAAATGCTCCAGAACCACACCAAAAGCCTCGCTATCAGGTTCGTCGCCAGTTGAAATGCTTTCGGTTCCAAGGTAGTCTTTCACATCTTTCAAGAATTGCCTTCTTCCAACATCTGAGTCAGATGCAAGGAACCTTCTGATATCTCGGCTTCCCACTGTTTCATAAACAAAAGAGGAGACTGGGAGATCATCATGGTCTGTTATCTGAAGACCTTCAGCGAGTCTCGACTGAAATATGTGGGAGACGATGCGTTTGTGTTCCTTCAGGTGGAATATGACCCGATGATAGAGCTGGAAAGGATTAATCGTGTAGTCGGTTGACAGCCTGTCTCCCTCTTCGCTTTCCGTCAAGCCCAGCAATCCATAGACTCTGTCCCGAGGATCTGAGCATTGGTAGTCTTTGCAGAAGGCCAACAGTCGAGCCAATGTTGGTCTCGCTCCAAACGATGGATCACCGTCCGTGAATGATGGTTGTTTTGACCCGGTTTGCCACGACCTCCGGAGGTTGGATAGCTCTCTACAGCTATTCACATGCTTGTCGATAGTGTGGTGATTTTCTTGTTTCGACAAATGTTTGAAGCCCAGGTTGGATTTATTCGAGACGCCGAAGGGTCGGAATTGCTCTAGTGTGGGCCATGATATTGCATCTGACCCGCATAGAATGTAGAGCTCTCGCGGCAAGGTGAACTCTTGCACTATCCATATTCTTGACCAGTAAGGACGAGATACCAGCCACTGAGCATCTTTGAACGTGAAACGCCGTTTAGATCTTCTCAAGTATTCAGCCCTCTGTTGTCTTGAATAGCGTTTCAGATGATGCAAATACTGAAATAGCTCTGGAACATTGCCGTCCGACTCGCCGATCCACGAAATGACAAAGCTCGCAGTAGAGAATATATCTTTCATGAGGTCGACTTGGTATCCCCTCTCAGACACATCCTCTTGATTGATGGAGATCGCATCAATCCAGAAGTATTTTGGGAACTTATTTCGAGAATTCCGTTGTTTGACAATGCAGTTGTCCTCGTCTTCGGCGATCTTGGAGAGTTGCTGAAGTGCTTGCCACAGATTCTCACGGACTCGAAGCTTTGTGTTGTTGACCGAAATCTCGTAAGTTGGGCTTGGATAACCCCAGACGTAGGATATTCCTATGAACGGAGGAGGATGGTTCAGCGAATGGGTCGTTAAGGTGCACTTGATGGGGCCCTCGTCTCGGCGCGGCAAGAACTTGAGTAGCCTGGTGCATCGAGTTTCTCGATTCAGGGGAGAGTAAAGAGTTTCTGAGGACATGGGATTTTCGCTGGTTGCAGCAACTGGAGAGCGGCAATTGATGCTGCGTGGAAACTGAAGTCAAACGATCACGATTCGATTCGCTTCACAGGAGGGGTCCGCTGCTTATTAACATGCTGTGCGTTAGACTGGCCTAGCAGCACGCTTATGCACGGTAGTGGATATTGAATGTGGTCGATCACTGTTTCTTGGAGACCAAGGCTATTTCATTCGGCTAATATGACGCACACCGCGCTTCTCACCGATCCATTGATGTAGTCCCATTGACCAATGAAGCTGCCTTCCTTCCCATACACCTGATTCTCAACATCTCCTCAAATACCCTCTAAGATGAGTTCCAGTAGGTCATATCAACCCAAGAGGTGTAGCCTGGAAGGATGGAGTCGATAGAGACGGGGCTGGAGAGCTTCTTCGCCCAGCTGACCCGGGTTCCGCTTGCGCCAGTACCAGTGTTGCCGTACTCCGCGTAGTACACGTTGCCGGTCGGGTTCGTTCCCCAAGCAGACCATCCGACCGGCTTGACAACGTTGCTGAGGTCGGAGTTCTGGACAACGACGCGAGCGTACTCCCTCCAAGGACGGCCTAGGACGGTTGACTCCTTGGCGACACCGGAGCCAGACTTGGCCGCGATCTTGGCCTTGTTGAGGACGTACCAGTAGGCATCGGCACTGTCGCGTCCACTGGCAGTGATGTAGCCAGCGCCGTTAATCGCAATGGTGCACTTCTCGAACCACGCGTTTCCGTCGTTGCCGAAGATGAAGTCTGTCGCGCCCTCGATGTAGCTGTTCTTGTAGACTTGGTGCGGCTTGTTGGTGTAGATGGTGTCCTGGTAGCCAACAAAGCTGCAGCCATAGTAGGCTTGGTATTGACCGTTGGCAGAGATTGCCAGAGCCTGAGAGCCCTTTCCGTAGCCGTTGATCAGATTGACGTTGTAAAGGCTGAAGTAGTTGGTGGCGACACGGAGGGTGGCTGAGAGGTCGTTGCTTCCGGCATCGGCAGCGGAAAGGGTGTTAGTCAAAGTGACTTGGTTTTGAGTGTAGTCCTGGTCGTTGTTCGTGTAGGCATATATCACCAGCTTGCCCTTGAGGCTGGGAATTGAGACTTGGCCAGAGTAAGTTCCGGGCTGGATGAAGATGGTGAAAGTCGCCGTGGAGCTTGTAGAGATCGAGTTGATGGCAGCTTGAAGCTGTGAAGGAAAGATGCATTAGTGACACGAGACAAGATACGCTCAAAACCTTTCAGCGAGTAGGATTTACTTACAGAAGTGTATTGGCCTCCGGACTTGGCAACCACAATCGAGCCCGATGGTGGTGACGTGCGGGATGCCGCTAGAACGTTGCTGGCCAGAATGGCTAACGACGAGAGAACGCCAAGAAACTTCATGATGATGGTCAATGCGATAGTGTGCACAAGAGTCTTGGTTAAGGTACTGGTCAAGACCTGAGTGACTTAGTTGCGATGCCTCTTTTATGGACCAGAATGATGCCTCGCCACATCGCCCTTCGACTTGGCGTCCTTGATTGCAGGAGCATATCTAGATTACACAAAGCTTGGCTGCATTCAGCTCCGAAAGACTTACCCCGAGTTTCACCGCTCAATCTGAGCTGGATAAATGCTTTTTTAAAGGGATGGCAACGCAATCAACATCAGGCGGGGTACGGAGGGAAGAGAAGAGGTGGACTAAAATTGTCCGTCTGATCCCACCCTGCCCCTCACACCAGCATGCATCATCTCCCGGCATTGACAGCTACCCCGAATACGGTACTGTCGAATAATCCCGTCCACACGATGCAGCTGAGAGCTATCCGCTGATAAAGGAACTTAAAATCGACGTCGCATTCCCGGGGTGGTTAGTTTATGTCCCAGACCCTGTGACATATTTGATCATCATTCACCATTCTAAGAGGGCATTGGGCCTTGGACTAGATTCAACCGACGACATTATTTCCCTTTGGAGTGACTAGAAGGCAAATGAATTCAGCCGGAATGATCTGAGGGGCAACTCACTGAGGCCAGCCAGGGTAACATCTCTAACGACGGATGCACGATCTGTTCAAATACCGGGACACCATCGAGTTTCCAGTACCATGGTTAGCCTATATCCGTTTTGAGATCAACCTAGCGTGGCGGCAATTTGTCTTGGAGCCAACCCATCTTCACCCACTGTCCCTGCAAGAGACCAATGGGATATCCATAGGTAAAACTCATGCGGGCAAACAACGTTATTCCAATTCAACGAGCGACGACGCAAGTATGTACACTGAGAAAGCTTCCAAGAATAATCCTTCCTTTCCAACTATCAAAGTCCGACCGGTGCGCTCCGGGATATACCCCTAGTTTCCCCGTGGTGTCATCAATCAAGAGCAAACAGCAGCCTTGGGGCCAGCATTAGCCTTGACATAGGCAGGAACATCAGCAGTTGGCGTGAGAGTGTAAGAGTAGCCTGGCGTGAAACCGGTGCCAGAGTTTGAAGCAATGGTACCCGTGCAGCTCTTGTAGGTGTTACCCGACGCATTAAGCACGGCGCCAGAGTCCTTAGTGAGCGGGTTCTTGGTGTTCTCGAAGAAGACGTTCTCAACCTTGGCATTGGTGCTGCCTCGAGCGTAGTGGCCGTATGAGGTGATGCCGTACAGGTAGTTGTTGTAAAGGTGAACCTGGGCAAGGTTGTCGGCACTTGGGTTGCGCTGGTTGGTCTTGTCAAACCAGTTGTGGTTGATGGTTCCGCGAGCCGACACGTTCTCAGTCCAGCCGATGCCGAAGTTCTTGTCATGGTTGCGGAAAATGTTGTTGGAAACGGTGAAGTAAGTGGTGTCCTTGCGAAGGTCCACGAGACCATCGCCACCGTTTTCGAAATGGCAGTGATCGATCCAGATGTTACTCACGGTGTCGGCCTGCACGCCATCACGGTCGTTTTCGACGCCGTCGCCGAGGTTGGTGTTGCCGATCTTCAGGTTGCGAATGATAACATTCTTGACCCCATTAAGACCCAAACCACCTGTTCAATCATACTTTTAGTAACTGTCTCATGAAGAGATATTTTCCACTCTCACCTTGGTAAAGCTCTCCAGAGGTTCCGACGCCAATGACCGTCTTGTCACTGGCGACCTTGATCTCCTTGCCGTAAGGCGTGATAGTGATACGTCCGCTGACCTTAATCACATACTTGCCAGAGGCACTGGCGTACTTTTCAAGGTCGGCCTGAGTCGTAACCGTCACGGTAGTGCCACCTGCACCGCCAGTCGTTCCGCCGTTGAGAGAAGCAAAACCTGGGGCAGAAGCGGTGCACCCATTCTGCCTCTCAACGATGGCACCGTAGGCAGTGGAAATGACCTGAAGGCCAGTGAGAACAACGGTAGTGAACTTCATGATGTTGATTGATTCAATGAGTCTGAATTAGTAGTTGAATATGGAATCTCGAAGTGTTGATAAGCAACTTCGTGGTGCATTTAACTTGAATTTAAGAATCGATCTCTCGGGGCGCGATACAGGAGTCGCTACCCCTGTCATACTGTCATCGGCCTCTTAATGAGATCTTCGCATGCATGCTTTTAGGCTAATAGTTGTTTGAAATATGAACATCGCCAAGGATGAAGGAGAAGAAGAACATCGTTTCTCTTCTTGCCAATTCAGCCCTGGCCACCTCGTCAGTACTCCATGCACATTTTCAGTTCCAGCCTTTACGCAGAGGAGTTCACGGCCAAATAAAGTGCCAAGACTTACACCAGATTTCAGGAGGGGTTAGTTGATCTCGAGTGTCGAATAAGCTGCGACTGTTGTCATGTCGTATCGGGCTGAGAGGACACCCAAAAACCCACCAGTGGAATGGTAACGGTTCCCCGCATCGTTGATGTGACATGGCATCACGCAAAGTCCCGCCAATAGGTTTTAAGCTCCCTCTGACTATTGTCTCTTTTGGGGAAGCTGATCGTCAATATCAGACATGACATCCCGATGAATGAAGTAATGAGATACGCCGATGTCTCATTCTAGGCTAGCACTATTTTCCCTAGCGCATAGTCCTCTTATGTTTATTTAGAAGTTCACTCATTATTTTGGGGTTTGTCTGGGATATCATCGTATTCGCATCTACTCGTGAATGGTTCTAAAGCAATCTATCCACGCGGAGTCCTCCGCCAAGTGCTTCTGATCCATCAGACGTGAGCTAATGTCTACAGTCTAGTCTAATTCGTAAGTCGTGGTCAAAAGTCTAAGCCATCAGAGCAACCTCAAACAGCAGCAGCTACATGTAGATCTCAACAAGATGCTCAGACGCCCGATTTCTCTTCTGGACTCTGTTTGGCACGGGTAAAGCGAATGCCTAACAAGCAAGCAAACCCAGCCAACGCCATCGCGCCGGCATAATACGCCGCAGGCCGGAATGCCTCAATATCGTCCGCCCGACCCGAAAGCGAGTACAACCCGGAGGCGATTGGAGTTCCCTGTTGTTGATCAGCACAAGTGATATAACATGGTTACGTCAATAATACTTACGAAAAAGAAGCCACAAAACCAAGTTGTCCAGACGACAGGAATTATACTCAGTGTATTCTCGCCTCCAAACGTCGAGCTGACAACAATCGGAGTCAAGCTGAAAAAGGCACCACAGCCGATGCCGTTGAAGATGAGGTAGACTGAGAAGATCCCAATCGAAGACGACAGCGGCCAGACGACAAGGGAGCTGAGAGCCATGAGGAGCATACAGATTGCGAGACTCTCAACCGGGCCAAGGACGGAGTCCGCCACCCAACCAGCGACGACACGCCCAAATGTCGAGGCCAGGTTCCACGCAGCCAGGATGATGACGCCAATCTCCTTCGAGTACCCCATTGACCGAGAAAAGATCGGAATAAAGTAGGGTGGGATGAATAGGGGAAAGCATGCCAAGACTGTTCCGGCGACGAGCATGAGGAATCTTGGCTCCTTGAAGCGGTACCTGACATGGTCAGTGATGCGCCAAGGGTTTAATTGTATCCATAATTGACGGTAGAACTTACCACTGCAGCTGACGAGACCCTTTATTGGCCATCTTGTTCCTCCTCGGAAGGAAGTACGATGCCGGAATGGACACACCCCAGAGAATAAAGCCCAGAATGCGGAACGTCCAGGCAACGTCCAAGTCCTTCACGAGGTAATTTGTGACGACACTCATGATAGCGGATCCAAGACTTCCGCCACCGAAGACGAAGCCCATTGCTAAAGCTTTGTGTTTCTTAAAGAGGCTCATTGGGGCGGTTGAGACGGACTAGGAGAAGGAGGATGGATGTTAGTGTACGAGCTTAGGCGTGTCGATGATCATCTGCATCTGCAACACGGAGAAATACTTACAAAGATACACAGGCCGCCACCAAGACCGAACAGGAGACCGTGAAGGAAGAAGAGAGCAATAACATGGTGCGTCAAGAAGCTCGCAAGCACTTCTCCAAGACCCATGAAGAAGCCCCCAATCAATGCCGTCAACCTGTATCCAATCCTGCAGACAATCTTGTCCGATACGATACTGAAGCAAATCATAAACGATGTCGCCATAGATCCGACAAACGTCAAGGTTGTCAGACTTGATGAGGTCGTTTCGACAAGTCTAACTTGCATGATGCCCCAGGAGTAGATAACTCCCAAGTAGACAAACATTGTCAAAGAAGAAGCCACCACTGTTATCCATGCTTTTCGGTCGTCGTATGTCGGTTCGGGATACGGAGCTATCTCCGGTGTTGGCGGCATAGTTGTTGAGTTGTCGGTATCGGTGTCGTGTACATCTTGTGCAAGACGAGCTCCGGCGTCAGGGCCGACGAAATTGTCAGACCTTTTCTCGACGTCCATGTTGGAAATCTACTGAGTAGAAAACATTTGAAGTGGAAGCGTTCATCTAGAGCTGAAATCTTCTCTGAAATTCACGCAATAGATAAGAAGCCTGTTACCATCGTATGTTGTAAGTCGGCTCTCGGCTATCGGGTTTGGGTCAAAACCGATAGCACGATTTTTTCTTCTTCCGGTCTCCATCGCTCGTCACTTTCGCCAGTTCGTACGACTCGTAAACTTGTGGGACTTATCTCTATTAATCCTCCGAAGATTCTGGCGTCGTCTTTGACTGGACCTCCGGGACCACGCCGTGACCGGGTCGTTGATCCCGAGTTGTCGGCTTTGAACATGACTCCGTGGAGTATGGCTTTGACTCATTAATAAAGAGTCTTCTTCCCTCGTTCTGACCAGCATTGGATCTACATATCACATTTTTAAGCACCTGCATTGCAATCATGGCTCCTGCGCGAAACGATGAGTTGTTCACGCCAACCAATGGCGTCCAAGAGCCAGCATTGCCCATCAAGTCTAAGTCCGCCGAGGGCAGGCTGATGCACCGCTCTCTAGTGCAGCACCCATCAATGGTCGAATCGGCAAGCGGGATCTACTTGAATCTCGCCAACGGCAAGAAGGTCATCGATGCTTGTGGTGGTGCCGCCGTAGCCTTGATCGGCCACGGCAACGAGGAAGTCATCCAAGCCATCACCGAACAAGCCCGGAAAGTCAGCTACGTCCACACGCAAGCATATACCACCCAACCCGCCGAGGAGCTCGCGAATCTCATACTCGACGGCAATCCCCACGGCCTCGAAAAGGCCTTCTTCGTTTGCAGCGGAAGTGAAGCCGTGGAGTCGGCGCTGAAGCTGGCACGTCAGTACCACTACGAGAAGGGAGAGCCCCAGAGATTGCATCTCATCGCTAGACGTCAGGCTTATCACGGCAACACCATGGCCACCATGTCTGTCTCGAGTGTTGCTGCGCGAAAGGTCCCTTACGACGGCTTCTGTTACCCCAACGTATCATATGTCTCGCCCGCCTACGCCTATCAATACCAACGATCAGACGAGAGCGAGGCAGACTTCACGGCCAGACTGCTCGCTGAAATTGAAGCAGAGTTCCAAAGTGTGGGCCCTGAGAAGGTCATTGGCTTTGTCGCCGAGACAATGGTCGGCGCCACCGCAGGTTGTGTGGCTCCTCCTGCTGGTTATCTCAAGGGTGTGCGGGAGATCTGTGATAAGTACGGCGCCCTTCTCATCCTGGACGAGGTCATGTGCGGCACTGGCAGGACCGGCACCTTCTTCGCATTCGAGCAGGAGGGTATCGTCCCCGACATCACAACGATCGCGAAGGGTCTCGGTGGTGGCTACGGTCCCATCGCCGGAGTTCTCATGCACGAGAAAGTGGTCACCGTCCTGAGGCGGGGATCAAAGGCGTTCAACCACGGCCACACCTACCAGGCGCATCCCATCGCTTGCGCTGCCGCTCTTGTGGTTCAGAAAATTGTCAAGCGGGAAAACCTCGTTGAGCGTTGTGCGCAACTAGGCAAGACACTGGAGAACCTGCTTCGCGCTGAGCTCAAAGACTGCAAGTCTGTTGGCAACATTCGTGGGCGCGGCTTGTTCTGGGCAGTAGAGTTTGTTAGAGATCGAGAAACCAAGGCCACGTTTAACCCGACGCAGCGCTTCGGTCTTCGGATCCAAGAGCGGGCTTTCGAGAATGGTGTTGCGTTGTACCCTGGCGCAGGAACCGTGGATGGAAAGAGAGGAGACCATGTGTTGTTGGCGCCGCCTTTTACCACGACTGAAGAGCAGCTGAAGCAAATCTGTCAAGTATTTAGGGAAGCAGTGGAAGAAATTGAGGCGGAAACAGAGTGGTGATGATGGGAAACTGAAGCAGAGGAATGGGCTCACGCTCCTGTGTAGTTGCGACTTGGAGGCGTTTTAATGATAAAAGCTTTTCATATTCATTTACAAATCAGGTCAAGGTGAAGATCTCTGAAGTATTCACCTCTTCCAACATCGACCACCAGTTCGGCCATAGACCCTGGTCGTCCATGTTGCCGCTAGGGTCTATCAAAGCCTGAGCGCTAAATCCAACGGTGTTTTGCTGTTCCTTTTCAACCAAGCTGTCTGCCTCGGCGGTGCTGATCGAACTTCGCTCGGCATTGTTGATTTCTTCGAGATGCTGCGCGGATCTATCGACGACACGGAACTCGTGGACGGACTGATGAAGCACATTGAAGTTGAACCGTGATAGGCCACGGTATCTGTGATTATTTGAGATGACCCGCTGGTACATCAATGATCCGCTTTGAATCGTTTTGAGCTGAATGGCGTCAGTATTCAGATCACTTCTAATCCTGAAGATACCGTGTCAAACTTACCCATCCGTCGCCTAGATCCCAAACTTCCCGGAAACGTTTGAGATATTCAATGCTCGTGTTCATCAGCTCTTCGGCTCTCGGAGCATATCCGCACGTGATCCGAGGGAAGCGAAAGCCGTAGAGATTGATGTAGCAGGAGGAGAAGGCGCAGAAGCCCGCGAAAGGGGTCATCACAGCTACTCCGCATTCCGAGGCCTCTTTGAGGATACTTCCCAGATGTTCTGCGGCTCCGAAGAACTCACGGGCACTGTCATCCCACCACCCGGGGGGTGCTTCATCTTCAAGGAGCGGCGGATCAATAGGGCCCTTTGGCGGATCTTCCAGACCAGGTAAGAATGGGAAGTATTCTCGGTGCAGCATCATGATACTACGTTGTGATGTGTCAGTGAACTGACTGATCAATAGGGATGAGTACCTGAAGTGACTAACCTTTGATAGTAAAGCAAATTGAGATAAACAAATGATTCTCCATAGCCCAAGGTTGCATGAGCAGCTACGCTGTTCTCTGGATAGTGTAACCGATGATGTTGCTTGAACCTCCATTCGCTCAGACGCCGTCTCCAGCATGCTACTGGTGATGTGGGAACCCAGGGGCAGTTCTCTGGTAAGCACATTCCGGGCGCTCTTCGGCCATCGTTGAACACAAATGCCATAACGTCAGAATAAATATCAAAGCCATCCGCCATGATCCCAAAGCTTTGGTCAAGATCAAGATAGACCGATGTCTTACTTCCCCCCGGTGTGAGAGTGGTTTCCGCTTCCTCCGTCTGGACCACTGATCCAGACCCAAGAGCGAACTCGGTGGACGTTGGAGGGCGGGGGACGTTCAGTTTGATCATTTCCGGTTTTGGGAGCACTCGCGGGTTGTACGTGCCAGAGCTGACCATGCAATCCATCACAAAGCAAGCCCAGAAAGTCCTGGTCTCAATGGCGGTTGTCAAGTCGTTGAGCTCAGTCCGATGAGGGATCTCCAGGGGAAAGGGAGCGACCCGAGAGCTATGTAGAAGCTGCATCATGCGAATTGCAATTCCTGTTGGGCGTCAGCGATTTGGGACTTCCTGGCAACCAAGGCTAGTGGTTACCACAGTGCATCCAAGCTTTGTGGAACTCTCTAGTGCCCCATTCGAAGAGGGTCAAGATGAGCAATGCCTGGATGACCTTGACGTCTGGCGATTGCAGAATACAAGTTGCCAGCACTTCGGATGCAAACGACGCGTACCGCTCGCTAGGATAGAGAATTTGCGTTCGCAGGCGATCCGAATCTGGGTTCTGCGTCTTCGTCATCGCGAGCACCGTCGCAAGCAGTGCTTTACTTTCCCTTGAGCAGCTCGATCCATAGTCTTGCATGAACGACGATGGATGAATGACCCTCAACTCGGGAAACTTGCGCCAAAAGGCCTCCAGAGCGATGAATACCAAGTCCTTGGGTATGCTCTGGAGATGTCGATCCATCTCAGATCGTCCATCTCGATATTCCGGACCAGCCGACCCCTGGCTTGGTGTCGCTGGGCCTCTGGATTGTGGTGCCGACAAGTGCACCTGCTGCGACTCACCATCATGCTCACACGAGCTTCGCAGCGACGCGTCAAACGCGTCGCTGGTATCTCTCCTGGCCCTTTTGGATGCCCTGCCGGTCGCATTGACCTGCGGTCTCGTCAATTGGCAATCAGTACGGCCCGACTTCTCGCATTTTCCACAGGGCGGGCTGCCGTCGTTGACGCATTTGATCTTCGATCGGCTTTGCGGGGTAGGGGATGCGACATTAGTCTCCAACGTCCGATCAATCCGATAAGCGACGGGGGAACACTCCGAGTGGTGATGCGGACTTACCGGCAAAACTCGCATGAGAGGCTGGAACGCATTGTTCGTTGTCGGCTTTGAGGAAGACGAAAGTGAAAACCGACGACACAGAATAAAATTATCGGCTTACATTTGCCGGGATCGGCTTTGTCATGTGGATCAAACGGCGGTGGATCTGGGCTGTTATCAGACCTTGTTGGCTGTTAGTGTCCGATTCACTCCGATGGAATTGCTTGTCAGGAAAAGGCGTACAGGGCGCGGCAACCCATACTTTCTTAGGAAAACTATCCTCACGGCATCGCAGTATCGAGTGGAGATTCTATCAAGAATTACTCGAGGAAGTATACTGAGCTTCGATTGTTTAAATCGGGTGGACTCTGCTAACGGGTAACGGGCTGTCACCATATGCTCCTCTAGAACGACAAGACATAGCAGCAGAATACAGGGAGTTGATGCATGATGACTTTACAAACAACTCGTTTATTCTTATCTGTCAAGAGCGTGTGGCATGAACATTGACCCAAGAAATTGCCGAATCATTTCGCAAGGGAGACATCAGTAACGGTACCCCAGTCCGACTGCAGTGTGGTAATATGGCTCGTGTTAACCATGATGACGTCCGGGACGCCGGGACGGAGTTGAAACAAAGAATGCCTACTTTCAAGAGCATTTCTCTTGCACCTCCGTGGTCTTAAATGGACGGGGACGAAGCCGAGTGATTTGAAAGACCACGCCGGTGATTGCTTCCGGCGCGGTAAGTGGGACCCGCTTTTAGATTCCCGGCCTCCGCTCCGGCCGGGTGGGACCTTTCCGATGCGGACCCATTCTTCACGAAAATGCAGGTGCAGGCCGCCGTACGTTATGAAGATATGGCGCTCAAGTGATTGCAACTGGAATGTGAACACAGACAGGATAAAATTGGTCGGGGCGACAAAATGTTTCGTCTCAGAGCCAGACCCAGGGCTAGAGGAGACAAAATTACGGATATCCGCCACGGCAGCGGGATCTGTTTGGTTGCTGACATGGACATAGGGGATTCACATCCAATCAGATACGAATTATACGAGATAGAGACAACAAACTATCAGTCATTAAGCTACGTTAGCTGCGAAATATGCTCTCATTTTGGCGTTCGGCTGCAGAGCCCAAAATGGTTTAGTCTCCTTGAAGTTGAACTCTGTCGGGGAGCCTTTGAGGCAGTACGCGATGCTCAGCCTCGGTGGTGGACATATTGAATGGAGCTTCACTACACCGTAGTGCAGCCCATGATTGGCGGCCTGTTCCTAAAGGCCTTCATACAACCATGAGCATCCCGGTCAACTGTCTTTATTTTCAACTATAACCAACCGAATACGATCGACTCACTGAGTCGCAGAGAGATGATCTTTTCTCCTCCGCCTTAAACCCGATGGAGTGTAACTTGCAGCCATTCTTGGCGCTTAGCGTAGTCCTCCGTAACATCCGATGTCATTACCGGTGCAATGCCGTAAGCAGGCTTCTTAGACCATAAGTTGGGGTCACCTGTCGCTTGGTCTAACGAGGTTACATGTTGCCCAACGCCATCTTCTCAAATTCGAAGACTAGTGGTTTTCAACCTCTGCCATGAGAGTCATTATTGTCGGAGCCGGCCTCGGCGGTCTCTGCGCCGCGATTGGTTTCGCGCGGAAGGGTCATGAAGTCCAAGTTCTAGAACAACGTCCCAATCTCGCTCCCACGGGCGGCGCCCTCAACATACGACCCGGTGCCTCAAAGATCCTCATAGGCTGGGGATTATCCAACGACTTGGCAAGCGTCTCCATCGACACTCCGGCCAATGTTCTCCGAAACTTGACGACCGGAGAGGTAGCGACTCGAGCTGTTGCGACCGACATCTCTGATTACCCGGATTGGGGCACCAACCGAGACGTTCTCGTCGAGATCTTCTACCGACAAGCCAAGGAGGCCGGTGCCACCGTTTTGTTCGACGTTGCCGTTACCAAAGTGGAAGAAACCGCACAGGAAGCAGTTGTTAACCTCCGAGACGGGACCCGACTTGTTGCGGACATCGTGCTTGCCGCGGATGGGATCCGTTCGATCATACGAGAGCAGATTCTTCGGGGGACGGGTCGGCCGATTGATCCTATCGTCACCGATGTGACACTCTACGGGGTGCGTCTTACGAAGGAAGAGATGGTGTCTGAGCCTGGGCTGGAGCCTTTGATGGACCAGTCCTATCTCAACGTATACATGGGTGACGACGGCATTGTACACGTGACCAGCAGATACAACAGCACCCTGGGGTCGTATGCTGCGCTCTTCGGCGTCAAGGGTAGTACCGACCAGCGAGGGCTGTGGGATGAGAGGGGCGACATCGAATACGTTCGCAAGATGTTCAAGGGGGCTTGCCCTGAGATCCGCAAGGTGCTCGACGTAGCAAAGACCTGTGACAGATGGCGACTTGCCGAGCTTCCCGACCTACCTCGGTGGACCAGTGAAGGCGGGAGAATTGTACTGCTTGGCGACTCTGCGGTAGGTGGCAGTCACACACTTCGCATGACCATGATTGCTAACGAGTGTTCGCGACAGCATGCGATGCAGCCAAGCGCAGCCCAAGGGTTTTCGCTTATTGTCGAAGATATCGGTGTCTTGGAATACTTGATTTCCAAGTCTCCCAAACCCGCAGCAAACGTACCGGCGATCACTTCCGACTGGCAGAACATCAGAAAGGCCAGATGCGAGCGAATCAAGAAGTGGGCAAGTCACAACACTGAACTATTCACCAGCCCGTCGAAGAAGCTCCCACCGAGCTCGGGTCAATGGCAAGTGAAGTCGCTCAAAAACGTCAAGCCCGATATGAATGCGGAGCTCGGAACCTCAGCTTTTTTGAAATGGGCTCAAGGAACAGACGCAATTGCAGAGGTGAGTTGGAGATCTTGACCCGTTCTGCGGCTCAACATGCACAATGTTGACGATGTTGGTAGGCCGACCGCTATCTACAGACCGAGAGGTCTCGGCTCTGAATACGGAGCTTTCAATTGCTTCATTCCAGCATGGAAGTGGAAGCTCACTCTGTATTAGATGTGATTGCCTCGAACCTATCCAACACGACAATAGTTTATCTGGATCAATGAGAGGGGTACAAGCATGGAAACTCCACCACCGAGAACCCTCAATAAAAGATTCCTACAGAGTATCTATTGTTTATCTATAAAAGAGACAGAAGAAATATCCAAAAATGACAAACTCTTCACAGCGTTTGAATCAACGTTAAAAAATGCGACCGAAACGCCTCGCTATTGACATCGACAGCGACTCGACAATTTGGTATAGGGGGTGATGGTGTCTCCAGTCTGTCCGCGATCATGACGCCGCGCGCTTCACCGTCGCCTGTAATGATCGACACAGCCATGTCTCTGTATTCACAGAGTTCGGGTTTTGACACGACAGCCACAGCCAGGGGGTCGTGCATGGGGATGGAGTCGGTCTTGGGTCTTCCCGGGAACCTGACGGCCTGATAGTCTATGTAGGAGATGGTGGCGTCCCCTGCGAAGGCGGCGAAACTCGACGAAGACTTCTTGAGCTCCAGGGCGTCCGCCATGCTCAGCCGGACCCGCAGCGTGACGTCGAGGCCGATCCAGCGTTGAGGGACGCCGGAGCGTAGCACGGTCCGGGCGGCTTCCGGGTCCGAGAAGACGTTGAACTCGCCCGGTTTGCTGCGGGAGTACATGGTCCCGAGGAACACGCCGCCCATGATGACGAGCTCTTTGATGGCGGATTTGATCCGGGGCTCGAGGAGCAGCGCGATGGCCACGTTGGTGAGAGGCCCGATCGCGACGACGGTTATCTCGCCCGGGTTGGCGAGGATGTGCTCGACAATGGCCACGGGAGCGTAGCCGGCATCCGGAGCACGCGCGTTTCCTTTCTGCGCGAGAACGTGAGGGGCAGGTGTGCGGTGCTGGTCCGGGTGGATGATAGGGGTGGCCGAACCGCGCACGAATGGTGTGTTTTGGATTCCGAGTCGGTTGAGGAGGACGCCGGTCAAGATGGTCGCGCTCTCGACGTCGGTGTTTCCATTTACTGTGGTGACTAGATCAACTTGGACGTCCTTGTCTGCATGCGCCAGGGCGAGGGCGAAGCCATCGTCGACATCGGCACCCGCGCCCATAGACAGGTCGGTGTCGAGTATGATGCGTGTCGGTGCCATTTTGTTGAAGCTAAGAGATGGCGGGAACGGGTACGATGAGATTCCGAGCTTTGAAAGAGGCGCTGGGAACGGCTGGGCCGAAGCCGTACGAATGAAGGTACAAGGTGTTGAGAGTAGGTTGACCCCTCCTTAAGAGTTGCTCCGGCTGCCTGATGGGTTTGTTTCTGTGAGGCTTGTCGGGCTTTTCCGGCCTGGCTTGCTGAACACCTGTGGACCGCGAATATTTCTGGATGGCAAGGCATCCATCTCGAGGGATAACAAGCCATGTATTGGTCGGATAGTGGCCGGTTGTTACGAGTTGTCGGATGCCGGCCGGTTTCTCGAGCCAGCGGGCCCACTCTTCCGGATTTCTCAAGTTAGGTACCCCTGCCGGTATCCCACTCTCCCCGCATACCCACTCGGCGACCGGCCGACTCCGACTTCTGGGGCCAACTCCACGTCACCCCAGACTGGAGAGCAGCAGATCTTTTCAAAGAAGAGGCAGCAATGAGTTAGTTCAGGGGCAAGGGCAATGTAACAGCAAATGGCCCCATGACGCTCAATCTCCGTCTTTGTGATCACTGTTCCCTGCTTAGTCGGAAGCGCGCCGGTCACGGTCTGTCGTATGTCCTGGCCTTTTCTACCGGAGGCGTTCCGCTCCTCAGCTTAAGTTTGGCGCGTCACGGGGGACACTGAACATCGGGTTTGATTTCCAGCCGCCAAGTCTTACCATTCTACCAAGTGCCCAAATCGCAATACCATGGCATGATCAGATTCGAGCAAACCAGATTACAACTAGACATATTTAGCTGGGGCACCCACCTCGGGCGTCGTGCGATTCTTCTCCTGCAAAGGTAGCAACTTCTAGCAAGACACTTTGCCATGGAGCCCACCGACCAGCCCAACGGGAAGGCGAACCCTGCTACCCATCTCGAAGTATCCGACGACAATGGCGACCTTCCAAAGGCCATCGACAAGGCATTGGCCGAGGGCGCCGCGGTCCAGATGCGATCCAAGTTGGACGACCTGCCCATCCTGAAAGCCGTTGGCGTATACTGGCGTATCTCTCTGATATGCATGATGGCGGCGTTCAGTGCCGCGCTCGAAGGCTACCGTATGTATTTTGCTCCTCCCTATCGAGACAAGGGGATCTCAATTTGGCACTAACTTTGAATCGAAGAGCTCGCACTCACGAACTCGATCGTCTCAAACAAGGGATTCATCCGCCAAATGTCTGACGGCGGCACCAAGCTCGATCCTACTCACGTAGCCGTCTGGGGAGGCATGCTCTCGACGGGCCAGTTTGTCGGCGTCGGCCTCCTTCAGCTGGTCACTGACAAGCTGGGTCGCAAGTTGGCTATGCATATCACATGGGCTTCTCTCGTAGTCGTAAGTTGCAAATCTACGTCTTCTGATCCGCGTTTGCTGATTCATCTACAGTCCGTTGCTCTAGAAACTGCTGCGACAAACTGGCTGTACTGGCTCTTCGCCAGACTGGTTGGAGGCGCGGGCCTCGGCATGATGCAAGCAACCTACCCCGTTTACATTTCCGAAAACGCACCTACGCAGATCCGAGGCTTTCTGACCACCTCTTACATGGTGTGAGTGACTCCGGTCTTATATAGTTATCGATGCAGCCGCTGACAGGGCCTAGGTGGTATGTATGTTCACAGATCATGGCGCCATTGGCCTTGCGACAGTTGTCCTTCCAGGATCCATACAACTTCAAGATCCCAATCCTTACGCAGTGGGGCATGTTGGGTGGCATGCTGGTCATCAACCTCTTCTTCCTGCCAGAGAGTCCATGTGAGTCTGAAAGCCCATCAGTATTTATCCCGAAGCTGACCAAAAGTTAGGGTGGCTTGTCCAGAGGGGTATGGTTGACAAGGCAGAAACGGTGCTGGCGAAGACACACAAGGGAGTGCCGGGATATGACGTTAAGACTGAATTGGTGAAATACAGTCCTTTGCTCTGCTTCAGACTCAAGCTAACCTATCTACAGTCAATCATTGTTGCTACAATTGAGCGCGAACGGCAGTTGTCGACCGAGACCACGAATCAATACAAGGAAATATTCCAGGGCGTCAATCTTTGGCGGCTCTTCATTTGCTTCTGGCCTAAGGCGATGCAACAACTCACGGGACAGAGCGTTACCAATAACTACGGAACGTACTTCTGTAAGTTATCTCAGCTTCACGGCAGTCACCTCGTGAGTTGCCGCTGATATTGACTGCAATTAGTCGAGTTGGCCGGTAATGACGACCCCTTCACGGTAACGGTCATCCTAGCGGTCTGTCAGCTTGTGGGGGTTCTCGCAACCTCCTTCTTGTCGGACAGATTCGGGCGACGATGGCTGACACTTGGTCTTTTTGGTTCCGGGGCTATCTCTATCCTCGCCATCGGAATTCTTGGTTCCTTCGATTACCAGACCAAAGAACTGGGCAACGTCCTGGTGAGTGTTTGCGGCTACCATGCCATTCAAGTAGTAACTAAACTTGTCGTAGGTGTTTTGGGCGTGCATCTCCAACTTCGGGGTCATTGGCGGTGCCGGCATTGCATACTCTTACATCGCCGAAATTCCTACGCAACGACTTCGAGCGCGCACTGCTTCTATATCCCTGATGGGGTCATTTGTTCTTGGTATCACTTTCAACTACACGGTCCCGCTTATGCTCAAGGTTTGGAGTGTGAGAACGGGATATTTGTATGTTTCCATCGCTCTTTCCCGGCATAACACGGCGTATCCGATGTCGCTAACTTGACCAGCTTCGGAGCTACGGGTGTCATTTCGTGCGTCGTCGGATACTTCGTCCTCCCCGAGATCACCTGCCGAACCCCTGCCGAGATTGACGAGATGTTCGAAGACAAGATTGCCCCTCGCAAATTCCGGAAGCACGTCACACAGGTCCAGTTATTCCTCGAGGAGACGGAAAACAAGAGGCAGCTATCTACAGAAGGGGCGTAAGAAGGTTCCAAGAAGGATATCGACCTTGGCCCCTTCCGCCGGATCGTGAACTCAAGGAACATAATCAGAGGCCGGAAAGCTGGTAGTTTGATTGGGAGGAGAAACGAGGAACTTTGGCCGGTAGTTAGAGACGGTTAAACATCATATCTCTCATTTTGAACAAAGAAAACAAGATAGCATACACAACTGAAGACAACTGAATCAGAATCATATTTTCCAGGCCTTATATCTTGACTTCAAGCTGTTGTTCCGTTGATGGTGCTGTATGTGCCGCTCAGGGTGCCAACTGTCCCTCGTGCTTCCCACCGAGTCTCAAGATACGACCCGCCCAGTCCAGACCAACATAATCACATTGCATTCTTGGGGGAATCCTAATTGTTCTTTACTTCTTCTGACCTCTGACCGAAGATCTTCCGACTGTGGGGGTGGGGTGTCATGCAACCATAAGCGTGGTGCGGAGGAATCCGACCCACCGGCAGTTTGAGATTTCCCCGGTCAACACTGACATCGCATCACATCGCGCTGCCCGACTGTCTGATGTCGCACAACACCCGGTTGCTCTTCATGCAGGTCGGGCCCAACCAAGCACAGGTTACCTATCCATGACGGCCCCAGACATGACGGGTTCGCCCCATCAACGCCGACGAAGACGACACTCTCCGTCGCCGACAAGGGGAAGTCGGGACCGCTCCGCCTCACCGGTTCGGTCTCGCGACATGGACCCATCGTCCACCACTACCCAACCGCTCGGGTCCGGTCGGGGCTCTCACGGCCGCAACGCCATTCCCGCCTGCGACAGGTGTCGTTCTTTCAAGAAGAAGTGCAGCCGCACCTTTCCCGCGTGCAGTCTATGTGCCGGAGCTGGCAAGAATTGCTCGTACAATGCGCTGCCCGGCACCCCCGAGGCGGAGGCTCTGCGACTGAGGGCACGCGTCCAGTGGTTCAGCGACTATATCAATCGTCATCTCTTGAAACCACATCATGGTGGTATTGAGGAGGTCGAGACTGGTTCGGATCTTGTTTCTTTGCTTGGCAGCCGGTTGAATGAGAATCTCGCTACCGCAAACTCGGCGGCCTTACAGAGCCAGTCACAGGGTCGAAACGAGCTTGACGCAATACCACCGTCCGATGCGGCGCAGAATCAAGTCGAAGACGGCTTCTTTCCCGGTCAGACAGAGTCGGGGAACACTGGTCTGGGGCCGCCGAGCATCAGTGTCCAGATGGACGGGGCTAGCACCACGCCACCTATCAACTCCGACAGTGCCGTTTTGACTGGCGGTCACGTATCGTATCAGGGCTCAAGAGGTACGCAAAACTCGGAAGCAAACGACTTCGTCGTGGGCCAGGACCTTCCCCCAGATGCGGCAGCTCGTCGCTTCGTCGATGCCTACTTTCGAAACGTCAACGGAGCATACCCCTTCATCAACCAGGCCAAGATCCTTGAGAATCTCGAGACCATGGGCGACCTTGGCCAGCGGCTTCGTGATTCTCAGTCTACCCTCCTGTATCTGGTCATGTCCATCGGCAGCACCACTCTCGAGCGAGCGAGCCAGGCCCCTAGAAACACTTCAAAGCGATACGAGGTGGCATACGCCGAGATCATCCAAGAGTGCGTGTGTCGGGATAGTGTCGAGTCGGTCCAGATCCTGGTCCTGCTGGCGCTCTACTCGTTGTTCGACCCAGCCGGGGCATCAGCCTACTCTGTCGTGGGCATTGCTGCACGGCAGGGAATTACGATCGGTCTTTCTCTTCGAGATGAGAACGCATATTCGCCGGCTGAGATGGAACTACGGCATCGTCTTTACTGGAGCATCTACGCCCTCGACCGCATGATGGCCGTATCACAGGGCCTGCCCGTAGCGCTGGCAGACAACGCAGACGTCCCCTTACCGAGTCTGACCGTTGAAGAATTTGCTAGTAACGAGAGGATGACTTACGCGCGGAGGCTGCAGACGAGTCGGCACGTAATCCAGCTCCGCCAGCTGGAGGGCCGCATTCTGAGCCAAGTCCACTTCAGAAGGGAAGCCGAGATCGCGGAGCTCTCACCTTTAGATAGACGAGCGATGCTGAGCAGTCTCCGAGCGTCCATCGAAGATTGGTACAGCCAAGGGTGTCTTATGTCGCCGATAGGTGGCGACAACACTACAATACACAGCAGCACCTCCTGGCTCAGCGCGCGTTACTATTACATGCTGCTACTGCTGTACTACCCGAACCACTTCAACAGCTCGGCGGCGGCCGTTTCGCGCCAGGAGCTGCTACAGTTCGTACGGCGCCATCTCCAAGCGACATCGGCGCTGTTCCAGCAGCAGCAGCTCCCACTGAACCGCAATACGCTGTACAGGCTGATGCCCATGTGTCTAGTCCTGATGCACGACTTCGTGGCGACGTGTCGGTCGGCGAACTGGACCGCCAAGTCGGTGTTCCCCTTCCAGGCCAGAGACGAGGTCGCCGTGATGCTGTCCGTCCTGGAAGCGTATCCGGAGGGGTGGAGCCTCGCACAAAGGGCGACGCAGGTGGTGCGCCAGTTCGCGGGCGTCATCTCAGGCGGAATGGTGGCCTTCTTCTCGGATGACCAGGTGTTTCCTCTAGGAACTCCTGGGAACGGAGCTGCCACCGTCAACGGGAGCAATGCCACGGGAGTATCCTTTAGCGGGAAGGAAAGCCTGCCGGTGCTGATGAAGCCCTGTATTGCTAGATTGACGTCGTTGATGCAGGAGATGCTGGGAATATCGACATGCTTCCAGTTTATCAAATACCCCCCAGACAAACAGACAGATGGTCCGGCAGCGGCCATACCCCAGGAGGAACTGTTCCAACAATACCATCAGCAGCAGCAGCAGCCTCAGCAACAGCATCCACAGCCTCCGCCTCTAACGATGAGCCAGGTTGGCGTAGGTGATGATAATACAATAGGCTACGGATGGGGCACCATAGACTTGGACTTTTTGTAATAAAGAAGTTCCTGACCGAGCTACATCGCTGCTTACCTACTTACCTCAATTGAGAGCGGCGGGCGATCCAGCCGCGCCTAAACGATAAAGTGGCTGGACCCTGGCTAAGACAACCCTTTCCATTGGTGGCATTTAGGATGGGTGTTGGCTTTCGTGCCATCAGCAAAACAAATCCATCCACTTGATTATAGGCTTTATATTGAGTGTGACGCGTTCTTGAAAGCCTCAAATTTGATGATGTCGCCCTCCTTTTGTGTTATCGAGATGCCTATGCTATACCACAATCAGCAACCAGAGCGAAGCTTTGCCCCGCTCGCTGAGGTATCTAACTTGGGCCCTGTCTATAATATGACCTGGAAACTCGAAAGATTCAACGTGATCAATGATAGGATCATCTTCACCATCAAAACCACGACCGATATCTGTATATGGAAGGTAGCTTGAATTGTACGTCTTCACGTTAGGTCGCCCTCCACGCTTGTCGATTTTCCACAAATCGGCGGCTGCCGTCGCAGTGTGTCTATCCACGTGGTCGCAACTGCAACCATGATGATCAGGCACGTAAGCTATCACAACAAGCTTCTTAGGTGACATGCGATAAGGTCGAATCTGTGGGGTAAAGCAGACGATGAGCTGGTGGTGTGCCCCCTGCGTCGAGCTGGACAGCTTAGTTTAGCATCGACGCCGTACTGAAAGAAGTCTGTTCGCCTCATAGGTTGTTTCGAAGCCTCTTAATCTGGACTATTCCGGATCTTCTGCCACTGGTGGAAATCTAGACGGGGAAACATATTCCTCAAGTCGCTGATTCTGAGGCTGAAGATACGGGAAGCTACCGATCATTGTGGGCGAGAACACGCACAGATATCACGGCCGAATTTGGACTTATAACAGATGAAGATATATAAATACCGTGATATATCCCAACCTCAACTAAGATCTTCAAGTTGCACAAGCAGATCTCCAAAGCCAAGACTCCCCAAACCCTGTCCCCCGGGCCCGTCAAGTTCGCCAAGATGCACCAATACTACCTCCTCGCTCTGCTCCCTGCAGCTCTTGGCTGCCTGAACGTCGACAGCAACTCCTGCGCCAGCTTCATCAAGTCCCAGTCGGCCACCGCCTCCGCCTTCTGCGCCACCTTCACCAAGAGCACCGTCACCGCCACCACCGGCCTCCCGGCCTGGGCCACCAACTGCTCGAACAAGCCCTCCCAGATCTCCGCCGAGTGCACTTGCCACTACAGCGGCGCGGCCGGCGGCGGCGGCAGCTCGCCCTCGACAACGCTCAAGACCACGACGACCGCGGCCGGCGGTGGCGGCGCCGTCACTCCCCCGGCTGGTGTCACGACTACTCTGCCTGCTTCGAAGGGCGCTACGTCTACTAGCAAGCCAATCACCGTTGCCGCGGGGCAGACTTACGATGGTGGAATGAAGAAGTTTGACAGAAGCCGTATGTTTCTGATATTATTGAGTGATTCAAGATGCAGCATTCTGACTTTCTGCAGCTCGTGTCTGCGCTGAGCAGGATGAGACTGGCGAGGCCGATGCCATGTTCGTGCTCGAGGCCGGCGCTACCCTCTCCAACGTCATTATCGGCCCTGACCAGGCTGAGGGTGTCCACTGCAAGGGAACCTGGTGAGTCTTCCTCATGAAATCACGTGCGCAGTATCCTTACTAACGGCAAACAGTACTCTGTAAGCTCGCCTGATGTTGAAAATCGACTGTCTTTTCTAACGCGCAAGTAGCAACAACGTTTGGTGGCAAGATGTCTGCGAGGATGCTCTGTATGCACCCCTAAACATCGACCCGCGGGATTCAAATCACTAACAACTTCCAGCACTCTGAAGCAATCCAGCGGAACTTCGTACGTCAACGGCGGCGGTGCCTTCAAGGCCGCGGACAAGATCATCCAGTTCAACGGCTTCGGAACAGTCAGCATCAACAACTTCTACGCCAATGACTACGGCAAGGTCGTGCGCTCGTGCGGAAACTGCTCCGGAAACGGCGGCGCTCGCCACGTTCTGTTGAGCAATGTTGTGGCGAAGGACGGCGGCGTCCTTTGCGGTATCAACACCAACTACGGCGACACCTGCGTCGTCACCAACAGTTGCCAGGACGACAACAAGATCTGCGACCGGTACACGGGCAACAACTCGGGCAAGGAGCCGACGAAGATTGGATCTGGACCTGACGGCACTTACTGCAAGGCAACTGGCTTCACCACTGCCTGCTAGGTTGATGGTATGATTATGGGTACGGGATGACTTTCCGCGGGGATGGGTGGGCGGAAGATGCTGAATGATGTAATTTTCTTCGTGTGTGACATGTTTTAACTCGCAAAGTCTAAGCATGACTTGCTTTTTATGTATCAATCAAACCATTTGAAACACATTGACCATTCCGATTTTTACACATATAATCTGCTGGGCTTGCAGCACCAGAGGAGAAATATTTATGGGAAAATGGTTGCCCAGTCTAAGTAAGCATCTAGACGCGGGATGCAAAGCTCCGAATGTGACAGAATGCTGACAGCGGGGTTGCAGCTGACCCCATCCTCTCTTCTCTTTGTACAGTCATCTAGAAAGACTTATCCGTTGCACCTGGAATGTTCTGGACGATGCATATTGGACCTTGAAGCTACGTAACAACTGATTGCTGGACCAAAGAAACAATCAACGCTCTGTATATTCTCCCTTCAAGTTCGCAGAATGTAGAGTTCTTTACGAGGGGAGATTTCTTTGCCATGGAAATGGTCAAGTGGTTTAAGTACGGGTGTTTGATGCAAGTGCCATCAGACGTATAATTATCGTTCATGGTGCATCAGCTCCGAGGGGCCATGGAGTCCTGTGAAGACGCTACAGCTTCTCAACAGCATATTGCCACCATATGAACTCTGTACGTCTGATAAATAGTGCCTTTGGTCATTGAGTCTAGTAATAATCGTGGTGTTTGCTAAATGAGTCGTTGAGCTCGTAATTATCGTTGAATCTATCCTCTCCATATACTCTCTTGGCTCCCTGAGACTCGAGGTGTAGCTTGTATCACCGTCTGGGTACTACACTGTCCCCCGATTCGATCCATCGCATACGAGGGTTCGTCTTGACCACTAGGCTTCGAGTTGCCCGACTTGTTCGAGTCATATCCCGATCTTTCTTGGCTGTGGTATTGGTATCCCGTGCTTCTGTTTCGCTTCGCCGCTTCTCGGAGAGCTCGGGGTGTGAAAAGGGGTTTCAGGGCGGGAACGCTGGCGCAGATGATGCCGATGTTGATCTCCAGCATAGACCAGACGTTGACCAAGACGCTCTCCTTGAAAGGGTCTTCGGCCAACGTGTACGTGTATATCGTATGGAGGCGGATGATTGAGGTAATTGTGGCGAATGCGCCTACGCCGAAGATGATGGCTAGAGCAGCCTTTTCTTTGCGTGGACGAAGGATGCTCATAAGGGTCTTGATCGGCAGGATAAGGATCCATATATCGGTGATGATATTGAACCCAGACGTGACTGGATTGTTAGTCGTGGAAGCACAGGAGAAGACAGATTTGCCACATACAGTAGAAGAATGCGGTGGTGTTGATGCAGTTCCCGGGGACCGTCTGCGTTATGTCCCACTGTTTGTAAAGTGGCTGGCATTGCGATAACGTGACGGCGATGCAAATGATGAAAAAGAGTGCATGGAACGCGATGGTGCAAATGCAAAGAACATTGAACGATCTCGTCACCGCTGAAGCATCCGGTTAGCAACACGGGGCAATTCATGGAAAGCTTGGACGACATACCGAAGCGGAGGTACATGCACAATATTGAAATCTTGATAGACGAAATGCAAGTATAATACGTCACTTGAATAGCCAATGTGTTCTTGAGCAGGCTCGTCATGTTCTCCAGTGACAATGTTGCCATAGGGAAGCCGATGTGGTTCGCTTTGCCGACGAAGACCTCAGCGAGATATCCCAAGGTGAAGATCTACCAACGTGATCAGCATTGAAATATGGCTCGTCAACATTGTCTCAGGATATACGAACAAGAGCAATGATGATGAAGTAGTCATCAAGCCCAGGCTTCCGGATTAGTACAGTCCGGACGAAAGTACGTGCTATAACCACAATGGCTATAGAAGGTCAGCATTGGTCGATGTAGACTTCAGTGGCTAGCAACTTAGCTGAGACTCACTCGATATGATAGTGAAGAAGCACGACGTAATAACGAGACTATTCTGTCTCTCCTGATCAGACGCCATTGCTGTAAATAAAAGTTGGAACTCTTAGTTGAAAAGCGGTCTGTATTATCACCGGTACGGTCGCGATCGTTCTTTCTTCTTCGTCTCGATACGTGTCGTTGTACTTTGGTGTTTCCTTGGCGACACTGCTCTGGCGTGCGCTGGGCCGGCCCAGCACATCTTTTCGATGATATGGTGTGCAATAGCAGAGCGGCTGGGTAATATGGGTTGTAATCAAGACCTCCATGGAAACGGGAGGGCGCGAATCTTCCTTTTCAGAACTCGTCGAGAAACAAAGACACAGATGAGATGGTAAGTGGGACCTCAGGGACCCCCGGCCGGGATGCGACGTTGAGGGGAATGGACGGGGCCATGATGCACGAGCACAGACGAACGAGCCAGGTCCAGGATGATGTGGAAACGGTCTTGATGGTGACGACGGCTCAATCTCATTACGCGAACCTCGCTCATCTTCCTTCGCGGCCTCGCCTACACGGCTAGGAGTCGTCTCCATCGACCTGCATACAGCCACATGTACCGACAGGCCTTAATACTTGCATATCATCACAGGACTTCATGCAGAGGCAGGATTCCAAGCCGTAAGGAAACGTGTGAGGTCTAGCGCGCTGTCGATCCACGAGGGACAGCCGCTCCTGCAGCTTGTCAGAATAAGGGATTCTTCACCGAGACTAGCGTCCAAGGGGAACATGCAGCAAGTCCCGGAGCTTTAACTGAGGCCGGGCATGGTCTGACAGGAAACGTCCCAATGACGCTCTAGAATAGAGGCGCAGAACAAGGTTCGGCGTGAGCGTCGATAATGTCCGCCCGTCTCCGAGGTCGTGCGCTGCTTCTTGGCCCCCTTCTTCGCTTGTTCCATTGCGTGTTCCAGACGAGACGCCGAGCGACACCCTGAGAGGCAGAACGGCAGAAGGATGAAGGAGGGAGGGAAGATGGGTAGAGATGGTGTGATGGCGCAATGAGGTTCGTCTTGCCTCGCTGGGCCCCGAGGCTCCGGTTGTTTGGAATGGTGGCCGGCTCTGAACTCTGTCGGTCTCGGTAAAGTATAAAGCTAGACCACAATAACGGATAGCTTGACGACACTCTTTCTTTGAACAACGGCGCCGTCTCAACGGCTTGACTACCAAATGTGGACAGGCTCGAGAGATTCATGGCGATTTGGGTTGGTAGGCGGGGTATGAGACGTGCTGTACCACCAACGCTCAACACCATGAAAACGGCTCGGCACACCTAAACGTCTAATAATCCAGTGAGCCACAAAATATCTATCCCAAATCTGTGGGCATTTCCCGTCTGTGGCTGCCGTGCCGTAGGCTCCGGAGGCTAGGGGAACCTTGTTTTCTGAGAGAATGATCCGATGTGATTGAGTTTTGAGTTCGTCGGCACATCGTTGTGCTTCAAGGACCAGTACGTCGGTCACCTCGGATTGAAAATTGTGCTGTCTCTTTGAAAGGGGAGTATCTCTGACAGGTCTAGTGTTCTCAGTCTCGTTCATGTCTTAGGTGGTATGAACCAACCCCCCCCACCGCCTTCTGTGCGACATCGCAGCTGTGGGTGCGCGGAATTTCATGGTGATGCGCAGTGCGGAATTGACGGTTTCCTCCGCTGTGTATGTGCGTAGCGCGGGTTAGTAAGAGGTATACAGAACGGCGGATGAACAACCGGGCATTACTCCGTGCACAGCCGAAGTATCACAGTCAACAAACAGGCTGAATAGGCCGAGGATCTTGAGTGTGGTCTTAGTCGGCGACTGGTACAGGATTTTATCTGTTGGAATCAGGTCTCCGGGCGTGCTGGGGCAGGCATTCTTCGCCTAGAGTCTGACGAAGCTCTCCCTGCATTTGCACTGCAGCAGACCCTGGTTTTCGTCCGCGAGGCGGCCCAAGCGACCAGCGGAACAGGTTCTGCGGTAGGGCCCCTCCGTTCTGCCTTGGATAAAGGGCTGTAGGATCAATGACAACCAGAAAGCGTGGGAATCCGGAAAATGGGCAGAACGGGATACTAACCCTTTCTGTTGTCACCTATCAGGTCGCCATCGGCGATCCGATTAAATTGTCTACACCAGGACAGCGTACCCCGTACCCTTGACGCTGCATGATCCGCGGCAAGTGTTGAATCCCCATTAACTCAGCCCACCGGGCTACAGCGGCTCTACCAATATCTCCAGACGTTGAGAGACCTCTCCATCTCTCGGTGGAATAGATCATCCATCTTCGTAGGCGCAAAGGTCGTACTCGCACAGCTAGGACTTGATATGCGGCAGAGTGTGCTCCCACGTTCCGACGTGACGGGGTTACACTGCACCCTAGATTCTGCCCCCGGTTCATCAACACGCAGTATTTCCCCGAAAGGAGTTTGCTTGCAGGTGCTCAGACCCTGATCGACATTTGCAGCGGAATCCCTCGTGGCCATTTGCGTTCGTCAGGTCCGCTCTACGTCCGCTTGTCGTGCAATATTGGTTCCATTTTAAAAGAAACAGAGTACGGGTAGACTGGTTGATAGGTACCGTCTCGAGCGGTCTGAGCAAAAGTCATCCATGTACAACACGGATAGAGTGCCGAGGAGTGTTACAATATCACCTTCAACCCAGCGCTGAAGAGGAAGAGATTCCCCAATAAAGCTGTCGCGAGTCATGAACGACAGCTGTCACAGCCCTACAGACCCGCTGTGACTCAACTGTAAAATAACCCGGGCGCCTGATTCAGATCGTCGGCAGTGTGCGGCGATTTAAGCATTCCAAACATCAGACGCATCGTCGCATTGCCGTGGTTCGGCAGCAACTTGCAGCGTGTATTCAAGTTTCTTGTAACTACCAGTTGGCTCCAGGCTATGAGTGATAAGACACAAGCTCGCGCTTTCGCCGTATGGCGACCGCCGGCGGGGATGTCTGCTGCGGTATGTTCAATCCCTGACCGCCAAAACGTTTGACTGTTCGTCCCACCGACGCCGAGACTTGCCATCAGACCTCCGTTCTCTATTCGTATGTCCCTCCGGCTCGGCTCTAGTCTACTACATATGGATCTTCCTCACAACCGTTGCAACGCCTCGGCCGTGCACCTCAACTATCTTTGCAGGCAAGGAGGTATTGATAGCCCTGTACGGACAAGAATGCCCCTCAACTGGGGCGAACTGTAGGATCGTCGCTGTCAATCGGCAATCATTGAATCATTTGACAGGTCTGAGTGGATAAGCACGGGTCTTGGGAAGTCAACACAACTGGGGATATTGGGTCAATCGGCGGCAGCCTCCCACTTGCCGTTTTTTTATCAGCCAAGTTGGTTACACAATCGTGCTCAGAGACTCCAGCTTCGTTGTTCTACTTCCTATTGCTCCATGCTCAAACTCGGAATCGCCCCTCACATCGCGACGTGAGCCGTCTGAGCATAGAGACTATTGAGTCCGCGGGGGCTCATGCAAACCAAGTTCCCTGCACTCCAGCAGACGCAGATCAAATCTATCAAAATCTACATTGAGGAGTCGCAGCGCTAGCTGCCAAACTGAAACGTAATTGTATTGAAGCAAACTTCGTTAGCACCATCACGGTCCTCGGCTGGTGGCTGCAGGGCTCGCAACAAGTGGTATGGCAAGCCCACAAATCATAACGGATCTGGAAGGGTGGCCGAGTTGGTTATGGCGCCAGGTTAAGGTCAGCTTAACATCTGTTTCCTGGTGGGGCAACCCGCGCGAGTTCGAGTCTCGTCCCTTTCAATTTTATCTTTTTGCTGTAAATAAGCAGTCGCGCATATCATTTTGCCCAAGTTTGTCGACAATATGATGCTGTTGGGAGTTTGAATACGGATTTAAGATTCACGTTGCCTGTATGGTTTTGTATAATTCTCAGTTTGTTCTATAAGATTGACAGAAGACTAGGAAAACGCTATGCTGGTGGTCTAATTGTATGTGGATGAATGAGTATCAATGAAACGCGAGAGTATCGGAATGCTTAGAGCGGGACCTGCTTAAACAAGTCGAAAGCCTTCTCAATGTCCATCGTGACATCATGGCCCTTAGCACCACAGGTATCTCTGACCATGGAAGCCCAGGCATCTGAGCCCTTGCCGGACTTGACCACCTTGCCGACAGACTTGGCAATGCTCTTGACGACCTTGGAAACAGTGCCGCCGCCAGGGATGAGATAGCTGCCCTTCTCGAGGACCTTCTTGATGGAAAAAAGCCAGACGCTGCAGATGATGGCGCCGCTGTTCTCGAGACCCTCGGAAATCTTCTCCGCGAGGTCATCGGGGATCGTGATGCAGCTGCACTCGCCCCCGTAGGTGAACAGCTCGCCGTCGGGGTTGGGCAGGAGGGGGTAGCCGGGCTTCGTCTTTCCCTCGGCCTTGTTCTCCCAGACGTGGCCGCTGGAGCAGGCGGCGCTGTAGTCGCCGGTGGCCTTGATGCAGTACTCGCGGCAGGGCCAGTTGAGGTCGCGGTTCGTGGGCTTGGCGTATGCTCGGCACATGCCCTCCTCGGCCATGGCCTCGGTCTGGCGGTGGTAGTCCTTCCACTCCTGGTCCTTATCGCGACGGTCGAGGGACGAGGTGGCGGGGTTGGGAAGCCAGGAGCCGCCGTCGCGGACAATGGCGCCGTTCTCCCCGTACTGGCGAGGAACTGAGGCACTGCTGACCCCGATGGACGTGGTGGCAGCAACCGTGAGGAAGGCAACGATGTTCTTGAAAGAGACCATTTTGAAGTAAATTTGGAAATTTGAGACTGAATCTGTGAGGATGTTTGTGTTCAGTTGCGTAGCTGTTGATAATGGTGATGGTAGTGGTGACGATAGTGGTGATTGATGGGAGTGGTGATGAAAGTGGTCCTGTCAGAATAGTCCAAGAGTGTAGTGAAGCTGGCGATGCTGTTGTTGATGGGTTACTGTTTTTCATTAATTCGTCACGGCACGACGTCGTTCTTATACCTCTTCGACAGCTTCATCATTTTAACTGTTATTATATATTCAACTATTCTTAGATGCTCTTGTAGGCAGCGATATTCAGCGCTCATGTTAGAAAGCTTGGCCTAGGCTACGCTCTCAACATTCGTCAAGGCAGTGAGGCTATATCGAATGCTGTGTTTCTCAGCTAGCATCCATAAGTGTGGATTCGCTACGGGGCATCGTCAGCAGAGTCCGAGATGGCACCGATCTCAAGGCAGTGCTCTCAGGCTGCGGTTAACTTTTACTTAAGCTCACAGCGGCCCGAATACCAAAATACTCTGCCGAGCATTTAAGTGCGAGAGGACCAATTGGGTTGCAGTGCTGGCTGGAGCGACAGCGGTTTAGGATATTACCCGCATGAGGATGTTGCTTCGAACTTGAGCCGCCAAGCAAGACATCGGCAGCGCATCCGAATTGGCGTCGCTCTGACTTACATCTTGGAGCTAGAAGTAACTCGAAATTGGCATGCTAAGTCTCATACATTGTTTCCCAGAACCCAAAAACCTCTTTCTTTGGTTCTGAGCTTTTCTTCCCATGTCCTACCAGAGACAGAGAGGATGGGCCATTTCTCACAATGGCGACATCGCACTCAAGACACACCGTTTCAATCATCATTCATTGTCAAACTGCCATATTCGGCTCCACGTAAAAGCATTTCACATGAAAGTAAAGAAAACAATTCGACATTGGTGGAACAAGCGCCGGGAGAAACGGTGTGCTTCAATCAATTACGGTTATGAGTCCTTGGGGGGCAGTGCTGTGAGGCTTGTACAATGAATACCCCTGTCGCGAAATCGCGCTTAGGGCTATTTTGCAAGCATTTGTTTACTTTTAGACGCCCTCGCATGCAGGCAGTAATAGTGTATTCATGAACATTGCAAGGCAGCGTTGTCTTGCCATGGCTTCATATCGCATGTCAAGTCCAATGAAGGCTGTAGTAAGCCGTTGGAGTCTCACTCATCAGTATGTAACTGCGCTTTTGCGGTGGCCTCGGAAGGGTTTCCAAGCCGCCTGGCAAGGTAGGACGACCGGGAGCCATTGGTGTAGTCAGGGTTCTGTTCATGTTGCCACTGGCGACGACGGCACTAAAGTCAACGTCCACAATGGTTCCAGAGTTTGAACGAGTAAATGTGAGTTTGTTTTTGAGATTTCATCTTAGCCCTGCTGATGGGTATCGTATATCGGCCGTTAAAATACCGTCACAAAAAGTTACAACATGACCCAACGCCGCATAAGTTTTCCGTCCCCCTCAACACCTCAGACCGAATTGGTGTTTCGTCGAACAATCATTTCCCAGGACACGCAGCGATTGGAACTCCCAAGATGCCCGTGAGTCCGAAGATTTGGCCCATCAGTTCCTTCGCGCCAACTCTCAGCTCTCTGATCACAGCTACGCCTAGAGGCACGCTCCAGCCGAAGAAGGCTTTCGTAACACCGTTCAAGCCTCCGGCGTTCTTCACCTCGACGCGTCCCAACGCTGCCCAGAACATATCATCCCCCTCTGACATGGGAGGATAGCCTTGCGAGAGCTCCCGCACCGTGGCCGCCGAGACGGGAGACTTGGAGCCGGCGATGGTCCAGTAGAACCTGCTCGCGGGCTCGACTCCTTGGAAGAACGCCACGTCGAAATCACCCGGGTTCCCGCTGGCAATGCGGATGAACTCCAGGTAGGACTTGGTGAGACGAAGTGCGTCGTTGGCGCGGCAGTCGCGCAGCTGCGGGGTGTCGGCGGTCCAGAGCGGGGTGAAGTGATACGGGTGTTCCGGTTCACGAGCGTTTCCCAGGTCGCCCAACTTCCAGCGTCTGGGGTCGGTCTCTGACCCGACGAAGATATTGTCCATCTTGATGTCGTCGTGGCAGAGGTTGTGCGCCAGGTGGAGATAGTCCAGGGCAGAGAGGAGAGATTCGAAGGATGGCCGGAACATCATGTCAACTTCGTGGTATGTAGGCGGGTTCTCCGACGTTCGCAGCCTCTTTGCGAGCTTGAAGAGCGTGCCGGCCTTGAGGAAAGGCGTGACCAAGTGCCATTTCGGGGGCTGCGAGGGATTCGTGGTGGCGAGAAAGTAGTCCTGGACTGGGACAAACATGTCGCTGTACACGTCGTCGTTTGGCGGGGTCGAAGCGTCCTGGTGGCCTCCCATGATGAGACTGACCGGGATCTCTGTCGGCCATCTCCTCGTACCATCGTCGGTATCAGGCATGCAGTTGCGAAACGGGCTGCTCTCTTCGTTGTAGACCTTGATGACTGAGTTGTTGTAAATGAATGCCTCTCCTTCTCGGCCTCCTCCTAACCTCTTCCAGCTTGGTCTGTCCTCCAGCATGGCCATCCTGTCAGGATTTGAGGAGTGGGAGTCGGGTTCCCATCCTGAGCTGCCAAGGACTGCTTCATCGTAGTCTGAGAGGATAGTGAACTGCGTAGAAGAATACTTGTCTCGTACAGAGTTCCTATAGCGGACATGTAGGTCGAGGCAGTGATATGTTGTGAAAATGGCAGCGATAGCCAGAAAACGAAGGGCATGTCTTGTTGCGAAACCCGCCACGCCTCTACGACGAGTACCACGAGGGCTCCAATTGCAGGTTCTAAGCTTCAACGACATGTCGGTGGCGGTGTAGTTTGAAAAGACGCTCGACCGAAAGGCCAAGCAAACCAGCGGGCTCGCCCATCCTTCTAATATGTGCGTACGCCAAGAGAGCAAATGCTGTCAACAACATGCGGCTCACCCCCTTGGCAAAGATCTAGATTGTTTGATGAATCAAACTTACAAGAAAGGGGTGTGGGGGAGCACAAACTACGCAGCCGCATCTTGTCAACCGCTGACGGAATGACACGTCGTCTAGCCATCCCCGTCAACGAAGCCGCCCGCCCACCCACCAGGTTTACAGGCACCGTGGTTGCTCGGTCGCTGAAACATCAACGAGTTCACTCACCTTACAGCCGGCATGCCACAGCTGAATGAAGTGGCATCGATGAAAGAGGAAAACGCATCCATATTCGGACCCCACACGACGGGGAAGGGCAAGGGGGGTCAGGGAAAGCCGTGGCAGACCCGCGCCCCAAGCTCAGGCATACCATGCGTTGCCGTGAGGTTCGGAACTCGCGACGGAGAACCGCAAACTACTCCATCAAGAAACGAAATGGGGAATCATCCTCTGGGTGCCCATGTGAGGCTGATCCGGGGTGCGTGTGTTGAACGGCATTCAGCGCCAATCAAATTCATCAGAGTCGCCCGAAGTCTCCCTTTCCGCTGGTTTCCGGTGAGAAAAGGAAAATGATCGCGTGAGGCAGGGGTAACAAGACACGGGAGGTACGGCATCCAAGATCTTGGTGAGTTTCTTGTCAAGGGCGAAATCAAGGCAGACTCGGGGCACACGTAGCCGAGAGATGACCTCAGTCAAGTCTTTCCAAGCCGCCTCAAATTGCACTGAACCAACGAGTGGAATATTTGGGACGAAGGGGAAGTCAGATTAGAGTCCATTGGCGCCAGGCAGATTCGCACCCAATCTGATCTGAAAGTTCGTCATTAGCCCCCCTGCGTAGTCTCCGGGATGGCTCCAGTAGTCAAGTTTGTCCATCTTGGCGCGTTGGAGGCTGCTTATCGGCTCTTGAGTCACGGCGATAGGGGGTGATGTCATGGGTTCCCCGGCTTCTCCAAATCCACATTCTCTCCCCCATGATTTAAGTTGCCCCCTGTCTGCCTGAACATTTATTTTTATTTCGAACGACATCTCGGCGTCTGCCGATTCTGCGGGTGGATCTGTTCTTCCGCTTCGGGGCATATGGACTCTCTCTCCCGTGATTGCGTTATGCTGAGGCGCGAATGTTACTTCTTGCAGACTTTTCTCTGCCGTCGACTCCTCCTCCGTCCCCGCTCCCGAATCTTCGGACTGGCCGCCATGGCCCCATCCGGTGAGGGCCCCCCGAAAGCGGCAATTGCCCGAGTATCGAGAGGATCATGCGCACGAAAGCCTACCCAGTCGCGAGGTTTCGTAGGGGGTTTCCCCATATTGTGCTTTAACTCAGGTTCAGTCGAGGAGGCGTCAGTAGTCGGCATCTCCGCGCGCATAGCGGTATTCACTTCAGCAAACGCATGGAATTGTCCAAGTAATATCAGGCAAGGTCATCTCAAGTCAACATAGAAGAACTTAATTGCAGTTTCTGTGGTATTTCTAGAGTTCAATCACTTCAGTTGGACAGCCCTACGCGCGAACTGGCCAACTCACGGACGACGTGCTTGATACCCACAGACTCCCGCATATCAACGCCAAGAAACCTTTGGACGACAACGGTAAAGTGGCAAGGTGAAGAACATTCAGGGCTGTTTGAATGGTTCTATGCAAGAGATTGGACGACCTTCGGCTCCGTCGTTTATGGCTGGTCACTTTGATTTGCTTCTAACACGTCAACATAGAAATCTACGTCGCCTCATCTAGGTCCGTCGAACTCCCGTTCCAGGAAGGGATAGACTAAGATTCGGCGCCCGAGTTTCATGTTGCGGATTTCTGCCTAACTGTCAGCTTCGATTCTGCCGAAAACCGTTAAAATCTGACAAGTAGTCTTCGCAAAGGCTACTGTCTCGGACCGAATCGCCACTGCCTTCCTCTACGGAATACTCGGAAGCCATTCGTACTCTCCGCGAGCGTATCATGCGCGCAACCCGAGGAGAATAGCATTCCTCAGGTATTCCTTCCTAAACAAGATGTTTGATAACTGTCTGACAGTCTGTCGACGGCGGGTCAAGAACTTTCAGCAGAAAAGTTGGACCAGATCGGGAATTAAGTAGACAATAGTCTTCTCGTTTCAGGGCTTATTTGTGAGAATAAGTAAGACTTGAAGCCTTCAATTGGATGGTTCTTGATGTTACCGTGAGTTTCATTGTTTGCCTCTACGGGATGTCCAACAGCTAGGTACCCGTAGACAGCAACTATGTGATTCTGCTTCAAATGGAGAATCCATACTTCACACACTCATCCCGCATCGCTCCGGCGTTGATCACTTGTTGAACCTTCCCATCACCGCCCAACTCGACAATCGCCGACTTCTCCAGCGGCGTTGTCGAAGCAGGCCAACCAGCTCTCTTCAGTCCATCCTTGGGATCAAGCACGAACTGAAGATACAAATCTTGCATTCTCTCACTAACACGCCGTTCAAACTCGGTCGACGGGCCGTCGACTTCGTGTGTACCAAAGACCAAAGGCAGCTCGGCCGTGTGATACGCGCCCAGCCAGGGGAGGGGTGATATGTTGGTGAAGTTGCCGGCGTACAGGTACTGGTATGTCGTCGCGCCTGCTTCCGATCGAAGCCGTATCTCTTGCAAGGTCGTGCACTGCAGGTTGAGAGAGAATGCTTGCGCGACCTTGGCGAGGTCACTTGGGAGTTCGGTCGCCGTCGTGGTGTCGGTGAAGTTGTATGGAACGACTGCGGCTCCTTCGTTGGCGTTCGTGCCGATCAGCAGCGGTACTTGATCGGGATACTTGGCAGGATCTTTGCCGATTCTTTCGGTGTAGTTTGCAAAGAAGGTTACGTTGTCGGGAAATGCCCCAAATACTGAAGCATCGTCAAGAGCACCGCCTTCGCCCATGTCTGCTTGGAGATACGTCTTGATCTTCGACTCGGGTACCCGTCGCATACACTTGAGCTCTTCTTCAGGCGAGAGACCACCACAACCCAGACGCTCTGCCGCTAGGGAAAAGGTAGTGTGGTTCTTGGGGTCAGATAAGATGCCCTGGATAGCCACCGCGTTCCCGGAGTCCGCGATGACGCCCTTTACGATGGGATCTTCAGGCCAAGCAAAGAGGAAGCCGTCGACGGCGTACGCTCCAGCACTTTCGCCCCAGAGAACGATACGATTCGGGTCGCCTCCAAAACGGGCAATGTTGTCGCGCACCCACTCGATAGCAAGTCGCTGGTCCAGGAGGGGCAGGTTCAGATTCTCGCCGGCCTCGGCGAGACCGGCGGCGTTGGGGATTCCGAGAAGATTGAGACGGTATTGGACTTGGACGACGATGTGTTTCTGGCTTCTCTGGACCCAGTTGGGGGCCAGCTGGTAGGGCACGTTGATACCGCCAAAACTGAAGCCGCCGCCGTGTACCCAGACCACGACAGGCAAAGTTTCTTCTTTTATCGCGCCTTCAGTGCCATTGTACCCGGTAATCGCGTGTTTAGGAGCAAACACCGAAAGATGCAGACAATCCTCGGTCGTGTTGGAGAAGTCGTTTCGTTGGAAGGCCGCCGCGGTGACGGGACCATCTGTGACCGTTCCCCGAAGGAACGGTGCCACATACTGAAAACAACCGGCAGGAAGACGAGAAGCTTTCACCACTTGGCTTCCAGGGTAAACTTTTGCGACGGGTGGTGCGAATCGACGGTCGCCGGACGGGCTTTCTGCGTACGGTATGTCGAGGAAGGACGCAACTTTTGGCTGTGACTTGGCGAAATGAGGGGCGAAAACACCGGAACTTGTGTTGACGGCTAGGGGAGCATTTGGACGGTCTCTGGTTGGCGAAGCTGTTGCCAGCAGAGTCGCAAAGTGAAAATAGAATAGCTGAGCTGGCTTCATATCGGGCTTTGAGAATGAATTGCTCTCAGGTTTTCAAGTTGAGAATGGCCTAGCAGCAGATATTGAGGACTCATAGTTGATCGCATGCTTACAGTCCCTCTTTATACTCCCGTAAAATGAGGTCTCTACCAAAGTTCTTTTGAAGACTTCTCTTACAAACAGTAACTATTTTGTGTTCGTCAGAAAGCCCCCAATGTCTTTCTCATGGGTTGCCTAAGCCGGACATGGGCTTAAATCCGCTATGTCCATCAAGATTACCCTATTTCCTACTCAGCTGGCCTTAAGTCACGCTAACACCGCACAACATGTAAGCCTGCTCAAGTCAGAAGGAATGTTTCCTGGGAAAGTTCAGGTGCTTTATAAGCTATCGTTCGTAAATACGCGATGTGTGTCTTTTGCGGTTCCGATGCGGCAACAAGGTTTACGGTGATTGGTCTTATATGGAGGAGCTGGCCACCCAGCTTCATTCTCGGGCACCTTTGACTTGGATACTTCTGAAGTTCCGTCGGAAACTACATGCTTCTACACCGGTGCACTTCTTAATTGACTTATCGTCACTCGGCCTTCGAACTTGCAGCTTTCTGTGAGGGGAAAACAGTCTAAGCAAAGCGGCTTCAGTATAGTGACAACACGATACCTTCATTAATCAGAGAAACAGTTTTTCCTGAAATTTTGATGTGCGGGACGCAACGTCCATTGTGCTTGTACGCCTTTTCAAGCTTTCACTTTCACATCTTCACATGACGGGAGAGATCTCTGTCTCCAATGAGAGCTATTCCCGTGGCCGATAACGAGCTGCTGGGTGATGTTGAGTTAAAGTTTAGAGCTACGGACCAATGCTGGGAGTGCGGAAAGCCGCGGTCTCCGGCTTAACTGCGATGACATCAAATGATACGGCTATCTCCTCACAAGATTGAGGACTGAGTTTAGTCGGTCTCCGATTACTCACTCTATTCCAACGTCACAATCAATACCACCATGAGGATCGTCGCATTCTTGCATTTGAACTTCTTCTAGATTTCTCTAATCTCACGAAGACTTGTCATTTGCCAGACACTCAAACCAAACCAAATCATCCTCAAACGAAGGCTTCAAGATGGCTTCCATGAACGAGGTCTTCGCCGGGTACCACCGGCGCCAAGCCGTACTCGCCAAAAGCACCAACCCCTTCGCCAAAGGCATCGCCTGGATAGAAGGCGAGCTCGTCCCCATCTCCGACGCGCGCATCCCCCTCCAGGACCAGGGCTTCCTCCGGAGCGACCTGACATACGACGTCCCGTCCGTATGGGACGGCCGCTTCTTCCGCCTCGACGACCACCTCGCCCGCCTGGACGCCAGCTGCGCCAAACTCCGCCTCCGGCTGCCCCTCCCGCGGGACCGCATCAGGCGGATCCTGCTCGATATGGTGGCCCGGAGCGGCATCCGCGACGCCTTCGTCGAGCTCATCGTCACGCGCGGGCTCAGGAGCGTCATGTTCTCGGACCGGAGGGAGGTGGGCGAGGGGAACAGGCTGTACATGCTCGTGCTCCCGTTCATATGGGTCATGGACCCCGCGACGCAGCTCCGGGGGGGCGGGGACGCCGTGGTCGCGCGGACGGTTAGGAGGGTGCCGCCCGGGGCTATCGATCCGACGGTGAAGAATCTGCAGTGGGGAGATTTCAATAGGGGTATGTTCGAGGCGGCGGATCGCGGCGCGACGTATCCGTTTCTCACGGACGGCGACGGGAATTTGACGGAGGGGTCTGGCTTCAATATTTGCCTGGTTAAGAATGGTAGTATATATACGCCGGACCGCGGTGTGTTGGAGGGCGTCACGCGCAAGAGTGTGATGGACGTCGCTCGGGCTAACGGGATACCTGTCCGGATGGAGGTCGTCCCTGCTGAGATGGCTTATCAGGCCGACGAGATCTTCATGTGTACCACGGCTGGAGGTATTATGCCTATAGTCAGTCTGGATGGGAAGTATGTGAATGGAGGGAAGATCGGGCCTGTCACGAAGAAGGTCTGGGATGGTTACTGGGCTATGCATTATGATCCGGCTTACAGTTTCGAGGTTGAATACAACGACGGACGGAGAGAGAGGGCGAAGCTGGCTTGAATTGCGCCATTGGGACTTGGCACTCTTCGACAACGATACACCTTCAGGAATTCTAGTCTGACGTGAGTTTTACGCCAAAAGTGCAATAGGATGGAGACAGCATTACGTGAATGTCGTGACGAGCTACTTAGAATGTGTTTTCACAACACATCTCACAGAATGACAAGAAGAAAACAAATATAGATCGATTCATCCAAATTGAACTTCTAGACATATGTTGAGGCCCGGCAAGTAGGTACTTCAGCTTGTTCGTGTTGCCGGTGGACTGGAGATGGACAACCTGAAGCCGTTGGCGGAATCCTGACCCACCAACTACGGGGCACATTCGTCACCTCGTCACCAGCCAAGGTCCATAAGTCCTTGCCGCACTGGATTGTTTCATTGACTTCCTGGATACTAATGGTCCAGTGGTTATAATTCATGGTTGGATGATGTGAACATCCGATGTTCGAGCGGTGCCTGCGCAAGCAGGTGCGACGCTTTTGTCTTTTTTGACATTCTTGAGATCGTCAATCACTCGTTACTGTTTATTCACGCCTACTTAGGTTTTAAAGCAGCGTTAATCTCCGCGCTGAGGTATGTACTGGAGAAACGTATGGTGAATTGGTGTTATCGTATGATGCTATGCGGACTTGTTTAACATTTAATACTTTTTTTAATATCTCAGTCTCGCGGAGAACCAAAATCATAACCCCAGGTCTGTCGTGTAGAGTCGACAAATGCCTGAAGTACCGCAGACTGGGATACACGGCAAAGTCCGAGAAGTGAGTTGATTCAAGACATTAATAGTTCGGTCCACCCTGCGGATGAACAGCACGAACTCCTTTTCAATGAACTTCGTTTTCGCCGGGTCATACTCCTCGTTGTTTACATGGCCCGTAGCCCTGCCTCTTCCAGCTCAGGCTTAACGTCCTCCCCCGTACCCGGTGTGCAGCCGTCACGTATATACCCAGATATCTCATAAACCATCACCGTCCCCCATTAGTCCAAAACAAGCCTCCACAGACCGTCCCCGAGGAAATGCGCGTCCTCCACCACGGGTCCCTTCCCCTTGTCCTTGACCTCCTTGGTGCCGGCGACCAGGAACCCGACGGCGCACGCCTCCGTCTTGCCCTCGGCCATGATGACGACGGGCTCGCCCTTCTCCATCTCCCTGCTCCAGTGCCCCTCCTCGTCCGGCCCCTCGTCGCCGTCCCTCGGCTGCGGCAGGCGGCCGCCGGGGCTCGTCAGGCCGGGCGCCATGAGTGTGGCGCCGGACAGCACGAAGCGGATGGCGCCGCGGTCGATGCGGATCGTGGGGAAGGCCTGGGGGAAGCGGTGGACGAGCTTGAGGTGCGGGAGGAGGGTCGGGGAGTCGGCCTGGAAGAAGAGGGGCTCCTGCTCGCAGACGTAGAGGGAGCAGCGGTCGGGCAGCTTCATCTGCTCGAGCGAGGCCTTCTTGGGCATCACCTCGTCGATGTAGGGGTTCAGGAGCGGGTAGGAGGTCAGCAGCGACTGGCGCAGGGCGCGCTGGACCGAGGACTTGAGCTTTTGCTTCGGCGCCGAGGAGATGCTGTGCGGAAGGAGGGGTCGGGCGTTAGCTTTCCGGATGGGGGCTTTGGTGGGTGATGGAGGGAGAGGGAGGCTTACTCTTTCTTGAACATTTTGGCGGCTTTGGGACTGACGACTGCGATTACGGAGAGGGTATCACTGGAGGGTGTTTGGAGGTGGTCGAGGCCGTCGCGTCGTGGGTTTTGTCTCGTGATGAGGTGAATTGATGGTGGGGTTGTTTGGAGAGCGAGCATCGCAGGAAAATTGCCCCGCAGTCGGGCGGGCGGGGTAGACCGGAGTGGCACTTTTGGAGGGGCAGGCGCTACGGGGGTGCGGCATCACGTCACTACCAATATTTCACATGTTGCAGTTTAGGTACAGCAAAGCAGTGTTTGCAAGCGAGTTAAAATTTGTATTCGTTCAAAAAAGAGTTGTCTTTACGGTCGTTCAAAACATCGAAGTCTCATCGTTCGTCATCCAGCTGTGCGTCCTCCCGAGGCTCGGAGATCAAGCCCATCTCGTGGCGTCGTCTCGGCTTAACCGTGGATGACGTGGGAGACGGTGCCGTCCTCCTTGACGTGCACGTTGAGTCTGTCGGGCTTGAAGTCCTTGGTGACCATCATGCCGGGCTCGATGACGCGACATTGCTCGGGGAGGTCCTTCTTGCAGAACGTCTGGTGGTGACGGCGTCAGTGGAGTTTCAGGGTGCGAGTTTGTAAGGGCATGTCACTTACGGTCTCGTTGGACTCCTCGTCGTGGAGCTTCTTTCCGACGAGCTTGTTGGACCACTCCTCGGTCTTGGCCTCGTCGGTGATGTTGTTGATACCGGGAACGACGAGAGGCATTTTGGCGGTTGTTTTTAGGAGTCGAGTAGATAATTGGAGTAGGGTTCTGGGAGCAGATGGTTCTGGTGATGTTTTTTGGATAGATGAAATGAAAAGATGCCGGGAGAGAAGTGGACTTTAGGCTGAGGCCGGTCGAGGTCGATGAAGGGTTCAACAAGGTTGGTGGTCTGGACTCGAGGGGACGAGCGATGACGTCGTAATTTTAATGGGGGCGGGGTGACTTCGTTTCTGGCAGGTGCTTAACGGTTCCCGTCACAGGGACTGAGCCGGCTCCCACTCCGACGGAAAGCGACTTGACGACACATCTGAGGTCGGTACGCCAAACTTACTTGGAGCCTCATTGCATCCCTGCTTACTGGAAGATATTGCAATCAATTTTAGCATGAAGATATGATGATGGCATCGCGTGTGATTGATGGCATGATTGAATGTCATCGTGGTGAAGAAATCCATGGTGCGATGGTATTCAGCCCGTTGTTTTACATGCGCCTTTTGTCTCATTGACCAGCATTTTAGGAAGGTAGCAGCGAGTGAGGATAAACCGCATATCTCAAGTTGACTTATCGAGGAATGCCACTGGCGATGCTAGGAGACGCGGAATTCATTGCGCATGGATGGCGAGCCAATCATTTCGTTGCATGGAGACCGCACGCAAGCCTCAAACCTACCACGTCGGGAGCTGCCAGAAGCACGTGGCTGAGGTGCACGCCTGCCAACCCCAGCCACAATGCAGAAAATTCCCTACCTAGGTAGTATAGGTAGCGAGATCTTGGCTGAGATCGGGGAACCACTGCGGTGAAGATCATCGTCAGCTTTTAAGCTTACCTTCCTGACTTGGCTGTCATCGCCGGTGGGATGATATTGCTTATTTTCTTACCTAAGCCCAGGCACCTCAATATCTACCTCACTTTACCTTATAGGTATTGCAACGAAACAAAACAGAGGAAGGTACATTGAGGCTTTCCGAAAGCCGTGGAAAAGTAACGACTCTAATCGATTCTCACGGAAAGCATGACTGGCCACCTATGAGAAGAGGTATTCGTAGTCAAACGGAAGGTGGGTGAGCGCCTTCCTCACTTCCATGTCAAGTTTGGGTGGGCTGACTGGCAAACTGGCAAGTGCACTTTGGCTGGCATATGGCCAGTGCACACCAACCGAGTCTGCCCCTAGTGCATTCCTTCCCAGGCAGAATCATTTCATTCGCGCAGCTGCCTGTCTCTCCAAGGCTGGCCTTATCAGGATGGAATATTCTCAAGGACCCAAGGCGAAAAGGTCGCAATATCGGGGGTTTAGGGGGAAAGAGGCTGAGAGGCTCAAGTCCCTTGTTGTTTACGTATCGAACACGCAAACTCGCTCGCATTTCCCCCTCGCATACGAATAGAAACACGTCTGCCCGGGATACTTACTCGAGCTTCTCCATCCCCGGCCGTTCATCCCATTTCGTCAACCAGAGTCAGCGGGAATGGAAACGCCGCCCCGCCCCGCTGACAACCCGAAAGTCCCTCCCGTCCAGAGAGAAAATCCTTTGCTGACGGCTCCTCAGGCACGCTTTTTTCACCCTCAGTTTCTGCCCTCGTCGCGCTTATCCTATCACGCCTCAGTCCGAACTACGGCTCCGTCTCAGGTGGATGCCATCGGGGACGGTTCCATCGCCAGTGAGGCTTCCGGTCTGACCGCGTCAACCGTTGACGTTCTCGACTTTACGGAGACATCCCGGCCTACCGGCGACTCCATGTTCCCTGTCGCTTGGGATGGCAGCACAACCAGAGACACAGACCATCGCCAAACGTCGAAACATCAAACGGCGTTTGTCTTCGACGTTCATCCCTCTGTTGGTGATCAAAGTAACCCAACGTCGACACCGCCTGGGTAGTCTTACCGACCTCCCTCTCGCGGTACATCGCACCACGCCGAAACCAACCACTGCGGCTTTGTCACCTGCAGAAAGGAACTTCAGCTCCTGCTTGGCCTTCACCGTCTGCCGACGGGGATTGGGGACTGGGGGAGGCTGGCTCAGCTTCTAGGGTGTCAGGACCCAAGTCTCAGCCACGGACCAACCCAGCCCAGCGCCAACATGCATTTTTTTCAAGCCGCAACAGGGATGCTGTTTGGCCCATCACCACAGCCCACGACGCTACTTTGCCGAGCAAGCGAAGAGGGTCCTTTTCTTCTTCTCCCGCCAGGTGCCCGCCCCCTCATCCCGTCTCAGTTGGTCCAACGAAAATGCTGCAGCCTGAGAACACCGCGGAACACACTGCCAAATTCTGGCCCAAAAACAGTCTGAACGTGCGTGCCATTGGCTGAATATCCGAACGTCGGCGGAAGGGTCCCCCTTGTTCGTGGGGCCTTCTTAGAGTTTGTTCAGTGCCATCTGCGCTTGAACCATTCAGGACAAGCATGAGACGGGAGCAGAGCGAGCTACTTTTAGAATGGAATTGTGGCCTCCAAGTCGATAGGGACAGACATAATCTGCCTCTCGATAAACAAACAAACGTTCAATCAAGCCAAGATGGCAAACCGAGAAGGAAATGGGGCCAGCAGAAGGCCTTTGCCTAGGTTCACCGTATGTCAACTCCAAGTGGGCAGGCTCCAGAGACGAGCCGTCCAAAGCCCTCCCACCAGCCCGGCCGGTGATGGCCGTCCAGGAACAACGTAAGCAACATGGGGCGAACCCCTCCAGATGAGATGAGGACATGGCCTAAATATGGAGGCAGACGCCGTCAGCCACCACGCCGCACGCTCTTATTCGCTGGAGCAGCAAGCAAAGAGCTTCCTGGGAAGGGCGGTGCCGCAGCTTGCAGCGCCATCGACAAGACACGTACCCTCCGTGCCGTGACCATCATATCACCGGTTTGCAAGTACCTCGCCTCAATGCCGTCCCCAGACGGTACGGGATAGCCACGGCTTCTGAGCGAGATGAGCTCCAGCCTTACCATAGTACCTCCCCCATTGTCTGGGTCTACTGCAGGTAAGCCACGAAAATGGAGGAAAATGCCTAAGCGGATACTTCACCATGCCCGCTCCATCAGACGCCTTACCCGAAAGGGCTTTTGAGGGCCCGCGCGCTGAGGTGCAGATGCTCGTGGCATTGTCATTGGCATCTTCGCAGGGGAGGGCAACACCGGAGGACAGGACGGGGGAGAGACAAGACCAGGCCGGCGAGAATGGGAACACGCCAAAAAAAGGATCCAGCAGGTCCAGCCAAGCCCCAGGCGCCAACCGGCGTTCTTCCCTCTCGCCTTCTTTTTTATTGACCCTCATTCCCATCTCACCCGGGCTTGATCCTTCTTGCTCCTCTCCTTTTTTTGTTTTCAACTCGCTCCTCAGCCTCGACGCGGTAATATCCTCTCCGGTGCCTCCTCAACCGGGACGTCTAATAAGCAGTTTACTCTGTCTTTCCCTACCAACCAACGTTCCTCACCTTCACCTAATACCTAGCACTCGGTATCCATCGACGACAACTCTTCGAGCCTCGCCTCTACCTACAAATCCCCTACCGATCCGAGCCAAGCGTCCGAAAAAGGAAGCTGCCAAACCTCGACCTCAACTCGTCACACAAAAGTCTCTCCCAGCATCTTGGGCCGGCACTTGGGCATCCGTCCATTCCGAACTGCTACTCTACCTACCCACTCGCACACCCACTCACAACCGACTTCCGCTCCGGCATTCGGGACAGCTCCCCACAAAACCGGCTAAAATGCGCTCTTACCAGTCCGCCCCGGCGCTCCTTGCGCTTTTCGCTACCGTCGCGTCCGCCGTGACGCCGGCCAGACTGCACTGCCTCCGATCGCGAAATGTCGAACTTTCACGACTAGGCGGCTGCGGCATGGCAGGATCCGTCGCTGCCTGCTTGTTTATGGTTCCGGACGACGTCACGCAAGCCGACCTCGAGACGTGCTGGGTGAACGCCGGCTGCGACTTCACGGAGGCGGTTGTCGAAGCGCAATGGGCTCTGGAGAGGTGCGATGAGTTCGGAAACATTGCCGAGGAGCTGCGCATCCGCCACGCACCTGGTGCGATGGTGCAGGCCCGCGCGACAACCGACACAACAGCTGCTGCTACCACCACCGCAACCGGCGCGACCACGGCGACCGCTGCCACGACTGCGACTGCCGCTTCTACCACGGCCGCTACCACCGGTACTGCCACTACGGGCACCGGAAGCTCATCAACAAAGGTGTGCTCTACCACCACGACCAAGTCGACGACGGCATGCCCCGTCTACTCGACCGGTGCCAGCTCCGGCAAGACCATCACCAGCGGCTGCTACTCGACGACGGTCGCCTTCGAGACCTGCGCCGCGGGCATGCTTTGCCAGGACGACTCCTCGGGCAACCCGTCGTGCTTGTTGATCGACGACAACATCGGCGGCGGCGGCATTGCCGTCGCCCTCTTCTTCGCCGTTGCCATTACGGGCGCCATCGGCACCATCACCTTCCTGTGCTGCCGCGACCGCAAGGAGAGGAAGCGCATTCAAGCCAAGGCCGAGGCTGCGGCCATCGCGAAGGAGGCCAGGGCTTCTGGCAAGGCGCCTACGATGCCCGTCCAGCCCGCCGAGCAACCGCTCATCTCGCAGGACGGCAACCAGCCGTACGATGCCCACAGCAACGGCGGCAACGGCGGCAACCCTTTTGACAACCGCAACCACATGTAAGGCGGACGGACGTGCAGGGGGTTGGCTGTATGGTAACACGAACGGACGGGAGTGGCCATACATGATTATTGTATCGGCGGATATGGGTGAAAGCATGGTCAAGATACCTCATTGCGATTCTGGTTTTTCGGTGTTTACGGGCTGCATCATATGCCATGGTTAATGGACGGGGTAGAGAGACAAAAATATCCAACGATTCTTTCCAAGTTTGACGCGACGCGTGGTTCATCATGCTTTGTGAGCTGCTCATTTCTCGCGTTGGGATGGCTTTCCTGCGTGGCCGTCTGATCAGGGGTTCCGGAGCATCCCGGATGAGGGGTCCGACTGCCGGGAGTTGGCCGGCAATACCTTCCTTGGTGAGCAGCTAAAGTACGTACGCTAACGTCTTGGGCTGAGGTAGACAGCTTCACGTGCCGAATCGGCTCAATTGAAGAATAACCCCTCAATTACAGGTGAATTTGCCTTTTAATGCCATGTTGCGACTTTTGGTGGCGTACGGGTAACCGTTCAAGCGGTTGCCCATTTGAACGGTTACCCATGAGGAGGTCAACCCGCATCCCGATGCCAAGGCGCGTGAGGAGACAACGGGAGAAACCACGATGCCGCAGTCGTGGCGCGACAAGTGTCATAGACTCGGACGACGGACGAATGGCGGTGATGGACGATAGGAAAAGATAGGGTGGTTTTGTGGAGGTTTTCGTGTCGAGCCCGTGTCAGCTTTTGTTCTGGTGGTTCTGGAATGGAAAGCGGTTGCAGGTGTGTTTTCTCCTCCCACTTTCCAGCTGAGGTAATACACGCATCTGTTGCGGCAGCAGCAGGAGCAGTAGCCAGTGAGAATTTTCATTTTCATTTTTTTTTTTTAATCTACACCCCTAACCCAATATTACATACACAATGCAATTATCCATTTAATAGCCATATATCAGCAGCAGCCAGTGAGAATTTACGTGGTTCCATGGAGTCCCTTTTCTCTGCGTCGGGGTCCCGGTCTGCAGTGGACAGCTAGAGGTGGGGATTCGTTGGAGGAGGGAAGCCAATCAGGATGAGTCATAAACCAATCCAATTGGCAGAGAAGAGGAAAAAGGCGGCAGTAATGACCGAAAGGGAAAAGGCGGTGGACGGCAACGTGCAGGAGGTGGCAAGTAAAAGCCAATGGCCAGGCGGTCCAGGCACGACGGTCACAGCAGACCACTGAAGACCATTGAAAAAGACGCCGATATCGCCACCCCAGATTGGACGAATGGCCCGTGCCTTCCCCCCGCTAACTGCTATCGACCAATTGCAGATGGTCTACCCCACACATTGACGGCCGATAATTTTTTTGGTTTTTTTTTTCCCTGCCTCCGAAACAGCAGTCTTCGAACGGTGCTAGCGGACTTGGGGTCCAGTCATTGCCTCTCTGACTGGACGTCCAGCGCTTCTGCTGCTTCTGCTGCTGCTGCTGCTGCCACAGAGTGTAGTCCCCGGCCCGGTCCAAATTCGACCTCCCCCGTCTTCTCTCACAACCTGACTCTTAGACTTCGAGATCCTAAAATTTCCAATTGCTCCGCGATCTCTACGCTGCAACCTTCTTCACAGTCCCCCTCCCCCCTGCGATCGTCCAATTCGACGAGCCGCGCTCTCTTTCCCCCCCCCCTCACGACCTCGACGAGGAAGTGCTTTCGGTTTCTTGATTCCCTCTTCTGTTTTCTTTGGTTCTGCCCTCTCCACTCTGCCCGTCATGATGCTCCGAAGCCGCCACGCCACTCGTGCCCTCAGGGCCGTCACCACAAGAAGCGCTCCCCGCGCCTTCACCACCTCCTCAGCTGTCGCCGCTGTCCAGGCCGCGAAGAAGGTCCCCTCTGGCGTGAGGAATAAGGCCACTGCTGCCTCTTCTGCTGCTCCGTACGTATTGCAATCGCTCTTGCCGCTTGTCTCGCCGCTCTTGTACTGGCATAGAGATACCGCAAGGTGACTCACGAGAAAACTCGAGGCTGACCAGAGACTTCAACTGTAGTGAGATCCGCGAAGCACCCGCGCCTGCCTTCAACGCCGAGAAGGACCGCAGCCATGTTCAGCCCCTCGTCAACCCCCGCGGTCCCGAGATGGACGAGTCGTACGTCAACCTGGCACCGTTACCGCCACCGCCGACTTATAAGCGCACGGAAGCTTACACTGTTACACAGGTTCATTGGCAAGACTGGTGGAGAGATCTTCCACGAGATGATGTTGAGACAAGGCGTTAAGCACATCTGTTTGTGACCCAATTGCTCTTCCCGGCGGCCGTGTTAGTGGTGATTTGGAGAGGAAGCACATCGCTGACCGTGACTCACAGTTGGATACCCCGGAGGAGCTATTCTCCCCGTCTTCGACGCCATCTACAACTCAAAACACTTCGACTTTGTCCTCCCCAAGCACGAGCAGGGCGCCGGCCACATGGCTGAGGGCTACGCCCGCGCCTCCGGCAAGCCTGGTGTCGTCCTCGTCACCTCCGGCCCCGGTGCGACCAACGTCATCACCCCCATGCAGGACGCTCTTTCCGACGGTACCCCCATGGTCGTCTTCTGCGGTCAGGTCCCTACCTCTGCCATCGGTAGCGACGCTTTCCAGGAGGCCGACGTTATCGGCATCTCCCGCGCCTGCACCAAGTGGAACGTCATGGTCAAGAACGTCGCCGAGCTCCCCCGCCGCATCAACGAGGCTTTCGAGATCGCCACCAGCGGCCGCCCCGGCCCCGTCCTCGTCGACCTTCCCAAGGACGTCACCGCCAGCGTCCTGAGGAGAGCCATCCCCACCGAGGTCGCCCTTCCTTCCCTCCCCAGCCAGGCCAGCAGAGCCGCCATGGCTCTGCTCCACAAGCAGCTCGAGCAGTCCATCTCCCGCGTTGCCGACCTCGTCAACATCGCCAAGAAGCCCGTCATCTACGCCGGCCAGGGTATCTCCCAGTCCGCCGGTGGTGTCGAGATCCTCAAGGAGCTCGCCGAGAAGGCTTCCATCCCCGTCACTACTACCCTCCACGGCCTGGGCTCCTTCGACGAGCTCGACGAGAAGTCCCTGCACATGCTGGGTATGCACGGCTCTGCCTACGCTAACTCTGCCATCCAAGAGGCCGACCTCATCCTGGCCCTCGGTGCCCGTTTCGACGACCGTGTGACTCTGAACATCGCCAAGTTCGCTCCTGCCGCCAAGGCTGCCCACGCTGAGGGCCGCGGCGGTATCGTCCACTTCGAGATCATGCCCAAGAACATCAACAAGGTCGTCCAGGCTACCGAGGCCGTCGAGGGTGACGTCGCCGCCAACCTCCGTACTCTCATGCCCCTTCTCAAGACCACCACAATGGAGGACCGCAAGGAGTGGTTCGACAAGATCCGCGCGTGGAAGAAGAAGTGGCCCATGTCTGACTACGAGCGCGCCGAGCGCTCTGGTCTGATCAAGCCCCAGACCGTCATCGAGGAGCTCAGCAACCTCACTGCCGACCGCAAGGAGACGACCATCATCGCCACCGGTGTCGGTCAGCACCAGATGTGGACCGCCCAGCACTTCCGCTGGAGGCACCCCAGGACCATGGTCACCTCCGGTGGCCTGGGTACCATGGGCTACGGTCTGCCCGCCGCCATCGGCGCCAAGGTCGCTCGCCCTGACGCCCTTGTCGTCGACATTGACGGCGACGCCTCCTTCAACATGACCCTCACCGAGCTTTCCACCGCTGCTCAGTTCAACATCGGCGTCAAGGTCATTGTCCTGAACAACGAGGAGCAGGGTATGGTCACCCAATGGCAGAACCTCTTCTACGAGGACCGCTACGCCCACACTCACCAGCAGAACCCCGACTTCATGAAGCTGGCCGACGCCATGGGTGTCCAGCACCGTAGAGTCATCAAGCCCGACGAGGTCGTCGACGCCCTCACGTGGCTCATCAACACCGACGGCCCCGCCCTCCTCGAGGTCGTCACCGACAAGAAGGTGCCCGTCCTGCCCATGGTGCCTACCGGATCAGGTCTGCACGAGTTCCTGACATGGGACGGAGGTTAGTCTCCTCTCCCCCCGTTCTCTGATACAATTGCTAACTCTCTCGCAGCGAAAGACAAGAAGCGTCGCGAGCTGATGCGCGAGAGAACCTGCGGTCTGCACGGTTAGAAGCGCGAAAAAGTCGCAACCTCTTTCTTGTTCATCTAATTTTTCAAGCACATCGGAGGCGTCCATGCATATTGCTCTCTCTCATCTTATACCACCAGCTTTCGTTGGTTCTCATTCCAGTCACACGAGGGCCAACGACATTTTTCCAAATCCATCGGGACCAGGGTTTACTTCACGGGGCGACGAAAAATCAAAACGGGTTTCCTGAAAAAAGTGCAGCAGGGTTGTCCAGCAAAGTCAAAATGTCAAAAAATCATTTCAAAATACCTACCTGATCTAAAAAGTGCTTTTTTCACGGCATCACATCTTTGGGGAAATTACTTGTTCCAGGGCATCGAGAGGAAAAAACACGAAATATCACGATGGGTTGACTGACGTCAGGGTCATGAACTACCGCGCCAATCACATGGTCTTGAAGAGATGGATTCAAGCCGCCATCTGAGATATTTGTACATATATAACTTTACCAGTTGCTGTTCAAAAGGTTATCAAAGCCTATCGCCTCGCGGTTGCTGTCTTCGCGCCGCTCCGAAGGAGCTGGTTGCGAACTTGACCTTCGATTCATACCGTCCCCGCAGCCGGCTACGACGGGCGTCGCCCGGCAAGGCAGATTTAACATGTTTTCCCGATACGGATAATGGCATCAAACCGAGCCTCGCCCCCCAGAGCAAACAGCATCATCGACCTTCCGCTTTCGAGCTGACCACCCCGGCCGCTCGTTTTCCGAGCTCGTTGAACCAACACAGGGTGTGATTTGTGCGGGCGCTTAACAAGCTTACTGGCCCCGTACTTCAGTCATGAAATCTCTCAGTTTCTCCACCCCGGCTGTGCGGGCTGCAGATCAGCAGATGAATCGTTGGACGGTACTCATCTTCGTTCGACTGTAAGAATTGCTTCAAAGGCATTCACCAGATCCCGTCAATTTATTACAGACGAGCTGCCTCGCAGGAGATAGCAGCAAGAAAGCGATCCCAACCCTTCAGCTTTTCGATAGCCGCCCGGCCTCGGTCACGGTTTGCGGCACAGTTCGAGTCACCCCGGCGAGCATCTGTTGGGACCGGGGTGCTGGGGAATGAGATGCTCGCTAATGCAGGCCTTCTGGGGCTGATTGAGTCTCTTGGAGTCTTGAGCCTTCCGCCCCCATTTCAATGCACTCAGCCGCCAATGTTTGCTGCTTGGCCGCTTCTTCGCACATGGAAAATCTTACCATAACGAACCGTTTTGCAGCTGACGGTCCCGCTGACGCCCGCCTATCCATGACCATGATACCACCCATGAATCTTGGTAAAGATGACGGGAGGAGCCTTCCGCGCTGGGCCTACATAAAGGCGACGACATGCCCGGGACGGGTGTGCGTGTGCCGCTCCCCATAGTTGGAGTTGCAACACGGATTTGAGCACGACTTGCCAAGATGGCTCCTTTTGGGGATACTCGACAGCCGATGCTGGTCGAGACGGATCACAAGATTGCTCGCAAGCCGGTCGCCGTGAGAAGCTCGACCCAGTACACGTATTTCACGGTCGAGACGCCTCTGGAGACGCCCTGCTCGCCCCCCGACGCCAAGGATAAGAAGTGGGCGGGCAGAATCGGAGCGAGTGAAAAGAGTGCTTCGACGGACGACGGACGGGTGATGACCGACGGGGTGTCTGTTCACCCGCCGTGGCGACCGCATTGGCTGCGGCCGGTTGCTCTCGCGGGCTTTGCTGGGCTCTTCCTTTGCATTACCATTGCTCTCCCCGTCATGCTGTGGTATTCCGAACGCAACGATGGTATTGTCAAGACTACACAGGACTTTGGATATGTGTGGAGGTTTGGTCCGACGGCCGGTAAGAGTTCTGATGCTTTGGTGATTGAAGACGTGTTATCTAACCTGGACACAGTCTTCACGCTCATCGCCGCCTTCTGGACCAGAGTCGAGCTGCAGTCCATGAGATACATGCCCTGGATCGCCCTCCGCCGCGGACAGCCCCTCGATCCCGATCTGGACTACACCGCCATGCTCATGCCCGCCGTTCTCTACCAGTCGCTCCGTCGCAAACACTGGCTCGTGTTCCTGGTCTCCGTCACCTCGCTTCTGCTCAGGGCCGAGATCGTGCTCGCCCCCGGTCTGTTCCGGCTCGCTCCCATTCGGGTCCGAGAGCCCGTCGACATCAAGACGAGGGATTCTTTCAACCTGAACTGGTCTACCGCGGACTATTACAGGGAGACTTTAATTGGCTATTACGCCGCCCGAGCGATCCACGATTTCGACATGGCGTATCCCTTCGGCGTCACCGGCGAGGCGGCCTACCAGACGTTCCAGCTCACCAAGGACGGGTCCCGCGGAACGACCACTGCGCCTCTCAGGACCGAGGTGGACGCCTTCTTCACCAACATGACGTGCCTCAAACTCGAGAGCTACTCGGTAACAAATATACAAAATGCTTCGACGTCTTCTACCACCGGAAACTTACAGCCCTCGGAGACTTACGGGCGCTACTACTTCGCCAACGTCTCTCTACTCTTTGAAGGCTGCCAGCAAGAGGTGCCGATACGCGTCGCGACGTCTGATAGGCCAAGGACCGGCGGCGATAAGGCCCTGCTTACGACGGGAAACTTCGAGAATTCCTGGTACGTCATAAACAGTCTCGAACCACTACCGCGCCCCTGTCCCGGCCTCCCGCAGCAGCACCCGCAGTTCCTGTACTACGCCGGACAGTTTGAGCGCTTCAAGAATGGGAACTCGACGGCTTCGCAGCGGGTGGAGCACAAAACTCTCGGCGCGGTGCTCTGCTCGCAGACCGCGTGGGTGTCAAAGGCCGAGGTCGACGACGACGGCATCAGCCCCAACGTCACCGCGTTGGACGGCACGCCCACGACGCCCGTCGAGACTGATCTTTGGAAAATCTTGGGCGAAGCCGTGCCCCGCACCCCTGGTGGCTGGACGAGCCGGACTCAGAGCGGCGAGGATTACGGTCCGGTCACGGGGGAGTTATCTTTCGCCGGGACGCGCGACTTCGCCGACACTACCGACAAATTGTACAACACCACTATTAGCCTTTACCGGAGGCTTGCGCCGTTGCTTGGCCATTACCTCTTTCGTGCCGAACAGGAAGGCGCGGGAGTCGGTGAGACCTCGACTGCTGTTGACAAACTGGAGTTTAACCGGCAGGTCTGCTGGGCCATGATCGCCGTAGCAGCCGCCATGACCGTCATCGTAAGCCTCGTGCTTGTTCGATCTAGGCGTCACACTCAGGTGTGGCACCGGGATCCTGCGACCATCCTGGGGAGTCTCCTCTTCCTGAACGATCATCCGAGTCTGCGGGAGGCATCCGAAAGGGACGATGAAACGCTCAAGAGGAGCTGGAGCGAGTGTTCTTTCTCCCCTCTAATCATCAGGCCTTGGGTTCAGTTTGTCTTTACCATCTTTGTCTGTGGTCTTCTGGTGGGCCTCGGCACCACCCTGCAGTCGTCGATAGAACACCACGGCCTGGCGACGGTGGATGAAACCGGATACTGGTATCTCTTGTGGACGTCGCTCCCGGCCATGATCATGCTCGGGGTCTCGCTCTACACCAGCTCCAACGACTTCGTTCTACGCAGTCTTTCTACCCTCTACAACCTATCCGTCCGGCCCTGTACCTCCAAGCAACTGGACTCCTCCATGCTCGACATGCTCGGCATACGCGCTCTGTACGAAGCGTCCCGCCAGAGGTCGTGGACGATCGCTACCTCGCAGACCATGGCGCTTATTTGCGGCATCTTGGCAACCCTCGCCACTATTCTCTTCTCGGTGGAGACCGTGCCGACTTCGGTGGCGATGCAGTTGGATCAGAAGAGCTGGTTCGGAAACGTCGACATCCCCAAATATAACGAAACGTCCGAATTCCAGCACAACCGGGCGAATCTCAGGAGTCTGCTGGTGTGGAAGGGCGAAGCCAACGTCACGTACCCGAAGAATACGTATGCCGACATGGCGTTTCCCCTGATCGACGAGTCGCGGTTGTACCTCCTGAACGCCACCAAACAATCCACGATACACCTCAGGATGCCCGCCGCGAAGCTAACGTCGAGCTGCCAACGGTTGCCCAACGATAAATTCAACATTACTCTGTCGAACTACACCGAGGCTTCGGGGGAGTTCACCAAAGAAACGGTCTACCAAGGACCCATGCTCACATGGGAGAAGTGCCCCGATGGCAAGCTGGCAATGCTGGGTCAGCAGTTCGTCGTGGGACGTAACCAGACCGGCAACAACCCGGGCACGTCGTACTTCGCCGACATCCTCGATTCCCCCGGGAACATTTTCCACATGAACCAGCAATGCAAGCTCAATATCACTGACGTCAACGACATGCTCGGCACGACGCTCCAGAAGACGTACGTGTGGGGCCAGTGGAACTACCTAGAAGCAAAGTTCGACCTCCTGCGCTTCTGGCGGTGCGACTACTTCTGGTCCGTCGTCATGACGGACGTCACCCTCGTCAAGGGCGCCGACGGCCAGCTCACCATCGACCAGAACAACCCCCCCGTCCCGGACATGTCCACGGCCACCAGCTTCGACCCGCCGATGAACGTCCTCCCGGACGACCGCGACCTCGCCAAGAGCTACGCGGGCTCCATGCCGGAGCTGGGGTCCGCGAACCCCGACATCTTCGTCAGCGACCCCTCCGCCGGCGACGTCAACCCCTCGTTCCGTCCCATGATCCAGCCCTACGGCACGCTCGCGCCCGAGGCCTTCGGCGACCCCGCCATGGAGGACCGCATCCTCGAGGCGCTCCACGCCAACTGGGGCTTCTCCAGCGCCCAGACGCTCAACCTCGAGAACCGCCTCGGCGTCGGCGAACCCTCCCGCACCGCGCCCTTCCCGGCCGCCGGCCTGGCCCCCGTGGAGGCCGTGGTGGTCGACGACGGGCGGCGGAGGCTCGTGCAGAACGCCACGGTCACGTACGTCGTCGTCGCGATCCTGGGGTTCGTGGCGTGCATGAACATCTGGACCGTCTTCTCGCGCGTCATGAGGCGCTACGCCGGCGTCCAGTGGCGCTGGTTCAGCATGGACGTGCGGGGCCTCGCGCCGGACCGCTTCGGGAGCCTCGGGTTGACCGCCAGCCTGCTCTGGGACTCCAACGCCGCGGAGAACATACCCGCGCGGTCCCGCGCGGTGGCGACGGGCGACGTGCACGGGATGCTGAGCGACTTGCGCTTCCGGCTCGGCTGGTTCCGCAGGGGGGCGGACGGGGAGAGGAGGTTCACGGTGGGCGTGCTGGGGGATGAGAAGTTCCAGTGGGTGGAGAGTAAGGCGGAGCGGGAGGGGAAGGGGAGGATGGTCCCGAAGGGGCTTTATGAGAAGGTCGGGAATGGGTCGGAGGAGACGGGGTATCGAGGAGGGGAGGGTGAGGTTGGGGAGAGAGGGGGTGGAAGGGGAGGGTGGTTTTGATGGGATTTAACGGGGTGGGTTTGTGAATTTTTGATACCCAGTTTGACTTTGTTTAAGAATAACAAGACTATTATCAGGAGATGAAGTTCGTATTAAGCAGCATATACTCTACAAAGTCCGGCTCTGAGTTAAAGCCTTTGGGGTGGGAGTATTGCCCGGCTCTGAGGGAGCTTTATAGCAGTTTACTAATGCGACTTCCTTAGTTCTTTAATGTAAGTCTAGCACTTTAGCCTATGCTATCTCGCAATATAACAAATGGATATAAACAACAGTCGAAGTGGTATTGACTGATGAGCTCAGAGCTAAAGCCTTCATATACTACTTTCTCATCTTCAAGCAATAGAAGTTAGCTATTATATCGTCGCTGCTCTGTTTCACGAATTGCGCCGCTATTAAGTCCGAGATACAGGAAACGTATGTGAACGTCAGCCAACTTTAGACCTCGTTTCCAGCCACTGAGATGATCCGTGCTATTGAAGCCACATGTTAAAAGGTTCCCCCCATCTTGACTCGGGCTAGTCCGCGTCTCAAGCTTGCCCAACGGTCCAACACATGGGACGGCGCCCGCTAGTATCAGTTTACGTGTACACACCGGAAACTCACCGGTGACCGAGCGGTTTAAATTCGACACTTCCATGCCAGCTGTCCCCGCATATCCACCGGCGCGGCAAAATATCCGGCTTCATGTGTCCTCCAGACCAAGGTCAATATCAATGCAAACACATAGAAAGCTAGCTGATTCACCTTAAAACTTCAATGTCTTCCCCCCTGCTTATCTGCATGAACATTGGATGCGAAACGGTCACTTCGAGAGACTGAAAAGTCACATCTACAGATCATCCTTTTTAAGATGTCGTTCAAAGTTGACTCGGACCTCAAGCGTCCCAACACGTGGGAAGAACACTTCACAGATATCATCGGCGGCAACGTAGCTGTTGCCAAGTGGCGACATGTTCCGGACGAATCGACCTTCGATGACGACGAAGCGTTCCGCATCATCCGCGATGCGATACTCGAGCAGCACAATGATCCGCAACGACTGCGGAAGACCGCGATCGAGATAGCCGGTCTGCTTCCCGCGCAACAATCGGCTGATTATCTTTCCTCTCTGTGGAGTTTATTCATCTCATTGGCCCAGCAGACGCCGTCGAGCAATGTTGCCATGCTGGATTTGGTGGTCATCCTCGACCACCTCTCCATGTCTCCCAAGACCACAATAACAGTTACAGTGGTAGGTTAAACACAATGACGTCGTCATTTTTCCCATCTCTTACTCCCCACAGGACGGATTTGAGCAGCTGAGCCGTCTCCACGGCCTGAACCAAAGTGTCCGGAATCGCATGGTGTGTAAGTCGCCTCCTTCGTAGAATGCCACATGAGACACCGCTCAGAATCACACACAAAAAGCCCCCCACGTCTCCGACGAAGCGATGGAGACGCTCACCAGGTGGATCAACATCAACGCCTTCGCCGCCCTGCTGTGGTCCTACAACCTCATCGACGGCCGCGACCACGCGATCCAGCAGCTCCGCTCCGCCTTCGAGGAGGACCGGCGCTCTTCCGACGTGAACGGCAAGGACGCGGCCGACGCGCGGCTCATGGCCGCCGCCCAGTGGGCGATCTACTCTTGCCAGCGGCTGTACCACCTGTCCGTCACGTCCGAGGCCACGTCGCCGAGCCCCGCGGACGGCAGCAGCAACTGCGACAAGCGCTGGAAGCCGGGCGCTCGGTTCAAGGGGCGTTCGGGGTTCTCGTTCCGGAGGTGGGAGTTTTGGCAGCAGGGGTTCGAGGAGGCTCATGATTTTGGAGGGGGAGGGATTGAGGCCAAGGTTGAGGCGGAGGCGGCGGGTGGGATGATGGAGAAGGTTCTCTATGCCGGGTTTGAGGTGATTTGAGTTGTAGGTTAAATGATGGGGATTGTGAGTGTATCAGATGATTGGGAGGGAGGTGTGATCGTTATGAATCTGTTATGCCGCTTTCGATGACCCTTGCGGAAAGGCAGGAGATAATGACACAGATTATTGGCTCATTGAGGAGATTGGATGAACCAAGTATGAAAATTGATGGAGAGCTCGCACGTGTCTCTCTAAGAGTGTAGAAAGCAACGTAATACTAATGCTTGTAGATAAAACAACACGTTTAAGCCCTACCTGGATAGCTTCTACGCTTACGACGGGATACTTCATGTCTTCCGCTCACTGCCCAGCAACAACTCGTAGCAGTTGACGGAGGGGTGTGAAGGTCTTGGTTGATGACTATCGCGAAGATGCTAAAGCGTATTTAGACGATGTCATAGATTTTTGGTGTGTTCAAGAAGGAAAACCGTGGAAACAAGTGCAAATAGACATATTAGAAAACATATATGAATAATCTAATGTTGAATACTCCTAAGACAAATCAAGACAGACCATGAAACATGAGTACTGGCAGGCTCAACCTAATGCCCATTAATATTTAATGAGGTTTAATGCTGCCGTCCCGATTGGAAACTATCCGACGCTTGTTACTCAGCACTGAACATATAATGAGTCTATATCGAATCTATTACATCCAATTTCATGTGTTTAAGTATACCAGCAAACTACTGGTAGTATATTCACTCTTTTGCAAGTCACCAGGGCCATTCAAGTTCTTACGCCGCATCCTTAACGTCCAGCTCCGTCCCCTTTTGCACTTGTCTGATGAACTCCCCAATCCTTGCCGCCACAGCCTGCGCGCTGTCCTCCCAACCGACAATGGCGCCCATCAACATCGTGTCGTGAACGGCATGCTCTTCATAAGACACCTCCACGTTGCCGCCGGCTTCCTGCATTTGGCGGCACCAGGCAGTACCGTCCGTCTCCAATATCTCGGCCTCGCCCATTGAAACGAAAACAGGCACCTCGGTCTTCCAAGCGTTGCCGAGTGGCGTCACATACGGCATGTTCTCTTCAGCCACGCCGGAGGAGTACACCTTGGCGCCCCAGCGCAGGAACGAGACGGGGAGGTAGTCGGTGCTCCAGTGCTCGTGCTGCTTGTACACGGAGTCGGGTCCTAGACTGGCGAGCGGGTTCACCCAGGGGGCGATGAGAACGGCGCAACTAGGGAGAGCCAGTCCGAGTTCCTGTCCGAAGGTCTCCAGGTAGCGCAGTAGGGCGATCACGAGGTTGCCACCTGCGCTGTCGCCGCAGAGCACGACGCGCTGAGACGGGATGCCGAGGGTCTTGGTGAGGTAGAGGTAGCTGGTGAGGACGTCTTGGAGAGCAGCAGGAAAAGGGTTCTCGGCGGCGGCGCCACCACTGCCGTAGCCCGACAGACGGTACTGCGGCGCGAAAACGGCGTCGGCGCCGGACTTCTCCATGAGCATCTTGGCCATGAAGCCGCAGTACCCGGTACGTCCATCTCCGAGAACGAAAGCACCGCCATGAACTTGCAGAACGACGGTGCCACCAAAGCCACTCTCGACATCCGTCTTCTCGGGGAACCAAGTGCCGCCCACGGTAGCGGGCTTTACATCTGGGTTCGATACCAGAGGGCCGCGGTAGAGGTCAGATGGGAAGGGTTCGACGGTCTGAAAGCGGTCGCCCTCCTTGCCTGCCTTGAGGGTGTGCGTCTCAGTGATGCCCACGTTCGAATACAGGTCAACGATGCTGCGCGTCAGACGCGCCATCAACGTTTGTTTGAAGCCCCATTTTGGGTGAGGACGGCATGCCGGTATGAGAGCCTGGAAAGACCAGACCGGCAGGCAGGAGAGGATAAAGAAGGAGCCGGAAAGCTGGTAGAGAAACCGGAGAGGTTGGTATGAGAGGATAGGAAACCCTTGGCCTTTGGTGTCGGCCATCTTGATAGTCGTAATACCGCTACCGTGCACACAAGTTGAGTGGGCTTTGGTAACGTATTTGGAGATTCCAATGGTTGTTGACTCGACGTTGTCGATCACAGGAGTCACAAAAGACGTATCAATCCCATGGCATTCTAAGGGGCCATGTGAAGGACATCATATTCCGCGTTTCGACTCCACCACGCAATTTGTTATGCGTCGGAACATCTCAAAGAAAAATTTGCGGTGGCCTCATTTCCGCACGATGCTCCAGTGACCAGGCCACGGGCAAGACCGGCATCCGGGGTGCGAAACCGTATCTTTCAACGTTGGTGCAGCTGTTCACTAATTCTCCCGGTTGGGGCTGCTCTCGTTCACTCCTTTTCGAAGTACGTATAATCTCTGCAAAACCGCACAGGCACGAAGCATGTCTGTTCAGACCTCCTGATAGGGTCGACTTTGTTGGTGGTGGACTCTTGAGGCTATTGCGAGTCGTGTCTGCTGTCCCAAATGGTCGAGAGAGTGGATGTTGAATGGAGCGTCGTCGCATAAGGAGTGGATATCACATGATTTTCATGCCAAAAGCACCCTGTACCAACAATAACAGTAACCCTGCACCAACAACTACCTTACCCTACACCAACAGGTACTTCAGTGAAGATTTCGATGCCGGCGCAGGGGATGAAGGAATTAGCCCACTTGAAGTCGCATGGTAGAATCGAGCGATGGGGCTGCTTTGGGCACCGGCACGGCAAAATGTTCCGAATCCTGATGAGCCGCTGCTGATATCTCTCGGCGGAGTGTGGGAACGGGTTGTCGTGCTAAAACAACATCTTCTTCATCCTGCGCGCTGGACGGACGACGCACGCGTATTGGATTACTTCGCCTTACTCTTGAATGGCTGCGACTTGGATCGCACGAGATGTCTTCGGCAACGACAACAGCGGCGACGACGGGAAGTGGTGATCACACGGACAGCGCAATCATCGCCATCAATGTCGTTCTCGCGGTGATAGCCACCGTCACCTGTGTCGGGCGGTTCTGGGCACGAAAACTCACGGGCGTCGGATGGGGTTTGGACGACTGGCTGGCGCTTGCTAGCTTGTTTATCAATCACGCATTCTGTGCCACCACTGTCGAAGCCACAGTCAACGGCGGTCTGGGTCGAAGCATTGTTGTGGTGATGGCTGAGGATCCAGCCCAGCTTATCACGTTTCTGAAGGTGCGTCACTTGAGCTTTCACATAGAAAAATGAAGATAATGAACACTAACACTACCGTAGTGTGTCGTGATCGCGGAGTTCTGTTATGGCTTCTCCTCCCCGCTGATCAAGCTATCTTTGTTGGCATTCTACTGGCGCGTCTTCCCGACGTCGTTCATGCAGAAGGGAATCTACACGCTATCGGCGGCTTGCCTTGGCTGGATGATTGCAATCTTCATCACCAACTGCCTGCAGTGCCGACCGCTGTCTTACACATGGGAGCAGACGACAAATCCCGGCACGGGTACCTGTATTGACCTTATCCTCTACTTCGTGGGCAACTCGATTGCCAACAGCCTCATCGACATTTTGACGCTGGCGCTGCCGATTCGCGAGACCATGAAGCTGCAGGTCAGCTCGAGCAGGAGAGTGGGCATTTGCTGCGTCTTTGCTCTCGGCAGTCTGTAAGTAGTACTGGGGAGTCAAGGTAATATTGGACTTCATGGGCTAATGAGTTGCGAATAGAGTCGTCGTTGCCAGTCTGGTGCGTTTCGGCTCGCTGGCCTCCCTCTACTCCATCGGCGTAACGGACATGACACGTGCGTTAAACGGCTTCCTGTATCTCTTTGAACCTCTTTACTGACAATTTCGCAGAGCAATACGCCCTCATGTGGACCGCCACGGTCGTGGAAATCTACATCGCCATCATCGGCGCCTGCGCAGTCACCCTCGTCCCCGTATACCGCAAGATTCGCTACGGCACGCCGTGGTCGACCGGGGACCAGAAGTCGAACCAGGCTTCATCGGGTGCTGCAGCCTTCGCGGGAACCGGCGGGTCCCGTCCTGGTATTCACAATTTCAAGCGTACCGCGAACCACGAACGTCTGGAGACGGGCAACGATTCGGAGGAGTATCTGCACCGTGGCAGCAACATCAACTACTCGGTGACGGGGAGTGCCAAGCGAGAGGGTCGTGGCGATGACATGCCGATGGACACCATTGTAATGCAAAAGGACGTCACTTGGGAGGAGGAGCGCGATGTGAAGCAGCATGTTTAGGCAGAGGGAGCTGCCATACAATATTATCTACCGACGTAATCTATGGAAATGTTCAATTGAGACGAATACGTTGATATCCACGAGCGAGTTAAGATTTCTTTTGATGGTACACTTTTGTCTACGATGATATAAGAAGATGAGACAACACACCAATCAACAACTTTACCGTTGATGTCAGCTAGGTAACCATCAACGCACAAATTGTTCGTCCCTTGTCTGGTACCGGCGGCCGCCACGAAAGGGGCTCACCGACTCTACGGATACTCTGGCGGCAAGGCAGGTAACATTTTCGACACGTCAACTTTTTTTTCCCGATGTCGAACATGAACATGTGGAGAAGTTCTCAAACGTATGGCCTGGATCCCGTCCGTGCCCTCGTGTAAGGGCGAAGCCAATGGCCCGGTCCGAGGTGGGACATGTCACTCCCATATCCACTGTCGCCGAGTCATGATAATCAACTCCCTTTCCCTTTTTTTCTTCCCGTTCTCTGCCGCGTTTCCGTTCTGCCTCGTTGGCCCGCCATGTTGATAGTTGGGGGCGTAATATACTTTATGACAGGTATAACACAAACGGTGCCTGCCAAAACACCTTGCCAATATTTGCCGCGATATCTCGGGGCCGGTTGATGGTATACGGTGGAATCGGCCGAGATCTGGAAAGACCGCCTGCGCTGATCATTACTGATAAGCAGAGGAGGGGCTTTTTTCAACGCTAGGCAACGGGCTGTTCCTTTCACTCTTGGCATGACTTTGGCAGCATGCAGGGAATTAGACGCTAAGTTCTGCTGGGAACTGACGGTTCTAAGACGGAAGACATTCCGTCCTCCGCGAACGTATTGGGTCTTCAAGAGGACGATCATAATTGATGACAGAGGGACTCATGTGAATGGTGAAGGTCATGAGATGAAGTCCTTGGGGATATATCCATGATGACCCTTGGAGCAGGAGTCTTCCTATCTCGTATGTCGCGGCACCGCCATTCGCAGTATTCACCCTCACTTCGCGTCAGTCAATTTGCGCATCCAACTGGCGAGTTGAGCTGTCAACTCCCAACCACATTCCTTTGAAACATCTGCTACTTCGTTCATTCATTATGATTTCTACTTGGATAGGGTTCACCGCCCTTATTGCTGCGTCCAACTCGGCCGGGGCCCTTGCGAAACCTATCAACACCCGTGATACGTTGAGGCCCAAGGTCGAAATCGACTATGTTAACATCACCGGACGTGTCAGCGGGAACATCAAGGAGTATTTGGGTACGTCGCAACATGCTATAACAGCAACTCGAGTCTACGCAGGTAATAATTGTCACTAACAGAACCCAGGCATCCCCTTCGCTTCGGCCGGCCGTTTCGAGCATCCGCAGCTCTACACCCAACAGCTGGGCGAGTTTGACGGGAGCAACTATGGCCCCATCTGTCCCCAGAAGACCACGGCGTCAATCCTGACCACCAACTCGTCCAGCAGTCTGTTGTTAGGCAAGACGGGCACTGCTATCGGCCCTGTCGTGGGAGCGTTGGCTGACACAGTGTTCAACACCATCGGTCAAACGCGCAGCGAAGATTGCCTCCTGATCAATGTTCAAACCCCCGCCAACGTCACCAAAGATGACAAGCTACCTGTTGTGATATGGATTCACGGCGGCGGGTACGAGGTCGGGAGCCCCTTTACCGACACCAGCGAGACTGATGCGATCCGCGGCGCCGTGCTCAACTACAATATCGGAGGTTTGGTCCGGACCTCGGTCGACCTAGACCAGCCTATCATCGGCGTATCGGCCAACTATCGCCTCAATGCCTTTGGTTTCTCCGCGTCGCGTGAGATGGAGGAGGCCGGGCTTCTCAACCTCGGCCTTGAAGACCAGAGAGTGGCCATGCAGTGGGTCCAGAAGCACATCGCTGACTTTGGCGGCGATCCGGATCACGTAGTCATCATGGGCGAGTCCGCCGGTAGCTGGTCCGTCGTGGCGCATTTGCTGTGGGACGAGGGCGAGGGCGCTACCGATCTCTTCCACGGCGCGATGGCTCTTTCTGGAGGACCGGTCATGGTGGAGGGTGCTGAGCGTAGCCAGCCCGTTTTCGACAATATGGTTGAGAGAGCCGGTTGCTCTGAAGCGACGGATAAGATCGCTTGCTTGAAGGTTGCCGACTTTGACGACATCATGGCGTCGGTGAACGACGAGGGAATGCGTAAGTTCCTGTCCACATCCATTGCTTCTCTTCGTCTCTTGCATTTCAAGTTGCTGACATTAGTCTTTGACTAGTTCTCGGACCTCGCTCTCTTGCCTCGACATGGACTATTCGCCCGGACGGAAAACACCTCAAGGACTCACCTCATCGCCTAGCCGCTGCCGGCAAGATGGCATCGGTCCCCCTGATTACTGGCGACATGCGCGATGAGGGAACTCTGTTTTCTCTTCTGGCTCAACTGAAGACTCTGTCTGACGCGGACTTTGCATCGTACTTTAAGGAAATCTGGTGGCCCAAGGCTTCTGATGAAGAGATGGCCAAGCTCATGGAACTATACCCCTCGGACATCACCCAAGGATCGCCCTTCGACACGGGCGTTCTGAACGCCGTCACACCCAACTTCAAGCGCCTGGCTGCAGTTGTCGGCGACTTCAGCTTCCAAGCGCAGCGCCGCAACCTTCTGGCACACTACAACACCTCCGAGCAAACCGTATGGAACTACATCACCGACGTCAGTATCCCTTCTGCAGGCATTCTCCCTGATCTGGGTGTTTTGACTCACCTCCCTGTTCTGGGATCATTCCATGCTTTTGACGTCTGGTTCTACATGTTCGCGGGCTTGCCCTACGCGGTGAGCAAAAACACCCAGGCCTACCAGGCAACCGCTATCTCTTTTATTCGCACGCTTGATCCCAACAACCACGGTCTGGACTTTGCGAAGTGGCCAAGGTACAGCGCAGACGGACTCCAGACATATAACTTCAAGGAGAGCGGGCCTGAGGTTGTCAAGGATGACTGGCGCGTCGAGGCTATGCAGTTCTTCAACGATCATCCTGACTCCTTTCTCATCTAAGTACTCTTAGAAGTTAGCCTTGAACTGCATATTTTCTATCCTATTTAGATCATATGTTTTAAAACTTAATAAGTTAATAAGTTAATCGAGCTCCGCAACATTCTCCACTTGGTCCTATGCAGTCGCACTACTTGACTTAGGTTATTGTTTTGTAAATTTAGATAACTGGCAATAAGGCCACAAAAATAATGATATACAAGTACTCTATCTAGTAATACGTAAATGCGTACATAAGCATACGACCATACCTATTAGAAGACTCGCGATTCCGTCCGCTCTCTCATAGATAAGCGCATTCTTAATAGTCTGCCAGCCGGAACACTTTTTGCCTCATAGAGGACACCAGTGAGTAATCCAACAACGACAACAGTAACAACAACAATAAGAGTGACAATAATAACAGCAGCAAGAACAGGTGTCAGTGACCATACCAACCGTATACCGTGTAGTCTCATGTACGTTAAGCTTCCAAACCCATGGAAGATATGCCAAAGAAACGCTATTAATGCCAAAGAAGTCAGAATTGGTTTGTGCGATCAGTCGATAAGAACAAACAATGTCGGACACTTCCGCCAATCGGAACATAATAGTCGTCGTATCTCCCAGTTGAAACATTAATAGCTTATGCCGGAAACCCTCCAGCTTTATCACTACAGAACAGCCTCTCATGCAGATCAATTCTGTCAGGTCATGCGGAGAAAGATCTGAGTTCCGTTGAGATCAGTCGTAAAACAACACTCACACGATAATTGAGACTTCATCGGTCCTTGTAGGGAGATAAATATAGAGACAACTATGCTGAGTTCAATCCGGTCAGGAACGCTGTGTTCTGACTCCACGCCTGTAGCACCCTTTCTCCGTTCTCACGACCGAAAACTTGTAAGATTCTCCCTCCACGAAAATGCTGTTGGCTCACAAAACCAGCCTCAGAAATAAAATGGACAAATGACATGACCTTTGACGCGGGGAATCCAGAGCCTGCTTTATACGGCATTGGCGTCAGCCACGACCTTCCCTGTTTGATACCGAGTGGTTGGAATTCGACTCGAACCGGAATCCCCTTCCAGCCTTACGAGTGCGTCTCCTGTCGAACAGATGCATCATCCGGGCCGTCGGCAAATGAGGTGCTCCCAACGCGCCAACCATCGCTGACCTGCGGCTGACCTGCATGCTCGTATCAGACGTCGTGGAACAACTGGACCACAACTCGCGCGGTCGAACAAGCTTATATTCTTGGCATCATGCAACTTGGCATATTTATGTCTCACCGGGTCCCCGCAGGCCAAGGTCTGTTGGCGGCCTCGGCCCGCTGCCTTTTTGTTTGAAATTAATCGACACCGCTTTCTGCGTTTGATCTTTTAGGATCGCATAATGTCACCTGGCGCAATGGAGATGGGTGATATTCATCGCCGACATTCGTTGGAACGGCATCATTCTGACTTCTTCGCGTCTCTTTCCACCATCGGGGTCGATATCACCGAGCTCAAACAGAAGCATGAATCTCGCGAGGAGCTGCTTCCCAGACATGACACAGAATTCACCTTCCAGGACTCAGATCGGTACGCCCAGACGGAGCAGAGCTACAAGCCGAGATGGTGGGACAAAGGGTACCTGCTCCAGGAGCTCTGGACTTCGTCTTGGAACATGTATCTATTCCTCCTCGTTGGAATCTGCTTCGCCATCGGCCACCACGTTTACTATCGGTCTCTCGAGAAGATGATAGTCTACAATGATGAGCAGCTCACCACACTGCGATACGGAACTGCTCTTGCTTTTGCGGCAAAGGCGAGTTTGGTAGCGGCGGTGTTGCTGGCATTCCGGGAGCAGATCTGGTACACGTGCAGCACCAAGTTCTTGAGAGTGACAACCCTCAACGACATGTTTGCGGCCCCGGAAACGCCGCTCTCGCTTCTCAACTTGGAGTTCCTGTGGAAAGCCAAAATACCCGCCGCCTTGGTCTTATACTGCTGGTACGTTAGCAGATTTCGTCCCCACTCGCTCGCATGATGCTGACATCTGTGATCCAAAAGGCTCTCCCCGCTGAGCGTGATCCTCACGACGAGCACCCTCATCGCGGTGCCCAGTCAGGAGGTCCACAACACGACGTGCCCGGGGGTACGCACGTTGAATTTCAGGTTTGAGGACAACACGAACTGGAGAAACGGCGGCAAGATCGCGAGTCTGGATCAGCAGTCTCTGAGCTGGTGGAATGAGACGAGCAAGGACGAGTTCGACCCCAACTTCTTCGACTATTACACGTCCATGAGCGACAACGCCAAGGAGCTCCTACAGGCGAGTACCTACCTGCAGCGTCCAATCTTCGACCAAGACAACACCTTCGAGGTCTGCGAAAGGGGCTGGAACTGCACCGTCGAGATCAGCTTCGTAGGGCCTACGTACAACTGCAGCACAATCAGCCGGGGTGTTGGGGGCGCAGAAGGGCCGGGCTTTCTCCAGCAAGAAAATGGAAAGTCCATGATCCCGTTTAACATGAGCATGCTCGCACCGGTCGGCAATTTCACCTACATCGCGCAGACGATGCATGGGGAGTACGCGTACCCGCAGATGGACGCTGTCTTCAGCGGAGGCATCCCGAAGATGGCACCGCCGTTCCCGGCACATCTTGGGGTCTTCCGGACGGAGCCGATTATCTGGATCGGGTACGCCGAGATGAACAAGAGCTACAACGCGACCGAGTTCCAGAACAGAACCACAGACGTCCGGAACAGCGCGGCGTTCACGCCGGTCGTCATCGCCTGCGAACACTACGAGGCCAACTACACGGCGGAGATCGCCTACCGAGACGGAATGCAGATACCTACTATCAAAAGCAAGAAACTCATCTCCCCAATCATAAATACCACGTACGTACCGGAACTCGAGGCGAACGACGGCACGATGGACAAGACCGTGGCCGTCCCGCAGAGCAACTACATCTTCCCCAGAGACCTCAAAACGTACAGACGGACGGCCGGGTACCACTCCATGGGCCTCTTCCTGCGTCGAAAGCTGAACGGGACGATCCAGGGGGCCGGACTGAAGGAGGATTCGCAGGTGCTGTACACCAGTCTCATAGATCACCGGTTTCACTTCGTCCGACGGAACATAATACCGCTCATCGAGGCTTGGTACGGCAACCTGCTCATGTCCATGTTCGCGAGGCCGCGGTTCCAGGCGGTGGTGTGGGCGGCCAGGACGGACGAGCAGACCGGCACTCGCAAGACGGGGTTCGGCCCCGAGTCCGACTATCTGTACAGCTGCACCCGTTCCCGACCTGCGGTGCGATACCACTATCGTACTCGTATCCTAGTCAGTGTCTACGGCATTCTGATCTTCCTGGCGCTTCTGGGCGTCACGGCTGGTGCTGTCGCTATTCGAAGGAATGGTGGGGTATCTAAAGGTACCGGGTTCTCCAACATTGTCGAGGCAACGAGGGGGCCGACTTTGGACAGGATGGACTGGGGAGAGGGAAAGGAATACGGGCCTGTGAAGATCGGGTATGGGCTCCTCAGGACGCAGGACGGTGATCTGAAGAGGCCTGGCGGGGAGATTCTGGTCAGTGAACCACAGTCGAGGCGTACTAATTCGAGATTTGGCTTTGGGTTCGAAGGAGACGTGGATCAATTGAAGCCGGAGAGACGAACATCGGAAGAAAGAGAAGCAGCAGTTGGGCCGTAGAAAAGGTTTCAATACATGTACCGTGAATTGCCACACCCATCGTTGCGTAAATAATCAGATAAACTCAAGTAAAGACGCGAGGCTGGCCCGTTACCGCGTTTCCCAAGAACTTAGATTCCCAAATCAGAACCAAAACCAGACAGGTGGGAAAGCATGAGACCCAGTTGCGATTCACTGCGACTACCTTGATGTTGCGTCCAGGTCTAGCACATCCCCCAGTTCAGTCCGATGCCTTCTGAGACAACTCAGTGAATCGAAAGAGTCATCACCTACCTCCCCGGGTGGTGAAAGTAGATCACTTACACGGCACCTCCCAGCGTTTTTCAGTCATTTAAAGCGCTTAGACTGGTGCATCTGATCACCCAGATGAGGCCATCCATGGTCCTCATCAAGTCAGCACCCATCTCCGATATCCAGGTACTGCTTTCCCTCGTTTCCTCACTTCGCATATTAGAGGAAGGAAGAACGAGGAACGAGTACCCAGAGCATCCCGTCAATCCAGGAAAACGCACGAATGCACCTCGACTACACACCACTATTAACCACTATTCAGTAATTACAGTATCAGCCAAAATGTCCAACTTAGGCCTCGCCGATCCGTTGAATAGCGTGCCGGCTAGCCCGGAGCTGAACAAGGCATTCAATAAGTTTCTTCAGACTAATAGCATTACTCTGATCTGGAGGGAATCGCATTCGCCTTACCAAGATATTTACGCCGGCATCGAATCGGACCTCCTCAGTGAGGTAAGAAAGATGCCAACGGTCCGCTTGAACTCTACCGCCCCCCTGCTGACGCTCACAAGCAAACCGCCCTCCTCTCGCCAGGGGGAAAAGCACCCGACGCGGCTAAGCGCCAGCAGATGCGCGAAAACCTCGACCAGAGAGCACCCCTCCTGTATTCGTGGTCTGAAGCCTTGACACTCAGCAACGGGAACACAATAAGTATCGCCGGGAATCTCTCTAGCACGTCTTGGTTCCTCTCCTACGCGCCGGGCACACCCATCTTCGTCTACTCGCGGAACTACGCCCGCGAACCCGGCCACGAGGACAATTTTCACTACGGGGGCTACGTCCCCTACCCGCCCGACTACGCCCTCCGCCGCCTCAAGACCCTCACGGTCGACATCCTCGGCCAGATCGTCACCCTGCTCGCCTTCGACGCGTGCAACCCTGCGCCGATGTCAGACCACTACGCCGGCCTCCTCAACCTCGCGACCGAGTCCAACGCGGACCTGGTCCCCTTCGCCAGGGACGTCTGGAGCAACTGGAAGTGCCGGTTCGAGGGCAAGCCCTCGGTGTACTACGTCCACGCGCTGCAGAAGAACGCCAAGGCCAGGGAGTGGGCGTTCACCCTGATGCGGACGCCGGCGGCGGGGAACGAGGAGGAGGGCTTTAGGGCGGCCCTGAGCCTTGTCGCGCGGATCCTCACGAACACCAGAAACGACGAGCGGGTGAACGCCAGGTTGAAGGAACTCGCGCTGGCGTACGTGGCTGAGGAGGGCAAGAGGGCCAAGGAGTGGCTCTTTGAGGAGGGGAGTTCGGATGAGGATGTTCTGGTGTACAAGAAAGGGATTATTGACAAGGTAAGTCTGTTCCCCTTATTCCCCCCTCCCCAGCACCTTCAGTTTCTTCAAGATGTGGCCATGGAAGTCGCAGCCAAAGATGAAGCTCAAGCTCAAGTGAACTTCTGCGTTGCGATGAGGTTGTAAGAGGGATCCACTTCAGCCAGGAACCCAAGCTCCAGTGGGGCATCCCAGAGCACCATCACCGGCCGGAAAAACTAAACACCCCACCACCCAAAATTTCGGGGCCTATCCCCCAAACTCCAATTGCTAACTACCATCTTCACACAGTCGATACACGAACACTACGCCGCCTACCCGGGATTGTGGTATTATTCGACGCCCTTCTTCCTGCCCCCCGGATCGGATCTCCCCCGGTTTTATCTGCGCCTGGTGGACAACACGCCCGAGCAGCCCGAACAGGACGAGCAAGTCCCGAACGAAGCAGCCGACGACGACGACGACGACGACGGCGGTAACGACAACGACGCTTCTCTAGACGTGATCGTTGTCAACACCAGGTCGCCCAAGAAGCCACCCGCGATACCGACACCGAATCCATCGTCATCGCCCCCGCGGTTGCGACATCCACGAACATTGGCCCTCCGCCGCTCCTACCGGAACCGCTGCTAAACCACACCACACCACCACTTCTCCAACAATGTCTCTCCTCGCCTCCCTCAAGGGCCTCCGCCCAACCCTCCTCACAACTCCCCTCCTCACACCCTCAACAACAACAGCAACGACAACAACAACCGCCGTCCGCGCCTTCTCGACGACCCCCTCCAGCCCCGCCCGCAAGGTCATCGCGACGACGCCGGACTACATGAACAAGATCCAGAACATCAAGCAACAGCTCTTCGCGCGCGCCCCGCCGCCCCTGCGCATGGCCCGCAACCGCCACCTCCGCCACTGGACCATCCACCGCGCCTGGCTCCTCCTGCAGCGCCAGCAGCGCGAGGCCCGCGAGAAGGAGCTGTACCGCATGCACCAGAGCATGTGGAACGCGCACGAGGAGCTCCGCAAGACGGCCGGCCCGGGCACCAGGGACGAGGGCTGGCTGTACCGCGTCGCGCAGGAGAAGAAGGGCGTCTACGGGCCCAACGCCGTGCCCATCGAGTACGCGCGCTACCAGACCGAGACGCCCGCCCGGGTCGCGTGGAACCACGACTGGAAGCCGTAAACGGGTCGGATAGAATTGGGGAGCGCTGTAATCGTGGACGATGTGAGATGATGGAGGTTGAAGGAGGCAGATGGGTGTTGTAGACAAGTGTACTACCACCAACACCAACCTCGACACTCTTGGTATCATTCTGCTGTATCATACTGTAGCATGACCGTGTACAATCCAATACCAATACCAAAAAAAACATGTGCAAATTCAAAGCATTGTGGAATTTCTTTTTTGTTCAATTCTTGTTGCGTGAAATGACTGCTATCCTGCCTTTTGAGGGGGGCGGAAAAGGATCCTCCCAAACTCCGACACCCAGGATCTCCCAGCTTCGAACTTTTGTGGTCGTTCTATGCTTTGCTGCCCCCTATTAATACAAACGTGGAGAAATTTGCGACGAGACACCCTTTTTTAAAAAACCGCAGAGGACGTCTCCCACCCCGCGGAATATTCGCGCTGTTTCCGCTATAGTTTCGCAACCAAACCGCTGAGGGAGAAAAGAGTTGAAAAGAGAGCATTAAAGTTTTGACTCGTATGATATATAGATGTGAAAAAGGCGCGGGGGAGGGCCCAGCAAGTCTCCCGGGGAGACATGGTCGTCATCGCTTCGCTGTGTGGCCCGCTGGAACGTCGTGTGTCGTCGTCGTCAATGGCAGCAGGTTTCTTCTCGTAGGCTCGGATCGGCGTGTTTCGCGATTCGCGATTCATCTCATGGCGTCGAAGTTAAGAACGGGATGCCTCTTCCCCGTGAATCGTGTCGACTTTCTGCATGTTCGCCGTGCCCCTGCCCGTACTTGCGTTTTGATGGATGCCAAAATACCGTAAAGGGAGTTTTCGCTCAGAGGATAACGCAGCAACCGCCTCCTTCGCCCTTTTCAAACGTAAGGAGGGCGGCGCGCGTAGCGGCCTCGAAAACGTCGTCGACACCCTCGCCGCTCAGACTCGAGCACTCGAGGTACTTCTTCGCGTTGATCTCCTTGGCGGCCTGGTCGCCCTCCTGTTGGGTGACGAAGCGGAGGGACTTCTTGCGCATTTCCTCGATGGCGACGGGATCCTCGCGCAGATCTTTCTTCAATCCGACGAGGATAATGGGCACTCCGGGGCAGAGTCGAGTCACCTCCTCTATCCACTGTTGAACCAGGTCAGAACGGGGTCTAAATCATCGTGCGCGCCGGGTACACGAACCTTGTGCTTGACGTTGTCGAGTGAGTCAGGAGTGTCGACCGAGAAGCCGATGAGGATGACATGCGCTTTACTGTACGCCAGTGGACGCAGCCTCTCGTAGTCCTCCTGTCCTGCGGTATCCCATAACGCCAACTGAACTGATTTCCCATCTACTCTACAATCGGTGACGTAGTTCTCGAAGACGGTCGGGATCTGTGGATTTCGTTAGACTTTGACGTCGGGTGGCAAGGGCGCATCTGGTACGAACGTAGTGCTGTGGGAGCCTGGTTAGCGAAAATTCGAAGCGAGATGATCACACCACACAGAGACGAGGCTGACTTACGGTAGGAAAATATCCAAGGGTGAAAACGCTAAGCAAACTAGTCTTGCCGCAAGCACCGTCACCAATAATGACGAGTTTCCTACGAGTTGAAGGTCAGCAAAAGGGCACGACTGCAGAGGAAGATCAAATTTGCAGCAGGACGCCTGTGTTCTGTATCGCGGTGCCAGGAATCCGGGGTTTCGGTTGGGGAAGGCGGACGGGAGGGGTGATCGACGGAGACGCGACTCGACGTACCTTCGGATGACGTTCTGGTTTGCTGCTGCTGTCGCCATGGCTGCGTGGGCGAACTGGGCGGAGGGGGAAGGGTCGGCAGGGAAGAATCGACTCGAGGTCAATTGGGAGGGATTGAGCGGATCGCGGGCGGTGATTTATTAATGTCGGACCAGGGAGAGAAATATGACGAAGCGATCGAGAGGCGTCAAGGGACTCGGGTCGAAATCAAGAAAAAATGCCTGGACGGCGCGATAGGCAGGTTGATAGGCGGCGCGGATGGCTGATGGCTGATGGCACCTGGGGATCGGTGGGTTCGTATGCGGTAGGTCGGTCGGTTGGCGGGCAGAGTCGTATCGGGGGTCTGCGGCAGCAGCGGCGGCGGCGGGCTGTGGTGTGGTGGTGGAGGCGATAGGTAGAAGTGCGGGTATGTATGTTTACGCAGCAAAAATGGTAGACAATGCTGCTGCTGCTGCGATTTGAGGTGGGTGTGTGGGATTATTTCTTCTTCGAGGGTGGGATGTGCGAGAGCAGAAAAAAGAAATAGTGACGAGCAGCGACGGCGGATTTGAAGAGAATGGTCAGGTTGGAGAATGGCAAGACGGCCCGGAGATGAAGGCGAAGGCGGAGGAAGGCAGAAGAAGGCGCCCCTTGGATCGTGTTTCTCTCTTTCTTCCTTGGACGGGAGGGTAAGGTGATCAAGCGAGGAGGAGAAGAAGAAGAAGAAGAAGAAGGAGGAGGAATGGGAAGTTGAAGGTAGTGAGCAAGCAGTAAGGAATACGAGCTGAAGAAATTCCTTGGGTAATGGCGCGTTGAAGAAAGAACTGGCAGCGGACGGTCCGTACGGTAAGAAGGAGTACGGATAGTCAACGGGTAAGTAAGTAGTAAATAAGGTAGCTCGACCTGGAACCTGGACCAGGACTTGCAGGACTCGGACTAAAAAAGACTGGTTGGACCTGGGCCTGGGGCGGTGGAGAGGAGAGGAAGGGACTGGAGCTGCGAGTTGGAGCTGGAGCTGGAACTGGAACTCGGAGCAAGTGGGAAGGGGGAGCCGGGAAGTTTGTACCCTTGCACAATGACTATCAATTGGCTTCTTTGGACACGCCTGTTGGTCTGGCTGTGATGTGAGGCATCCGAAGGATCAGGCAGATACAGCAATGGATCTCAGGGTCGAGTAAACAATGTGAGTGGAAGGGACAGGTAGGCAGGAAACGTCTGGTAATAAGCACATGGGACTTGAGAAACGGTCAAAAAAACGTTTGGCAAGGCGAGACAAGGCACTACACCGTACTGGTGCAAGTCGTGAGTGAGGTACAGGCGTAATTCGGCCAAGGCAACTCGAGTGTCCTACCATACCTGTGCTATGTACCTACATATCGTGAGCTGTGTCGAGTTACCCAGACAATTCCAACTTGCATCACCCATCACGACGAATACTCGGATACAACTAAACTTCGCTGCCGGTAGGACTGGATAGGTTGGCAAGGAAGACGCGGTAAGAAAAAACACAGACTTCAGTCCGCTGGAAGTCCAGTCCTCACAGTACGGTGCGCCAAGTGGTGCGTGTCGTGGCACAGCAAAAGGAGACGTGGACAGACTTCAGGACGAATACCTGTCTAGGCAAGGTACTGCTTAGTAGACGTGGACGCAGACGAGGCACGGATGACCCTATTCAGGGGTCCCTTCTCCCACGTTTCCCGAGCATCGTCAACATTCACTTCTCCGTCATCCTCTCAGTCAGTCCAATGTCATCACAACAACATCCAAGTCGCCAGGACCCTAGTACCCAAGACTAACTAACAATCAAGTCCCTAGATAGCCTACCTTCGGGATGGGTTAAGGTACACTGCACAACAGCGATGGTGCAGACGCAGGCGCATGTGGGTTGGAATCATTGGATGCCGCTAAAAGACATGCACGAACCAGTCGGGGATCCGACGCCGATGCACGCACGCTGTGGACCTTGAGAATACCTGGAAAGGTAACAGTCCGGGGGCCAGACTTGCAGACGTAGCCGTCGCGACGGGGCGAAGACGGGGTCCAGAGTCCAAGAGCAAAGAGGCTGAGGGGCGATGGCAACCAATGCCTCCAGATCCGATGCCAATATCTGTCCGATTCGGACGCCGCTGTTACTCTTCCGTGTCCATCGTCATCTTCTCGTTCCCGGGTCGTCATGTTGTAAATAGGACACTTTGGAGAGTCCCAAGCAAATAATCCACCTCCAAGACAAAGGGCCGGCCGGACGTTTTGCCCGCGATGGCTGAACTACCGCTGCTCGCCGCCGCTTCTAAAATAAGCATCTCCCGTCTCTCCAGGCCAAAGGTGAAAGAACACAAATCGACTTGCTCTCCTCGGGACCGATCGCCGAAACCTGCAATTAGCGTCCCGTTTTTTCACCTCTTTGGAATTGCGGTTGTTCATGCCGCTCCGCAGCCACTTGGACGACATTTTGCCGCGCTCATCCTCAAGGGATCACCCCAGATGTCACCTCCAAGCCCTGTCCCTTCTTTTCTTACCTCGACATCGCTCATGCTGCTGCCAACTTAACCTTCTTCTGCGGCCTCGCTTGATGACCACGCAAAAATCGACATCATGTCTTACGTACCTGTGTGTTTGAGAATTCAATTCAGACTTCAGATGCCGTCGCGGTACCGAAAAGCATCGCGATTCTGCGCAATCGACCCTCTCATCGACCGTATTCATCATGTCCCATCCCGGTACCGTGACGCAGAGGCGTCGACGACAGCCTTGAAGTTATTAAGGGCCCTCCGCAGTCCTGCACAATCGGCGAAACTGGAGTGTGGGCAGACCGGCTCAGCAAGCCACAATCTTGCTTCTCCGTAGGGGACTGCAGGGTAAGCAGGCCGAATGGGAATCTCCGAGCCACTCTGTGTCCCTCCCTCTGTGCAGCGGCCATCCACACCATCTGTGCTGTGCCTTCGTCTGTGCAACCGCAACCAACAGCAGTATCCGTCCAGTGGCTATGCTGTGCGGTCCTCCAACACAGCACACTGGGACACTGCTGTGTGCGGCTGCCCGTACCCAGTTACCAAGTCGCCGACGGTCGACGATGCTGACAGTTTCACCTACGCCAGGAACTTTTAGAAGTGGACAGCATTAATGAGGCCAACAGTCTGACAATCGCCGTCAGCTTGAAAATGTGCCCGCCGCAGGGATGGCCGATTGGGGTCAACATTCGGCGTCTTGAGACCTGGCTCTGGCAGCCACGAATTGGATTACCTAAGAATCCATCTGGAATCTATCCCGGGTATTCAAGTAACCCGGCTTCTTGGCTTGTCTCCGGATTCTCAAGTTGTCGTTATCAAAATGACACGTCGAGTCGACTGGAGCTGTTCCGGTTTGTTGAGGACGCTGATGGGATCCGGCGCAACACCTTGGTTTCCGATTGCTTGTGCTGCAAACCTTTCGGCATCCTTCGAGGCACCAGGCCGAATCCTTTGTGAAGTACCCTTTCTCGGGCAAAGGGACCCAGTCGTCAGAATCCCCCTTTCTTCGGTATGCTGTTCAAACTTCATCGCCAACCGCCCGAACACCCTGAGGAGTAGACCCGCCGGCCGTGGTGGAGTCTCTTCACCTCCGGCCGAGGCTGTCGTTTTCATACCCAGACGTCAGCAACCCGATGTGTGTTTCCTTTTCATGGGCCTCCAACTGGACTGTCATTCTGAGATATTTCGAGACAACTGCTGATGCCTTGTCTGGCCCTGGAATCAGTGTCGTCAGTTTCCTGGACGAGACGTATACATAAGGTACTGTTCCTGATCTGATGCTGCCCAAGGCCCGACCGAAGCTGCAGTTTTGCTTGCAAAATTAGGATGCGCTCCCGTCCGGGATCTGCTGGTCACACTTGTCCGATATGTGCACAGCGCCGAGCAGGACCGACCAAGCGACATCCACATCGTCTGACCTTGTTTCCACAGTTGCTCGCTCTTTTGGCGTTGCAGTTTGCTCTCGGTCGGTTCCATTCGTCCGTCTTGACGTGAGAAACTCCCGGCTTGCGGGACCCGCCAGAGGCGCTTTTTGGGCAAAAGACGAACGGGTGAGAAAACGTCACGACGGCGCCTGACAAACGCTAGCCGGCCGTGACATGGCTCAGGCCAGGGTCGATTTGTTGATCAGTGGGGCTTGTTGGGAGAGCTGAAAAGGTACTTGAGCTGTGCTGTGCTGTGCTGCTACGCTGCCACCTGCCAATGTGCTCGAGAAATGCAGGGCGGCCGGCGCGGAGCCTCGATTGGCCCGCCCGATGACGGTCGGTGGCCGCGCGGTTCCGGTCTTGGAGGCGGAATTGCGGATGCGTGCGGGACGGGTGGGAGTGTGATTCGAACCTCCGTTCAAGATTGCTGTTGACGCCGGCTGGCTCGGAAGGCAAGCAAACGATTGGAGACCTGGATACGTCGGAAGGGCATTCGTTGATGCCATCCAGCAGCGGCGGATGCTGACACAAGCTTTGGAGAAAGCTCAGCTGGCGTATATTGCTCGATGTTCCAAACACCAACGCCCTTTGATTGGGAAGCGCAGCTTGTTACGCAGGTGCTTTGCCAGCCTGTCACACCGAACTGCGACAAGTATTGTCAAACGCCAGGCTACCCGAGAGGGAGTACCGGGAAGACTGAACTGCGTTCACATGCTGAAACAAACACCGGCAAATTGTGCCAGACTAAAATTCGTCGCATGTTTGTCAGCTTGGCCGTTCTCAGCAAGCAAGAGGAGGCAGTCGTGATGGTCGGAAGAAACTCCGACAATATCTCTCAAGAACCGCAGGGAGACGACAGTGTTGAGTGCTGCTGGTATGTTGCAAGCTTGTCAGAGAAGCAGCAGAGATGGGATGACACAAATGTCCACGGGTGTTGTTTATTTGGCATGTTCCTGAACCAGGCACGACCGGGACAACGGGAATTGTTTGGAGAGAACGGGACGACCTGGTCCGGCCCTTGAGGTAATTAGGTAGGTGCCTCCCAAGGTGCCTGCCCGATCTATGAAATAACTTTCCGGGTTCTCACTTTCCCATCTGCACGGACCAGGTGGTTGATTATGTCATCTGTCTTTCCCCGTCCTTACATAAGGTATTGATGCCTGATAGCCCCCACCTGAACACTCAGGCAATCAGAAAAACCCAGAGGCACGGGCCATGGAAATCAGGTCGGGTCAGCAGCGGATGGGTCCCTGGGCAAGCACGGCAAGGGCCCTCACAGCACCACAGCACCACAGCACCTGCCACCAGGCACAGCAATTCCAGTGCCTGACGTTAGCTAAAAAGAAGGTCCCCTGGAGGCGCCCGGGAGACAGTCACGTGGTGCACCCCGAAGCCTGCAATCTCGGATTCTGATTGACGGATCGTGTCGGATGAGGTAAGAAGGGTCACTGTACCTTCTGTTTCCCAATTGCCCCGGTCGCATCATGTACTTCCCCCGCAAAATCACACCGGGAAGTGACTTGCACATTGCGCGCATCAGGTCTTCTCCCTCTCGGATGCACCTACTGCACCTAAACACTGAGAACTAAGGCTACCTATGACCTTTGCCATGGACCTTAGCTGAAGGTCAGCGGCCGACAAGCGAACCCCCCGTCTTCAATATCGACAACGAAGCATCAAGATTGCAATTGCAGCCTTGAATAACTCCGCTGTCAACCAGACCTGCAGCCCGCGATTGCGACTCGCGTGTCTTGCGTTGGAAGCACCCGTCCTGGCTATCTGTCTGGCGAGTGGCAGAAACCCCCCCCTCCAGCCCCATCTCGAATAATATTCGCCTCCACCTGTGAGTCCTTGTCCTGCCTGCCTCATCACCACCCTCAGCCCGCTCAGCGCGCTGCATCCCGCCAACCTTTTTCGCGAGCGCACACACAAACGCCCACCGACACCTCACCACCACCAACCAACAAAGAGGGGACATCGCATCTTTTTGCTCATCCATTCTGCTCGCAGGAAGACGTCATCTCAATCCTCCCGCGAGTCCCACCGACCCCCGATACCGACCTCTCCCTCATCTCACCCCTCGCAACGCCTCCCTCTATGACATCGACGCCTGTTGCTTCGTAGCACACCTTCGACATGCCGGCAAACCACCGCCAACCGCCATCGCCGGCGCCTCCGTCTCCCAATACCAAGGCCACTGCGAGGTACACCAACAAAGATGGCTCCAAGATCATCACTGTCCCCAAAGGGCCCCCCTCCACCGAGCCCTCGTTGCCCTCCACTCCGACCTCCTCTGCGAAGGCTCCCACCCTGCAAACGCTCGCCACCAACGGCGCCGATGCACCCGCGCCAGTCGTCAATCGCAAGAAACAGAAGCGTCGCGAAAAGGCCGCCGCGAGAGCTGCCGCTGAGCAAGCTGCCGTCCCCATCAAAACCCCGAATGGACGCCCCAGTCCCGCACCTAGCGCCCCGGCGCCCAAACCCCAAGCTGCCCAAGATGACGCCGACCAGGATTTCAGCGATGACGAAGCCGACGATGCCCCTTCCCCGGATCACCATCTCTTCGAGGACCACTTCGCCTCCAGCAAGTCCAAAAAGTCCAAGAAGAAAAAGAAGAAGAACGGAAAGAACCCCCAGCTGGGCAACTCCCAATACGACAATGTGCCGCACCCCCACTCGCCGTCAACCCCTCGCGGACCCGGGATTTCCAAGGACAAGATCTGGAACACCAGTTCGCAGGAGGAGCGGGAACGGATCAAGGAGTTTTGGCTGGGGCTCGGCGAGGATGAGCGCAAGTCGTTGGTCAAGGTCGAGAAAGATGCCGTCCTCAAAAAGATGAAGGAGCAGCAGAAGCACACGTGCAGCTGCACGGTCTGTGGCCGAAAGCGCACCGCCATCGAGGAGGAGTTGGAGGGGCTCTACGACGCCTATTACGAGGAACTAGAGAACTTCGCTCACCAAGGGGAGGGCCCGCCGCTGCTCGGCCGGGCAGGCATCAGTCTGCCCTTGCGTCCGCCGCGAACGCTGGGAAAAGTCTACGTAGAGCAACAACCGCCTTCACACGGTCGAATAGTCGAACACGTCGGCGACGACGAGGACGAGGACGACCTCGGAGAAGAGGAAGACGTGTACAGCGATCAGGACGAGGATCTCGAGGATGACGAGTACGACAGCGAAGAGGACCCGTCAGAAGATGCTCACGACCTTCACCCTCACGATCACCCCCACGATCGAGACATGGCGGATTTCTTGACGTTTGGGAACAGCCTGCAAGTCAAGGGTATGAAGCTTCTGGACTCTCTACTCTGCAGATATGGTAACATGGACTTAGGCGGCATACTCACCGTTGCGGATGACCTCCTCAAGAACGACGGCAAACGCTTCATTGAGATGATGGAGCAACTCGCCGAGCGTCGCATGGCCCGAGAAGAGGACGCCAAGGAGCAACATTTTTCTCGCTATGGCCACCCTCCCAACGGCTCTTATTCGAATCATGGCCATTCTCCTCCCGAAGACGAATATGACGACGAAGACGAGGAGGAGGATGAGGACTATGACGACAGCCAAGATGATGATTATGAGGACGAAGAAGTGAGCTCCTCTCAATACACATATGACCATAAACACTCGAGTACTGAGCACATTTGTTGTCATCATCAGGACACGATGACCGAGGAGCAGCGCATGGAAGAGGGCCGCCGCATGTTCCAGATCTTCGCCGCTCGCATGTTCGAGCAGAGGGTCCTCACGGCGTACCGCGACATGGTCTCCAGACAGCGCCAAGCAAAACTCATCGAAGAGCTCGAGGAGGAGAACCGGCAAGACGCCCAGCGCAAGGCCAAGAAGGCCAAAGAGAATCAGAAGCGCAAAGACAAGGCCGCATTAAAGAAGAAGGAGCAGGCCGAGGAGAAGGCGCGCAAGGAGGCCGAGAAAGCCGCGGAGGAGGCTGCCCGACTCGAAGAGCAGAAGCGGAAAGCGGAAGAACAAAGGCTCAGGACCGAGGAGAAGCGTCGGAAGAAGGAGGAGCAGAAGCGAGCCGAAGAGGAGGAGCGCCTACGAAGAGAGGCCGAGCGGCAACGGCGCGCTCAAGAGCAAGAGAAGAAGCGCCTCGAGCAGGAGCGCAAAGCGCGCGAGCTCAAGGAGAAGCAGAAAGCCAAGGAAGCACGCGAGAAAGAGACGCGGGAGCAGAAGGAAAGGGAAGCCCGGGAACGGAAGGAAAAGCAGGAGCAAGCCAAACGAGACAAGGATGCGAAGGCCAAGGCCGAACGAGAAGCCAAGGCTGATAGGGAGAACAAGGAACGACTCAAGCAAGATGAGAAGGCCCAGAAAGCTGCGGCTGTTGCTGCTGCCGCGGCCGCCCCGATCCCGATCCCGAATCCTGGCCGGCGACCTTCGCAACACCCCGCTCCAATCCCAACGCCGCATTCGAACCCGGCGTCCTACGCATCTCCGAAGATATCGGTCGCGACGCCAGCTCTGCCAAAGGCTCCTACGCCTATACGCCCGAAGAATGCGAATCAGCCCCTGGATGCGAGCGTGCCTGGGTCGCACGCCTCCAGTTCTACCAGTCAGAATCCATCACCACACCCTGCGACACCGGGCCACACAAGTCCTGCGCCATTCGGGTCGAGAAAAGAGAGTGTGGCGACCACAGCTTCGCTACCGCACCCCCAATCCGTATCACCGTCAACAATCAAGGGTCCTCTCGGGTCGCAACCGTCCCCGTTCGGTATGCCCATGGGCATGCCGCCACCCGGCTTCGGAGGCCCGCCTCCGGGGCTAGGAAATCGCATGCACGACCAAATGTTTGGTCTGCCTGGCGGTATGCCCGGTTTCAGGCCTCCGCCGGGCATGATGCCTGGCCCTCCCGGCCTTAACGGACCGGTTGGACGCGGTTTCATGCCGCAACCGCCGCCTGGGTTCGGACAGCCCATGGTCGATCCTCTGCAAGGCATGGGATCTGGCCCGGTATCACATTCTCGCCAGGCCTCCGGCAGCTTCGACCCAGCTTCATCGCCAGCCCCGTCGCAACCCATCGGAAGGCCAACGCCCATTGGACGACCCGGCAGCGTGGGGCATGGACAGCTGAACGACCAGACGGACGAGTTCGCGAACCAGCACCTGGGCAGCAGTGCGTTGTTGGATGACGCAGAAGACCTGAACCCCATCTCCGCAGCCTTCAACGCCGCCAGACAACGCAACCAACCCCCTCGGCCGGCTTTCCCCAGTACCCCGTTCGGTATGGACAACGGGTTCCATAACATGAACAATGTCTGGGGCTCGTCGCCGATGGCGTTCGCTCCGGTTCCTCCCCCTGGATTCGCAAACCCAACTTGGGGTGGTCCCATGATGCCGATGCCGTCGCTCAACCAGATCCGCAGCGCCGGTAACCCTAGGTCGGTTACGGTCCGTATGAGACTATGCCGCGCCTGCAAGGAACTACAAGCACTGAACGAGGACCCGGAGTCCTTTATCGATCTATCGGCCGTCAAAGCCAAGGTGGACCACCTCAGCCCCTCAGAAGCGATTCCGGAAGACGGTCTGATGGAGCTCGCCGAGACCGAAGGCAACGCCCACAACGGTGGCGGCACGTTTGAGGTCCGCCGAGACGCGAACGGCCCAGGCAGACACACCGTTCGGTGGGTGCCCGAGCCCAACGACATGTCCCATCTGCACCACAGGGCGGTCGGCGCGCCGGGCGAAATCGGAAGCCCCATCATCAACAGTGGATCTCTAGCGTTTGCTACATCTAGGGGACACTAGGACCGTTCATCTAGCATGGAGCACGCGTCCGAGGCTGCCGCGAGCAGCTCCCACAGGCCGATGTTCAACGCCATGCGGTCAGTTCAGTCCCGGTCGAGCCACTCTCAGCTCACGGGTTCGGGTACACGGGATACAGAGGAGGAGGAGTGCGAGGAGGATACGGTGACAGGGCGCGAGGGTCATTAGAGTAAAACATCTTGCTCTTCTCCCGTTGCCTGCCGTCTTGATTAGGAGGGACTTGCTGGGCATCATTCCGGGCCTTGGGGTTTTGGAAGGGGGGCAGTCGTCCGTCAGCATTCCCATACGCGGATTCTTCCCGCTGGCTGGATAATGGAACTACCCGAATTCTTTCTGCGCAATGCAAATATCCCATCATGTGAGCCGATGTGAGAATGGCAACTAAAAAGACAAAAGAAACAATTCATGATCTAACCTTCCCCTCTGAATAAGAAACAGACCTCCAGGTCCCAGCACCAAACTAAACCACAACCCTGATGATGAATGGACTAAACAGAGCAACCCATGGAGCATCCAACCCAGCTCACAAACAGGCCACACAGAACAGAGCAGCCAAAAAGGCCACGGACAGACTATCTCGGGACCACTTCACCAAAAAAAAAAAAAAAAAAAAAATCGAGCCCGCACCCATAGACTACTTAAGCCCCTATCCGCGCCTCCTCTGCCACAACAAACAGAACCTTCTCCACCACGGGACGAAGCCTGGCACCCCAGTCGCCCGGCTAGCTCAATCGGTAGAGCGTGAGACTCTTAATCTCAAGGTTGTGGGTTCGACCCCCACGTCGGGCTCAATTCCCGTCCGCGATTGGCAATCAGCTTTCCATTCTGGAAAGGGTTCAATTTTTTGATGTTTTTTTGCGATTCTATGCGTCCATCTTGTCGAATAGTTGGCTGACTGTTGTGTTTGCTGAGACTTGTTTTGTACGCAAGTTATAACCGTTTCAACAGTTATAGGTGACTGGTCCGTTTTATGTGTTTTGATTGAGGTGGTGGCTATCCGTAGAGGGGAGGTGTTTCTTAATGATTCCTGTCTTCTTCTGTGACGCTATCGCCACGGAGACCAGAACCAAACATACGCTATTGGAGAGCAGCACGACATCACAACAGTCAAGATTCAACATCATCACAAAAACGCATACTTCAGGATAATTTTTGATTCTGATGTAACACGGTAAGTTTTATTTTCCCAACTCCCCCTTCATCATCCGCCGTCTATGCAATGTTTGAAACCCCGGATCCGCATCCGTCGGGGGGTACCAACCCATCGGGTATCGTAAGGTCTACTGTAGTTGTGTCTATGGTGTATAAAAAAGAGGCGCCATGCCGTGGTTGTGTGTGATGTGACAAAGAAGATATAAATAAAACCAAGCAAAGAAGAACAAACAGGTCTATGGTCTGGCGCCGGCCATCAGTCATGAGACATTAGATGATACATCGTCATATGTGAAAAAGGAAGGTAGGGGAAAAAAGGGTCCAGGAGGACAAAGAAGAGAAAGCAAGATGGAGGACACAGCCTCAAATCCAGGTCGGGAGGGAAGCGCCCTTGTCCTCGACGCCGCGCCTCTTGAGCCTCAGGTTCTCGAGGCTCCTCCGTCCCCAGCTGAACGGGCGCTTCTGCTTCGGCACGCTCAGCAGGGGCCCGATGCTCTCGCAGTCGGTCCTGGGGCTGAGGTCGCCCATGCTCTGGCTCCAGGGCGCGATGGGGTTGCCGCAGGAGGGGTACATGGCCGGGTCGAAGCAGAGATGCTCGTCTTCCGGGGGGCCGAGGACGACGTTGGTAGACCAATCGTCGCGCTCGGGGAGCACGATGGGAGTGCCCGGGTGGGGGTATTCCAGAGAGTCCGGCTCGTCGGGGACGCTGCGCGGCGGCGGGTGCGAGACGGTGGCCAGCTTGACGGGGAAGAGATTGCGTCTCAGGGAGAAGATGTTCTGGTGGGGGGCGGGTTGTTGAGGGACGACGACCTTCATCTCGGCGTGGCCCTTTGCGAAGAAGGCGCAGGTGGAGCGGAGAGGGCGGGTGGCGGCGCCGGGGAACTCGGGAGCGGGGTGCTCTGGTGAGGAAAAGGACGTCTGGCCGAGTGTCCACGCAGCATGAAGGATTTTAGGGACGTCCGGAAGATGCCGGCACTCGAGCAGCTTCTTGAGGTCCCCTGAGGAGCGGGGTTGCCAGCGAAGCTGGTTCCGGGCGGCCTTGTCCCAGAGAGAATGCTTCCACTCGTCCTTCAGAGATCTCTGGCGGAGAAGGTTCTGGACTTGGTGGTAGTAAGTCCACTCCGACGACACGCTGCTGCGCTTGTCAAAGTGACCTGCCAGGTGATCAAAGCACGTCTCGGCGGCGATGGCAGCGTCGGTGTCAGACGCGGCTTCGAAGACCTCCTTGCAGCCGACGAAGCCACAGGCAAAAACGACCTGTGGGCAGAGTTCAACCTTATTGAGGTCTGCGGGCGGGCACGCGTCTCCGTGCTCGATCTTGAAGTGCGTGATGTAGGCCTTCTCGAAGTCGAAAACCATCTTACAGCACGAGTCCGGACAGACCCAGAGAGAGTTTGTGTTGTGAAAGTTCTGGAGGTGCTTCTTGAAGTCTGACTTGCGCCCGAAGCCTACGTGAACGTCGTACGCAGCGCACATGGGGCACTCGATGGCCTTGGAGACCGGGGATTTCATCATCATCATAGTGTTGCGTGGAGAGATCTGGTCCTGGAACTCTGAACCCGAGAGAGAGTTTGTGTCTGAAAGGAGTAATGCTGGTTCGGCGTCCCATGAAGGCATAAAGAAGGAGCCCGACATTGAGGCGTCCTCGCAGATGGAGACGGAGGAGTTAGACCAAGGGCCAGAAGACAGAGAGGGAGCGTCGCTTCCAAAGCTTGTTATTGAGAGACCCGAGTTGCGGTTCGGTACGCTGAGATATGGCTCAGGAGATGTGATGTTGCGGAGAGTATATGTGACGTTGTTGGAGCCGTAGCGGCCGGCGAGATCGCGGAGTGTTTTGATGTCTTCAGGTGACATTCCTTGCGGCTGGTTTGAGAACATGTTTGCCGTGAACTTCTCGTTCGTTTCAGCCTATGATAGCATGAGTGTGTTGACGATGTTGTTTGATCGCGGCCGTTTGGAGAGTGAACGCTGATATCGAAACGAAAGCTTCGTTTGGAAGGAAGACTGTTGTTATGTAGTAATGAAGGGATACCCCGAGCAGATGTCGTTCATGTAAATGGGAGGTTAAACAAACGTAACAAGCCAGACCCAGGCGTGTGGGCGAGCGGTGGCCCAACATTTAGTACCCTTGCCAAGAAACAACGTCAAAGGGTGCATGTCGCATAAGGCGCCCACGCGCCACAGGCGTTGGCGTGTGGCGAACTTGGGGTTCAGCGAGATATTCTGGGTGGTCGCGTTGTGTTGTGACGCCTTCTTTCGCATTAGCGCGGGCGCAGGGCTCAGGACGGAGGGCGCTTCTGCCTTCTCGAAGCCCGATGGAAGGTCTGGGGTTTGGTTCCTTCGAACGAGCGCTCTCGGGCCCCACGATGCCGCGGGAGATTCGTTGGTGCGGGCGATATATTGAGTCGTATCGTGGATTACCCATGAGCAGACCTCATCTCCGCCGAGACGAATCAACATCGTGAACGGCCGCCCGCCTGCCTGGATGCTTGCTTCTTGCGAAGTACCGGGAACCGGCCAGATGTGTGCTTTCAAGACCAGTCGTACAAAAGTTCATCTCCAGCAGCGCGCGCCACGGGTCCAACCGGGGTCAGCGGCGTGAGAATGGGACATTTCTGATCCAATCTCATCAGGGCGGACGAACCAGATCCCGTAGAGCTGAACACATTTCCCTCCCTCTCGTCATGCCCGGATGACAGCCTGACGGGGGCTGTGCTCGCAGCTGGAGTGAAAAGAAAGGAGCCAAGACGCTCTAGCGGGCTTCTAGAAGGACGCTAGAACAAAGGATGCATGACAGGGGTGGAGGTCGAATGACGACGTATGGGTGGTGCTGCTGGCGTAAGGCAAGGACGTGGAAGGATCTTTTGGTCGTGAACCGTGGTCGCGTCCGTTTGTGGATGCGGTCGAGGGCAGAGGGTAGGCAGGTAGTGGTTGTCGTGTGAGTGATTCTTCGAGTCTCGCGCTGGCCGGGGCCGAGTCAAGATGGACTGGTCGAGTCTCGCACGCGGGGTAGGAGGAGAGGGAGCGGATGGTTGGTTGGTGTTCCGCGTCCAGTCGTCTCTTTGGTGTTCGTGTGTCTCAACGCCCTTTGTTCGCCCTCGAGCCAACCACCCATATGCGGCTCTCGTCTTTCTTTGTCCCCTCGACGAGAAGGTAGACGTGGCCGTCGACGAATAACGAGTAGGCGATTAGCTCGCGGGGTTCAGGTCACGCGACGCGAAGGAAAACCACCGTGCCGGGTGCCGGTTGTTTGAGGGGACGACGACTAAGGTAAGGCCGTTGAAAGAAGAGGTTATTCCTGCATCGACGTTTTGGTCGCCACCTCGTCAGCGGTGGTTGAAGTATCGCGAGAGAGTGGATTACTGTTGTCCACGTTTTTGCGGTCGCGGGACGTCGTTGAAGTCAGAGGCTGGCGGGCTGAAAAAGTTGAAAGTGAAGTCGATTACCCCTCTCGGAGATGAGCACATGATATCGAGCCTGACTGATGGCCTTCCTCTGATTCATGATTCATGCTTCTTTCCGTGCGGCGGGCGAAAGTGGAAAAACACGGGCCACTGCCCGACCCTGGGGCCGGAAGACGGAAGGAGGATTAGCTAAAGCCCGGGGCCGACTTCCAATCGAATCGACCTGAATTCTCGCGAAACACCTGCCTTTCCAAGGTTAATCAAACAATACCCGTCAACGGCACTTTCCCTGCGCTACAGTAGTTCATTAGCCTCATCGAAGGGCGTCGAACTGCTCTCGAGCCATCAGTCTGCCCGCAACATCTCAATCACTGACATCTCCAGCTCCCCCTCTCAAAAGCCCTCAACATCCCCGCAGATCCAGACCCGGTCCCGGTCCCGGTCCCACGGCGTTTCCCGATATCCCGCATTCTGAGGTAACTCCGCTCTCCCGTCCGCCCTACGGCAGGAGCTCCACCTCCAGATACCGTCCCCTCGCCAATCATCTACGTGTCTGTCCACTACCCTTGAAGTTTCGTCCATGTCTGCATCTCAATGTATTTTGCAAGTCCGGCATCACCGAACCCTTCATGGACATAAAAGGAAAAGAAGTAGAACAAGAGGAAGAAACCTTCTCAAAGGCACGGAGCATTCTCGTCTCAAGGCCAACACGAACGGGTACAGCCGAACGGCGATCTCTCCCAAGTCATGCATCGACGCAGCAACCCATGCATCCCTTCTCCTCATCCAGTCCCCTCCTCAATGATAAGCACCACCGACGGACTGGCCGTGGGCTGAACAGCGGGATCCCCTTACCGTTGGACAAGCTGAAACGGGCCTATGCCTAGTACGCGGGATGGGCGACACACATTAAATAGAATTTCCCCCATCCCTCACATCAGACCGATCTCTAGTTTCTTCTGTTGCATTGTCCAGGGCGAATTGGCTTTTTGAGACCTCGCCATCCGATGGGAAAACGGCTGAATTCGACCCCTAATCCATCTGCTCGGGTAAAATTCGTCTGCCCGCCCTGTCTCATCCACTCTTCCGGCGTCTGGGGTGGCCGGGGCTGCCATGTGGTTTGCAGACAGATCCCCTGCCGTCTACTGGCCCCAGGCACCTGCTGCCAGTCATACCAGACCCTCTGCATGACTCAACCGACCTTCCTGACAAACTGTCGACAGTTATTCGCATCTGTCCTTGATTCCTCCTGAATCGTCGTGGTGGGATGGGATGCTCGACGCGCGGCGTACGGTCCACGCTCCGGCCGCAGGAACCACTCGTCAAAGATCAGCTTGTTTCGTGAAGACGTCTGACTGTATCTGCCTCGCATCGAGCGCGTCGCAACTTGATTTGGCGTCTTCTCATGCGTTGCTCTGTTCATCACGGATGGTCTCGTTTGTGAAAAAGATACTTCCATTGAACTGTGTGGCCTCATGGGTATAGCCCGCAATATGGCATACTTCTTCCTCCCCTAATGCTATCGCCGACTCGTCGTCGTCCCTTCTTGTCCTGCATCGCATTCGTCCTTGCTTCCTGCCACCCTTCCGTCCCGTCTCTCTAAAAAGAGTCCGACCGCGTCTTATGTACTCCTTTCGCTCGTGATAGAGGCCCGCCTTGGATGACCCTGTTCCCGTAGTTCCGTCCGTAATGTACAGTATCCGTCTCGTTGTCATCCAAAGCTGCTGCTATGGTGGAAAAAGGAAATGTGGCGGTCGACCGTTGTTGGGTATATGATCTTACTGGAAACGCCAAAGTGAAATGAACCAAATGAAAAACCTCTTGCGCGAGGTGTGGCTGTAGTGTGCTTGATACAATGTTTGTACATGGTGGGAGGCGTGCTCCGTGCTTTCTGTTCGTCTTGAGTTCCTCAATAGGCCTGTCCCGGCGGGAAGAATCCGTCGGGATGACCAGACATGGACGGGCTCGTCAGATTCGCATGCGGGACGTAGGACGAGGAAAAGTCGGTCATCATCCCAGGGTCTTGCATTTCGACATCCGCTGACTCTTGAGGTCCCCCAGCCATGCTTCTCAAGCTCTGCATGTCGTCGGCAATGATTCCGTTATGTTGCATGCCGTTGGCAAATGGCTGGTTGCCGGCGTTCGGGTCGTACATTTGAGCATCGGGCATAGTCTGGAAGAAGTGGCCGAGCGTGCTGTGATTCTGGCCGTTGTGCTGATGACTTTGGCTATGGTGGCTCGACTGCGATGAATGCGACAGCCGCGACTGGCTGGCCATCGCGCCGGACGTCGGTACTTGTTGGTGAGGGTGGTGTAATTGCGCTGGACGCGCCACGCGCTGCTGTCTCTGCACATAGACTCTCCTTTGCGATGCCATGTAGGCGGCAAGTTGAGGGTTCGCTCCTCGTGAAATCTTGAACGAAAACGGGTCGGCCGGTTCCGGAGGAGCCATAGTGCTCTGCTGTCTGGACTTGTGGCCAGGCATGTGCATGGTGCACGTGTCTGCAACGGGTGTGATGAAGTCTTCGCGAAATTTGCCAACGCTGCTGGGGTCAGTGCCCAAAAGGAAGGCGTACTGAATGAGCAACTTGAGGTCGCCGATGTGCCGACATTCCAACCTTTTCCTCAGGATTCCAGAGGACTGGGGACTCCACTGCAGCGAAGTCCTCGAGGCTTCGGACCACATTGACTCGTTCCACGCGGACTGCACCTGGCTCTGGCGCAAGAGGTTACGTATCCTCGCCGAGTACGACCATTCGCCGCTGTTGGCACCCTCGTCGAAGTGCTTCACCACGTGGCTGACGTATTCCTTGAACGTGGAGCTGGCATCTGAGTCTCCCTGCGCTTCAAACACCTGCAAGCAGTTGTCGAACCCACATGCAAACACGACTTGGGGGCAAAGGTTGACCTTGGCTTCGTCTAGTGACATCCTCGATCCGCCGTGCGCCTGCTTCAGATGTGTTTTGTAGGCGCCTTGCCAGTCGAAGACCATTTGGCAGCCGCGGTGACGACAAAACCACTGCGCGTTGACGTTGTGGAAGTCTTCGATGTGTCGCTTCAGGTCGTTTTTCCTTGTGCACGTCTTGGTGATGTCCTCCTCCTTGCAGAAGCCGCACATGAAAGCCCCCTTTTGCTTTGATGCACCAGAAGTGCCCGACGCGGCATCGAGTGTGGATTCAGAACCGTTCCACGACTGCTGATCTTGTTGTGTCTGTACCGCTTGCTGGGCTGCTTGAGCCTGGGCGGCGGCACTGGCGCTACTGCTCTGGCTGCGTCTGCCCAGTATCTTGGATGTGCCCCGGGACACGTTGGAAATGATGCTTCCGGTGATGGACGATGTGTCGGAAAAGGTGCGTATGCTCTGTGTATCCCATACGCTCGACTCGTCTGATAAGATGGATGACTGTGCGGACGACATAATCGACGCTCCATCCGAAGCTACAGTTCAATTAGACATTGACACACGAATGGTGATTAGAGAAAAGAACCCACGAGTGGTTGAGGTCTCCTGGATTATACGGCTTAGTTCATCAGGGCCATATCTGCCGATGAGCTGCTTGATCAATTGTGCATCGAGAACCCTCTGCGTGGCAGGCGAAACATTCGTCGATTGGTGCGAGGAGCCGTCGGCCCCGGGCCAAGCATTGGAGGCCATCGTTCCGGGTGGTCGTAACCCGCGCTCTAGATGTTGAAAAATGCCAGGGAAAAGCACAGGAACTTCGGTTGGTTGCAGGTATATGTTCTGATGCTGAGCGATTTACTCGCTTCGCTGCGGTATTTTGCAATGGGATGCTGTGCGTGAAATAAAGAGAAGGGAAGGAGTGTATCGTGGTCGGGATGGGGAAAAGTGCGGGAGGTGGAGTGCAAGAATTCCAGGCGGCCAGGGCCTGGGATCTAGCGCTGGGCGCGACGCGGAAACGAGAAAAGCGACTGAAAGGGTACGCCAGTTGGATAAGGGGAGGGCGGCACCGCAGCTAAGTATCGGCCGCAGCGATGGTATGCCTCCGACGGACGAGGCCAAGCTGGCTTGGGGTTTGGTGCTAAAGCAGGGTTCACTCTATCTCAGAACCGCGTGGGAGGTGGCTGCTGGTGCTTGTCTGTTGGACCTGCGTCCAAGTTGACGTGATCCGACACGGGATCTTCGCTAGTGCGGGCGTATGAAGGCAGCGACGGTAGTCGAAAAGCCTTGTAAGGAGTACGGAGAAGTCGATGTAATGAACGGCGTGTCTGCGGATAATGTCTTGTCTATCCGTGTCCTGTTGGATATAGGATACTGGTGAACCAAGAGGCTGGTTTTGCTAGCGGTCTGGCGGGTGGCCTGGACTTGTTCGAGGCTCGTGGTGTGTTTCGACCCGAGAAATCGGACGGGTGATGAAGGAAGCGGGAAGGCAGACGCTGGCTGGGTTTATGTCGGCTTGATGCTTATCTGACGGTTTGTTGCGTGGGAATTCGGCAGTTGAGTGTTGTGATTTCCCCTACTAGTGCAAGTCGCCTCGTCGTTGTCGTTGTCGTTGTCTTCCCTCGCTCGACAGCCCCGTCGTCAATGGTCGAGAAGGATGACGAGTGAGTGGAAGAGGAGAAAAGACGGAACGGCGAGGAGGAAAGAGAAGAAGTTGAGCTGAATTGCAGTTTGAGGGGAATTCAGATAGGGTCCCCTAGCCGGTACAGACAATGGCACCCGACTCTTCAATCTCACTCTCTCGGCCGGTCTGTTCAGTCTGTCCTCCCCTGACAGCCTGGCTTGCCCGGGTTCAGACGGTCTTGGATTGGGATGGGCTGCGCCAAAATGAAAGAATCAGTGCTCGTCCCAGGGGCCAGCAGCAGCGAGTGGTGGCAGTCTCGCAGAAGGAAGGCTATCCGCGGACCCTCGAACCCTTCCCCTTCTCAGTGCGGTGGGCAAAATACAGGTGGGATGCCCGAAGGACTCTGGTCGTTCCCGTCGTCAAGCGATGGAGAGATTGGGAGGAGAGCCGGGGTGTTCGCAACGGGGTCGCATCCAGGATCGAGCGGATGGGTGTACTGAGGTACAGAGACAGAGTACGGATACCAGAGCGAGGGGATCCCAGACGGGCAGCCCGGCGAGTTTCGACGTCTTGGTAGGATTGGCGTGCGATAACGAGAGTGGTTTAGTGGGCGACGCCACCACTAAGCGTCCGAGGATGGCCCAGAGATAAAGGCGAAAAAGAAACAGAAATAGGAACGCTGCCCGTTCGGGGCAAGGCACGACAGCAACTGGCAGGCAGGCCAGGCTTGGGACAGGACAGGACAGGACAGGCTGTGGCCTTCCGTCATTCGGGGGTGGGAGGCAGATGTGATGGTGGTGGTTGCGTTGCGCTGGATGCAGGAGAGAGGCGAGGGACCCCTGCGAGGCGTCCACCCCTCCTCGTCGGTTCGTTCCATCCGCCCAGGGACAGACGGACAATGGCATTGAGGGCCGTCAGTCGACGGCAATGAATGGTCGGGATCTGATAATGAGGTACGGTGCCTGATGCCGTCTGTAGTGTCGATGTCGACTTCCGCGTCGATGGTCCGAGGCCGATTCTGGCTGCATGCGTCCGTGAACGATGACCAAGAAGGCGATTTAGCAGCGTCTCTTGGCTGCGGCGATAACGCGAGGGCTGTCATCGGGAGTCTCAACCGGGATATTCAAGATTCGCCCGCTTCATCGGCGAGAGTGGAATCCAAAAGGAACGGTTACGCAGTACAGGAGCGAGGTCCGTCCAGACTCCCAATCAGAGGCATGGTAATTCCCAGAGTCGAAGGGGGAAGCCGGGAGATGCGGGCCCCGTAACAAGGACTCGCGGTCGATGTTCATGATCGGTGGGAGACCCTTGGAGAAGGCAGGGCTTGCTTGGTTACTTGGGTTGAGGGGGAAGCCAGCCAGCCATCGAAGCCGTCTGGGAGTGCGTGTCCGTAGAGCGCAAACACGTGAAGGTGGTGGAACAGGGCGGTCAGCCATAAGAGTTGAAGATCGGCAGTGTAAGGTAGCTCCAGTTCGATGCCGGTGCTGTCGGTGGTGGTGATTTACTGCGAACTTGGAAGAAGAAAATGGGCCATGGCCGGGTTGGGTATCGCGTCTGCTGGCGCAGCTTGCATGATTTTGACCGATTTTCGACAGGTATTTTGGATGTGCCTTCTTAGATTAGCGGTGACCATGGCGGTTGACGCCGGCAGAGGACGAACTGAGGCAATTGATCAAGGCAATGGCGGGCAGCTATTTTTTTGCCTTCAATGCTGTGTCACGGAAATGATTGAAGTGAAGCTTGATCAGTGGAGGGAATTATTGGGGAAAGCGTGGGGGGAACCCGGCAAGAGCAGGAGCAGAAGGCAGGGAGGGTGGAGGGTAGAGCTACCTTCCCTGCCTGTGGTCCAGCTGCCCGGGCAGCCGTACAGGTACTTGACAGCAAGAACAGTAGGGCAATGTGCTTTACTGCAGCGAGCATCTGGCTTGGCAGGTTCCCTCCGACTTGCCTCAGCGAAAGTGCTCCAGATACATCACACAACCAGCCAGCTTCAGCATCAGTGCACGAGTGGAAGAAGCAGGCAAAAGCCTGCCGTTGATTCATCTGGAAACTCCGCAAATGCACACACATATTTACCCAAGGCACACTCCAAACTTGGAAGCACGGCAGGCGCGATGCCATGCTTTCGTCTTACAGTAACCGCGCAGTCGCAGGTGAGCGTTCCTTCCAAAGTAGAAAAAAGGAAGCAACCACTTAAACATCATCACGTGATGCTCCGGCATCCCCGGTACGTACCTATCAGGTCAATTGCACCTCCCGAAATCTCTTTAGCGACAATCATGGATCAATCATGGATTGAAGCACCGCCTCCTGCCCTCCTCTCTCCGCCAAACTCAAATCGTTGGCCTTCATTTCTCCTCCCACGATGCTCCCAGGAATCGCTGCACTTGCGAAACGGATGCAGCCTTGGGTTGAGATTGGGTGCTCTTTTCCCGGCCCAAATCCCGACTGTCACAAGAAACACTTATTTTCCCCCGAAAACCTTACTTGTCCTTCCAAACGCCAAACTTCAGACACCATCCACCACCACCACCACCACCACCACCACCATTTCCACTGCACCTCGACACTTGGAGACCCTTGTTTTGTTTTTCCTTTGTCCTTCTCCCATCTCATCTCTCCCTGACCCTGCATTTGACATCGCCCAAGGTTCGGATCTACTCCGTTTCCTTGCAACGCTTTACCCGACGTCGTGCCTACAGAGTACCCTACGGCAGTACTTCGTATACCGTCCATCAGACAGACAGACAGACAGACAGTGAGATCAGCACTTCGTTTCAAGCCTGCTGCAGCCTAATCAACTTGAGCACATCTGCTCTTCATCACAGGACACGACACTCGTGGGAACAAGATTGGTCTGCTGCAGGGGCTGCTTCGACTCCCTGCATCTTCTTCTCTCATCCCAGCGTCCCTGATAAACACCCTCAGCAAATCACCGTTCTATCCGACTGGAACATCATTTCTCGATAGTCGCGCCCAACACTGCAGATGCAGAGTCCAAGCCACTCAGACTCCGAAAGTCCGAATCGCATTTCAACTGGTTCTGCAGATTCCTTCTGCGTCAGCCATTCCTCCCGGGAATGCTTCCAGAACGCTGCTATCAACTTCCACCACCAGCGACGGCTCGAATTCGGCCTGGCCCCCAATTTCCATCTTTTCTCGAGCCAGCGCATCAAACAATCCCGCATCCGTCTAGCTCCCAACCGTCTTCTGGAACCAAGAGAAAAAGGAACGCGGCAGCTGCGAATCGTTCGGTCCACTCAGCCCATGACGCAACTTCTTTCCTTCTCCCGCGCCTTCATGTCGCGAGCCGTCCATCGCGTCCGCCGCCAGCACCAGCACCGGCATCAGCAACACAGCTCTCGCCCTCGTGTCTTACACTGAGCAATTACACATTCTTTTGTCGCGGCAGTTCGACCACTCCGGGACTAGGGCCATGTTACGTGGACCCACCATTGGCCGGCCGAGTGGGCCCGCCCGATAGCACGATGCCGTCTCTGATCCCACGACACATGTGAATGACAAAAACCCGATGTTGTGTTCATGTCCCATCAAACTCTCCCATAGTGCCGCGACAATACGCCGGTCACGGCCACGGCGACTCCAACTACAATGGCGGTCAATCCATCCGCGAGAACCAAAAGTTCCTTTTGATGGGTCTGGCGTACTTCGCGCTCTATTTCGACAGAAGCAAGAAACAATCTTGCACCCGGCAGTCATCATTTGGCCCCCAATGCCAGGCTCTGCCACCTGCGATGCAATGCCCTGCCGTGATTCGTGCAACCAATATCCTAGCGGCTGAACACATCTTCACTTCAGCCGCAATAGTCTCACCCGTCTCACCAAAGTGTTCTGGGCCAACAAACACACACCTGCCATCCGTTCAATGCCACAGACGCTGCTGCAAGGGTCGCGCCAGGCTTATTCGGTTTCCGAGCTTGACTGCCATTCAGCTTCAACCCACCGGCGACGATCTCTAGCGACACGTCAACCTCCATCAAGTGGCTCCGTGTCCTCTCGTTTTCCGACCTTCAGACCAAAGCAACACCGTTTGAAGCCGATGTCAGCTAGGCACAGCCCCCGGGACGGTGCGAGAATGAAACATTCGAGGCAGGTCTTACTCGCTGGTCTCGGTGGCTTCGGACAACCTCCGTAGCAACCTCGAGTCGACGTTCGGCTTGAGCGAAGGTCCAGAATATCGCAGTCGCAAATCGCGACGGCGTACGCTTCTTGTTGACGGGGCAAGCTGTAAAAGGCTTGTTCGTCTTCCGAAAGGGCTGGGCGAGTCTCGTTTTGGTTGGTCGAAGCCGGCAGTTGATCGCGCGGTGTTGGTGGTTGTTGGTAAGTTGTACTGCCTTCTCAGCTAGTGCTCTTCGGCCTGTGTCCGATGTTGAATGTCGACTTAAACGCGACGACGTTTCGCGGTTCCAGACATTCGAGCCAGACATTCGAGGTAATACCTCGGTGACTTTCATTCAATACTGTCGCTTCCGGCTTTGTTGCCGATACCTCTTCTGCGACGCCTTGTTCATTGTTCTGATTGTGTCCATTGTCCTGGTAGCGGCCATCACGCTTTCAGCTCTTCGGCCTGTCTGCCTTGCCGAAGGCTATGGTGAAGAGTTTCATCATCGCGAACTTGACGAGCTACGTCTTCGACGTCCGTATCAGCTGTGTTCATTCTGGGGTGTCGCATTAGGGGACTATGTCTTTGAAAGTGGCAAGTGTAACCTCGCCTTCCGCAATGCCATAACTTGAGTTAGAAGGCAGCATCACAATGTAACGCTGTTGTTGCTCACTCTAGCGAAAGCACAATGGCGCCCGGCCACCACCATAGCTTGGAAGCTACTTCTATGGGGCTTATACCAGTCTCCAGGTGCTAGTGAATATCTTTATGTAGTCGACGTGTCTTCTTCTGGAGATGTATGCCAGGCACTGGCGAAGCGGAGCGCGCTTGGCCCAATGGCCAAGGCTCTGGGGTTCTATCTTTATCGTGAGCCTCTTGAAAGCGAACTCGACGTAGATACGGCTGCATGAATGTCCGTCTGGCTTGATGTCAAGATTTTGCTTCTACACCAGGGCTAGCGGTCGAATTGGTCACGCTGGTGGCATTGAATTCTTTGTATGGGGGATCATCGTGTGCCAGCATATAAACCACGTGTTGTCAGACAATACTCCTTGTTTTCTAAAGCTTCACAATTTGTTCTTCGTGATGGCTGTCAGTCTCGCGATGGAGTTATCGGACACGAGGAGTTGACGTTGGTGAAAGAAGGCCAGCAGGCAGATTCCAACTCTGGCTTCATCTAGTAGGCCTGTTGCCTACATTGGCCAGTGGGTGAAGATTGGGATTGGGAATCACATCGTTTACAAACAAAGCATTGCAGGACGACTCGGCAATGTTGGCTGAGGCAGGCACTCTCGGATTAGTTCGACAGCACTGGTCTATGAGCAGAGATATTAGGAACACGATGAGGTCCGAGGTGGTCGAGTAGGATCGTTGGATGTCCCTCTTATATCCCTGTGCGGCGAAAGTGCGCCAACACTTGAATGCCCTTGCTTGGCCCGCCCCAGGCCTGACCAAGTACTTCGAAAATGGCAGCGCTGCCGCGCGGGACCGCTGGAAGAGGTTCGTCGGCGCTGGACCGTTGTACGAGGAGAGTTCCTGTAGCTAGGTTGGACGAGAAGTCCGTTTGTATGGATAACTTTCCGCCGTGACTTGAGGCGTCGTCGATTTGACTTCATCGTCTGTCGTTCGTATTGTTGTTGGAAATATTCAAGCTGCTCTTCGCCACGACTCAGTGCGCGAGAGCCAATGCGTGTCTTTGAAAGTAGCACAACTGCCAGGCCTGTACCACTCCGAGAGACTGGAATTTTGGGGCTATACAGAACGAATGTTTATAGGTTCCATCGTGGTAAAGCCGTTTTAGGTCTCTCCCTCGAAAAGAAATGCAGCACACCTAAGAACTTTCCCTCCCTATATCTTAATATGTTGAGAAGTTTCCGTATTCTTTTTATGTGTTCCAGGCCTGAAAACTCGTCCCGGTACCCTTCTTTAGACGGCAACATTCGTTAAACATATAAAATCTTAGAAATGCCGATATTCATCCGTTCACTTCAGTATGCATTACTTCGGCGTATGTCCTATAATGCGAAATTTAGCCAGCTGCACAATCTTCTCTTATATGTAAACGTTTATATACATATGAGGGTCGTCGTAACACATCTTCTTAGAGTGCGTCCTGTATGCCGTCGCAGTTAACACTTCCCTCCAGGCTCTAATATATTAAGCCTTGACTTCTGTTTTGTTATTCAAAACCTTGGGTCTGAATCGCGAAATCGACAAAAGATGACGGAAGTTTACTTGCCGCCAGACGATAAGAATTACAAAAACACAATACTGGGTGCCGGGTCCTTGAGGATTCTGAGTGCTCATTCAAAACAGCCCGCCTTTCTTTTTCTTGATGCTGAATCAAACCCGGACTCATCGATAGAAATGGACAATCTTCTGTATCATGGCATCAACCCTGACGCTGGAGGAACTTTCTCCTCGCTTGCAGATTCTCGAAGTCCAAGAATCAAGCCCGAGTGGAGAGCTCTTTGTAATCGTCTTCGATCTTGCCGTTGTGGACATTCTTACCTTGATTTCAACAAAAACTGCCCTCTTGAAGACTGTATGCTATGGCTAAACGAGCGAAGAGTAGAAAGCCGAGATATCTTTCCAGTACGCGAAGCATCAACCGAAGGTTGAAATCTTGAAGAACTTGATAAGAGCGGATAAAACCGGAAATAAGATTGGTCTTTAGTCTAATTACTGTATCTAGACTCCCAAGGGTTGATGACAGCCAGGGACTCGTACCCGAGCCTTTTTCTCACCACCCTGCCAAAGTGCCTGTCATCATATGTTGTTGATCAGTTGCTGCTCGGAGCGAAAGCGCAGGAAACCGATGGCGCGGGCGATTTATACTGGATCGCTGCATTCCCACACCCCTTTATCCTTTTTGTGATGTGCAGAAATCAAGAGGACTAACGGCGCGTTGCAGTGGAATAGCCAACAGAACCCGAGCCAATGGCCATCATACAACTCATCTCCCGGGTCTTGGCTGGAGGCTGTACGACTTGAACTCTTTCCAAGAGAGGAAGCTGGGTATCAAGGCGTGCATGCCGCAGCCTGATTTGGGCTTCGTTCTGCAGGCAGGCCGGTGCCTCTTTCGTTGTCCCTGCCATTTGTCACGAGGACAGAAACAGGGCGGATCTTTCGACTGCTTTATTTGACCAGCCAGCCCAGGAGAGATGTTCACTTCTTTGCTCACCCAATATTGATTGAGTCTTCCGCCTACAACATCGAACTCCCTCGCACAGAATAGAAGCAAACCAAGAGCCAAGGTAATTAAGAATATTCTTACAGGAAGCCTGTGATGATGCTAATACCCGCTCAGACAGTATCCATCAAAGCGGTGAAGCTGACGGGGCGCTCCTGGTTGGATCCCAAGTCACCATGGCGAGAACAGTCCACACACAGAGTTGGCATAGCCGGCGGCTACGAGGCGAAGGATTCAAACAGACAACCGATCTGTGGCGTACTTGGGACTCGCTGGAGCAGGATACCATGGCGCAACACGTGATCCATGAATCCGACTTGGTGCTTAGTCTGCTGGATGGTAGGGCGATCAAAACCCTTCGACACATGGCGTCCCACCCTCATCTACGCGAGAAGCTGGGTCCAGTTGACGAGGTGGTATCCATGCAGCTGAGTGGGATTAAATTTGATTACATGAGCTACAGCCATGCACTGGCTGTGCTCACAGTCCAGCCGCGTTTGCGGATCTACAAACTGAAGAGCAACCTGAAAAGGAACGCCCAGCGTTTCCCGCAACCCGATTACAGATTATATCCTCACGCTGAAGCGTCCAGCCCCGAGAAATCGCCCGAGCATCGTCAGGATCTGAGGCCTGGTGATGAGTGTATTCCTGGCCTCACGTCCCTGTGCCACAACCTCCTCGGAGTGGTGGACCCAGAAGCAGATGGGCTCGACCAGCTCAAGGGAGACCTCCTGCGACAGGCTCGCGATATCTCCAAGGAGCACAGATCAATAGTAAACTCAAGCGTACTCCGCACGCTGCAGTATCTCCTGTTGGGAGTTCCTCCAGAAGGAAACCAAGCAGGAGGTGTATCTGGCTCCTCAAACGGTGGCGAGGTGGAAAACTGGCGGACTCACAGGGCGATTGAGCCAGTACGGCGTGAGGGAGCGATGGCAAATCTTCTGCAGCGCCTGAGAGATACTCGAGGCAGCATTCTCGGCGATGAGGATAGTCCGAATTCCTCCTGGAGATGGTGCGCTTTCATTGACGGCAAGAGGATGCCTTGGCCCAGCTCCCTGTCAAAAGAATGGGTATTCTGCGTGGCAGCCGGACTGGAAGGCAAGTTTGGCTGCCAGATGGTTGAAGGTCTTCGTGTTGATGCGACACACGACGACATCGTGATCCGGTTCTCAACTTCGAGGTCCTCTGAGGATCTTGTATCTCAATTCCCAATTAACCAGACTTTGGGGGTGACGACCCCGGCGAGACGGAAGCACCTGGCCGAGGCGGCTGTTGGGATCTTGCTAGCACTTGTTGGCGAGGACCACACAGAAGCTCACCAGTACATCAGCCTGGCGCCAGAGAGTCACACGCCACCAGAAGCAGACGCAGAGGACCCGAGTTTTGCGCTACTCAATGTGAACGTGCAATGGGCTGCACGGCTGCCAGCCGCGGAGGCACCACTTTTCGAGGTCCCTCGGCCGCACGAGGCTCCCACGCAGACGGACCTCACAGCGGTGGTCGGGACACTCACCCCTTGGAGCGGAGGGTGCCAAGCGAAGGCCAGCTGCTGCTGCAGTACGAACATGGTATATTCTGTGGATAAGAACGCAGTTGCCGAGTTACAATCTATTGACGAACTAGTCGTGGCCGTGAGCTACGTATGGGATCAATATGACGACAAAGAGCTGGTCATCACGTTGGCGAAGCTCTCACGCTCTACTGGAGTTGACAAGTTTTGGGTGGACCGCTGGTGCATAAACCAATCATGCCAGTGGCACAAGGAGATAATGATTCCTGAAATGGGTCTCATATACTCAAATTGCGAGTTCGTGATTGCCTTGTGCCCAGATATCACAGCTACACTGCGAAGTACACGCAGTGGTTATTTAGGTTACGATGACGGCAGCGACGATATGGGAGCGGCAGTGAGGATGCAGTTCGCAGCATGCCGGTGGAGGAGCCGTAGTTGGACTTGGCAAGAGGGAGTGATGGCCTGGAACGGATGGTACATGACAGCTTATGAGCTGGTCTCGGCCAACACATTGGAGCATTGGGTGAATTGCAGTACCTGGATTGTTCCCGGGCTTTGCAGCTGCCCTTTCTGTTCACAGACGGTACACAGAGCAGGGCAGCATGTAGGTGAGGTGACCACCTGGAAGCAGACTCTATGGGTCAACGCCCTCAGAGATATGAATCAGTTTCTGTGGGGTGAGTTTCTCGGGAGACGCCACAGATGGAGTTTTCAGGAGGCAATGGAGGCGACCTGCCAGAGGAAGGCCACGATTCCGCTGGACATGCTGTATTCGATAATGGGCGCGGTGGAGGAAGTGAGAGAAGTGGAAGTCGACTACCAAGCGGACCTGGCTGACAAGTTGAAAGAGTTTGTACAGGCCGGAGACTGTGCCCTCTGCCTGGTGACCAGCAGGACGATTGATAGGAAGCCGGGGGCCTGCTGGATGCCGGAGGTAGTCGACAACCCCTCATGGAAGGAGGAGGTGAACTGGATGATGAGAGATTGCGCTGCAAGCTTCACCTCGATGGATTGCTACTTAATTGCGAAGACTTGGGAGAAGTGGGGAGCACGATCGAAACGGATACGGGACCCATGGTGGAAGGAGGAGGAAACACACCATGGACGATCATCGCCGATGCGGAATGTGCGGCGAGACCGAGGAATCGTGCCTTCATGTTGCGGAGAGAGCGTGATGGTGTAGTGGTCTTCGCCGAGAGCGCAGGCGATGAACTCTGGCATCGTCGGGCCTCCGCCGATGTGGGAGGCCAGCTTGAATGGTTGCCCACTCACCCAGCTATTGCGGTCAAATTAGGGTAGTTGAGGCGATGGAAGAAACGTTCTAACAAATCCTGTGATATTGAATCAACGAAGGCAGAGTCTTTAAGCGGAGTCAACGTGGTTGAAGGCATGTGAGAAGAGCTTATTGTGTTGTTGTTTCAACTCTCGAGATATTACTGGAGAAGAGGAGTTTGCTGTGCTGTATTTGAGACTAGAAACTTGGTATGCTGAAGATAATTCCATCTGATTACTCTATTTTGAAGTTGCGAAATGTAACCCATTCATCCGCTACTGATTTTCCCGAACTCTTCGACTCGCCGAATATGCCAAACAACGTCCCCGTCATATCATAACCCGACAGCAGCACGGGATCAACTCCGCCCAACTCTTGCCAGTCGGCATGATTCCCATTGCTTTCGAAGCGCCAAAGAAACCTGTATCGACTGGTCTCGGCTTGGATCCGGAGATCAATCGCTTCGACTCCGTTAGGGACGGATGTTGACCCGAGCTCAACACTAACAGGCATACCATCCTGAATCGCAACCAGCACTGAGGAAACTCTACCCTCAGAACCGTCTATCCGGATCGCAGCATGCCGCAAGCTGTCTTTGTATACCGCCAGACCAGCCAGTGGCAGTCCCTCGAGTCCATCAGATTTCAACTCGACGGTCACCATGGCCGATCCCGAAAAAGACCTCTGCCTTCGACCAACGAAAGTGGATGTCCCTAAAGAGCTCGCCAGTGTAGACGCCTGAGCGCATAGGGAATAGGCGTCATCCTCCTTGGAATATCGATAATGCTCAAGGTTAGGCGTGCGGATGTAAACATCCTCAAGACGCCCTCCCGCCATTCGATACCCACCATGCCGCTCCTCGTCCGAAACATCATCCAAATCGACATCCATCTCAAGCTTCGTCTGCGCGATCTCAGGCCACTCCCCCTCTCCCCAAACCACCGGCGTAAGAAACGTCTCGCGACCAAGCGGATGCCGCCTCTCATCCTCTTTATCATGTCGAATCCCAAGATGAACACAAAACCACCTCCCACTCCCGTCCTCCACAAAATCCCCATGCCCAGTCCACCGCACATCCTCATCCTTCCCCAAAGCCGTCAGCAGAGGATTCCGCGGACAACCCTCATACGGGCCCCAAACATCCCTCGCCCTCGCCACGTTAATCTGATGCCCCTCGAAAGTCGACGCCTCCGCCGTCACCAACCAATACCACCCGTCCTTAAAATACACATGCGGGCCCTCGGCATCCCCCTTCCCCGCGGCGCCCTCCCACAGGAACCTCGTCTCCGACAACGCCCTCCCGGTCTCCACGTCAATCTCGAACTGCCGGATCGAGCACTCCGGCGCCCACGGCGGCCCCGTCCTGTACGAGCCGTGGAGATACGCCCTCCCCGTGCCCTCGTCAAAGAACAGCCCCGGGTCGATCCCCGGAAACTCGAACGGCACGGCGTCGGACCAGGCGCCCTCCTCAAAGACCTCGTCTTCGCGGCAGCTCATCAGAAAGTTGCGGAACTCGTGCGCGCCGGAATCCGGGTCCTCGTGCGCGTTCGTGCAGACGAGGTAGAACCTGCGGTCGAAGTGGCGGAGCGTCGGGGCGAAGAGGCCGCCTGTGATGATGAGGGGCACGCCGCCGTCCGGGAGGGGGATGAATTTTGTGAAGGCGTTGGAGAGGGAGAGTTGCGAGGGGCGGGAGAGGGCGTGGGATCGGAGGTCCCAGTCGACGAGGTTTTTGGAGGAGTAGATGGGCAGGCCCGGGAAGACGTGGAACGAGGAGTTGACGAGGATGTAGGTGTCTTTGAAGCGCACGATCGTCGGGTCCGGGGCGAAGCCCGGGATGATAGGGTTCTTGAGTTTCATGGTTGACGGGTTTGGTGTTGTTTAGTGTGGTTATGCTAAGACCTGGGGTTGGAATAGGTGAACTCGAGAAATTTGTGAATGTGATCGGCGTATTATTTGAATGCTGAGGTTAAGCAGCTTCACGAAGTCGGGAACTCCGAGCTCTGTACCCGGGCGACGTTGGACGTCCGCATCCAAGTCCACCTCCGGCCCCACCGCCGAGCGGATGTCCCGTCCCGGCGTCCACCTGACGTCCACCCGCCGTTCCCCCGATCCGGACTGACGTCCACCCTACGTCCACCTTATCCAGGTCTCGAGTCCGTACCCCAGATCTCTACCCAGATGATCGACTTCACCGAAGTCAAAGTCCACCCAATGTCCACCCAATATTTCACCCAGATTGGATTAGGTCGATTGAGATGCCGTCCGAAATGATACCCCGGATTTTCCCCGCCGTCGACTTCCCCTGGCAATCCACAGTCAATGGGTTCATTGGCTGAAGAACACCATTGGTAATGTAGAATAGACGTGAAGTAAATAAAGGTCTGCATATAGAAACAATGCTCAATCCTCTTCGAAGTTCTCCATTGTCGGGTTCTCCAAAATCTTCAGAAAAGTCACCGAAAAATGGTGTCCACTAAAGCCGACGATGGCACGCCCCCGGGCCCCGAATTCAACCACCTAGAAACAACCCCCAACTCAACCGCCGAAGAAATCCTCGCCGCAGAACGCTCCCTCTCCGTCCTCCAAAACGCCAAAATCCACTGGCGAGTCCTCCTCATCGGCAAGTCCCCCTCCTGTCAGCATCCTACCTCACAACCGACTAACCATGCCCCACAGCCTCCGTGGCCTACACCGCCGGCGTGGTCTTCGCCTACGACACCGTGACCAACGGCGCCTCCATCTCGATGCCCTCCTTCCTCCTCTACTTCGGCGAGATGGGGCCCTCGGGCCCCTACCTCCCCTCCATCTGGACGTCGCTGTGGACGGCCATGTCGTCGCTGACGCAGGCCCTCGGCGCCATCCTCGTCGGCTCCGTCTCGGACCGCTACGGGCGCAAGTGGCCGGCGTGCGGCGCGAGCGCGGTGACGCTGGTCGGGGCCGCTGTGCAGTATGTCGCCGTCCCGCGCGCGACGTTGATGGGGGGCAAGATGATTACCGGATTGGGGGTTGGCGCTGTGATGGCCACAGCCACGACGTATATCAGCGAGGTGTGTATGAGATAGGATGATGAGATTTTCCTGTGACCAGGCTGATGCGTGTTTTCTAGGTCGCGCCGTTGAAGCTTCGAGCACCTCTGCAGACTTGCCTCGTCGTCTTCGTCCTCTTGACACAAGGCCTCGCTCTCGGTGTTGTACGCATCTTCGTCCCCGATATCCGCGAACAAGCCTTCAGAACGGTGATCGCCATCCAATGGGCGGTCGGTGGGTTAGCTGTCATCGCATGGGCCATAGCCCCAGAGTAAGTCGACACACATCTCGTATCTTTGAAGAAACGAAGGCGCTGACATTTGCAAGATCACCCCTCTGGCTCATCAAAAAAGGCAACACCGAAGCAGCCCTGAAGGTCTTCAAGAAGATATACGGCCCAAACCACCCCTCCCTGCGCCTCGAGCACGAATCAAACGCAATCCGCGCCGAGCAGGCCCTCGAACAAAACCCCGACGCCACCTACGCCGCCTGCTTCCGCGCCCACAACCTCAAGCGGACCCTGACTGTCGCCTTCCTCTACTCGACCGCCAACATCGGCGGGGCCTCCTTCCTGGCGCAGAACATCTACTTCCTCATCACGGCCGGCCTCGAGGCGGTGCACTCCTTCGACGTCGGCATCGGCGGCTTCGGCTTCGCCGTGCTCATCATCCTCTCCAGCGGCGCCTACCTCCAGCGCGTGAGCCGGCGCAACGTCGTGCTGGCGGGCCTCGCGCTGAACCTGGTCGTCATGGTGGTCGTCGGCGCGCTGTGGTGGCAGACGGCGAGGGGCGCGCTGTGGGCGATCGCGGTGCTGATGAACGTGCTGATATCGTTCCAGTCGGCGTTCCTCCAGGGCGCCGGGTGGCCGATCGCGGCGGAGGTGCCGTCGTACGCGCTCCGCGCCAAGACGCTCTCCGTGGGGATCTGCGCGCAGACGTTCACGACGTGGCTGTTCAACTTCATCACCCCGTACATGTACAACGTCGACTCTGGGAACCTGGGCGCAAGGACGGGGTTCGTATACGCGGGCACTTCGGTGTTCTTGTTGGCTGCGGCGTGGGTGCTTGTGCCAGATACTACCGGGATGACGACGGAGGAGATTGACCATGCGTATGAGTCGGGGCTGGCACCGAGGCAGTTCCAGAAGCATGTCTTCCCGCATGCTGGTAACGTCGGTAAAGCAGGAGATGACGACTGATCTCTCGTAGCGCCGCTCGAGGGTCTGGAAATGAAGAAATTGTGAGAATTTGACTTGACTGTTAGCGCCCTTCGTTCGATATCTGCAACTGTAAGCAAACTTGGCTTAACTAAAATCACATACAACTCGAAAGATCAGCATGCTCCGTAAATCTCATTCGCTTCGTGTTAAGTAATTTTCTCCAGCTGAAATGGCAACAAGTATATGCAAATATTACCCAAACGCATCCTCCTCTTCACTGAATTCGGCGCAATTACAAGACACCTGCTTTCAGGGGGTATGTCACGGCACCGCTGCCAGGCCTGCTGACCACGACGGCACCTTCCCTCTGCTCCTCGGTAAGCTCGCGCTTGGAGTAGTATCCCTTCTCCCACGCCTCCTTGACAGCAGCCACCTTGTCGGCAGGCACCATGTGGACGGTGCAACCACCCCAGCCGGCACCGGTAAGTCTGCTTCCGTAGGATCCGTTCTCGACGGCAATCCGGCAGAGGTCGTCGATCTCGGGGGCACTGCACTCGTACAGGTCTCGGCAGGAAACCTGGGTCTCGTTGAGCAGGTCGCCGAGGCGCTTGTTGTAGGCCGTCGTATCGGCAGAGTCGGTGGGGGCCTCCTTCTCGAGCACCTTCATGAACTTGAGCACGCGCAGGGCCTCCTCGAAGACATGGAGCGCACGCTGGCGCAGCTTGAAGCGCTCGGCGCGCACCGACAGCTTAGACATGAAGATCTGCTCGAGCTCCTGAACGGAGATACCCAAAACCTTGGCGATTTCCTCGCGGGTGTAGCCCTCCTCGCTGGTGAGCGTCTTCTTGGTGACGTCGATGAGAACCTGCAGCTGGGCCTCGGCGGCCTCTTCGGACGAAGCGCCCTCGGACTGGGGCTGATCGTGGGTAGCAAAGTAGGCGTCGTGGAAACCGTGGATAGAGATGCCCAGGGGCGAGGCGTCCTTGGGAAGCTTGGTGCCCGCAGGGTTGAGGGCGGCGTTGAGGAAGGCACCGGCCATGCTGCACTCGACGACGCGAAGGTTGTAATGAATGGGGCCGGTGACCTGCTTGTTGGAGGTGACGAAGGACTGCGCGATGACGAAGCACAGCTCGGGGTTCGTTGTCGGGAAGAAGACGGGGCGAGCAGTCAGGGAGGGTGTGAAAGAGACGAAGAGGGCGGAACCGCGCTGAGAGAACACGGAGGCGGACTGGTCCATGCTAGACGATATCAGATCATGCAAAAAGTGAAGGCGATGTGGATTCCAGGTTTACTCACCCTCCGGAGTTGACACCCACGGCGCGCTCACTGACGATGGCGAGCTCAGTAAGTTCCGTCTTGTCGATCGTCTCCTCGCCGTTGGCGCGCATGACAGCTAGGGCAGAGACACTGGTGAAGGCGGCGCTGGAGCTGAGGCCACCACCGATAGGAACTGAACCGTCCATGAGGACTTTCATGCCCTGGGGTCTGAAGCCGGGGCCGCGCTTGCGACGCAGCAGCTCAAGAGCGCCGCGGAGACCACTCTTGAAGTAGTTGGACCACTCGTGGACCTTGGCGTCGATGGTCACGTCGCCGTTGATGTCGACCTCGAAGGTGCGCGCGGGGAACTTGTCGCCCTGAAGGTTGGCGACTTGGAGCTTGAAGGTTTTGGAGTCGGAGGGGGTCTCATCGACGGAGACGGCGAGGATGGCGTCGGCGGTGATGGCCATGGGGAGGACGGAGTAGAGCGAGTAGTCGATGTGCTCGCCGATGATGTTGACGCGACCCGGGGAGCGGGCGACGAAGGTGGCGGCATGGCCGTACTGGACCTTGAACTGGTCGATCAGCGCGTTCCAGCGCTTCGTCTGGATGGGGAGAGCATCCTCGGTGTAGATGTCGGCGAGGGAGGTCGCGGTAGGGACGGGGCCAGCCATGGTGGGCGCGGTTTGATCTCTCTTCACAGGGTGGTGTTTGGCGTTTTGAAGAGCTGTCGATAGATTGGACCTGGAGGATGAGGGCACGAGGGAGCGAAAGAAGGGAGGAAAGAGGACAAGAAAGGCGTCGCGAGTGGTCTGAGAGGAGTGGTTCTCTTATGACGTTTTGGGGTCGGTCCTTTTGGTGGGGTGGGACGCAACAACAGGATGGAGCAGTGGAGGATGATGGAGGGCCCCAGGTCAGGTCCAGCGTCGGCGCAATAACCCCGCGATGGAGCTTTGGTGTTTTTCAGGCGCGTGCCCCGTGGTGTTGGAGGTGCTGCTGTGGGTGGTGGGTGCACTGGAAATTACCCCGCAATTGCCCCTCGTTGCCCATTTCTCGTCTGAAGAAACCGCGAGGAACTGTTCAAATGTCTCACCCGCAATGCGACGATCTTTGGTAGAAAATTGGTCAATTGACTTTATTACCTCAAATTTCACTCGTCACATCAAGGTACAATCCATCGTTCATGTACCTAGGTGTCCCGGCGCGAGTGTCGGCGCAGTTCGGCTCCGAGAATTGTACCTCGTCGAGAGCTATCATCATTCCCTTTCCTTCCTCATTTCCCTCTCCTCTGTACTTAGAGCAACTAACTCTCCCGTCGCTTTGCATCACTCGTGGTCCAGAACAGGCCACTACAAAGAGACCGGCCCAGAGGAAACGAATACGCTGATACCGAACTTGCCCGTCCCGGGAGTAGCGGTCCCGTTCTACAGCGGGCCGAGTCGGAAAACCGGCGGAGAACTCGAATGTCTCACTCATCGGGGCGGTCACCCGAGAATAGAGTCGTCTAAGGCCTGGTGAGAAGGAGGAGAACCGATAGCCTGATGACCTTTTACAGAATTGTCAGATATATTTTTCAACAAAAACCATCTCGTCGCATAAGACCACAGTGTCACATGTCCCAGAAACACCACGAAACGAAAGATCAGGGGAGGTCGCCAATGCGCACCAGTGGGGTGACAGCTTGAAGATGCAGCCGGGGTCCAGGGTCTTCCCAACCTGCCGCGGGGATCTCGGGGGCGAGAGAGAGACATCCCATCCCGACAGATCGATGCTTCGGCCCAAGTTTTTTTTTGACAGCGGGTCAACTGTAACCTTGTACTCAGACGATAAGCTTGTGTTTTCTTCGGCCATGATCCAACCTCGTGCCGTTGGCTCGTCGGGTTGGATCTTCTTTGGATTGCGCCTCTGTGGTGATGTTTTGATCAATTCTGGCATCACGGCGTTACGGCGTCGCACCCCGTCCAATTCATGTCTTCTTGGTTTCTGTTGGGCGGCTTTAACGCTCAGTATCGTCTCAAGCGCATACTCATCCTCGAGGTGAGATTGGGGTGGGTGGCAGACTCCGGGTTGCTTCTCGTGTTCAAACGAAACGATTTAGCCCGAGCTAGTGTTTTGCCAGATGAATGTGATCAAGGGGTGATGCGCGAACAAAATAAAAACCAAACATGGCGCCTGGTACATGAGAAAATTGCAAAAATATGATCGAACCCGGGGTCGAACCGGAGACCTTCAGTGTGTGAGACTGACGTGATAACCACTACACCATTCGACCTTTGATGACGGGGTGGATCTTATTGAGGTATAGGTACCCTCACGAGCTGGCTGAATGGCCCACGAGACTCAGAGAGCCCTCCCATGAAGCCAAACTTATTCTAAGTTGAGCACGGAAACTTTTTATTGTCGGTCTGTCCACTTCCTTTTGCTATTGAGCTTTGAGGAGGAAATGGCGAACTTGGGTGATTTGGGGCCTCTTGACTTGGAGAATATCATCACCACCTTCAGGCGACCAGTCTTGAATCCTGCGCAGCAAACATAGTCAGTCAATTGGAGCAGTAACATTCAAGAAAAGAATATGGTGCACTGGAGTTCTTTTCATGTTGTTCTTTCCCTGGGAATAGCACATCAAGGAGACCACACGACTCACTCGTCCTCACCTCAATCCGCCTTTGACTCTGGCAACGCTCCTTCCAAGACTCAAATTTGAGAAGTTCTTGCCTCATATTTTTCAATCCCAATTTCTTGTCCTCGCATTTCTCTTCAATCCAAACACCAGACTCGACTCAAAACAGACTCTGGTATTACCACTTCGTTCCATCATTTCATTCTAGTCGTTACCATTCCATCATTCCATCTCTTCATCACTCTATATCATCTAATATCGAAAATGGCATCGAAGTCAACCACCCCAGCCACGCCCTACTCGCCCAAAACGCACCCCCAAATCCCCCTCGACGCCCTCGAGGTCGGCTCCCTCTACATCATGATCTCCGTCCCTCTCCCGATCTACATCGGCCGCCAAGAACACACCTACCCCGCCGCCCTCCCCTCCGACCCGGCCTACCCCTTCAGCACCTACGAGCTCGGCGTCTCCTCCGGCAGCTACCCCGAAGAGTTCCACTGGGACCTCTACTGGCACACCTCCGACTTCCCCTCCTCCGACCCGTCCTCCGGCAGCGGCATCATCTACCGCCTCCGCAGCCTGACGACCCAGCCGCCGACCTACGCCTACGACCGCGTCCCGACCCTCCGCGTCCGCACGCACGCCCAGCTCGTCGGCCTCGTCCGCGTCGTCAGCGTGCCCCGCGCGTTCATCCAGCACATGACGCGCTACCTCGACTGGATGACGGCCGAGTCCGCCCGCGTCGCGGAGCGCAGCTTCGTCTGGGCCGTCATGGCCTACTACCGCGCCCGCGCCCACCTGGCCAAGGGCAGCGGCGTGCGCGACCACACGTTTCACAAGTTCGACATCTCGCGGTTCACGGCCGAGGTGCTCTCGTTCGCGTACGCCGAGGTCCCGCGGGTGCTGGGCGGGGACGTTGGTCCGAAGAAGGTCGTCGCTGCGTGGTTGGGCATCATGGTTGGGTTTCTCGAGGACGAGGATGTGGATGCGACGAGGAGGAGGAGGGATGAGCTTGTGAGGAGGCAGAGGGAGGAGGTCGGGGCCGTGTCGGCGTGCTGGTACCGCTGAGGCTAAGGCTGGAGATGTTGTTGGATGAGTTGGAACTGGATACGTTTGTGGGATCTGGACGCTTGGGTCAGAGATTGGAGATGGCATTGGTAAGATTTCTGCCGTTGGGGGTCATGGACGTGATACTGACATGCCGCTCACAGGTTTTGACCAGGACGCTACCGAGAAAAGGATCAGCAGGGACTGACGAGACATTGAAAAAGGGAAAACTTCCTCGTCTTCGTGATGAAACAGGTCGACGACGAACAGCACGACTTTGCGAGAGGGCTGGAACCTCGACTGCTAGCGAACGTCATGTATCGTAGTGACAGGCGAGATGGTCTCTACGCCTAGGAGCATGTTCATAGATACCGGGCCATATCCTGGCCACAGCGAGTATCTCAAGAGAAGCAGCGTCATGAAATCATGCAACACGACATGTGAGAAGAATGTACTGCTAGAGAAGGCAGTGGAGAAGAACCACAGAATCCGCAGATTGGGATACAGCGCCAACGAATCCTGATCTCCAGAAAGCCAGGGAGAGGGAGCGGGTTTGGAATACCCTTGCCTCCGTGATATGCATACTCACGGCCCGCTCCGCCCTGACAAGAGGAAAGGAAACTCCACCTCGAGCCTTTTGCCTCTCAATTAAACCGATTGTTCTGATTGCTGTTGCTGGAAAGCTCGTTGGCTAACGTAAAGACGCAGTACAGCCCGCATGACCGACATCCTGCGCAAGTATGAGCAAGTTTCTCAACCCCCTCACACCCCCTCCAGCACCCAGCCCACCAAGACACTCCTTCTCTCTCGCAATTAGATAAACCACGCCACCCCGAAACCGTCTCTGAGTCCCCGGCGAGCAAGTTTGAGGACGTTTCTCCTTCTCAAAACATCCCGCGTCAAAGACAAAAAGAGACCCAATCTCCAAAGATGATGGGCACGGCCAACGCCACGGCGTCGACGACCCGCGGACGATGGCATCGACAAGACGACACAAACCCCCCGTCTGTACGAAAGCGTACGCTTTGGCAGCGCTCCTGTGCTTGGAGTCCGTGGTGGTGATCGCCGCGCTGGTCCTCTTCGGCGTCGCGTACCCCGACCGTTTCCGCTCGCGGCTGTGGAGGAACGGCGGGGAGGAGGGGTGGTGCTCGAACCCGAGGCTGCGGATATACTTCTACGCGAACCACGAGGAGCCTCCGGAGATCCCGTTGATATGGAGTCAGAGGTGCGTTTATCAATCTCTCTCTCTCTTGTGTAACCGCTTCCGGGGCGTGTTCAGATGGCTGACTGACCTCACCCTGCCCAGACTCACGACATCGAACACGGCGATCTCGTTCCTCTCCCTCGCCGTGCTGTTCGCGCGCATCACGATGGCGGCGCTCGAGTACTCCGCAAGATGTACGAATGTGGCATACGACGCCTTCCTCGCGGTCCTCTGGGCCTGTAGTGCGGCGGCGCAGAACGGGGCTGATCTGAGTGATCCAGCGCATCTGATGCCGAGGCCTTGGTACCTCGATCGCAGCTGCGACGAGGCGTGGGTTGGGAACAAAGGATGGTGTCAGCTTGCAAAATGGGGGTTCGTCTGGGCGATCATCGCTGCGTAAGTTGGTAATGTTGACGACGGATGTTGGGCTGATGTTGAGTAGGTCGTTCTATACTACGAGAGTTTTAGGATCGCTGGGTTGGATGGTGTACGATCAAGGAAGGAAGGACGGGGGCGCGGTACAGACGTATTCGATGGACGAAAGGGAAATCCCAGTCTGGGCAACGTTGTACAAGGACGCGGATAATTGTCCCGGGTACGATCTGACAGATCTGACGTCGTACAGATCGTAGACGGCATGCATCGCGGCACCCATCCACACTCACGGCATCACGAAAGGAGCAGCAACAGTATCGATATAAGAGTTCCATTGCGATCTCCGCCTAGTAGCTGATACCGGTCCAAAAGGAAAAAGAAACCTCCGTCACCAGAAGAGAAAATCCCTTCGCATTACCGCAACTCAGTCGAACCGTCCCGTCAGGAATCCCCGGTCCTTCCCGATCCACCGTTGATGAACCATGACGAACCGGAGTAATGTCGACGATCGTTTATTTGTTCTGTGGGAGGGAGAGGATGTTAGCCAAGGATCCCGACCCGCAGATGATGTGATCGAGCCGGGAGAGGTCCAAACTTACGGGGCAGCCGGCGCAGCTGCAAGAGCTGCCGCAGTGGCACTTGCCGGTGTCAGCGCATCCGCAGCCAGACATGTTGCTTGTTGGTTTGGGGGGTTTTGAAAGTCGTGAAGTGACTGAAAGTTGTTTGCTTGTTGATCTTGACCGGAGTCTTGTTTGCTTGATGTGAGTTGGTGATGGAGGGGAGGGGAAAAGGAGGAAGACGTAGCCGTGATCCGGGTGGTTTAAGTAATGGCAATGATTATCTAATGAGACGACCGGCTTCTGCTGGAGGAAGCATGGAGGGTAGGTAGCTCGGCCGATCGGGAAAGGGCAGGTTGGGGTCATGTGAGCGCCTCCTGCCACGACGTGTCGGTCTGAAGCCCGTTCGCTCGTAGTAGACGGAAGGAACGTGAGGAGAGTTCCTGCCAAACAAGACCGCCACATGTTCTCGAGGGAAAGCGCTAGTCAGCGGCCCAGTGAGCACCTCAGCTGGGGATCCATGGATGCTAGCTCTGACGCCGTCGGGTTCGAAGGAAGGTCCTGCCTTCTGCCTTTTTTGGCGAATGAACCCCCGCGCGCTCTGCCTTATGACATGACCTGCCTACTTCCCACCAAGGAGACGGCTCGGAGAGAAAATTCAAGTGGCGAATGACGTGCAGCTAGATCGAGCTAGGGTCATTTGAGAGCAGCAGCTAAGTTACCATCACAAGGCAAGAAAGACCACGTCCTCTTCTCCCCAACCACTGGACACTGCAATGTCACCGCCACGACACCGATGCAGGGACCCCACTTTCCCGCCGACACGATGGCGAACCGGCCCGGACTCTTCAGACCGGGGTGGGCCTGGTGCATTCCTGCTGGCTGCCATTTGGGGAAAGACTCGGCCCCTCCACCAATGAGACGTCCGGCATTGATCAGAGTTCAGCCGGCGCAACGCCCCCAAAGAACTGCGGGGGAGGGGTCGTTCTTTCTTATCGAAAGGGCCGGGCTGGACTAAGCAGGCGGCAGAACTATATGTATCTTTACCCCCTTTTACCTATATTTTTTCTAACTAATTACATCTAAGCGTATACCCTCTTATTATATATATAGTTATATATAGAAACCTCTATAAATACTAAGTAAATAAAGTCTAAATAGCTAAGTTTCTATAGTAATACCCTTATAGTAATACCCTTAAGGTATAGCCTATTAGCTATATAAAATTGCTAATTAGTAGGTAAACCCCCTATTTATCTCTTCTTTCTTATATTAATACTAATTAAGGAAAACCTCTTATTTATACTATTTAAGTACTCCCCCTTACCCTCTCTTAATAAAGGTATACTAACTTAAGTAGATACCCTAAAATAGATATTCTTATCTTAAACGTCCTACTATATAAATAAGCTATAGATACCTTAGGGCTATAGGGCTATAGATAGCAGCAACCCTCTATAGTATTTAGCTCTAAGTAGTTATTTTTAAACTTAGCTATATAATACTTCTTGATAACCCTAGAGTGCTATACCCTCTAATTAGGTATATATTAAGAGAACTCTAATAATATTAATACTAACTTAATAATAAGCGCTATCTTAATATAGTAACGTTAGTAATATTAGAGGCTAAAACGTTACTTTAGAGAGAGATATTATTAATAGAAATTTAGTTCTACTAGTTATTTATAGAGGTATAAGCGTAACTATTTTAAGCCCTAATTGATATAGATATTTATTAAAAGTAGCTATAATAAGAATATTTACCCTCTTCTTATATAAGTGCAATAAACCCTCTTCCCCACTTGGGGAGGCAGGCGGCAGAACGGCTGCTTTCTTTGAGAACTGTCTGCCCGCCTCCCTGGATGTTGGCTGGCTGAAGATCAGGGTCCTTCCTTGTCCTTGACGAACCTTGCGCCTCTTCACATGGAGAGCTCTTCTCCGTGGACATGTTTCAGCAGCTTTCGTGAACGACATTTCCTCCTTGGTTGTATGGTGAACTATGGCAAACGCGGCACGAACTGAAATCGAGATCGGACCATCTCGTACGCGTTCCCTCGGTATCGACAGCCCGAAGAAGCCCGAGTCGAGAGGTGCGGGCGGGGCCTGGTTTACTGACTACCGTTCATGTGCTTCCACGTCTCTATCAGCGGCTCCTCCAGTTGGCGTCTGGAAGACACGCCAGTCGGAAGAAAAGAAGGGGGTGGGGACCGTCCTCGGCGCCGTGCAGCGGGCATGTGCGTCATCTCCTGCGGTCAAGCTGTACAGAATGCTATGGTGACTGCTGCCATGTAGCGTTGGGCTGGGTGTACGAGCCTAGTGGTCCCACGTGCAAGTAACAGCGCTTTTTGGTGATTTCCGTCTACTATGTAGAGAGGCTGAGATTTAATTTCAAGCTAGAAGGAGAAATATGTCACGCGCATTCGCGAGAAGTCCGAGCGCCTCGCTGTCTGATATCCATTCGTTTGATTGCCGCTAGGTAGTTGAGGCTTTGTTGCTACTGTCCATCTAGCGCCTGTTTCGTTGGGTCACGGTCACTTTTTGCGCAGGTGGGAGTCATTTAGACTGTCCAGGACGCAAGAATTCAAGGAGCGGTGTAGGGAATTCTCATCATCATATCTTCCGGATACTTACATCAATCTAAAGCCGTTAATCTCGTGTGGATGACTGTATGATGTGCAACTGTTTGAATTGCAGATATCTCGCTATCAACCGTTTGGGGTGACTAAATACACCTGAATAACTTGGACGAGACACTCGGAATAAGAAACGTCTTGAACTGTAGAGAACACCGGCCGTCGACAGGATCTTCCAAGCAGTTGCGACTTGCGTGCCGTCATAGGCCGCCCCGTATGTTAAGACACAATGACCAGCCCTCTGGGTCGATCGAGTGCAACTGATGGAAATCCCATGAATGGTTACATCTCAGCAGACCTAAAGCCGAAGAAGAGCTTCTGCTGTCATTCTACAGCGTGTTTTCAAGATCGTCGAGCTCCACCTAACCTGTCCCCCTGAAGAGTTCCTTGAGAACACACAAAGTCTGCCTTTCATTCGAGACTATTGAGGTTGCATTGCCCAACTTCTGGATGAGGATAAAAGCTCGGGATTGCATTCGATAATGTGAAACTCCTGCTCGCACCGCAAATCTTGTGAGTCGAGGCAACCACGGCCTCTGGCTGACGTCGAAAGCAACTCACGAGGCCGATGGACGTGGGAATCGATTTGAGACAAGACCGCTGTAGTAGTCTTTTATGCCCCACCTACTTCTGAATGTATGCACACATGCTGTTCTTTCTTCGCTGGGGTTTTCATCATCATCGAGTAACACAACGACATCATTTCTACTTTCTGTTCGCGAGTGACATTATCTCAAATAATTTCAATGCGCTGTTCGGCTGCCGTGAGACACCACTTGTTAAGCTCCAGGTTGTTGTACAGACGCATCGCTCTGGGATCCTCCAGGTTCACCAAACACTTGGGATACAGAGATTCTGCCTGCGCTAGCTCCGACCAGGAGCCCTCCCAGTGATTGACGTCAAGAGAGGCCCAAATACTCCCGATGTTGAGCAGAGTTTTGATGTCCCCGATCAGTTCACGGATCTCGCCCAACGGACAGGCCACGTAGATGTCCCCTTTGCCGCCCAAGGATGCCTCCGTCACAGTGACCCATTTCTCATCGCGCTCTTGACGTCGTTTCTCTCCTGGGCCAACCTGTTGACAGTGCCAATTCAGCCTCCCTTGGAAGAACTGAGAGCCGTTGATGTCATCCCAATTAGTCTTGCTGAGCCTCAAGATGAGACCGCGGCCGGAGAACAACTTAACATGATCTATCTTGGCTCCCAGTCCTCGAGCTAAAGGGTTCTCCCAAAAGTACTCTATGGACCGATTACCGACAAGCGCTGGTAGTAATTGATGGAACGGGGTCTCCTTGTGCCCGGGAAATGCCTGTCGAAGGAAATGGCCGAGGTATCCCTTCGTCTCGAGATCTTCGTCGAACAGATACATAGAGGCCCACCAGATCTTCTTGAGGATAGCAATATTAAAGCTTATTCCTTCACGGACTCTTTGTAACGAGACGGACAGGCCATCGATCTGAACAGAATTAGAAAAGCAGAACTCCGGCACGCGTTTTAGCAGTGTATATTTTTGAGGACTTGCTCTTCTGAGGAAAAGATATATCGCCCCCGTGGTATACCTTGTCTTCAGAAGAAAAACCTCAGCTCCGTGCCTCAGAATATCCTGCTCACGTCCAAGGCTCCCAAGGACGTCAGAGCGGACTTTACCCCAATTGTTCATTCCATAGAACTTCGGAGAGATTGAGAAGATCTTAATTGCCCACAGGGAAAGTGCCCCCGTTTCGGAACGAACGGTGGCCTGATGATACCAGACCCGGTCTGTCTTGAGGAAAGGGGAAAACCGCCCTGTTGGCCCCAATTTTTGCTCTGACTTTGGTTTGCCTTGCGAAAGCCTGTAACTCAGCCATTGCCAGAAATTTTGCATCTGCCAAGGTGGCACCCAAGATGGCGAAGCATCTCCTAACTCGGGATGATCAATCCCCCTGGCTGCCCAGAAGAGTTCAGTTTCATGTTGGTGAATGAGTTGATAGGCAAATAACCCCGTCATCATGTGCTGGTAGGAGATTGTGTAACTTGCAGTGATTAAGTCCCATCCTGACGGCATGAGACTCAGCACCCCATAGAGGCTGTCACGAGGGTCAGACGACTTCGAACTTGAGGTCAACTTCATGACCTCAATCCAGGAATGGTTCTCAAACAGCTCATGTATCCCTTGTGTCCCTTGCGTCGCAAGCCGAAGCCAGGGTGCTGGAGAACTTTCTAGCAATTCTTGCCTGGACTGGAGGCTCCGCGGCCCTGTTCTGAAAACTTTGTCACCGAAGGGCACTACCATTCGAGGTGACATGATAAGTTCTTGAATGACCCAAACTCGGGTGAAGTATCTGCGCTTGAGAAGTCGTCCAAAGTCTTTCATGTCTTCGAGCTGACGAAAAGGCGGTAGGGCTGCTTGGCCTGGATCGTAAGACACGACATCCTCCCCAAGCCACAGAATGACCTGGTTGCTTTGAGCATAGATTTGGCTCATTTTTGCTACTTGCTGGGATCTCTCATGTGGGTTACGCTGGTTGATGCAAATTAAATCCAGCCATATGATTCGGGAGTGTCGACATGGTAGAAGATATCGAAGAACAGACCAGCAGTTTCGCGTTGCGTGTATGACGTCCCAAAACTCGCCGATGAAGACGGGAAAGCATCTGCAAGTAAGGAAACGTCAGTCAAGTATCTCGTATGCGGATAATGATATGACAGGCTACACTTGCCGACTTCCATTGTCCTCTTCACCGCCCCATGTGTACGAAACCGTATCGTAGTCAGGGTGATGGTCGTCCTCGAAAACGTTGAACGAAAGATGTACCGGATGCGTTTTGCGGGATCCGCCAGAGATAGGAGAGAGACACGCCAGTCGGAACTCGTTCGGTGCCAGTGGTCTCTCATACATATAGTCTCTTTCCTCCGTTGTACGATCTGAAAACAATGCGGCGAGAAATGCGAATCCTCCATCTATCCGATTATTGAAGCGGTCGCGCCAAGAGCTGACCTCGTCATCTGATGAAAAGTCATCTTCGTCGTCCGACAGAGTGTCATTTTCGTCATCTGAGGAATCGTTGCTTGAAAATCCAGAGCTGCGAGGTACAGACGGACCGCTAGTGGCATTCTCCAACGGACCCGAAGAGGCATTTGCCGAGTACGGTACACAGGGCGGCCATGAGAGGTTCAGTTCTCCAGCTGGCTCGTCGGGAGGGATCGAAAAAGGTGAAACCAAGTTATCCTCTTCAGGGTGCTGCATTTGCCTGGCGGACATGCCGCAGCTTTTGCATGCCGGGACATCATCGTCGGCGACGTAGACGTCGGGCCAACGACAGTTTGACGCGTGCCATCTCATGTTGGAGACTATCGATGGTGGGTTGAAGAAAGAGTCGATATTTGTTGCGAGCGGGGTCTAGGTAAGTAAGGTACTGTGTGATCATACGATTGCCAATGATAACGACCTGCAGCCAGCCTCAATACCCTTGGCAGGCAGGCCCTGTTGGTGCCTCGCTGACTGGGTGGGCAGGGGCGCCAGTCCCGGCGCTTTCCTAATTGAGATCATGGGGCACAGCCGATTTTAAGGCCAGCGATTGCCGAATGTCAGTTGCAAAGTCGCGGTATGATGAGTGAGGACGACGAGGACTAAAGGTGCGAGATCCTCTCATCAAAAAAGTCATTCTTGTTGCTGAGTACACCGCGAAAGCCTGCAGATCATAAAGTGAGCAACGCCAACTTAAGGAACCATCACTGACAAGAATCAAGTCGGTACAGTTCAAACAAATTGGTATATCAAACAGGACATTTCCCGTCCCTTATTATACAAAAATAACCGGGCATAGGTAGCCACCCAGAACCATGTAGAATCCAATACACTCCCACCCACACAAATCTCACACTCAGAACAGGCCAGCAAGCGCGACCAAGACGCCGCCGAACAGCGCACTGCCCGCGACGGCAACCTTTCCGTTCGCGGCGCCCGTCGAGCTCGCGCTGGCGGCGGCGCCGGACTGCGTCGCCGTGGGGGCGACGGTGGGCTTCATCGTCGTTCCTGCCGTGGCGGTGCCATTTCTCAGCGGGCCGGACGAAGCAGAGGGAGACCCGAAGCCGGAGGAGGCGGTGACGGAGACCGGGGAGGAGCCGGAGGCGGAGGCAGAAGAGGGAGAGGTGGAGTTACCTGAGGAGGCGGTGTCGTTCTGGCCCGAGTTGGTGGCGGCGTCGCCGGCGGCGCTGGCGGCGCCGAGCTTGATGCTCTCGTAGCTGCCGGTCTTGTCGCCGTAGGTGTAGGAGCCGGCCGGGTTGGCGTTGGTGATGGAGACGGACTGGACGGCCATGGTGTAGGGGGCCTTGGTGTAGTCGGTCTCGCCGCCGGCCCACTGGATGGTGCCGGCGCTGTTGTCCGGGTCGCCGCCGGCCCAGATGCCGAGGCGGAGGCGGGCGGGGGTCTGGGGGAAGTTCTGGCCGCCGAGGGCGTCGGCGTAGTTGAGGGTGCGGACCTGGGCGCCGTCGATGTACCAGACGACGGCGTCCTTGGACCAGTCGATGGTGTAGTTGTGGGAGGTGCCCTGGGCGTCGGAGAGGGTGTGGAAGGCGCCGCGGTCGTAGGAGGTGGTGTTGCCCTTGCCGAAGTAGTTGGTCTGGACCTCGGCGTTCTTGCCGCCGAGCCACTCCCAGTCGACCTCGTCGAGGTCGTCCGACTCGATGACGACGGAGGAGACGATGCCCTGGCCGGGGGCGGCCTTCATGTGGACCTCGGCGCGGCCGAAGAAGAAGTACCACGAGGTCTCGATGGTCGGGGCGTCGCCCTTCTTGTTGAGGGTGAACTCGGCGCCGTTGGCGGTGTAGGCGACGCTGCCGGCGACGGTCTTCCAGTTAGTGTCGTCGCCGCCCTTGGTGAAGTCGACCGAGTAGGTGGACTCGGCCAGACCGGCGTTGGCAGGGCATGTCTCTGGGGGGAGGTGTTAGTGACGTTTCTTATGAGGTATGTGTTGGTGGCCGCCATGAGGTCTGGCTGTGGAGGACTCACTCTTGGTAGGGTCGCAGTCGGTAAAGGTTTGAGCGAAAGTCGAGGAGGCCAGGAGCGCAACGAGTGACGCCTGACGAACAAAAGACTTGGCCATCTTTGATTATGTTTGTGTGTGTGTCGTACGAGTTGTATGAGTTGTTTGTGTTTTAATATCGAACCGGCGAGGAAGAACCCTCCAAATAAACTCAAACGACAGTGGTAATAATGTTCAAAGAAGGTTGAGAAGGAAGGGAGGTGTGAAAAATAAACGAGAGACTGGAGTTTGAAAGATTCAGGAGTTGGAAGAAGAAGAAGCTGACCTTGTTGAAATCAAAACATATACCCGCCCCCTTATTTCGGGGCGGGTCGTGGTCTCCATTAAAGAAGGGCAGCCAGCAGCTGAGCAAGTTGGACGTTCTCTACACTAGGACCGCGAGGCTAAGGTAGAAAGAAGTTGGAGGAGGAGGAGGAGGAGGAGGAGGAGGAGGACGTGACTGGACCAACAACCCGGAAACCCCAGTGTTTGAGCATGTACCAGGGGCGTTCGCGCAGTGCCGCTGCGCACCAACCAGACCATTTCAAGGAGGCTGACGTACGTTTGAGGACGACACGGGGAGCCCACGCATCTGAACTGCCATTCGCGCCTCCCGGAGGAGTGGAGATGGCGTCGACTAATCCTTGCCGCTACACTACACTAGGTGCGGTGCCTTACGGGTTATGGGGAACGACTTAATTGCAGGGGACGCGTAGCCCGGGTGGCTGTACAGGATGCGACGGCGGCAACGCCCACCATCCGATATCCCGGGAACCTAAGGGGACGGGAGGCCGCTCTCTCGTGTTTTTGGTCACTGGTTGTCCTGTTTTCTGTCATCCAGTTACCAAGAAACCCCCAGTCGCTATTAAAAGCGTCGGTGCGCGCGGAGCATCCAGATGCCAGGAAATCCCAATGACAAGAAAAACCAAGAACACCATCCCAAAACCAAAGGACCAATGGAAACTCTGGAGACCGTTTTGCCATCTGATTGGGGCTAAAATGGTGAGACTTGGATGGACCGACCAACCGTTGGAGAGAGAACGTCTCAAACCCTCTCAAACCTGAGTGGCTGGAGACAACCCAACTGACCAAAAAAAAAAACCGGGTGGCTTGGACCCTCCATCCCCAGAATCCCCCTTAAACATGCACACACACTCACAATAGAGGAGGGATGGATGAGTGAGTGAAGTCGGTCACGACAAGACATGATCCCAGTCCCGCCAACCATCAACAGGAACACAGCTCTTCTCATCGAGGCTATACGTCCAGGCTGTGCCGTTCAGACGAAACATGCTTTTAAGCTCGTTGGAGGCCCCAAATTTACATCATCACTCACGAGCAGCACAGCACTTGCCGTCTCCACTCGCTCTTCTTGTGTGTTTGTTTATTTGTTTCGCCAACTTCCCTCCTACTCTCCGAAATGAAGTCAACAAACCCAACAGTCCATGCGTTCAAAATAATCCAATCCTGCAGGTGAAAGAACAGAATGCCCCCAACATGAAGTGACACCTGCAGGCAGGACCCAAGACCACGGATGAGATGGATCGGGTCCCGAGCGGCCATCCCGCCCGAGTCCGTGACCCTCTCACATCCCGTCGGTCGGGGCTTTTTTCTTGTCGTTCGTTGAAGGACTACACTAGCGGGCTCGGCAGAGATCTGAGGGGGCGGGAAGCAACCTCACCTCCCCCCTCAATCTTGGCGATTGTCCAAAGCCTGCCAGCCAGGGGCTGGGTGAACGACATCCACGTATTTTCCAACTTTCAAGCCATCAAGAAAACGAACAAACATACGTCCATACTCGGTACCCGCGGAGGGCTGGGTGCCGATCTCCTTTTTCTTGCGATCGCGTGTTCCTTGCAGTGGCAGGGAAAAAAAAAACTTGGCCACTGAATAAAAATAAAAATGTGGTTCTCTTCTTCCCTGATTCTCATCGGACCTTCAAAAAACCACAACGTAAATCACTCTGTTGATCATCGAGGTTCATCAACAGTTCGTCCCACTGATTTACGCTACTAACCATATTTCCGCACGGTCGCTGCGATGGAAGAGGTTCTAGAACGCCGCAAATCAAGAATTTGGAAGTCAGTGTTTATTTATTTATTTTCTTGATTAATTACGGCTTTGATCCGTGGTTGCTTGTTTCTAAGATTAGGTCATTGTCGTTTGCTTGGCAAATCTCCTCCCATGTCTGTGCCAACTTCGACGACCAGATCCAAGGCACTCGGAGGATCGTGGCGGCTGAATGGGCCGGTACTTCAAATCTTGGACGCTCGGGGATTTTTTGCCTCTCGGATGTCTTGTTTACTCACCTGGCGCATTTCGAGAAGGTCGGCAGGATGAAGCCCTGATCTACCTGAAGGACGGACACTCATCCTGCCCGCGCCAGCAAGACACCACACTCATTCACATCAGAGGGGCGCGAGTATCTAGGAAAGTCCCAAAGATTAATCCATTCATCGACGCTCTCCGACCGCGTCCGCCATGCTTCGAAATCCTAATCGTACAACAAAAGGTATCGCCTCCAACCTGTTCCAACGCCGTGAAATGCTTATGTGTTTACTGTTGTTCCCCGTTTGGCGTCGTGATATGTTCATGCAGAAGTAGACGCGTTGCCGCCGCCGCCCCTCCGCCGGTCCACGTTCCTGACCTTGCGCAACGGCTTGTTTTGCGCCATGCGGTACTTGTTATACAGCTTGAACGCGTCGCGGAGGATGATGTACATGCACCCGCCCACCAGGTTGCGACCCCACTGGTCCTGGAGCAGGCCCGTCTTCACCCTGAACCGGCCGAAGCCGCCGGCCGGGGTCGTGAGGTGCTTCGGCAGCGCGAGGCGGATGAGCTCGCCCATGCCGGCTGAGATCACGGGGAGGAGCAGCGTGCTGGCGAGGGAGTTTGTCACGTCCCGGAGACTAGCCTGGAGTCCGCGCTGCCTGGGTGCCGGCGCCGGTGCTGGAGCGGCCGCGGGAGCGGGTGCGGCTTCCGGTTGCGCGGGCTGCTGGAGTTCCGCGGGCAACTGGACACCCAGCTGCTCTACCGCGGCCTCCAACGCCTCTTCCCTCTCCTCCTCCGCGGCCGCCTCGTCCATCTCCTCGACGATGATCTCGAGCATGTCGCCCCTCTCGTCCAGCTCCCTCATATCCTCAACCTCCACGTCGACCTCGACGTCGGGAATATCCAGCATGTCTATCGCCGCATCGAGAAGGCCGCCCACGATCCCGTTGTTCCTGGGCGGCTCCGCGTCCTGCTGCCGGCCGCGACGCTGCTCTCTGCGCTCGCGCCGGTTCGTCGGCGGCGCGGGCTCGGGCAGGCCGGCTATCCTGCGCTCCCACTTGCGCTCGTAGGAGCAGAGGAACTCGTGGTAGAGGTTGTTGTACACGGCGCGCAAGTATGGGAAGGCCGCGGCCGCGAGCTGCGGGGAGGGTGGCCACGAGAAGAAGTTGTCGTTGCGGGCCATGTGGAAGACGCCATACTGTCGCCACGTTAGTCGGTATTCATTGACAGCATGAGGACGGGAAATCTCACCAGAGCCGCGGCGGGCATGAAGAAGACGTTGCCCAGGACGGGGAACGAGTGGCCGATCACCAACGCCGGCGCAATGGTCGGTAAGGCGGCGACGTGAATCCAGTTGACGTTCGGCACACCCCTCGGGTTCCTGTCGTTGAAGAAGAACCGATACGTCGCCTCCGGGCCTGCGAACACACGCACCGCGATGTTACCGTACATGGCCAGGCCGACCCAGGTACCCGCGCCGAGGCCCCCGAGGATCAGGCCGGGGGAGATCTTGCTGAAGACCTTGTAGATCTCGTTGCTGAGCGCCACGGCGGGGTCCCACGGCTCGTCGACGGTGATGAGGGCCTTGCAGACCGGGCACCGGATCTCCTTGCCCTCGCGCTCCAGCTCCGTCACCCACTCTATCATGCAGTCCTGGTGGCCCTCGAGGGTGCAGGGACACGGGTCGACCCAGGCGGAGTCGGATGATCCGGTCTCGTTCTCGTCCATGAGGCAGATGAAGCAGCGGCGCAGGCTGTCCTGCTGCGGCTGGGAGGGCGGGGGAGCCGCGTCGGCCATGGCTGGAACTGGAGGGGTTCGTTGTCTCGGGTAGTCGGGGGTTTGAGGGTCGTCTCGTGCGCGAACCTGGGAGGAACCAGGTCGCGAGTCTCGTCTGGTAGGTGGTGGTATCGGTGGTCGGATGTTCTATCGCATGTTCCGTGAGAAAGTAAGATCGCACTTGAATGAAGAGTTTCGCGTGTCGGCCGCAAGGCTATGGATGACTGTTTGCTGGTGGGCGTTTGTTGGCTCTGGCAAGTCTGGGCAGCTTGATGACCTGCTGCTACCTTGGCGAGCTCGAGCCAGTGTGACATCAACTGCTGCTCGGGCGGCAGGTAAGCGACCGAGGTGAAAGGTAGACAGGTGGGGCGCAGCTGATTGGAGATGTGGCTGGTGAGATTTCACATGCTGCTATCCGGTTGGAGCTGCGGAAGTCATCTAAAACCTCACATGTTGAGGTGTCAGGAATATTGACTGCATGTTGATATTCGACGAAGTAAAATTGAAAGATTTCAGTATACCACGACCAAGGATTGAATGTAACAAAGAAACCTCACTTTCAATTCAGTCATTTGCTTTGCCATGTATGCATTACACCGGTGTTATGCATATACCAAATCAGCGGGGTAACTCAACCGCCGCAAGTCCTCAACCCCACATCCGTCCACCAACCACTGGAACCTTCCAGCCAAACACGAGGCCATCAGCGCAGCGAGCCGCAAACCTGACTCCAAAGACAAAGGGAAACCCCATTTACACCCTCACCCCTTTTCACTACCTACCTTATCCTGTGATACCCCCAAACGACCGTATTTTCTTTTCGGTATATCCCACAAGGTCTTTCAAAATGGTAAGCAGCACCCACTTCCCGTCACGATTCCCATTGTGAACTGCCCGCGCAAAGAAAAGGAAGGAGGGGCAATCAATCCCCCAAGTGACAAGAAAAAAGGAGAAGAAGCTAAACAACATGGCCAGGCCTCAACCACGAAACAGCGCCTCGCGGTCGCCATCTGCGAATTCCTCTCCTCCTCCGTCACCGACGGCACCCTCCCCGCCGACGACAAGGACTCCATCGACGTCGCCATCCAGTGCATCGCCGACTCCTTCAAGGTCGACCCCTCCGACCCCAAGCAGCTCTCCGACGCCGTCGGCACCCAGAACCTCTTCCAGATCTACGCCGTCTACGAGTCCCTCAAGAAGGCCAAGGAGCAAAATGCCGGTGCCTCGTCAACAGGCGCGGCCGCCGGCGCCGGTGCCGCCGCGGCCGGTAGCACCAAGCTCCCCACCGAAGAAGAGAAGAAGGAGGCCGACGCCCTCAAGTCCCGCGGCAACGCCGCCATGGCCTCCAAGGACTACCCCGCCGCCATCGACCTCTACACCAAGGCCCTCGCCCTGAACCCCGGCAACGCCGTCTTCCTCTCCAACCGCGCCGCCGCCCACTCCGCCGCCAAGGATCACGAGTCCGCAAAGGCCGACGCCGAGGCCGCCGTCGCCATCGACCCGGCCTACACGAAAGCCTGGTCCCGCCTCGGCCTCGCCCGCTTCGCCCTCGGTGACGCGAAGGGCGCCATGGAGGCCTACGGCAAGGGCATCGAGTACGAGGGCTCCGGAGGCTCCGAGGCCATGAAGAAGGGCTTCGAGACGGCCAAGCGCCGCGTCGAGGAGATGCAGCAGGAGGAGGTCGACCTGCCCCGCTCGTCCCCGGGCGTCGGCGGCGGTGCCGGCGGCGGTGGTATGCCCGACCTGAGCAGCCTGGCGAGCATGCTGGGCGGTGGTGCTGGCGGCGCTGGCGGCGGCGGTGGCATGCCTGATTTCAGCCAGATCATGAACAACCCCATGTTCGCGAGCATGGCCCAGAACCTGATGAGCAATCCCGAGATGATGGGCAATCTTATGAGCAACCCTCGTCTCCGCGAAATGGCCGACCGCTTCGGTAGCGGTGGTGGCATGCCCGACCTCAGCACTCTGATGTCCGACCCGAACATCGCTGACATGTAAGACGATGACCCCTAGTTGCGCTTTTGTGAGCTGTTGCTGACGATGACCAGGGCACGGAACATGATGGGAGGTGGTGGCGCTCCTGGCGCCGGCGGTGCCCCCGGTGGTGGTGCAGGTGCTGGCCGTGGAGGCTCTGCCTAAGGATTGAGGTTGCAGAATGATGAGGCCGTCGATGAAACGGCATGAGCCCAGACGGTGGCTCAGCAGAATCCCTTTACGTTGAGATACATGAGATACCGATGCATGAATAGAAAACCACTCACGGCCTTATTCCCATGTGCACACATAACGATTTCTGAAGGGGTTGACAACACAGATAACCTTGACAGTCTTTGATTTGAGGCTTTTGAATCAGCTTGCCGACCACGACTACTCATACATCCATCTAATCTAAACTATTTTTCTCCGTAATCTTCTTTTCCCACCCGATTGAATCTAAGAAAACTTCCGGCGCCAACTTTTCTTCTTGCTTTTGATAACATAGTAGGCCGTTGCTTCATGATACACTAGGAAAAAAACAGCTCTCAATCTTACACACCAGCATACGCCAGGTCTCAGTTTAGATAATACTCTGTGGCCCCCAACGAGCCTTAAGTTGATAACGCAATAAAAAAGGAAGTTGGTTCTGGGGGAATTCGGATCTCCGGCATGAAAGTGGGAGTCAGACAGAATGTGAGAAAGGAAACGTATCGCATGGAAATCCATCAGCCGCGCTGAGTGCCGGCTGGTGTCGGGGTCTGATTGCTGGATTGGTTCGAAGCGCCTGACAACTTCGCGTGGTGACGACCTCCGCGCCAGCGACCCCTTCCGCGAGGCTTTCCTCGATTGCCCCGAGATGGAGTCGACTGCGGCAGTACAGGGCCTGATGAGGGTGTAGGCGCTCGGGGACGCTCATTTTCTTTGACAGGCGACCTGTCATTCGAGATATGCAGAGGAACGACGTGAACATCAGAGTTCTTGCTGGTCTGACAGGCCTTCTTGCTCGGTGAAACTTCTTCAACAACGACGGCCGGACGAGAACCACCTTTTGTCGCAGGAGTGATAACCTTCAGGTGCAGTGCGGGAGCAGATACCCGTCGTAGCTCCTGGGTTTCATCAGTATCCTGCCAAGTGCGTCGCTTGGTAGTCAACTTACAGGACTGGCCTCGTCAGTACCACCGTCGTCCTGGGCATAGCCATCTTCCGCCGACTGTCCGGTCGATTCGCTCTTGGAGTTAAAACGACGACTGGCGGCGTGAGGAAATCTGAACTGAGACACTTCCACCTTGATGACAGTGTCGGCGCTCTCTCCGTCGCTGTCGTACTGATCCTGATTGTCGCCCTTGCCGTCGTGTTGGGCCCCTTCTTGTCGTGGTCGCAAATCCCTGGGCGAAGAATCTTCTGATGATGGCGAGCTGGCCCAGTTCAGGACCTTCCGAGCAGATGAACGCGTCGCGGTTTTGGGGGTAAACTCAGGAGCAACCGGGTTCAGCTTGGATCCCTAGCACAATCATTGGTTAGAATCCGCCAAAGACGAATCTTCGGCTGACTCTACCTCTTTCTTGTGACCAGGAGTCTGCACTTGGTTGCCCTGTGTTTGGGCCGAATTGCCCTGAGGGCTCTCACTTGCCTGAGGATCGGTCGCACCGGGAGCCGGAGTGACGCCATTCGTCTTCGGGGCATCGCCGTTGTCCCCGTCGGACTTGTCTCCGTCGTCGTCCTGGGGCTTCAGGAAGGTCTGCTTCGACCACAAATCGGCGTATCTGCCCTTGGCCACGACAAGGTCGGCGTGGTTGCCCTGCTCGACGACCTCGCCGTCTTCGATGACCACAATTCGATCGGCGTTCATGATGGTCGAAAGACGATGTGCGACGATGAATGTCGTTCGTCCCTTGCAAAGCTGCATGAACGACCGCTGGATCTTTTGCTCTGTATCGGTGTCGACGGAACTGGTCGCTTCGTCGAGAAGAACAATCTCAGGCTGCTTGAGAATGGCGCGGGCAATCGCAACACGCTGAAGCTCGCCACCGGAAAGTTTACTGCAAGTAGTCAGCACCGGCCTCGCCAGATCGTCTTGAAATACTCACATTCCGCGTTCGCCAACTCGGGTGTTGTAGCCATCAGTGAAGGTCGTGATCTTATCATGAATGCAAGCCGCCTTGCAAGCATCGAAAACTTCATCGTCCGAGGCCGTAATTCTCGCATAGCGAATGTTGTTGATGATCGTGTCATCGAAGAGGACGGGGTTTTGCGGGACCAGTCCAATGCGGTCTCGAAGGCTGTGGAGGTCAACATCACGAACATCCTGACCATCGATCAAGATGGTCCCTTCGGTAGAGTCATAGAAACGGTTGAGCAGCTTCAACATAGTTGACTTGCCAGCACCAGTAGCACCGACGAAAGCCACAGTTTGGCCGCCCGGGACAGAAAGGCTGATGCCGTTGATGATCTTCTTCTTTTTGTCGTAGCTGAAGCTGACGTCCTTGAAGTCGACGTTGCCGCCGACGAGCTTCAGCGGACGAGCCCCCTTCTTGTTGACAATTGTGGGCTGCTTCTTCATGATGTCCAACAGGCGCTCCGCATCAATCAGATCGCTTCCGATCTTCTTACCGAGACTTGCCATGAAGCGGAGCGGTGCGGTCAGCTGCGCCCAGTACATCAACAGCATCGTCAGGTCACCAGGTGTCGCCTTGGAGTTCTTGATCCGGTAAATGGCCAGAACAGCACCTGCCAAAAGTCCGCATAACAGGACCAACGACTGGAAAGCTTGCGCGGTGAACCAACCCAGACGTACACTCTTAGTCCAGTTGATGCGGGTGTGGATGGCATTGGAGTAGCGGACATCTTCGTAGGTGGTCTGGTTGAATGACGCGACGGTGTGCCAGCCCGTAATGCCAGTCTGGCGTACGTAGTGCTCAGCATACTGTGCATTTATGTGGGCTCGTCGACGCTCCTTCATGACTGCAATCATTTTCGTGGCGATGAAGAGGAAAAGAGTGCTTGTCGTGATGGTGATGAAGCCCTCGTAAGGACCAAGAGTGACTGAAAGATAGACCACAGCGACAACCAAGTCAATCAGCATGGGCAAGGCCTGGAAGCAGAGTGACTCAAGAAGATCGGAGATGCTGGACCCGCCGTACATGGCCAGGCTGATGTCGGATGTGCTCTTGGAGTCGTGAAAGTCAGCCGACAGGTTGAGGATGTGGCGGTACGCAGCAGTGCTCAAAGCGCCATCGGCGTAGACCTCGAGTGGCAGGTACAACCACTCCCGCAGGAACTCGATACCGGCTTCAGATGCAGCGATCCTTAGCAGGCCGTAGATGGCCACGCCGATCCAAGCGCTGCTGAAGTCTCCATCCTTGAGCTGATCGATGATGATACCGAATTGGCGAGGAATAAGCAGATTCAAGGCGTTACCGGCAAGGAGACAAAGTCCAACGAGAACCAAACGCAGCTGGAGAGTTTTCTGACCAACCGGCCAAAAGTAGGGAAAGAGGACCTGGGATCGCATGTCAGCATGTCTCGATCAACGTGCAAAAAAGCAATGTTTTTTTGTGGACAGACTTACCGTGAAACCCTTGATATATGTGAGCCAGTTGCCCTCTTCCTGCAGTCGCTTTTCCATCTCTTCCTTTGCCTTGCGCTGACGTTCCTCCCAGTAAGACTCGGGCTGGGAGGTAGTTCCATAGCCCGAGCTTGAACTCTGACTTTCGCTTCCAGAGCTGTTAAGGCGCTTGGGATCATCTTCGGCGAGAAGCGATTGGCGTTCCTCGTCTGTTGCCTCCTCCTGGCTGGCCCGGATCCGCTGGACGACGTAGATGGAGAAGACGGTCAGGACAAGGTAGTAGCGTAAGCCGGCGAAAACCAGGTGACCGATACGGCAGTACTCAAAGGTGATGGAATGCCTGAGGATGAGGTCCGGAATGACAATGACTGGCTCCAGCGCGATGGAAATGATCCACGAGCCCCAGTAGGGAGTCCAGACTGGGTATTCAGTGTCAGAGAGGAAAGCTAGCTGAGTACCAAAGACAAGGACGCAAGACAGAAGGCCAATGACCTCGTGTTCCTGGCCAATCCATTCATGGTGGAGGATGGACTGGATGGCGATGATGGAGAGCTGAGCGACGTAGGTCAGGACGAAGGCAACGAGGAGATTGATGATCCAGGTGCGTGGAATATTCTGCTTGCCGGGATTACTGGAGGCCTTGAGGGTCTGAAGGGTGCAAACGGCCACAGCAGAAGCAATGACGAAGTAGGTGAAAGCAATGGCCGGATAGACGTAGTGAAGGCTTTCGAGGAACTCCTCAAGGGACGCCATTGCGGCGGATTGAGGTTGACGATAGGTGGAGTTGAACCAGTCCAGTCGGTCCAATGATTGGAGAGCAATGGGTAGCTTGAAGTTGTAGATGGCTAGTTATCCGTGACGGATACCAAAAAGAGCGGGCAAAAGTCCCCACGGAAGCAGGCCGAGGAAGATGTGGATGTGAAGCTGGAGAGAAGAGGTTGCGTTACGGTTGGGTGGTAGACAAAGTCGGTGACGCTTCGAGCTCAAAGTCCGGTCCAGCTCCAAGCTCTGACCAAAGGCAGCAGGGGTAGGTGCAGTTGGAGCTCTGGGCAGAAAGAGGAAGGCAAGGTTGGTACCGATAATCTGATGTTTAGACCTCCAACGGAAGCAAGGAAGACGCAAGACGGGGAACGCGGAAAGGACGGGGAGGGATGACGCGAACGACAACCTCGACGAGGAGCTGCCTGCGGCCTGGGTCGATGTTTCGATTCCTTCCCCGAAAGTCTTTTGAAGCCGAGCTGAGCAAGCGCCGGCCGAGAGCTTGGATGAGTTGATGATTGTTATACGGAGCTATGTTGCTGGACCTGAGCGGAGGGAACGTGAGCCGCTTCGACCAACTCAACGTAATTGCGTACCTAGGGAAGCAAAAGGAGACCAATTGAGGAAGCACGTCCCAGGTCTCAGAAACCGCAGATGCAGCAGATGCAGATGCAGATGCAGGGGAAGAATTCTTGCGGTTGCACCTGCATGAAATAGGTATTGATTGAAGTATTTCGTACCTTACTCCCTTCCTTTCTGGCCAGTCAGTAAATCAAGCTTTTACGAGTGTGGAAGGCAGGAGGCAGGAGATGGGAAATTAGATACAACATCGCGGGAGGGCAGGAGCAATAGAAATGCAGGATTCGCCTACCTTACCTTAGGTACGTTGGTTGGGAAGGCGGGACGGGATAGCAGGCAGGTGTCGTGTCGTTCCTTCTCCCTCGACTCTCAAAAACCCCTTTTTGGACCTTGAAAATTTTCAACTGAGAACGTTGTTGCCTTTTCCGTCTTTTTTCTGCTCGCCCTGCGTTCTGCGTTGTGTTGTGCCGGCCTCAATGCTTGCCGCGAATCGGAAATATGTTTGTTTCTGTGTAACGCCAGCACACGGCCGGGACGTTGCCTCTAGATACCTGGGGCAGCCCGAGATGAGGACGGGATGCCAGGGATGGAGGGCGTGCCTCCGATTCTGCAAGCTTTCTCGTCCCTCCCTCGTCTCGCCCTTCCTCGCCCGTTACGATCGGAATCGAAGCTGGATGGAATTCCCTTTCGATTATCCCCAGAAAGGCTGTCTCCCACGTCCGACAGACACGTTGCTGGACAGCCACGTAGAAAGGTGTGTTGCAAAAAGGTTTCGTGTCGCCGCGAAAATCGACCAAGTGGCCCAGCTGACGTTTTTGCTTATTCTAGACCCGAGGAAAAGAAAATTCAAACGAAGCAGTGGAGAGGAAACAACAGAAGAGGGAGAAGTCGATGTTGTGTTACCACACGACCTGTAACTGCGATGCGCTTGCGCTCGCACCTGCATAAGCCAGTTCCTGTACTGCGTCCTGCGGCTAGTGTTCGCCGTGAGCTGATGATTCCGACTGGACGTTTCCAAGCAAGCAGTTAGAGCTTGCCGCTGCGGACGTCCTTTTCCGATGGTCTCGTCTGAATTTATGGCTGGCCGACGCTGTTACCGTGGTTTGCTCGTACAGAATGATGCTGAATAAGAAGAACAGAACGAGAGGCGACGTTGGTTTGCGTTCGACAAGCTGGACGGCGAATATTTGGATCAACTTGTTGAGGTCGTCCTGACTCAGGCATCCATCAAGGTTCCAGATGATGCAAACAATCGGAATGGATTGCAATACCCCAGGTGGATACGTTTACAAACAACAAGTCGCCCGTTTGTTTGTCGAGCTGGAATTCCCTGTCCGTTTCTTGGGCTGGACGCCGTTGCAAACGAGACAGAAACAAGCGCACTCCGGGGCTGCGGTGACACTGACACTGACACCAGCTACACCGTCGCAGGATGGGTCGTGCTTCTTCGCAAGCGCGTGGGGGATTGAAGAAGGATGGGCCGTGCAAGCTCGAGCTTGGCATCAAACCTACAGAGTACCACCGGGACGGGCGGGAGTCGCCCATCTTTAAGCCCTGTCGATGTGTGCTTCACAACTTTGCCGAAGCCTGGGTGCCTGCCTAGGTAGCTCTGGACAAGAATACAGCATCACCAACAAGTCGCCTAGGCAGGCGCTTGACAAAAAAGTCGAAATATCTACCAAACTTTTACCCAATTGCAACGCTACGCATGGGGTACACCATTTTCGTCACCCGCTTTCCATGGAAGAGATACCGAAGACGGGCGAGAACACAGCCAGTCTCTGGAACTCCGGGCATGCCATTGAGCGAAACCCCATCGAGATCCATGTCAGCTGCGCGGCTCTGCTCTGCTGCCTGCGGTTAAGATGCTCACCGAGCTCGTCTTCCCTGTCAGCATTCTCAGCAGCCGACACTTCGTTTTCCCACGCACTGTCATTGGCAAGAATGCGAGAGCCTTGCTTCTAATAGGCTTTCAGAGCCTTGTCTTGACTCACAGGGCTGCGGCTCTGCTGGCTGGTCGAATGTGAGGGTTGTCAGATGCCTGGAAGAGTGAACCAGTAATGACGGTGCAAGAGGAATGGATGGGATGGAAGATGCATCAACAAGCACGCGCGCATCGCGTAGTAGCGGAGTCCCCCAGCCGGGGATTGTGGAGGGCTCCCATCGCTTGCATTTCTGGACCTCCATCCGCCCCTGCCCTGGACGCGGCGTGCATAGGTACTGCCCCGGAGCACGCGCACGGCAGTGCAACTCTTGCTCGTCGGTTCTTCCAGCAGTCTTTCGGTAACTCGTAAGTGTCCGGCCATGTACCGTCAGAGTCCTACGCGTTGGATTCTCTTGGACTATGGATACCGCAGGGGCTTGCCGGTCATTTGGCTGCAGTTGAGAGCCAGAGCCTCATAGAGCTTCACTTCATCAGCTAGGTAGGCATTCCCAGTCCCTACTCAAGCCACCAAATTCACCAAGATCACGGCGGCGTGGATCCCCGGTCCACAGCACACTCCTGGTCCCTGTCGATATGCAAGGTACTCGCCGTTGATATCACCTTGATGTCTGCGAATTGCGTCTCGTCAACAACGGCGCGTCAATCCTGCCCATTCGGTTGGGTGTCCCTATCTTGTGCATATCAATGCTACGAACCGTTTCTCCCTGTGCGTCTTGATATCACCACACAATCACCGCTGTATTCAATATCCATGATGGTCCGATAACGACCGCAGACCGGGCTCTTGGGCTTTCACATCAGCTTTCACATCAGCTGCTGACCACCCGGAGAGCTTCCGGGTTTCCGATGGCACTAGAGGATGCTTACCGGAATCCGAATTGCAACCAACCGGCCATGGCCATGTCCGGTGGCTTTGATGTTGCTGCGAGGCCAAGCGACATGCCACTGCGCATTTGGCCTGGCCAGCCCAGCATCGAATCTCACTTGTCTCACCGCTTGATCTCGATGGCACGAAAAGCAATATTCCATATGCACCCCTGGCTGGATTACAAGGGCATTCTGCGACACCCTGTCTTTCGCGCTCAACGTTTTCCAACCGCGTTTGGAACATTGCCAACCCGAATTTTCGCAAGTCCTCGGGTCGAATTGCCCTGGCATTGCAACCGCAATCATCTGATTGCATCGCACCACGAGGCTGATTTGCCCAAAACCCGTTGCATATCCTTTCGGCCGAATAACACGCAAAAGGACTTTTGAGGAAAGACGATGATCTTCTCTCCAAGCCATACGGCGTATTACCAACCTCACCTGGACTTCTCCCCACCTTCGGTTTCGCTACCCGCTACCGGCCGGTCCGAACATCCTGTTGCTGTCGCGGCCGACTCCATGCCTCGGCTCCGTCGCCCGGAAGCCAAGCCGTAGGCATCTCACGGCCGCTTCATTCTTTGAAAAGCACATGATTATCCTACAGAAACAAAAATACAGGTGAAGTCACTCACTTACCCAATATTAATCAAACCGATGTACTCGGAATGCCATCAGCTGCGTAAGTGTTTGAGTAAGATCAGATAAGCAGTTGGTACCTCACAATTACGAGACCAGATGGGTGTAGATCTGTACACCGTATCCTCTGAAAAGGTTGACGAATTCTCCCTCCAAGGCTGATGGATGGCCAAGGGCTTGCTGAGAGACAAAGTGTGTGAGACACCACATGCCGGTGTTACACGGAGGCATGCACCTGGAAACCGATCTCGAGAACGGAATGCCGGCAACCGTATCGGTCGAGGTAGCACGAATTCGAGTAGGGTGTCTGAAACGATGCGCTGTTGGGTGCTACAATTCAGGATCAACAAGCCTTGTGGCTTACGGGAACTGCACTTTCCGTGATACCGATGAGGCAGGGCGGACGAGGGCTCGCCGTCGTAGGAGTCTAGGTATCAGGCAGTTTCGGTCGTTGAGGCCTTTTGAGCCGTACTTCTCCCTCAAGTTCACCATGGTCAGTAATCGTGTGTATTCATTTGTAACGTGCGGCCTTTTTCCTGAGTCCTGAATACGAGTCGCGCAGCGCGCTGGCGCCCGTGAATACTTTCACGTCATGGTTGTTTATATTCTCGAATTGCCTTCTGAATTCGAAATCTGACAGACTAATTCCTCCCGCGCTTTTCGTTTTGTTTGTGATGATAAATGCAATGCCTGCAGAAACTTCCTGTGAACCTCCGTCGTAGTTGGGTCATCGCACGGAGTCGCTAGTTCGGCTGAAGGCCAAGAAGCTTGAAGACGATTAGTCTGTATTATGTCAAGTGATAAACAGGAAACAGAGGCAGAGGTGAACGAAACAAGTGTTTACCGTGTTGAGATCGATGCATAGAGCTTGCTATCCACATCTTCCCCAGTATCACTTGCTTGTGAACGCCATTCAAACAGACAGGGTGTTCCCGAGTCCTCCTCGCTGATGGCACGGGTTGGTAGATGGTTTTACATCCCTGATCCAGAGTCTTCGGACTTCGATACTATATACCCGAAAGTTGAGCGTATATTCATCAATCCAAGCATAATGCCTGCGTGGCTACATAAGACCCGTTACCATCTCTAGTGCTGTGAGACCTAGGCAGGCCTTGAGCAAAGCTGATACAAGACTTGCCACGCTGCAAGGTCGTAGTCGTTGTGATCATGTTCCTTTGCTCGGCGAGAAGAAACATCGCATCTTGGTTGGTCATTGAGTCAGAGAAGTTCGACAACGTATCACGGTATTCTTCTAGCAATAATCGAGGAGGAGCAACGCTGGACGGAAGCGCCGATCTTCCCCACGGTGCGTGAAACCGTCAGGCATCATAAGACCTCGCATTCCTTGACTTCGGGTCCCAAATTTCAAGGATGCTCTACCGCCACGCGCTCGCCCCATCGTTGTTGATGCTCTCCAGAACCAAATGCTGCATATAGGAAGAGCCAGTTTTATAAGCGTTACAGTTACAGATGAACAAGAACGAATTATCGGAGACGACAGGTTTGGGCTGCTGGCTTCGGTTGATAACGTCAGCTACTGAGTAGATCAGCGCTCATGCCATTCTCGCCTCACTGGTTCCTTTCGATGAAGATATCGTCAGAAGCTACGCTCCGTCCGGCATTGGCCTCCGGCGGCTTTCGTTTATACGCATCCTCACACATTCACACACGAATGGGCACAAGATATGAGACCAAGAACGACGGTCTATTGCTGCTTAGCAGCAGAGCCAGGGCGGCGGCAAGCTATCAACGACTTTTATGAGGCAGGCAGAGGCCCCGAAGGTACCTCTGCCTCCTCCTCCTCTCCTCATCTCTCGTCGTCGTCGTCGTCGTCCCCGTATTCAGCGCCAGGCGCGGTGCTCCTCGTGGATCTCCTCCAGGGTCTGACGACGGCGGGGAGGGGAAGGGGAGCCGCGGGAGGGGTAGCCCGGGTTGGCGGGCGCGCGAGCGCGGGCGAGCATCTCCTCGGTGAGAGGAGGAGGCGCGGGGAGACGAGTGCCGTGAGGCAGGGAGCGAAGACGACCCGCAGGGTCCTGTTGGTGACGTGTTAGTTATGTATACGCGAGAGACGACGCCAGATGACAGGGGAGAGGGATCCTTACGGTCCAGCCACGACCGGTTCCAATGCCCTCATGAAGGCGAACCGCCTGGGCCGACAGCTCGGCGGGCGAGAAGCCACCGGCGCGAGACACGCCGTCGGAGGCGGCACGGCGGCGACCCTCCTAAGGAGGCCGGCCGAAACCGTCTCCGGGGCTGTCGTCTCGCTCGTCGTCGTCGTCGTCGTCGCGGGTGCGGCGGCGAACAGGCAGGCCGTGGCGAGGCTCGGCCTCTATGATCGGAATAGGAAACGAGCGGGGGAGAGGGACGGCGGCGGCGGCGGCGGATATGGTGATGGTCGTGGTGCGCGCGCGGGGATGGGAGACCGAAGACGAAGGAGAGGCGGCACCAGGCGCGGCGACGTAGGAGTCGGAGAGACCCCTGTAGCCGGCCGGGCCGCGAACAGGACCGCCGGGACCGCGGACGGGCGCGCCAAAGCCGGGAGGAGGAGGAGCGGCGGCGGGGTCGGAGGGGCGGGGGGTGATGCCCGAGGCGGTGAGGAAGCCCTCGTAGCCCAGAGGGCGACCGGTGTTGGCGGCGGCGGCGTTGGGGTTGGTGGTGGTGGTGCGGCCGGGGAAGCGAGAACGACCCCTCTGCTCCTCATCGGAGCCATCGCTCTCCTGTATCGTCGTTCGTCCGCACTCTTGAAGTATTCGAGGGGGTATCAAAGGGGCTACGAACCTGGGCGTCGTAGGCCTTTCCGATCGACATCGTGGCGTGGGTGGTGGTGGTGCTGGTTGATATATGTCTGTTTCTGCGTCAGAATCCCGCTGAAAGCTCCAAAGAAGGAAAAACATACATGAATAATCGCAAAGCGACGATGAGAGAAGGAGACCGACGACAATGTCGAAGGCCAAAGGGCGATGGTGGTGTTGTGGAATATCAAAAGGCTGGCTGGAAGAAACTGCCAAAGACCACGACGAAGAAGAAAAGAAGAGAAAGAAACAAGGACAACAGTAGAGCAAAGAGATATTACAAAAGGCATCTATCAAACGTGGGAAGTGATTAGTCGTCAGGTTAGGGCACAATCATTCCCATTCAAGCCGCAGCACCTCGAGGTGCTGCGGCTGGGCAATGGTGATATCGTCGTGCTGGGTAAGGTAGGGTGATTAAGCAGCACCCTCTGTCACAAGGAGTAGTGGTTCGGAAGGTGCCAGAAAGTAGAGAACATGAAGAACAGAAAGAGCAGCAAGACGAAAGAATTGATGATCTATGAGAAGGTATCAAGAAACAAAAAAGACGATTTCTAGTAATTATAAACCCATTCCAAACTCCAAGCGCTCAAGCTCATTCCTCGTCTTTATCATTGCTACCCTTTCCCGGCTCCGTCGTTTTCTTCTTGTCTATGGCTGGGGAGCCATTGCTCTGCTGCTCCTTAAGCTCTTGTTGCCTCATGCGCTCCGCGTACGCCTGCTGATGCCGATCAAAAGCAATTTTCCCAACGACCTCCTTGTGCTTCATGACGAACTTATGGACCTTGCTCTCGTTCAAGCGGCCGAATCTGTCAGCGAGGGGCTCCTCCGGAAGAATACCATCGTAGCTATCGTCGCCCTCAAAGATGATCTTCTTGAGAGCCTTGACTTGGCACCCACGTCTCTGGCACTGCTTGACGTCGGCGGGGTCCGCGGCAGGAATCCATTCGTTCTTCAGCTTTGCCATGATGGTCTCTCGGTTCTTTTCGGCGAGGAACTCGTTGTGGCGCCTTTCGAACACCTCTCTGACGCCAGGAAATCGTTGAAAAACTTCCTCGCGGACGGACCTGATAGTGCCAGGCCGCTCCAGGTAACGCCCCTCTCTCTGGCACCGAGGCACAAACTCGTTCACAAAATTGCTGTAGGCGGGCCGGGTGTCCATGCGCTTCTTGTCTCTCGAGTTGAGCTGCTTGGTTGACTGGGGGGTCTGGAAGGCTGGGGTTGATGGGACCGAGCCCGACGGGGTGGAAGGCAATAAGGACCTCGCAGGAGTAGAAGGCGTGACTGAGGCGGGAGAAGCCGAATTCTCGAGTGACAGAGGAGTTGAGGGGGCCATAGGAGAGCTCGGCGCTGCTGACGAGGACGGTGATGACGGATTGGAGCGATGAGTGGAAGAGAAGAAGCGACAAGTGGCGACGTACTCGTACATCTCGTCGAGAGAGCCGAATGACGAGTTCCAGATGTCGTCGCTGGCGTCCAGGCCAAGAAAGCTTAAGATCTCGTACGAGTTGTTGGTGAGAAACACCTTGGCCTTGTTCTTGTTGAGCTTCTCGATCTCAACGATCCGTATCCAGAGAGCTTCCTCGTCAACCGTCAGACCGTAGGGTCGGATAATGGTGCCGAGAATACTCCACAAGTCTCCGTGGGCGTGCTTGAAGAGCTTCATTTGCATCCGCTCCAGCGACTCGCAGATGGTGATGTCGATTTGGACATAGCGTCGGGAAGCAGGGTCCAAACCCGCCTGTCCTTCCACGGGCGTGTCGTCGCCAGGCCAAAGAACGGCGTAATGATCGGTCATCTTCTCGATTTTGATAAAAGGCGATCCCAGAGCTTCCTGGATGGCCTCGCAAGCCTCTTTCTTGTCCTTGAATGGTGCGTATGTTGATTGGCCCCCGGCCGGGAAAACGGACTTCTCCCAGGCGACGAGGATGTCAATATCACCATAGTCTTTCTTGGCAGGTCCTTCGATAGGGCTGGCGACGCAGATGTAGATTTTGCGGAGGGCGGCATAACACTGGGCCTTGACACGCTCGTAGATTTCGGGGGGCATCCGGGGCGTATTCAAGGGCTGATTGCCCGTTGTGAAGACGGAGCCACCCATTTGAGGGGTATTCGTCAGAAACCTGAAATGAACCCTGGGAGAAGAAGAGAGCCTCGGGCGACGAAGGCGACAAGGAGGATGGTGAAAGATGGAGAGAGCAGTCGAAGGTGACTCAAGAAAGGAAGAACTGTGAGTCAAGGGGCGGCTGAACCAGCGAATGGCTCGGGCCTCTTGTCGTGGGAAAGTGTCCTTCAACTCCCAGCGAACACATCTGCGGGCAGAAAGGATGGGCGTTTTGAAAGGAGATTGATTGAAGCAAACTGGCGGCAGCAAGAAGCCGTAGTTTTTGGTCATGGATTATTCAAGCAGGAATGAATACCCCGCAAAAGGAGCAAACAACCTGACACTGGGAAGGAAAGAAAGGAAAGAAGGACCCAGACTGCACTCTCCTCAGTGCCTTTGGTACATGCTGGGAAGTCTGGAATCAAAGGCGCTCATGAAAGACCGATTTGCGGCCACTTGATGGTTGTCGTGATGTTGAAGAAAGGGTCCATTCCACCAGAATCGTACTTGGGATCCCGTCCTTTTCAGGGTGGCGGGGCTACGGTGCCTTCTACAATTGACACTGTTGCATCGACAGTACGCGGAAGCCCGCAGCATTTCAGATTGCCGAGTTTGCAATTTTGCGCCATGATCTACATAGAAATTAAGAAAAACCGTCATATTGGATCCAGGTCGATTTGTTTGGGTCACATGTCTACCTGTGGAAGCTTACAATGTGTAGGTTGTAAGGTTCCTACCTCAGTTGCACCGGCCCCGGTGTCCGGGCTCTTTCAACGGGATAAGTGGGCCATTGTCAGTGGATCTCCGGTCCAACACCGGAAGCTTCCGGGCGGCCTGCTGTGCCTTTCTGCACTCAACAAGCCGGCAAGCACCGGTTAATTTTGACGAAAGCCTCACCAAATCAAATCGTGGGTGTTAGGGCTGCGCTCTCCTTCCACTCTTTGCTTGCTTGAATCTGTGCTGTTACCCGGGAAAGAGCTGGGCTGGCTCTTCAAACTTCCCACTTTCAACACCAAGTTCAGGTGGTGACAACCTGAACTCTCTCCTTCTCTACCTATCTCCAATCCATGACCAAGACACAGGTCACTCCTCTTTCCTCATATATCATCTCCATCCTCTCTACCGAGAGGTCTCTCTCAATAGGTCAGTCTCATCAGCCTGGGAATCATCATTTCCTCATTCTTAGTTCGAACCGGTCATCTGACTTTTCTCAGCTTGAAGCTCGACCTTCAACCACTATTTTGCAAGGAAGGCTCAATCGTCCGCTCTTGGCTCGTCGGAATTTACGAAATATCAGCAACAATCTCGGAAGTCCAACGATTTGTCTTGGAATACTCGAGCGACTCGGTCTAATACATTAAGAGCTGTGGAAGACAGCGACAACGACGACAAAATGAGCAGCGTAAGCGACGTTCGAGACTTCAGAGATGCTGCGATCGTCATTGCAGGTGGCATCAACGCAGAGGCGGAGGCGGCTGGCCGAAAGCCGCCCATAGAGCTGTAAGTTTACATTCGCAAGGCGTTTTCTCGCCACAGATAAGGCTCCTTCTGTGACTGACGTATTTCCAGACATACTGATGAGTTCGTCCATCTCAAATGTGGCGAAACGATCTTCATTGTCTTCCGCGACGTCGTCGTCGCTGGATCAATGTACTTTGAGTGCGCCGCCTTCGGGTTCTACAAGGAGACCTACCGCCAGCAGGTCGACTTCGACGACGATATCAAGCCCGATGTTCTGGACCTCTACCTCGACATCGCGCACCAATGGTTCTTCCAGACAAAGATTCTCGCTACCAACATTGTGCCTGACGGTCACTTCAACGCTTTGATCGAGAACTTCGAGCAGGAGCCTCTCGAGAGCGAGAACATCAAGATCCCCTTGCTCAAGTTGGCGAAAATGGCAGAGACGGTCATTCTCGCTGACCGCTTCGTCCATCGCCCGCTTTTGACAATTTTGCGAAAGATGTTCATCTCTCTTCTCAAGTTCACTCACAATTGCTGGTTTGACCTGAGTGCGGAAGTGCTTGATTGGGACCGAGCGTACCACCAAGACTTCATGTTCGACTACATCGATGCGTTCGAGCTGCTGTGCATGGGTCACGATGACGAGAAGATGCTCAGAGACGCTCTTACTGAGTCGTTCTACTTCTTCGGCCTTGACAAACCCTCCTTCATCCAATATTACCGGCCCATCTTCCCCTGCCAGTTCACCATCGAGTGGAGACTTGAGAGGGATACATCTAACCCGTTCCGCATGAGAGACCATGCCGAAGGAATCTTCACCACCGATACCATGGTTTACGCGAATAAGACTCGCCAGCAAAAGGACCGAAGATTCAAGCGGGTCATGAACCTCTGCTCACCCGAGACACGCCATGAGTGGTTGCCTTGGTTCAACGATCCAGAGGAGAAGCGCGTTCGCAATTTCCATCTTGATCAGGTCGTCGAGGCCAAGCGCCGTCAAATCATCTGCGAACGGGAGTTTGTCCCCGGTGCTTCAATTCATCACGGATCATCGCTTCAGGCCACGACGATGGCAAGCGATCACTCGCGTCGCGGAAGAGGCAAGAACCGCAAGTCTCGTGGCGGACAGAACTCGCGCGGGGGTCATAACCAAGAAGGCCAAGACCGCGTTCACAACCAAACAACGGTCAAAGAGGATGGCAAGACCAGCGGCAACCACAAGTCTCAGGGCGGACAGAGCTCGCGCGGCGGGCATCATCAAGAAGGACAAGACCGCGATCACCCCCAAGGAACGGTCGATGAAGATGGTCAGGCCGACAGGAAGAAGAAGAAGAGAAACAAGTACAAGAAGAACAAGGCGAGACAGCAAGAAGGTGTTTCAGTGGCAGACGGCCACGCTGCCGAGTCTCACAATCAGGTTCTGGCTACTGTTGATTCGGGCCTCACTTCTCAAGCAAAGGCCGCTCCGGCTAAGAACGCTTACTACGATGCTCACTTCCCTGCTCTTGGATCCAGTACGGGACACACCAACAAAGGTCGCAACAGCGGCAAGCAGGTTGCCGGCAATGAGCTGCCCGAGGTCACCACTGCACCCGAGACCTCCACAAACCATCAGGCCACCCCCCTTACCGACCGAGACCCCAACATCGTCGGAAGAAGAGGTCGCAATGGCAGAAGAGGACGCGGAGGCGGTCGAGGTCGTGGGAACGGACGTGGCGGTGCGTCGATGACAGACGGACGGCCCCTTCCGAACCTTTCTTGAGCTCTCACACACTTCTCTACACAATTACAACTTGCAGCGTCGAAGCATCACCCGGCCCAGCGTTTCTGAGCGATTGAACCCGACTTCGGTCCTCGCATAGCTCTACGCTGGCTCACTCTTCAAAAATTGGCTTTCTTTGGACCTCTCTGCTCGCTCGACGGACCGACAGACGTCCTCAACTTTGCTCTGGCTCATTATGTCACACGCCGACTGCGTTTGTGGCGTCGAAAGATAATTCTTTCGACTTTGCTTTCTTTCTTATTGGCATTCGAGGGCCCATGACAACTCGACATTGATATCATCTTATGGGATGTGGGGGACTGTGGTTCGATGATAGTAGGGTCAAGCTTCATGTACCAGATAGAACCTTGAATCGAGAAGAATCTCCTAGACTCTTGGGCCACCGTAAGTGAAAGTGAGATTCATGTCAAGTCAAAGACGTGCGTGAAGAAGAGTGATCGAGAAGCGACGCATTCGCATCTGCTGGATTTTCTCTCATTGGTGACCGATTATCTCGACTTTTCCCACCTTGGTATCACTCATTGCCTCCTAATTCCTCTGATCGAATACCGGCAACACTCATCAGAATCTCAAATCAGCCTCATCGTAATCAAAGTCCATCGAATCCGTATCGTCCGAATCAGACAAATCGTCGTAAGCACCGTAGTAATCCAGCTCCGGATCCCGCTCAAAAAGCTCATCCGGGATCTTCGCAATCTTCCTCCCGTCAACCGAGCTGTTGTAGATCGTCTCCGCCAGACTCCTCAACTGCATCGCCAGCCCCATGTCGTCGTAGTGCTTGTGGACGTCCCACTTGCCGACCTTCCTCGACAGGCTCGTCCACTGCGTCGCGTCGGCGCCCAGCGCCTCGCACTCCGACCGCTTCTCCTTGCTCCACCAGTCCGGCAGCAGACGGTATCCCTTGTCGGACCTGACCCGCGCCGCCTTGTCGAGGAAGGTCCTGAAGCCCGCCGCGCCGTCGGTCGCGCCCCGGACGTACAGCGAACCCGGCTCCGCCGCCTTGGCGACGTCCCACCGGTCGTCCATGCGGAGGCGGTAGACGTCGATGAGGAGCTTGTAGACGTCCGACTCGGGCCGGTTGTGGAACCAGGTCCCCTTAGATAGGCGCTTCCAGCCCAGGTCCGGGTTGACGGGCTTCTTGAGGCCCCTCGGCAGCTTCTCCCCGGCGACGTAGGGGATGGACGAGGACGAGGAGCTGTTGGGGGCGGGTTTGGTTGTTGTTGGGGGCGGGGGAGTCGGCTTGCTGACTTTGCTGCGGGTGCATTCCTTCTTGTGCTTCTTCCAGTGAAGGTTCATGCAGCCGGTGGAGCAGTCAGTATTGGACGTCGCAGCGGTCGCACTCAGAGACTTCCGTGACGTCCTTCTTGCACTTGGCGCAAGCGGCCGGGGCTTTCGTCTCAGTCTCAGTCATGATGATGGAAAATCGTGTAGAATTGGGCAGTGGAGAGACGGTGAAGAGTTGGAAATGTTGTTGTGAGGAGGGGGAGAGTTCTTGGACCTTTGCTGAAGCTTTTTCTTAAGGGCCGGGGACGCGACCCCCCCGGGTACGCGACCGCCGCAACTCAAAGCTGGCAGCTGGTGTCAGGACTGGCGCGAATGGAACCCTCCTGCCTTATCCCTGGATCAGACTCATCTTGCTTTCTTTTTCTCAAGTAGATCTTCATTCTGCTTGGAGGAAGTTCAAAGCTCTTGCCTTAATGCAACGCAACATCCTTATTTTCTTTTCCTTCAAATTCCTGTTTCATTCGTTACGTAGGTCGGAGCAAGGCAGTTTTCGACTATTCTCCCGCAATAAACAGGCCTTGTGACGCTTGCCAAGTGAGCATCAACATCTTATCACCCTGCTTGTATCAATGAAGAAGGGTTTGCCTGCTCAGCATTGCGCTGCGAATTGTTTATATTGCTTTTACTGCCAACACAAGTCAGTGATTAAGCACCCGAGATGGCTCCATCCACATGCCATGCAAACGTCTGCAGATCGAGAGGAGGCATCCAGACTAGGAAAAATAGACGGCTCAGTGCCCAACTCGAGATCTCCAACAACTCCGTCAACTAGACCTCAGCTCTTGCGTGCTCTGCGCTGACGCAATGACCGATTTGATATGCAATTCGAAATCCCCGTCTTGTTCAGCAAAGAAGCTATTTTCGTTAGCACAATCGTTCAGACGGTTTGGCTTGATATTCCCACCTTCTAATCATGAAGTTGACTCTCTTGATGCTCTTCAAGTCCAACGGCGCCGTATCATTCTGCACCCTCCCGCGGAAAGTCGGCACAAACTCCGCGATCGGCATCACGACCTTCTCGACCTCGCCGGACGTGTGATTCACCGCCGGAATCTGGAAATCGAACTCCCAGCTCACCCCGGATTGCTCGACGCCGTTGACGGGCGGCGGCACCGTGTCCTTCAGGTTGAACGTGTACTTCTTGCCGTCCGAGTAGGGGATCTCCAGCGTGATGGTGTCGTACGCCGAGATGTCGAGAGCCGGCCAGTCGTCCACGGTCCTCTGCGAGGCAAAGCCGGCGCCGCCCAGCGTGGCGTAGTCCAGGTTTCCGTGGAAGTTGGCGACGGAGGAGGTGAAGGGGTTGCCGGGGGCGCCGGGCTCGATGATATCCAGAATCGAATGACTCGTGCCGTTGCGGACGGTGTCGTCGGAGGCTACCCATTCGCTCTTGTTCCAAGGGCTGAAGAGGGGCGCTGAGGCCAGGGCGCGGAGCGCGAGCTTGCTGAGCGGGATGTGCATGTTGGAATGAGGACGATCTTCGACTACAACGACGTCTCCGAGATGGACAGGCACTAAAATCAGTTCTCCAGCCTTGACGAAAAGTCGGGTTCGCCAGTTATTTAAGTCTCAGTCCGGCTCCGCTCTCAACGGTCGACGCCAAGCAGTTGGGGCCACTCGGAGCAATCCAGAATGCCGGCGCAGTCCCGATGAGTTCATCTACTCTCTAAACTTTATTTCTCGCGTTCGCTCAACCGCGAGCTGTCGTTCAGCCAAGTTGTGGGGTCGTCAATCAACGATGTCATGGGTCTGGGGTCTTCCGCAATATGAACCGATGCCGGTAGCTGTCAGCCAAGCAGCCGGGCCTGCCGAGACCTGCATTTCCAGGGAACTCAGAGACCCCTAGCCCCTAATAACGATGAGTCTAAGACAACTGACGTGTTCCTGAACCGACTTCAATGTTGTGCGATTACTGAGCAATTCGGACTCGTCAGTCGAGTTTATCCCAAGACTTATCTTCCATAAGGAGAGTTTAGCCTGTACTTTGAAAGACAATGCATGGGCGGATGTGGCACAGCATCTTGCATATTCCATGTTACCGAACCCACGGGCTAGTGGGAAGCGACAATGTCGTCGTGTTGCACACGGACTTGATCGGACAAGACCAACGACGTAGTTGACGCTGCGACAACTCTAGGGCACCACCAACAGCCCATCGACCGCAAAGTGACCTTTCAGAGAGATTAGCAGGACTTTACCAGCTTCGACTCGTCTCTCATGTTTCATGACAACCTTGACTTGACAACCACGCTGCTGTAGAACCAGAAAACAGGCAGGGGAGGCATAGATACCAACGCGAACTGTTTTCCAGTAAGCCTTGCACAATTGTAGTATATTTTCTCGTTCTGTGTCTAGAATTCTGATCACAGCTGATGATTGGAATGAATATGTGGCCCGTGAGATTATTTCGCATAATCCGATCTATGAGGAAGCTGGGCACGAAGCTCTCGTGTACATACATCTGGAGAACCACAACACGTAGTGGGAATAACAGGCATAAAGCCTGAAACGGAGGGTAATTACCCAAAGGCAGACATAAGAGACATCACTAGAGGACCGCACCTAGAACAGATAGCAGCAGACAAGCAAGCTCGCCATGTCTCTTCTTGTTACCGATCGGGGCGGTCTGACGAACTGGGGTCTGAACCACTCGCTGTACATAGCTTCAAAAGGTTCAAGTGGAAGGTTCAAGAACCGCTGATTGGAAGCTGTGCCCGGCGGGATCAGAAGAGAAAAGGTCGGCCTCGAGCTCTGGCCCCCGATGAAAAAGAGTCTGGTTGATGGAACTATTACCGGTTGCCCGGGACATCGGAGTTTTTATTTCAGCTTGCTTCACAGCTCTTATTTCCACCGCGGCCGCCTAGACTCCTCAATTCACTCCTTTTGAATGGGTAAACACAGGTCCACGGCAACTCTTGTTGCCTGGATGATTCTCTCCACTCCACATGATATTGGGTCCGCTTTACATGGTCAAAACACCGAAATCCCCGTCGTGGAAATGCTCCGAGTGAAAATCATTACCGGATTGAGTATCATTATTCTTCTGCTTCTCCCGCAAAAGTACACCGCATCTGCTGGTGGAGAGAGAGCTCGCTGCGGACGTGGAATTTGACCGTGATTCCGGAGCTGAACTTCGAAAGTTGAGATGCTTGAAGTCGTAAACTTCCCTCACACCCCAGGAAGCGAAAGACATACAGACATGATCAGCTTGGTACTCTTGAGCTGGGAAGCCATTTGCAAGGCTCGTTTGTCCAACCAAGGTTGCACATGTTGTTTCCGCCATACTTCGTAGGCAAGCCTTTGCCCAGGCGGGACCCTGCAGCGACCCGCTCAAGCTTACGGCTTTGACACAAGGCTCGATAAACTCATCACCCAATAATCCCAAAAGTGGATGAAGCTATTCCGTCTTCAATCCATGCTCATCGGATTATTGCAGGGATGAAATGGATCGACGTTGAGCTTTACCCTCTGCGGCGGCATTTGAAGCCGAGTAAGGCTGGAATCTCACCTGTGGGACCTCGAAAAGCTCTTTTGCTTCTTTTCCTTCTGATAACGGTGTGAAGTTTCCGGTCTAGCCCGTCAGGCTGGTGTATATAATAGTCGAGAAGTGAAGGCCACACCCGCATCTTTCAGTTTTCCCATTTCCCTTCTGAACTTGTTCATACTATCCAGACCTCAAAATCTCATCAAATCATAAACAAGTCATCACAATGGTCAACTTCGCCCTCCCTGCGCTTGCCACTTTGGCTCTGACTCCTCTCATCGGAGCGTTCCCGACCAACGGCACCTTCCACAGCCCGTCCTTCCACCACAAGACAGCTCGTTCCAACGTAGTGGAGGCCTTCTCCTTCTCCAAGTGGGTTGACGGACTCATCACCAACCCTGATGGAGACAACCTCACCCCCGAAGAGGCCGTTGAGGCCTGGCGCGCATCCATCAACGGCACCCACGCCGCCCACGTCGACAAGCGCGTCATGTGCAACACTATTGCCGGCACCGAGGCCTACGTGAGTCCCCAGTAACAAGTGTTAACTTGTTCATGCCCGTGCTAAGAAAGGTTTAGGTCCCGGACGCTGTCTCGTGCATCAACCAGCTCGCCGCCAGAGGCAGCGAGGCTTGCACCGTGGCCACCGTCACTGCCTTCTGCGTGATTGGAAACGCTCAGATTACTGGCGTCAAGGGCGGTACTAACGACCAGTCCACTACGTCTTCTTGGTGAGCCTAGAGAATATCCACCTGCTATGATCAAACTTGCTGACAACGAATACAGCAACGATGTCGCCCGTGGCGCTGGTGCTGTCATGGATAGCTGCACGCGCGCAGACAACATGGTCCAGGGCGCTGAGTTCGCTTATGGTAATGGCAACCTCCTGGTTCACATTCGTAGCCCCGGTCTCTGAGGCGGTGGGTGATGAGTCGCTGGTTTGCATGGCTCTACTCCTACAAACGAGATTGAAATTCTGTATGATGTGATCATGGCTTGGAACGTCTTACTGTTGTTTACGGATTTGGTTATATTTAGTTGTAATGATAATGAGATTCTTGTTGTTTGAGTTTCGGCAACGTTTCAATTTGAAGACGTAACATGCAGGCAGTCTGTTATAACATCACCACATGAAGTGGAAGCTCTTACTTGAACGACAAGTGGCATGGAAAAATGACGACGACAATTTAAAGATTATTCGCGAAGAAAAAAGTCAAATTTCGAATCAGTTTTCTCTTGGAGCATAGTTGGTCCGTAGTCTGTCAGTAAGTAAACGCACCGACATTAGAAGCTGTTTCTCGACACCTCAAAATTACATGGCATACCAAAGTTCACCAACTTCGGAGACAATGTTTCAGGATTGAGGCTCTAATATCGGGCTTACATCTTGAGCTCCGGTCTTACAGTTCTGGTCCGATTCGTCCGAAGTGATGTGAAGATGCCGCCTCTAACCATAAGCAGCCCTACGCCATAACAAAGAATGACGCAGTCTCACCACCCACCCTAGATCCATCAGGCGCCTCCTCGAACTTAATGTTGACTCTGCTCGCCATGAGCTTGACATGATTTAAAGATGACCTTCTCCCCGCATCAATCGATAGATGCTTTCCCTTGATAGCACGTCAAAATTGTCACCATGCCTTTGTTTGGGTCCTCAACCTCCGAAAACATGTCTGAAATCCTCGTCGTCACTTCCGCCAGCGGCAGACAAAATGCACAGCTGCTGCCGCTTCTCACATCCTCCAAGCGCTTCAAACTCCGGCTCGCATCGCACTCGGAAGCCTCGGCTTCCAAGCTTCGGATGAGATACCCAGGAGCGGAGGTTGTAGTTGTTGATCTCACTTCCCTCGATGCCTGTAGAGACTTGGTCCGGGGCGCGACCACGGTCTATCACGTTGGGCCGAGCATTCACTCACGCGAACGCGAGATGGGATTCAACATGATCGACGCGGCGACGGCAGAGTTCCAAGGCGAAGGGAGTCAGTTCAAACACTTTGTCTTCTCTAGCGTTTTGGGCACTCAGCATCGAAAGCTCATGCAGCACGACCTAAAGAGTTTCGTGGAGGAACGCCTCATGCTCAGTCCCATCCCGTGGACCATCTTGCAACCAACCAACTTCATGGACGCCTACCCTGTCGCCCGCCTAGCCAGCATGGAAACGCCTGTGATGGAACGGCTGTGGAAGCCAGATATGCCCAATAGCATGATTGCGCTGAAAGATTTAGCCGAGGCGGCCGCGAAAGTGTTGACGGAGCGCGAGAAGCACTTCTATGCGCAGTACCCTCTTAGCAGTACGCTGCCAACGACAGACGCGGAGGTGTTCGAAGCGATAAGCAAGAAGATTGGGAAGGACGTCCAATTCAAGACACCCACGTTTGAAGTCGGAGTCGACAATCTTTTGAGTCTGCTATTTGGAACAAGCAGTACTCTAAGCGCGGAAGGGGACTTGAGGCCGGATGTCACCAGGGACGAAGCTGAGCGGCTTATCCTATTCTACAATAGATACAGCTTGGCTGGGAATCCCAACGTGCTACGATGGCTTCTCGGACGAGAGCCTACGACTGTGGAGCAATGGGTCAAACTCCAACTTGATGAAGCGAAGCTGATATAGGGTCGAAAGTATGGAACCATGCCATTTGGAACCGCGGGCTTCATGTTTGCGTGTAGTTGTTCGCTTATATGTACATGTATGCTTATGAAATGAATGAAGAGGATGGATAGGGCAATAGCATACTTATCAAAATTGAAAACAACTCAATATGACCACTAGTTCTCTAGTAGATTCGATTTGCAGCGTCAATGATGTAGTCTCAGGGGACATATTAGAGTACAAGAATCCATATATGGCCAGGCTCGGAGACTGCACTTTGAAGTCTTCTGCAGACTACCTCAGACGCCTAACTCATTCTCGCAATATTGGGTCTTCGAACTCGTTTGTGACTTGATACTTGGATCTAATTGCCCCTTACAGCCCTCGGGCCTTTTCAGTCAAGCTGTTAGTTTGATAAGATATCTTCCAGTCTGATGTATTGGCTTATGGAGTTTGGTAGTAGCAAAGACTGGTTCTTGGCATTGAGTTCAAAGAAAAATCAGAGTTCCTGACAAGAGCCTACTCGGCACATAGCCGTCCGAATTCTGGCATCGAATATCATGCGAGTGACCCAACGGGTGGCGGCGCAGCACAAAATGCCTCAAAACCACTCGCAGCAAGCTGTACTTTGGTTCTGCGGGTAATTGTCTTCTTCTACCACTCAGAATCTGGTGTTATTGTGTGATGTCCGACTTGCCGGGCGGAAGGATTGAGTACCCGGTGCGTGCGGTGATGGAGTAAGATACCCGTGTTGCAGCATAGTGTAGTGTAGCTGCGATGATCGACGGATCGTGATCAACGTCTTCCATGACCAATTCTGTGCCTTTCCATCTGCTTGGAATCTATAGAGTAAGTGAATGCCGACAACGAGTAAAAGCTCACGCCGGTATCGGTTAACATTTGAAAAATGGTACTCAGGATGAGTTGATGAAGCGGTTGTCAATAAAGCGCAACGTAGAACGTAGTAATGCAACTGCCGTCCTTTCTTTGGACTCGACACTGAAGATGTTGCAAATACATTAGCTGGGTTCCAGTCGTCACCATGCACAAGAGGTACCGGCATCAATGTTGAATTCCGCAGTCTGCTTGAGGCCACTGCTCAGAAATTGTATTCCAAAGGCCGGGTTTTCCGGTTCCAGCAATAAGTCAAGCAAGTGTCTCGTTCTCATCGAGAATACCCCGCCCAGTCTCCGGGCGGCCTGCGATGTAACATGCATTGTGGCGGTAGGCGAAGCAAGCTCGGAAAGCTCTGGGGCTTCTGCGGGCCAACAGAGGTGCCACATCAGCTTTCAGAAGTCTGGGTGAAGGAAAGATCGACCATTCGGTCCACCGAATTTCCGATGTCTTTCGCGAAAGTACGGGTACAGTACCGCATTGTCGGATTTCCACGTCGTGCTACTCGGATGTAACTCTAGGGATTTGGCAATAACTGTTGTGAAATACAAGAAAGCCTGCAGTCAAGCGTGAGAAAAAGATGTCAAGCTCGGATTCGTTGGTTGCACAGCCGCACTTGGGACAATGGAGCTTTTGAAGATAGTTGGACAAGGGTTACGGTGCCGACCCCAAAGCCATTACTTCCGGTACCGTAATATCCGACATGCCTATTTACGGATCATCACATTCCAGTTTTCAATGCAGCCCGCGAACTGTCCAGATTCCAGCTCCGTTCCTGCAGCCGGCGATATTACCTACTCAGTCTAAGAGTGGCAAGTGAATGCAAGTTTCAGTTGCGGAATATGTCAGAAGATGTCACTGGCTGAGCAAGAATCCAATTATCACACCCGAAGTAGTTGCGAATCACAGATTGCGACTACATGGAGAGGCTGCTTCTTGACTTCTATGAGCCGGGTTAATCGCGGCGCGCCTTTCCCGAGTCGCGCAGCCCGAATCGTTTCGATAAAACGGCATCCGAGGCCTCAAGTCGGCAACTGACCAAACATCTTCCGCTTTCCGGCGATGACGCACTGCCTAGTCTTTCGGACAGAAAATCGGGCTGCAGCCATCGACCCACACAGCGCATCCGGTGAGGGAGCGATTTCAGCTTGTGAGAAATTTCCCAACGCAGAGTTCAGGGGGTGACCCTGATGTAAGAATCACTAAAAGAGGAACCGTAGTGGACGAGCCTCCACTGGATACCTTGTCAGATCATCTGATAAAGGCCTTCTCTTGAATGTGACATTGAGTCGTTGGGTCGCACCCCGTTGAAAACTTGGTCGACGGAGGCCATGTCCGAAAATCGGGGCCCCGGATCCACCGCGGCCGCTATTTCTCGGCATTTCATTGGCGGCGCGGCACGGCCGGCCGGTCCTGAGAGCGCCGCAAGCGAGTTATTTCATCTAATCCGTGCCGACAATAGATCTTTCCGACGAATCAGATTCGACCTTTATCGAGCCCGTTTTATACCCACGCAGAACCCACGTTACGAATCGACGAGTTGGTGGCAGATGGTGACGATCCGAAGACGTGGGTCGTTCGGATCAGCGTTGGGTCGCACTCGTTCATGAGTACGAGATAAAATATAAAACCATTTGAACTCTGCCCTGCCAAGGACAGACGATCTTGCTCCCGTCTCCCTTCTTGGTCACACCCTTCCTGTCCTTCGTTTGGTTCAGGCAACCCCCTTGTCTTCGGCTCCCCGGCGTGCAGCAGCATCTTGCAGCCACGTGCGCTTTAGTTCAACATGGCCGCCATCCAGCCCTCGCCGCCTCAGACCGCTGAGAACAACCATGTTCACTCGGAAGATGACATCGAGAAGAACACCGGCCAGAATGTTGTCGACATCCACGCGGACCCTCTCAAGGATGACTCGAGCGACTCAGTCGAGCACAAGCAGGATGGTGTCAAGCTCGTGGAAGCCATCACCACGGTGTGGTCGACGAAGATGCTCTGGGTCGTCTTCGTGCTGTATGTTCGATCAACATTTTGCGTAGTTGAAGCGTGACTGACGAAAACCAACTAGCCTTTACCTCGTGTCCTTCTCCGACAACCTCCTGCAGTCCATCCAGAGCAACCTTACGCCTTATGTGACGTCCTCGTTCGGCCAGCACGGTCTTTTGGCCACGACCAGCATCATCTCCACCGTTCTTGGCGGTGTCTCGAAGCTCACCATTGCCAAGATCATCGACATTCGCGGCCGTACCGAGGGTTTCTCCTGGATGGTCCTTCTCATCATCATCGGCATGATCATGAAGGCGACCTGCCAGAACGTCGAGACCTACGCCGCCGCCCAAACCATCTACTGGGTTGGTCACATTGGTCTTCAATACATCATTACTGTGTATCTCTCAGACATGACGTCTCTGAAGAACCGAATGACCATGATCGCTGTCAACGGCACGCCCCTCATCGCCACGACATTTGCCGGCCCGAAGATTTCTCAGTTGTTTTACGACAACTTGAATTTCCGCTGGGCTTTTGGTGCTTTTGCCATCATTCTCGTCGGCTTCTGTCTGCCAGTTGGAATCATTTTCTTCCTCAACGAAATCAAGGCCAAGAAGGCTGGCTTGGTGCCTCAAAAGGAAAAGACCCGCAGCGCATGGGAGTCCCTCAAGCATTACTTCGTTGAGTTCGACAGTAAGCAGCTCTGGTGGTAGTTTTCGTTAAAAGTCCCTGCGCTAACCACGTTGCAGTTATCGGGTTGCTCTTGGCGTCGGCGGGTTGGTCGATGCTTCTCCTGCCTTTCAGTCTCACGAACAGCTCTTTGCACGCGTGGTCAAGCCCGACCATCATTTGCCTCCTGGTCTTCGGCGTCGCTTGTCTGGCTGCTTTCGTGGTCTGGGAGAAGTGGTTTGCTCCCGTGTGCTTGTTCCCTTACAAGTTCCTCAAGGACCCAACCATCTTGGGTGCCTGCTTGGTCCAAGGCCTGATGTTCGCCTCCATCTAGTAAGATCAACACACCCAAACCACAAGGTCATGGCAACTCTGCTAACGCTCTGTGTTCTAGCTGCTGGGACTCATACTATCAATCCTATCTCCAAGTCGCGCACAACCAGGACATCACCAGCTCGGGCTACATCCTGAACACCTTCAGTCTGACATCGGCAATCATCTCCCCTCTGGTCGGACTGTGAGTCTTACTCCCATCATTCATCTTGATGCCAATACTAACGATGATCAGTCTCATCCGCTATACTGGACAGTTCAAGTGGACTGCTCTGTCCGGCATCCCCATCTGCGTTCTCGGAACCGCTCTTCTCATCCACTTCCGCACACCCAGCACTCAAGTCGGATACCTCGTCATGTGCCAGATTTTTAACGGTGTTGCCAGCGGTATCTGGGCCCTCACATCGCAGCTGGCCATCATGGCCTCTGTTACCCACCAACAGATCGCCATCGGTCTGGCGCTCCACGGGCTGTTCGGATCCATCGGTGCCGCTATTGGCTTGGCTATTGCTGGAGGTATCTGGAACAACGTCTTGAAGAACGCCATCTACGCGAACCTCCCGGATGACAGCAAGGATCTCACCGCCAAGATCTTCGGTGATCTGGCGACTCAGATTTCGTACCCGATGGGCAGCCCTATTCGCACTGCCATCATCGAGGCTTACGCCAATGTTCAGAGGAAGATGGTCATTGCCGGTTGTGCTTTCATCCCTCTCATCTTCGTGTCTCTGATCATTTGGCGTAACATTGACGTTAAGAGAATCGAGTCTGAGAAGGGCAGGCAGACCAAGGGCACTGTGTGGTGAGGAAGACGTCTCGGACACCGACGGGCATTTGTCATACCCTTTGATAGATGTGACATGTCATCGTCAATCGCCGAACGATCATGCTTCCAAGTATTCTTGCATTCAACACAGCCTATGTACTACCATAGAGTCCCATAATCAAAAAGTCACTCCTTTGAAGCGATTGATACCAACATGTTCGTGTTGAAGTTCATTTAACAGACGCTTGATGTTCCCTAGAGCGTTACCACTGATTTTATCAAGTCTTGCCCATGAATAACAGCTGGTAGAGCCCGTTCTGCTTCGTCACCTCGACAAAATCACCCGGAATGGACGTAATGATTAGTTTTTCCCTTCATTTCCCTATGTAATGGTACCAAGAGTCTACTTGGGACACAAACGCCCGTTCTGCGTGGGGTAGTAATCAATCTGGTCGGTGATATACCAGTCTTCGGACCCAACTGCAGTGGCAGCATACAGCACACCCCACGGATCATACTTCTGCTTGAGCTGGTATAAGTACTCGTAGTTGCTACCATAAAATGCTTGCTGCCAGTCCGGCTCGTTGATATCCGCTTCGTTAAGGTAAGTACCCGCACCAGGGCTGGCCTCACGCCATGGTTGCAAAAGCTCGACCAGGTTCTTGCTCGCCGCCGCAATATCTTCAGGCGTGGCCTCCTGGCCCCATGTCGCACCAAGCATGACGTGCATGAGTGTCTCGCGGAAAGCAGGGTTCACGGCGTTGGTCTGGTTGACGGAAGGATTCGCTCCCGTCTTGATGTTATAACCAAGGACGTAACCCGCCTTCTCAGCGCTCTGACGCAGGGCACTCGTCTGCGCGGCTAACTTTTCAGGATCTTCCCAGTTGGACCGTGGGAATAGACGAGAGGCGGTATGGAAACCCCATCCACCGGCCGACTCTCCTTCGGGACCCCAGGTATTGAGGACAGCATCGCGCACGCCGTTGAGTTCGGTGTACTTGATGCCAGAGACGGGAACCTGAAGCGTCGACAGATTGGCGAAGAGGGGAGCCGAGACAGCTTTGAGCTTTTCAGCGTTCATGTCGATTCCCAGCTGGGGAAGCATGGAAAAATTGCAGTCCGTAGCCCCAGCGCATGTCAGGGACCAATGGCTAAACATTCCGGCATCGGCGTACTCGGGAAACACGGCAAAGACGGCGTCAACCCCGGACCAGAACTTATCCACAGAAACGTTGGCGGTGCTGAAGCTGTAGCTGAGAGATGTGATGGGCGTCTTGGGGTAGGCCCGCACGACGAGAGAGGTGACGATGCCCCAGGTACTGCCGCCGCCGCCGCGAAGGGCAAAGAAGAGGTCCGGGTAGTTCTGCTCATCGACGGATACGAAGCGGCCGTTGGGCAATATTACTTCCATCGAGAGTACCTGATCAGCGCCGGTGCCGTATGCGGACATCAACGGGCCATTGCCTCCACCGGCGATATAACCTCCTCCGATTCCAATGGTCTGGACACTGTTAATTCTTGTCGCCCGTGCACGAAAGGGCCGCACTTACCCGAGCAATGCCCCCCACTACTTGAAGACCTTCCTTGTCCGCCGCTTCGTAAAAGTCCAGCATCGTCACGCCGGAGCCGATCTTCAAAGCCGGTCCCGTGTATCCGGAGACAGCGTGTGTGTAGTTGGGGCCGAGATAACGAATATCTTGCAGGTGATGAGTCCATACAGACAGTGCACCAGCACCGGTAGACTTGCCGTTGAAGTCATGCCCCTTGTTCTTGACATTCAAACGGAGGTTGAGGTTGCGGGCGAAGTTGACCGCAAGTTGGATTTGAGCAACATTTGTGACGTTCACAACGTAAGAAGGGTTGCCACCCTGGGTGCACTCGGCCCCGGGGCGAGCGACATTGGGAGGGATGCAGCTGACTCCTTCGTACAACGGAAAATCCAGTCCTGTAGGTGCAGACATCCTGTGCTTTTATTAGCAAATGATCAAATACTCTGTCAGTCTGCAAAGAGAAGAGCTTACTGGAACTGGGGCGATGACCACTTCGACGTGATCTCCTCACACTTGGCTTCGTCGAATTGTGGCCAATCTTCGTAACACGGCGCTGCGGGCGGCACACCATCAACCAACGCCCCTCCGGTGAGACGATCAAAATAGAACCATGTCGAGTCGGAAGTCCAAGCAGCATCGCCCGGGAATACCTTGCAAGTACGTTCTATTTCTTTGGCATCTTCGTTGCCGAAGTCGAACAAATTCACTGCCGAGAAATTCGACTTTGACAGTGTGTCAATGACCTCTATAGTTAATTGTAATGTTTCGAAGTCGAAGTAGTCGATGCCTGAAGCGGCAGAATCGCTTGGAACCTTTTCAAGGGTTGGAGCCACGTTGCCAGCGGTCCGTGAAGATACCAAGCTTGCGAGCGACAGATCCGCTACGAGGATTGACCTGGTCGTCATTGCATCGGGTGTACCGCTCCTTGTGACACGAAAGGAATACCTACGCCAACATGAAGGCTAGCCGATCTAACGTAGGGATAAGATGGGAGGAATCGAAGGATAAGAGGACTGTCCAAGCTTGTGGGCAGAACCCATCTTATACTAAGATTGATCAAGTTGTGCGATCGGCTGTCAAAATACCGAGCTTCGCAAAATTTCCATGGTGTGATTATTTAACTTCCAGTAGCAGTAGATGTGGCCTCTGGGGCCATACCAAGATGACCGGCGCCGTGAAGACTGTCTTTGGTGCGGTCTGGGTTCTAATTCGCCATGAACCTAGTCCATCTGCTCGTTGATGGAGACAATCTTCATAAACAGACAGGCATAGCTGCAAAGTTCACCTCACTGCATACGACAGAGATGCCACTCCCACCTGGGACACGCGGATCGCACTCGAATGCACGCAGCGCAGAGAGCACTTTTGCCGCAATGCTTGTGCCGATGGAGTCGTATGCATCGGAAATTGCTATGCACTACCTGCACCGCTTCAGCGCATCTTTCATTGACAGACGCGGCTTCTTGAACCCATGTCCGTTCGAACCAACATCGACTAGTGATTTGATCACCATAGTTCGATTAGGAATAGAAGCGGGTCTATCCGGACGATCTTCCTCTTAACCAACATGCCAAGGTTCCAGGTCTCCATGTCGGTACCACTTTATCATGCAAGTTTGTCGGTGAGTCGGAAAGCCTTCAGGTCAAGCTCTGACCGTAAGCCGTCCATGCCGTCAAGGCGTATGTGCCGGCAACTAGAACATCCCTCACGATGATACGACTAAGCTTGACGAAGTCAATGGTGATTGTAACGCCCAAATGAGACAGAAGAAGAAACAATCCTAGAATCTGGTAGTAAATCTTTTGAAATGCTTCTTCCATCCTAGGATGAACAAAGGCTCCTGGTCACAAAGTATCTGACAGCATACCGATTTTTTGGTATACTGAACGCGTTCTCTGGCACGGTGTAGAATCAGATAGGCAGGAATCTTGAAGTTATACTGTAGCTGCCTGGCTAAGGTAGTGTTGTGTGCCGAATAGTTCATTGCAGTTCGCTGCGCTATATACTACAGTAACTCTTGCTATCCCAACTCAATTCAATCTCCATGACATCGTACCTAGGGGTTATACATTCAACAGCTGACAAAGTGGGAGACTAATACTCTGTCCTGATAAGCTTATAGACATGTATGGTGTATGGTGGCGTGAATGGCCTCGCCCTCAAATTCGAGACCCCGATGCCCACTGCAGCGTATTGATCATACGGCGGGCGATAGCCGTGAATGAACCACAATATAAGGCCACTAATCCACTGGTAGTCTTCTTACTCCCATGGCCCCAGGATTCCCTACGTACTCAGAGCATACGGGAGATAGATCTGGGAAAGCGAAGACATGTGCGTATGAGCCAAGACTGTCGATAGCATCGTGGCCAACACAGTCTCAAACTCAAACCCTTCAACGCGATATCGGCGTCTATGTTGTAGCCAGGAACTCGAAACCAGATGTCTGTCGAATATGGCCAAAGACCCGAGAGAGTGAGGATCGAGACACAGCCATGAAGAGCCTTCGACAACATTCGCCTATTTGGGGCCGAGACTCAGTTGGCATTTCTACAGCAAGCTCAACATCAAACCCCTTCTCGACGAACACGTCAGAGATGAACCGAATAACATGATCTGCCTAAGCCGCAAGTTACACACTTGCTGGTCATAGGGGTTGTTGGCTTTTGAGCCTCTCGACTCGACTGTCCCGGAAAAGCTTGTAATTCGACTCAGGCTTCACTGGCTAGAGGAAATTGGGATCAAGTCGATGAATAATCCAGTATGCTTCTCAATAGACTCTCGAGAAAAGTTCATGGAGTAAGATTTGCGGATTATAGATGCCAGGCCGGTGTAAGATGTGCATATCATCTAGATACTTGCCGAGACCGAAGACGACTGGAGCTTCGTGATAGAAAAGTCCTTGACTTCCAGTGGACCATCCTCACAGTCCACGTCTCGTCGAGGGCAATAGAACTCCGACGTTATCCATGGAACTCGAACAAGTTCTACGACTATTTTGACCGTCCGGCTGAGTGGTTTTATTCTTTGCCCGAAATCTGAAAGCTAGGGTGAAAGGACTTTGACAAAGGAGGTTGGCGAGAGACTGGTATTGCAGAACGTGCGAGGTTTACGAGATGATACTCTATGGACATCTGGTATCATAAGAGAAGCAATCTTATCCATTTTTTAAGGTGTTTCTATAACCTCAATGTACAGTGTTTGCTCGTAATATTCAATATCAGGTTTCTTCAGTAACCCAAATTCTCTCACGATCGCGTTAGGTTGTAAATGTTTGCAGATATATGTTCAACTTGGTTGTCGACTACTCACTGTGTTTGTGATGACGTTCCTTCTTTTTGAACACCTAAGTTCTGTTTATTGCTCATCTCTGATGTTCGTACAATGAGTGGCTCGCCGAAATCATACTACTGCGCGGATTCCTGTTTGGAGTCTCCCTGGCTTTAACGAATGCTATTTATAAGTGCGACTGTATACTTACTCTCGTGTCTCATGCCGTATCAAATTATTTATTATTGAATAGCTATAAATGCTTCTGCATCTGCGCATTCACGCATCTTTCTAGACTGCTCTGTGGCCGACCCGGCAGGCCTGTTGTAATCCACTGTCTTGTCGAGTAAGACTACGAATAATATCGAGATTCAAAATTACAGAGACGCCATGAAGAAAAAGCAGAAAAATGCAAGAAGGGGGGCTAAGCATTTGGTGATAAGTGGAAGTGGGGGAGCCTGCAGGTATTCAGACGGACAAAAGAAAAATACGGCAAGGAGGGAAAATGAGCCTTCTCGCCGGTGGTGAAGTCCACTAGCATCGTGTTCTCAAACATCAGGAGAACTGCAGTTATTTGGAACCCGACAGAAAACATGATTAATAAACGACTTTCCAAGAGTGCTCTCATCTTCATTGGACCCGTAAAGGATTCCAATAGTGGCATAAGCATGAATTTGGGCCTTCAACACAGTACATCGTCGACTTATCGCCGGCGGGAAAGTACCAGAACATAGATACGAGCTCCGCCGTAAATGAAATGACTGGGTATCGAGGTCTGATACGTATGCTTGCCTTGGGGCAGTGTTGCACATCACTCAAGCCGGGCACGTGTCAAGGGGCGGTTCTGGATGCCAACACTAAAAACAGAACCCAAGAGGGGAACCAATGGCCAGGGAGGCTGGGTCGGGTTGACTGGTTTGGGAAAGGCACAATGGTTTTAAGAATAAGAATAAGAGAGCTTCCCCCCTCTCGAAAGATTGAAATACACAAATGATCATTTCCAGACCTGATTCATCGGGTGTTGAGACGTACATATCATTTCTGTCAACATGCATGACATCCCCTTGAGCGACCTCCAGACCCCTCGACCGTTCGAATCACGAAGACCGTACACCACGATATCAAACCCTAGCGACAAGGCTCATAGACACACGACAATGGGATCCATCAGAATAGCTTTGTCGTATGCTTTCGACTGGATTCTGCTGGTTGTATTTGCCGTCGGTGGTCTCTTCCTGGGGAACCTTACACCACAGAAACGCCCGTTCAATCTTGGCAATCCCGACATCAGCTTCCCTCTACACGACGATACGGTGTCCATCACGAACGCCTTCTTGATCTGCATCGTGGCCCCAATTCTGATCATATTCGTGGTCTCTCTACTCCTTGTGCCAGGCTCAACTGTTCCTCCGGGGACGCCGAAGTCCATTATCTGGCGGCGAAAGCTTTGGGAGATTCACGCGGGCTGGTTGGGACTGATCTTTTCGGTCATCGCAACTTGGTTCATCGTGAGCACGACAAAGAACCTTCTGGGAAAACCACGACCGAACGCGATCGCGCGCTGCCAACCCGATCTCGAAAACATCGCTCAGTACATTGTGGGTGGTGTTGCATCGACAACTTCCTCCACAGCCGGGCAGCTCGTTTCCGCCGATATCTGCAAGAACCCCGATACTAGCGTCGTAAACGACGGGTTTCGAAGCTTCCCCTCTGGTCACTCTTCGATCGCTGCTTCTGGCCTTGTCTATCTCACTTTCTTCTTAGCTAGCAAGCTTGGAGTTACGGCACCCTGGGCACCTCGTACAGAGGGCCTGTCAGACCACAGTCACTCTGCGTTTCCATCTCGACTGGGCGGAGACATGGACATGCCAGCAGGTGAAGCTGAGACGCAGGCTGAACAAGGCGCAAGCACACGACCAGTGTCTTCTGTTCGAAGACAGGCTGCTGCTCCACCGATTTACCTCGTCGTCCTGACTCTGGTTCCATTCTGCGTCTGTATCTACATCTGCGCCTCCAGGTGGTTCGACTTCATGCATCACGGCATCGACATTTTCGTGGCCTTCGCCATTGGTGCGACGACTTCATACTTTGGGTTTCGGTTTTATCATCTTCCAATTGGCCGGGGCGCAGGCTGGGCTTGGGGGCCACGAAGTGAGGACACTGCCTTCTGGGCTGGAGTGGGCAAGCAGGGATATGGACATGGCTTGACGAAAGGTCGTCAAGACTACATGTGCTGAGTTACAAGTGGCCCACTGCGGACATGGATTTTCTGGTCTGGCTTGGCGTCGACCAATGAACGATTTTGTATTTCATAGCAACATCATCGCGAAGACCAAGTCTTGCGCGAGCAGAGTCATGTACACGTAACTAGTCTAGGGAGAATAATGCTTGATTGTTGTTGACGAGATTCGTCCGCGATGGCAGTGTTCCATAATCCAGACATTCTGCCCAGGCATCTCATCCCATGTATTTCATCCTAATCTCAGGGGCAGGAGCCCGACATCATGAGTCGACTGAGCTCGGAGTTAGCTGCCGAGGGGCACGGAGACCGAGACCGGACGGTTTGTCATGTCAACACGCTTGGTTGCGCCGGACCTACTCCCAAGCCAGCTAAAATTAGCATGGCATTCTGTGATGGCTGGGAAAGGTTGTGACATGTCGGCGTAATTTGTTTCCAGTGAACCAGACCACGCTGCGCCTCTTCTCTACGGCCTAACGGGTGAGCTCATGGGGGCCTGCACGGCGAGGTTCAACGTAAACTCGTGTCATTATTGACACACCTGTCTGAGAAGAGACTCCCAAGCAGAAGAGTTCTTAAGGCATGCCGTCACATAAGGGATCATTCGACAGAAAACATTTATTCTCTGCAGTTTCTAACAGTCTCGAACCAGATCCTGATACTATACTGTCCCTCTCCAAAGATTCAATACAATCAGTCAGGCCTGAACTACTGCTACAGGTCAAACTTTGTCTTGTAAACGAACCCATCTTCTGCCAGTGGCTGAGAAACTTGCAGTAGACCGGTCTCGTGCCACCTCACCTTACCATCCAAATGTCTCACAATGAACTTCGATGCTGATCTCACCCTTGGCAATGTGACGCGCGGCAGTCATCCGCACGAGATCAGTCAGTGATTGCGGACCACAAGAAGCAATGAGCACACGCTGCCCGGACCGCATCGCCTGCAAGGTCTGACCAATTGCTTTCTCAGCTTCCAGCTTATCATACTTGATATCACAGAGACTCTCCAGATCCTGCGAGAGTCTCCCCTTCTCTGAGGCCTCAATGATTGTCTTGACAGCCGTCTGTGGCGGGATAGCTGCTGGCACGATAGTGGATGAAGTTGTACCAGTAATATCCTGACCGGTCGGCTTTCTCTCCAGGACTTGTGTCTCAATGGTGTCCTGTGCCACAGACTCGCTCAAAGATTCTTCTGAGTCCTTCCTTGTGACGTGAAGTAACATATTCATCCCGGACGGCTGCCGGCACAATGTCTGAAGGTGCTCCGCGAACCATTCCAGGTTCTCTGTCACGGTTGTCAGTGTGGATGAACTTGTCAGGCGATGTGAAATTGAGACGAACCTCTTTTCCGTACTGCCCATATGAAGTCTACATGCCTGTCGGAGTCCGACTCCAGATGCTGAAGCAAGCTAGCAGCTAGACCAAAGGTGAAGGTGGCCCCAGTACCGCCAGCAATCAGGACCACCCTGTCGTAGTTTTTCGGGTTCGGGAAGGCACCGTACGGCCCATCAACAGATGCCCATACTGATGTCCCAGTCTCACTATTGGCGCAGTCATAGACAGCTTTGGTGAAACCACTGTGGGATCTTAAGACAAGTTCTAAGCCCCCAGCTTGAGTGTTGGACACAATCGTGAAGGGATGAGTCTGGAATGATCGGATACTCGGGATCCAAACGAAGCAGTGTGAACCTGGAACAGCCCCTGCCAGTGGCTTCTTGATGACCATCCTCACTCCGTTGTCAGGCAGCTGGTAAATGGTTGCGCTGTTGTTGACCAGGTTGTACAGCATTCTCGACCCCCTAATGAAACGATCGATGGCCCAAATTGCGCCGGCGAAAATCATTGCCACGGGGATCTTCCACACCCAATGAGGCCTGTGAAGGCCAGTGAAGATAATTGCAAGGAGGAACCCTAGGAGATGGCTGATGTAGAAAGCCTCGTATCTCAGGTTTCTGGCCATACCCAAAAGGAGGACAATCATTGCGACGCCAGCAGCAATACCCTCCCAATTCTGTTCCTCAAGCAAGACACTCCAGCGTTTCTGATTACCATAGTAGATCAGATAGAAGACAGCATGAAGGACCAGTTGAAGGACAGCGGCGTAGCCTGCAAGACGGTGGAAAAAGTTCAGGCGCTCATAGGAATGTCCAGACAGCACCCCGAGTGGGGTGTTCTTCAGGCCTAGGAATACGCACAGGGCCATATTGGCTGTTGACATCCTATGACCATCTAGTGAGCTTATGAATTGCGCGGATGAGATGAAGCAGAGACATACCACCCAAATCTTGCCGCGAAATTGCTGGTCTTTGCTTTATCGACATGATGAAAACACATTACGATGTTGACACCGATGTAAGTTATACTTAGTAATGCGTGGCCCCCGGACGGAAATCCAGGGACCTTGCGGATGAGCAAACTTCTGACTTGTCTTTCTCAAATCAGCTTGCGTATCAATACAGTGTTGAGCCTTGCCTTACCGATAACCTCTGACCAAGGGCAAAAAGCCTGGGCGATGCAGCCATTGCAAAGATGTAACTTTTCTGCTGATAATCCGTACAAAATGGTACAAGATAAATAGGGAAATGACCGCACAGATGACAGCGGCATACACTTTCACATTCCACTCGTTCATGAGTTGGCGTGCGTTGGGCGGTTTAGGCTGCTTGGCAGCGCGTGGCTGGATCATCGTGAAATGTTGGAGTCGTTTTGAGCCAGAGATACAGACCCAATGACAGCAGCAGTAACAAAGCTCAAGGTCGGCTTCTGAATCGTTCCTCGACTGAAGACGAAAGCTACTTCTCAATGGCCAATTTCTGTGTCTTTATCACAAATACAGAGTTTTCCGTCGGGCGAAACACTCTGCTACGTTCGACTTGAACACCTCAGGTGGGGAAAGCCCAACCGCCCATCACATCAGTTCGAATTATCGTGAATAAACTGAGGGGCAACTGGCACGTCCAGACCTTGTTTACGCATGTTTATCAGTTGGAAAATAACTCACTCCGAACTCGCAGCGGAAACTATCGTCTAACCATGGCCATCGCGATGTACGTGATGGATACATGATGGTCCTGATTGGATCTAATCTGATCCCGAGATAAAGACTTGATGTCTGGAGCTTGAAATAATGTGGGCTTCTGCCTTTCGCCTCTTTTCAAGAAGTCACTTTAGGTCGAAGAGACTTCTTCATCAAAGTGGTCCCAAGTCCAGGTTGTTGTCAGTGGACCAAGGCTCCAACACCAACCGGTATGAGTAGGTGAACAGGATCTCAGTGGAGATGTTCAGACTTTTCTCGGTGACACCTTTGCAGGAGCCTCTTCAAGGTATCTTCGTTCAGTGAAATCAACATTTGATGGGCGTGGGCATAGTGGATCTGAGTTTTTCGTCGTGTTGCAGGTCGGACGTTGACGCTTCCGTGAGTTTGCTTCATGTTCCCATTACAAGGAGCAGAATTTCTGACTGGGGAGCTTCACTTAGAATACGAAGATGTATTCACAACGTGGCTATCGGCTCAAGGAAATGACCTTTACAACATATTAAGTTCTGTCTGTATTTCAACCTCTCGATTTTCAACGAAAGCAAACTGACATTTCATTCGTTGTTACGAACTTCACGGCAAATTTCCTCGACTTTCCTGTGTCAACCAGTACAATGAGGAGGGAGATCTACACAGTTGTGTCAACTGCCACACCAAACACCACGTCTGAGCTAGTCTGTGCCCTGGGAAAATACCAACCAACACCTGCGCAGAATTTGCATCCGGGATATGTCACAAGCAGCCTCGATGTTGGAACAAAGTCATATCTATCATTCAGTGGGGCATTTCCACTCGTGTGGTGTATCGTTTCCCAAATCTTCGGATCGTTTTGTATCGACCAATCACTTGAGAAGAAATGCTCAGAACTTCCCATACTTTCATTCACTAGTCATGATCTCTTCCGGGAATAAACAAGAATTGAAAAGATACCGCAAATGGGGCATGTCAGGAAACAATCCCAACTTTCGCCCTAGCCAACGGATGATGCATCGGGTCCGTCCGACTTGGCGCACGGTCGGTTGCCACTTGACAAGCTTTGTTGGTGGGTTGGCATACCTCCGAGATGGCAGCTCGGGTTTCCGAGCTACAGTCCGGTAACATGGTGTGGCATATGGTCGCATTCTTCACTGTGAGAATGATCAAGGTGATCATCCCGGCTCCTCTAGACATCAGAATCACCCGGATGTTTACTAATCTTAGGTGTAGTTGGGCCAGAAATGCGTAGATCGAGGTAATCATGTTCAGATGCCCCTAGCATTCTAAGATCAATTTCAAACTCCACGTTGCGCTGTTGCCCTCAGCTTCGGATGCGAAATCTGTAGACAACATCATCCTCATTTTTGGTCTAACACTCGATAACATGGCTACCAATTTCAAGTCAAATCAACAAGAACTTTCTATATTCCTTGATGCCAAACTATACGTAGTCATTGCTGACCTTGCCGGACGCCCTATGTGGTCGAGCGTATCACACAGCTCAGACTAGAAACCTCTTTACCCACGCCTTAGCTCTAACTGAACCATCCCAGCGAGGCATCCTGGCTCAGTTCACTTTAATTCCAGCCAATTATTCCAAGTAAAAGACGCACGTGTTGAGATGATCGAACGAGTACCCGCTGTACAGACATTAGCCTCTTGCTCAGCAGCTAAGCCAAGTACCGTCGTGGAGACACGAGACCAAGATCTACGCGTCGACTGAACGACATCGCCTCTTTTGTGATGTGGGTGCCATCTCGTTATGCCTCGGTTTGGGATGCTCAACTACTCTCTTGTTTGAGCGAATTTGTCCGCGACCATCCATGAGGTCTAGAATGAAAGATGTAACAAGACTGGAGTCACTAAGAGCTGCTGAACAAGGTGCCATGCTTGTGAACATTGGCCTTCTACTTCGCCGGGTCAACTTGGGCGTTGATCCGCTTACGTTATGCTGGGTATTCGGTTTCGGTAACTTTGAAGACGCCGTCTTGTTGGGGGGCTCCCTTTGGGCCTACGGCGTTAACTTAGTGGATTATCCCTAGAAGAGTATTCCGTAGTTCTAACAGTGCAGTATGGAACATACAACAGCATCGGTTGACCCCACGCGGACCACATGGAAAGATGTTTGAGCCGTCTTGGCCCTCGGGGGCGGGGCTGGGACACCCGACAGCACGGCAAGCTTCTGCATCGGTGTCTAATAGGGCAAGGATGGTTGGCTTGTCGGAGACCTATCCGTCTTGGCATTTGATCCCTTTGAATGCAGTCTGATGAAGGCGTGCCTGAGCTTCCGATCCATGTGTCATCCAATGTGCCGTAGGAAGGATGCCTTCGTTTGTGGTTGTCCAGTATCTCCTGCTTCTGTCATGAATCTATTGAGCTGCCACTTCAGGAGGAGAAGCCCAGGGATGGTAGTATGAGTTTGCAGATCTTACGAGGCTTCCATGATGCCAAGTTATCGCCGAACGCTACAGTCTCGGTTATACGAGCTCATGGACATACCACACAGTGGTCTGTTCAGAAAGGGTTTGATTCCATTTGTCATTTTCAAGGGGCGGAGGGTTGTTACCCCGAGGAAAGCGTTACTATCTTGTCTTTCTGCCTTGCCATGTTCGGCTGTGTGGGTCTTTACAGGTCTGAGATGGACGCCAGAGGCGTTGGTGAGTGTCTAAATTTGGCATTACAAATGTGTGATACGCTGCTCAACAAATTGAAAACTTCTGTGGCAACCGGAGTGACAGCATTGCACCGGTTACTTGCTTCGGGATGTGTCCACGAACACGGACTGATGTAGGTGGTCCCAGGAAGCGCCTTGTGTCCATAAACGCCGCAAGATGAAGGAAGATTGCTTCATGCGAATTGTTTTATTCATTGGTTGAAGTTAACCATTGCATCCAATCAAGCCTGTGAAATTGAACTGAATCAATTGCGACTAGAAGCTCGAGACTACCAAAGTGAATTCACACAACTTCCTACTTGATGTAACAGATGTGCATCGTCAGTGTTGCGATGCCAGTTCCGGCTTTTCGGCTACTAAACTTGCTCGGCGTGCGGCCGTTGCGTCCTGACCCTTCCCCATCCTTCAGTTCCCACAATCTCAAACTGTGTTCGTGCAGGCTGTGAAAGAGTTCAAAACATGCTCTGCTGAGGCCTAAGTCTACAAGGATTCCGAATCCCCTTACAGGGCGTTCGTGGTCGTGGCAGCGCTCTGCTTGGATTGTTCGACTGGCGAGTCGGAGTTGCTAGGCGACTCAGCGGGCGAGGGCGAAGGCTCAACTGTGGACTTGGGCCTCATGAACGGCCAGTGGCCATTTTTCTCGTGGAATCTGAGAGTGACGAGCCACACCATAACGGTAATCCAGTAGACGTTGTAGGATATCACAGACCCGTAAGTGGCAGAGTTGTTCCAACCAAAAATGGCGTTCAAGAGACCCCAACCACCACCACCATTCAGCTGAGGACTGCAGCACTGGAGGGAATTAGCTCAGATCAATGCGAGCAATGCGCTCCATTGTATTGAAATTCACTCACGTTGACGTGCCAGACACTCTTGTCGACATCGTAGGAACCTGGACCGCTTCCGACCTCCGCCGCATCGCCACCAACGGCTTGGTTCCACTCCTGCGCTTCGAAGAACCAGACGGCACGAGAAAACAGGCCAGCAGCGACGATGTACAATAGACAGGTGGAGGCCACGAGAAAGATTTGGAGTTTAGACGTCGAGCCGCTCCTGTTGCGCGTAATGTCAGCTGGTGTTCGGCAACTTCCTTTACAGAAGAGCACCCAAATAGAGATGACTGACTTGTACAGCAGGTAGCTGGCGACAATGCCCACAATCAAGCCAACGATGACAGGGAGGGGAACGGAGGTCGCAGGCGCAGCGAAGGTAACGCCGGCCAAGAAGACGATAGCCTCAATGCCCTCGCGCAGAACGGTGATGAACGGAAGGATAAACATGATGTATTTCTCCTTGTTCCTCTTGAAGCGCGACTGGCCAGCAGATGTAGATGACTTTGCGGGAGCTTCCATCGCCTTTGCCAACTTGACGCGCCATTTGTCTTGTAGCTTTCCGACCCGAAGTAGGGCAACACCCATCAGAGTGATGATGATCGAAGCGAAGAGGGCAAACGCGGCTTCGTAGTAGTATTCGTGCGCCTGCCAGCTATCCTTGCCAACGCCGTAAAAGACGCCGATAATGATACCAGCAACGACTAGGCAAATCAGGAGGCCGATGGCTGTTCCCAGCCAAACCTATTGATACAATGGATGGTTTAGCGTTTCCATAAGTCCAAGAGCCAGAGAGAGCAGCGGTATTCCAGACGCGACGTACCTGTTTGCGCATCGCTTTGTAGACTTGCACATCTTGGCCACTGCCTCCCAGTGTCTGCTTGAGGAATGCCAGGAGAACAGAGACAATAATACCAGTCTCCAAGGACTCACGAAAAACAACAAGGAAGACGGGAACTGAGAACACGTTGATAGCCATCGTGGGTCGGTATCGTGGTGACTATCCGGCTGCTGCGGTTTGCGATGATGTCTGGTGGCGGAATAGGGGAACGAATGTCCCAGACTGGGCGGACGGAATCTTTATCGCGGTATGTAGATCGCCACAAGTTCCAGTCAGGAGTCAGAGATCATCGACATCATCCTTTTCTTCCGACGTCGGAATCGTAGGACAAGGGACTGTGTCGAGCAACGAGGGGTTGCATATGTAGTGGAATGGGCATGTTCTGCGTATCGTTGAAGCAAAATGGTGTGTTACTATCACGACTTGCCGAAGAAACTCAACATGTCGAAGGGACTGGGACCACAGACTGAGCTAGGGTGAGCTGGACGCGCCCCTGCAGGTGGGCATACCCTCCGAGAAACCTGCCCACTGTGTCTTATGTCTAGGAGCTGAGTGGCCACCGGCGATAACGTAGTAGCTTGGACTGTGCATGTGGTCCTTTTGCAAAGGGTCCGGACCATCTGCTGCCCGCCGCCCACACCATGGGCCCCGGTCAAGTTGTGTCGTTGCCAACCATGACGGAACAGATTTTTCTTGCAAAGATAACAGCTTCTATGTTCATGTACCCGCTACGTATAGATACATCTTGTACTTCAAATGCAGGAATGGGTCGATCAAGGCCTGGATGACCCATGGAGTTGCGTGTGTGGGTGGCCGAGAAGACTAGTGACTGGGCCGAGCGCTAAGCTTTACGCCCGATGAGCGATTATCAGATGGATTAGATGCTGGAGAACTGTGGTGTCTCTTCATCAAAGAGGAAGTTTTCTTCTTGATCATAGGATGTAATGTTACTCCATTTTCGTGCGCCTAATGTCACGAAGCCCCGCGCAAGTCTAAGGGTGATCGGACCGGTTCAGGTAGAGAGGGCAAGAAGTAGTCCGGCCTTCATCCCAGTCCTTGTACAGGTGTTTTCGAGTCGGGAAGCTGCACCCGCCACTTCGTTTGCTCTCAACCAGCTTGACAGACATAAGTTCGTCTCGTCTTTGTCTGAGCAGGATCCGACATCCCCCTCGTCTGACCGGCCATCCCTTCTTCAAACTCTTTCGGTCTATGCCGAGTCATTCTCTCCGTCTGATCCTTTGTCTTTGAAACTGGGACAACTTCTTGACGGGAATCTCGCTGGAATGGCCAAGGGATTGTTCTTGGCGCTCGCGTGCTCAGCACTGCGGCCAGTGATAGCCGCAACGATCACCCACGACTTTTCAATCGGATGGGTGCGTGCCAATCCCGACGGCGCCTTCGAGAGACCAGTCATCGGCATCAATGGCCAATGGCCAATTCCTCGTATCGACGCGAACATTGGCGACAATATCATTATCAATGCGTACAATGATCTTGGGAATCAATCAACCTCCCTCCATTTTCATGGACTCTTTATGAACGGGACTGCGCATATGGATGGTCCTTCCCAAGTTAGCCAGTGTCCTATCCCGCCGGGATCATCATTCACGTACAACTTCACGGTATGTCTCTCTCTTCCACTCTCGCAGCAACACTGGGGAACAGACTGAGCGAGATATGGAGAATTACCAACGCTGATTCCGACTTGTACAGATAACCCAGCCTGGCACTTACTGGTACCACTCTCATACTCAAAGTCAATATCCTGATGGTCTACGCGGGCCACTGATCATCCATGACCCGGAGAACCCCTACAAGGACAGGTACGATGAAGAGATTGTGTTGACGTTGTCGGATTGGTACCATGAGCAGATGCAAGTTCTCATCCCTCAATTCATGAGCAAAACCAACCCCACTGGTGCGGAGCCTGTTCCGAAGGCTGCCCTGATGAATGAGACTCAAAACCTCACCATCTCCATCCAGCCAGGAAAGACCTACTTGTTTCGCGTCATTAATATTGGCGCCTTCGCTGGTCAGTATCTTTGGTTTGAGGGACATAATATGTCCATTGTCGAGGTCGATGGAGTCTACACGAAACCATCTGAAGCAGAGATGATCTATCTGTCGGCTGCGCAGCGTTGTAGCTTTCTTCTAACCGCGAAGAACGACACAAGCCAGAACTACCCCATCATTGGTAGCATGGATACGGTAAGAGAGCCTTCACCCGACCATGAGATCAAACGTATGTCGTTGCTAACCTTTCGACGCGAACTGGCTTAGACCCTCTTTGATACTCTGCCTGACGATCTGAACTGGAACGTCACCAGCTGGCTGACTTACGACAAATCCAAGCCGCTCCCAGAGCCCGCAGTCATCGAGGGGGATTTCTCTCCGTTCGATGACATGACACTGGTTCCTCATGACGGGTTGGAGCGATTTGGCGAGCCAGACCAATCAGTCGAACTCGACGTCATTATGGATAACCTTGGTGACGGTGCCAACTACGCCTTCTTCAACAACATCAGCTATGCGCACCCCAAGGTTCCTACATTGTACACCGCTCTCACAGCTGGCGATTCTGCGGAGAACCCTCAGGTCTATGGAACTTATTCCCACAGTTTCGTGTTGAAGAAGGATGAAATCGTCCAAATCGTGGTGAATAACCTTGATTCTGGACGCCACCCCTTTCATCTGCATGGTCATCACTTCCAAGCCCTGTACCGTGGCGAGGAAGAGAGCGGCACGTTCGAGCAGTCGAATATGACGGAAAATGACTTTCCTCAAGTCCCCATGAGACGTGACACCCTCGTAATCTGGCCGGATGGGAACATCGTTCTCCGTTTCAAGGCCGATAACCCAGGTACGTTTGCCAACAACGCACTCCATTGTAGCGGAATTTTCGCACCCGAACTCCGTCTTCAACTTCTGTCGCATCCATGTTATCAACCTACATTGAAATGTTACTGATACATTTCTTGCATCAGGCGTCTGGCTATTCCACTGCCACATCGAGTGGCATGTGACTTCAGGTCTCCTTGCGACCTTCGTGGAGGCCCCGTTGGAGCTTCAGAAGACTCTCCAACTTCCTCAAAATCACATCGACGTTTGCAATGCCGGTCAAGTTCCTGTCAAAGGCAATGCCGCAGGCAATACGGCGGATCTTCTGGACTTGACCGGGCAGAACGCTCCCCCCGCGCCACTGCCAGCTGGGTACGTTGAACAATCCGTTCCAGACCATATCCAGACAATATGACACGTGCTGATCAACATAAAGATTCACCCCTCGCGGTATCGTGGCTTTCGTCTTCAGCTGCATCACAGGTCTGCTAGGCATCGTCGTCGTTTGCTGGTACGGAATGGCAGGCTCGGGAAGCAGCGTGGATCAAGCTGCTATCCAGCCTAACCAAGCGCAGATAGCAATGGGAGGCCAAGTGTCTGACGACGGTGTTGAGAAGAAGACTGCTGCTGATTCTCGATGATCTTGCTATCAGGATCGCTTGTGCACCAGAATAGGGGTTTGCCGTACAGGAGAGGAGTGTCCGTCGCGGATAACATAGTTTAATCAACATTTCTACGGCAGATAAACGATACACGGCTTTATTTCTCATCTTAGACGGCATTTGACTTACTGAAAATCAAAGAACGGCGTGGGCAGATGCAATTTTACGATGGTTAGCTGAGTGATGATCACAACCTTGCATGTTGCGTGACGAAAGGTATTGCTGCAGAGGCGCAAGCAGACATACGACTGACAGCTGTTTCAAAAGTTTTCTGTGGTTCATACTGTGAGTTGGAAGAGGACCTTCGATGCACTGATCTGTCCGTTGCAATTCCGTCTCTCCGCGGGAGCAACTCCGAAGCCGTGCAACACACCACCGAAGTCCGGGCCCGCGTGCACGGGCCTTGCGCATCCGATTTCTCCACCCGTCCGTTACCACTTGCCGGCATCACTCGGTATGCCTATCGGAGAGCCATGCCGCCGGTTTCCAGATCCTTGGCAATTCATTCGGTATTAATGTTCCGGCCAGAACAACGCCGCATGCAACAGAACCCTCATACATCTCCAGCCGGTGTCACCAACGCAAATGAAGCTGTAAAATTAGTAAATCGCGGCATCCTATGCTTGCCTGGGTTCCTTTATCTGCTCGTCATGAAATGAGACCTTTGCATGGGAGTTTTGGCGTCAAACTCGCTTTACAATGGAATGCATTGCTGTTGGGAAGGCTTGACTTGGGCGTAAGGATATCTTTGGTTTTATACGCAAGGTAAACCACCCATCGGGAGTTGGCAGGCCCTTGAGCAGGAAAGGGTTGACGGAGGTGCGAAGTTTGCGTCCACGAGAAGACCTAACCTGAGGTGATCTTGCGTATGTGAGGATGAAGAAGAAAAAGTGATTCGGTCGATATGGTCCGATAGCTTCCGAACTGCATTACCTAGCGCGACAGGGCATCTATAATGTGTATTTTGACAAAGACTGAGGTATTGCGAGGCGTATTGCATTTGTCCGTGAGCCACCTTTCATCGCCTCAACACAGCCCGGCACAACGCATCTATTAACACCAATTTCCATCTGAAATCCCTATTGCTGTCTACCTACCCACTTACTGCGCCGACTCCTTTTGCGCCACAGCCATCATGTCTAGCCTCTCGGCAGAAGCCATCATCGCATTAATTGCATTAATTGTTGCTCTACCTTCCGCTATCATTACATATGTCCAATAGGAAAACTTAGATCACCGTTCTCATCTTTCGATGGACCTTGCCTGCAAGCCAACTTTTTCCACTTTTTCCAACTTATTACTACATCCAAGTTCTGACATATTATGTCCCTAAGAACATGGGCACCAAGCCCCCCTCATGAAGATCAGCGACCACTGCCAAGTCAACTTCTTTCTAGTGCAAGGGCAGGGTAGTTCACAGTTGTCAAAGGCTCTAAATGGGAATCCGTTGCGGCTCCCGCCGCGAATTGATATGGAAGAAACATGACATTTGTCACTTGTGGGAGAAGATGGAGTACTTGGACCAAGTCACTTACATGTACGCCTCCGCCACAAAGGAATGGGACTCCGCTGCATGGCATGGGAATCTTGGAGCCGTTGGACTTTGTTTTGTGGCTGATGTACTTCTTGTATTCGAGAACGGTTGTGGTGGTGACTTGGCGAGGCTGTTAGTGCTGTGGCACTGACAGAGCAACTGAAGGCGGATATGCGCAGTTGATTCAAATGCTTGCAGAGCATGAATCGTTTTCTCTCGCAGCATGAAACAATTATTATCAACCACTGTGCTCCGATGCAGATGGACTTTCGTGATGCGGCATGGAAAAGAAACTTAATCACTTCACAGAGATTGACCAGGACCGGTCCATTCATTCCCATAAGGTCAAGTCTCTCCTATAAAGTCTTATAATGCATGCAGCAGCTGATTTGACACATTCCAACCAGGCCTCTACTTCTTCGAGAATCGGAACCAGTCATGTCGATATTTTCCCACTGACTCCCAGCCCTGTTTTCAGTTCTCTGCAATCCCTGTGATAGTATCCTCTTTGCTGTTGTTGCGCTCCTCAAGCGGTGTGACATCACTCGGCCGCCCTGCCTACCAATATGACGCTTCATACCAGGTCATGACTTTGTAGGAGTAATATGCCAATTCTGAGTCGCACCTACAGCTAACAGGTGCACACGCCATGACGCTGCCATTTCAGCAGTTCAACGAGGAGCAAGCAGTGAAGCTAGCTGAGTTACGAGCACAAGATCGTTGCCGTTCAAGCATGGAATTAGCTTAAAAAGCCACTCTATGTCTGTTAGCGACCTGTTGACATGGGGGTTCACACTCTGGACTTTGTGAGCGACGGACAGGAGGGAGACGAGGTGAGAATTTGGTGTTGGGACATCCTCGACACATATTAGTAGAGGAAGACGGAGACGGATCAAACAATCAATGTCATGTCAAGCGCGTGCGCATGTGCTTCATCAAGCTGACTGGAGAATATAAGTAAGATCCAAGAGACGACGAAACATGCGACCCAAAAGTGCACGAACACAGGTTACCCTGCGCTTCTGGTGGTGGCTCAGGGCATAAGTCTCACCAAAGCACCTGCGTCCATTGGCCGTTTTTCGTAAGGCGGCCACGCTATTTAAATGTACGAAAGGTGTAGGCGATGATTTGATCAGGGCACCTTAAGGCAACCTAGTTGCAAGTCATTTTCAGCTGCCCCACTAGAACATTATATGGCGACAACTTGCTCATAGGCTCATAGCCTTGAGAAAAAATGAGTCGTCCGCGAACCACCCAAATGGGGATAATTCGACTGCTTTCCCACCCCAAAGTGTCTGTCTTTCAACATGCTCAACCACGACCCAAGGTGCTTACTCATCAAAGACTCAGTACACAATACTACTCCCAAACACGTAATCAGCTTCCATCACGTGCCTAAGATACCTACTCTTCGCCATGTCCAACCCGTCGACAGAAGCCATAATTGCGCTGGTAGCATTAGTCGTTGCTATACCCCCTGCTATCCTTGCATTCGTACAGTGGAGAAGGTCTGTCTGTCGTCAGCGCACTGTAATGCAGCTTCCATGTTAGTAAAAAAATACCTTCTATTATCGACAACATCGATGCACCGCTTTTGTATACAGTGCGCCAAACAGCGGGCACGGAACAAATTCACTGACCTCACGTCTAGACCACTCGGAGCCCAGCCCCCTCCAACGCTTCGACCATCAGTACGACCAAGTTGATGTGCTGCTCATAAGAGCCCAGCGCCGTTGGAATTCGAGCAACTGCACATTCGACCAAGATCTCTCTCGACTTGAGCCGCATTACCCCACTTGACAAGAGCTTGTCAAGTTGCCGGATAGAAAGGTGGATGAAGAGACTGACACTCTATACATGTACGTCTTATGCTGCTAGCTGTCACACATAATACCCTAACATTTCTCACAGTACATTCAACTGTCTTTGCCTTTTGGCTCACTGACTCGGTTCATATACGGTGCTGTGTACGGCACATTTATGTTGGTTGAATCAGTGGCGTGGTTTTGCTCTGCAGCCTACCTTAGCAGAACTCTTTCTCGTATAGAAGATGGAAAGATACATAAGTTCAAGCAAAAGTGCAGCCATAAAGTACGAAGCGTGGGTAAGGATGTTATATAATTTGAATATATCTATAGTTTCTTAAAGATGATATTCCTTTAGCTTAATGAATAGAGAGATACATTGCACTATAAAGTTAGTCCTCATTAGCACAAATATCCCCTGATTCTGATGTGATAATACATGCGTTCAGGCGGGGTCCTTCACCTAGGTACCACACACATATCGTCGTCTGCCGCGTCTTGAACCTCCGCTCAAGCTGCCTTGAGAGACCACACGGATTTTCAAGTTTGCCAGTGATTTCTGACCAAGCAGCGCGAGGTGGTTTACAACGGAACGGCGCCCGCATTGAAACAGCAGATGTTGATTCGCTGGCTGTAAGGCAACCCGGTGATGCTCAGGGCCGCATGCGCAATTCGCATGGCCTGGAGCTGATGATTCGCTCCTCTTAACTCAATCTTATGCATGTGATCTCATGTTGTATTCCAGTATTTTGAAGTCATCATCCAGGCCGGGCGGCTTTTGTGGACCTGTCCAGATATACCCGTTTCTGTTTGGCTGCAATAATCGCACTGCCTCGTTCTTGGCACCACATGTGGGAGATCCAAACTCTGAGAGAGAAGTCCCTGTTGGTCACTACAGCAGTTGGTCCCTTACCTAGTTAGTTGCCGGGTTTCCATTCACGCAATCTTCCATATTTTTCTTCTGCTCAGTATGGGTGGGTTGAAACCGCTCTGGTCTTCGACGAAACGAACTTCTACCCAACCATTCCCTCAAAATACCTTTTTATACGTCGCACGTTCCCCGCTGCTTTCCCACCAAAACCTCACGCACCCTACACGAAGTGATCGCCTGTAAGCTCAAGTACTTCCGACCATGCCCAACTTATCCATAGAGGCCATTATCGCCCTGGTTGCATTGGTCTTTGCCGTCCCCCCCACCGTCTTCGCATTTGTCCAATGGAGGAAAGCCGCCTATTGTCAGGATGATCCTGCAATACAGCTCCCATGTCAGTCTACCTCCTTAGCACACTTCATTGCCTACTCTGTACACCTACATCAGGCATGTGTGGTGTACAGGTACTTTGGATATGGGACACAGAGCTTACCTACTCGCCATATCTCCAGACCATTCAAAGCTCACCAGCTTTCCGCGTTTCGAACACCAGTATCAAGTCGACCTGCTCTTAGTAAGAGCCCATGGTCGTTGGCGTTCAAGTAGCACGACAGACCAGAATATTGCCCGACTTGCTCCACCTTATCCTACTTGACACCAGTTTGTCAAGTGGTATGGCCAACGGAAATCTTTTGTATATGTACGTTCTCATTGCTATCAGCTGTAAAGGATAGTGGGCTAATCTCTGTCACAGTACATTCAATTGTGTTTGCGTTTTGATTCGCTGCAGTGTGAGCGAAATCCCTGTCTGTATATGTGGATGAACAGACAATGTGCTTAGAGGAATGCATAGTCACGGAGTATGGAGTTTGGGTTTGGAAGTTATAATATTGAAGGTTTCCTCGTCATACATGTCTGCTGGCGTTGTATATAGATGCATCTCGCCATGAATTTTATGCTCGTTGCCAGTCCCTCCAATGCCAATATAATGTTATGTGTGCACGCGTTGAGGCGGAGTTCCTGCTCTTGACGCATACCTGTCGTCCTCTTCCACCTCTCAAACCTCCACCCCTCCAAGTAACTCATCAAAAACCTCGAAATTCCCCTCATTCTTCCGATCATAAACAGCAAACCAGACCTCCCTCCACCACCCGCCCGAAAACTCCGCCTCCCCCAGCACCTCAAGCCAACACCTCGCAACCTCCTCCGGCGGATTCCTAAACGCCCCGCAGCCCAACGCGCCAAGCACCAGCAACCCGTGCCCCCTCGCCGCCGCCATCCTTAGACACAGCCTCATCTTATCCATCGTCAGGACCCGATCGTTCGGCCTCGCGAACTCGTACACCTCCTCCGTGGCCCCCGCCGCCGTCGCGACCTTCACCTTCCTCACCTCCGGCCTCCGGATCGCCGCGATGCTGAGCACGCTGACCACGGGCAAATCGGCGTAGGCCGTGCCCGGCACGAGGAGCTTGTGCCCGCCGCCCATGTCGCCGCGGATGACCACCACGTCAGGGGTGTACAGCCCCATGCGGCGCCGGAAGGGGTAGTACCGCTTGTGCAGGCTGAGGTAGAGGGAGGAGCGGTAGCACATGGCCTCCTCCTGGGCGACGGCGCCCTTGAGCCAGCCGCCGCCGGCGACGACGTCGGAGGCCATGTTCAGCACGGCCACGCGGCCGCCGTCGGGCCGTTCCGCGGCGAGCTCGATGGCCGCGTTGAAGGTGTCCTCGTTGACGATCTTGATCTTGGGGCGTTTGTGGCCCGGGCACGCTGAGGATTTGAGGGGTGGGAGTTCGGAGAGGTGCAGCGATTCTGATTTTGTCGCGTCCAGGTGCGGGAGGTTGGGCAGGATCTTGGGGAGCTCGGCGCGGGTTTCGTCTGAGACGGCGGCGAGGGAGGGGTTTGAGCGGTCGCCTCCGCGGTGAGAGCCGCGGGATGATGTGGTGGCCTGCGATGATGAACCGGCCGTGCTGGTGTCATTGCTATTGGTGGTCTTAGAGAAGTAGGATGATTGAGACGGTGTTGAGGATGAGGCCTGCTGGGGGCGTTGGCCCTGAGGTTGGCGAGGTCGGCTGCCGCCGCCTGAGAACGCATAATCGAACAGGCTTGTCTGGCGCGACATCGCGATTGATGGTGATGATGTAGAGCAGATGGTTGTTGAAGGTTCGGTGCGGCAGACGTTGGCTTAATGGCTTGGACTGACGGCTGCCTGGAGCCAACGAGATTCGCCGCGGAGGCAACGGCGCAGTGGGGTAGCGAGCCGGTCTACCGGTGCGTCGTGACTCTTCATGCACGAACGAAGAATAGTGAACCCCCAAATCCTCCGGTGATGGAATGGAGTTCGAACCGAGTCTCGGCAAAGATCGTCGTTCCGAGGTGGTTGACGGTGAGAATAAGGTTAAGATGGCAGGCAGGGCCCGGGATGCGATGGGGAACCATGGCGCCGGGGTGACTCCAGTCGCAGCGCACCCCAATTAGCGCGCTGCGCTACCGTTATGGCTCACGTGTCGAGGCGCGACAAATCGCGTCTGGTGACATAGGTAATGAGAGGGGTATCATGTCGGAATTTTGTCTATCGAGGTTTTTACATAAGGTATTGTTACAACGTCATACAGCTCATTGTGGCCAGGTGATCTCCTCAAGCCTTCGTCTTAATAGCGCCCTCGGGAATGGCATCTCCCGCCTCAAACTTGCGAGGGATCAGGCCCTCAGCCATGTTAATCGCACCTTCCATATCAGTCTTGTTAAAGAGGAACAGGCCCTGGATGGCAGCGGTGCTCGTGAACCTGTTCGCGGCCTCGCCCTCGCCATTGCCAAACAGGCCCAGTTCGTCAAGTCTGTTCAAGAAACGCTCACGACCAGACCCATCCGTATCGACGTCGCCGTAGAAGCGATCCCACATCTGGCCGGCTTGGTACCTCGTCGCCTCACCGATGCGCATCATCATGTCGACGCGACCGGGGCGGATCAGCGCGGGGTCGAGGCGCTCGATGTGGTTCGTCGTGAGGAAGGCAATGCGCTCCTCGCCTGCCGCAAGACCGTCGAGGGCATTCAGAAGACCCGAGAAGGTGACGTTGGCGCCGCTGTAGCCATCCCCGTCGCGTTGGCGACGGTTGATAAAGGCTGCGTCGGCATCCTCGAGCAGAAGTAGGCTCCGTTTGGGCAGTTTCGTCAGGAGGTACGCCAGCTTGTCATCCGTCATGCCCATTTCGCTGAGGTTGATCATGGCCACGCTATAGTCCAGCTCTCCGGCCAGCGACTGGATGAAGGAACTCTTTCCACTGCCGGGAGGCCCGAAGAGAAGATAGCCTCGACGGTACGGAATACCGCGGTCGACGTACCACTGCTGCTGATCCAAGAACTCCCGAACGTCGCCGACAATGCTTTCCTTAACGCCCTCGTCCAGTATCACCGAGCCCAGGGGCCGCTTCTTCCGAGGATCGCCGAGCGGCGCCCACTCCATGCCCCTCGCAGAGTACACGATCGTCTTGCCCTCGTTCGCCTTGGCCGCGAGCGCGTGCGCCTCCCCGAACACCTCCTCGAAGACGTGCCGATGCGCCCAGAGGGTCGTAAGCTGCAGGATCTCGTGCGGCTCGCCGGTGTTCATGTTGGCAGTGTTGTGCTTCTCGCGGTTGACCGCGATGTAGGCATTCTTGTGCTTGACGATGTGCCTCCCGTATCCCGGCTGCAGGAAGAAGTGCGCGTTCGTGGGGCCCGATGCGCCGCGGCTCGTCGTGGCCGTCGTCGAGACGGAGAGGTCGTGGATGCGGGTGATGCGCGAGGCCAGGAACCCGGCGCTCTCGCGGGGCTGCGACAGCCATGCGAGAACCCACGGGTACGCCGGGTCCTGCTTGCTGATCTCGACGTTTACGAGGAGGCTGCGGCGGGCTGCGCCGGCGGCGACGATGATGCCCTTGCGGGCTTGGGCCGCAGCGAGGCCCAAGCCAGCGATCCCGATGCCGCCAGCGAAGATGGGGTTGCTCAAGAGGGCATCGAGGTTGAGGAAGGAGGTCGAGGCGGTCGCGGTCGCAGTTGCCGCGCTAGGGTCGGGAGAGCTCATCGCGGGCGTCGGTGGTGATGACGGCACTATTGAGCTGGCATGGAGTTTTTCGGGTTTTGGAGGATGGAACATGAATTTTGGGGAGCTCTCGCAGGGGTGACCCTTGCCAGCTGTCGGCCACCTTAAGTACCTACCGTAGACAGGCCAAAAGGGTTGCGGCATTATACACTTCTCTACGGTTATTATTCGTGGTCGAATACTTGAGCGATGATAACGGATTATGAGGGCAATACTAGAGATACCAGCAACAAGGACATACATAGAGGTAGCGAGGAGTGATTGCAGCGAAATTGACCGTGGATGACTGCATTGCGCGGTGTATTGCACGGTACCTTCAAGTTCCCAGACGCAGTCCAGAGATTCCGGGGCAGTTCCCATCGATTGAGGTCCCCCACCTTCCGCCGGCTCCGCTGCTCCTCCTCGGGCCCTGCCACAGTGGTGCTCCTTCCAGCTTCAATTCTTCTTCTATCAACATTTCTAACGATTCCTACCGTCTAAAATCATCTTCACATCTCTCCAAGGCAATCGAAATCGCTTTCTCTCCTTAACACGTCGCAAGACGTCTGAAAGACAATCGACATGCTTCGATCAGAGGTCACTTGCTTTCTGCCAGCTACCTGGACCGGCGCGAGCTCATCGACGGATTGTACCACACGCCATTCCGATGCGAAGAATCGACCATCAGTGACTGAAGATTTGACCCGAACACTCAGATCACGTCTCTGAGACTCTGCGGTCTGTCTCTCAGAGAACACTGCGTTAGTACTGTCTCTAACGATGGCGTTGGACTGGCCGGCGGACCCAACATTACCGGATAGTTGATCTACACGGCGGAAGATGGGAATTGTTTCTCATAACCTCGTCTGGCGTCATCTTTCACGACTCGACTGGTCAAAGAACGGTGTTATGGCTATCTCAGATCCGCGCGGGTGGCTTACGGCTACAAAAAGCCAGCAGCGATGTGCGCCTTAGTATGCCATCTAGTTCATCATCGCGCGCAGGTATGATTTAAAGCAGCCGAACCAAGCTAGTCCACATCGACTAACTGTATTCCGTAGCATTAGCTGGCAGAGGTCTTAAGGACTGTACTCCGTGTTGACATCTCTCCCATCGTCATTGCAGTCTTGTAACGTTGGGGCACTGCTTCGAGTTTCAATGGCAGCTTTCGCAACAACACGATCCGCTCGTGGAGGTGCGGATCAAGCATCCAACCAAGACGGAATACCAGAAGAATCCGAAACACAGAACCACCGAGCAGTCAACCATTCGAGTCGCTCTGGAGATGCCGGTGATGTCGAGAAGTCCCTCCCCTCGCTGGACTGGGAGACCGACAGCAGCAACCCCATGAACTGGCCCTTACGATTCAAAATACGACAGATAATCATGCTGTCGTCGGCTGCCTTCACTGCGTAAGTCTACAAGCCTTCAATTCATATGATCCGAGTGCTGATGTTGTGACAGATCTGTCGGGACTTCGATCATCAGTCCCGCTCACACCCAACTCATGGAGGAGTTCAACGTAACCATGACCCAGGCCATCCTGCCGTTGTCTATGTACGTATTTGCTCTAGGATTAGGCCCAATCGTCGGCGGTCCCCTCTCAGAGACGGTCGGTAGACATCCAGTCTATCTTGGGAGCCTTCCTCTTGGTGGACTTTTCACACTCGGCGCAGGTTTCTGTCACAACTTCGCCGGTATCTGCATCCTGCGCTTTCTCGCGGGGTTTTGCCTGTCGCCCAGTCTGGCCATCGGAACCGGCACCATCAATGAGACATACCAACCATCCAAGCGTGCTCTTCCTTCAACTCTGTACATCCTCATGCCCTTTCTCGGCCCAGGTCTCGGGTAGGTGAACAAGTCCTCCTATGAAGGTTTCAAATGCTGACCCACAGAAGCCCTGTAATAGGCTCTTTCGTCGTAAACCGCAAAGGCTGGCGATGGACGCAGTGGACTTTGCTGTTCTTCATCATCGTATCCATGATTGCGACAGTATTCGCGAAGGAGAGCTATCACCCAGTCCTCAAACGTCGCCGCGCAAAGCAGTTAGACATCGATATCTATCCGCTGCCATCGGCTAGCTCTCGAGCCCATAGCTTTGTGACAACAGCCCTCATACGCCCTGTGTGGATGTTGTTTACGGAGCCCATCGTCACCTTCATCTGCCTCTACGTCGCCTGCGAGTTCGCGACGCTCTTCTCGTTCTTCGCCGCTCTGCCCTACGTCTTCGAAGTGGTATATGGTTTCGGCATAGAGCAACAGGGCCTGGTCTTCATCTCGATTGTCGTAGGCTGTGTTCTGGGCACTCTGACGATCCTCGCTTGCAACTTCCTACTCTACCTTCCCGAGACTAAAAAGCACCGGCCGCATCGCACGCCGCCGGAGTATCGTCTTTATCCCGCCATGATTGGCAGTATCGGGCTACCCTTAGGACTCTTTTGGTTCGGATGGACGGCGCGGGAGGACATATCATGGGCCAGTCCCGTCGTCGCCGTCGTTCCATTTGCATGGGGCAACATTTGCCTGTTCGTCAGCACCATACAGTACCTCGTGGACACGTACAAAAAAACGACGGTCGCCAGTGCGGCAAGTGCGAACAGCCTGGCAAGATACAGTCTCGCGGGCGCGTTCCCGCTATTCATTGTCCAGAGTAAGTGCCAACTCCACGGAAGTTTTGCGACAGCAGTGACTGACTGCATCAGTGTACGAGAATTTGGGGATCGGCTGGGCGAGTAGTCTCCTAGGCTTCATCGCAGTGGCATTGATGCCGGTACCTTGGGTACTCTTCAACTTCGGGCGACGCATCAGACAGAAGAGCAGATGCAATACGGTGACATTCTAAGCAGGGTTCGGAGACCCTTGACGATGCATTGCCGGACTCTTCAGAGGCGGCGGCGCTAGCAGGCCACCCACATGCAGCCATGTCATCATGACTCGAAGTGGACGGCACCGGGTGTCTACCAGCGATCGAATACACGCAAGAAGTGAAGAGAAATGACAACGACAGGAATGATAGAGCCATCGAAGATAACCAATGGAGACTGGAGGGAAATAATGAAGATTGAACGTTTTAATGCTGTAACGCTGGGAGACGTCAACCGGTCGAAACACTGACAGCTCGCAAAGATCAGCGGCGTGGGGGGCTCTGGGGAAACATCCCGATCGCAACGCCCCGATGTAACTGGATCGTCCCGAACATGGGGGTGTGGGTGTGGCCAGAATTGGCATGGTTCATGGTCCCTCGCACAACTGAGCCGCGCAGCTGCGTTTCCGACGTAAAACCAGGATTGGTGACATAGAAGAGGGGTGTGTTGTATCGATCTTCCGAGGGGAGAATCGAAATCCGCGGTGTTTTATTCGTCTCAAACGCGGGAACTACTGCGGGCTGGATGATGAGACGTGAGACGCGCATGTGTGAGGTCCTGCGGTGGTGTGAGGGCTGTGCCGAATTTCACTTTCTGGGCATTGCTGGGCGAACAATTTACCAAGACACCAAGAGGGAAACAGCGCATTGTGAAATTGAGCTAGTGACACAGGATAGGTGAGGATGAGATGAGTGCTTCTTGGTGTTTTCTTGGCTTCTCCGGACCCTTTTTTTTCTCCCTCCTCTTTACCTTTCAAGGGAGAACGGGAGGGAGAGAAGAAATACGAAACGGCATGCACATTGCCGACAGCGGGAGTCAGTGGCGTGGCACTTGGAACCAGCTTGGCGCCACGCTCCCCAATAAGTCCATGTTTCCTGTCCGTTCCCTTTTTTACTTTTTATTTGCTTTTCGTCTTATCTTGGGATCGCACAGAGGCGGGCGTGCCTAGTAAGCCCAATTTCCTTCAGGGGATTCTTCTTCGCTTCTTGTTCTCTTCTTCACCATCAACGACTGGCGACGATGTCGTTGTCAACTCGGCGATAGCCTCATCTATCAATTCGCTGTGCCTCAACATCTTTAACGCCGCAAAACGACCCTCTCTCCCTTGGCAGAGCGACCCCGATTCTTTGCCAATCTCTCCTTCCCGAGACACATACCTCTGAGATTCGGATTAGGTTCCCGCAAACCAACGAACTCCTGCCCGCCCGGAGCTTCTTCACTTCCTCGTCCTCTCACAGGGCGTCTTATTTGTCTCTGCGCTAGCCTCTGCATACACTCCCGACACTCACTTTCCCGCGAACACCACCGGGAAATAACCACCACGGCCTCTACCTCATGACAACCTCACCACACAACCGCCCCCATCACCACGGCCCCGTCAACCAGGGACCGGCACGGCCATGATCCTCCCTTCAGCTCGCCTCCGACGCACAGTCGTCCTCCTCTTCTTCTCCTTCCTCATCGGCAACGCCCTGCTCTTCCTCATCCTGCCCTACGACAACCCGCTCGTGCTCGCGCTACGCTTCAACGTCTCCGGCCTCAAGAACTGGCTGCGCGGCGACGGTATCGAGAAGGACGCCTGGCTGTACGAGCCCGCGCGGTACCCGATCGACTTCCGAACCGACGTGGGACTCCTCATCAAGACGGGCTACGGGACCCGCCACCGGCTCGCGGCGCAGCTCGAGGCCCTTGAACTAACACCAGAAGACTCCGATGCGTTTTTGGTCGTCGCCGACTGGACCCCGCGCGGGAACGGCACCCTCGCCGGGGTGAAGGTTCACGATGCGGTCGGCGGCGTCATGGCCATGCCCGAGATGCGGAAACACCACGCCGCGCCCAAGTTCAAGGATTACCTCGCCCTCAAAGACGCCGTCGAAAAGGGCGACGAGACCAAGGCCGAAGAGGCGGGGCGGGGTTTCGGGTGGGATCTCGATGCGCTCAAGGTACGTTCCCCCTGTTATTCACCGGCCTGCCCCGCGTGTTCGTGAGCGACCGAACCGAACCGCCAAACTGATTCGCGTCGGACAGTTCATCTGGGGTCTGGAGTACGTCTACGACAACCTCCCGCGCAAGAAGTGGTACGTCATCCTCGACGACGACACCTACATCGTCAAGCCCAGCCTGCGGCTCCTCCTCGCGCACTGGGACCCCGACGCGCCGCAGTACATCGGCAACGCGGTGGGCGACTTCAAGGGCCGCTTCGCGCACGGGGGCTCGTCGGTGGTGATCTCGCACGAGGCCGCGGCGCGGCTGCTCTCCCGCCGGGACGTGCTCGCGGCGGCGCAGGAGAGCTCGCTGGCGGAGACGTGGGGCGACAGGCTGGTTGCGACGGCGTTCCAGAAGGTGGGCGTCTACCTGGACGAGCGGTACAGCCACTTCTTCAACGGGGAGCGGCCGGGCATCTCGAAAATCATGGCGGACCGGTTCTGCTCGCCGCTGGTGTCGTTCCACGGCGTGGCGGACCCGCGCGAGATGAGGGCCATCGGGAGGGCGTTTCGGGATTCCAAGAGTCCTGTTTTCTGGGGCCAGCTGTGGGAGATTTACGACGCGCCGACGGTGGGGGGGTTCAAGAGGGCGCCCGTCCGATGGGGGAGGGACTTTGTGGGGAGGACGGACGAGAGGTCTGATGTCGTTGCCGGGGTCGGCGATGCGGAGGCGTGTTTGGAGGTCTGCGAGAGCTTGAAGAAGAAGTGTCTTGCGTGGACGTGGGTGGAGGAGACGGGCGAGTGCCGGACCAGTCCGTGGATGATTCTGGGGGAGAATGCACCAGGGTACTACTCGGGTGTGAATCGTTGGGAGTTTGAGAGATTACAAAATACGTGCTGAGAGGAGATGGCATGAGTTGGACGACTGTGACGATACCCAGGATCTACGAAGAGAAAAACCGCAAAAGGGAGGGGGCTAGATTTCGGTGTAATTGTAGAAAATAAGTGTAATACGAAACTAACACCTCCTTCCCATATGTTCCACATCTGAGCTTTCGAGTTCTAGAATTATATCATCCCCGGATCGGCATGCGGACCTCGTATATCTGAATCTCACCGGCACCGGCACTCCCCCGTGGGGAAGAAGCCTCACCGAGACCGAGATACGCACACCGAAGCCGGGGTGCAGCTCGGGCCCGACCGAGGACCGAGCTGTCAAAAGTCCGCAGTGCCGCCCGTCGTCCGAAGGCCTGAAACGGAAGCTGCTCATGCGGGAGGAGGCAACACGTGGCACCAGGTGGCCTCCCAACAGTCAGGTCGGTGGCTGACAAAGCACCGTCGGTCCAGTCAGCGGCGGTTCCCCCGTCCGATGGGCGCCGTCAGTGTCGATGACGATGACGTCTCCGTCGTCCCAAAAGGAGGGACCTGGGAGGCACTGGACCGCGCACGCAGCACCGCCGCACAGCCACCGGAATTGACGCCCCCAATGGCATCTGTGTATTCGTATCGGGACCTGTTTTGTTCTCTCGCCTTCTTCAGATTGGGTATTCGTTAACTTGACGTCAATGCCCCCCTCCGTCGACTTTTTCTTCTCTCTCTCTCTTCAATTGCATCACCTGCTGCTAATTTCCCCCTGGACCTCTTGGCTTCATCAATCTCCCATTCCACAATAAACCATTCCACCTCCTCCATCACCCGGACAACACGCATTCCTCTTACTCGGCGGTACCTTACAGCGCCGACGACGCAGTCCCACCGTACACCTCGTCCGGTCCCTAGCAGCGCTGAAAAAGCAGCTCCGACCCCTGCCCTGAGCCTTGTTGAGAGCGAAAATCGCCCCGCCAAAACTCTACCTTACCTTACCAACAGCAACAGCAGCCAAGCTAAGGACAGGCCCTGGCGACATCCCACTTTGGCTCATAAAGGGCACAAGACAATCCGACGCCGCACCCCGCCTGCCCTCGTGCTTCCCCCGATCTTGTACCTCTACAAACCCGAGATAGTCAACCGACCGAAAGACATCTCACGACGAAAAAAGTCACCATACAAACATAAACCATTCCGAACACAGACTACCACACGACAATGGCGACCTCAACACAGGCTCAGGCCCAGGCCAACCAGGGCAGCTGGGGAGCTTTCCTCAAGGTACCGTCCGGCCATCAACCCCCAGCCCAACATCGCGACAGAGAGTACGCGTACTAACCACCACTTTTCAGTCCATCGCCTCCTTCAACGGCGACCTCTCCTCCCTGACCGCGCCGCCCTTCATCCTCTCCTCGACCTCCCTGACGGAGTTCTCCTCCTACTGGTGCGAGCACCCCTCCATCTTCGCCGCCCCCGCCAAGGAGCCCGACGCCGCCAAGCGCGCCATGCTCGTCACCAAGTGGTTCATCACCACCCTCAAGCAACAATACGCATCCCGCTCCGAGCAGTACGGCAACGAGAAGAAGCCCCTGAACCCCTTCCTCGGCGAGCTCTTCCTCGGCAAGTGGGACGACGAGGCCGGCGTCACGGAGCTCATCAGCGAGCAGGTCAGGTAAGAACAGACACCAGCCGTGAGAACCACATCGGACGAAGTTCACTGACTCTTCCCGAACAGCCACCACCCCCCGGCAACGGCCTACTCGATCACGAACCTCCCCTCCGGCGTCCACCTCGAGGGCTACAACGCCCAAAAGGCCACCTTCTCCCGCACGATCAACATCAAGCAGATCGGTCACGCCGTCCTGACCGTGCCCTCCCCCGAGGCCGGCAAGAAGGAGACGTACCTCATCACCCTCCCCGCCCTGCACATCGAGGGCCTCATCTTCGGCGCCCCCTTCATCGAGCTCGAGGGCACCTCCTTCATCACCTCCTCCACCGGCTTCACCTCCAAGATCGACTACTCCGGCAAGGGCTGGCTCTCGGGCAAGAAGAACTCCGTCATCGCCTCCGTCTACCCCACCGGCAAGGAGAAGGACGTCGCCTACAACATCACCGGCGTCTGGACGAAGTCCTTCGAGATCCACCAGGGCGCCGCCAAACACAACTCCTCAAAGACCCTCCTCGAGACCTACGACGCCGCCGAGCACCCCACCTCCAAGCTCGTCGTCGCGCCCATCGACAAGCAGCACCCCCTCGAGTCCCGCCGCGCCTGGAAGGGCGTCGCCGACGGCATCGCGAAGGGCGACATGGACGCCGTCTCCCGCGAGAAGAGCGCCATCGAGAAGGCCCAGCGCGAGCTCCGCGCCAAGGAGAAGGCCGAGGGCCGCGCCTGGGAGAGGCGCTACTTCACAGACCGCCAGGGCGCCGGCGACGACGAGGTCCTCAAGGCCCTCGGCGACGTCGTCGGCCTGCCCCTCACCGGCGACGCCGACAAGACGGGCGGCCTGTGGCGCTTCGACGCCGAGAAGGCCGACAAGGTCCGCAGCCAGGCCGCGCTGAGCCCGGAGGACCAGGCCAAGATCGCGGGGGAGATTCTCGGGCAGTAAGTTAGATGATGGTGGCGGGGGTTGATACAAAAACTACGTAGGCTGGGTGGGATCTAATGAACGAGGGAACGACGAAATTCTATACAATGATGGATCGAGAGGCGGGGAGAGCGGTTCCGAGGGGGGCTTGTTTTGGCTGGCATTAGGAAACGGGAATGGAGGACCCTGTAGAAGCTCAATAGCATGTTGGCGCTCGGAGTTGGTGTCGGCATGCACCGTGTACACGCGGTAAACAACTAATCGAACGGAATATATGACTGCCTTACCATGCCTGAAATCGCAAACACGTCATTCTGAACACATGGTTATTGAATGCGTTGCTTTTTATTCCAACAACGGTTTCCTATGTAATCTTCTGCATTGCGCAGTCCGACACTCTACCTACACCTGCATCCTTCCTCCTCTACAATCGGTTACACTGAACGCTTCTTCGACGCTTCTATTGCTTCAACGCATCCCTCCAACAATGCTTTGGAATTCCAACAGATACCCAAAAACGGATGAATGCTAGAAAAATGATGATACGCCTGACCGATGCACTTTTTTGTTGTGTTCCCTTCTGATGCCTTGCAACAGCAGCAGCATATGTCCAATGAAGTTACTATGTTCACACGGGGAAATAAAGGGGTGGGATTTTCGTGTGTACGTTTGTGTGGTTCATCGCCAGAAAGTCGACCTCCTCGACATCATCGTCGTGCAGAGCCGTAGCGGGTCGTACTCGGGCGGCAACGTCCCGCGCTGGGAGGGGACGGGGACGGGGACGTCGCCGGCCTCGATCTACGGGCTGTCCCTTTCGAGTTCGTAGAAGAGTAGATACACCTCCCGGCGCAGGTCCAAGACGTCGCTGGTCTTGGCCTCGCGGACCTTCTCGTCGCTGATGCGCCACCAGCGGTCGGTCGCCTGCTTCTTCCGCTTGTGCACGGGTGGGCGGGGCGCGACGGCCATGGGCGTGGACCGCGGAGGGCTCGATCCCGGGGTGCTGTTGCCGTTGACGCGCTGGGAGATCTTGGAGACGGTGCTCTTGGCCGAGGCGGTGAGTGACTTGACGGATCGGATGCTGCCTGAATCGGGTTCTTTCTGCCTGTCGCGTGGCGCCGAGGTCGTGCTGAGGCGCTTCTTGATGCGGTCTCTTGGCGAGCCGTTGGAAGAGGAAGACAGAGACGGGGTGGACGAGTTGGTTTCCGAGCTCGGCGTGAGCAGATCTGGTGTTGACACGGCAGGGCTGGCTCCGAGTTGCGGCGTCGAGGGCTGAGGCGTCGCTGCGGGGCTGGCCGTCTTGCTGTAGATGCCCGAGGGCTGGAATGTGTTTTGATTCGAGTACGGTGCGTAGGTGTTCTGGCGCCGGAACGATTCGTAGTGTCCACTGTGGTGGCTTCCCTTGTGCGTCACCAGACCTAGCAGCTTATAGTTTCTGCGATCGCGAAGACCACCTAATGGCAAGCGCTCTGGGAACGCAACCTTGGCCGAGTTCTTCGTCGAAGTCGTGTCGTAGATGGAGCGGGAGAGGTGGACGGCGAGAATGCGGGGGAAAGACGTCAGGCGAGTCGATCGTGCGATCCTGCGCTTCGGTGCTGTGCTGATGTCGGGGAGTAAAATGTCGTCGGGGACGTGCTCGGGATCGCCGTCGATGGCCACCCGCAATTTTCGAATTGCTTCTTCCAACGCTTGCTTTTCGCTCTCGTTCTTGGCCTTTGCCAGATCCTTCTTCAGTGACTCTTCTCCGTGAATCAGTCTACACCTCTCGCACTTGAAATCGTCAATCATTTCCGTCTTGAAGATTTCGTCAAAGCAGGCGCTTAAGGTCGTGGAGCTGGTCTGGGGGACGTTCAGGGTCAGCATGTAGAACGTCTCCTCCCTCGGCTTCGTCTTGTAGCCGCAGGTCTGGCATTCCGACTGCGACTCGTATCTTCCCTCCATGGGGAAACCTTCGTCCTCGTCTGCGGAAATGTGGATTCCATTGGTCTGGATTTTGGGCACGGTGGGTGTAGGCAATGCGGAGGTGGACTCGTCACTGTGCCCGTTGGTCAGGTTGAGATTTTCGAGCTTCTGTTGGACGGCATCCCCGTTGGGTTCGCCGTTAACGGATGCCCCGGCCGAGGCGGCTAGTCGCGCGTGTTCTCGGGCTCTCTCTCCAGCGTGGTACTCGTCCTTGAGTCTCTCGGCCACTATTTGGAGAAACTCCTGCGCATCCTGCTGCTGCCGCGAAATGCGCTGTCTGAACGCCGTCTCCAAAACCCGCACGAAGTCGATGGCAGAGATGGACTTTTTGTAAATGGGCCGCTCGTTCAGCGAGTCAAGCATGTCCTTCAAACCTTGTGTGACCAGGCCGCGCTGCATGCCCTCAATCTTCCAGTCGGGCCAGTTCTTGCCCGGGGGCTGAACCAATTGGGAGTAGACGCCGTCATCGTCGATATTTCGGCGGTGCGTCTCGCGGATGAGGTATATACGAAGCTCGCCCAGGCCGGCGAGAGCCTGTAGGGTCGAGTTTATGAAGCAGTCGTTGGCGGCATTGCGCAGACCCACGACGCCCTTCCTGCGCGAGGACGAGGTGCTAGTCTCGTCAATTGTGAAAGTGGGCGCAAAAACATAGACGAGGGCGATGGCGGCGAGGGATGCGCCAGCAGCGTAGGAAATGGTCGTGAGGTTTTTGTCGGGCATGTCTGGAGTCGGGATGTTCGGGATAAGCTGGGAGGACGGGGTAGGATTCGGGGAGATGCGCGGGAGTGCGCGACGATCAGGATGTTGCAACGCCTATGGAAAGTCAGATAGCCGGCCTTTGACAACAGAAGTCTCGTTGGACGTGTTTGTTGGGTTACAATTCCGTCTCGACAGCGCCGAGGCACGCAGGATGGAAGTCAATCTCACCTATGCTCCGTGAAACCAAAGAAAGCGCGAGTTCATAACGATGAGAGAAAAGAGCCAGTAAGGGTATCAAAGTTCAACATTGTCTTTTCTGCAAGGTATAGAAATATGACAATGGTCCCCGATGCAGAGAGAATCAGACGGAATTGGCGAAGGCCATAAGCCAGGAGGAGAGGAGGAGACAATGACGGCAATGGAGAGAGGTGAGGCGAGAAGTTGCGGACTGGAGCAATGGAGATGGAGACGGAGACGAAGACGGAGGCGAGAGACGAGAGACTGGGAAAGAGGGTCTGCGATGGAACACCAGGTAACTGGAATGGACGTGGATGGACGAGGGGGATTCGCTGCTGCAGGTGCAGGGCAGGACAGGACCAGGTGCAGGTATCCGTAAAGCAAATGCCAAAAAATGGGGTAAAATGGAGAAATTGGGACGGTGGATGGCCAAGATGGGGTCAAGACCGAGTCGGGGGAAGACAGAAAAGCGCGATTCGGGGGTCGGGGGTCGGGGAGGCTACCCTACGTACAGACATGCGACGGCCAGGAGTTAAAAGGACTGAGATTGAAGCATAAAAGACAGAAAATGAGCGAGCAAAAGGCGTGCACAAGCTGCGGGGATGACACTGGCAGGGCGGAATGTGGATGGGTGGGTGCTCTTTCTCGTGATGCGGTTAATTGCGAGAATGTCAAGGAGGAAGCAGGCATCACTCCTGCTGATTGAGTCTCCTGCTGTCATGTCTTTGGTGTGGAGGGAAGGAACAGAGGAAGAAGGACATCCTGAATCTTTCCTTCTTTCCTTCTTTCCAATCTGTTGTGTTTAAGTCAGGAAGGAGGAAGACAATAGGTGAGGTACGCGACTGCCTTTCCATGAGTTGAGGGCAAGTGCTATGAGGACGAAGGAAAGAAGGACCCGCCTCTCCGCGATCTCTCCTTCCTTCTTTCTTTCCTTCCTCCTGGTGCCGCCTCATTATGCGCGCGCCCCGCCAATGGAACGGCCTGCCGTTGACCCCACCATCCAGTCTCCTCACCGTTTCCCGTCGGCTTAGCGCTGCCTTCCATCTTCCTCTCCTGTCACCGTCACCGGTCACGTTGCTTCTTCGCGCCTTCCATTCGGAGATCGTTAACATACCGCCGATGATGATGAAGAGGCCGCCTCGAAAACACGACTCTTGTCTTGTTTCCATGAATCAAGCTCACTCCACGAAATGTGCTTCTTCGAACTTTTTCCAACGCAACATGCAGCTTCTGGTCCCGGCACCGCCCGCTCGGCCCTCTCGGCCACCGTTGATCCGAAGGTCCCTTTTAGCCGTGCTCACCTCCCGCCTTATCCACCTCACCCACCGCCCGTCCACCGAGTCGTCCACCGTTTCTGCCAGTCATCGCCCGATGTGACTGACTGGTGCAGTATCCGTACTCTGCTGCGAATCGTCCAACATCATCATCCACCACAGACATCGACTACTAACCGCATCTTTCTCATGGCAGCACTGGCGGCTGTCCGTGTGCTACTTCGCTCGACACTCTACATGGTATCGTTCTACGACATGTTCTGGAAGCCCGCTACGGCCCTGGCCATACAGCCCTGTCCGCCCTGATCTTCCCGCATTTCGTCCTCTCTCTGCGACCAACCGCTTCCCAGAAACTCCTGTCTCTTCCTGCAAGGCGACACATCAATCGGAGCGATTGAAACCCAGCACGCCGCCCCATTGGGTGACCGAGGCACTGTCTCGCTGCGACGTGGGGGGTTGGAGAAGCAGAAGCATCCAATGCAACGTCACTCGACTTTCCTTCTCCAGCTGACCACCACACCACACCGCCGACCTCGTCGCTCTCGCCTTCAGTCCGTCCATCTGTTTGTCATCCTACAGGTTACCGATAATCCTGCAGCTTTCCCAGAAAATCACATCCGATCTGTCCGAACCATCAGATGCCAATCACTGCCTCTATTGCAACAGTCGTATGGGCCTAGGCCTTAGGAAAGCCCGAACTGAAATCCGATCGCGTTACCCCTCAATCTTGTGAGACTGCGATACATCATATGGAAATCTGCACTGTAATTCTGTCTCAGATCCCCGCATTCAGTCTTTCTGCGAACAGACCCTACCCCGGTCTCGTCCGGCTGGATTTGACTTTGGCCGAAGCCCTGCCGATAGTGCTATTGGGCAAGCAGAAGATAGCCGGGTGTCTGACGCATCACACAAAATCCCGTCTTTCCCGCCCGTTCGGCCAACCTGCGCTCAGGCTCTGTGAACCGTTCAACGGCGATCGAGAACCGGCCGCCGTGGGGGGGCTTTGGCAGCCATTAGCCGATGGCGCCGGCGGAGATTTGACCCGCGTATTGGCGGCGGTAAGCTACGCGTCCTCTGCTAAGTCTTGCGTAATACCTCCGACGCGGCAGCACCTCGCCGACGCGGACTCTGCTGCGCCTGTGCCGCCCGAAAGCGAGCTTTCAAGGCTGGCGATACGAGGATTCTGTCGCGTATAGCTCCCAACTAAAACCGCGACTGCTTAAGAGAGAGAGCGGTGCAGTCTTTGGGATGCCATCCCCCTTTTATGCTCTATGCTTGGCAACCTTTGCCGAGTCCAGGGATCCCGTCCCTTGAGTCCATGTCCAAACCCCGGATTTTGCCTTCTTCGTAGATGCGAAACCTAGTAATTGGCGGCGGCAGCTCGGGCCCGGCTTGCAACATCGGGTCGAGCCGCATCACTAGAGATATCAAGAACACAAACTTGAGTTGTAATGTCGATATCAAAATCGTTACAGAAGTACTCAGGGATAACTAGCTTAGAGCGCTTTCCTACCCCTCTAACCGTCACCATAAGCAAACATTGGACCATTGAACTAGTCGTGATAGAACGTCAGTCGTCGCCAGCGTATTCAGAATATGAATAATCAAGGAACAGAAGGGAACGGCGATAGAGCTAGCGACGGCGATGAAGCTCACGACGGCAATGAAGCAGCAACCAACGGTGGCCCTACCATCTCGCCTTTCCAGTCCCAAATGGATCCCCTCAAGGAAGCCGCCTTCGCCCAGTCGTGACATACCGTATTTATATCGTCGTCGCCATAGAAGGATGTCGGAATATAGTACTTCTCAACCCTCACCAACCCAGCCGGGTCGTACTCGGCCCATCTATCCGTCACCACCTCCGGCATTTCGTTCTCCACATCGGCCAGTACGATCCTGACCGGCGTGGAGAACAACACTTTACCGTCCAAAGCGCTCTGGTCCGAAGCGCAGAGCTCTTTTTTAATGTTCGTTCCTTCCAGCGATAAGGAACGCACAAACACCACTTGCTCAAGCTTGGGGAATCCAGCAAGCTCCTTCCAGAATTCGCCCAGGCCCATCGGGACCCCAAACAGCACCAGACGCCTGATATCACGACAGGCATACCAGAAACACGCGGGCGAGTCGACGTGGGGCGGCAGGGCCGGGAAGGCGCGAAGCAAAACCAACTTCTCGAGCCCCGCCAGCCTCCCGATCCCGTCCCTGAGCGTCGGCAGGATGTCGAGGTGGTCCTCGAACGGGTCCAGGCTCTGCCAGGGCCAGTCGATGACCAGCCGCCGCAGCGTCGCGCACACCTCGCAGAAGAGCTCGCGGATCCACAGCGCGACGGACTTGTCGTCGAGGCTCCTGCCGAAGGGCCCCAGATAGAGCGACGTGATGCACTTGAGGGAGAAGACCGGCGGGAGGGTCGCGGGCCGGGGCGCGGCGAGGAGCGTCAGAAGGACTTGGCTTAGGCGACGGCTGGAGTCGATGTGCATGCAGCGTTGGCGCAGGAGGCGGGTGGCGATGGGGTTGGTGGAGTGGCTGACGAGGGTGAAGGAGAGGAGCGTTTTTGTTGCGCTCGAGGAGGGCGGGAGAATTGCGAGGGTGTTTGAGGGGAGAAGGTTCTCGATTATGTGCCAGATTAGCTCCGGGGGAAGGCGCGAGGGTGAGCGTGAGGGTGCGGGCATGATGTGAGCACCGTCTTATGCCTTTGAGTTGGAGAGGGAGATATCGAGGGTTTTGGGGCACTGAGAGTCCGGTTATTCATGTGATGAATAAGCCAAGAAGGACGGCGGCTAGTGATGAGGGGAAAGGAAAGAAGCAAGGAAGATGTCAAAGGACAGGGGGAAGGAAGGCGTTGGAGGACAGAGGTAAGGAAGACGTTGAAAGACAGAGGGAAGGAAGGATAGAAGGAAGACAAACTAGATAGAGGAATCGCCGGGTTTCCGGTCGGTGAGGGGCTCTTTCGGCCCCACTATCCCCGCATGATCCAATCACTCCGGTCCCGTGTTTTTGTGGGTGTGGCACAGCAGACATGGATATTCTTCAGCCGACTCTGAGCTCAACAGAGGATAAGTTATGTAGTGACACGGAGGCACAGTCCCTTCATTGGGCGTCCGCTGGAATTGAGCCATCTAAAGTATCACGACTCGTTTAGTCTTGTCCGTCAGTGAGATGGCTACTTGCGGCATGATGACTTGCTGTTAGGGAGGAGGAAGTCCTGTTGATTTGTCCAAATATTAATCTTGAACTGAGTTTTATGGTGTATCGGTAATTCTCTCTCGCTCTATCGGCACCGTAGCCGCTCCTCTATAAGTCAAAGAGTTGAGAATGTGTTGCTCGCGCGCAATTTCGCATGGACTTTATCATCTTGCATACGCACATGCTACAAGAAACTGACCGTGTGGGACGCGGATTTTCGAGACTCTTGAGGTTACTGGCATAGTTGATTAGTCGGGGTGCACTGTGATACGTTCATTGGGCTTCAGCCACCCTCGATTGTAGAACGCTGCTGCCTTGCAGCGGTCCAGTGAGAATGGTGTGATCTAGGTTGCGTTTAGCCCTGGGTAGTAGTACAAGACATCTGAACAACGTGATACGACGTTGAGGGAATTGTACGTGAAGAACACTTAAGTTGTGCGCCGCCCCTCATCGCTTCTGCGATTTTGGTCTGCTCTCACACGCTCAGTGTTGCCTGTTCTGGAGAGAACGATTGTGATCGGCAACCATGAATAGCTTCGAGTCCTCGATTTCACCGGACGGGAGAGATTCCAGCCCGTCTAGGGCCGATGAGTCAACCACGACCCTTCACACTTGCTCTTCACCTCTTGCCTGTCATGGCGTCGCTCATGAACTCCCAACTGGGCGAGTATCGTCTGGCGGATGTGATACGACTGCACATCATCTGGAAGCCAGTAGCCTCGAAACAGTATCCCCCAGCATCTCGACCACCCGCAGCTCATTCTCAACAGTCTATGCCGAGGAATGGCCGAATTTTATACACCATCACCCACCGGCTCACGCGAGAGATCATGCTCCGGAAGACACTGTTGTAAGTGGTGAGCTGGAGATGGCACGCCCGGCAGAATCACAGCCTTTGAAAAACACTTCCACACCAACAGACCAGGACCACACCGACAGTCTACTGGAAAAGACCAACGGCGGGGCTTCGCACGAAACGATCTGGTCTGCATGGTGGTTGGAGATGCTGAGTAGCCTGCTCGCACTCGGCTGCATCATCTCCATTGCCATCATTTTGTTCCTCTACGATGAAAAGCCTTTGCCGGATTGGCCGGCGTTGATATCAGTCAACTCCCTCACTGCCATTTTCACGGCTGTCTTCAAGGCGGCGCTCATCATGCCCATAGCTGAAGGTATACTCCTGTTTCCAACGCTAGATGCATCACATTTACAATGGCAACACAACTAATCACAAGTGTTCACTTAGGTCTCGGTCAATTGAAATGGAATTGGTTTCAACAAAAACACAAGCTGTCCGATGTCGTTGTCTTTGACGACGCCAGCCGTGGTCCGTGGGGTTCACTAGTCCTCATCGCCAAGCAACTCCCACGAAGACGAAGGGCGTAGGTAATTATCTCCCGAAGTGTAGATCACGAGCTAATTCGAGTTGAAATCTAGTTATTTAGCCGTATTTGGCTCCTTGATCACTCTTGCTGCACTGGCCGTCGATCCGGTTTCTCAGGCCATGATTGAGCATAGGGGATGCCAGTTGACAAGGCCGTCTAGTGCTCCTGAATTAGCCGAAATCTCCAGAACAAACAATTACACTGCCATCAAAGCGTCATATCCCGAGTTTTCAGAATGGGCTGTCGATCCATTCATGGAAGAAGCTATGCATAAGGGACTCATGGACCCCGAAGAAACAGAGTCTCAGGTCAAATTCGAATGCGCCACCGGTAATTGCACTTTCCTCGCTAGCGACGATAACTACTTCTTTTCTTCGCTATCTATGTGTCACTCCTGCCAAGATATCACGCATAATGTCATAGAGGATCCCGCTCCTAATGTTACAAAACATACTCTGTCTGATGAACGGTCGTGGAGTCTTTTGACCAAATACGAAAACGGAGTGGAGTACCTGGGACCTCAAGTTACTACCCGGAACGGACGATCGAGGCTGTCAATCATTCAGACCCCTTCGAGAGATGATCAAGCCTTCATCAGTTACGACGTTCTCATGCTCCAGCTATCGTGTGGAAACGAAGCTCGTAGTACATGCGACTATGATAGCAAAAGCGCGAAACCAGCGCCATTTGCCGCCCGATGCAAGTTACACCCCTGTGTCAAAAGGTTTCGTGGAAGAGTCACCAACGGTGTCTACAAAGAAAATGAATCGCAAGAGCCTGGACAACCATTAAAGAAATGCCGTATATCCGGGTCGAATGAGCAGATCGCCTGGTCACTTACTACCAATTCCAGTCTCATCGACGGGGAGGAGAGACAATGTACTGCAACCGCAGACTGGAAACCAAAGACAGTCAAAGTTGATTCTACTTATGGTAGCCTATATGGGATGGGATACCCACTAGAAGCGCACCTGCTGACCTGGGAGTTTTACCCGCAAGAATGTGTCTGGGCTGTGGGATACATGGCCTGGATAACCATCTCTCGTACTCTGTCTGGGATTCTCCCTCATAACGTTACAAGCGTCTTTCTGCAGAGAAACTAGGTCGGTGGTCCAATATGGCTGAAACCTGTATATGCACTTGGATCTGGTAATATGTCCACAGTTGAAACCCTGTTTCGAGGCCTGGCAAAGTCGATGACAGCTGCTCTCCGCAACAATCCGGGTCCAGAGGGCTCCCCATCGCACCTCAGCCTCAGGACAGCCAGCGGCAATGTTAGCAGCACTCAGACTTGCGTTTACGTTCACTGGGGCTGGATCTCATATCCTGTTGCGCTGCTCGTCTCGCAATGGATGTTCTCGATCTTGGTCATGGCCAGTCAACGCGGTAGGGTTCGCAACGGCAAAGACGCGCACTCCAGCGCAGCGTGGAAATCGTCCCCGCTCGCTCTTTTATTCTACGGCCTCAGCGACAACAGAAGGAAGGGTTATGGGGGCTTTAAGACCCTTGGAGACATGGATAGGGCGGCCAAAAAAATGGATGTGCAGTTGGCACCAGTTGATGAGTCGAGAAACAAGGGGTGGCGGTTTTTCTGAAGTGATGCTTAGCTGGATGGGGACAACATGGGATGCAGTTATAGTGAGCAAGCTGGTTTCCTTTTATTAGAATTACTTATGCGTCTTCATTCCTCTTGGTTCGCTTTGCTAGTCGGCCTCGATTACCTACAATCTTAATTGGTCTTGCGATGTAGCTCAACATCTTCCGCTTGAGTGATTCGATATCAAAACCTGGTTCCATCACCCATCTATGAGAGGAAACTCTAAAGTCTTAGTACTTGAATGTTGGCCTGCTCACCTGCAGCAAATCCAGACCTTCACATTGTTTCATAATGAATCGATGAACTCGGTTACTGGAGTAGTTTGCTAGTTTGTTGTAGACAAATAACGACAACAACCTGGAAGCCAAAGCTGGCCAGGAAGGCAATTACACATCTGCGCATCGTAACAAAAAGGATTCTTTATAACTAGCCAGGTTCTATCCTTAATCTTTAAGACTTCCCCAAGGTTGTCGAAATTGGCACGATGGTCCTGCAGTAACAGCTCATGTGAACACCAGGCTTGCAACAGTAGACATAATCTACACCGCAATTTCCTTTCTAAGCCGTACATTCTCTAACTTGGTCTGTTTGTTTTGGTTCTTCTTGAAATAAAAGCCAGTTAAATGAGATGGTGCTTAGTTTCAACCGAGCTATCATGCTCATATTCTCTTGCATGCGTCGTTGAGACTACTGTGCACCTGATTTACAGGACAGGAGGCGTAGTTCAGCATCTCGTGCCTTCAAGCTAAGAATGACATGAAATTTTACAGATTTCGTGGGAACATTGCGCTAGAGAAGATTGCCTCTAGACCATCCTCTGCGTGTGGAAACTAGAAAAAAGGATTCATTTTAAGGTGAAATTAACCATAGCTGCCGCGCATCTGTTCCAAGTCATAGAACAGCTCCCAAGGCCAGGACTTGTACCATATTTCAAGTTTGGGTGCATCACGTTGCTCCACAACCCTTTCCCAGGCCTTCACCACACCAGAATTCAACCTTTCCCGCCGTTCGGTTTCTACTATGAGTCTGGTAGAGTCCTTCTTTCGGGAATAATACAACAGAACCAGCCTGGTGCTCTCGCCATACACAATGGCAAGAGTTCGTATCTTAGGCATGCGTAGAACTGCCTTCGCCGCAGCCAGCCCCAAATGATTGACGTCCTTGCCGGAGTTGGTACAAAGCTCAAGGTGTTCCAGAACCGGCCAAAACTGGTGCGAACCTGCGGCCTCTATGTGTTGAAAGAAGCTTCCCGCACCGACATTCAGAGCCTGCCTAAGGTAAAAGCGCTCGAGACCGTAGCTAGCTTCTACTGCGGCTGAAACCAGTTGCGGGTTGCATCCTTGCCTCTGAAATTCGGGCGGGGGAGAACCTTGTCTATGGCGTCTGGCGTCCTCGGTCGCGCATTGCTCATGGATGTGAACCGTTCTGATGGATGATCCACTGCTTCTGAGTATGGCTAACAACGTAAGATCGCGACGCTCCTGCTCATGTTGATTAACACCCTGAAGGGCGCCGTACTGGATGACCTGCAACCGAGGCAGAGACTTGAGAAGACTTTCGAGACTTTCTGTTGACGAGCTCCTGAAAGAGTCCCAGGGGAATCGGAGTTCTTCGATGATGGGGACTTCGGGGAGTTCGGCGCCCCGATCAAGAGTAAGATCCAGCGGGTTGAGCAGCACACGTTTGGTGCTTCCCGCAACCGAGAGCTGCAAGTGGTCGCGATTCGTTCCAACATTGATATTTCCCAACGCTGTGAATCCATGGCATCGGTCGCTGGTGGACTTGGGCACAATTTCCAGCGCCAGACCCGGTTGATCGAACACGATGTCCCATTTGGCGAGTATCGAGAAAAGACCCCACAGAGCCTTGGTGAAGAGCGTGTTGTTTGCTTCGATAGTTGATTGGCTTTCTGGTTTGTCGCACCCGTCCGCGCAAGTGTATGTCTTCAGCTCAATGCAGAACTCCATCTTTCTGACAGCCTGTCTTCGGTGGGCCGTAACAATTCTGTCCAGGGGCGTCCAGGTCGCACGACCGAAGGCGCAGAGAGTTAAATGTTTGCGACTCGAAGAACTTCTGCCACTCCTTGCAGACGCTTGCCCACGCCGCTCTATCGGACCGGCGGCGCTGGCAATAGGACAAGTATCCGAGGATCGTTAACCGTAGTTCCGGCGGGAGATGCAACCACACAAAACGCGCCGTTATACAGCTGGACCCGAAATCACCGAAATGCACTCCCCAGGGTCCAAAGGGATTGACCACGATCGTGGCTTTGTCCTCAATGTCGTCCTCGATGTCGTCCTCGATGTCGTACTCGATGTCGTACTCGATGTCGTACTCGATCTCGCTCCCTGTGTCGACCTCGATGTCTTGCTCGATGCTGTCCTGGATGTCATCCTCAATGGTGTCCATGATGTTATCTAGATCTCGACACCTTTTCGTTAGTGATGTAGTCGATGAGGGAAAAGAAAGGTGGTTTTGGAAAGGTTGCTGAGGCAAGGTGTTTTGCAAAAATTATTGAGGTCATTATATCGTCGCTGACGTTTCAGGTGCACGAACGCAAACAGCTTCTCACGTGCTTTTCAACGCGTGCAGAGAAGCAAGAAGCCGGCCCGGCGGTATGGTGGGGCCGACACCGGCCCCATGTCATCCGGGTGCGGCTTTGCCCGGCAGCAGGTCATTTCCACGGAAAGGAATTCCCCTTCTATCACGACGAAAAAACATGTTGTGATTGCCGCGTGCAGCAACTGCGCCTATATGCATACGTACGTGCGCTTACAACGCGGACTTCCCAGTACGTACCCGCGACACCTTCCGTGTGCTTTTTACTCACGATCGGGCAGCAGTTCCGTGGAGCCCTGATTTCTATCGGACTTGACAGTCACAGCCTCTCAACCTTTCTGTCTCGATGTGGTCATTGGGTGGGAAATGCTTCCATCTTTCGCTGCCCATGGCATTCAGGATTGAATATTCATCATCATGCCCGCCGAATATCGTATCATTTCATGCGAACAGCTGGTTCTGGCAAATGCAAACCTCCAAGTCTTTTATATCATCGTCTACTTCATCAGGATACATTAGTCGCTCAAATGACTTAATCCCAGTCTCACGCTATGATAGCGAATCTGCCAAAATAACACTGGCTTGCTTGGGCTGCCATAACAGGCCCGCAGTCTCTGACGGCTGTGCAATGTTCGTTGCGCTTTCTGCTGAAATACCACCCTCCGGAATATGTCTTGGAACGGCATCCACTGAAGAGGCCCCTTGCCAGAGAGAGGCCCTTCTGCTCCTAGAATTGGGCTCGGCAGCGGTGAACTCGGGGCTGGAAGACAACGAGGACGGCCCCGTTCCGTGGGTGGGAGAGTCAATCAATGCGGGTGCCGCGCTTGCATCCCTCACGAATCCTGTTGGCGCTTCCGGCTCAAGGCTAACAACCATTCTGCCGCCACGAATTTCGCCGCGTCTCATCCTATCGAGGCCGCGGTTGATGCCTTCGAAGCCCTGCTCGACACCCAAAACCTCCGGAGGGCTAACAAGACCGCTCTCAAGCAGCCTCTCCAGCCACAAGACAAGGGCCTCGCCAATGGCAGGGACCTCGTGGAAGACCTTGACTGGGACAGTGTGATACGAAACAGACTCAGGCGCTTGTTCCTTGGGAAGACCTGTGAGGCCGATAAGGTGCTTGAGAGATGAGCTCGCGTTGCGCGGCGTGTCAGGCGGGCTGGGCGGCCTCTCGGCATCCTTTTCCGGGGAGAGGGATCGGAGGAGCCAGGTTGCGGAGTCGCGGCCGGAGGTGTCCAAAGCGAAGCGCAAGTTCTTCCCCACGTTGGCACGGATGACATCGATTGCGCGGGCAGGGTCGTGAGAGTCCACCAGCAAATCCGGGCGGAGGACAGTGTGATTCGAAAGCCGGAGTCCATGACGGAGCTTATCGACAACAGTAACCACTTTCAATCCCGCAAGTCTAGCAAGCTGAACGGCCAAGTTGGCAGAAGTAGACGAGCCGCCCCAGATAACGACCCAATCACCAGCGACAGCTCTCTCATGATCGCGGATTCCGGAGAGGCACTCTGCCCTGATGTCCTGCGGGAGCGATTCGGGAGGGATGGAGCGAACAAGCTGCAACAAGTCAGGGCCCCCTAGAACATTGGAGAAGTCGACGCCCATGCAGATGCCGAGAGACAGAACCGCGGCCACAAACGCGACGCCGAGCGTCGCCCCGGCTTGAGAGGAAACATTGGGAGGTATGCGGACGGCGTTGAAATCTGATGTCACGACGTATTGTTGGTACGCTGCCTTGCGGAGGTCGCGGTAATCTGTTGAGATGACGAGGACTTGATCGCCGTTTTGGAGGCGACTTGCGAATGCGCCTGGGCGCTTGACTACGCGGCCGACGAGCTCGCGACCGGAGATGTAGGGGAGAGAGGGAATCGCGAAGTTGAAGTCTCTGGTAAAATACTTTAGCATTACACGAGGACGTATGAAGATCTGAAGAGACTAAACCTACGGTGCCTTCCAGTCGATCGGGTTGAGACCGATGTGCTCTGTCCGGACCAGCACTTCCCGCTCATCTTGGAGACTAGGAACCGCATATTTTTCTGCCGTCTCATACGGCTGCTTTGCCGCATAAAGAATGAGGACAGTTTGTGTCTCTGGAATGTCTGCCATGGCGTTCTTTTCAGGGTCTCATTGGCCGAAATGGAGGAGGGGTGATAGAAAGTGAGATGTCCGGGTATGGGATGAAGGAACGTAGCGGACGTTCCAATAGTTTGCGCCGTGGGCAGCAGTTCTTCGATCAAGCGGGTAAGATAGAGACGGAAATACGTCTCAAGGAGATCAGGTCCAATGCCTCCAAGTTGCCGGACGGATATTACTGCAGAAGTATGCTGGGGGATTACTCCAAAGCTACAAAGAAGACAACAATACGATTGTTCAAATGTTTTTTTCTTCAGCCAAAGATAAGAAATAATTTCCCCTCTTCATTCTTTTACTCCGGTTCGGAGACACACCGTCGATCGGGCTTGGGTTGCGCTCGTGGAGTCGGGGTATTACGTGCTCTCGCAGTCCCGCATTGCGTGATTCTTCTCCAAGATGGCTGCATCGCCATTCAACCAACCCCCGTTGGCTGCCCAAGGTTTAGTGATAACCAGAGCCCATTCATTTGTAACCTCCGCGCCGAACCTTCAGAGAGCGCTTAATTGGCCGCAGAGATTATCAGCGATGTGGGTTTTCTGGTTTGATTCCTGGGGATTGGTTCGGCGGATGGGAGGGCTCGCGCTTGGGGTTGCCGAGAGTATTCCCGGTCACGATTTCCGCTCATACGGCGATGATGAGGGACTTTGACGCCGGCTGAATGATGAATGAATGCGCAGGCATTCTGGACCCCCGCGCTCCACTCCCGTCTGTCACGACATGTCGCAGGATTTGTGCCAATCGAGATAGGGCCGGGCCGATGTTGGCGTGCTGATTAATTGTTATTCTTCGGCACGATGGCGCTTTCGGCCGGGTACCAGCTTCCGGCTCTGGAATCTGTCGTCTTGGTCTGACGGATCTCATTGTGCTTGTTGTGCCCTGTCTCGTGAATATCACTCCGTATTCGAGAGGTGAAGTTGAGCTTCCCTCCGGTCGATGAGGGTCGATGGAGTCAGGATGGATCAACCCCAGATTCGGTCGGTCGCTTGAAGCGGGGTTTCTGAGCAGCCTCACCGGATCCCGTATCCTAGCATTCCCTTTATGTATCTCTTAAGTGGCATTGTGCCTCCCTCAATTGCGGTTTATATCCTGAAAAAATGATCATGTCGGTGGCTTGGTCGTATCGTATCTTCTCGAGGACGTGCACACATCGACGGCTCTATTAGTGTCTTTAACAGGCCATTTCACGCTTATATGCCCTTGGAAACAAAGAAGAAGAGAATACCAAAAATATAAACAGGCACAATAACTTCAATCGGTGCAAATTGTAGCCAAAGGTGCAGAGTCACCGTTGAAGACGTGATCTGACGCAGTTCTCAGATGATACTGACGGCTCAAATGAACGAAGGCACATGTATGACAGTCAAATGTCATTCGCTAAAAGTGGAAAAGGACCGTAGCTCAATGAATAGCTAACACTTTCATTTCGTCCGAATTCTAGTGATCGTCTGCATGGGTGGATTGGTTGTGGTGTTGCCTGGTGAGTTGTCTCGATGTGGTAGTTGGAGTAACCTGCAAAGTCTTCAGACGATAGCGTTGGGAGAGACGACATCACAGTCACTCAGTGATCTCCCGATTTTGATGCCTCAATACTATGTTTCGATGGAGAGTTCAACGTTTACGCCAACTTCAAGACCTGACAGAGATAGATTGCTTATGTAAGTGTAATACGACCCACGAGGATGGTCCCTGGATCCTTGAAGTTATTCTGACTCTTAAGCTTCCAACTTTGCCAACTTTTTCGAGTCAATGCCTAAGGCCTGTGCAGTGCGACACCACAACTCCTCTATTTCAAGACGATGACGTACGAAACGCTCATGGCGGACAATTCTCACCATATCGAACCCGACTGAACACATCAATTACCTATCATGGATACCAATGTCTTGGTGATTCGAGATCTTCCAAATACCAACGCAGATCCGCCTGCTCATTCAATAAAAGCCGTCGTCACCTCGCCCGATGAGGAAGTGCAAGTCGACCCCGATGGAGACCTCATTCTCCGCGCCGGCTCACAGACTGGGGAGGCCGAAAGGTCTTTCCGAGTCTGCGCCAGCGCCTTGAGGAGGTCCAGTCAGGTCTGGAAGAAGATGCTCTTCGGGCCGTTCAAGGAATCGAAACCGGCCTTTGGTGTCTGGGAAGTCAGTTTACCGGAGGACAATCCGGTGGCTTTGGGAATCTTGTTGCACATCGTGCACGCAAACTTCCCTCTGGTGCCGCATAAGCCAAATTTGAAAGAGCTTTACGAGGTGTTCCGGTTGGCCAACAAGTACGACATGATCATGGCTCTTAAGCCGTGGGCCGCGGCGTGGCTAGAAGTTGCGGAGAGCTTTTCGGAAACGACTGATGGGAAGGAGATGGCTACGCTGGCTTATATTGCGTGGGAGCTGGGTCAGATCGAGTTGCAGCGGAAGATGATGAAGGAGCTGGTCCTGAACTGCTCAGTTGATAAGGAAGGACGAATGACTACCGCCGATGGAGTTCTGCTGGATGATTTCGATCCCATCGGACCGCCTGGCCTACTTGGTTAGTCAAGACACCCAAACATGAGTGCTAACCCACACGAGCCAGACGACTAAATCTCACTCTCACCAGGTTACATGCGTAAACATCAGCAAGAAACTTCAAAGGCTCTACCACTACATCTCAACTCCGTCATCAGGGAGCTTACCGACGGCCCAGGTTGCTGCATCTCGAAAACCAGTAACCTCGAAGTGAAATCCAATTGCAACGACATCATTTTAGGCAGCCTGCTGCGGGGCATGGCCAACGAGAGAGGCTCAGTCAGTCTTGACTTGACAGGAGAAGATGGAGAGAGTGCCGCGAAGCTGTCAGCGAGCATACGCGGCATAGCCGACAAAATATCAACTTACGAAGGACATTTGAAATGCAACCCTGGCGGAAAGATTGTATCGGCGCTAGGCAAGATGATGAGGGCGCGTACGATTAAGCTGAATAAATCAAGCGTGGAAAAGATGAACAAAAGACGAGAGGACCTGGGACTCGAGAGACCGGGCACTGATACGCCAATAAGGACCAGCGAATGAGGGTTGATGATAATTGCCATGTATATTAAGCCGCATTTGTACCATAGATCATGAGAACTAGCTAATCATTCCTAAAAATGCATACGCAATACATATCCCGAGCCATACTGTGGATTAGATTTAAGACATAATACCACGGTGACCATCGCCATCAGCATCCTTGAAGGGGTTCAACTTGTCAACAAGCGAAACCTTCTTTCCTGTAGAATCGGCACTACCATCGTGGTGATCGGTAGTAGAGGAGTGCGCGAGAGGCTGATTCAATGTTAACTGCTTGCAAACTGAGAGAATTTATGAGTACTGCTTACCTCAGACTTGGTTACGGAACCGTTTCTGGCAACATCGTTGTTTCCAGATGTAGTGTAGTTGTGAGTGCTCGAGGTAGGAGATGTACCGTGCAAAATTCCTTGCTTGGTGCTAATAGAATCGTTCTTGCCCGTCGACTGGTTGTGGGTAGAAGTACTGTTTGTCAAGCCGTTGCTGCCGACGGTGTTGGCAGTCTGTCCTGATGTGGTGGTACCAGAAGTGTGGTGGTTGTCAATTCCCTGGCTGCCAACACCGCGGTTGGGCAGAGAAGTACTGTTAACTCCGTGAGTAGTGTTAGCAGTGCCGTGCTGCTCATTGTTGTGATGCTTATGAGCGGCAACAGCAGCACCACCGGCCGCAGCAGCTCCAGCAGCGGCGGTAGACTTGTTGTGTCCGTGGTGACCCTCACGACTATCAACAGGGTGACTGCCAAGGCCGTGAGAATGACCATCCCGATCGACGTAGTGGTTCTTGTCAGTGGCGGCTGCAGATCCGCCGGCCACCGCAGCACCTCCAGTGGCAGCGGTGGTGTTGTGGTGGCCGTGATGGCCCTCGTGAGCGCCAACGCCGTGGTTGTTCAAGCCGCCGGTCGTCTGAGCGTTTCTGGTTTCATTGTTGTGGTGGTTGTGAGCGGCAACGGCTGCACCGCCCGCAGCGGCTCCGGCGGCTCCGGCGGCAGCCGTCTTTCCGCCGTTTTGGTGATCATGGTGACCGAGGTGATGCTTGCCGTGGTGACCGTTGTTGTGTCCAGGAAGAGCGCTGTGCTCGGTGCTCTCATAGTGCTTGTCGTGCTTGTCGGGGCACCCGTCGTACTCAGTGAGCTTGTTGGTACCAGTAAGGTGGTGCTTGTCCCTGTTGAACTCCTCAAGCGTCTTGACGGGGAGTGTGGTTGTGCCGTGGTGAATAGCCTTGGCATGGTGAGTCTCGTGAATGGGGACTGTAGTATGCACAATGTGAGGCTGGATCGTATCCTTATGAATAACGGGTTGGATGTGCTCGTGCACGTGGTGGTGCACGCGCTCGCCGGTCACGGCAGGGGCAGTGGTGGATGTGTGAGTTGTTTCGTGAGTGGTCGAAGTGTTCTTGAACTTCGCGTGTTCACGGTTGAGTGTATCCCTAGTCTCGGACTCATTGCCATGGTGGAACTCTTTGTGCTCAGTAGGGAGCACATTGTGGTGGTGCTTCTCAGGACTATGGAATTATTAGTACATGTACATGACAACATGATAACCATGATACTTACAGAGTCTCCTTGTGCTGGATAGGCTGAACCGTGGTGTGATGATGATCTTGGTGAACCTCTCTGTCGACGGCAGTCGTCACGTTCTCGTGCTGGTGAGGGCGCACCTGCTCGGTGGTGACAGCCTGGTTGGCATCTTGGGTGATGGTGGTCTTGTGGTGTCCGTCGCCAGACACGAAGTCGTTGACTGCCTGCTTTGCCTTCTCCATGATTGATAGTGTTAAGTTATTGGGTTTGGGGTTGATTTGCTGTTGTATTGGGTTTGTTGTGTTGAAGATGAAGAGTAGCAAGTTATGGAGGTGATAATAAGCCGATATATAAGTTTTGCAAGATCTAAGCCTAAACACTTGAGGCCGCGACGCCTCTTCGGTACACCCACGTCATGCCTCTCTCAACGTCATGTTCCAGCCCCATGTGTAAGTGACCCTTACCCGAAACTCGCTAGATACGACACGTTTTCCAATGAACTGAATTCCAACGGCTGCGATGCAGAACGTCATTGCTGATCTTGACAGGGCAGAAAATCCACTGAATCGAGCGCTCCAGCCTGGACCAAGGGGACTAAGCAGCGAGAGATTCAGCTGGGTTCTCCTGTTCCGAAGCTCTAATTCTGCCACTGACGAATTTGAGCAGAAAAGAAGCTGGACGCTCTTGGCATGGCGTTCATCGGCGGGGGCTGGTTAGCTGTAGTCGGACTAGCAGGCTTGCTAGTTGAGCCTCTAGCGTATTGAATCATTCCGACCCGCTGGATCCGCTCGGAGCAAAGTGCTTGTTATTTGATTTAAGGAATCCCAATGCAGTGGCTTTGACAGCTGGTCGCGACTAGACCGGCGCTAAAGGTAGATAGCCTCGAATGTAAGTCGTCATCACGAAATAAACTCAGATCGGAAATGGAGATTAGCCTACCGATCAATACGCGATGGTCACAAGGAGAACTTGGGCATTGAAAATCAACAGAGCACTGGCATTAGCTTTCAGCTGCAGTTGTGGTTTACTCATCCACATACAGACCCTAAGCTAGGTCGGCATATGTGTGTTGACGCCAGCATCATCAACTCAAAAGGTTAGGGAATGATTCCCTAAGCTTCAACGTAGCAATGCTTGGCATTCCATGGCTTGATCATCAGAATACGTGTACATGTGATCGACAAGGCATACCGAAAGAATACCGTCGCGTTCGGCGGGACCGGGACAATTCCTCCGGCGGGGTCGGAGTTGTGCGGGGCTGCTGCCGGGCCGTTGTGTCACAGGGTGGATCACCCAGATCCGGTACGCAACATGGCTGACGGAGATCGCGTGCTGCATGAAGCTGAGCAGTGATCAACCCCTTCGACTCCGATTCATGTTGAGCCCAAAGATTGTCCTGCACGCCTCTATGGATGACGCTACCGATCGACCAAAAAGGGTTTGAAATTTGCGAGCGTGCATCGGCGACGTTAAGTCTACGGAGGAGGTTGGGGATTTGGCGCATGCGACTGTATGCGACGTCGTTCCCCCCCGCCGGTAGAAGCCAGAGAGGCTTTTCATTTGAGATGGACTTGAAATTATCTTGAGGCTGTGGTCTCCAACATATCTCCGGAGCAGGATATAAAAATATAAGTTTACCACACAACTTCACCTGCGCTTTGAAAGTATGGTGATTGAGATTCGTGTCATATATGGTAGGAAATAAAGTAGTAGAACCGGACTGGTCAATTTCAAAAAGAATCATCAGAGCTTGACGCCGGTGTGCTAACCCCGAATCTCCTTCTTCTCTGACAATATGTAGGTGTTTGGCTCAGTCTTCTCTACTTCTGAGTATGTGCATGACTTCTTAGCATGGACAGCGTGCACTGCAAGCAGCACAGCACCGGGCCGATGTCAAGCCGCCACTGTTGAATGAAATGCACCTCTGAAACACAGTTAGAAACCAGAAAGTATCCCAAGCTGAGTTGGTCATACCGGATAGTTCCCAGCAACTCCCCTGAGTTGGCAATAGTTTTCCCCAGCGTTTGGGCTACTACAGCCGTAGTTGTTGCCGATGTAATCCTCTGTGCAGCAGTCGGTCTGCCTCTCCTGCAAGACCTCAGTTCCCGGGTGAGATACTGCAGCGGCTACGGCGGTGGATGCAGCCATGAAGAAAAGAGTGATATAATCGAAACGCATGTTGGAGTTTTGGTGATAGCTGGCGTAGTGTTGGGATTGTGACACAAATAAAAGCTATTAAGCAAATAGTTTTTTTCTACTTCATGTTTGAAGACTTTAATATTAGAGCTCTTATAGACTTTGACTTGATTCTCGGGATACTAGTCATGATACTTGTCTTTACTGCCTGGTAGGATCGATCGGCGCTGCGAAATCCTTCGACGCTGGACTATTGCTCAGCCCCATCTTGAGATGGTTGATTGTGGAGAGAGCATGTACGGAATATCTGCCTCATCGTCCCACCGAGCGGTCAGCGTAAGTCAAACTTCCGCAATCATGGCTAGAGTAGGTGTGTGTTTCTTGTGGCAGAAGCGTGTAGTTACCCTTCGCATGCAAGATAAATCACATGCAGCCACCTTTGATCCGTCAACTGAGTGTGCATCTCGATTCTAGTATACTTGATTCCGAGAAGTACAACCATAACTGCAATATCGTCTATGCAGTATTTCTAATAGCCTGGGAATCCTAGATCAGTTGTATGGTGGGTGAGCGACCACATTGATGGAGTTGGTCGTCCTGTTGAGTTAGCACCGAACCGAATGATTATTCCAAGCCTAGAAGTTCGATCGAAACATCCCAGTGATTTCTCATTCCATGTAACAGAGGTTCAGAATTTGAGGCTGGCAATGTCTTGGCTTCGAGATTGAATGCCTATCTGGGCTCTGAGGATTCCCGGAGGATCCGAATTGCAGATCAGAATGTTCGAAATAGCAACGGACGAGCCGGATTGATTTTATTTGCCGTCGGAGTGTTTAACGAAAAGTCAAATGAACATACACGTGTAGCAGTCGGTGCCGTCGGCATGCGGAGCTCTTGGTAGGTGTTGTGTCTTGGCATCGTGCGCAGCCGGACGATCCTCAGGGAAGAGCATAAAAGGCCACTGACCGCGATCTCAATTGCAAGCTCATTTCCAGCAAGCAGCAGTCAATGTAGGACATCCATGGAGCCTCCTGCATACCGCAGTTTTGATATTCCTGACAGACCTTCTTCAGTTCTTGTGCGATTGGATGTTCAGCAGCAGTAGCGCGATTGTCAGTACCTGAAACTCGCGGTGGAGGGCGCTACAATTTCTTGGGAGTTCATACCTGTGTGTAGAAGAGATGATGAGACGAACATAACTCTTGACAGCAAAGCTTTTCCAGTCCTATCTGAGCACCAGCAGTATCACGTTAGTATTTTCCAAATCAAAGTTGCCGACTCGCTCTAAGGTTCGATTGACAGCTAGTTAAAAGAGCACCCTCTGACCCCATTGGCCAAGACTTCTCATTCTCGCTGTCTAAAGGACTCCATCTCGCACAAGGGGACACTTTGGTTCTCAGCACACCCGCATCGACACCTGGCTTTGGTTTCTCAGAAAGATGGACATATGCCGGCTCGACACCTCTTTCGAAACGAAACCTTCAAAACCTGCTGGCCAAATGACGTATTGCTATGCCACAGCTCGGACTCCTCCACTTGACTCGCAGAGCCCAGGCCCCGCGCTCTGCAGTGCCAAGCCCCCGGGACCGTCCCGTCTGACCAACGGGTCCGGGTCGTTCCCCGCGAAAAGCTGCTATTCCGTGCGGCACAACGAGGTCCATCGCTGGAAGCGACACTGACAACCTTGCCTCTGGGTGTTTCTTCGTACGAGATGCCAAGTGTCGCGGTCCAACCAGCTTTGTCTGTTTGTGGTTGAGCGTGTATCATTACGTAAAACTGGCACCTCCGTGCGTTTCTCCTCACATCAGGTGCACTGCCTTGGAAAGCTGCATCGATGTAAGGTTCGCAACTCAGAACTCTAGATGTGTCGTGCTCCAAACCCCGTGACCTTCACCCGAGCTGTGATCCTGGTGGTTTGGGGTCGCTTAAGCGGCGCTTGTCCGGAACGACATTTCCTACATGACCTGCGACCCCCCAGATGGAGTCCTCTCTGTATAACAGTTCTTTCTTGTAACTTGTTCACTCAAACCCCGAAATCGACACAATGGTCAGCCTGACGAACTTGGTGTTGCGCCCTGCCGCAATTGCGACTGAACACGACACGGATATGGACAGCGAGTGGATGAAAACGCCTAGCGAGGACGCCTTCGACGACGGAAATGAAGTTCAGGTCGATCCATATGGAGATCTCATCCTACGAGTAGGGTCCAATCCAAGATTCTGGGACACGGAGAGCCCCTCATTCCGTGTTTGCTCCAACACATTAAAGAGAGCATCGACTTTCTGGAGACGAACGCTAGCCGAAACCGCCGCGGAGACCAACCTGGCGGACGATGATTGGTACTGGACTCCCTCGCTCTTTGCCTGCCCGTATGAGAAATCAGATGGGTTGGCAATCCTCCTCAATATTATCCACTCCAAGTTTCACTTGGTGCCGAAAAAACCATCGCTTTCAGAGATCTACAGCTCCTTGTGTCTGGTCAGCATGTATGAAATGGAACAAGTTCTGCATCCATGGATCGGGCACTGGTACGAAGTCATTGAAAGCGTGGAAGCTGCAAGAGACGGGCACAGTCTTGCGATGCTGACGTGCATTGCTTGGGGCCTTGGGGATGAGAGGCTTTACGTGAGAACGGTCACCGATCTCGCCATGACTTGCGTGGTGGATGAGAAGGGACACATCACAACTGCCGACGGGATCTGCCTAGACGAATACCTATACGATGCGCTTGGATCGCCTATAATTGCTGGTAAGAATTACAGTCTTCTCGGCAACGTTCACTCAGCTCACACACTCTTAGATCATATACGATCGTTGCGGAGCCAATTAGCATCGGATCTGCCCTCCCATATCAACCGTCTTATATCTAGACTGATAGATGGGAAGTGGATGTGTGCAGGAATATCCGACATTCCAATAACCAAGAATAAGAAGTGCGACTACGTTGTCCTAGGGAGCCTCTTCGCAGGCATGATATATGTCCGCGGGTCTAAAGCAACGGAGTTGGAGATTAGGTCAGACGAGAGCATCACAGACTTGTTGAAGTCGGTCAAGCGGGTTCTTTCATACGTTTCTTGCTACGAAAAGCATACCTCGTGCAACCCCGCCGAGCGAATATCGGAGGCCATGAGGGAGACAGTCGACGACTTAGACACTTCACTGAGCATGGGTATCATCCAGCGAATGCGAGAACAGCGACGAAAGGCCGGACTAGAAGCCACAACAACTGGAGAGACGGAGGGATAGAACATGATGAAGCGACAAGGCGAAAAGTGCACTCATTGGGTAGCGCGGACAACAAAAGTTTTCATAGCATGAATTATACTTCGTTCATCGGATGTTCTTCTGGTTCAAAGTGAGAGTGGAGTTATGTTTGACTGAACGATCCCATGCCCTCATGTTCGCCCTCGCTGCCTATGTGTAGTATCTTCATTTGCCCCCTAGCCAAGTCAGACTCAACCTTGAGGCAGTGGCAGATCTCAACCTAAGTCGACTAAAGTAAGTTGACACCGAGGAGTCGCTCAGAGCCAAGTTGAAGTTGCCGAGGACTCAACTGCACCCAATCAGCGCTATTCTCGCTTACCGCGCTGTCACGCTGTCACGATATCCACAATCCCCGCCACTTGAGCTGCTTGTCGTCGCTTCGACTTCAACGCCAGGCCGTGTGTTCTAGTTGGTTAAGATTCCTGCTTCACATCGAAGATTAGATCGCAGGAGGTCGCAGGTTCGAGCCCTGCCACGGTCAACCAACATTTTAATGTTTTGCCTAGCTGTGTCTATGTTAGCGCTTGGCTCTTGTAGAGGAGTAGCAGCAATCCAGATGCGAGCTTGAGACTTTTTGCAGAGTTGTGCTAGACCTGTGATTGGAAAGTCACAGTGTGTCTCGACTTGAGAACAAATACGGATAATTCAGTGAGTTCGACGGGCCTGTTTTGTTTTCTCCGGGACGGCAATCTCGGCCGCCGGCCGGGACGGCACTTTAGCGCTGCCCACCCGGCGCCCCTTCGCTAAGCCCCTTTTATTTCTCCATGGGATGCCCACCGCCGCGCCAGCTTTCTGGGCGGCAAAAACTCCACCAGTAGGCGTCTTTAAGCCGAGACTTGTTTCCGGATGTGCCGGCATCGAGCGGCAGCAGCTTGATTGTTTCTCGGCAAGACACATCTTCCAATTCTGAAAACGAGACCCTATTGAGAAGAGTCGGCTGGCGGCTATTTCGGCCTTAGTCACTTGATAAAGCGGCATTTCATGTACGATCGCATTCCCCCCAGAACGGATCTTGGAGGACCGTAAATACTCGGCGGGGGATGCGAACCCCGGTAATCTGGGGAGGACGCCGGCGGGCTGGCTAGGCTCCTCTTGGCACGGCATTCATCGCGAGTACCGGCATCGAATTCGGTGTCTTTCTGCAAGGGAGACGCGAGGGGCAAATGACTTAGACAGGGAGAAGAGCATTTTCGGAAAGGATATCCGGTGAGGTGAGCCAGGCTGGCTCAGAGCCGAGTCGTAGGGAATTGGTTCTGATCACGCGTATTCCGAGATGCTTCGAGTCGAATCGTCGAGGACTTCTCGATCTGTTCCCAAAGACCAAGAAACACACCCATTCTTACGTTGGTCTTTTAACAATTGATCATCATGACGTTGTCCAACTCCTAGTTCCCAGGCAGACGTCTTTCAGTAGTCTTGTCTTAATACTATGGAAAAGCAAAGCCTTTGCCACAGACGGCTTGACATAAAGTAGCAGTGCGTGTGACAATGGTCTATCCAGCACACGGGGTTAGCCTCATATATATTTATACGGTGGGGAATCCGGCGGACGTGGCAGGGAACAACACGGCAACACCGGCTCAAAAGAGGGAGCTATTCAATCTTCGGAAAAGCCCCTGGCGTTGATCGCGGTAGACCGTTGAACCGGTTACTGAGCCACGGAATGGCCCGAAGTAAAGAACCGGATAGCCAGACCGAGACCGATATTCCGCCATGATCATTCGGATTTCCATTTCGGCTTTCCAATATAATGATTGGGGCGTTATTGATGCCGTCCAAAATCGGTTGAACACGAGTCAAAGCTCAATTTCGACCTTCGTAAACCTTCTACTTTTGGCACATCGAAGCTGGGTTGGCATGTCTTTGAGTTCCCCCTAAAGATTTTCCTGGGAATCAATTTGACAACAAAGTAACGAGCAAATTAACCAACCCACTTACCCCATTGGTGGAGTCATCCAGAGCCCAGAGCGATGGCACGTTGTGCGTCGATATCCCGAGTCCTTTTAAAGTGAAACCGCCCCTGAGTGTTTTCGACCCGCTAAGCCCGCAACAAGCTTTCCGACCGAAGCTTAGCTCCGGCATCCCGGTAGACTCGAGGTCCAGCCTCGAAAGATGCTCACGTTCTGCCCGGACGCTAGCGATCCTTCCGGAATTCAAGGCCGTAATTGGAGGGAGTTGTCTTCCAGAGAGACAAGTCGTGGGGACTTGACGTCGTAGGCATGTTGTAAGTATATCAACTACCGCGATCCCGCATCCAAAAACGCATCTTGGCATCCCATTGTTGGTTCCTGGTCTTACTCCTTTCAAACTACGTTCTTTTCTTGCTCCGTTCCACGTTCGCTACAGTTTTCGTCACTCATTCTCGACCTTCGACTCACGATGCAGCTCTCCTCCTACCTCGTCTCCGCCATCCTGGCTGTCACGGCCGTGGCCTCCCCCACGCCCACCATCGAGAAGCGTGCCACCACCTGGTGCGACTCTTTCGGCTCCCTCGCCACCGGCGGTTACACCGTCTACCACAACAACTGGGGTGCCGCCCAGGCCACCTCCGGCAAGCAGTGCACCACCTTCACCTCCCTGAGCGGCAGCTCCGTCTCTTGGTCTACCTCATGGACCTGGGCCGGTGGCCAGGGACAGGTCAAGTCCTACTCCAACGTTGCCCTTGAGAAGATCAACAAGCCTCTGTCTTCCATCAAGTCCATCCCCTCCAAGTGGAGCTGGAGGTATGCCACCCCGTTCCCGATACCATCTGATACATGATTCTGACCGTAACCCTCAGCTACACCGGCTCCAACCTCGTTGCCGACGTCGCTTACGACCTCTGGCTCGCCCCCTCCGTTGGTGCCAACAACAAGTACGAGATCATGATCTGGCTCGGCTCCTACGGCGGCGCTGGCCCCATCTCCAGCACGGGTAGCAAGATCGCCTCCCCCAAGGTTGCGGGCACCACCTGGAGCCTCTTCAAGGGCCCCAACGGCGACACCACCGTCTTCTCCTTCGTTGCCCCCAGCAACATTGCCAGCTTCAACGGCGACCTCAAGGGCTTCTTCGACTACCTCGTCTCCAGCCAGGGTGTTGCCAACACCAACGTCGTCACCTCCCTCCAGGCCGGTACTGAGCCCTTCTCCGGCACCAACGCCGTCTTCAAGACCTCCGCCATCTCCATCGCTGTCCAGTAAATGTCCAGCAAATGATCATGGAGCGCTCCAACCGTGTTGGACGTCAAGTCAACGGCTCAGCGCCGTGTGGCTCATCCTTACAAACCTTCCATACGTAAATATTGTTGCTTGACGTATATAATCAAATACCAAAACCCTAGTTGGTTTTCACATACAACTTCTTTGTTGTTCTGAATGATCTACCTGGTTGATGTGTTCCCGTATTGGTTTCCGTGGTGAGTTGACTCATAGTCCATTGGTCGACCGCTTGCTAGATCACCGAAGCCATCAGTTTCCGGAGCCGAGTTGATGATGCTTTGCTCAGCTGAGCGCCGTATCACCGTATCTCTATATATACTGGCATGTAGTTTCCAAGATTTACATGCGGTTATCGACATAGGTTATGGCTGAAGGTGAGTTGAGACCGTGGCGTTAGAAATTCGATACCATTTCATGTTCACAATATCAGACAGCACAACATCTAATAGTGTGCATGATGAGGTTCATTGAAAGTTTCTACATGAAAATGAACGACTAGTGTATAGTCTCGCCTATTTACTGAGCCTTCTGAGCCGGAACGTTGATGGTGCCGAAGTTCCAGGTCTTGCCGCCATCGGTGGTCGACATGGCTCCGCCGGTCGCGCCATGGTCCCAGTTACCGCTGTGCTTGAAGCTCTGGTCTGCCTTGCTGAGCACAACAGAGACATCCTTCCAGCCTATCGTTGTGTTAGTCATCTCTCTGGTGTTTTCTCCATTGGGTAAAGGGGACATACTGTGGGCAGGGTGCTGGGCGCAGCCGCCGGAAGCGCACTCGATGGAGATGTAGAAGATGTTTCCGTGCTGTCCCTTGCCTGCAAACATATTTGTCAGTCCATTGGTCCATCGCTGATCACTTGAGATTATCTCGAGACGTACTGGTAGACACCGTTGAGAGAAGCTTGCCATCCACGTAGACATTCTGGTCCCAAAGCTGGGTAGACGGGTTCAACTTGTCTGTGAAATTTATTAGTAAAATTACACAAAGACAAACGTAGGCATGCTTACAGTGAGTCTTGATCTCAGATCCGGGAGAGGCCGTCACAGCGTCGCCGACGGTTGGGTTGGAGCCTGGAATGAAAGAAACGAGTCAGCGCTGGTCGATGAAGGAGGCTACTAAGCCAATAATCTGGAAACACGCACCGACCAAAGTGTATGCAAAGTTGCACCAGTTCTTTCCACTATCACCGCAGTACGAGCTACGTAAAACTTGTCAGCGTCACGTCTCAAATATTGAGCAATTAAATGTTACATACCCGCTGGGTGAGTTGGAGGTCACGCCCTGGAGGAAGGACGCCTCGTTCTCCATCATGATGGCACTCCAGATGGCCACATCGCCCGAGATAGAGGAAGGAAGCTTGGGGAGAACAAGCGTAGCGCTGGCTTCCTGGATGTAAGCATCGCCATTGGTGAAAAGAGTGACAATGTCGGAGTTTGCCTGGACTTGGCTGATGAGCGCCGCAAGGGCACCGCCGATGGCTGCGCGTACTCCCTTCATGGTGTCGGACTTGGTTGAATATTTACAAAAAAACGAATGAAACGAACGTGATGGGACAATGCTGTTGTGATACACGAAGAATGACCAGAGGCAGGCTAGGTGAATAACCTTATATGAACACAATCATAAACCGTGATCTTACAAAAGGACCTCAAGCGAGCTTGTGATTGTTCCATTGGATGAAAACCGTATATCCCAAACGGCACTTTGAGAGTTGAACCTCGCTATCCCTTCGGCAGGAGCCCCAGGCTCCGCAACAAATTGCTTTTGATCGTATTAGTTGCATGGTAAAGTCTCCGTCGTGCGATGGTGCCAGGATGGGCTACTCCGGAACAGCGAGAGTAATATATGACTTCGATTCAATTGGTGGACAAGCGTCTTAGCGCTGTTCTCAGGGGCATTGAAGCGCAGAAGATCCGGAGTATTATCCGCTTTTCTGCGCACAGGCACTGCCTCTTTTACGTACTGTCACTTGCTTCCCGCGACATAAAAGGGAAACTTCTCCCGGGCGAGATTCACTGACTGTCGCCTAATACATTTTTCGCCAGTTATTGCAAATTAAAGAGAGCTTCGAAAGGGGTTGCTACGTTGCAAAGAGGGGTGGGAATTGTACTTGTGACCATGCGTATTGAGTACGACGGTATGACCGAGATCTAGATCGTGATCCTGGAAGCTTGAAGTATGAGTTGCTGATTGCTACCTCGTCCAGATTGTTTCCATAGTCAGACATAGACTGAGGACAGTACTGTTCCCTACAACCAAGCCTCAAGAGGGGCACACAACAGAGGGTTTCTCCGATGTACACCACGCCATGCCATGACCCAGTGCCGACCTTCATGCTTCAGCCTCTCAGTTACCGGGCTCCGGACTGTGCTCTGGCGCGTCCAAAGGTTTCTGAGCGTACCAGAAGTAGAAGTTGAAGTAACGATGCTTACTCAAGTCGTCCATCTCCTTTCTGGCCGTGGCTGTCCACACGGCCGCCTCCACTGGGGTCAGACCATGCGCAATGAGTGGCTTTTCAAAGGCCTGCAACGCGCCGAGGACAGCTCCCTGCATATACTTCCCAATTAGCCGCAAAGTCTTATCCTTTGCCCATATACCAATCGGCACTTTCTTGATTTCGCAGTGGATGTTCTTGAAGCCTGCAGCTTCAATGTGAGGTCTTAGATCCCGGGCCTTGTGCATGTTCATCCCGAAAAGGTTGAAGGCGTCTATCAGGAGGTCGTGAAATGCTTTGTACTTGTCATCCTCGGCCATGCTTCCATCGTCGCACTGCACTTGGAAATGGAGTTCCTGGAACTCTACCCAGCCGCCGGGCTTCAAATTCCTATGCGTCAAGTTAGTATGAAAACTGTAGACAAAAAGCCATAACTCGGATTGTCTAACTCATAAGCATCGTTTAGGATTTTGTCGGTCTTCTTCAAGACCGTGGCCATGGTTCGCAAGTGGATCAGGTCGAAGTCGCCTCCGTTCAGCCACTCGTCTTCGGCATCGTCGACAAGGAACTTCAGGTTAGGAGGGACCCAGGATGGCTGCATTGGAGATAAATCAAAGGCCAAGACATCTGCTCCTGGAAACTGATCCGCGACTGCGACACCAGGTGGCGAAATGTCAGAACGTCTATTTCGACATCCGTAACGGAAAATCCAAGTATCGACTAACCTTCAATCGCCCAAATTCCTGGCAAAAACGTCGTCAGTAACCGTTCCAACCAAAAACAGGTGAGACACATGATTTACCGGTACCAGTCCCGATATCAATGATCTTTCTGGGATCATCTCCAATGGGAGAGTAGAAGAGTTTGCCATCCTAGTCGCGCATTAACTTCAAATGAAGTATTCGGATTACCGTTTTCGGGAACATACAGTCAGCTCCATCATCAACGCATGCTTCATGTCTTCTCTGCTCTTTTCTCCCTCGTCGTTAGGCATTGGGTACCGCCCATGGCGGTAGCTATGGTAGCGACGTCCGTTCTCATATTCATGAGCGTACACGCTGGAGCTCAACGAAGCGGAATCAGAGGACCTGGCGTCCCATTCGACAGGATCAAACTCGCTCGGGTCCGCCGGTTCATCGGCAGCCTCAATGGCGTCGGCAGGGATTTGAGCAGCGGGCGCGGGCGCGGGCGCGGGTGCGGGTGCTTCGGTTTCGTTGCTAGGGGCCGCCGGCTCATCAGCCGCCTCAATGGGGCTGGCGGGGACCGGAGCAACGGGCACTGGTGTTTCGGTTTCGTTGTTGGACATGTTTCCGATGCAACACTGAAGTTGGAAAGAAATGTTTGTTGCACGGGCGCAGCAGGAGATTTGTGGATGGGAGTTGAGAAAAAGAGGACATGGAGGCGAGGAGGAAAGAGGGGCAACTCGACTCCCTGCAATAGTGACCAGATAGTGACATGATAGGCTTCGCTGGATGCGATAGGATCCATACATATGTGAGGAAATCGCTGCGACCGCAGCAATTGCCAATGCATTATCTCCAACAAGTTCGTTGATTCAATTGGTTACTGCTCGGTCTGTTGGTTGACGGAAAATCAGAGATTGGCTTAGAGCCTGGGCAAATACCGGGGTTTGATCCGCTCTTGGATGTCAGCCGATAAGTGTTTGGTTTTCGGACGTTCCAAAGTATTTACCGGGTAAAAAAGAGCCAGTCAATCAACCAGACGTCCACGCTACCAAGATCCCTTGCAGCAGAACTGCATGTTGCCCCAGCTTAGTGGCGAGCAACCTGCCTCAATTGCACTGGCGGCTCGGCTGCAAACATGGCTTCGGAGAACCAACCCGGGACCTCGGAAAAAGGTGTGACGATCGCTTGTCGGGAGAATCAAAAAAGGCTCATATCATGCAACACCTTGGGAATCAGCAGGAACTGAACTTGCGGTCATAATTGAGTGTAGAAAACTGGGGGATTATTGTTGCTGTACTTCCGACACAAAAGCCCCGAGCCGTTGATCGAAGGTCAGGACTTTTGGCTAGGGCCGGCGAGAGGACTACGCAAGAATAAGGAACACGGCAGACATCGTGTGTTGCAAGTTTGATTCCTCATTATGACTCAATACGAATGAACCATTCTTTCTCTCCCTCTTTGGCCTTCACTGCAGCCCGACGTACCAAGTTATCTCCAACAGCTAACCTCAACTTCTCAGCCGTGCTGGGGGCATTGAGCACCAGCGGTTCCCTCACGTGGTTCATTTCACGGGCCGCCTTGACAGCTTCTCTCAGAGCAAAGAAGACCGAGCAGCCAAGGAATAGAGGAGGTTCTCCTGTTCCTTTGCTGCTCTGGATGGAACGAAGCTTGCTCCAGCTGATCGGGTTGCCCTCGGAATCATGCTGCAACGTCGACACGTTGAACTCCTGAGGGATGTCTGAGAATCCTGGCAATGATGTTAAACGCTAGTCTCACGATCTCATCAAAGTCGAAACTCACCTGGGATCTTGTACGTTCCCGGGCCTTTGGTGAAGAGTTCGCCCGACTTTGTCCACAAGGACTCCTCCATTGTGAAGAGGCCCTGCCCTTGTACGAAAGCCCCTTCAATTTGGCCATAGTCGATGGCTGGGTTGATGGATCTTCCAATGTCCATCATGATATCGGTTCTCAGAACCGTCGAGTCTCCCGTCAACGTGTCGAGTTCGACTTCGCTGATTGCACTATTTCGACGTCAGCAAGAGAGCATGTCTGAGGACGCTGAAGCTTTACTTACACTCCCTGAGTCCAATAATAGTACCTGTGCGACGGATGTCAGTGAAAGCTTCCCTCAAACTGAGGTGACTTGGAACCATTTGACTTACATGGGCAGCGGATCCTTCCAATTGCCCCATTCATAACCAATCCTGGGCATCTTCCAAAAGCCATTTGCCGCCAGATTGACTCTGTCTTGGTAGGCTGCGTGTGCGATCTGTGACATAGGGGCATCAGCACCGTATTTCTCTCGGTACGGCGCGAGTCGCTCCCGAAGTTGATCGCAGGCATTCTTGACTGCTTGCCCGTTTAGGTCACTTCCAGAGGATGCTGCAGTTGGCGACGCATTGGCAACCTGGTCAGTCTGAGAGTCCTTGTTGAAAACCTCGTCCACACTGACTCCCAACTCCTCGGCCGCAACTTGGGCCATCTTTGTGTACAAGCCTTGGCCCATTTCGGTGCCACCGTGATGCAGCAGGACTGACCCGTCCTCGTAAATCTTGACGTAAGCTCCGGCTTGGTTCAAATGAACGGCAGTTGCGAAGCTGAGCCCGAACTTGGTGGGAATCTTGGCGATGCCTCGCTTCTTCCAACGGTTCTTGGTGTTGAACTCTCGAATGGCAGCCTTCCGTTTTTCGTACTCAGAAGTCGCCGTGAGTTGCTCGAGCATGGTTGGAACATGAAAGTCATCGGTGATCTCTTGCAGGAAAGGCGTCCTTTGGCCGACTTCGTAGAGGTTCCGGCGGCGAAGCTCATCGACGTCGATGTGAAGAGCTTCGGAGATCTTGTACATCACGCTCTCGCACATGTACATCCCTTGAGGACCGCCGAATCCACGGAAAGCAGTGTTGCTGACGGTGTTGGTCTTGCACACCCACCCCCGAATCCATGCATGTGGGATGTAGTAGCAGTTGTCGACGTGTGTACAAGCACGATCCCTGTGAGTTATATGTCAGCGTCGTAAGGAGTTTGGTCATCGGTCTGGGAGCTCTTACATGACGGCGCCACTCATGTCGAGTGAAGCTCCTCCATTGTTGTACAAGTCCATGTCAAGAACTTGGATCTTGCCGTGTGAATCAACGCCCGCTTTCCAACGAGCCTGGAACGGATGCCGCTGGCCAGTTATAGCCATATCCTCGTCACGGTTGAGCATCATGCGCACGGGTCGATTTGCCTTGCGCGCTGCAAGAGCAATATACATGGCGATAGGCGTGCTCCTACTCTCCTTGCCTCCATAGGCTCCTCCCATACGACGAACCCTCATGTTGACACGACTCATCGGAAGTCCCAGGACTTGCGCAACGAAGACTTGGTTTTCCATGAGGTTCTGCGTGGAACAGTAAACCTCCATGGACCCATCTTCGATATGAGGAATTGCGAGTGCTGCGTTGGTCTCCAGATAGAAGTGCTCTTGGCCGCCCATCTTCGTGGTGCCTTCGATGATGTGATCGCATTTGCTCCACGCCTCCTCAAGTGATCCGTCAACTGCATCACCCTTCCTGAGCTGCTTGCCGTGCTTGAAGAAGCTGTTAGCCTTGATGGCTTCGTCGATTGTGAAAATTGCTGGTAGGTCGTTGTAAGTGACTTCCACTCGATCGGCAGCTGCTCGAGCTTGAAGGGCGGTCTCGGCGTAGATGCAGGCAATGACTTGGCCGTAGTAGGTGACGGTGCCGTCTGCGAAAAGCTGCTCATCATGCACAACCGCGCCCCAGATGTTGGTTCCTTTTGCCGGGCTATTCTTGTCTATGTAGCCCACGACTCCAGCCATCTCTAACGCGGCCGTGTAGTCAACGCTGACGAGCTCGGCGTGTGCTCTCTTTGCAAGCACCAACGCGGCGAACAACTCGTTGTGCTGTTTCGGCATGTCGTCCAGATACTCAGCTTCGCCAGTGCAGTGTTTCAATGCTGACAAGTGGGGAATAGGTCTGCCAACTGTTTGAGTCCCCCTGTTCTTCATGGAAGCAGTGAAGTTGTCACGGCCTCCCGAAGATATTCCTCGGTGGATCTCTTGGATCAGGTCCGCGTTGACCTTGGCAAGACCTAATTCGTGGATCACCTCATGCCAATATCTGAAGAACATGGAGATAGTCAAAACTGAATGTCTTGATTAGCAACATTGAAAGCAAGAGACCCAAGCCGAAAATGAACTGTACCTCTCCGATATTGGGCCATGCCACCAGGAACACCGTAGCCCAGGTTGAACTGCTCGAGGAGAGCATCCGTTGCAGCTTCCAGTGTAGCGACCTCGGCCCATCGCTTTCCAAGGATTGCATGCTGTGCCTTGTCGGCCATGACGGTGGTCGGGGCCATGCCACCAAAGGCGAACGCGGCATCCTCAACAAGACCATCTTCATCAAGTCGAACCCTTAGACCAGCTGTAACAATGGCGATATCATCATCCTTCCTCTTGGCTTGTTTGTAAGCTTTTGTGACTTCGCGTGCACCTTCTGGAGGCAGAGGCACAATGATCTGAGTGATGACGCCATCTTCAGGGAGAGCAGTAGTCCGGTAGCGAATGAACCAGGACGAGAGCGGGATTTCGAAAGATCCTTTGGAGTGAGACGTGACGGAGACTTTGGCTCCAGCAGCCAGCAGCACTGGAGCAGAGTCTGAGATGGGACTTGCGGTGGCTAAGCTTCCGGCAAGACTGGCGACGTTGCGAATTTGACGTCCTGCGAAGTAGCGAAGCTGCTTCCGGAGTGCCTCAAGAGCAAATGCTTTCGCGCCAAGTTTCTGGTACAGAGTGGTGCAGAGCTCCTCGACTTTGGTCAATGTCAGGTTACCTGGAATGCAAACCTCCTGCAGAGAACTCAGCTCCGCCTGGGTCTGGAGGCCAGGGTCCCTGTATGTGTTGAGCTCGGCGATGTCTGCCGCAAATACGGAAACCTGGTACGCTAGCTTCTTGAAGCGAACCTCAATCTGTGTTTCACTTGCACCCCCTACAATCTTCGCCGATGGGTGGGCTGCCTTGATCTGTATAAGTTGGTCGAGGGTTGTCGGTCTGAACCAAAGCCTTCGGTCGTCGCCGTAGCAAATTGGTTGGGGTTCGTATCTCCAAAGCGAAGGCGGGAAAATTGGTTCTGTTGTTGGGTCGTACGGCACCAGTATCTGTTTGGTGACCATCTCGTCTGGCGAGTTGGATTTTATGGGGGTATCTTTGGGTCTTGGAGCTGAGATTGGTGTCTCCATGGTCTTAGGTGACGGCTCCTCAGTCGTATCGGAACTGCAGCCACCTTGTTTCGGCCCATCCCGACAACAGCCGCCCGGACGACCACAGGATCCCGAGCTGCTAATATTCGAGACGATGTTATCTTCGTCGTCATCAGAAGTAGGAGGACTTGGTTCTGGGTTCGCAACAACTTCGTTGATGTCCGCAGTGTTTGGGGTGTCTCGACAACACCCTCCCGGCCGACCACATGAAACAGGTTTGCTTGCAGAGCGCAAAACGCTATCGTCGTCGTCTTCAGATAGAGGCGGGCTGATCACGGATTCTTCTTTGGGTTCTCCGCTGTTGGCGAGAAGGCCTTTGAGGTCTTCGGTGACAAACGTTCGCGCTGCCTCAAAGATGGGTTTGTACCCAGTCTTGTGATTGATTAGTCACAGTTCTCGACACCCGATAAACTCACTTCAGAAAGAGAACGGAAAACTTACACATCTGCAAAGATTGCCATCAAGATGACCCTGGAGCTCGACGTCGGAGTGGCTTAGATAGAACTTTCCGTCTCGGTAAGAGTTTCTGATGAGAGCGTACAAGCTCATGACAATTCCGGGGGTGCAAAAACCGCATTGCGTACCACTACGGTCGTTAGAATGTCCTGCTATGTCTAGTTTTCTTCATGGATCTCATAATGCGTCTTGTAGGGATATGTGACCCAGATTTGGAGGTAAAATGACATACTGCATCTTTGCGATTCTCTCTTGGAGGGGGTGTGGGTGGTTGACATTACCGAGCCCCTCAATAGTAATAAGGCTTTTGCCATCAACCCCGATCAACGGATAGAGACAGGCGTTGACGGCAATGTGCTTGATCCGCCGGTCTGGTTCAGCAACTTGAAGAACGACGGTGCAGGCACCGCAGCCTCCTTCGCCGCATCCTAGTTTTGTGCCCTTGAGATTATCCTGGGCTCGGATCCAGTCGAGGAGAGCCCAGTCCGGGTTGGGGTTCTTGACAGTCACGGGTCGCCCATTGACGAAGAACTTCAACGTCGAAGTCTGGTAGGTAGACTTGATCAAGGAGGAAAGGGTCTCGACGGTTTTCTCTGGTGAAACATCGTTGCCATCATCTGACAGCGGCGGCGAAGGCAGGGGCTCCAGAGCTGCCATCATGAATGGTGTAATCGCGAGGAATGTCGTTCAGAAGCAGAAAGCATCGCATGTGTGATATTTAGACCGGGGTACGCGAGAAACAGTTATCTATCTAATCTTGAAGGCTAGCCAGCGCGGAGAATTGAATCCGAGCCGGTGAACGTGGCGCGCCACACGTAGATGCATGCCCGCAGCTGCTACCCAAATTGTTTCCCTCCGTGAACCAAATCCATACGCCAGCCCACTTTTGCTACTTTGAAGGGTTGTCCCATGAGCCTGAAGTTGCAGTTTTCGGAATGTTCCAGGTCATTAGTAAACACAAACCCCTTGATATATCGGAGTTCGGGGGTGGGGTGTAGATGCCAGGGTCCTCGAACTACCAGTCATCCCCCCACTCCTGCTAATCGTCATGTCAAGGTATGTGGCAACCAGTTACCTCACAATAAGTATTGCTAACAAGAAGACAAGCGCATAGGTTAACCCCGCGTTTTGGACAACGAGGGTTCTTGTTGGCCAACTTCAAGCAGGCTCTCGGCGTTGTGCTAAGGGCAAGGGTCTGGAGGCTTAAAGATTGGCCCCGGCCGAATTCTGGAACCCAGCAATGAAGAAAGAATAATGAAATTAAATCTTTAATATTTGCTAAGAGACAACACTGGGTGAGAACGACGGCTTTTCACACAAAACGCCCAGACATGGAAGACCACGCGGATTACAACAGCCGAATCGAGGCGATGAGAAAGGATGAGTTCCCAATGTTGAAAGGTGAGTTGCTTCAAGAAAAATTTGTTTCCCCTGACTTACTGAAAACTCTCAGAGAATGTGTACCTCGACCATGCCGGAATCACATTGCCTGCAAAATCTCTGATGACCACATTTGCCGAGGAAATATCGACCTTATTAATCGGAAACCCACATTCGACATCGACATCTTCCCAATTATCAACGTCCAGAATCGAAAATGCTCGCATGCGCGTGCTCGAAATGTTCAATGCGGATCCGGCCGAGTTCGATGTTGTGTTTGTCGCCAATGCAACAGCTGGAATTAAACTTGTGGCAGAGGCTTTCAGAGATTTACCAGATGGTTTCGACTACGTATATCATCAAGCAAGTCATACAAGTCTGGTTGGTGTAAGACAAGAGGCTCGAACCAGTGTTTGTCTAGACGATGCGGCCACGGTAGACTGGCTAGACAGTCTCAACAGCAGCGGTAGGGTAGATGCAAGAAGGCCCGCGTTGTTTGCGTACCCAGCTCAGTCGAACTTGGATGGTCACCGTCTTCCATTGAAGTGGTGTCGCCTTCCGAGACTTGCAAGCAACTGGAAGCAGCAGGGTCGGGTTTTCACTCTATTGGACGCCGCTGCTTATGTCTCAACATCACCCCTGGATCTCTCGGTACCGAAACACGCCCCGGACTTCACGGTTCTCAGCTTTTACAAGATTTTTGGTTTTCCTGACCTAGGGGCTCTCATTGTCAAACGTCAGAGTGCAGATGTCCTGCTACAACGAAAGTATTTCGGTGGCGGGACTGTTGATTCGGTCGTTTGTGGGCCCGACGAATGGCATGCTCGTAAGAGCCACAGTGCTCACGAAGCACTCGAGGATGGGACCCTTCCTATTCACAGTATCATGGCGTTAGAGATCGCTATGAGCACACACTTACGACTTTTCGGCAACATGGAAAACGTATCGAGGCATACCTCTTATCTGAGTCACAGCTTGAGACAACGACTGAAAGCCTTGCGACATGGCAACGGGGCCCCAGTGTGTGTGGTCTACTTCGAAGACTCAACACAACCAGATGGTCTAGGTCCAGGGCCTGTGGTCGCATTTAACATGAAGACACAGGAAGGCTCTTGGATCACGTTGAGCGAGTTTCAAAAGCTCGCAAGTCTTCAGGGCTTCCATCTTCGGACTGGTGGTGTTTGCAATCCGGGCGGGATATCGGCGGCATTGGACCTCGAATCCTGGGAAGTCAAGAGGAACTACGCGCAAGGTTTCCGGTGCGGAGACAACAACGATGTCATAAACGACAAGCCCACAGGAGTCATCAGGGTCAGTCTTGGTGCGATGAGCATCATGGCGGATGTTGATAAGTTCGTCGGCTTTATCCAAGAGTACTACTTGACAAAGACGCCTACGGCATTGAGCCAATTAGGCATCTCATGCAAACAGAGCACACCGAATGGCTTTATCAAGGATATCATCGTCTACCCGATCAAGAGCTGCCAGGGTTTTCATGTCCCACAATATACTCCATGGCAAGTCCGGCCAGAGGGACTGATGTGGGACAGAGAGTGGTGTCTAGTTCATTGCGGTACGGGTCGAGCGTTAAGTCAGAAACGATATCCTCAGATGGCCTTACTTCAACCCACTATTGACCTTGAAAAGGGAACCCTCGAAGTTTTCTTCAACGGCTACGCTCCGATTGGCCAATACGATTCGATATCAGTTCCTCTGGCAGATGATCCCAAAACGAGCGACATTTCGCTCCAGTGGACAGTCTCGAAGGTCTGCGCCGAAGACGTCTTCGTACAAAGATACACGTCACACCACGTGAACAACTTCTTTTCAAACGCGCTGGGAGTGCCGTGTGTCTTGGCTCGCCATTCGCCGAGCACCACGAAAATCAAAAGCAAAAGGAGATTCGGAAAGTCTATCCAGTGTCCATTTCAAAAAGCTCAGGTGCGCGATGATTACTCAATGCCAGGCGGTTTCCCGGTGTCGGCTTGCGCAGGATCCTGGGGTCCCGGTATCATGAACGACTACAAGCTTCTACTCTCTAACGAAAGCCCAATACTCGCCATCACAACATCTAGCCTTCAGGCGTTGAATGATGACATTGAAGCAAAAGGTGGCCATCCGGTCCATGCAGACGTCTTCCGTGCCAACATTGTCATCGACTCGAACCGATATTCAACACCTTATTCAGAAGACGGATGGTCAGAAATCCAGATGGGTGGAAGCAAATTTACTGTCCTTGGACCTTGTCAGCGGTGTCATATGGTTTGCATTGATCCAAAGACAGGAGTCAAAGGAGCCGAACCATTCATTACGTTGTCGAAGACGAGACGATTTGAAGGAAAGGTGTGGTTTGGCATACATCTCACCATGGAAGGGAATGCAGACAACGGATGTCTCTCAGGACCAGTCCGTCTACTCAGAACGGGGGATAACATTCTTGGCCAAACGGCGTAGTCCAATGCTAACTTGCGCGATGCTTAACGTTGACGCTTATTAGTCAAAGTCGCAATGAGTCCCATCCAAAGCCATGCCTAGGCACCAATGAAGGCCATGCGAATTCAAGCAACAGACCATGATATCATGTTGTGTAATCGCGAATCTCTTGGTATCGTAGATAAACTTTGATGGGTGGGTTGAAGATGAAGAGTGGGGTGTCAAAAGTGGGAGGAAGCATCTCCTGCACAGGCCAAGATCCTTCATATCGCCGAAGTAAGCATAACCAAGCCCCGGTAACACGCTATTGAACGCCGGAACGCGGGGAAGGCTATGCTTTCGCGGCGTTGCACTATCTTCCCGTGGTTATCTTGGTGGATGGAATGGCTACATATCGCCTCGTTCGCCTCCACTTTCTAATAGAAACCGTGGGCGAGACTTGATGTTGGTCTTATCACAATAGAATACAACCTGAATGCGGGGTGCATGAGCGGCTGAGTAGAACCACACTCGAGAAGCTCAATCATGTCTCATGCTGGTCTCAAATAGGTCTCATGCATGCACATGTACGATACTGCAGTTCTTTAATCTTTAGTCTGTGTCTCTTCTCAATGTTGAAGAGACTGATTGAAATGAAGCGGCACTAGATGTAACCTCCTCTTGTATATTTTTCCAACATACTGCCTCACTTGCAACGTCAATTGTGTTCGATCGTCTCATATCGCCTTCTCCTTGCGGTGGCAACGATCAGCAAGTGTTGAATCAGCAAGCCGTCAGCAGAGAAGTAGAACCCATCGTGCAACGCTAACCATATCATCTTGAGAGTAGTATGACTTACGAAGGCATAAGCTCTCAGTGTTGATTTCAAAACGCTGTGGACCCACGTGTACCTCAGTGTTCACGGTGGCAACACAATTCTTCGACTGTGCGTGCAGCTCTGGTATCCAGCAAAAGGGATTCGCAACTCGCCAAGACGACATATCTTTCGTAAATCTGTTGGCGAGAGCAGCATGTCCTCACCCCACTCCTGTTGATGGTCATGCTGGAATCAGATTGATTTCGAGAATGGAGGCTCTACAACCCCCTCCCCCACCTTTGGTCGGGACTTCGGCGATAGCTTCACTTCCCGGAATGTTTGACCCGATACCATGTGCGAAGCAAGTGACAGGTCATTGCGAAGTACACATAGGGTTCAGTGTCAACTTGATGTAAGTCGCAACGCCGGAATATGCCTTGGCGAATCAAGAGGAATCAAATACCAATCCACAGCACTGCTGAAAAATAAATCATCATGAATGTGTGAACGAAGCCATTCTGCAGCTGGTGCCGGAGGGTTGCGATAGAATTCAAGCGACTCCAGAATCATCTCTTCATCATTATGGGAGAGCCCATAATCAAGCGTCGGCGGTAGACTCCTCAGAGCCCCCATTCTCCTCCTTGTAGACATCATACTTGTACGTAGATCCAGGATGATCACTCCTCAAGCCCTTTTGGCCTAGGCCGTAGACCTTCTCTCTCGCTGTCAGCTGCACGTCCTCAGCGGGTGCCTCTGGGTAGAGGCCGCGTCGACGCAGCTCGGGGATCAAAAGATCGACCACGTCTTCGAAAGACCCGGGAGTTGTTACATAACCGATGTTGAAACCATCCAAGTCTCCTTCACGGATCCAATACTCCATCTCATCCGCCACCTTCTGTGGACTTCCGACAGATACCGGACCGAGACCGCCGATAGCCGCCCTCTCGGCAATGACGCGGGGCGTCCACTTCGGGACGTGCTCGCTTGTAGCCGTGAAGGCGTCCAGGATACTCCGCACTTTGTGTGCCTCGAGGGAATCAGCTGCTGTGACTTCTTGATCGACAGGAATCTTCGATAAGTCGATGCCGGTCCAGCCGCTGACGAGCACCAAGCCGCCCACCACGGAGGCATACTTCTTGAGTTCTTCGTGTTTCGCCTTGGCTTCCTCATCGGTACGTCCCACGATAGGGGTGAATGTGGCGAAGAACTTTACAGACTGGGGGTCTCGACCGAGTGCTGCGGCGCGGTCTCTGATCACCTTGACTTTGGGTCTCAGAAGCGTTGGCGAGTGGGAGGACACGAATATGCCTTCGGCATGGGTTGCCGCGAACTCGGACCCGGCGGCCGATGTGCCTGCCTGGAAGAGGAAAGGGGTCCGCTGGGGCGAAGGGTCGACGATATGACGGGTATCGAGATCAAAGAACTTTCCGTGGTGGTGAATCGTTCGGATCTTGTCAGGGTCGGCGTAGCTGTCGTTCACGGGATCTGGTGAGATCGCATCGTCTGCCCACGAGCCTTCCCAGAGTCTAGCACGTATGGTTAGTTTAGGTTCTAGACTTGCACCCTCCTAAGATGGCAATGAAATAGAGCAAACTTACTTGTACAGAACTCTGAGATACTCATCCGCTTGGGCATAACGTTCGTCGTGAGGGATCGGGCTATCCAGGCCGATGGCCTTAAACGCAGCTTTCTTCCAAGACGTGACGATGTTCCAACCGATACGACCTCTAGTAAAGTGGTCTAGAGTTGAGAAGCGCTTCGCGAGCAAGAATGGTGGCTCGAAGGAGGTTGAAGCAGTGATGGCAAATGAGAGATTCTTCGTCACTGCAGCCATGGCACTGATGGGCTATCCCGTCGTTAGCAATCCAGGGTCTTCTCTCATTAAACTCAGTGCGACACACGTACAATTGTCGGATCAGTCATTGGCCATTGAGCAGCACGTCGGATGCAGTTATCGAGGCTGCCCTCATATGTGTCATAGCCACCGTAGGTATCCGCAAGGAAGAGGGAGTTGATGCCGCCCCTCTCCAGCAACTTCGCCAGTTCGATCCAGTAGTTCAGCTCGCGTTTCGTGGCGGACTTGTCTTCGGGATTCTGTAATTGTTTTTCTTAGCGCATGGCCTTACCGAGGCGTTTCCAATACCAACAAACCTTCCATTGACCGGGGGACAGATGCCCGACGGTGGACATGTCGAACGCGTTGAGAAGAATGTGCTTCTTTCCTTCTGGTTTCGTGCCATTCTCGCCGTTGACAGAGGTGTGAATCGGTACTGAAGTCATATTGACGTCTATTTCTCAAATTTTACAGCAGTAATTCGGCGTAGGCTATTGATCAAATACCATCCAACAAGCCCATTCCCGTTCAAGTCGCGGACCTGACATCCATTTTATCGCAAGCTCAGGATTATGTCGACTCACTTGGCGCAGTGCGGGAGGCAACGACTTGGGGAAATATGATTATGTCGTCATCGCCGTTGTCGCCCGTCGCGTGGGACTGGCGTGGGATATTATCTGCAAGAGACCCCAATCGAGTTGCTCCAGACGCAGGTCGAGACGCTCGCGTGATTGAAGGGACGGATGGTGCCATCAGCAGCCCAAACACGAAAAGAGGAATTACGTTTGAGCATAGATTTCGTCGGCTATTTGGGTCACAGTCGGGAGAAAATCCGCTGACAAGTGCATGTTTTGCGCGATGTCCCGCCCGGGAGCGGCTTTGGCCCGACGCATGTCTTGGGTCCTCAGCCCATGAATTAACATCCGCAATGATGAGAGACGCTATACCCGGACGTAGTATACCGAAGTAGATAGAGATGCTACCTGCAAGACCCAATACCAAACTGGCGTGTTCTACGCTTTTGACTCCATGGGCTTTTGCTGGAGGAATGGATTTGAATGACAAATGGACAACAGTTGATCCGGGATAGCCCGTTTTGAGAAGGCTATCTAGAAGCTTCGGAGTAATATCCATCTAATATTTGACAGACCGTCTGTCATTCATGATGAGCCCGTGAAACTCGACGCAGTTGTGATCTACTTTCATCCCTCGCTCGCTCACGCTGATTATGATATTTGAATCAAATGCCTCGTCTATGTCCATCATTCACTGCATCCTGCGGCGTCTTTGCCTCTCCAACAGCTCCATCTTCACTCTGGTTGTCTGGAAAGCCTTTCGAGTTTTCAAGTTGGGGACTAAGGGCGAATGGGTTAGCAATGCATCGCTGACAGCACGTTTGGAAAAGTCTTACTCTTTTCTCCTCACATAAGCCCTCAGCAGATGCGTTGAGATGACAAGCAACACGGATGAGGCCAGAGTAAAGGCAAAACCCTTCGTGTAGCGCGGTGCCTCGACGGTAGGAAACACCAGTAACGGGGTCCACGCCGTCGACGACTGCGAGATGGCGTTGATGAGAACCAACGTAAACGATCTCTCAGCAGGCGAGGATCTCAGCTGAGTATTCACCCACCCGTGTAAGACGCTCGACATGGCGTATGATGAGTAGATTGTCGAGAAGGCGAACCACTTAGCCGCCTCAGGAACGTCCCATACGGTCAGGATGACCAACCCGATGATGTTCCAAGCGTGGGACATCGTAATCGCCCACGCCGGTCCGAGAACGAGGTCCGACGCAAAACATACAAAAAGGGTATAGAATATGCCAAGCCCGGGCGCGATGGTACCGAGTTCGTTAATCTTTGCTGGCGAATACCGCCCGAGACTTTTGATCCAGAGCAGAAAGCTGCCGGACGTTGTGTGAATGCCTCCATTCCAGAAGAAGACGTCGACGAGGATGATACCCCAGAACTGGGGTGAGAGAATGACCTTTTTCATGGCACTGAGTTTGAACTTGCCGTGAGATGTGTGACCTGCACGGTTGAGTCTCTCGACGCCGAGATCAATATTCTCCTGCTTCAAGACTAAGCGGTTCGGTTGCTCCGGCGTTCCTGGAATCACGAAGTATCCCAATATCCCGACTGGAATCGTGATCAACGCACAGATGATGTACATCCAACGCCAGCCAGCGAGACCATTGACACCCTCGAGTCGGGCTGATGCGCCTGACTGGATCAAGCCGGCGGTGAGAGTACCGAGTGACAACCCGACATAGAAGATTCCTCCACGTCGGGCAATCTCATCGCCTCGATACCAGGAGCCTACGAAACATCAGCCTTGGTTTTTGAATATGCTATTCCACTTCTGCTCACCAAAGAGATAGTGCATGATGGGAAAGAACGCAGCCTCGAACCATCCGATCAGGAACCGGTACGCCGCAAGCTCGGCAAACCCAGTCACGCGAAACTGTAGGAGAGTGAAGATTCCCCATGCGATATCGAGAAACGGGATGAGCCAGTGAACCGGGATGTAGGTGAGAACGAACATGGCTGGAATTTGTCCTGTCACGGCGCCTATGACGTAGAAGGTCTGCAGCTGGACCAGCTCATTGCCCTTGAAACCAAGATCCTCTTTGAGACCCGCGACGTAGGCATTGTCTAACAGAGTCAGTGGTGAAGCATTCTGGTATTGGGTAAAACGAAGGACCTACTCAAATTTGCCTGATCTATGTATCTGTAGGCATGTTAGTTCAGCATAGATCGCGTCGTCAGATTCAAGTAAGATCACCTACTTCACCCAGTAGCTCAACACGGCGTACGGCACGATCAAGAGATCCAACTTGCCAATGAGCTTGCGTTCCTCCGGAGTATCAGTATCAGCAAACCATTGGATATGCCACCACTTTCGACGGGCCTGGACCACCATAGCGGCTATGCGGGTTCCAAATCACTGAGTGCTGGAGAACAGGAAGTTCTGAATTCAATTCGCATATGATGTGATAGTGAATTTCTCTGCCATTCAGAGTGTGAGGCAAGCTGGCAGGATTCTTCAGCGTTTAGTACGCTCCCAACATCTATCTCATCGCATCCCATGTACGAAAATCTCCTCCTCCCTTGTCGCCGAGCGTTCGCGTACCCATGCACCATAATGAAACCAAACGTCAACTCAGGCCAGAGTAAGTGGGAGATGTCCATGCAGAGCAGAACTTGGCGCAGAAAACGACCAGTCTCAGTAAGGTCTGCAGATAGGCTGGCAATCAGAGCGGACAAGGACGACGAAGCAGCGTACACCTTCAGCGGGAATATCCCGCAAAGGCGAGAACTTCCTCCATGTTGAAAGAAGACTCCTTGATTGACAATGGCACCATCCCGGGGTCAACTGATGTGACATTCAGTTTGATGCTGATAGGCTGAAGGTGCTTCAGTAGCTCACACATCCCTGTCCAACCGGTTTCCACATGCCGACCAGCATCCCCATGCCTCAGCTTTTGCTCCGTTCTTGAGATTTGGAGGCTTCATGTTTTTCCACAATCATCTCCAAGAACTGCGGATCCGCCATGCCGGGCGGAAAACGGGGTCCCGAGGTTTGTTTGGAGCTCCGATCTGAGGAGGACGTGACAAGGAGGGGAAGCTATTCCCCAAGAAAGTGGAGATATGGCGTGCTCCCCAACATCTGCGCACCTCATCTTTCGCACAGCGGCCAGTACGCACGATGTACCCGTATCGCCGGCGGCGGGGTTGGATCTATTGCTTAGGACTCCATGGTGGGGTGGACAGCTCCTTCATGAATAAGCTGCTTGACGAGATAACATTGTCTTTGCTGTGATAGGGCGCCGGACATACGACCGGGTTCAACCGTCGAGGAGACCTCGTCGAGTCCCTTCATGTGCGTGTAACGCGTTCGAGCACGCCTCTGACGTGATTCCGATGTCCGGGCCGGAGAGGGGTTCGAAGCCATTGAACAAAATACGAAGCTTTGTCTTGAGCGTACTCGCGATTCAGTGAAGCTGCTACCTTAGACTTACACCAGGCCTGCTCCAGACATACCTTCATCATGGGTGACTACCACACTGAAAGCACAACATCAACCACAACGGTCAATGATCTGAACACGACAAATGGCCAGAATGGCGCTGCACCAGAGAGCCTGTCAAAGAAGGCCCTCATCGATAGGACAGTCGACGCACTTCTTACACCCCCGAAGTCGGTCTACTCAGACATCACCTTGGAACTGCCAGACAGATACATAGACGAGCCGCGATCACTCCGTGTCGCCGTCGTCGGCGCAGGACTGTCCGGTGTGCTAGCAGGCATTCTCCTCCCTGCAAAGGTCCCGAATATCCAGCTCACAATCTTCGAAAAGAATGCCGACGTGGTATGTCCTTTCTCGTCTCTAGTCAGTTTCTTCTCACTAACACGACGACCCAGGGAGGCACATGGTTCGAGAACATCTACCCAGGCGTCCGCTGCGACGTGCCCGCACACGTCTACCAGTCGACCTTCGACCCCAACACGCAATGGACCGAGGAATTCGCCCAGGGCCCGGAGATCCGAGACTACTGGCAGGGCCTCGCGCGCAAGTACGACGTGTACAAGCACCTGCAGCTCGCGCAGCGCGTGGAGGGCCTCAACTGGGTAGACTCCCGCGCCGTCTGGCAGATCACGGTGCGCGACCTCAAGACGGACTCGATCCGCATCGAAGAAGCCGAGTTCGTCCTCACCGCGATCGGGAGGTTCAACGAGTGGAAACTGCCGAACTACCCCGGGATCCACGACTACAAGGGCGTCCTGCGGCACGCCTCGAACTGGGATCCCAGCTTCGACCCCAGGGACAAGAAGGTCGCCGTCATCGGCAACGGCGCGAGCGGCATCCAGCTCACATCGAACCTGCACAAGGTCGTCGCGCGACTGGACCACTACGCGCGAAACAAGACCTGGGTCACGGCCTCCTTCGCGGGCGACGAGACCTCCATCGAGCCGATCCCGATCTCGGAAGAGCTGCGCGCGAAATTCCTCAAGGACCCGGAGGCGTACCTCGCGTACCGCAAGGAGATGGAGAGCAAGTACTTCCGGCACTTCAACGGCTGGCTGAAGGGGTCGTCTGAGAACGAGGAGGCCCGCGAGAAGTTCCGCAAGTTCATGAACGACCGCCTCACCAAGAAGCCGGAGCTCGTCGACGCCCTCATTCCTGACTTCAGCCCGCACTGTCGCAGACTTACCCCGGGACCGGGCTACTTCGAGGCCATCACGTCCGAGAAGACGGAGTACATCCAGACGCGCATCCGGCGGTTCACGGAGACGGGTATCGAGACCGAGGACGGACGGCACCGCGCGGTGGACGCCGTGTTCTGTGCGACCGGTGCGAACGTCGATATGGTCCCGCCGTTCCCCATTACGGCGCGCGGCGAGGACCTGACGAAGCAGTGGCGCGAGGGAGGCAAGTACGGGTATCCATACACGTATCTCGGCTCCGCGACGCCGGGTTTCCCGAACCTGTTGTTCATCCACGGGCCTAATGGGTCTGGACGCTCCGGAACGGTGCCGCACAATGTCGAGAACCAGATCACGTACTTCGCGCGGATACTGCGCAAGGCCAGCCGCGAGGGCATCAAGAGCGTGCAGCCGTCCAAGAGGGCGGCGGATTGGTTCACGGAGTACTCCGACGCGTTCTTCGCTACGACTGTGCTTTCGGAGAACTGCAGCTCGTGGTACAACAGCGGCAAGCCTGGATCTCGTGTTCATGGCCTCTGGCCCGGGTCGGCTTCGCTGGCGACCATTGTGCAGAGGGAGCCGAGGTGGGAGGACTTTGAGTATGAGTACCTCGGAGATGCAGAGAACCCTTTCTTGTGGTACTTTGGCAAGGGGTGTACGAGAAAGGAGTTGGACCCTGAGGCGGATGTCACGCCGTACTTAAAGCCTTATGTTGTTGACCCGAAGGATGTGCATGAGAGTTGGCATACTGTCCCATAGAGAGTGATAGAAATATTTCTGTAGAGCGCCTGGCGATGAATGCAATGATTTAATGCTTCGTCATTACTGCAAACGGCTACTTCGAGGCGTTATGTGGCCAATTCATTATGTTTGACGACTCGACCGGATGATTCGATGCAATATCGAGCACACAGCCAGGTCTCGAGACTTGTCAGGCCTCATGTTTTACGTCATTCCTCAATCTCAATCATACAAGCCCAAAGATCACGTCTCTAGGAGTCTGGTGAGCTTCTAAAAAGTCAGAATAGCGTGCGGAATGGACACGATCAACCCAGAAAACGTAGTTGATTATCTTCATGCCCAGCCATCAACCCAGCCCCGTTCCACGTGCAGAACACATTTGACAAGAGCACGATGAGCATATTCACGCCATTGAGTAACAGTCCCATTACTCTGGTTCTCGCACGCCGCTTGCTCGAGTTGGGGTGGTACTCCGGCATCTGTGCGCCGGCGGCGGAATGACGTGCTGTCCCCGGTTGATTTCGCAACCTCTCCAACGCCGAGTGAACCCCCGTCGCCGGAGATTTCCACTGAGGACCTGAGAACACAATTCTACAGACTGAGTTAATTGGGGTAGAATTTGACGAATGCTAGTATCGAGTGAGGGAAAAGAGGGAAGGGTGAGAAAAAGTTTGTGTAGACCCTGTCAATCTAGGCCATCTCAGTCGCCCTCTCCGGCATTTGTCGATGAACCCTGAATTGCGCTCGCTATGACATACATCCCTGCCTTTGGGTATCGCTTGATCTGATCCATAAGACGAAGGATTCCCGTTCCGTTGATCCATCTCATTGTTTACTACGCGAGCTCGATCTTGGCCTTCCAACATCACTTGAAGCCATCGACACCTTCATCGTCTATTTCCAGCTTCGAACTTTGCCGTTGAGCAGAGCACTGACGAACCATGGCTGAATACGGGGACGCTCACAAGAGCGACGTCGCCCCTCCTAAGGAGGAAAGGCATCCGGGTTCGTCTCTTCCTCCAGCAAAACACCATCAACACAGCACTAATACACAAAAACAGTGAAATGGTACCGCTCGACATTCTACAACATGACCATCCTCGGCCTCTGCAACCTCGCCGCCCCGGGCATCTGGGGCGCCATGAACTCCCTCGGCGCAGGCGGCGCCGCCTCCCCCAAAGTCGTCAACGCGGCCAACGCCCTGACCTTCTGCCTCATGGTCGTCTCCTGCTACTTCTCCTCCGTGATCGTGCACTACATCGGGATCAAGGGCGCCCTCATCTTCGGAACGTGAGTCAAACCACTCTCCGTCCTCAAATCCAACCTACATTACAGACAAATTCTGACATGTTGTATCATGCACAGCGTCGGCTACGCCCCCTTCGCCGCGGGCCTCTACACCAACAACCGCTACGGCGTGGAGTGGCTCATGCTCCTCGGCGCCGCCCTCTGCGGCATCTCCGCCGGCGTCTTCTGGATGGCCGAGGCCGCCATCGCCATCGCCTACCCGGAGCCCTGGAACCGCGGCAAGGCCCTCGGCTACTGGCTCACCTACCGCCTCTGCGGCCAGATCCTCGGCGGCGCCATCAACCTCGGGCTGAACGCCGACAACGACCAGGCCGGCAAGGTGTCCTACACCGTCTTCATCATCTTCATCGCCATCCAGGCCGCGGGCCCGTTCGTGGGGTTCTTCCTGAACAAGCCCGATAAAGTACAGAGGCAGGACGGGAAGAAGGTCAGCTTGGCGATCCTGCAGAACCCGTGGTTCGAGATCAGGGCGACGACGAGGAGTTTTCTGAATCCCAAGTTCCTGTTGATCGTGTTGTGGATCGGGCAGGCTGTTTTTGCGGAGGCTGTGTTTTTCACGTATCTTGCTAGTAAGTCCTTCTGAGAGTATTCTTGCGAGTCACATGCTGACCAGACGCAGCTTGGTTCTCCGTCCGCTCCAGAGCCCTCGGCTCCTTCCTCTCCGGCATCGTCGCCGTGATCTCGGGTAACCTCCTCGGCGTAAGTCACCATCCCTAACCCCAGAACACCACCTCCGAACATTCTAACGCGGCACCAGCACTGGCTCGACCGCGCCAAAGTCTCCCTCAAGACCCGCACCCGCTCGACCTTCTGGTTCCTCGTGGTGACGCAGGGGGCGTGGTGGACGTGGGCGACGATCCTGGCGACGCGGTTCCGCCAGACGCGCCCGACGCACGACTGGGCGGACGAGAGCTTCGGGGCCGCCTTCGCCGTCTACATCTTCCTCACCATCGGCTTCCAGCTCAACTACCTCTTCCTCTACTTCGTCGTCACGCACCTGGCCCAGGGCGAGGAGGAGGTGATCCGGTACGCGGCGCTGCTGCGCGGCACCGAGTCCGCGTGGCAGGCCGTGAGCTACGGGCTGACGTCGCTGACGCTGTTCGGCGAGGTCGGGGCCATTTACTTCAACTTCGCGCTGTGGGCCGTGGCCATCGGCCCGGCGTGGCTTGTGTTGAGGCACTTCGGCATCGGGGAGGGGGAGGGCGTGGAGAGTGTGAGTGGTGTTGTGTCTAGCGAGGATGGAGAGTCTCAGACGAAGAACTAGACTCGGATGTCTGGGTTGGTGCCGAGTCCTTGGGACCGGCGTCGATCGCGACTTTGGAGATGTCTCATTTACTGGGGGTTTCAGTACTCCATCTATTTTAATTAATCCATTGAACCTTATTCCAAGTAATGCGAAGAACTGAGGAACCACTCTGTCAAGTGACACGCTCAGATCGATGGTGAGTGACGTGCTTGAGCCCGACAAGTTATTTGCTGCAGCATCCACGATAATCCAAACCTTCAGCATCGCATCAGCAAAGCGCTTCCACTTGCCCCTCCAAAAGCCCCGCGGATAGTGGTGTTCCGCAGCGCGTCGGCACATAAGTAATTCGCGACTCTCCGGTTGGCCATCTCGCCTTCGGGGCTAACATGACGTGATATCCTCATGTCGAAAGCTAGAGCTCGGTCGAGTGGGGGCCGCCAGGTATGAGCTTCTGACAGCTTAACCGCATCCGCGGCTAAAGTCTCGTCGTAAGAGAGCTTCAGATAAGAAGTCTCTGTGAGATCTTCCCCCGCGTGCAGGACCTTCCCCTGTTGATGTCTGCGGTCGCGTGGGGTCCGCGGCCGACGTGCGTCTTGCGCCACCTCGCGGTCCGGTGGCATCATCGCCCCGGCTCCACGGTGCCGGACCCACGCCGAGTATCGGGAGGGGCAGCGCAGCGTTGGAGTGACGACCCCGAATGGACGTCACAACAGCTGATGAGGGGTGCTGGGCACCTTGATTACCCCGCGGTCGCCGAGGGATAGATTTCTCTTGAAAAAAAGTCGCGTCGCTTAACGTTTCCTCTTTTTCGACCCTTTTTTGTGAAGAGATCGTACTTCCGGGACCTTCTTTTGAGGCCAGACACGTAAGGACGCGACCGAACTGCAGCGACAATGACCGACGCGAATGGTACCGGAAAGGCGAAGAAGAGCCTAGTGCTCAATGCCTTCGTGGAGATGTGTAAGAAGCATTATTTCCGATTCGCGTCGAGCTTATTTGGATGCGAGTTGCTGACCGAGCTTGGTGGCGCGCAGGCAGCGGACATCAGTCTCCTGGACTCTGGAGGCATCCGGATGACCAATCGTGGCGATTCAAAGAGATCAGTCACTGGGTAGAGTTGGCGAAGCTTCTCGAGGACGCCAAGTTCCACGGCATCTTCATCGCCGACGTACTGGGTGAGTTCTTGCATCCGGGATCCGGGAGTTGGACGCAGAATGTCGAGCTGACGGTCTTCGAGGCGGTTATGATGTATACTCGCAATCGCTAGATCCTGCCAAGATCTCCGGAGCTCAATGGCCTGTCAACGAACCTCTCGCGCCCATCTCCGCCATGGCTGCGGTGACGAAGAGCATCGGCTTCGGTGTGACGGTGTCGACAACGTATGAGCAGCCGTACCACCTGGCGAGACGCTTGTCCACGGTAGATCATCTCACCAACGGCCGGTAAGTAGTCTTCTTCGTTCGCTTCGTCATATTTTTAACAAGGAGTCAGTCTCGGATGGAACGTAAGCGGAACCAAAAACCGGCAAGATATACGCGCATACTGACCATCACAGATCGTGACGAGCTACTTGGACTCCGCGGCCAAGAATATGGGCCTCGCCCAGCAGCCCCAGGTAAGCCCCAAATCCTCTCTGAGCCAGTGACATCGCTGACAGCCACAGCACGACGACAGGTACGCCCAAGCCGAGGAGTACATCAAAGTGATGTACAAGCTCTTCGAGTCTTCCTGGCGCGACGACGCCGTCAAGCTCGACCGTAAGACGGGCGTCTACACCCAGCCCGACCTCGTCCGCAAGATCGACCACAACGGCCGCTTCTTCAACGTGCCCGGTCCTCACATCGTCCAGCCCTCCCCGCAGCGCACGCCGCTCCTCCTGCAGGCCGGCACCTCCAAGGCCGGGAAGCAGTTCGCGGCGCAGCACGCCGAGGCCATCTTCGTCTCGGCGCACGCCCCCGCCGTGTGCGCGAAGAACATTGCCGAGATCAGGGAGCTCGCGCGCACTCAGTACGGGCGCGACGGCAACGACATCAAGGTGCTCGCGCTCGTGACGCCGATCCTCGGGAAGACGGAGGAGGAGGCGCAGGCGAAGCTGGCGGAGTACCGCAAGTACGCGTCGCACGAGGGCGCGCTGGCGCTGTTCGGCGGGTGGACGGGCATGGACCTGAGCAAGTACGGCGACGAGGAGGAGCTGCGCGAGGTCGAGAGCAACGCGGTCCGGTCCACGGTTGAGGGTTACGCGAGGTTCTCGCCTGGCACGGCCAAGTGGACGAAGCATACCATTGCGGAGCACGTCAGCATCGGCGGCAACGGGCCGATCTTTGTCGGTACCGCGGCGCAGGTGGCTGACGGGTTGGAGACGTGGATTGAGGAGGCCGATGTCGACGGCTTCAACTTTGTGGGTGCACCTGCTGTAATGAGTGAGAGTGAAGCTGACTGTGATTGTAGGCGTACGCACTGTTCCCGCAGTCGTTCAAGGACATCATCGACCTTCTCATCCCTGAGTTGCGGCGCCGTGGGCTGTTCTGGGATGATTACGCTGTACCGGGCGGCACGTACAGAGAGAACTTCTACCGCAAGAAGGGCCAGTCCGGGCCGTTGGACGAGCACGTGGCCGCATCGTACCGGTGGAAGGCGGGTGTTTCGGCTGAAGAGGCGAAGATTCCGGAGTAGATGCTCAGTGCGAGAGCGATGTAACTAGGGCTCAGTCCATGAAGAAAAAAAAATGAAGCTATTCCCAAGACCAAAACGGCAAGAGTGTGTTTGCTGCAAGTGTGGGGTTCGTCTTTATTTTTGTTCGGTGCTGTGAGTGGCGGGCGGACCACCAGCGGCCGGGAACAAGTGGCATTACCCACTTTTAAAGCCGAGATTCGCCCGGCCGAGCTGTGCCGAAGGAAACGCTCGCATCTACGGAAGTTTCGCAGTGCTCCATTTTACTTTTCTCTTCTTCGATGGGTCTCGGTTATGTGGGTGTGCGGTCCAGGCATGTTGAGATAAGACTACCTAGTCCATTTTGCAAAAGATGCAAGAATGAGCAGACGGATGATCGTAAAAACATTTCTTAAAAAATGATAGCAAACAGTGGAAAATCTCCTGATAACCTCAGCCCAGAATTGCTTGGATTAAAGCGGAATTGGCCTACTCCGATTGGTCAATTCCTCTCACACACCGAGATATCTTCCAGTGGTTCGGTGCCTGAATAGGGCGCTACCAAGTCCCTACCCAACGGCCGGCAACGCGCTGTAAGGTTGTGTCGCTCCCGCTCTAGCGGCCATGCGGCTGGATTTTCCAGGGGTGTTACCGACGGTTACCGAGCGGCCTGGCCACTCAGCACCCTGTTGGCCGCCTTACATAATCGACGCCATGCCCAAAAAGGAGCTATCGTTATCAAAAGCCATAGCTTCCCTGACCTGCCTGACCTCGGACTGCGTCATTCCCCACCGAGGGGCTCAAGGAGTGACCTGATCTTCCACTTTCTCTCTCCTGAACCGCAAGTTATTCTCGTCGCTGGAAAAAAAAAGTCTTAGCACAGATATAAAAGGTGCTGGACACCCACTTTGGTCTCCAGAGTCACCCCATCGTCTTTCTGTTCCTTGACCGTCGTCCGTTTGTCTCTCCAGAGTCTCCCCTCCTTTCTCCGGGCTTCGACCCTTTGTGAACCTCTCCACTCATCTCATCTTCTCCGCGATCTCTCCCCTCCATCCTCCGCCACACCGACAGATTGAATCGCGTCAAGATGGCGTCACCAATCGCTTCGGCCGCCTTGAGGACTCGCGTCCGCCGCCCGTCGATGCTGAAGAAGCTCACCAAGCCTCAGGACATGCTCCAGCACTTCCCGAATGGCGCCTACATCGGCTGGTCCGGCTTCACCGGCGTCGGCTACCCCAAGAAGATGCCCACCTTCCTCGCCGACCACGTCGAGCAGAACAACCTCCAGGGCCAGCTCAAGTACAGCCTGTTTGTCGGTGCCTCTTCCGGTGCCGAGACGGAGAACCGCTGGGCCGGTCTTGACATGATTGACCGCCGCAGCCCTCACCAGGTCGGCAAGGCCATCTCCAAGGGAATCAACGAGGGAAGGATACACTTTTTCGACAAGCACCTGTCGCAGTTCCCCGTCGACCTTGTCTACGGCTTTTACACCAAGGACCGTCCTAACAAGAACATCGACGTCGCCATTGTCGAGGCTACCGACATCAAGGAAGATGGAAGCATTGTCCCCGGTGCCTCCGTTGGTGCCACGCCCGAGCTCGTCCAGCTTGCCGACAAGATCATTATCGAGGTCAACACCTCTCTGCCCAGCTTCGAGGGTCTCCATGACATTACCATGACCGATCTCCCTCCTCGCCGCAAGCCTTACCTCATCATGGGTGTCGAGGACCGCATCGGTACCACCTCCATCCCCATTGACCCCGAGAAGGTCGTCGGTATCATCGAGTCCGACTACCAGGACCAGACCGCTCCCAACTCGCCCGAGGACGCCAACTCCCAGGCCATCGCCGGCCACCTCATCGAGTTCTTTGAGCACGAGGTCAAGCACGGCCGTCTGCCCAAGAACCTCCTTCCCCTGCAGTCCGGCATTGGCAACATCGCAAACGCTGTCATCGGTGGCCTCAAGGACTCCAACTTCTGGAACCTGAAGGTCTGGACTGAGGTCATCCAGGACACCTTCCTCGACCTCTTCGACTCGGGCCACCTTGACTTCGCGACCGCCACCTCCGTCCGCTTCTCTCCCGACGGCTTCAAGCGCTTCTACGACAACTGGGAGTCCTACCACGACAAGCTCCTTCTCCGCAGCCAGCAGGTCTCCAACTCCCCCGAGATCATCCGCCGCCTCGGTGTCATCGGCATGAACACCCCCGTCGAGGTCGACATCTACGCCCACGCCAACAGCACCTGCGTCATGGGCTCCCGCATGCTCAACGGCCTCGGTGGCAGCGCAGACTTCCTTCGCAACGCCAAGTACTCCATCATGCACACCCCCTCCACTCGCCCCTCCAAGACCGACCCTCACGGCGTCTCCTGCATCGTCCCCATGTGCACCCACATCGACCAGACGGAGCACGACCTGGACGTCATCGTCACCGAGAACGGCCTCGCCGACGTCCGCGGCCTCAGCCCCCGCGAGCGCGCCCGCGTTATCATCAAGAAGTGCGCCCACCCCGTCTACCAGCCCATCCTCCAGAGCTACTTCGATAAGGCCGAGTTCGAGTGCTTGCGCAAGGGCATGGGCCACGAGCCCCACCTGCTCTTCAACTCGTTCGACATGCACCGCGCCTTGGTTGAGGAGGGCAGCATGCAGAAGGTCAAGAGCTTCTAGACCGCTGAAAAGACCAGGATATACGGTAGTACATTGTTGAAAATTTAAATCGGCGCATTTACATGGCAGGCCTGTGGTTTCGGAGCATAGAATTTGGTTTAGTTTTGTCGATAGAAAATGATACCTCGCTGGATAATGCCACACACACTTTATTATTCCCGAACGCCAAGTCGCCGCGATCCACGATGCCAAGCGCTGTCATATCCACAAACCTCACCCATCATCCTGAGTCCGAGATGACCGATCTCCCACCACCCGACTCACCATCTCGGACTCACCATCACGATCTCGGACTCGGCACGGAACACCGCCGAAGCGACCCTCCCTTCGAATCGCCGCCATCATCTCCGACAACGCGCAACAATCTCCTCAAGCGCGTCGACCGCCTCATTCGGCCCGTCGTGCCTCGCAAAATCATCACGCACCCTCTCCGCCGCCCTGCGGTATTTATCCTCCCCCAGCACCCTGCCCACCGCATCCCTGAGCGCCCTCTCCCCCGGCGCGTCCGTACCCAGGTCGATCCCGGCCCCGCTCCACGCCACCCGCGAGCTCACGTCCGCCTTGTCCTCGCTCCGCCCCGCGCACACCATCGGCACCCCGCAGCTCAGCGCCGCGAGGACCCCGCCGTAGCCCGCGTTCGTCACCATCGCGCCCACGTGCGGCAGCAGCTTCGCGTGCGGGACGAACGAGGCCACGCGCGCGTTGGAGGGGAGGGACCCCGCGGGCAGCACCTTCTCCGCGTCGGGGGTTGTGACGATGACGAGGAGGTCGTCCCGGTCCCGGAGCGCCGAGAGGGTGGGGCCGATCAGGTTCGCCGCGTCGGTCGCGTAGGTGCCCTGCGTGACGTGGACCACCTTCTCCCTCGGATGCGCCAGCATCTCGTCCCACCACGCCGGAACCGCTTCGTCTTCGAAGAGCGGGAGCAGCGGCCCGACGAACTTCACGGACGGGTAGAACGCCCGCGGGAACTCGAACGCCGGGGTCGTCGGCATGATATGTAACAGATCCGAGCGCGTGGTATCGTAGAACCCGGACCCCGGCAGCGGCGGGAGCCCCAGCTCCGCACGGTGCCCGTTGAGCACCGCGGTCAGCTTGGGATACAAAAGCCAGCCCGCGACGGCGTGCGCGAGCGCGTTGACCCAGCGCCCGAGGAAGGTCGTGGGGGGTCTCCAGCCCGTCCCCCACGGCGGACACTCCGGGTCGAACGTGACGAGGGGGTTGATCCCCAGCGTGGCGTAGGGGATTCCCGTGAGGTCGCGGAAGCAGTTGGCGCCGTAGGCCGTGAGGTCGACCACCAACACATCCGCCGCGAACTCGGATACGACCTCCTGGTAGGCGGCTACTTGGTCTGGGATTCTGTCTAGGAAGAGTCTGCGCAGGGTCGAGACTACCGAGGCGAGGCCCGAGGTGCCTTCGTCTGGTTTTAGGGGGACGGAGTCGTGCGCTGCGAGGGAGGCGGGCGAGGGGAGGAAGTGGACGTTCGGGATGGGGGTGATGAGGTGCGCGTGGGAGGGGGACGTGAGCCAAGTGACGGTGTGGCCGCGGCGGGTGAGGGCGTGGGCGAGGGGGGTTGTTGGGTTGATGTGGCCTGCGAAGGGCTGTGTTGCGATGAGGACTTTCATTGTGGGCTGTGAGTTGAAGAGAGTTGAATGGAAGTGAGGTTTCTGCTGAAGTGTGATGGTGAGAATTGAGATTAGACGGAGAAGTCATATTGCTCGCGGTTCCGGGTTCTTCGGGGTTTGGATTGGATGCGATGGGACCCCGGGCCTGGAATAAGGTTAAATCACCTGGGCCGGGGACCAGGAAACACCCATCTCAGCCAACTAAAGGAGAGCTACGATCACATAATCGAAAATTTGACATGGCTGACAAGTGCTTATGATGTGTTTCTTCTTGACGCAGTGTTTTCTTGCTGTTAATAACGTTACTGCACTTACCCATACTGCTAGGTGCCCGTGTTGTCAACTTCATCACTTTTGATTGTTTCGATCTAACACTATCGTCGTATTATGTAGGGCTTATTCTCTCCTTACCTGGACAGAAGGCGTCCGCCCTGAGAGGCTAGTAGGGATATAGATAGATATACAACAACACAACAGCAGATTATGAATACACTGTTGTCGAAGTACACTACAATACGTCGTTATTTACATTCGTGTCTAATGTTAAGCGTATGGGGTTCTATTATCCTTGTTTACCAAACAGATCCAAGACACCAGGCAGTAAATCAGGCTTAGCAGGCACAGGTAATGATAAATAAGAGTAGCAATGGTGTATATGCACAGATGGGTGAAAGTATTATAGTAATAGAAGCTAGTCTCCTTGTGAAAAGTCTTCGCTCGAGGGATCGAGAGTGTGTTGGTGATAATGTCTCTGTGTATCACGATGGTGCCAATTCCCTGGCGCCTCGAGGGTCGCGGTGTACTGAGTTATACCAAGTACGGCCGAGTACAAGTCCTGTCCCGAGAGAAATGTCAATTGGTTTGAGATCTCCCGTTGTTGATATAACTATATCAAACTTACCTCCAAACACCAGAAAATGAAATCATTTCCAACTCCCAACAGCGGCCTCTCATCCATTATCGCCCTATGGTTCAGGAGATGTTGAACTGCTTCTGCCCTTCGATCTCGTTGCGTTGCGTGCTACTCTCAGAGGACTGAAAAGCCACCACAGCCAACACCGCTCTCGGGTTTCCGGTTCAGTCTCCGTGTATAACATTTCCCCACGGATTATCTCCGAGCTCCAGAGTAGCCCTTGAACTCGTTCCCAGTCAAAGCCAAGGCCCTGTGAACAAGCCTTCAGCATGAGTTTCAGTACTGTATGCGGTACGATCGTCTTCAGAAGCAACATGGCGAAGTTCAATATCGTCCTCAGTGTACCGACCAAAACGAGCGTGCAGCCGCGGGAGAACTGCGTCCATCGCTGATAGATGCGGGATTGATGCCAGACTTCCAATACCGTTGGGAGAATCGATGGCAGGACCGCCGAAGCAAGGTAGGTCAATATCGGAACAAGAATGAACGACTGCAAAAATGCCGGCGATTCCTGGACATTCTGCCCGTTTTCGGTGTCGTTCAAGAAAGGAAGTGCCCAGAAGGCCTACAACTCGTATCGTTGGAATTAGCACGTGCACAAGGCGTTGAAAGGCGTAATGAGATACCGCTAGAAACCCCAGAGGAGTATAGAAAATAGTGACAATGGTAAACACGTAGATGGCCTGGTTGAGGGATCGGGCGTCGTTGGACTCTCGCAACGACGTTGCGCTGAAAATCTGTGGCCGTCAGCCAAGGGGGCAAGGTTACGAGCGTGTGGTTGCTTACCCCGTCTCGGAGGCGAGTTACGTCTTCGGCTTGGTCTTTGATTCGCTGCAGAAGCTTATCCGAGACGGCGTTGAAGGCGTCAGAAGTAGCTCTCCAATTCGACAGAACATCGTCTCTTGCCAGTCCCGCGTGTTGCGGATCTGGCTTTTCAGAAAAGCGTCGAAACTTTTCATGGAGGCGGTCGAAAGCGTCTCTTTGCTCCGACACACGGTCCTTGGCCATTCGCAAAAATCGAAGTAGGGAATAACACTGTCTTGATCGATGAAACGAGTCGTCAAACATCTTTTTTTCACCACTTTTGACCCAGATTTCTTCAAGCTCATATACCTATCAGTCGTTAGCAATATCCTTGTGTGTGGACTAATTGAGATTTGATGAACATGATAGATTTCGCAACAGTATATTTTTTGACTCGATGTGACGATCGTTGGGAACAGACATACCTCTGTGAAGGTTTCTTCAATAATGGTGTCGAGCAAAACGTTCCAAGCCTTTTCAGATGTCTCCAGGATTATCAGAATCCAGGCGAGAAAGCAGGTGACGCCATCGGGCTGTTCCTTGGAGCGTAAGCCATGTCGCTTCAGAAAACGCCTGTCGGGTCTCAGTTCGCCTTGAGTGTGCGAGAAAGAATCCAGTAAGCAGACCGTAACATAATCTGCCGCCCAAGAGTCGTGAATGTTTACAGCCAGTATAGACCTTTCTTCCACGAATTTCAACCCTGACTTGGCTCCGCATATGTCAATAGGGCATCTCTGAATCACGATCCCATCTACTTCGTCTTCGGGGCCAAGGTCTCGACGGTTATGGTTCTCAATGCTCCAGTATCGTAAGGAGAACTCCATCGTCATACCCCGGCCCTTCTTCTCGAACAAATTGCAAAGCACGATGGCCTGCGCATGCGGATGACGTAAAGGTGCTCTGCAGGGAGGGAGCAGATAGGCCTGCACGAGGCGAGTTACTTGCTCCGGCTCTCGCTGCAACCTTTTCAAAAGCAACGCCAGATCTGCAAAGCTGATGATTTCATTTTCGCTCCGAATCGCTTTTATAACTATGCTGTGAGTAAGGTTAGTGAGAAGTCAGTGAGTTGTGGAATCTGACTATGTTATTTGTCGCACCTTGATTCTTTTGCTTCCAGTGTCTCCGTCAATATCGCGTCGCCCTTATGCAAAGTCAGAATGAAAAGAAGAAAGCGCAATGGAATATCCCTGAAAAGATTTGATCTCACATGCAGCGCTGAAGAGTGTGTCGCAGCTTCATGGCAGGAGAATAAATCGATCGCTTCCAGCCGGCGTTTGCCGTAATCGAACAGATTTGATCGCCAATCCCCTTGCCCGGAATCATCAGTGTGAAGCGGAGAGGCCCAGAACACGCTATAAACTATCAGTAACCTGAATAGTACGCCCTATTTCAGAACGGCACGATACCCTTCTTCTCCATGGCCTAAGATTGTCATATCTTTCTCTTTCAAACTGAGCTGAAACTTAACATCTCTGAGCAGCTTGTGACGACCGTCACAGAGCCGTCCGATGAGTTTGTCGAGATCTGTCCGGCCATTGGGTTCTTCGGTAGGAGGTGACGTCTCTTCGGCGACTTCTTCTTTCGAAATCGTCACCTCGCTTCGAAGACAGGGGCTATGAAGTGGTACTTCGTTTGATGGATTGGCTTCGACCATGGCCACTCCCATGTTCTGGTTTTCCAGGATCTTGTTCAGGCGGACTAAGTTTCCGGTCAGCGTGCGCAGGACATCCTGAAGCTCGGTAACTTGGCTCGGATCCATGAGGAATAAGAGGCTGTACGGTTGAACGATAGTCTCAATAATAGGTGGTGAAAAGTTGTAGTGAGAAGTTTCGATGAAATCAACCGCAATTATCTGTGCAGCAAATAGTAGATAATTGCGGGAAGTTGGACAGTTGAGGTGTTGTGAGAAACCTGCCCTAATTGCTGGGTTCAGAACCACGGTTACTCGATCTTCGTCCCAATATGTATGTTTGAGTTACATCGAATTGGACCGCAACGCAGTCTGCAACGTATCGTATCCTTCCAGCAGGCGTAGAATCCCCTCCCCCATTGTTATTCATTCTAGACATGGGATTAATTGGCCACATCTAGGGGGCAGATCTCTTGACAGGGCATTTCACGTATAAAAAACAGTGGGGGAGAGGATTCTACGCCTGCTGGAAGGATTCGGTATGCAACACGGCATCGACTATTTTATGCATGGTTGCCGCGAGTTGCCGCGTTCTTGCCGCTGTGCTTACCTTATCGCGTCTGGATTACCTGACCTGTCCAACAGAGTAATAAATAGCACGCTGGGAGACTAGCATGCTGGCAGTGGTCTTGGCACTGCACCTCAAGCGAAAGACAGTCGCTCCACCCGACGGCAGATCTCGTGTCTCAAGGGCTAAACGTACTGGCAAGGAGTGGGAAAACGTGAACTCGGTGGAGGACTGCGTCATTGAGGAACACGCTGCGTGATGCAAAATGAATGGATGAATGCTAGGTCTTTTATCGCAGGGTTCTTGGCGCTTGGGAAAAGTTGCCAAAAAGCTGACAGGCAAACAGAAAGGCTCGGTGAGATCCCGAGAGCCTGCCTGTTCGTTAAGGGGCATCCGGATCACATCTGTTAGGGGGCGTGGACCACCACATCGAATTACACCGTGGAGGAAAGAGTGGGAGGATCTCGCACCGATGAACGGCGCGGTGAGTACTTAGCACGAATCCGTCGCGATGCTACGGGCCTACGGCCCAACGCGGCTGCCTAGAAACTCCAACCAGGATGCTGAACTCCTTGCCAACGCGTCGTCCAACAAGAAGTGGCAGCTTGGGATCTGAAAACCGTGTTAGTCTCAATGTGGGCTATTTATGAACGCGAAACGTCACGATATTAGAACAAACGCTGCGAAGGGACACACTCAGCAATAAGCAAAATAGCGCCATGCATCCCACCATCCGCAAACTAATCCTTTTCTCCTTCTTCATCCTCACCGCAACGGCCTCCGCCTCATCAGCTGAACGGACTCCCTTCAAATGCCCAACCTACATCGACACCGTCGTCCCTGCAGGCCAAGATGGTTGGTACGGTAAACGCGAGCCCGGCGACCCCTTCCTAGACACGATGCACAAAGTCCACGACACTCTATTCAAATGCTCCAGCATCAAAAGTCTCAAACTGCGCGTCTCGAGCCTCGGATGCTCGCAGCATCCTGAAAGATACAACTTCCCCCTCAAACACCCGTCCGGCTCGCATTATCCTTCCCAGCTGGAAGCGTTAGATCTGGAGGGGTACGAATTCAACGAGATGCCGTGGCAGGAAGCGAGAAACATCGGCCGCTACGGCAGCACGCTCGATAGATACCTCGACTGGGTGTACGAGGGAAAGGCATGGAACTGGCTAAAGGGGTTGCGGTCGACTGAGGCCCAGAGGAACCTCACGAATCTCGATCTCTGGCTCGAGGCGATGGACTTTTCGAAGATTGAGAAGTTCGTTATAACGCCATCGCATGAGACTGAGACGCCGAACATAACCACGTTCGTTCCGCACCTCAAGTCCCTGAAGTCATTCAAAACATACGGCTCTTGGGCCAAGAACTTCATCCTCGCCCTGCCATCAAACTCACTCACACACCTGTCCTGGATACGCAGCGGTCAGACCGGCGCATCGATCTTACCAATCCTCCGTCATCACGCCGAGTCCCTCACCAGCTTAGAGGTGCGCGAACCCGAGACGACCTATCGACAGCGAAGAGTAATGACCCCCGATCAACTCTCCGCGCTAGCCTCCATGTGCCCGAATTTGAAGTCCTTGACGTTCGACATCAACCAAAACGGCACCTGGGGGTGGGACCATCTCAAAATCCTCGCCACCGAGTTCCCCAACCTGGAGAACGCGACCATCTTCTACGAGGAGGCCAGCGAGTGCCGCAGACAACTCGACCAAGCAAAACAGCAACTGACCAGGTTGCACGAAATGATGGTGATGGAAGATGGTTCGAACTGCAAAGGTGCCGAATCCCTGGCGAACCCCCATCTGAACGTCTCCAGTGTTCGCGAGCCTTTCGAGTTTCTGATCAAGGCGAACACCGAGGCCGGGGGAAAGCTGAGGAAGGTTGTGTTTTACTCGGGCGGCTGGGAGAGGCCCTGGGACGGAGCCATGCTTGTGTATGATGATTGGATGGATGAGCACAGATCTTGGGCTGTGTGCGAGGCTATCGAGGGTGACGGCGGGCCTGTCGAGGGGTTTGACAAAATTGACAAGGTCGAAGTTGGAGATAAGCTCTTTGTGTGTCAGGACGAACGGGGGAAAAGGTACAGAGTCTTTTCAGCGACGAAAGAAGGCACGAGGGCGACGGTCTGGAGAAACATGCGGCTGGACGAGAAGAATAAGGAGCTTCTGAAGAGGGCTTCGAATATGGAGCTTTGAAGCATGGCTACGTGCAAACGTGGATATCATCAATGCCGAGACTTAGCTATTCATGCCTCAAGACTTTCCCGTCTCTTCATCTCATTTAACCAACTTCCCACTGCCACAGAAACAAACACGGAGCTCCATCGAGGACCATCGCCAAAGCAGATGAAATTCTGCGCCAACCATGTAACCAGCGGCCTCAACAACTCTGCGTCCTCTTTCGTTCCGTGACCGTCAATCACAGCTTGGAATCGATCCCTCAGCGCATCCCCCAGCATGCTGAGTACGGTATCTGCGACCTCCTCCGGCCTCTTCCACCACCTACTCGGCTGCCCTCGCATCTCGTACTCAGCCTTGATGCGCTGATAGAGCTCATTCATGGCGTTTCGTTCAAACTGCTCCGATAGCTTCTTGTACATGAACCCTTTCTCTTTGTAATCCACCCTAGCCTGGGCTAAGGATAAAAGGAACTGACGGTCGGTGAGGTGTTTTGAGTGATTAAACATGCGATCTAGGTATTTCGTTGAGAGGGGTGTCGAGCGGGAGTTCCACAGGTCGATGGTGTAGTTCATGGTTGACCAAAAGATGCAGCCTGCCAGGGTGTTCATACCAGACCCCAAGTAGGGGACGATGTCGACTGGGGGCTCGAGGATCCTGATTATGCGGTCCGGGTCGATCCAGAGGCCGTAGTCCAGTCGGGGACTTAAGCGCCCGGTTGGCACGAGTTCGCCGGCGATGGTGGGGTCGAGGCGGATGATTTCTTCGATTGCCGGGTCCAGCGGCTCCGTCTGCTGTCCAGAGGAGGATTCATTGCTCGTCGACGCTTCATCTTCGGTGGAAATACTACTGCCGATGCCTGCGAGATCACGGGCCTTGGACAAGGCGGCTCTCAAGTCCTCCGAGAGATCTCCTTGCCGCTCAAGGGCCTTGTTGATATCACCGATGATATCTTTTAGCTTCTTATTCTCATCTTGCAGTTTTTGAACTTTTGATGCATGTCGTTTGCGGTATTCGCGCTGGGCGAGGACACCGCGTTCACGTCTTGTCTTTATTTTGCATTAGTAATCCAACGTTTACACGAGATGAGGATGCTGATTGTGCCTGCAAGTGTACTCACATTGGCATCGGATGGGCTCATGATTTCGGATTTCAGTTCCCGAAGATTAGGTGGAAAAGTCTCTGGGCATTGATTCCACCTGCATCAACATTGAAAATAACGTTATCGGAGGGTTGGGAGGATGAGGAGGTCGTGAAAGGGGTTGAATCCTTTGGCGTGATCGAGGTTGATTAATCAGCCGTCTTACACAGTCGTTATCTGTTAGTTATTCTCACTGTATCTCATGCAGGAGAACTCACCATCCATCCAGCCTTCACGTCGATTTTGAACATCTCGTTTGACTATCTGCGGACTTTTCAATCACAATCACCGAACATCTTCATGGCCACATACAGGATGCATACTCTGGGTACTTCTTCCGTGTCCCGTATACCTGACTCAACTCATCGCTCAGCATCTGCGGCCCTTCAAGAAACCTCTCTTTCTCCACCGAGAAAATGTGTCTCTTGAGCGCCACATTCCACGCGAAGCTCGAGTAACCGACGCCCCCAAATTGCGCCGCGCCAAGCATGACCAGAAAGTCGATCATCTCCTGGTGCTCCCTCCCCAGCGCGTCCAACCTCTTCCGGTTCTCCCCAACCAGCAGGTCCCGCTTCGTCACGACCGTCACCCCGCGCGGCTCCGCGTCCGCCTCCATCACGGCCACCTGCGTCTCGTTCCCGCCGCCCACGTACATCACCGAAAGGTCCCACCTCCCGGCCTGATCAAAATACGCGTCCGTCTGCTTCGCGTACTCGGTCCACTGCCACATCGGGTCCGAGGGAGCCCAGCGCGCGAGCCCGTCGTCCGCCTCCTCCCCCCCGGTGCGGAGGTGCGCGCCGAAGAAGTGCCGGTCGATGCCGAGGATCGTCGCCGTCGCGAGCTCGCGCACGTCGGCGCGGAACTTGAGGACATTGCCGAACGTCGTCGCGAACACCTCGCCGTCGTGGTCGATCGGGTACGTGAGGTACGACCGGCCCAGGTCCACCAGCATCGGGCCGTTGGGGGGCTGGCCCGCGGGCGCGACGTCGATGTTCTCGTCGATGGTGTCGAGCCATTCGTAGAGGAGGGATTTCCACTTGTCGGGGTGCTCGATGCCGGTGCTCGGGATGTTTTCCTCCTCGACGAGGGATTCGGGGAAGAGGCCGAGCGACCAGGTTCGCGGGCGTCCGATTCTCTCAAAGACCTCGTCCGTGTTGTTGAAGAGGCGGAGCTGAGGACACGAGAGACGGAGCGATTCGACGAAATGATCTCTGTCGAACATGTATCCTAAGTTCTGCCTCCTGCCGGTGCCAATGGCTGAGGTGTCTGACTCGCTGGGCACGAAGATGCGCGGCAGCACCAGCGATCCGCCCGCCAGCATGGTGTACCTCACGCAATTGAGGATCGAGTTGCGAATGTTGGCGATCCCGCCGACGTTGTTGTCGCAGGTGAAGACCACCTGCATCTTGCTTTTCGCGTCCCATTCCGTAGCGCTGCAGACGGCTCGGATGACATCCGAGTTAAGAGGCTCGAAGTCGAAAATGTCCTGCGGTGGGCGTGGAATCCAGGAGACGATACTGGAATCGAGTCCGTAGCGGTCGAGGCGGAGCTGTTCGCGGAATGTCCATAGCAATACGAAGAAAAAGGTGATGGCTATGACCTTGATGTGACGGCCGAAGCGCCGGCTTGAGTATCTGCCTCTGACGCCCATGTTGCCGGGTTTGCCAAAGAGGCCTCTTTGGCGATAAACATCAGGAGAAGAGGAACATTGAATGTCACTGCGGGATGGATTGCTGTCGGTTTTCAAGGGTCTCTGCGTCTCCCTTATTATGCCAAGAGCTCCATTCCTGAACTTTAGGATCGTGCCCCTTTCATGACTGCACGCGTCGCTGGTGGGATTGAATCGCGTTTAATGAGAATGCGCCTTAAGGTTGTAGTCGATGGCGCCTCAAAACCCAACAGTGCGAGTTAGGCCGAACGCTAGAAGAACGTGGCTCAGGGGCCCTTCTGTCGCCGCAGAATCTTACATCGTGCTGAAATCGGATGAGACGAAAGCTGAAGATGAATGAACGCGCATGTTTTTCATCGTGGATATTCAGGAGTTTTGATGGAATGCCGGGATGAACACTTGCGTGCCATCGGACATGCATCCCTGGCTTGGGAACGATGTCTCGCTGTCCCTGGGGCCGATCGTCAGGGGCAGAAACCGAAAATGCGGGGAGAATCCGGGGAGAAACGCCGTAAAAGATGTCCCGAGAGCTTCACTCTTGGTCAGAGTGACATGTCGCGTCTTTTATCTCTACAATGCAGCTGCTGGAACGTTGACAGAAGCTGATAAGACGATGCAACTAGTTTTCTTCGCTGCGCACTTGTCCGCAGAAGCCCCCTGTCCCACCGAATCGCCTCCGCCAATGCATCTCCTACTACCTAATCAAGACAAGAATCATATTAGCAAAGCAAATCGACACGGGCGGCAACTTGAGCGGCTTGCTCAGCCGACTGCAGGTAAGCGGCACCGGTGACTAATGCCCCAACGTTACCGAGCGGGCTGACTTGAGCCCGGGGGTCGGGCATAACGTTATCGGCGGAATGGCGCCCGTGTCGGGGCTTGGCGCTAGCCGGAAGTGGGGTCGGAGGAACTTGGATCGGATGCCGTCTTTTCACGTTATCGGAGCATTGATTCTTTCCCTTCCCGTAATGGGTTTCAAACATCTTGACGATAGCGTAATCAGATCTGACATAAACGACAGCCGAGAACACGATTCTGGTCAGCGGAAGAGGCTACGATGACTCTTCTCGCTGAGGGAAAGAGGCATTGGGCCTGGAGTTCATAAAGGGGCGGCTGATTCGCTGTCTCGACCTCCAGATCTCGAACAACTCAACCGTCTCAGAACTTCTAGAACAGCCTCATCTAAACTAGAAACAATACCGTCTCAATCAACCAAAATGTCTTTCCCATCTCCCACAAAGACCTACCACCAAAAGCCCTACGCGGCCATCTCCCCAACCCGCCCCGAACTCTCAACTCGCGGCAAGCACGCCTTCATCTCCGGCGGTGGTGCAGGCATCGGCGCCTCCATCGCATTCTCACTTGCGCAGTCCGGGATCACCACTCTCGGCCTCCTCGGCCGCTCTCAAGCCTCCCTTAAATCAACCAAGTCCGCCATCGAAGCCCTGAACCCCTCGGTCACGGTACACCTCTACACCGCCGACGTCACCGACGCAGAAGCAACCACTTCCGCCCTCCAGACCTTCTCCGCGTCCATCGGCGGTAAGATCGACATCCTCATCGCCAACGCAGGCTACATGTCCGACCTTAAGACCATCACGGACTCGGACCCCGACGACTGGTGGCGCGCCTTCGAGGTCACCGTTCGCGGCAACTTCAACCTCCTCCGCGCCTTCCAGCCCCTCGCCGCCGCGGACGCCAGCGTGATCCACATCTCGACCGCCGCCATCCACCTGCCCTACATGTTCGGCTTCTCGTCCTACCGCGCCTCCAAGAGCGCCGCGACCAAGATGTTCGAGTACTTCCGCGACGAGAACCCCGGCTTCTTCGTCCTCCAGGTGCATCCCGGTCTGATCGGGGGCACGGTGATGTCGGAGAAGTTCGCGCCGGCTGTCAAGGATCTCGGGCTGGTGTATGATGATATCAAGTTGTCCGGGGATTTCGTGGTTTGGGCTTTGAGTGACGAGGCCAGGTTCTTGGATGGAAGGTTTGTGCATGCGAACTGGGATGTCGAGGAGTTGAAGGCGTTGAAGGGTGACGTGGAGAAGGATGCGAGCAAGTTCACCATTGGGCTTCAAGGCTGGTTTTGATCATGAAGTGTTTTCATTGAATAGGTAGCATATGTTTATTCATTCTAAGCAGTCCCTATTGATCTGAAAGTTCTCATGTGCTCCGTGAGATTTCTGTTCCTCAAAAGAACCCAACACTCGTACTAAACTCCGCTGAAGTGTCTGGAAGCTAAACCTGTCCCGAAACTCCTCAATCTTTCGGCCTTCTTCATCATTCTATTTTTTCGCTGTTTTCCTTGCGTCTGTCGATCTCTTTGCTATGTGTATTGCCGCCATTGCCCACTTAGTATTAGGCACCTCCCCAGTATATAGCTGCTTAGTCGTTCCTTTAGTCATCAGCTTAGGAAGTCAGAAGAATGTTTGGGCCTTCTGTCCAGAGAGAGTGGAACGGGACTATGGACTAACAGTCTCTCAAAGGACAAAAAAGAATGTGCCGTCAACAGCGCGGGAGAAGTCGAGACGAAGAGTTTTAACGAGCATAACAGGTTTCGCCAACAGCTTGGTCTGCAGTGTTCAGATGGCTGATGAAATCGAGCATTGAAAGCAGGAGAGCGCCCTCTATGCCTTCGACGCCAACCAAATGAGAAAACATGTGCAAAAAGTAAAGGCAGGCAGGTAACTCGCCGATACAAGTAATCACACCGCTACATGTACTTTTGGCAGCTCTTTCGAATTGGCGCAGTCCCGGCTCCCAATGTCCGCGGCCGACTTGACAAGTTTAGAAGTCGGGAAGAATTAGAAGAAGCCGTTCGACACGACTCGGTGTTGAGGATCTTGTTGTCCAACATGAAGCGAATGCCTTCAGTAAGAAGTAACTGATAAGTAATTACACAGATCTCTGGAAAGAGATGGCAAATGTAGCTTCGTGTAGTGATTCAATGAAATCCTGACCACTATAAAACCAAGCTGTGCGCCACGAGTTTGCGTAACATTCGAAGTTGGTTGTCTGCGGCGCAGGGTACGCCAGGCCATGAATCACCTTGGGCCATCTGACGTAGTCCATCTGACCTTGACCGTGAATGCCATCGAAACAACCCCACAGATCATCGCACCGAACATGTTCGAGATCTAGTGCCAGTCTTCCCCAATCGGTTTCTCGGCCAACAGGAATGGTGTAAGAACGCGTGTATGGTGGCATAGTTTCCTGGTAATGATACTGATTCAATATCAATCCACGATACGTGCCTCCTCCGTAACGTCGCCATGGCTTTTGCAAATGTCTCAACTCTGACACGGGAAGTGTAAGACACGCCATGTGTGCTTTGAAGGCTGCCCATAGATACGATCGGAGGGGGCTAAATGTCGTGAAGAGAGTATCCCAGCCAGGATAACGTGCTATCTGGTTGAATACAAAGTCGAACGGGACACATTTGTCAGGGGACTGCGACCACGACGGCATGTTGTAATGGTTATTTGTCGCGGCGTAAGCAAATGGTGCGCCGCCATCCGTGGGCGTCCACGTCGGTCCCAAGTCTGCAGGGTCATTTGGCAGCCGCTTCTCTCCTTGGGGCATTCGGCTGAAGAGCCGCGTCGTCGGGTGGGTTTTCCAGGCTTCCAGGATGGTTCGTCCCTCCAGACTGATCTGTTCAACGGCCACCGTTTTCTTATCAAGCTCCGGGAGAGTCCGTTCAGGAAATGTTTCATCATACTCTCCATTGAACAAGTCGTCTTCCGGGTCTCCGTTGCGATCAAGTTCACCTAAAACAGATTTCTCCCATTTTCGGTCAGTAAGTAAGTAATCCCCGGGATCCGAAATGAAGGACTTACATCGCAGTCAAGAAAGCGAGTGCCTGTGGCCGCAACACCCGAGAGAACGTAATCTATGAGATATCCCATCCATGATTCGAATCTAGTCTGCGCGACAAATGTCTCTGTGCACTCGACACCAGCGATTTCATCGAAGCCACGAATGTTTGATGCGATCTGGGAGCTGACGTGGGGGTGAAATACCAATTCCACCGTCTCGAGAAGCCGGTCGACAGCTGAGCTGCCGGGAAGGTATGTCGGTCCGTACCATAGCTCGTGGGATACCAGGTCATTTTCTTTGCACAATTCTCTGACTAGTTTCGAAAGGGAGCGCGTGTTTTCGGTTTCCTCCCAATAAGGCAGAAGCGGTCGGAGTCTTGCTACCAGTGCCGGAGAGAAGTACATCTCCAGAACACGCAACTGGCGATGACGACGCGGGGTCAGCTCGCCCGTGTCGTACATTCTTTGCAGCGGTGTGACTCGACTGTGTTGCCAAATCTTCAGGGCTTTGAGAAGTCTCACGGGCCATACGCCATACTCTCTGCGCTTCCGGCGCCTCTCTGCCGGTGTTCAGCTCTCATACTCCATGTCGCTATCCATAGTGTCGAGATTTATGTTTGTTACAGAGAAGGTGAACGAATCATTCGGTGAACGTGGGAGGTATGGTTGTGATAAAACACTGTTGAAAGGACGGCTTGGAATGGAGCTCTGGGTCGCGTTTGGAAGTTGTTCAACTTTTCAACGTTTTGGTCGAGGAGCTGACTTCAATTGAGCACTGGAACGACACGCAGAGGTCCCCGTCTGTGGCTTGAAAACCTTTTCTCGGGGAGGCATGATAATTGACCTTGAGAGAATTGAGTTCATCGCTAACGAGGTCAGCAGACTATGGAAACCTTTTTGGTGTGCGCGCACGGTCAGAGACCCCGGCCTCAATTCTTCCAGATCATGATCTTAACATCCCGTGTTTGTGCTGAGGTTGATGTCTATTCCAAAGTCCACAAGTTGCCATCACCTCGCAAGACGGAAGAGCTTTAAACCGCCAACTTGAAGTCTCAGAGACAACCCGGGGGACCATGGCGAGACTGAGGTGTGGTTGAAACGGTTGGGGTTCGCCGCAATCTCCAACCAATCAAAAAGTGCCCTGCTCTGCAATTGAACCTTGGCCTCGAAAGCAATTTGCTCGTCTAGATCAAATGATCAACCACGTGAGAACATCGGAAAGGAGAGTTGAAAAGAAATTCACTGCACTCTCAACTTCGGTAATGAGTGTAATGCATACGTCAGGGGGTACGAGGGTCCTCTTTTCCCGCTTCCCACTTCCCTCTTTTTCTTCGCATGGAAGATCCAACCGCCACCTCTCACCGTCCCGGGGGGTGGTCATCCATGGCAAAACCTGGAAAGGTCCAGTTTATCTAAACCGCCACAGCGCCACCGCATCGACCGACGAAAACAATGGAGAACGTGATTCAATTTGTGGACCTGCTTAAGGCTTGACACTGAGTTTTCCATTTCGGATTTTCCTCAACAACTGTGACTTGGAACGTGCTTCGAAATCTCTTCGGCCGAACTTCTCCCGGCCTATCTTCAAAACCCGGCCGCCTCAGGGGTAAGCGGCGGTGAGAGGTGTTCTTTGATCATTCAACTCATCAACAAACAGCCTCCCATCTCTCTCCTAATACCCTGCTTCTCATCCTCCTCATCCTCCCGAGCTCGATTTCATCCGTAATTCCTTCATTTTTTTTTTGCCTCCTCCTGCAGAATCAGAATGCCTCACAGCACAGAGTCCCTCAAGCTCAACAGCAAGAACCTGTCTCAGATCTCATCTCAGCAAGGAGACCGGACGGTGAAGACCCCGACCTACGAGCGCGATGGCTTGAAGGAGGGCATCGTCCACGTCGGCGTCGGCGGCTTCCACAGAGCTCATCTGGCCGTCTACCTCGACCAATTGATGCAGAAGCATGGCCAGCGTGACTGGGCCATTTGCGGTGTCGGTCTGCGGCCCAACGATGCCGCCATGCGCGACGTCCTGGAGGCTCAGGACTACCTCTACACCCTCGTCGAGCGCTCCGCCAAGGGCAGCTTCGCCAACGTCATCGGCAGCATCAACTCCTTCCTCTACGCGCCCGACAACCGCGAGGCTGTCATCGCCAAGATGGCTCATCCGGACACTCACATCGTTTCTCTGACCATCACGGAGAGCGGCTACTACTACAACGAGAACACGCACGAGCTGCAGGCCGACCACCCCGACATCAAGCAAGACCTGGAGAATGAGAACGCCCCCGTGAGCACGTTCGGCTTCCTGTACGCCGCGCTCGCTAGGCGTCACGCCCAGGGCATGAAGCCCTTCACCGTCATGTCCTGCGACAACATGCAGAAGAACGGCTCCATCACCCGCCACATGCTCCAGTCCTTCGCGCGCCTCCGCGACCCGGAGGTCGCCAAGTGGATCGCCGAGGAGGGCGCCTTCCCCAACGCCATGGTCGACCGCATCACCCCCAGCACCACCCAGAACGACATCAAGTCGCTGACGGAGCACTTCGGCGTCGAGGACGCCTGGCCCGTCGTCACCGAGCCCTTCATGCAGTGGGTCATCGAGGACAAGTTCTGCGACGGCCGCCCGCCCTTCGAGAAGGTCGGCGTCCAGGTCGTCGAGGGCGTCCACGAGGTCGAGCAGTTCGAGAAGCACAAGCTCCGCCTCCTCAACGCCAGCCACTCCGCCATGGCCTACCCCGGCCAGCTCGCCGGCTTCAAGTACGTCCACGAGGTCATGGAGCACCCCGTCTACCGCCAGTTCGTCTGGCAGATGATGCAGGAGGAGGTCAAGCCCCTCCTCCCCGAGATCCCCGGCGTCGACATCGACCAGTACTGCGAGACCCTCATGGAGCGCTTCTCCAACCCCACCATCATGGACGGCATCCCCCGCGTCGCCCTCGGCGCCTCCGGCAAAATCCCCCAGTTCATCATGCCCTCCATCGCCGAGCAGATCTGGGTCACCGGCCCCTTCCGCCGCCTCTGCTTCGTCGCCGGCGCCTGGTTCCGCTACATCAACGGCGTCGACGACAAGGGCGAGAAGTTCGAGGTCGACGACCCCATGCGCGAGGAGCTGCAGGCCCTGGCCAGGGCCGGCGGCAACGACCCCCGCCAGCTGCTCACCGTCAAGGTGCTCTTCGGCGACGACCTGCGCGGCGACCAGCGCTTCGTCGACGAGGTCACCAAGGCCATGGAGCTCATCGCCAAGGACGGCGTCATGGCGACCCTCCCCAAGTACGTCAACTAGACGACGAGGGATTTAATGTGTATGTCAAGGGTTGTTTGGCCATACCGTTGGGAAAAACCTAGCGACCGAGTCATTACTGAGCGGACGACGGGCTAGATGGGATTGATTATTTGGGATGAGACGTGAGAGACTTCACGAGGGATGCGATCATCGGCGTTCGGGATGCCATTTAAAATGCTTTTGTTCTGACATCTTTAGCAAGCCAAAACACCCTTATTAGAACATTAGAAAATAGAGCATAGACTTTTCATGTCCACCAACCTTGCCAGCTCAGACCCCGGCCGTTGAAGCGCAACCTCGAGATGTAGTCACCAGCTCACGATCTGCAAGCCACATGCGAAGCAAAACGGTCGCGTCGCCCGAATGAGATCTTTTCCCTGAGAGACATCAGTTTAGTTCAAGCTTGTCTTAACCGGGTAATGTGGCTGTCAAGGCTATTCCACTCGGATGACGGTCATCATGAGGCTGTAACAGAGCGATCTCTTATGGTCCATCACGGGTTTCGTACCCCGTGTGCTCGCCTTGATAGCAGGTTTTCGACATGAAGGAGATCTGCGGCTTCACTATCGGACCTTTACGCGAGACGTTACGATTTTCGACGCCCGGGCTGGAGCTCCCCTTGTCTCGGCAGCTCTGAGAGAGACAGCATACTAGCGGACCTTCTCTAGCGGGCCGAATAAATTCCCAATGGCGTTCGATAGAAGCCTCGGATGCTTTTACTCCGATTTCAACATGCGCCTGTCGTCGAAAGGAGATGACGACCTCTTAATGACGATCAGACTGGACCGTCTCGGCGGCATGGCGGAGGAAACAATAATCACTCAGGAAATGGCTTCATGACCACTGACAATCACACATATATTTTACTGAGACACGTCAAACCATCTCCTGTGAATAAAAGGATGCTGGCTCTTCCATGGACATAGACCTTCCCTTGATACTGCATCTGATCATTCTCGCCGCCCAAGCTACACTCTCAGCTTCCGGAATTCGCATTATCTGAGAATACATATGATGCGGACCTCAATCGTCTTGACCCTTTTGACCACCGTAGCCTTAGCCAAACCAATTGGCGACAAAGTCACCAGGCAAACCGCAGACACCATCAGCGGCTCCGACATCTGCGAAGAGAACTCCGGAACCGCCCTCTGCTCGCTGGGATCTCCACTCTGCTGCCGAACAGATGTAGACGGCCTCACTACGATGGACTGCCTTCCTCGTGAGTTCCTCCCGTTTTAACCATCTGAACTTCGGGGGCTGACGCTTTGGACTTAGCTATTCCGAACATGACTCCGATCCCCGAGACTGCTTCCCTCAACAAGTTCCAGATGGCGTGCCTCGTGCTGGGGAATCGTCGCCCTAGGTGCTGCACGCTCAATGCGGTATGTATTAAAAGAAATCAGGTTGTTGGCAACAGACTGACGTATCTGATCACCAAAGGCGGGTCAAGCCTTGTTTTGCGAAGAGTTGACAACTTCGGTTTGAGCATGCTATTGGACCTTCTAGTATTTAGGGATTTGTGCAAGTCATAGATTCATTATCATTGTTTCTGTTGTCGTTGTAATCGTAATTAGAGTTCAAATCTCAACTGTCTTAACCTGAATATAAGAGTATCTGTCACACTTGGCATAGTCTGGCCACTTCCCCCATTCTCGTAGCCTGGCCATGTTGAACTATGCTCATTCATAGCTGTCCGGCTGACCATGTGGACCATCCCAAAGACTTGCAAGAAGCGTGCGGTTCCTAAATAAGTGAGTATGGGACTTTGCATGATTATTCATCCCCCACAACTTACCCTGTCCAAGGCTCTCTTCCATGCTGCACGGCGTGGTTCTGTACATCGTTCAGCACATTTGTCATAGCTTCGACTAGGCTTTGTGGTGAATATACGTCTAGTAGAAGGACGTCGCCTTGTTTCCACGATACTAGTGCTCTCGTTTCTCTGTTTGAGTGGTCAGATCTGCAGCGGAACAAGGTGTTCACATCTCAACTCACTTGATTATCTCGATCGCAGAATCGAGGTACTCTCTAGGTATGAGCGAGCCATCGCCGTACTACATTCACCACATCAGAAACCCAGCGCGTTACGGTCTGCATTAACAACTTACAAAAGCAGGCGGTTGGTATTTCCCCTCTTTGTTGAGGTGAGGAGGTTGCAAAGTGCCCGCGTCGATTGCATTAAGGAATCGTGATACAATGTTATTGAAGAACGCAGTGTCCCCTGTTTGTGGATGATTCCTCACCGCTTTGGTCATTAGAATAGTCAAAAAGTCCAGCCGCAGAGATTCTTTTACTTACCAGGCAAATACTGCCATACTCTGAGATCTCCAAGCTTGTAGCTCTCCGACTTATTCTTCCAAGCCCACTTGGCAGTTGGCAATCTCTTGATCTCGGTCTCGATTTTAGATCGGGCCGTTTCGGTATCGTCTGTGTCCAAGACGGTTCGGCCATAAGCCTGTAGAACGCTTGTGCCCGCTGATGAAGTTTGGTCGCGAGCTGCGTTTGGATAGAATAGCTGGTACTTGACACCCTATCAATACGCATCAGATCATGAAGGTATTATGAAGAGAGTGCGCGCCGAACCTTCTCCTCGATCTCGTCGATGAAGTCGGGGTGTTTCTCTTTTAATCGGCGGTAAAGAACCACCGAGTTGTTGATAGGGGTTTCTCCACCTGAATGGCACGTCAGGCTTGTGAAGTGGCTATGACAACTCGAAATCTCAATGCCTACCCGTTTCCGGTGCAGATGCACAGTAAAAGAACACATATGCTGGGTAATGAGGACTCAATCCAAATTCATTGTGAGGATAAACCGGCCGAGTATTCGGCCCTTCGTTGGCAGTTGCCACGTTCTTCGCATGGACGGTTCGTCTCACGGGGTTTCCAATGTCTTCATGAGCCGTCCAGCCGAAAGCATGAGCGAACTGAGAGAACTCTTCCGCATCTCTCAGCCCCAAATTCTGAAAGTACACGGCGCCGTGCTTGTTCAGTACGTCCCGCAGTTTACCGCTAGTGGAGAGCCGTTCGATACCCGCGATTAGATCCGCTAAGTGGGTGCTCGGCTCGGACAGGGCGAATGAGACTGGGAACTCCGTGTTCTCCGGATACGGAGCCGGTAGCTCGATTGCGGGGCCGTACGGGGCCGGTCTTAGGACCTCCGCGATGGAACCCATTCTAGAACTTTTGGTATCTTTTTCAGGCTTAACTTGAGCTTCAGTGACGTTGGAATAAACTTAAGCTGTATTCATATCATCCCTTTCCCCATCATCACAGGCATCTTCGACACTTTTTATCCCGCCGTCTTCACATTTGCATCTTAATCCCGGAAATGGCGAGCTGTGGGGGTCATCATCTGCTCTTGTGATGTCGCCATCGCACCCCTGCAAGCACGTCGCGACGTCGGCCCCAAGCCGACCCCATACCATCCACGTTTTTCTCTCTTTTTTTCTCAGGGACCGGCGGTCGACCACGCCGGCGGCCCAACGCCGCGGTCTGTTTTCCAGGATATGGCACGCCCAGACACGCCGGTCGCGGTTGTGCCATATCCATTCTCAATAACGCCAGCCAACCATAACAGACGAAGCTCTCGGGAATACCTCTCGACGAATCCCACCCCGAGCCGGTATCTCGCACGAAGCGGAGCTGTTGCGGAGAAGTGAATTTAGAGGTTGCAGCGATGCGATGCGGACGTTGACCGTTCCATCAGACAGACCCCGGGGGAGAAATTTGCTGGCTTGCCGGGCGATCATTTGGGCGGCCGTGGGACGCCATAAATAAGGGTTGATGTCGTGACCACGTTGAAACCCGGGCTGTCTGTCCACACTTCCCGCATTTGCATGAACCCATCCGTTCAGCCGGGACAGAGGATTCAGATCGCCATGTCGACCGATCAAGCGAAGCAGCCCGAGGAGGGCGAGCATGAACTGCAGGATGTTCAACCTACGAAGCCGGTGTCGCGCTTCACGCGGTGGTTTCGCAGCCCGCTGTTCAACGTCATCCTCGTGGGCTTGATTTCTTTCACTCAGCCGGGTATCTGGAACGCGCTTAACAGTACGTCATGTCACGTCGACTGAATCATGTCTAGCAACTAACAGAGTTCAGGCACTGGCGCTGGCGGTCAACAAGAGCCGTATCTCGTCAACGGCTCCAACGCCCTCACATTCGGAATCATGGTGTTCGGCTGCTCCTTCTTCGCCATCTTGGCCAACAAGATTGGACTGAAGACAGTCCTCGTCATCGGCACACTGGGCTACGCACCTTACTCTGCATCGATGTATGTTAACAACCGATATGGCGTCGAGTGGTTCGTCCTGTTCGGAGGTGCAACTTGTGGTGTTGCTGCTTCGGCTCTGTGGGCCGCTGAGGGTGCCATCGCCCTCGGCTACGCTGACATCAAGGACCGAGGCAAGTTCAGTAAGTCATGATATGAACTTTACGCGTCATCCAAGAAGTCTCACTCATCGTCTCATAGCGGGTATTTGGCTCGGTCTTCGTGAGCTTGGCCAGCTTCTCGGTGCTTCGATCCAGCTTTCACTCAACTACAAGAACGGCCAGCGCGGCAAGGTTGGATACTCCACCTATCTCATCCTGATCGCCCTCCAATGCCTAGGACTTCCCCTCGCACTTCTCGTGTCCCCTCCGGAGAAGATCATCCACCGCGATGGGAGGAAGATTGCCGACCCCACCAAGAACAAGGCCGTCCTGGGCGAGTTCAAGAAGTGGTGGGGCCTGATGAAGAGGAAGCAGTTCTTTCTCCTGATTCCTATCCTCATCGGTTTCAACTGGAACAGCACGTACCAAGGCATCTACCTCACCAAGTACTTTTCCGTCCGGGCCAGAACCTTGGGCGCTCTTACTTCCGGCATTGCCGCCTCGGCCGCCAACATGTTCTGGGGATGGTTCTACGACTTGAAGTGTTTCAGTCGTCCTCAACTTGCGAAGATCACATGGGCTTCTTTTGCCATCATTATGCTGGGCTTGTTCGCTTGGCAAACAGCGAATGAGAAGCTGTACGAGGACACCGTGCCAAAGATCACCCTCGACTGGTCTTCTCCCGGCTTTGGACGTGGCTTTGCTGTAAACGTTCTGTTCCGGTAAGTACACACAAAACCTTCCGCGGATGATTGAATTATTGACCGATCATACTTCCAGATTCATGAACGAGTCTCATTACATGTTCGTGTACTGGATCATGGGGACCTTCTTCGATGACATCGAGACCTTGACCTTGGGTGTCGGTCTTGTTCGATCATTTGAATCTATTGGCTCCTGCTTGGCGTTTGGTATCGGGGCGGTCAAGGTGTCGCCCATGGTCAACTTGGTTGTGGCCTTTGTGATGTTTGCTATCTGCATCCCGGCAACCTCGTGGGCTGTCTTGCTGGTCCCCGAGAGACCTGTCGACAACTCGAAGACCGACTCCGACAACTCATTGGTGGAAACGAGCAAGGCTGCCGACCCAGTCATTGTGTCCACGGCCGCCGCAGCAGCAGATGGGCCGCGCAACATCTAGAACATGAGTTTACATCTTCATACATATATCTTAATGCTACCATCTTACCGACCTAGAGAATGTTCCCATCAGTCAAGCTTAAAGGTTGAGTGGAAACCGCGTCGTGCAACTTCGTCTTCGCATTGCTTATCTGTGTAAAGATGTGCGACTCAATGAAACAAGAAGAAACTGCCGTTAGGCATGTGTGACCTAGTCTGGTAATAATAAAACTAAAACTATTGACTATGAAATAGAATGAAATACAACCGGGCATCATTGTCGCCTGCGAAGGGCTTGCTCTCAAATTGAGGCCTTGTCCAGGTTCTCCGTGAAGTTCTCGTCTTTGAACGGCACGTTGGCCTGGCCAAAGTCCGTGTTGTTCAGAGCAGTCTGCATGGCAGCTGGCATAGCATCCCAATCGAGCACCGGGTAAGTCTTGCCAGTGGTGTCGGTAAACTGAAGTTCGTGGTTCGTCAGGGTCTGGGTGAAGTATTCCACCTTGACACTGTCACCCTCCTTCTGAGGGGTCTCCGTCTTCTTAAACTGGCCGTGACCAGAGGCAGCACCTCCCAAAATCGTCGGATCGGCAACCGCCGGGTTGTTCAGCCAGACGACAACGCTTTCCCAGTCGTGTCTGTGAGACCCGACCGACACCCCGTCGTTCGGCATGTCCTTGGGGAAGTACCACGCGTACATGATGGCGAACCTGCCATTGTGCCATGTTCCCCTGGCGTACGTTTGGCCCTTGCTGGTGTCTTTACAGCCTCCATCGGAGCTGCCGCTTGGCTTCAAGCCACCGCTGTGTCCATGTTAGCGCAAGATCTGTGAGAAGCTTGGGAGTGAGGCTTACCCAGTGTCGCCAGCGTCATTGACCGCAGTGTATGGTTGGCATCCATGGGCAATATGAAGTAGCGGGTTGAATCTTGCGATGGACTTGCCGACGTCGTTATCTTGGACCTTTTGGGCGCTGGGACTCAACGAGTCATGCCCGACTTCGGCGCGCCGGTTCAGGGAGTCTTGAGCGGGTGCACCTAGAGCGCTGCTCGCGAGGGCGAGGACCGAGAACAGAAAGCCAGAACGCATTGTCGATATCGAACTAAATCTGCATTCGCAACCAAGATGTCAGCAAATCTTCTCTACATAACAAGTCGACTTGATTGATCTCGCGTGATCTCGATCAAGAGGTCATGCCCAGGACTTACTCAGATACGGGTAAATGAAAGTAAAATTCCCAGTCGGGCGATCGAAAGACCTGCTTTTCTCAACCCGATGTTGTTTAGACACAAAGAATTAGAAGTGATGCAAAGAAGCCATTGTCACATCGTCTCAGGGGATTGTCCGCCTTTTAGCAAGAGAGTCTGACATCAGTCAGGGCGGCCATAGCTATCCTTGTGCGGATCACTGTAGCATGACACTTCTCAGAGGGTCAGTTGAACAGACATTCGCAGGACGCGGATTTCGGAAAACTAATCGGGGCCGAATGTTGGCCATCAACGTAGGATTCATCGCCAATTGGGCTTAGGAAACACTCAATCTGATGTGTCGTTGAACTTGGAGGGTGACATCGAGTTCGTTTGTGATGGGCTCGAACTCGCAAATCTCCTGAGGCTGAATTTACCTACTTCCCCAGGCCTGTTCAACCCATGTTTTTGAGCACTCCATTGGCTCGGTTTCGCGGTTTGCCTCCCGAAATATGGGTGTTCTCTAGCCGACCCGACGGAACGTCATCTATTTCAGGATCCTTCGTGTGGGCCTCAGGGTTCTACTGAGTCAGTCAAGTGTTACACCCAACTCTTTTCCGCAAGTGATAAGCCTGTATTCAAGCACTATTTTGCTGGTTCCTGGCCCGCAACTGTCAATCTGGAACCAAGAATTCCCCTGGTCCCTCAATCAGGAGCGCAGAGAGATCCGAGATGTCCGTGCCAAGGCACAACCCGCTGAATAACCACGGTTCTCGCGTGGTTGTCGACGATGCTAGGCGGGTAATCCTTCTCTGTGCGTAATTAGGGAATAACCAGGCTTCGTGAAGATAGCTATCAATAACCTGGATCATGCTTAGAACACCATATTTAGACTGGACCCCTGATAGCTGAACACATCCCCAGGCAGGCGACTGAGGCCTTCTGCACATATTCTGGAATGTCTAGTAGGAGTCTTTGACCATTCTGACGAGCTCGGACTACCATCTTTGATGTGGAGATTTTTGCGTCAACCCAAACTGTCTGATGGCTTTTCCTCAACATGATATCAGCCACCGCAGGTCACTCACAACAGGAGAGGTACGGCTAGCAATTCTGTTCAATACCTAGACTCGTTCATTGAAAAGACCTAACATATAAGTCAAGCGCTCATACTAATGACTCAAAAGCCGAGGGCTTCTTCGTACGCCGCCGCCTGCTTCCCAATAGGCTGGATCAACGTGTAACTGCCAGACTTGTTGAACTCTTGCACGCCATTCAGCAAGTAGAGCGGGGTCATGTTGCCATCCTCACTGAAGTACAGCTTTGGTCTCTCCCGACGGTAGTAGTCCAACTTGACTCCATCGGTAAACTCAACGGTGGTGTTGTATGCCAAAGTGTTATTGTTGTAAGTCCAAGGACCCTCCCATTTCCGAGCGAACGCATGTGCTCCAACCCTGGGCCCTTTCCTTCCTTCGGCAATGTCGATCATGTGGTGGACAAGAATATGCCAATGGCCACGCTTGTCTCTCCAAAGAAAAGGGTCCTCGCTCCTCTCGGTGTTGCGTGGTTCCACGGTCAACACGTGTGGTGCGGAAAAATTGTCAGCGTGATAGATGTTGTTCTTTTCAACCGCCAATAGGATCTCTTTCGTGGGGTTCTCTGGGGACCACAGTGGCCACGGTGCTGGATTGGTCACATTGATGACTTGTGGTATCGGCTCTGTCCATTCCTTCAGGTCCGGCGAGCTCGAAACTGAAATCGTGTTGTTCCACTTCTGCGATCGACAGACGTCACCGACTTCGACATCTTTCCCGATGAAGTATATAAGGAACTTCTCATCGGCGGGGCTCCAGATCGTCGTTGGGTTGTGATGGAAGGTGCTGAACAGCGTTTGAGCGTAGTTATAAGGCCCTCGAGGACCAGTCCGGGACTCGGCTCTGATGACTGTGCTAAACGGTCTCCAACCTGCCAGCCCACAGCCATGGGACATCTGCGAGATGATGAGATGAAAGAGGCCCTTGTCCGAGCGATCATGGATGATGTGGCCGCCCCAGGATGAGTTACCAGCGCCTTCTTTGTAAAAGTCGGTGCCGGTTGCGTTCGTATGATTGTACCCGGTCCATCGCTCCACAGGTTGCAAGTCCAGCTCACTGCAGTCGGCTGATCTCCAACCTGGGTCACAGGCACAAGATCCGCCCGAAGAGCAGATGCCGTTCAGACTGCAGTCATCGTCGGTATTACATCCCAGCGCTCCAAAGGACAAGCCCAGGAGAACAGCGGCCGAAACGCCCAGTCCCGTGAGTTTCATAGCTCAAATTCGATTTGAAAAGTCGTCAGGTAACGGGTTACGGACAGCCGCATCTCCATTGTTTCGGGCTGAGGGTAACTTATGGTCCTTGAGTTCGTTCCGTTATCGCCAAGAGATTGCCCGAGAAACGCCTCCCCAGAATTGATCGTCATCGGAAGAATTAGAGTCCTCGAATCTGGCTCCTCCTACTCCGCGCCAACTACCCCACCATGAAATTAAAGCCAAGAGTGACCGCTCCAGCAGAGGGCTGCGTGTAACTACCCCGCACCCAGTGGCTGATGGTCCTGAAGAACACTGTTGTAAATAGCCGGTAGGTTCAGCATGATAGTGCACGTGTTTCCAAGTCACGAAATGGCTTGATTAGCCTGATCTACCGACTGCATCTCATGTCTTGGCCAAAGAGCCGAATCGAGCCTGGTACTGTTGACTTCTCGACTCCATTCCAGTTTTCTGGTAGAAATTCCTCATGTTCGACTACCATCTACAGTGAGTAAACTGGACTACCAGGGCAGAAAACTTCGAGGAGAATCACCAAATCCATCATGTTTTCCCTCAATACTGCCCAAGAACCTCAAGCGGTGTGGTGAAGGTGGCCCAGTCGTCTGACTGGCCCGGATCTCCAAATGGCTTCAGGGCGGCATACCGCAGACTATGAAAGGCTATAAGTAGGCGTAAACAGGAGGCAGCTGAAGTAGTGGCAACTCACGTGTAGTTTCCAAGGGCAATCTGGCTGCCGTTGACGAGCTTTCCAAACCACCAGTTCTCGAAGTTGAAGTTGCTTCTAGGTTGGTATACCTTGGGGTAAGATAACGTATCATCGGCATCCCATCGATCCGGGTCAAAGAATGGTGCTTGTCCAGACCCTGTCCAGTATGCACCAGATCCGACGTATCCATTCTCGCCGACCACGGGCGGATACACCCACTGGCTCTCTATCCAGTCGGATTCAAATATCTGCCAGGTCAGCATCTCACAAATCATTGCTATCAGCTTCATATTTCATGAAACTTACATCCCATCGAAGTTGCTTCGTGCCCCAAATAATGTTGTGATTGATCTTGGGGAAGTCCTGAACTCCGAGTGTTAGATTGAAAGTGAATCTGAATGAGTGTCAGCATTTCGTTGCTCTCTCTCAGCATTGCTTTGACAATACTTACGAAGTTTTACCCCTCTGAGCGGGTTCACCGGAGACCACATAGGGATAACCGTTCCTGAAGAGGGGTTGAAGCTGGGCCTGCAAATTGGCCGCGACACCTAAATCATTGCATCAGATGCCATCCTACCTATTCTCATCCTCATTTCTTACCTGCATAAGGGACCGAAAGCTCATCTCCGTTGTCGCCAGATACGATGATCTTGCCACTGTAAAGAGGCAAGACATCTGCATTCCATCCAAGCGATTCGGGATTGGTGAACTCGATTCTTTGGATTATATGGTCAGCCATAGATCGGCTCACATGTGGAGTTCAATGAACAGTTTGAACTTACGATAATGTCTTGGTTTCGCCTGGTTTCAGAGTGAAGTCGTCGGGCAAGCTTACGTCAACTGCTAACTTCTGTGGCACCAGCTCAGAAAGCAGCCTGACCTTCTTGTCTCCGTTGATAGTGTCGAGCTGCAACGTCTCAACGCCATAGGCGTCTTGAGAGGAAAGATGATATGTGATGTCTTCAGATCCAGTGTTTGTTACGGTTACGTCGTGGCGTTTGTTGAAATGGGCTGTATCGTTGAGAGCAATTGGTTCAAAGCCCAAAGTCGTATTCGAATGAAGCAACTTGTATGCATCAATCAGCTCATTGCCAACCTGAGGAACAGGACCAGATAGTTCAGAATATTTTGCGTCATGATAAGCGAGCGGCTTGGCGTTAGCAATGATTTGTTTCCCGAGATGAAGAGCGAAGTCCTTCCCATGCACATCTCGCCCGCCGAATGCGCTGATATAGAGAGCCGCAACCCCTGCGACATATGGGCAAGACATGGAGGTTCCGCTCATTGTGGTCCAGCCGTTATCGAGATAGGTGCTGTAGATTGAACCGCCCGGGGCGGTGATGTCTGGCTTCACACTAAGGTCGTTGAGAAGTCCCCAGGAGTTGAATGAAGATGCGCGAGTCGTGTTGACAGTTGGAGTGTCAGCGGATGCAACTGCGAGAACATTCTTTCCAGATGAGCCGCTGCTACCATAGAACGGGCCCTGCGATCCTGAGTTGGCCGCTGATATGGTCACGACGACGCCTTGTTCAACGATCCGACTGGCCACTACAGCCCAAGACTCTTCAGACCATCCACCAGCGCCTCCAATGCTGGAAGTGATGATGTCAACCTGATGTTGGTATGTCAGTCGCGAAGAAGCCATTTGACATCAATGTTCGGCACAAGACTCACTCCGTCGTTGTAGGCGGCCAAGAATGACTCAATGAGGGTAGCCGAGTCGGTTGCGCCCTGTGTGAAATGTTGTAAACTCCGCGCATCCCAAAGTTGCTATGGTGAAGAGCTTACGTGCTGAGACATGACTTTGTAAGCGTAGAGTGTCGCGTCAGGAGCTACTCCTGTGAAACTTTCGGTTTTGCCTGAAATGATACCAGCAACATGAGTTCCGTGTCCAAGCTGGTCCAGGGGATCTTCGTCAGGCTCTTTCTCGTGGCCGATCAATGGCCAATCTGTGACTTTTGGTCAGATATCTTTCGAAACAACTCAGCATAACTCAGACCAACTCACATTGATTGCCAACAAAGTCGAAGCCGCCGGCAACTTTGAATCCCTCTCCAAAGCCGTTGCCTAGCTGATTTCGTGTTACTCATGGCATACGCATATGGATACAAACATTCTCCCTTACCGCCTCATGTTTGTACCAGATTCCAGTATCAACGACGCCAATCTTCACGCCTTTCCCGTAGAAACCCTGGTCATGTAACTTGGCCACTCCTGTCACAGTATGCACAACCGATGGCTCGGCTTGAAAGACCTCATCCTGTTCCACGGATGGCTCCAAATACATGGGACTATTAGGCCAAACATTAAGAACATCTGGCAAGTCTCTAATGGCCTCAAGACTCAGTTCGGCTGTCTCAATACTCGCACCCGTAAAGATTTCGCTGTCAAAGTTTTTGATAATCTTGATCTCGCTTTCAGATGTCATAGAGCTGAGCTTGGGCAACTTTCCCTACATGCAGAATTACATCAGCTCAGCTTCCCATGAGCTCAAGTGTCACTTACTGCAGCTAACTCAATGATGTAACTTCGGGCCAGTCGAAAGGCGATCGGATCGGGCTCATTTCCATGTTGCTGGGTGGCGACAAGCTCCGCCAGTAGGATAATGAGAGTCTTCTGTAAGAAGCGCATGAGTTGGTTCCGGCGCGTCTATTTCGAGTAACAAAGACAGAGAAACGTGAGAGCAGATTAGGCACCTAGCTGGCAGATACGGTACTGGGATGGGAACGCGAATCTAGTTATGCTAAATTTCCATCTTTCACCATCCATGTCAATTAGACCCGGGTCGATAAGTTAGTTCCACGGCCAAAATCGCGCAACGTCGGGCGGTTTTCGTGCGACTTGTCGCACCTGCCGCATTTAGGAGCGGATGGTACTGCAAATGCACCCTCAAGTCTTGGGGGACATGGGTTTAATGCAGGAAATGGAGATTGTCTGTCATTTTAGCGGGCTATGAAGGATGCACTTTGGGAGATTTGAACTCGGGATTAGCAAGATAATCATTACGAAATCAAGTATTAAGGGTATTGCTTATTCGCTTCTAATGACCTCGTATTATCAACAGCGCCGGTTGGTTAGTTATGTTACGACACGGCCGGCGGGGTTGCATCGCAGGGCGGTTAAAATCGTGCCAAGATGCAGAGTAGCAGACTCACCTTCCCGCTCTAGCGTCTCATGCTTTGCCGATACGATACTGCAAAAGCCATTTTAAAGGGCTATCAATATGTATGAAGACACAATCTGTTGTAAGTCAACACCTGTCAACCCATAGCAGACGTTCAGAAGAGCGCAATATTTGTTTCCTGGTAGCAGGCAGGATCCATTGCTGGGTGTTCTCGTAATTGAAAACAGGCTGTCAAAACCATCAAACTAACACGCACCGCCAAGAAATTCATTCTGAGCTTTTGTTGATAACGCAGTTTCGAATTCAAGGTCCGGCTCCTAGAAATATCGAGATGTTGAAGGGTTCACAGGACAACATCCCTTTCTAATCAACTCTCAAAATACCAACGCCTTCAAGATACCAACGCCGAGCATCCAAGAGATGACACTTTAGCATGTTAGATAATGAACCATAGAAAATAACATTGGAATACTCCGATGTCATAGCAAAGCATGAGAAACCGTATCGTCAAATATCAAGATTAGCGGTTGATTTGCAGAGACCTTATTCTCCGCCTTGTATGATGCATCTGAATTCAACCTGTCTTTAGTTTATTCTATTTGATAACTCGGAATTCTAAAGAATAAATTACCTGAATCTTTTCAACATCCAACATATCATCTTGAACCTACGTCATCAAGGCAGAACTCATGAAAGCCGGCAGACTGGCGACTTGTACCTTCCCGCTTGCCCAAGTAGACATCGCTTGCTCAACAGACTTCTGAACTACTTCAATTGATTTCGAATAGACTACATGGAAATACTCATTAGTCATCCTCGAATTATTTACCCTTTTTCCCAAGAATAATTGACATTTCAGCAGAATGTTGGACTGAGATGTTCCACTAAAGCCGCAAACGGCGAGCGCTGATTCGTTGACGTAATCCAACAACTCCACTAGAGAAATTCTCCGTCATCCTTATCCCTTCACAAACTCTCTGCCATTCCCTCTCAGTGTGATCAACCAAATAATCCAAATTGAAGGTTCGTCAGTTTAACCATTCATATCTGCCTGTTTCTGGAAGCTCATCTAAAGTAGATGGAACAATTCGCACTATCGGCGGCGCATTCTGGCGCCATCAAGCATCTTCACGCCATACAGTTTGCGCCCAACACGGTCGAGCTAGCAAGGGAGATTCGTTTGGCCGTTACCGTCGTCGTCATTGGCTGGGTCACCGTCACCGGTATCAGATCATTTTTCGAGCGTGGGAGACGCTGATAATTCACCAATGTAGGACTATTGGGACTGGGAAAGGTGTCCATGCGGTTCAGCAAAGGAGTTGAATCACTATTAAATACTTGCACACGGATGGGAACCAACCATGAAAGCTGCAGACCTGTATCAGCATCACAACTTGACGATGGAAGAGATATATGTCAGGAATCGCGTGTACCCTACTGGATACATCACCATCAGCTGAGAATGAACTATGAAGTGGACGCAAAGTTGGGCGGGTACTTGAGATGACTACGATTGCGGGGAGCGGTCACAATGAAGTGCTTCGCCGGTCGTGCTATTTGCAGGAAGACGCCAGCCTTTCACCACTCGAAACTCACATCATTTCATGGCATGTGACACACATAAACATTCTCTTCAAAGCTTGTAATGAGTGTTGGATTCATTGTGCTACTAAAACAAACAAGTTGACGTCCTGATATACCATGCTCTGAGGAACATGCCGGCCCAAATCCGTTCTCCTTATGCTTTAGTCGATGTACTAGCCGATGTACTTCTTGCCCATAACCCACTCGTCCTTGTTGTACGAGCTCGGCCAGACGCCTCCTCTTCCCGGAGCCAAGATGCCATTGGGATCGATGGTGTCATGAATTTGTTCATGCATCTTCCACAGCGCACCCTTATTGAAGTCGTACGCATCCGCAACTTGATCCATGAGTCCCACGTGAGTCCTGAAGACACTCCATCCGTTCTCCTTCCATTCCTTCAGAAGAGTTCGTGCCAGCCACTGGGCCCGGCCACGCATGTCCTTGTCCTTGCGGTCGTAGGGAATGATGCACACGTTGTCTGCGAAGCTCGTTAGCAAGACCGAAGATGACAAAGTAAACACTCTGAGACTTACGCATGGTACGGAAGTATGCAACATAATGGCTAATGTAGTCAATACCAGCCTTGGCAAACAACTCCTTGGCGCGCGAATACTGATCCCAAACGGCGGAACCTTCCAGCCTGGAGATGGCAGCAACCATGATGACCGAGCAGTTAGGTAGCCACTGCTTCATCCAGGCAAACTCTCCCATAGAAGAGATACCCTGCAGGTAGGTAGCACGCACGCGGACCAAGTTCTGCTCGTCGGGGTTCTCGTCGAGGGTGGCCCACTTGCTGCCGGGAACCTTGGTCATCTCGCGCTTGATGTCGTCGATGAGAGCCTCGCGGACCTTGTCTGAACCGAAGACAGCACCAATGTAGCGCCACCGGCCGGTGTTGAGTTTCTTGGCCATCTTCTCGAAGTCCTCCTCGGGGATGATCTCTTTGTGTGAGGCATTGGTGTAACTCGATCGCGGGCCGTAGTGGGCGGCCTCGAGGGTGAGGTTGCGTAAGCTGACCGAGCTTTGAAGTGTTCCATTTAAGTCAAGGGGCTGAATGGCGTCGACAAGTGCCTTCAAATCCGACTCCTTCTCGAAAGTAACGGAGAACGGAGTCATTCCTTGGGGAGCAGGCATCAACTTGAAGTAGTGAAGCGATTAGTGTGTGGCCAAGAGTGAACCTTGAACGTAACCAGAAGACTTACCCAGAATCCCATCTTCGTGACGATGCCACTGTTGCCTTGGGAAAAGAGGCCGTCGTTCATGGGGCCCCATCCATATGGGAACAGAGCGAAGCACTCGTTGAGCTTTTGATCGGCTGGGTGAACGCCCTCTGCGGCCTGCTTGCGTCCCTCTGGATCTTGGATAGCGCCCATACCCATGCGGACAACTTCACCAGTGGGTAGCACAACCTCCATGCCACTGTGCTTTCCCCAGCGATCACCGTACAGGGAAGCACCACCACCGCGGTCCAACGCGTTGCCAATCATGGACCCCCAGCCCAGTCCCGAAGAGTCAACACGGATCCTGTCCAGCAAGTCGTGCTCGCGAAGATACTCGCTCATCTGCATGAAGGTGACACCAGGCTCGACGATGCAGACGCATGCCGTGGTATCCACGTGTAGGATGCGATTCATGTGAGTGCTGAGAACCATGACAAGGGAGCCCGGAACCTAATTCAAGACCGTGTTAGTACACAAACTGGCGTAAATGAACTGTCCACCGGATTCGACTTACACGTGGAGCCGAACCGCCATATGCGAGGTTTCTTCCAGTGCTAATGGGCCAAAGTGGCATCTTGTACTCATTGCATGCAGCTAGAATAGCCTGAATGTCCTGAACGTTTCGCGGGTGGCACAACGAAGACCCAACGAGCTCAGTCTCGTCGTCGAAGGAGCGGTAGTAGTCATGTGTGCGACAGTTACGGCCGAAATCGTCATCCTCGTAGTTCTCCAAGTCCATTGACGGTGTGATAACCTGGAAGTTCTCGTCTCCGATGATGGAGGTTATCTTCTTCGCAAACTTCGCGAATGAATCTTGGTTCATATTGGGAGGTAGAGCTTTCGGCGTATCGGCATCCTGGCTGGTACTGCCATTGGGGCCGCTGCTGGCAGCTCCTTTGCCACCCATCCAGAAGTGGCCGCTCACGAAGTTCGGGGGGACCTGAGCAGTAGTCATGGTCGTGATGATTCAATGTTTTGGCTTAGAAACGAGAAGATGTGAGTAAGTATGAGTCAAGGTGAAGAATCAGTGGCACAAGTTTACAATATTGTGGTTCCTGACCACCAAACCTAGAGTATATATATCACGCTCTGTTCCATATGGATACTTCGGATAGTGATTAACTGAATTGAATTTTCCATCCTAGGTATATCTTGCTGTTCGGGACGTCTCCGGACGAGCTGGACAGCTACAGGACCCAGAGTCCGGTCCGATACTCCAATCCAGGCAAGTGGAACCCCGTGAAATATTGTGTTTGAACCTGTCAATGGTTTATTTTACCATATGCACGTCATTTGGTCCATCTCCGCGATGTTGCGAGGTGCGAGAGTCTAAGTCGGCATGTATCAATGCCGCTCATGTATCGGAGTTCCCCGCCCTCCTGGTTGAATGGTGCATTCCCGTCCTCCTTGAGTTGTTCAATCTAGGTTCTCTCAACGTTGATTCTCGTCCCTTTTCCGGCCTGTTTCCCTCATGAACTAGTAGTATCTTGTGGATGGTCGAAGTACGTGTATCTACACCCACTAGCGCCGCGGTCTGTGTTTGGGTTATACTTCCCATTGAAACTAAGCGAAGGAGGGAAGGGGATTGGCAACATAGAGTTCACATCATCTTTGGACGACCTCCCGATAGATCCAATCACATCGAAAAACTTCCGAAAATGCCGAGCTGGTGACCGATTTGGACGGCGACGGGAGTGGTCTAATTTCCGCCGACATTTGCTAAAATATTGTCACACAGACGGGAGGCTTTGGACGCTCTTGGCAGCCCCCTCATTGACCATGAACCGACACCATTTCTATGAGGTGGTTTTGCCGGTCGCAGCCAAGATAACTTTCAGATCAAGTGCGCCGCTCGCCTTGCCCAGACTTCGCTGTTGGCAGCAGACTCGAGATCGGGATCAAGCCCACAACAGATGAAACCTATCGCTATCGGTTTCTGGTGATAGTCTCTGTGCCTGCCATTTGACAACACGTGATTAATTGTCTACGTTCGAAAATACACTTCACTTGAAGTTGGTTGGAACCTTGTAGCCATAGTAAAATTTGCATTTGACGTTACTGAGTTTGCTGTTGCTGAAACAAGTCAGCGAGCGGTTCTCATGGCAAATGGGGTCGGCCGACATCATATTCAAACATCTTGGCCACCCCCTTACGTCGCCGGAAGATACATTAACATTGCAATATGCTTGTCCAGAACCAAGTGGTGTCTTCATTGAAGTGGTGTGCCCTGAGATGGTGTCGTGCCATGTCCGTATACTCGGGAAAGGTACGCGATATCGTGAGTTCACGTCGGCATACAGGCAGAATTCACGTACCCCCATTGTCAATACGCCACCCGTACCCACCTCCGTGGCCAGATGACTGCTCGCAAGCCGTCGTTTTGATCCCGGCAACCTTGGGATACCAAGGTTTCTCGACCTAAGCTCGCAAGCCGTCCTTCAGCTTTACATGTGCTTCCCGAGACAAACCATCGGCACCTAAATATTCGGTAAATATTGCCTGAATGTCCGGTTTCCGGACATCAATCTATTCAAAGACACGCGAAGGGAAAAGCCGACCCTGAACGAGGAAGTTCAAGCGTTCTAGCCCGTCCCGGGGATGTGTACTTCTCGGTCGACACACCTAAATGTTTTGTCACGGGAGACGAGCTTTAGCTAGCCTACACAGGTAGTGATAGACAAGAAATACAGACCCAACTCTGTCGCCTCACACTCTACCCGAGCCTTCCTTCCATGACCCCGAACACAAGCAATCGACATGCGCCGTATATAGGCTGCTTCACGCCCACCTTCAGCTCCGAAACTTTGCTGTTGAGAGCATCGTTCATGACAACTGCTACCTATCACTTTGAACTATAATCTTCCAGATAAATCGTTTCCCGCCTCAACTTCGTACCATCATCTTGTAAGCATCACAAGCTCATCATGTCTTCTTCAGTTGCATCTGCTCCCGTTTCTCTTCACCCTGCCCTGTCACGCCACTCGGAAAGAGCTAGCTCAGGAAGAAGCTCGCCGGCACAGCGAAACCAGGGTGGTCGCACACGCGAGCAGATCCTTTGGCAACTTCACGGCCAAAATGTCCGCATTCCAGATCTTGGAAAGATGATGGCAGACTGGCCGAGAGACCAGAGCATGCACCTGGAGGCGGTGAACTCCAAGATTTTGCAAATCATCGAAACGTGAGTATTTCTGTTGGTTTTCATTTGGTTCCTACTGACGCGTGGCCTAGCCACGCTGTGAACGACACTGTTCGAATGCGCCTCACCAAGGCTATGCTTTCGTCGCAGTTGACCGGGTGGTATCCGTATGCTTCTTGCGACAAGATCGAGGCCCTCACCTCGTTCCAGGCCTGGATGTTCATCATCGACGACATGCTCGACCAGTACTCCCTCGTTCACAAGTTTGACTTTGCGGCACTACACGTTATGTTGGCCGACTGCCGAGACTTCGTCGAGCGCAGCCTTGGTGTCACTACTACTGGCGAGAGCGCTCCTGTTAAGTACCGCGACCACGATGCTGTGGTCTCCTTCGAGGAGTATGCCCAAGCCGTCTGCAAATCATACAGCGACAACTACCCTTACCGCTTGCGAATCGCCAAGGAAGCCATCGCCACCCTCGACGGCTACCGTCAAGAGGCGCTGAACCGCTACGCTGGCCGTGTACCCACTCTCGAAGAGTATCTCGGCTACCGCGAGGCGTCCTCGTGCATCATGCAGGTTGCAGTTAATCTCGAGTTCGCCAACGGCATTAGTCTACCCGAAGAAGTAATGATGTGCGAGGAGATGCGAGAGCTCTACCGTGCAGCAGTTGCAGTTGTCTGGGTTGTCAACGACATCGTCAGCATGCGCAAGGAGATCAAGGAAGGCTTTGTCGAGAACCTCGTTGTCCTCCTCGCTCACGGAAACGTGCAAAAGGGGCTCGACGGGGCTGTGGCCAGACTCGAACACGAGGTCGCCGCTGTCAACGAGGCCTCCGAGGCCGCCATCCGCCGTTTCGCTGACACGCCCTACAAGTATCATGTGTCCCTGCTGGCCAGGAACTGCAAGAATATGTGCATGGCGAACTGGCTCTGGAGGTATGTGACAAATCTCATCAGCACGATAATCCTTGATGCTAACACACCACTTCGCAGCATGAGAACTCCCCGATACTGCTTGTGGGATATTAAACCAGACGCCGAGGGCGGATACACCTTCACCGTCGACGCCGAGCCTGAAGAGTCCTAGGGTATTGGTTGAGCTGGTTAACGTTGCTGTGCATTGGTTTGCAATTACACACGGACTGCGGTATCATAACACGAAGTCGTCGTAGTTAGACTCTCATCCCATAGCAAATTTACAAAAGAGGTTATCGAGCCTTATATCAGTCGTTTTTCTACCGTTTTAGGCCAGCTTTAGTTTCATGACGGGGTGGTACCTTGCTGTGCAAATTCGACTTGCCATAACCGGGGCTGTTCAGCTTGCTGAGTGGCCAGCTCGATCATGTTACCAGCATACTGGGACTACTATCGCTTTTTGAAGGTAAAGAAGTGTCAGATGGCATTGATTTCCTGGTTCTTTGTGGGTAACTCGCGGCATCGCGGGAATGATTTGACAGATCCAAGGGGATGGTTCTAACACAACGTCGAAACACGTCAGCTGTCACATCAGCCGTCGTCAATACTTGAGATGTGGCTGGATATTTGCCCGGATGACTTCAAAGCATGAACATCGCATACTGAGACATGGAGTAGCTGCAGAAAGCGAGATGGGCTACATGAGGTTATCGCCGAGCCCGGACGATACTGCGTCACAATTTCTGTTGACTCATATTCCGAGGGAAGCATCGCCTTAGCTTTGTCCAGGAACATCAAGGCGAACAGCAACTCGGCAAATTTACGATGGCTCGATATCTAACGCTTCGTTACTGTTGAACTTTCCAGCTCGTCGTGTTGCCAACTTGAAATTACGAACGGCCGCGCTTCCTGGCTTACACCCATTAAACCTGAGATAGGGCGGATCCCCTATTATGAATTGCCTGTCACAGTTGCGTTATGGGATAAATAGCCTCGGTGTAATATGAAGTCTTGTCGTGACGCTAAATCAACATATTACATCTATCTGCCAGGGTTCGTGACCGAGAATCCCTTGATGGGGAAGTTGAAGTTGATGTGGTGGCTCTCAACCTCACCAACGCCGGACGGAGTGTAAATAGATTTGTCTGCCTCCTTGCTAGACTCGTAGTCTCTCCATCCAATGAATCCAATCCACACAGTTCCCTGGTCAGGAGTGTCCGTCGCCCCAATTCCAGAGTGAGCGGCGTGGCAGCCAGGCAGAGTCTCTGCCTTCTTCAGAGTCTCGGCCATGGCCTCGCGGTTTCCTGTGCAGTGACGAATCGTAATGACCTCGCAAATGGGACTGTTGATCAGCTGGGGAGGCGGAGGCACAAATGTGCGGATGTCAAGATCGAAGCGAGGGCACTTCGTGGGCATGGGGCCCGCGATGACCGGCTTCAGCGCGTCAACGGCCTTCTGATGGTGCTCGGACTTGCCGAACGCCGCGCGGTTCTCAACTGGAGCCCAGGCTGTGGTAACATTGTGAGTACAAAATCGCGTGAGCTCTGCCGAATGAAGGGGCACGCACTGGCAAGAATCTCCAACTTGCTCGGGTCCTCCTTCCACGGCCCCCATCGGTAGCGGAAGTAGCCATCGGAGTCCTTGACTGACAGCAAGAATTTCTTGTATTCCTCCTTCCAATCCGGTACATCTCCCGTCACATCGAGAATGATGCGAGTAGGTCCTAGGCTGGGTGGTCCGGACATCTTGATGAGTGAAAGAATCGGAGGCTATGAGTAATGTTTGACTGTGCTGAGATCAATAGCTTCGTTGTCACACAATATTAAGATTGGTGTGAGTGAGGTTTAGTCGTGAAGGGTCTTCAGCATTCTTTATAAGTATGTAGGGCGTTCAAGGCGTGGAAAAGGATCTTATTTCTTCGGTCTCAGACCATATCGCATGGTGATGATGCGCGCGTTGTGGAATACTTCTCTTTCTGGAAAGCGAATAAGACTTTCTCAATCTCCGTTTCACATGGTAGATCCATGCAAAATGCACCGCAACACATTCCCCTTCAGTGGTCCGTTCCCGTCAGGACATCCGAATGACAGACCAGATGATGGAAGGACGCACGTCCGCCTGTCAAATATCCAGAGCCGGGGGCAAACCAAACCGAAAGTCTGCTGTATTTGGAGACATGAGTGCACACAGCTATGACGCCCACGACACCCTCTTATTTATGCCTTGGTCGGCACCCACAGGTAACACACAGACTGGCGCATACATGTACGCTTGACGCGAGGTCCTATTGATTCTGGATGCACTATGCAACGGTTGAGACGGTCCATCCCGAACGGGAAGCCTATTCTGGAAGAAAGCATATTATGCTAGCGGCATCCCACGTAAATTGAAAGAACGAGCTGATTAAGACCATCTCGTGTCACTACAACCGCTGCTTGTAGACGTTTATTCGTATGTTTCGCGGAGTTTAGAAACAATCCGTGAGGATCGAATGACTAGTCAGGCCATCCAAGTCAACTTTAACGTTCACGGACTTCCGGCGAACCACTCAAGGGGCAGAGGATCTCCGTCCGCTGGGTCAAGACAGGACATCGTAAATCGATGATATGCTGCGATACGAGAGGTCCGTATCGTCATTCACAAATTTGCAGCGAGCTTGCTAAGATGTGTGACGTATTGAGATAAGGTGATACTAGTATGTATGGAAAACGCATCGTAGTCAACATCAATGGTATCAGACACTTACAAAGGTATTGCTTCCTACTCCAGCAGTCTAAGGCGAGGCGAACTGGAGAATATGTATCTTTACTGGAGTATCTCATCCTACGGCAAGTCAAAGAAGGCGAACATAACCTTGCCAGCGCCAAGCGGCATGGCTGCGAACCCCCCTTTCTCGTGTGTGCAACGGTGCCAAAGCTTCGTAAAAGGTCATGTACCAGATTCATACCAGCCCCTCCGATACCCCGCCATCTCACAGAACGGCCGTGGGGTGCCGTTTTTCCATGCTCAATCAGAGTTGTGAAACTTCAGCTAAACTCAGATACGAGTCCCCGCAGCTGACCGAATGGCGGGCCGCGTTGGGGAACCGGTCGCAAGCAACAAGCTTCGAGGAAGCTGGGCTGAGATAGCTGCCCCGAGCTGTCAGAGCTGGGAGCTATGCAACGTGAGCTGTCGGATACTGCGGAGCTCGCTGAGCTCACATCAGCGAGCTCACACTTGCGAAGCTCCAGGCATGATGTTCTCCGTCTCGGTGTCTCTTCACGCAGACGCCGAGGACATTATTGCGATGCCAACCTGTTTTTGTTTTCACGGCTACCTAGACAGAACGTCGTCATCGCCATTATCCTCGTCAGATTGCACCAAACTTTGCCTTTGAGAAACCCGCTGCCTCGAGTATGCCTCAACAAGCTCCGCTTCACTCCGATTCCGAATCTCATCCAATGCCGGCTGAGCAGTCAGCCACGCGGCAATCAGCATACTCTTCATCTGCCAATTTGCGCTGAACCTAGTTGCCGTGAACCACTCGATACTCCGTCGACCCAGCTCTGGCTTCCACGGGAAGTTGGAGACGAGATGCAGACGTAGGATGGAAGGATACTTGTCGAGCTGGAGCAAAGCCTCTTGCTCGGCTGCGAAGTACCACTTGGTGCTCCCCAAGACGAATCCGATCGACGAGCCGATGATGAAGGGCAGTCCTGCCGTTCCCCAGATACTGGCTCCGATGAAGGATGCCGCGAGGCCCACGACGGCGGCCGTGGATGTACCTGCTAACATGCTCCGTAGCATGCTGGTTCAATTAAAATAATGCTGTAGTAGTTCAAAAAAATTCTGACTGACAATAGGCCTGGTCCACTAGGAAGAGTTAGAAATACCTGCTACAAAGAGAGCGAATGTTGTGGGAATTGAAGAGAAGAAGGAAACAAGATGCAGTTTACGAACTTGACATTACCCCAACCGCCAAGTATTCTCAAGAGATTAAAGTGCGGCTGAGCATTTGTGCTGTACTCTGTCATCTGCCACCGAATTCATTTAGTTCTTCCCGACTCTCAGGCTCGGGAAATGGTACAGTCTTACAGCGTAGTCCTGCATGGTGAGAGATTAACCGGACAACAGATCTCCGACTGTCGATATATATGACCAAAAGCGTGATTGTGGTTGGTCAAGAGGTTGAGTCGTCGTCCGATGCTCGAGTCCGTCGATGTTTGTTGTTACAGCACCGTCAACCTCAAACAGCATCACTCGTCACGTCGGCAAGTCGCGGCTAAGTGACCGGAGGCGCACGCATTCTCCAACGCCACGTATTATCTTGCCTCAGGCCACAGCCGCCACTTTCCTTTCCCCAACAATAATCGTTTCCATTTGGAACATTCCGCTTCCCCTTAAACTCTTACGAAAGTTCCGATCACTTTTACTTCTTCCAGACGCAACCTTGACAGGAGATGGATTCTGGCACGGGAAAGTCCATGCTATTTCCGGGCAACGTCGCGGGCACCCGAGACATTCCCGGTCGCTGTTCAAATGGTTCCGATATTAGGCAAGGACTCAATTGATCTCGTCCGGTCTCTTGCGGACGCGGCAGCACAAGGTAGCCTGTGTCCGCTGTTGCATGATGCATGAGGTAAGCCCCTCGGGTGCCCGTGCCGTACATGAAGGAATGCTCGACGAGTAACCCGGCGAACGTAGTGTTTCCGGACACGATCAATTATTCGAGATAGTCACTAAATAGCAGAACCGAATAAGGCGTTTTCGGTTGCCTCGAACAATCAATATAAATACATGGACATTTGGCCCCCTATCGCTCCGCGAAAAGTCGCATGTCGGCGTCAATAGTAACCGAACGGGTCCGGACAATTTGGGGATGACCGAAATGCCCGCAATCACTCCGGCTGACTGAACCCCACTGTCGCCTCAGAACCCACTTTTGCTCGGTCCCGAAGCCGCCCGTCTTACGAGGCGTCGACTCAGGGAATGACATCCCTCTAAGCACGCTGCCGTCCATAAAAGATCTGTCCATTGAAACACTGGGATTCCGAATCGGCCGTCATCACAGATCTCAGATTTACACCTTTCGCTACGGCATCTACCAGCATGGCATCACTAACAGTACGACGTCTCCGTCCCTCGACGATTGCGGCTACCGTCGCGGCGGGCGGCATCGGGTTGGGTATCTTTTCCAAGTTGATGATCGGGAACGCGGCGGCAGATTCTGGGGCACCGCCCAAGGTGTTTGGGGCTGGTCCGGCGTTTGTTTCTTTGCCATTGGAGAGTTCGGAGGATGTCAACCACAATACCAAGCGTCTACGATTCAAGCTGCCTCAAAGAGATGCTGTGAGCGGCTTGTCATTAACATGTGAGACCATCGCTTCATGTTTGAGACATTGACACTGACGAGATCGTAGCCGCGGTTCTGACCATGGCATGGCCAGAAGGCAGATGGTTTCCCGTTGCCAGACCATACACTCCCGTTCAACCCCTAGGTACACCACCATCTCACCTCATGCCTGGAAGGATTCTCACACTCATCCAGATGACGCCGGCTACCTCGAGCTCATGGTGAAGAAGTACCCCGACGGCAAGCAGAGCACCCACCTGCACTCTCTCACCCCAGGCCAGAAGCTCCTCTTCGCCGCCGCGCTCAAGGGTCACCAGTGGAAGCCCAACAGCTACCCGCACGTCACGCTCATCGCGGGCGGCGCCGGCATCACCCCGATCTACCAGCTCGCGCAGGGCATCCTCCGCAACCCCGAGGACAAGACGGCCATCACGCTCATCTTCGGCGTCAACTCGAACCAGGACGTGTTGCTGAAGAAGGAGTTCGAGCAGTTCGAGAAGGAGTTCCCGGGGCGCTTCAGGGCGATCTACACCGTCAGCAACCCCGTGGCCGGGTCGCCGTATCGCAAGGGCTACGTGACGAAGCAGCTACTCGAGGAGGTGGCGCCGAGGCCGAAGACGGCGGAGACGAAGGTGTTCGTGTGTGGGCCGCCGGCGATGGAGACTGCGTTGGTCGGGAAGAGGACTTCGCCGGGTATCTTGCAGCAATTGGGATATACTAAGGATCAAATCCACCAGTTCTAGAGTTTGAGGATGAGACTTTATCCTATTTCACCTTTTGTATCAACACATTCGAGGTTGTTGGTGGTATTATTGGATTTCCCAAATAGACAGAGACTTACACAGACGAACACAATTCTCATGCCTTCATCAACTGTCCACGTATGCTCGCGACCCAGACGAGCGTCGAAACTCCCAACGAAGAAACAAGAACCCCCCAGGTGTCACCTTGCTCGTCGATTAGAAGTTATAGCAGCTCAGACTTCCCAAACCTCATCGCCGACATCTATGTAAGTCACATGTTCCTTGGGTTTGAGCGGTGACTGAGAGGAAACTGCGAGTGGTCGTCAGTTATCGTAGAACGACAGAGTTAGACAAGAAAACTGACGGGAGAGCCTCATTGTTGTGGCAATGACTGAGTCCAAAGCTCTCGTGCAATGATAACTGTGGATATCCTGAATGATCTTCTCGAACTGGTAGACCTCCGGGAGCTTCTCGTTTGAGAAAGACTTGAGGGCGCCTAGGTCGTGCTTGCGCAACTCCTTCTCTGCAAACTGTTAACAAGACACTCGCGCTGAATCCTTCACCGAGATCTCACCTGAGAAGTTGGCACTGAACGCGTCAACAATCACGCTGTCATTCCGACGTCGCCTGCGCAAGGATAGGAGCGCCGCCATCATCGGTAATGCCCATTCGTCTCCGAAACAGCCTTCGGCAAGGCTCAGCGCGATGCGGATCTCAAGCTTGGAAGTGGCGACCGATGTAGCAAAGCAGTCGGCTCGCAGTCGACAGACCCTCTTAGCCAGCTCTGGCTTCTCATTGGGTTCCCCCATCTCGGGACATAGCTTGAACAGCCCGTGGTTGATGATCTCCTGCAGACTAGTGGAAGTCGAGCGCCCCTCTATGGATAAGGTCCCCTGGCTCAAGTACTCTCCAAAGTTGTAAGAGGTATCGCGACGTAAAGAGCGTATCTTCGCAAGGTTGTACGTTTTCCACGAGTCTTTATCCGCGAAAGCATCTAGAAGCGGGGCGTCCGGTAGGAGTGCACCCGGTGGAAGGCCCGAGGTATCCAGGACGTGAACGCGGATGTCGGCTAGCTCGTCGCGGTCTCTTTCCTTGATGTTGCGGTATAAGGCATACTGGAGGGCAAACAGCAGTGAACTAGACCAAGACATGAGATTATCGCCGTCCCTCGACCATCCGCGAAGGTGAGAGTTAAGCATCTCGGCGGCACTGCGAGCTGGCATCGAGAGGATGTCGGTGGTCGCGCCTGGTTTACCGAGCATTGCTGCCCTTGAGATAACCTCCTTGTTTGTGGTTTGCCCGGCAGTCTTTGGCGCATGAACTCTGAAAAGGTATCGAGGAATGTCTTCCAAGGCGGCTGAAAGCCTTGCCTGGTCTGCTGTAGGGGAGAACAGCAGGCAGCCTTGACTAGAGGCTGTCTCCGTCGTGACGGATGAGGCCTGGGTCGCCATTGTGGACGATGGCGTTTCGTGGACGGGATTCTCAGCCATGGCGCCCTCTTTCGGGTGAGAACCACTCCACGATGAGATTAGGTGATGAGATGAGAGTGAGACGAGCGATGAAATGGCGACGCTCGTGGATAAGGCCTGAGAAATCCATGCGTCAGGAGAGAAGAAGCCTCCAAATTATATAAGGCAGCAATCAATATACCGACAAGCTATGGGTCAAATGAGTGAGCGGCCACCATGTTCTTCTCACTCAACGTGAGAGCAGTGAGTGTTCATGAGCCATGCCTAACTTCAAAAAGTGGACGGCCTCCTGCATACCACACGAACTTGGCACACCCAAAGAAAAGAACCAAGCAGACGCCTCAAGAACTCAAGCCAACGGGATGAGATTATACGCGAAATATTGGCCGCCAGCTGAGCGAACGTGAGGGTGTCAACAGGGGCTGCCGCCTCTCATCACATGAGGGGAAAAAGAAGGCTGCAGTGTGGCATCGCGACTGCTGTCCCAAAACGGAAAGGTTCATCCAGTGGGGATAGATAAGATAAGGTTTATCGACCCACTTTGGTAAGGTCGGAAATCTTTTTCTCCGCATTCCGCTTTCAGGCCCCAGTGGAGGCTGATGCCTTAGCTCAGCTGTCAAATCAGAAAGGGCCATGTGGAGTTGGGGTCCCTCGTACCTAGCGAACTGCTCTTCAGCGCCGAGACGGCCCAGTGCCCACGGTGGCCCCTGGCCATTGGCTTTCCATTGGGAACGGGACGTGAGGTGGATGAGGTCAGTGCCTGGCCCACATCAGCTTCTCCCGGCACCTGTGCTGCACCTTGCCATCTGTCCAGGTCCAGGGGAATCGCGAACCATCTGCATTCCATATTGTCATCACAAGCCGATCAGCAACCACAGCGCACAGCAACAGCCTTCCTTTTCGTCCACGACCTACGACGCTCTTCATCCTGGATTCCATCGATATTGATACCTGCACCTATACGCAACTCAAACTGTCACTTCCGACCTTTACGGCACCGAACCTTGACCTCCGCCGATCCGATCCTCCAGCTCGACCTCACCCCGGCACCTCCGTGCCTCCGTGCGACCCGCCGTCGACACCTCCGCCGTCTTTCCTCTCCTCCTTCTCCCCTCCTGCAATCCTGGCTTCCCGGCCGGGTGAGCTGGTCGAGAACGTCCAGCGCCAGTCGAATGAATGCAACCCCTAAATCCATTCCTCGCCGCCTTCTTCCGAAGCTCCCTGCCGTCGCAGTGCACACCGGTCCATCACCACATCCTCCTGGTCCCGACCACCGATGTCCTCCTCACCCACCGCGAGACCGAGAGCGGCTCGACCTTCAACGAGGTCATCACCTCGGAGGAGTTCCTAGCTAGCCACGTCTTGCGAATACCGGCGTCCAACACCGCCGCCGCCGCCGGAGGGAAGGAGGCTGCGCAGAACCTGCGAGAGCTGAGGGGCAAGGCGAAGCAGTATCAAACGATCAACGGGCGCACAGTCGTCATCAAAGACACCCATGTTTACAGTAATAAGGGTGCGCCAATGCTGCTGACCGAAGTGGTCTGGGAAACATTCAGCTGACATACGTGGCACAGGCTTCAAATCTTTGGCGCAAGCGCAGCTTCTCAACGATGCGACGTGGTATCCCGACCTGCTCGAGCCACGCCAATGGCTGATTTACTACATCACCCGCCCTCTTGTTGGGGTCTGGGAAGAGACCAAGATTATCCCGGCCGTAATGGTGGAAGGAATCGCGAGAAGACAGGCCCTCGAGCAAAGCCGATCGGCCGCCATGGAAGGGGATGCTGCGATGCTGCCGCGCAAAAAGGACGTCAAGAACTTTCACGACCTCCTAAATCACTTCCCGATTATCGCGCGACAAATGCAGCCCGGTCTGGAGAAGCTGTTTCGGGAGTTTACGACTGTTTTCGAGCGACCACTACCCCCGCCCCCCTCGGCGATGCGCATACCCGATCCCGAGCCCGAGGGGCCGATCGCGACGGCAATGAAGCAGGCGCGCTCCAACAGCACGTCTGCAGTCAAAAGACCAAACAACCTATCCAACGGCCTAGCGGTGACGGAGAACTTCTACGCCGAAGATGACGAAGATGTTATGCGAGCTTCTCTCGAGACCGCGGTGATGGCGGCCATCGATATCTTCCAGGCTGTAGATAAGCAGCAGCTTTCGATGCTCGGCGCTACGACAGACCTCACCGGGCCGGTCGTTGAGAGACTGATAGAGCGATACGTCACCGAGAACGTTCACCATCTGCTTTTCCCCCGTCTCAGCGCCATCAAACGCCCTTACGATCTCGAATTGGAGGCGAAGATACGTCAGATGGAGTTCATCGACTTGTCACAGCTCGGTATAGTAATCGAGGGTGGCTCTCGAGGAAAACATGACCTGACAATACAACTTGGTCTTGCCGTCGAGGAGTTCAAGAAGATGACTCTGGCATTGAGCCCGCAAGAGATGCTGGACCTCTTGTTGTCAACGATGAAGACGGTTACCCACTTGACCAACACATCTCGAGCTCAAGCAGCTTCATCGGTAGAAAAGCCCACTCTTACCGTCAACGCCGATACCCTCGTGTCCCTACTACTATTCGTGGTCATCCGAGCGCAGGTCAGGCACCTTCATGCGCGTCTGATTTACATCCGCCATTTCATCTACGTTGATGATGTTGACAATGGCGAAATGGGCTACGCCCTAAGCACCTTCGAAGCAGTGTTGGCTTATCTCGCTCTCGACTCGTCAGGCCTGAGGAGAGCAAGTAAGCGAAACAAGACTTTGTGGGATGCAACCTGCAATGGTACTCTGGACCAGGTGAAGAAGATCATGGAGCCGGACTCGAATGCGGTGATCGACGATGTCTACGACTCGCCAGTGTCGAGTCGGCGGCCATCAGGCACGTGGAGCTACACTAATGGCTCTGCTTCACGACGATCATCGACGGCCGTCACCATTTCCGATCGCTTCTCATCCGGGTCTGGCTTGAGTCACGTATTTCCCTTTCAAGTGGAAGACGCCGATAGCGAGCTTGATTTCCCACTACCACCTCCCCCGCGAAAGATCAAGCGGGTTGCTATGGACACCAGGAGCATGTCGAGCGGTTCCGAAATATCGTACCACTCGAGGGCTACTAGCAATGGGACCGTCGGCAGCGTACTAGAAGGCGACATCTCGGTTGACCGGTTGTCGCAGACACACAACGCCTTCGGCGAGTCACTCCTGATGATGGCTGTGCAGAATGAGAGACCTGATGTTCTCAGGTATCTCTTGAAATTCGACGAATACTACCCAACCGCTGTGATCCTCGACGACATCAACAACGAGGACACAACATTACTGAGCGCCGCAGTGCAGTTGGGCCACACCGAGTTGATAAATATTGTACTCTCTTTCGTCATGTCCGTGGCATCGGAAGAGCGCCTGAAAGCCTACCTCGCCCAGCAAGATATTTGGGGGCGCAGCTGTGCGCATTACCTGTTCCATGCGCCGTTCCTGATATCTCGAATTGGGAAATTAGTCCCCTGGCGGCAAAAAGACAAAAACGGACAGACGCCACTTTTTGCGCTGTGTCGCTCGTATGACCATGTGCACTACCACGAAATGGTGGATGCCGGCCTTGATGCGGCCACGGAAGCGCAGGGTGACGGGCTCCCGCTCCACATCGATGACCATGTGGACGGCAAGGGGAACACGCTGCTTCATATTGTGAACGACCCTCAGCTCGCTGCCAGGATTCTTCAACAGTGCGACGTGGACGTCAATGCAACCAACGAGAAGAGGTTCACGCCTCTGATGGTAGCCAGCAAATATGGCAGATTGGACATGGTCAGAACGCTTTACGTGGACGCACGAGTTGACGTCGCGGCCCGAGAGCTACGAAGCCTGACGGCCGTGGAACTGGCCAAAGATGATGACATCCGAAATAAGATTGACGACTTGGCATTGTTTAGCATGCCCCCTGCGGCGGATGCCCGTATCACCGGTGTCGTAAGAGCCTTTTTCGTTGAAGATGCGACCATTCGCTTGGTCTTGAAATCGGCCGCCCCCGCCGACCACATGAGCTACACTGTTACAACGAGCCGCCGCAACCTGTCCGATTTCGAGATCCTCGGCAATCTGCTTGCGCTGGAGAATCCGGCATCGTGGATTCCCGCGGTCGCCGGAGTACGCTCGCCATTCCAGATCCCGTCGAAGCCATCGAGAGCCGTTCTGCGGGACATCCAGACTAGGACGGACTGGTTCCTCAAGATCATGCTCCAGCACCCGACGTTTGCGACACACGAGATGCTCTGGGAGTTCTTCCTCGTCCCTGACATCCAGCTCGGAATGATGGAGCAGAGGAGCAACCTCAAGGCGGAGACGCGGGCGGAGAAGGTGCGGGAGGAGTACGAGCCTGTGAAGGATGTGCGAGAGGTTGAGCAGTTCGTCGACCACGCGAGAGAGATGGTTCGGAGCGTCAACTATTCCACCAAGAGCGTTGCCAGGAGGGTCAACGCGATTGGCATCGTCGCATCAGGTAAGCCTCGCCGTCGAACCAACTGAACCGCGACCTTGCTAACAGTTCTAGATCTACACGACGCGGCAGCTCTATTGCACCGGGCGGTATTGACGCTCCCATTCCTCCCACCCGCATACATGACGGCACTGGAATCGTACGTCCGCACCATCACTCCGATGCAGTCGAACCCTTACGCCATCTTCCACTCCACCTTCCTCGCGTCGCAATCCACCATCCAAGGGCTGTTGTCAGCACTTGCGCGACCACCGGGGTTGATCTCACAAATTTCGTCGGCGCGCAAGGCAGTGGAGAGGAACTACAACTCGCTCAACAGATCGACGCGGTGGCCGCTCGGTCTCTTGGACGATACGCGACAACGTCTCAACGAGGAGCGGGAGGAGAAGGCGCGTCAGTCACAGGAACAAGTCGACGACCTTGGTCGAGAACTCCGGTACCACCAGCAAGTGGTGGCCGGGGAACTCGCCGGGTGGCAGGATCTGCACGAGAAGATGGGGCGACGGGCGATCAAGGAATTCGCCAAGGGCATGGTGATCCAAGAACGGCTCCGGCTGGACGGGATGATGAGGGCTCTGCGACGGCTCAGGGAAGGCAAGGCGGAACTCGAGACGGTAGCGCAGGGTGTTTCAGGGCGGTCGAGTATGAGTCAATCGATGCACGACGGCGGGACGACGATGGATGCGGGCGAGGGAAGCAGCAGCAGCAGCAGCAGCAACAGCAACAGCACCACAAGCAACGGTACCGGTAGCAGCGGAGGCGTCGGCGGCGCGGGCAACGGACTGGTGGCGAATGCAGCTGGACTTTAGCCCGCCCCCGGTTCCTTGCTGCGTGCGGGTGTCGTCGTCTAACAGTTGCCTGGGATGATGTGCATACACGGTCGAGCCTTTTTCAACACCAAGAGCGACGCGTGGTATGGGAAATGCGACGCGTCTGGGGGCGTCATTGGGTGGTTGTGTGATGACGGGTGGGACGGATGACCACCGATCAAGAGTTGGAGAAGAGCAGACAGACAGAGGTGTGTGTGTGTGGGATTGAATGGGGCCACCTCACCTCACCTTGCATGAGGCAAGGCACATTTTCCGAATTTCCCCCCCTCTCGGTCTCGGCCACAAACTCGACTCGAGAATAGCAAGTAGAACGCTGCTCATTTCTTGCGTTTTTTCCTGTGTCTTTTTTTCTTTCTTTCTATCGATTGACGGATACCCTTTGGCGTCCTCGGCGTGTGGTGGGTGGGTAAACTTTAGACGGCGGGACGGAAGGAGGAGGAAATTTCCTTCTCAACTCAGGTTCCCTCTAGAATGGAGGACGAAATAGATGATGGATACAAACAGCACACACAACACACACATGAGATGGATACCTTTCTTTTTTTTTTTTTCCCACGTGGTTCATGACATGGTCCCTTGTTTGTGAAAAAGTTTTTCTGATGATGAGTGACTGTTTGTCGGTGTAAGGTAGGTCCCAAGAGGACACGATGTCTTGTTTTCCGAGGACTCGGGAACCCGAAGTGGGAATGGAAGTGTAGGGCATTACCGACTCTGGATATCAAGCATGTTCACCACGGTGAGAGGTTTGGGAAGACCCAGCCACCCCGACTTTTCCGAGCAGGCCGCGGACATGTGCCCCCCGGTTTGGATGTTTGTTTCCTTGCGAGGACACTCGACCCGAACTACCGTTGGGACGTGCATGCTGTAAAGGCAGGGAATTTCTAGAGTTGCCAACGAGATGTGACTCATTCTTCCCTGGAGAGAAGAAGAAGTCATCATGCATGGCGGATCCCAAGGATACGTTAGTTGCAGACCGGAGCCGTTGGCGAAGAGGCGTGGGCCATTGGATCGAGAAACAAAAAGGCGGTCGTGAAACATCCCGGGAAGACGGCTGGGCCAATGAAGCCCGGTGCGAGACGGAAACACGGTGAAAGGTGACCTTTCGCGGTCCCGATTGGACGACGGGGGATCGGCGGCGCGTCGAGATTGGGTGGTTGGGTTGGGCCTATCAGAGGGCGCGACGGGGATGAGGGAGCACGGGCCACGGGAGCGGGATGGTTAGCGTGTGAGTACGTAAGCAGAAAGGCTAGGTAGTGCGATTAAGCGATGAATTGGAGAGATGGCATTGTGAGACTGTGAGTGGCGCTTGGGATGGAGGGTTAAGCGCTCGAGTGCGGCTGTGCAATGGTGAGACGGGCAAGACGGGAGAGAGTCTCCCCATGTTCGGACCATGTCGTACCGCGGATGGGCATCAGATTGCCGAGATGGAGAGATGCGAGGTGCGAATCATTGTGCGTGGAAGGGATCTGGAGTGAGGTGCTTGCCGCCGCTTGCGAGGAACCGACGAAAGAGCCCTCGAGGGTAGAAGGATGGATGAGCTCACGATGGACGGTGCAGCGTTGTATAGAGCGGCTGTATATCAGGCGAGGCTTAGACATACAGACGGGGTCGGCGGGAGAGAGATGAGTAGCTGCGCGGCTATCTCGTCTTCCGGCGATTTGCATTGACGAGGACGGATGCACATGATCACCGGCATCATCGTCCGCGTCAGGCCCGACTTCGGGGCCTTCTTTTGGCGAAGTTGAACCTGGTGTTACAGAGTGAGACTGGGCGGACGGGCGGCTGCCTCCTCTTTTCCAGGTAGGTAGGTCAGCCTGCTGTGTCATCCGACTCTCGTGAGACTGGTGAGGTGCTTGGTGCTGTAAGCGCCGGCCGGAATCGGGAGATGGGGGCGGTCGCGGTGGTAGGTGGGTTGTGTAGCCGCCCGGGCGGTTAGCAGGTGCGGTTGTTTTAGATTGCGAGGCGAGGCTTCGAGGAGAAGAAACAGCCGACCCTGCGCAGGTAGTAAGCCTGCAAGGCCCGGAGGGCTCTCTCTGCTAGCAGGCCAGGCTGCTGTGTCTCGGAGTATGAGTGGGCATTGATGGGATAGACGCCGGTAATCTTGGGAGCCGCTCGGATTTGATTGCGCCTGGAAGTATTACGGGGCGGAGTAACATTTTAATTACTACTCGGTCCCAAGTCCAGGTCGAGGTTCAGGTGAGAGACGGTAGAGCAGATGAGGCGGACGGGAAGCCGCGAGAGGGAGGTTGATGCGAAGATGAAGCGACGACTGCGAGGTGCGCTGGCGACGCGGACGGGAACGAGTTGGGAATGCCCTCGCGAAGAGGCGCGGGTGTTTGTTCGCGACGTGGACGAAGGCAAGACTCGCGGGTTGCGCATGGCATGGCATGGCACGACGACGCATGACATCGCGTCGAATAATCGCCACGAGCGCGTCTAGGCGTTCCTGGTGTTGATGTTGTGGTGTGGTGTGTGGTGTTCGTCCAGTGTGTTCTCCGCTATTCAGGTGTGGGGGAAGCTAAAGCAGAGAGCTCCATCAGAAGAAAAAAAAAAAAGGCGCCAAGTGGTGGAACAAGAGCTAATAATGCACGGCCGGCTGCCATGTGTCTAAAAATGAGTCATAGGCGCTGTGCAGGGGGGCAGCTCTCGAGAGGAAGCTGCTGAAGACGGTGAGTGGTTGATGGTCGACAGTGTCAGTCAATGTCGCATGAACTGTCCCTTTGCATAAAGAATTATATGAAGCCGTACAGTGTCAATGCCAGCCGAATGACGTCTGCATAGCTCCGCCCCGCTCGCAAGCTGTGGGTGGGGCTTCAGGGTCCCCACCTTCCCGTCCAAGCAGGAAGGAACTTCCACGATGGGCCACAACGACGGCCGCACCTGCTGATGCTGATACTGATGCTGCTGATGGACGAATACTCTTTCTTTCGATGCTGCAGATGTACCTACATCAAGTTTTTCTCTCACCTCTTTTTCACTTTTTAGCCCCGTGTTTCAGATTTTCTCTCAACGCCGTGGTGGGCCGTCCTGCAGCCTCCATCTCCATCGTTCCCTCTTAGCAGCTGCAGTAGCTCCTGCTCCCATGTCTCGACTCTCCGTCACCATGTCGTCTGTCGTGTGTCGTTCGTGGCCCGCGTCGAGATCCTCGTCTCCCATGTCCTTCTTTTCCTTTTTATTTTCGTTCTGATGCTACGTATTCATCATTGATACGTATCTTCCGTCCTGGCCTCGGCCCACGATCCGTCCATGGGACCCCGGGAACACCACATGCGCAGCCACCCCATCGCTGCTCTGCGTTGTACCAAAGGACCCATCCCACCACATCCCAAAGAACCACACCTCTCTCCCAATGTTCAGCAGGCCCTTCGATGGACCCGCGGGTCGTCAGTCGCGCGCCGCATACCGCATCGCAATTCCCAAATCCATTGGGCTGCGAGCGAGCCTCGCCTCAAAGGATAAAGATGCCCTCCCCTCCCCGCGCCTACTGTCCCTTTTCGTTGGCCCTTCTCTCTTCATCCTCATCCTCGTTCCTCTTTCTCTCTCGACTGTCCATTCTCCTCTCGTCTCGCATCTCTTACTGTATTGTTTGTTTATGCTACTGGAACACACACGAAAGAAAAATCAAAAGAAGAACCAAAAATCAATTCATATCCAATACACTTAGATCTCGGACACTCTGGTCTTGTTGAACGCGACCTCGACAAGTTCCCCCTGCTTCACGGCAACAACTGTATTCTCACGCCCTCAATCGTCTCAAACAAACATCGGAAATTTGGAGCTGGTCTCCTCTCCCGTCAACTCACCTTTTCGGTAATTCCATAATCGTGTCTACCACCGACACAACCGACGCACATTCACAATGTCCTCGTACGAACAAGCCCCACCCATTCCCTCCCTCACTTACACCCATACTGACATCCTCTCCAGTCTGGCAGCGGACAACATGTCCTTCGACTTCGTCTTCCCCTCCTGCGAACCCGCAACACCGCCGAGCTTCTCATTCGACTCCTTCCCCCTCGACCTCCCGTACCAACAACCCCCGACCACAAATTACGGCCACGCCCGCTCCCGCTCCAACGGCTCCGTCTACTCCTTCGTCTCCGCCGCCGACTCCACCCCGGATTCCGTGAGCACCCGCATGACTACCCCGTCCCGCGCGTCTCCACCCATCCGGCAGCATGGGCCCCTCTTGCTCCCCAAGATCCGCTCCCAGGACCAAGCCATCGAGTCGCCGCCCACCAAGCGCGTCAGGGTCTCCCCCAAGCCCCGCACACCGGCACGGGCACCCGCACCGGCCCCGCGCCGTAGCGTCGTCGCCGCCGCATCTCAAGCCGCCGCCTCCGCATTCCGCCCCACTCACGCCCGGAGCTACACCAACCCGGAGACAATCACCTGGAACATGCCCTCTTCCTTCTGCAGCCAGCCCGAGGAGCCCACGACATCATCTCTCCTTTGCTCGCCCGTCATCTTCGCCGACGACATGCAGTCCCGTCGCGCATCCACCTGCAGCCTAGATGCTCCTGCTCTTGAGAAGTACGGCTTCCCGACCTACCGCCAAATGCCCTCATACGTTCCTGCCGCATCCACTCCGGCGCCCCAGCCTCAGGCTACTCCTGAGCCGTACATGTTCCCCTCCCAGTGCTCCTACAACACAGTCCCGCGCGCTCCCTCGCCTCTGAGCATCTCATCCACCCCGGACCCGACGCCCAGCACAACCCTCATGTCCTACCTGACCAGCTCCAACCCCGCTCCTTCCTTGGTTCGCACAATCTCCTTCCCTCTTCGGGACCCCAACACCAAGCACTTCTGGTGGGACATCCGTCAAATCCGCCCTTGGACGTCCTTCAACATCTCCTCCGTCCTCTCCCTCCCCGGCGCCTCCGCCCTGCTCAACTGCCCTGTCCCCGCCCCTCTCCTGCCCACCCCGGCACAGACCGCCCGCCACCCCGAGACCGAGGCCGCCCTGCACTCCATCTACGCCTCCCACTACCTCCCCAAGCTCAACGCCGCCCTCGCCATCTCCTCCACCCGGCCCATGCAGCTCTCCGCCCCCACCCCGGCACCCGGCAAGCAAACGGACCTCCTCTTCACCGCCTCCCCTGCCGGCGAGCCCGCCTCCGCCGCAGCCATCTTCGGCGGCAAGCCCACCGCCCGCGTCGTCGGCCTCGTCCGCTCCTTCGACCGCTTCAACACCGGCATGCGCGTCGAGGGCAACATCAAGCGCGTCGAGTACCTCCGCGGCCTCGCCGCCCTCCACCACGCCATGCGCGAGCACGGCTGCCGCTACGGCTTCATTCTCACCGAGATCGAGCTCGTCCTCGTCCGCAACGGCCCCGACGCCGTCCCCAACTTCGGCTTCCTCGAGGTCTCCTCCGTCCAGCTCGCCTCCGTCGCCGACGACGTCGACCTCGAGAACGGCGAGATCCCCCTCACCGCCTGCCTCGCGCTCTGGGGCCTCTGCATGATGGCCGGCAACGACGCGCCCCCCCACGGCGTCGCCCACTGGAAGGCCGAGATCGGCGCCCCGGCCGAGGGCACCAGGAGAAAGGCCCTCCCGCGCGACGACTGGATGCCGAAGCCGCAGCTCGCCGAGAAGAGGGAGGCCAAGAGGAGTCGCGGCTGGATCATGCCCGAGGACCCCGTCGGCCGGAAGGAGCTTGGTAAGAGGGGTGTCCGGTACGGCGCTTGCTAGAGCTCTGATGTTGTTCGCAACATACACACACACTCAACTCTTTTGTCATTTCGCATTTTGAAGGGGACGAACAAGAAGTAGTGGTTTCCTTTTTTTTCCTTGGGGTTATTGGCTGGATCCAATGCTCTCATGACGGTTGGTACACGGAAAAAGATAAAGGTAATCCCTCAAGGGGTTTTTGATGATGGTTTTTTGGGTAATGATGGGTATATATATATATGGTTTCATGTATGGATGAAGTTTTATGAAGTGATGACGGGTGGTTGGGATATATCCTTGTACATGCTAGTTTTAAAACTACTTGTAATCACGAACAATCTTTTCAACGTTTACTACCTTGACCTTTTTCAGTCGACGTGAAAATCTCTCTCTCTCTCTCCCCCTCTGGCTATGCAGCATGCTCGGGACACGGGATCGCGAGAGGGGTGCCTGTATATAAAAGGAAGTCGAACTTCTAGTTTTTTTTGCAGCCGGACAAATCATTCTGGTTGTTATGAGGCTGCAATGCGTGGATGTGAGTCTTCAGATTGACATCTTTCTCTCCCGGTAAGGCCCTGGGCAAGAAAGAGACCCGCGACACACTGCGCCAGGCTGCAGGCGATTGGTGTTTCGTCGTCCGTTCACTTCGTTTCTCGTCGCTTGTGGTGTATTCGAAGTATTCTTCTGCGAGACCTCCCAGGTGGCTTGTTTGAGATAGAGGGGCTACTTGGTCTGAAGAGTTCGTAACTTATCATGTCATGTTTGGACTTTCTCCAGAGCAACACCACACTTTTCGAGAACCGTGCGGCGACCCACGGTGCCGGCTGCTTGGACAGGAGTCAGACCTTGGGTGGCTATGTATTGATTTAAATACATCGTAGGCTGGTGCTCGGCTTGGGCGGTCGATGTCAGGGGGGACACGGCGCTTGGATGCTGCCACTGACTAGACTGCGAGCTAAAGCGTTTTGATGTATGCTAAATGCTGATTTCGGTTCTGGCTATAAAAGAGTACGGTATTGCTGGTGGCATCGAGGCAGGCAATGATATGAGGCTTCTGAAATCTTCCATGTTGCGAAAACGGCTCGCAAGCGGTCGACTGAGCAATATCATATCCTGTGCACCGCGTTATTACACACGTCCAAGATGATATCTTCCTCTCACCTCTGAACTTCTCATATCTCTTCGTCGCTTGTGGGTGTCTTTTGCCGTGTATTCCAACCCGAATCCTCCACAACCGTGAATATTTCGACGTCTTTTCCGCGCCGCTCGCTCTCAAAATACATGTTTCTTCTCGGACTCCCAAGTGAAGTGGGCAGTGTCCTATCATTCACTCTGCCTAAGCAGAGGAGCCATTAAGACAGAGACATTTTGACGTTCGATTGCTGTGGGAATGTTGAAGTTGGATGTGATATTGGCCTTTTATATTCCCTGGGAAACCCAGTGGTACACTGGGCTTCGGAGCCTTTGGTCACAGAATGTTGGGAATGGGGAGAGGTTACTATTTTTCCGGGTTGGAGTTTGAGGTGTTTATAAGAGGGCCTGTTGTGTTATGAACGAGATACAACACAATCGTAAATGACCGGCCACCTCGTGTTCCAGCAATTGATTCAATTGCAAACCGTGTCGGGAAAGCCAACCAAAGGTCCTTTAGCCTATGTTGTTGCCCTTCAGTTAGCTAGTCTCCTCTTATGCAAATTACCACGAAGCCGAAGTCTCCGTCCGTATTCGGTTCCCGTCGTCTTACTTATATTCATATCTGTATTCGTCTCAGCTTTGAGGTCTTTGCTTTCCAGAATTTCTTCCGCGTTCATGGGTCATGTGGCAGAAGTACCAGAAGTAATGATGGCATGGCTCGGGTGGATGATGCAGTCGGATTGACAACCACGAACGCGTTCCAAACCCAGCAGCAGATTGCGTGTCACAAATCATACTCTCGGTGTGTTGGCGTATTAAATAGATCCACCTTCCTGGAAACACTAACATGAACAGAATCAACCGGTTGGAGTCGAGCAGGTTATAACAGCGAGGTTTCGGCGGAGTTGTTGAGTTGCTGGGACAAGTGCGGGTCACTGAATCCGCTTGCTTCTTCAGCCATGACTAAGATGACCGTTCGTCAAAGTCCGGTCCTAAGTCTCTCTAGCTACGTAAGTTCAAGTTCGATTTCTCATATCGAGTGTTACTCACTCGATTCTTTGGCTTCTCGTCATTGGTGTTGTCGGATTATTCCTCAATTAATATTCGAGCGATGACAAAATCGTTTGCTACACTTCTAAACAGTCAAAACGACTTCTTAGGAAGTAAGAAGACGGGGCAGGTAGAGCCATAGCTCGCAATCTCGGCATGCGTCCCACGACGTTCGCTCGTCATGGACGCGGTCTTATTCACACCGCACTTGCCTGGACAAAAGCATCTTTGAACAGAGCCCCATCCAAATTTATATCTGTGCGTGACATTTCGTACCCCAGAAGAATTCCATGCCGATCCATCCATCCTCAAAGCCAGCGGTGCCATATGTTGAATGTGAATATCTGGATATAAAAACATCGGAGTTGATCAGTCAGTGTCACCCAGCAGCCACCACGAGTTGAGATCGGATTCACGATGTTTGCCACGTATCAAAGTTTCTCTGCGGTATCTCCTGATTCACGTTGGTCGTTGGAGGAGAGGGCGGGATGGTCACCATGTAATTCCTTCGTAGCTATGTTCATCTGCGGTCGTCGTTGATTTCTATCTGTTTTGGTTTATTCTAGAATAAACACTGCCGAGCTGAAACCCGAGCGTCGAGAAGACTTCTGAAAGGCGAATATTGAATTGCCAAACCTATATTCTTTTTCGCGAAAGTCGATGTCTTGGTTTCCATTGCCACGAACACCGAAATCGGAACGTCAACGACGTTCGACAATTTCATTCTGTTGATCCACTTCACAGCAAGCTGGCTACAGTTGAGATATGTACTCTCCCGTGGTAAAGTAATGCTGAGAGATAACTTGTCCAGCGCAGTTGCCCACGTAGTCCCCGGAAGCTTGGCAATATATAGTATACCCAGTGCTCTCTCTGCCAACATTCGCTTCAAGGATTACAACTGAGCCGATTTTGATGCTTTCACAGGCTCCAAAACTTTCAGATGAGCACGATGAAGTAGTTGAAAGAGTCGCAGAATCACAAAACTCTTCAGCAAGATTATTTTAATCTGGGGACAACAGACCCTCCCGCGAGCTTCCGTCATTAGCGCCGTCTCTGATGTATTCAACCCCATTTCTGAAGTTTAATATTGGCGATGCCAACGGCTTTTCACCCCTCCAAAAATGTCAACCCATAGTGTCAGCACCTCAACCTTCCAGCAGGTAGGTGTGCATCTGAGAAACGGTAGCACTAGTCCAATTCTGTTGGAGGAAAAGACAAACACTTACGCTCTAGAACGATATTTATGGACTTTTCGATCTTCTTTGAAGTGCACGACCTCCAACGGCGTTCAAACTAGCTAGTCCCTCACAGCCAGGTTTTCCGAACGCGAAGATGACTTCCAGCCCAGCCAACGAAGTCCTCTCCGGCATATTCGGATTTCGCTGGTCTGAACCTTTTTTCAGCTCATGCGGGCTTCTGTATGCGCCGTCGTCGGCATGAAAACCCAAAACCTCAGTGAGCGTCGCTGCTCACTCATCGTTGCCGCCTTGACCACCCACCACCTAATTCTTGGCATATTTCAGCCACCACCTCCCCATCCCTCGGTGTGTGGTGGCAGCCACTTTTCTTCCTGCCCGTACACCTTGATACACAACATTACTACTTGTATTATCATAAGAATCTATCTCTACGGTAAACTATGCATTGCATTAACCTTGTGGCTGCGGCCCTCCTGGCGCTGGTCTCTGCTACACCTATCGGTATGAGCACCCTTATAATCTGTCCCAAAACGAATTTCTCTGGAAATATGGTGGTTTAATATGAATGGTAGAAAACAACGACATCCACTCCCTACTTGTTAGGGACAACAGTTGTCAATGGTACGGCAACGCGCCTTTCTGCGATGGGAAATGCCCCAAGGGATGGAAGGAAGAGGGAAAAGATGACAAAGGAGATGGTCGTTCGTGTTTGACTGGAAAGAAGGTGTACTGCTGCTTCCAGACTAAAGACAGCAAGGGTGGGAAACGCGAGTAGGAGGAGAACCGTCCGGATGAGATTGTCACACGCTCTGTGAACCGGCAATATTCATTAGATTATTTCTTTGGGATTACGCTGAATCATATATCCGCGTCAATATTTAAACAAGGATCTTGCATATAACACATGATAGACGCCTTCGGGTTGTGTTGAATCAATCGCAGTATTGTTGCTGATAAGATCACGTAGGTGAGATGTCGGCTCTTCGCACCCCTGCCCGAGATTTAGGCATCAGCAACAAAGTGGTGCGTTCTCAAGGACTGTCACCTTTGCCAAGTCGTTGCGACCCGCATACCAGCGGATACATAAGGCAAGACAGGACCAACATCTTTGGACTCTTAACGACCCGTACTTTCATTTTCTCGGGAAGCATTCTTGGCAAAGAATTTACCGACCACCGGTCGAGCCAAGCTATGAGTTCTCAACTACAGACGAATCATGGAGGTCTCTCAGCAGGCGCAGCAGTAGCTCAAACCACTGAGTTGTTGTTTATGATTCGTGAATATGTAAGTAACTCATAGACTGCTTCACATGATTCGTAAGGTAAAATTATCCTGCACATGGGCTGATTTCTTCTCAGATACACAACCGAAAGTTGAAGCATGCCTTGTGTCTCGTCAATAAGCAGTTCAACGCAATATTCTCCGAGACTCTGTACGAAACCCTGTACTACAGAGGAATACTCTACCAACCCACGTGGAAAGGAGTCTGGAATCCAGAGAATCTGCGTTACGTTAGGACACTGCACATCATCACCAGCTACCATTGGCTCAAGCCCGGAGTTCACACCTCGGATTGGTATGGCAATTACGATTACGTCGACGAGGGAGACGCGTGGCAACTGCAAGACGCGTTGAAGAAGCTACTGGATAATCTACCCAATCTCAGACACTTCATGTACTAGCCCCCTCCCCTTCCAGAACACGTATTGTGGATATCGAGATATTAATGTCTTCCCAGCCTTGACGACCACGGCGGAACCTTATCATCAGATCTCCTGCAGCTCCTTCAAACCCGAGATAGAAAGCTCGAGACGCTCGCCGTCCGGCTCAACGAAGTCCGGGGTCGCCTGGACACGCCAGACCCCTCTGAGATCGGCTCAGAAGGAGACTGGGAGTTCGACGAAAACGAAGAGATGAGACCCGCCAAAATCCTCATGACGGATCCGTCCCTCCCGACCTTTCTGATTGCCGAGTACGAGAAATTCTCCGGCCTCCAGGCCCTACACCTAACGGAAATCCCGGGATCCATTGAACGATTCGCCCGGGCAGCAGCAAACATCATGGTCGCCTCTCCCGAGTTGACCGAGCTCAGTCTCTCCATCTCGCGGTTTCCGTGGACCTATGAGCGCTGGGGATTCCCTCACAGCAGAGTTGGGTTCATCCGAAATCTAGCAGAAGTGTACGAGAAGCGTGGGGGGAAGCCACTTCGCATTCGATCGTTGAAGCTTGGACGACCGATATCTTTTCAACGAGGGCACTTTGATCCCCCGGAATATCTCAGCAAATTCATGAAGCTTGATGCGTTGGAAGAGCTTCAACTGTACAACTGGTCACCCGCGGTGCCCGGAAACGAAGCGGAAAGGGACGGAGGTCATGCTCCGATTGCATGGGACGTGATCTCTCCGAGATTGACCCCCAACCTTCGTCTGCTGGAGTTTCACGAGTGGGAAAAGGATTCGGCGAAGTGGATGAACAAGCTTGATCCCGAGTTTGCTGAGCAGCTTGAAATACGATGTAACGGCACGGAGGCTGAAGATGATGAAGAAGTGAAAAAAGCTGTGCCGTTCATTGCGGGCGGCCCGCTGGGTCCTCGCAAGGTCAAGAAGATCTTCCTGCCGAGTATTAGCTCGAAGCTGTGGGACTTGTCCAAATACAGGACCAACCCAGAGGAGGAGGAAGAGATCGCCTGCGCCAGGATGTTGAGCGGATGTTCCTGGATAACGACTTTGGGCTTCTCGGTCGGCCGAGCCGCTGTTCATCTGCTGGACAAAATTGTCGAATGGCTGGGGAGGATGGAGGGTCTTCAGCAGCTGACCATCGTGCTTCACCCAGACACAGAGGTTTCATCGGGCCTGGAACTAGAGATTGCTGCGAAATGTAGGGGTCTGCGGTTTGTTCGCCTAGGCGAAGTATGTTGGTCCATCAAAAGGTTGGCCGAGGGACCTTCACTTGAAGAGCTTGACGCAACCGAAGAGGAGTTGGTGGCGCCGTTTTTGAAGGAAGGCTATCACAAGCGTTACCAGTACTGCCAAGACACGATAAATGGCCGCCATTGACTCGCATCTCAGAAGAAGTGAGGACATCGCGAGCTACCAAAAAAAAAGAATCGTATCAAGCCACACAATAGAATAACTTTCCACATGACGCGATATAAGTGCAATACCCAGCACTCAACACAATGAGAGTTTATAAGCCCCATGGATATATGAACTCGCATATCCTTTAAACCTTTCTTCATTTAGCATTACTCCATTACTTTTACATCCACAACCTTCTAGCAATGATAATGCCGTTTGGTATCATGACACCGTCCCAAACTCCATTCTAATGCTCATATATCCATTTGAGAACCCCCTGCCGACTCATAGATCGTATTACTCGCGTTGGACCGTGACTGTCTTGGTCTGCAATATCGCCTTGTCACTCATGTCGTCGGCACTCTCTCTTCCACCGCCCGCAACCACCACCGACGTGAAACCGGATTCCATATCTTCTTCTGTGCGTTTGCGATCCGAGTGGAACGTATGCATCTCGTTTTCGTCCGAGAATTGCTCGTAGTGAGCTCGGTGTCGGCTCTTCGCGATGTTCGACTGCTGATTCGCGTATGCGGATACGTGGTACGCCGCGCCGTACGAGGAAGGGTTCGATGAAGATCCCATGAGCTTGGGAGCGAAATGCTTGAAGAACTTCCGTAATGTCGGCATTGAACCGCAGATGACGAAGAGATTGCCTTCGATGAATCTAAAGAGAGGCAAAATCCGGTTAGGTTCGTATGTTGGATGGGGTAATCGACCATGTTAGAGGGGACTACTCACGTCCAGATATTTGCTGGGGCGGCGTCCCAGGAAGGATCCGTGCTGGTGAGCAAGGCTGGAAGAAGAACCAGTCGAGTAATTGATGTTGCGATGGTGCTGTGAAAGGTCAGCCACCCGCGTTTTGGGTATATCAACGGTGAGTAAGGTAGGCAACGTACATGGACCCAACCGCAAATATGAGCATGGCACCAATCTTCTGAGCCATCTTCATACGCAAGTTGAAGATCATCGGCAACGGCAAAATGAACAGCATAACATCCGTGATGATGTTGGACACGGCCGTCGCGATGTAAAGAACACCGACATCCAAGCAGCTGCCGTCGGTGATGGTGAAATCGAAAGTCTTCCGAACGGGGTTGCAATGAAACAACATGAGAAAGGTTATACATCCCGTATAAAGTGATACGATCACGATGCCGATCCAAACGCATACACGAAACCATTTTTGCGGTGACAAATGTAGGTAGAACGTGAGTAGAGACAGCTTTGTGAAACCGTTGCAAAGCATGAAGACTGGCGCAGTCACGTATACCGTCTTCGTCATGTCAGTTTATTTGCGTGTCCACACGTACGCCAGTCACAGGCACTTACCACGGAGTATCGCTCGAATCTAGACAGGGGCATCTCCCAAGCATGAGCACACATGCCCCCCTCAGCTATCGAGGCTGTGAAGCTTCAGTCAGATTTGAAGAGTTGGCGCAAGGTGACATTCGATACATACCAACAAGCATGGCTTGTGTGACCACAGACGCAGCCTACCAGGTGATCGTCAGAATCTCAACCCAGAGCAAGACGGGCAGGAGGGCGATCCGTCGATCACTTACCCATCCCAGAAACATGAAAGCTGTGTCAGTTAGTATTAATTGAGCACGCATCCAACGCGATAAAAACAGAGGGAAAGCGTACCATCGTCAACTTGCAAGCCTTTCGAGAGGAATATTTTGGTGTAGAACCTCTGGCATAGAGCAATGAACGCGATCGTGCCGCCGATCCCAAAAATCAGGTAATGCTCAAGTACCTTCTGTTGCCGCGGATGGTCGAAGTCGACCGTCACACCTGGTGGTGGTGGGATCACGGATACAAGGTCCGTTTGATTCGACATGGTAGGTAAACCTGCGGACTTTTGGAGACGGCCGGCGAGACGTAAAAACAGCACTGGTCTTCTTTTGCTTATATGTAAAGCCTGACTTGCGACAGAGTTTGAGCAGGTTGCTCTGGGCACGCGATTCCCCTCTCTTGAATTCAGGAGACAAGGGTCCATCCCCGAAATTTTCCATCTTTAGTTCTCGAGATTACACGCTCCGAATGCTCTCCCAGGTGGCTAAACGGACGAACTGGCGTCACAGCGAAACCGAGCCAACTGTCGAGCCAAGTTTCTTGCAGTTCCTGAATACAAAGGGATTCCGACTTGCAAGCTTGAGGTTGCACGGGATTCTAATCTCTGTCAATCTTGGCTTCAATGCCGTGGCCACTGCGCGGCGATCAGGAGCGCTTCAGGAGCTGACACTCGCAATCTTAGAGCGGACTTTGCAGCCACTAACTGCCGAACATAGCATACTGTGGCACTGAAAACCTTGGGAATCCAAGCTTCCGCGCGTGTTTATCCGTGAATAGGGGCAACTTGCCTTGTTGGTTGATCGACAATATGTGTCCCGTTCGAGAAGCATCGTCCGTACTTCACTTGCAATAAGGTTCGGCTGATGGGACCCTGAATGTTACACCGGGATTCCCAGACAAACGGGCCGGTTGTCAGCTGATATTGGCTCAGCAGCGTTTAGAAAGTGGCCCAGGAAGCAGCTCGGGGATGTGGGGGACGATGGAAGTTGACCAGCCCACTGGAACTTCGAGAAGGGCCGACACAGCCTGGACCGGCACCTCGCTCCAAGACTGAGGCTCGGGCCTCTCTATGACACTGGCAATTTGATGTCGCAAAAGCCCCAGTTTGTTCGGTTGAAGAGATTCCGATTCGCGAGGTTCTCTGCACAGACTGGTAGAGCAAGTGTCGCATCCCGAGTGTGCCGATGTATCTGGCCAAGCTTTTGTGTGAGCCTATCAGAATCAACATCCCTTGCGCAAATCTACTGACTTGGAAGATTGCGGGGTCTAGTCAACGATCTACGATGGTCTACAAATAACTGGCGCTCAATAGGAATAGCCTGCCGAGATCGTCTGCCATGTCGCAGCATCGAGGTTGCGCTGCAGTGAGCACTCCAGTATGAAGGATTTCTAGAGCAGTAACTGCTGCAAACCCGATCAAGGCAATGACCTCGTGAGCTCTTGTTTCACCGCTGATCATCATAACCCGACCGATATGCGGTTGCCTGCAAAGCCCCAACGGTGTCTTTGGGTTGCATGGATATGCTATGTAGAAATACAACGAAGGTTCAGCATGACTCGGATGCTCAACGTGGACTAAGCCTCTCAGGAGCCGGAACCTTTTTCGCTGATAAAGAAGAGATGAAGGGCAGAAAAGATGCTCACAACTCGACTCATTGGTTTTCTTTTCTTGGTTCTCGGGAAGCCCGACAAAATTTGGTCAGCCACTGCGGCGAAAATGTTTTCACGATATCTCATATGAACATATTCGCTATCTGAGACAAACCGATCATCCACAATACAAGAGTGGAAGTGTGGAAGCAGATCCGGGGGATTGTCGACGAGTTGAACAGGCTATTCCCTACCGGACTCCGAATAACTCAAGATTAAAAAACCTTGGAGGAGGACCTCCCTTGATGCTGAGCTCGGAACAACAGACGGAACCGTCGTCGTTTCTTACTGGAGGAAGAAATGTTCTCCCGATATGAGCGATCAAGGTTTGCTGGGATGAGGAAGCCTGAATGTTATGGGTAGTTGGCTGAGTTGAAGCTGCGTCTTTTTTCCTTATTAGTTCACGGACTCAGGCGCGGTTTATCCTAGAAGACTTCGGTAATTAAAGACCCATGCAAAATAGGCAGGTTGATGAGTGCGAATAAACTGATCTTTCGATGTGACGTATCTTCGTACTTTCTTTCCTGTTGACTGTTGGTTTCTTTGTAACGGGGACTCGCGGCTGGAACTTGGGCATATGCGACTGTGACTGTTGATCCATTTTGAGGTTCACATTTTTGAGGTGACGTTACATCATGACGAGAGATCGAGCCTCACGGAAGAGTTATTGAATTTTGTTTGATATTTTTTTCGTTACTGCTGTATGCTCCTCTCTTCATCGACTTGCCGAATCTATGTGTATTCAAGTCTGCGGAACCCACCCCGCCCGGCTGGTGGGAGTGGCACTTACACTAGCTCCTTCAACGAAATTAGATCCCGTCATGCTGATTTCCTCTTGGCCACTTGATGAGGAACTTAAACCAGCGGATACACTTGACATGGCTTCCCGAATGCAACGTCTTCCATTCCACTCGTTTCTAATATTTGCTTCTTTTTGACTTGCCTTGACTACCCCCGGACCGATAGCACGTGTGTAGCCAGACGTGATCTTCACTTCGACTCAACTTCAAACCGCCCAAGACAGTTGAGATCGACGTGGAAAAACGGGAGATCGTGCGCAGACTTACAGCCATGAAGTTCTCGACACAGGTCTTGGCGATCCTCGCTTTGGCCGCCTCGACCGTGTCAGCAAAGGGTCGCAGTCCCAAGTGTACTTGTGTCAGTCATTACCCGGCCACGTATCCATACTATCTCTCCTAACTTGTCATCAAGTGTTCGGCTCTTGCCAGAGATGAGAATCTCAAAGGCAAGGTCTATGGCCAAGACAGTGCTGTCTACGATGCTCGATTAAAGTCGTACTATTCAGCCAACGCCGCCCAAGAAGCATGGTGTATGGTTCTGCCTGAGAACACAGAAGATGTCTCAGCACTCGCCAAGATCATCTCTAAACACGAGTGTCCTTTCGGTATCCGGAGCGGTGCTCACTCAGCATGGAAGGGGTCCAATGGCGTCAAGACTGGCGTGACCGTTGACTTCGGCTACATGAACGCTACGACGTACGATGAAAACACCAAAGTCGCTTCCATCCAGCCCGGAGCCAATTGGGGCATGGTGTACAAGGCTCTCGATCCTTATGGTGTCACGGCAGTCGGAGGAAGAGCCTCTGTGGTTGGTGTCGGTGGCTTCACCACTGGCGGTGGCGTAAGTAACCTCTCAACATTCCTCCCACGAATCGTCGAGAAACCTTTGATGGTCATCGCAAGTCTTCTGGTTGCGAACTTAGAATCTTCATCATCTTTCTGCAGCCTTGAGACTAAGTCTACCGATTTGCAGTATTCATTCCACACCAACCTCCGTGGCTTTTCTTGCGATCAAGTCACCAATTTCGAAATTGTTCTTGCTGATGGTTCGGTGGTGAACGCAAACGAGAACGAAAATGCCGATCTCTGGAAGGTACAGAAAGGAGGGTCTGGAAATTTTGGTTTCGTCACGAAGATTGATCAGAGTAAGTTAGCATCCCATTTGGCTTCCCAGCTCTGTGATGCATTATGCTAACAGTTCTATGTTCAGACACCGTCGACTCGACTCAAATGTGGGGTGGCTTTGTCACGTACAATCAAACCGAGAGAGATGCCGTCTTCGACGCCTACATGAACTTCGCCGATCACATGGACGAAGACCTCGCCAGCCAGAATATTGTTGCTCTCTACTACGATAAGACGGGCTTCACTCTTCGATCCATCTTGAGCAATGTCGACGCCAAGGATAATGCTCCGGCATTCAACGATTACTTCGCCATTCCCAACATCTCCACCACGGCTGCTGTCGGTGCTGTCTCAGATCTGGTTCCTCAGTTCACCGGTCCGACGCCTCTTGGCCTTTAGTAAGTCCACATCGGATATGAGTTAAGACTATTCAACATTGCTGACTGGCCTTCACAGTGCCAACTGGCTTGTTGGTCAAACCGCCCATGACGTCCGCATTCTGAACTTCATTGACGAGAAGCTCAAAGAATACGCACCCAAGATGAAGGCCGCCGCACCTGAATCTGACTTCAATGTCTTGATCCAGTTCCAGCCCGTCACTCAATCCATTGTGCAACACAGCGCAAAGTCTGGCGGCAATGTGCTTGGTCTCGAAGATGTAGTTGCCGATGGTCCGACTCTTATGTGGCTCATCGCCTTGACGGTCGATACTGAGCCTAATCAGGAGATCCTGCTCCCATACGCTTTGCAATTCCGGGCCGCTATTGACACCTACGCCAAGGACCTCGGACTGTACAAGGACTGGAAGTACACCAACTATGCTTGGGGCGACCAAGACCCCTTGGCTACTCACGGGTACAAGAACTTCGACTTCATGAGCGAGGTTGCCGAGCAGTACGACCCTGAGGGTGTTTTCCAGAACCTCCGCAGAACAGGCTTCAAGCTTGCATAAGTCCAAGGCGAAGGCTAACACCAGCCTTACCTTGTTCGCTTCGATTCGTGTTGATATTTGTATTGTTGCTTCTCTTCCAACCGGTGGACTGCTGCGGAAACTGGGACACAGACGATGATCCAGGCTTTCATGTTGGTCCTACCAGGACATTTTCCTTAGTTCATAATCTCTCTAACCTTCTTCATTTGTATTAGTAATGATATAAATAGAAATTGAGCAGTTGCTCCCCATCAACTCGGATTGCATCCAAAGTAGAAGACTTGGAGGAAAATATCCAGTCACAGATCCCACATTCCTCAGCATGCGTAAACGGAACACCTTCACAGCGATCTCTCTCTGTCTATACCATGAGGCCCAACACCGGCTTTACGTCACACACATGTCGGTTGCGATTGGCGACGAGATCATCTTCGAGAAACTTTGGAACCTCGTCACGTGCCGTTCATTTTGCTCGAAACTCAATTTCCCCATTCAAACTGGCTTGGTCTCTGTAGACACGTTGACCGTTGCTGGCCCGTCCTTACTGTCATCTGATGGCAGGTTACCGTGCTCAGCCTCAAGAGCTGAAAGGCGTATGCTTTTCCAATCTAATCATTGTCAGTCATTCTCAACGCTGCAGGGACCAAGAGATACTCACGACTTGATCTCCTTGCCGACACTTTCATCTCAAACATTTCGTCGACATCCTCAAATGTCTTGTTTGATAGCTCGGGTAGGTAGAAGTATGCCCAAACAAGACCCGCCGCGCTCAGAGAACCGAACACGAATCCAATCTTGGGTCCAAGGTTGCCTGGCTCCTGGATGATATAGGGTATTGTGAAGGTGACGGCGAAATTGAAGACATTTGACACCGACCAGAATACCATACCTGCCTTATCTCGGAGGGAGGTGTTGAAGATCTCGGAACCTAGAAGTGCCAGGCTGCGACATATCAGTACACGATGCCTGACGGCTGGGATTTGCGAACTTAGGCTCCATGAACTTACGATGATCCAAATGATGCCACGTATGCCATTGGAAAGATCATCATCATGGCCAATGAGCCTGATCTGATGGGTCGAGTCTGCCTCATGGTCCCGAGCCCACCCATAATCATAAAGGCTGTCACCATGATGAAGCCGAAGGTTAAGAAAACCGGGCGACGACCAGCTCGGTCAATGACTGCCATATACGCAAGAGATGCAATGACGAGGAGAGCCTTTTTGAGCATTGTTGCTGCGAAGGGGTCCATGACGTTCAGTTGTTTCATGAAAATCGTGCCGTAGAGGTTAGAAAACGACTGTCCACCCAGATGAACCAATGCCGCTGCAACTACACTGGTAGTTATGCGAAGCTGTCATGTACCAATGATTAGCAGTGGTTTCCAAAACTTCTGCACAGAAGCCAATGAGCCTACCCGGTTTGTCCCCTTTACCAAGTCAGACCACTTTCCCTTGCTTTTGGCCTGGTTCAAAGACTCGAGTAGCAGTTCCGCCTCCTTCTCCGAGTCGTAGTCGTTCCTTGCTCCGTGTAGATAGTTGAGTACGTCGACAGCTCTCACACGGTCACCTTTGCGCAAGAGCCACCGAGGAGATTCGGGTACGAGCCAGGCGAAGCAGAGCGTCAGCGTTGGAAAGATGAGGCAACAACCCACTGGTATCTTCCAGCAACCGGCATCCTTCAGTTTGCTTGTCTCAGTCGTGATGATGGACGCTATGAACCCAGAAAGGACAATATTTGTAGTGTAAACGGACACGAGGGCGCCTCTGATGGCAGGCGGAGCAAATTCAGCCTGCAGAAGTGGGATAAGCCATGCCTCCATGCCCACGTGAAAGTTGATTATCATGCGACCCGATAGGACTTGACCGTAAGTAGAAGATGTGAAGGTGACAATGATTCCGATGAGACAGATGGTATTAGTGCAGATGAGAACGATCTTCCGGCCATAATATTCGCCGAGCTGGGAAGCGAAGATGACGCCGACGGCAAACGCGATGAGTGGTAAGGAGTTCAAGTAGGATAGCTTGGTGGAGGTAAACCCGATCTTGTTCTTTTCAGGGAGGTACTCGCCGAATTCACGTTCGAATGCTATGTGATTTTGCTCAGTCATCCTGATCGCCCGTAAATGTCTCTGAGTCTCATGAAGCGGTGGGTTTCGTGCGATGCCACCCTCATGAGTAAGGGCAATGGTGCGGAGACTTACGTGTCATGGCTTGAATGGTGTTCAGAACAGTTCCTTCAAATCCGTAACTGAATACACTTGTTCCAAGCACCATGGTAACCAGAAGCAAGTTCGAGGTAAGATGACGCTTGGTCACCAGTCTGTTGTGGTCTGTAAGGTATGTTCTTAACATCTCTGCGGCCTTTCTCCCATCTCGCTATTGCTTGTCTCCTCTAATGACTCGAGTCGAAATGGGCGTAAAGTGCTGGAAGATATTTCATAGATGCAAGACCGACGTCGACCAGTGCAGTGCGATGCGCTTTGCAGTCGTTGTTATGAGGTCGAACCTGCCGCGGGATGTCAGATGATGTGTCGAATTGATGTTGACCACATCACCCACGTCCTCGGCCTGGAAGCAAGTATCTTAACGAAAGCGACGGAGGATTCGGTGAGCTCGTGCGTGTTGGGTAGAAAACCTTCGGTAGGTACAGCTTTCACTGGCTGAAAGGCTTCGAGAGTTCAGAGGCAAAACATACGGCACTGGGAAAGACTTTCCGAGCAAACCTTCTCCCTCACGAAACAGACATACTTTGCGAAGTGCCCGCGCCAATGAGGTGCTGTATTCTGCGCTTACGGTGAAATCTTCGTCCGAATGCTTCGTCTGATATCACGGTCGGCCGAGTGACGATTATTCATCCGGACCGATCTTGCGCTTTTCGCAGGCCCGAGACAGCGTATCCTTCACGGTTTAACAGGCGTCTCGTGAAGGTGCAGATGCCAAGAACAAGAAGCATAAGAACACTTTTGCGCTGGACTTCTGGAACAGATCATGTGAGCTACAGTATCCAATGTTCTGCTCAATACATGTTGTTATTGCCCAAAGCAGATCTATCAGATGCTCTGCAGAGATACCGAGATTGAGACTTCAACCACGCTGAAGAACTGACGAATAGATGCCAAAATTTGGGAAGTAGCAAAACATTGTTGAAATCTTCCACGGCCAAAAACTTTCAACACAGCAAGGTCTCGTATTGAGGGCCAGTTACTCGGCCGAATAGGCCTTTTAATGTTACTTTAAGTGGACATTATACGAACTCCCATAATTCATGCGTATGTTCATCAACGTCAAGTATTCCAATAGGTGGCAATTTTCCATCTTCGCAATGCATCACCGTCTTCTCTAGAAACCACCAGTACCTTTCAATCTCTTGACTGCGCCTACCAAACCTTTTGCCCAGCTGAACCGACCTGGATCTACTCCAGTAGCACCCTCGGCTTCCTTTCCGTCATGATCTCTCCACACTCCATCTTCTCGGTTAAGCTCACCGTATAGGTGCGTGTTCTGATTGCGCCTCAACCCGTCGATCCAAGCCCTACACACATCACGGCTCTCCAACATGATGTTGACTTCCTGCGAGTGGAACCAGCTCTGAGTGTCTTGGTTTCCAGACCCCACGATCGCAATTGACTCATCCACGATCATGAGTTTGACGTGGCAAGAGCGCTTCTTTGACTCGGCGATGATGGGGCGGCTTTGGTCTTTACCCACGTACCAGAAGTAGTGTAGGTGTTGTCGTGCAGGTTGAGAAAGCTTTTCGTACAGATGAGCGGCGATCATTTCGTTGTGACCTCCCTGCATCGGCAATAATTCACCCTGCAATATATTAGTATGGAACTTGAGTAAAGGGGACGACTTAAGCCTACCGCGTCGTTATAACCAAGACAGACATATGCATAAACATCAACGCCTCTCTCGCAAGCTTCAATTATGGCTGGCACCAACGGCTCCGCATTAAGTGTTGGGGTTTGGATGAAAACATTCTTCTCCGCGTTGCGAAGAGCTGACAACCATGCGGCATTCTGCGGGTTTGATACTGAGTGATGGTTTGGCGGTCCGTAAGGATGCCTGTTGACTAGTGTGATTGGGAATGGTTCGTGTGCTGGATGTGGTATGTAGGGAGTCATCTCATCTGTGGGTTGACACTCGGGTGCTGTTCCCTTGAAGTCCTTGCTGACGGTGTGATTCAAGTGTCGGGTGACAGCTTGCATTTGCGTCTCGTTGGGGCTCGCAGAAACAGCTGATTGCACGCGCGCAATCTCGCCAGCAATATCCGTGTCATAATGAGGATCGTTATGCGTATGCTCTGGCAGCGGTGTATCTCTTGGTGGTTCTGAAATTTGTTGTCCTTGTATGCCTGATTGGGGGTCCTGGTTGGTAGCTGCGATGCCATTACCGGCAGTTGAAGACAGACTGGAGCCATTCACTCCGTTGGAACCGTTTGGCGTTTCTGGGAACCCGTTGCTGTGGGTGGCCGCGGAAACCGTTTCCGTGTTGGCAGACGTGTTCTGGCTGGGTGATAGCCGATCGGCCCCGGGACCGTATGCAGCTGTCCGCTGAGGGATCTTCGCAGGATCAATCACAACCCTGTGACCTTTCATCGTTCCTTCCGGTGTGAAGATGGAGTCGTGGTTTTCGCCAAAACTGCCTGATTTGGCTTCAGCAGCTGGTGTTCCGAGGCACGGAAGAGGCGGATCGAGCTTTTTATGCCAAGTTAATAGTGCCATATCATACAACCCATCGACGATCGGACCCTCAACCTGAACCATCATTTCCATGTTGTCGTTGTCCTGAATATTGTTGCTCTGTACGATGCCGATCTTACGGTCCACAATCATGAACTTTGAGTGAAATGTGCCAAGCATCGGATCGTGATAGTTCATGACTTCCAGGTCAATGTTCGGGATTTCGTGCTTAGGCGGCAGGCCCACGGCCTTGCCCGTGTATTCCTTTTCGGGGACGACGTAATGCGGTTCGAATAGCTGTTTTGGGCTTCCACGGTCATATATGATCTTCATCGTGATTCTGGTTCCGCGTTCCCCTGCTCGACGGGAAGCCTCTCTCATGCCGTCCGTGATGTATTTCGAAGCAGCACCGTTTTGCCAAAAGTTGGTTGCAAGTATCACTTCCTTCTCTGCTCTCACAATCAGATTCGACATATGTCGTACGATATCCGGAATGCTGGGTTCTATTAGTCCTATGGAGGGATCATAGCCTCATGAGCCAGGAGACTTACACGGAGAGAATCGCAAGTGGGGCCACACCATTGCTCCCAAGCAGTGACGGACTGACCATCCCGTGGGCGGAATTTTCGTTGAGAGTGCATAGAGAATCATGATACAACTTTTCATAGTATTAGCAACGTGGAACTCGTCGTCGCTTGTCACGAAAGAAGCTTACTCTGAGAAACAACTTGCTTGGTGTCGTATTTCCCCATTTCCCACAACGGAAAGCCACTTCAAGTTCATCATCGGTTACTTCGCCTTTTCCGATGTCTCTGATGTCGTGAGACTCATGAGACGCGCTTTCGTAATGGCTTGACAGCTTTTTCCAGGCATCTCCCGGTGACAGAGTTGAATCCCTGGCAAGAAGCGAGGAAACGCTGTCGCCGGATTGACAAAATTTGGCAAGGGGCTCACTCAAAGTATGAGCCACATGGCCCTGAGGCGAATTCGTATGAGGCATTGTGTTTTGGGAGGTAGACGCCTTCTGGTCAGGGACTCGAGGGACCGAATATGCGCTGTAGGGAAATTCAACCAAAGTTTGATAAAGAACCCCGCCAAGCTTCGGCAGTCCCGTCTGGCTCGAGGACGACATGGCTGCGGTTATATCTCTACCAACATGGGCTAGTAGTAGTGAGTAGGATCCGGTTCCAGTGGGGATCAAAGGCGGAAAATTCACGAGGTCATCGCCAAGTGATGGATGAACAGGTTGTGCTGGGCGTTATGTAGGTGCCGCGAGAGCCGTGCGCTCCACGAGTGATGATGTAAAAGTAACTGAAGCTAGATTATCTAATGCCAAGAAATGCGGCTATCTGCGTCACCATAGCGGCCGGGCTTAAAGAACGTGCCGTGCTTCCGACACACTAGCCATTAGACCTGCCGTCCATCCGTGTGGAGGCTGGAGCACTGCTACCTTGAAGTGAGATTGATGTTTTCTTCCTGAGCTCAGTCGTTTGGAGTCCTGTAAGGGTGAAATGACGTCAGGTGGCAGACGGTGCGCAGTGGTGGCCAAGGAAGCTTACGCGTTGACAGAGTCCCCCACGTGTCAAGCAAGACAAAATCCTTGTTTATGTGATCCGCCCGGCGCGTACAGCCGGACTAGCCTTGGTAAGTTGGTTCTAGACCAATCAGCCCTGAAAATGGATCTGGTTCCAGCCAACATCTTTTCCACTATTGAAGATACTCCCATCCATCAGTTCTTAGAATGGTGGTGGCATGCATTTGCCTGACTAACAAGTGACTTTAAGCGATAAAAACTTCGAAATGTGACCAGTCTGTCAAAGCCTCATTGCAACGCTCCCACCAGGCTTCCAAGCCACCGAAGAAAATGAGAGGTTCCCGGTTCTTGCCTGGTATGTTCATACCAGTCCACCAGCCAGTGCTATATCTGTAGAGGGTGGGCTCAAACGCGGCCATGACTGATTGTCGCCAATTGCTCACAGCTTCTTCCGTAGGCTCAATGGAGGATACACCGTCTCGCCGAGCCTTCTGTACCAATTGAGCAATCCAATCGACCTCCATCTCAATGAACGGCGGTCCATTCGCCACCGAGGTTGGCGCCTGTGGTCCGTATAAGAGAAATGCGTTGGGCATATCTTCAATCATCATCCCAAGATATGTGCGAATGCCATCCTTCCACTTGTCCTGGAGCTTGATGCCTTTGCGATCGTGTATATTCATGTCGTGGAGGCTCCCGGTCACTGAGTCGTACCCTGTCGCGAATATGATCACGTCTAGATCATGCAGCTCATCGCTTTCTCCGAATGTCGTGATCCCCGAGGGAGTGAGCTCCTTGATTGGCGTTGCTTTGAGGTCTACCAATTTGACGTTAGGCCGGTCAAGCATTTCGTAATAGTCCGTCTCTAGGTTGGGGCGTTTCGTTCCGATCCATTGGTACTGCTTCAACGGAGCTACGATGTCCTTTTTGACGGTATCGGTCATTCGAGACCTGACCTTGCTGACCCAGAAATCATACATAATTGCGTTGGCCTTGGGATCAAGCATCACATCGTGATAATTGGAAACCAGAAATCCAAACCCGCCTCTCGTCCAGAGCTGCTCGAATAGCTGGTGTCTTTCCTCTTCCGTGGCGTCAAAGAATGACTTCGGGTTCTTGTTGTATGGATACGCCGCGGTAGATTCAAACTTGGCTTTTTCGAACAACCCGTCGTAGAAGTTCTTCAGCGTTTCCGACTCTTCAAAGGATAGCTCTCTCTGCTTCATGGGGATTGCCGTGCAGGGTGTCCGAACGAAGACTGTCAGTGCGCAATCCTCTTTCGCCAACTGTTGAAAGATTTGCAGTCCTGAAGCGCCTTGGCCTATTATGCCAACTTTCTTGCCCTTGACGTCGAGTCCTTCAGGCCAAGCACAAGGGTGAATGACCTTCCCTTTGAAGCGTTCGAGCCCAGATATCTCCGGTGTATATGACTTGTTCGTGGTTCCAGTCGCGAATATCACGAACCTGGATTCCGTCGTAAGCCCAGAATCAGTTTTCATTCTCCATATTCTGTGCTCATTGTCGTATCTAGCCTCCTCGACTCTGGTGTTGAAAGTCGCATCTTTTCTTAAATTCCAAGTCTTATCCACGTGACTGAAGTATTCGCGAAGCTCGTCTTGGCCTGGAAATCGTTCTCGGAAGTTGAAACCTGCCCACACCTCGCGTAGGCTGAACTGGTACGTCGGCGTCTCGGAGTCGACGCGCGCTCCTGGGTATCTGTTAAAGTGCCAAACACCACCGAAGTCGCTTCCAGCTTCGATGATCTTGGCTTCAAGGCCGAGTTGCCGCATTCGATGTAAAGCATAACAGCCGCTGAATCCTGCTCCCACGATAATCACATCTGCCTTCATGTCCAGTGGTGACGACACCCACTCCGAGCTGCCGATGTCATCTGTTTCTCTTTGGGGCATGTCGTGTGATCAGAGTCGGTAATGAGGTAGACACAAACTATGTTAAAACGATGGAGGCTTCTGCCAGGCAAGTTCACAGATCTGACAGCAGCTTGACTGGCCTTCATTCTTATAGATACGATTCTTCGTCTGATAATGATTCATCAACCGAGGGTCAAACTCTAGAAAAGGTATTAATATCGGGCGATATCAGCTGGGTAAACATCTGAAACGATCGGACTGGGTATTTGATGGACTTTCGGGCTTCGAAAGTCCGCGTATGTTGACTCGCTATGTCGACGTCATGGAAGTCAGTCTCAAGTGCACCCTTCTAGCACAGAATCAACACTAAAAACAGCGGACTCGGAGTCTTCGAACTTTTCCAGTGAAATTTATAAATCCTCAACACTCAAAGGCAATCAAGGTTGACAATATGTTTTCGGCTCCCAGCCCAGGCATGGCTTATTCCACCCATGGCTTATTTCACTCGGTTTCCCAACAATTCCGTTCCCTTGATTCATTCTATGCGTCTTCTATTCATCCACTGGCAATAGAGAGCTTGCAGTCACAAAAGGTTGGCAATCTCGATATTAGAAGGTGGGCTCCGTAAGTCTCCGAGCCCGGGGCCGGCTATGGGTCCCCATATGTGGGGCATCGCACCGGATCACGGTCGCCGCTGCCGGTCAACCTCGGCACGAAGGAAGCTGGTCCACTCCACGTCCGCATGCTTAAGGCAGTCTGGCTTCAAACTACATCTAGCTTTGAGCAATCTTTACGCTATCAGTCCTAGGCCTATTTCTAATCTTGCATCCGGCACTTACTAGATCATCAAATCCGTGACTCCGAATAACATCAATGCGATAGAACAGACCGCAGAGACGGAAACTTCGACGGTTTGGTAAAATGAGTGAGCTTTTTCAACAGAAAACAGCGAAATACAATCCAACATTGTTTCCCCGCGTTTCTAGATCACTTATTCATGTTCATTGGCCGCCGACGTGCGTGATCTTGCATGGCCCAGCTGTTGTGGATGCAGCACCCGAATGATCCTGCGTATGTAAGAATGGCTCAACATAATCCATGTTCACAGTACGACGATTGGTTTAAATTCCTTCCCTAATGTTTTGATACATGCAGCTTGGCGATCGCACACTCAGCACTCCTTCCGACCGAAAGCCGGGTCGGCTGCGGACTTCGGCCCACCTGTGTTCAGCAACAAGTTAACTCAAGGGATTACCACCTCAGCTAGCAAATGCCCGCATAGATTCAACATAGAATAATTCTTTCTGATTTCATCGTTTCTGATGTTATACATTACATCGTATTCGCGAACACAATGGAAGAGCAGCTGCCCTAGCACTGAGACTCCCCGCGTCTCCCGCGTGTTCCGCGGCCACCTCCAAAGCTTCTCAGGATGAAGCCGCACGAATCGGCCGAGAATTCCGAAGGATTAATAATTGTGTTTATGTTGAAGATGTTCTTCGTTAATAGAGGGTACGAAATTCTCTTCAAAGATATAAATAGCTTCTAGTTCACACGGGTCAGACTGGCACCAATTGCAGGCTCCTTCTCCTTGCTGCTGGATTTCACCACCAATCACAAATCATCAATTACTTTCAAATCTCGTCACTCGACGCAAGAATATGAAGATCCTCGTTGTGGGGGGTACCGGCATGGTAGGGGGTCATGCGGCACTCCATCTACAGTCCCAGGGGCACAGCGTCTCCATTGCTGGTCGTCGAGCTCCCGAAGCCGCCACATCCCTTGCGAGCCTGCCCTTCATAAGGGGAGACTACATGCAAAACGACTTCACAAGAGATCAACTCTCCGCTTTTGACGCCGTCGTATTTGCTGCAGGAAGCGACATCCGACACGTGCCAGCGGGCCAAGTCGCTGACCAGCACTACCTACAAGCCAACGGAGAGGCCGTACCAGCTTTCGCTCGACTCGCTAGAGAATCAGGAGTCAGGAAGTTTGTGCACATCGGAAGTGTCTACCCACACATACTGGGCGACGTAGCCGACCAGAACGCCTACGTCCGCTCACGAAAGTTGGCGGCGGATGGGGTTGTTGGGTTGGCGACCCCTGAGTTCCACGCTTGCAGCTTGGATGCACCGATAGTCGTCGGATCGGTACCCGGGATCGTAATCCCGATGTTCAAAGCATATATCGATTATGCGGAGGGCAAGCTCCCGATCCCTGCATTCGCGCCCATCGGAGGGCTGAACTTCATCTCCACGCAATCCCTTTCGGAAGCTATCCTGGGGGCTATCGAACATAGCGAAGCTGTTTCGGGAAGGGCTATTCTGGTCGGCGACGAGAATCTGACGTACGCAGAGTACTTTGAGATGTTCTTTAGGGCTGTTGGAAACCCACAGACGTTGCCGGCCCTGGACCAAGATCACCCGCTGTTGCCCAAGGCGACTTTGTATGCTGGAGACAGGACCGTGGTATATGAACCAGATGCGGAGGACCTGAGGAGGCTGGGCGGGTATCGTCGACACGATGTCAGAACCGCAGTCGGTGAGATTGTTCGCCAGTATAGGAATGCTGACAAGGCAGACGTGGCATAGCCAGTTGAATTCTGAACAGAGCTGTAGCCTGCGGGGTGTCCACGTGTCTTTAGTATCTCTTCGACATACACATAAGAGCAATGACTTTGGCTCCAGATGCCACTATACGTCTTCATCTGCACACTTCTGGGGCAAACAGAGTACAGATCATTTAATACCGTCTCCAATATTCGGACCGTATCCCGCCCTCCAGCACGGCGGTGTATTCGCCCGGGATCTTTGATTCTCCTAGGGCCAGCACGATGTCACCATGAATCACCTCGCAGGACTTACGACTGCTGAATATGTAACAGGTAGGGATAGATATTGTTTTCCAGCTCGACTCGAATTCTGGACCTTCTTCAACTAGCACTCCCCTTCCCCAACTGATTGTCCAATGTGAATGACATATGCCCCATGTAGGAGTTGTTCCAATCATCCACATGAAGTTCCGTAAAAGCGTTTGGTTCTACATGTGAATCGAAGATCGGCCAGTTATCCGCTGCTTGATGCTGCAGCGGCAGATGAATCGTGTTCTCCAGCCCTGCTTCGACACAGGTTATCCCTTTCTTTGACTTGATGTATGCTTCTGCAATGCGATAAAGCGCCCTGCACAGCTCGTATTGCCGCCTGCATGACTCCACCAACCCGCTCAGACGTTCGCTGATCTCGAGGGTACTTCGAAGCAGGTGCAGATCTTCAAGATCCGAGTTGCCGATGCAGTGTAGGAATGTTATTATGTATGGGGTGAAAGAGGAATAGAGGTGCGTCCTGTAAAACACGCAGGTCAGTATCTAAAACGACATGAAGAGACGGGTGGCAGTGCGAGTCATCCATCAGCGATGGTGTCACTTACCAAACAGCGTAACTGAACATTGCTGCGTAGCCCCCAGACGCAGATCGAGGGAACGCTTGTGCGTGGGCCGTCAGTCCTTTCCTTGCTGCTTCGAAGCACTCCTCGGAAATGGAGCTGGCAGAGTTCGACGAGCTCGCTCCTCGATGGAGCAAGGTCATGATGGAATAATAGACCACATCCAGACCCTCAAAAGTGAACTGAAACAGCTCTTTCCGGTATGCAAAAGAGTAGTCCACATTGCGCCACGAATCATACCACTGCGCCAGTCGTTTCGACAAGTATGTAACCGTGGCTCGCCTTTCCTCGTCGGTTGATCTTGTGGCTGCTGGCGAGTAAAGATTTTCGTAAATCCTGGCTTGTATGCGTCCAAACTCAATGAACGCGGAGAAAGAAGTATCCCAGGGTCGTCGCTCGGGGTTTTGGGAAATTTCGAATGGCTCGGTATCGATATCCAAGTCTTGGATTATCGGGGCTTTCCCCTGTGTGAGGGTTAGACCGCGATCTGCGAAGTAGACATGCCAGAATAATCGTCTCGCTCTGCGAGCTTCCTCCGCGGGCAGCGCTGCTAATTTTGCTCTCCTGTGATACCCCAATGCTAGACAATGCCTGGCCGCTGCAGACATGATAGTCCATTGTAGTGGTAAATTCCCGTCTTGTTGCGCGCGTAGTGACTGCGAATCCTTTGTCAGAACGTTCTTTGGCCTTGTTGCCGCAATTTTACTCACCGCAATAGATAATATCAAGGTGTGCTCGAATGTTGGCATTGCCATAACCTCGTAAGTCTCGATACCAGATTTGAAGTTCGCATAGCTCAGGTTGTACAGGCGGCTCGTCTCTTCGGGATCGAATTCCGGGTGTGCCGCAAAGTCTATGTCACGAAGAAGCACCGACAAGAACCCGTTCAAAAGAGTAACTTCCCCGACTGTGACCGGTTCAACGGAGAAGTAAACTCTTCGACATAGGTCTTCGACTTGTGCTCGATTCTCAACAGCATAGTAGAGAAAGAGTATGGAATGTTCTATATCATTTGACCCGTTAGCGACGTTCAAAGTCATAAGAGTAACCGTAGTTAAAACGCACCCGAAACGGTTCGAAGAAGCCGTATTACAAAGTCCGATGGCGGCAACTGTAGCTGTGCTCCTTTTGCTACATGTGGCAATCTTCGCAACTGTCTCGTTTCCGGACGATTATTGTGACTTTCGCAAATCCCTCGCAAAGTTGCTAACTCGTCCACGACCATTGGAGACTGCGCAGCTTCGAGTTTGAGCTCCTCGATCTGGCTCGCCAGGTACGTTTGTTGCCTGAAGGATGAGTCCCCCTCGTAGGAGATGTGATGGTCTTCCCACAGGCAATGATGCGTTGAAGAGTCATCTTCAACGTTTGGTGTTGTATTTGGAGTGGAAATGGGAGTGTTCTTGTTTGCTTGTTGATCGGTTTGGTTTCGGAGAGCCTCCTCAACGGCCCTCAACCTGTCGTGAAGTTGCTGAATACTCGGATGACTACATGTTTACTCTAGTCAGTCCAGAAGTCATTTTCAGCGAGAGTTATCGCGGTACCTTTCAGTTCTCTCAGGTATCGTCCGCTGAGCTGGTTGTCTTCCACCTGCCGGCCGGCAAGGGATTTTGGACGTTACACAGTTGGAACAAGGAACCTCTCGATTGCATCGCGTCTGGTTGCGTCAGTTGAGATCAATGAAGTCATCGAAGGGATGAGAGAAAGGGGTCGACGCATCCCGCGGGCTGCAAGTCCGAAGATTGGTAAGGTCTTAGATGATGATCTGGAATGTTTCCCATTACCTTGCGGATCCGACAATTATGGCACTATTGATAGACAGTGACGATTAGCAACGAATTATGGTAGCTTGATATCGTGTGGTGAGCAGCGATGGGCCGTGATGCCGTTAGGCGAAGACTTACCGCTCTGGGAATAACACTGGTTTTGGGCGTGTGGTCCGGCTCCATTTTGTGGTGAGTGTAGCCGAAGGGCCGACAGGGTCGGAACAACCTCCTGTTGAGCACTACACTGTGCTGCTTGCGCGTTTATTGAATTACGTCGGGTACGGCCGCAGTTGTGTCCGTTTTGCCGGTCCTCGCGATCCTTTTTGTTTTTCAGCCCCGTGGAATCCGTGGGAAACACGGGGAGCACGGACTCAATCTTGAGACAGGGGTTTTTGTACTTGGACTAGAGTAGGTTAATCTACGGGGTCTGTCAACGCGGAGATCTCCCCCCACCGCTTGCCCCTATTGGTGGTTATGCGTGCGTAGTAGAGCGGACTTTGGTCTATGGAGGATAGCCAAGCGAGACCGAGAGTGTACTGGGGAAGTCTTCAAGTTTAAACTGTGAAAGCGATACCGAGAAAGTAATAAAAGACTGCCGCGTCGAGTGGTTGGCAACTTTGGGCTATTACTCGGCGGATACACATGACATCGAGTTAAAGAGGTGGAAACCCGCGACCGTGCTGGTATGCTGCGACATGACACGAGACGGAACATCCGTATACCCTGGTCCACTGCAATCTTCTTGTTCGGCCGATCGTACAGCGTATGCGTGCACCTACTCGCGTCTGCGTGAAGCTTCGGTGGCACTTACAACTTCTACGGCCGCCGGAATACTACTCCCGGGTAAAATATCGCAGTTTTACCCCATAGAGCACATTTCTAATAGGGAATTACAGTTTGAGGCTGTTGGTTCCAAAGACTCAACGGCCAAGACGAACCTCAGAGGACCGGGTCATGCGAACCGGTCGATCTCAACGTTAAAAAGATGTGATGGATCAAGCCAGTCGTTCATTGGATCTTGTAGGATGATTTCAATTTCCAAGTCAACACCAGGCCGGTGAGTGATGAGGCGACCATGAAGATGTTGCTATATATTAGGCCGATTGGTGAATCAGATGCAAGGTTCATCAGGCCATGATCACAGGGTGATTGAATCATAGACTTCGACATTGAGGAGCCTATCGCTTTGCCGGATCTTCGACTCTTACATGCTGTCATGTCAGAACGAGCGGTTGACAAAATGACGGCTCTAGAAAGAAAAATGCCACAATATGCATCGATGAATGATAACCAATACTTGGCTGTTGCACACCTCACAGCGTAAGAGATCTTGTGCAGCAATATTAATCAAAGCAACGAACGCCAAAGCTATTCGATTACGTGTATTGATGTGCATAACAGTAATGCTTACAGAATCTCATTCCCACTGGTATGTCAATGTGAATAAGCAGTAAATACATACACTATTGCACATCGTGGTATGCAACAGGCCAGGCCAACATAAGACACAGTACCTAGGGTTCTCATGCGAATGCAGGGGTGATTTTTATGTGCATCAGTCTTGAACACAAATCATGAACAGCACGACGCCGCAACATGAAGTCACGAGGACGAGACGTATCCGGCCGAGATGACAACGTCCCTACCAAGCTGCTCAAGTCACAACAAACCTTCACCATCATTTGATGGAGCGGTAAGATTATAGTATTTACAACTTCGTCTACTACGTACGACAGGCTTTAGCGCTCAAGTCCCTACGTGTGTGGGGATCCCTCGTCGTACTGCATAGTGCCATTCAGGGTTGTCGCTAATATCCTTACACACGACCCAGGGACACGGCAGCAGAGGTGGAGATTGTTACCGATCTGATTAAGCCGCATCGGGCTACTGTGGTCAAAAAGCTTCTCCCAAACTCCGCGGAATATCGGTATACACGTCACACGGTTCCTGCAAAAGACGGGATGGGCGGGAATTCCGACGGGCATGTTTAGGAATTAGGGCTTTACAACGAAACTCGAGCCCCATTAGGCAAACCTGCACTGCAGGATGAAAGTTTGATTATTCCCATGTCGATGGACGCAGATGCAGAAGGTTGTGGTCCATTTCGTTGATGATGATAATCATTTTTCCAAATTTGATGCAAACCGAGAGCGATGGGTTCTGCCAAGACAAAAGGTCGGCGTTCTCAAAAGCCTCATAGTTTTGAATTGGAGTCGGCGAAGCCAAGATCTCTCTGCTTGACTCGTTGAAGAGGTCGGCGATGTTTGACGATACAATCGCCGAGGAGTCTCCCTATGGGCAAGAGTTATCGCCGTCGAGTTCAACAATCACCCTCCCCGGTCCGGAAGATGAACTCCGACTACCTTTTTGGTCCCCGGCGAGAAGCTATAGATTCTCCTCCAGTCCCCTCCGCTCGGACAGGCCAACGCAACATGAACGGCGAGAGCTCGTTTCTTCTGATCCCAGTAGGCATTTAATATCTGGCGGCGTTCGTAAGGAGGTAAATCGCAAACATAAAAGGACTAGTTTCAAATTGAAGCCAGTTTTTGTTCTCGGAGAACTCAAGATGCTAGGGGACGCATTCAGACGAGACATGAAGGATCGTTCGGCTGATTTTAGTATGTGTGGCAAAGTCTTCGAGGGGACCAGGCTTTAGGCAGTCTCTACGAGAGACACACCTGAGAGACGGTAGCTGGTACGGTAGCTGGTAGAATCGAAACCGGGTTTGAGCTTGGCCAACCCCTTCAACCTCTCGCCAGGCACGGCGGACGAGGTTAATGTCATGTACTGGCGCATCCTCAACCTACGATAAGAGGTGGATGGCACTCAAGGGGAAAGCTCTCATTGGCAGCGCTGATGAGGAAGTGAGGATGCTTATCATCGGGCCTCGGCTGGGTTCTAGTGCATTACGCGTCAGCGAAATTGCAGTAGCTGTGCAGAGTCATCAATGTAGGGGCACGACCGTAGGGCTCAGAGGTACCTATTACGCTACGAAGCCTACAGGAGTCTAGGAGCGAACACGAATAAGATGAAGCGCAACGTCACCAGCAGCATAACCTAAGCCAGGTCCACTGATGATTGTCTGACATAGACCATTTCGCCATACCAGTAATCACCCTGTGTAGAAGACACGTTGCGACATTCTTGCACAGAGACCTGGACTCGCCATGCAACTGTACATGTACACACGTTTCGGTGGGTGAAAGAGAAGATAGCCCATGATGTCAAGGTTGATCTTTTTGGTATGGGAATGTACCTAAGCCCTTTCGCTATTGATTGAGAAGTGACTGCAGTCTTTGGTTGTCCAGAATGTCCCCCTCAACCAATCGGCCTGTCTCCTTGATCTGACCATTCACACGCTGGTACCGGACAATAGTAGGGACGTTATGGACGTCCCACTTCGTCCGGTAGACGTTGGTTGGGACCTTCCACCTATATGCCAAGGTTAGATGATCTTCATGGAAACGGGGTTCAGGAATTACGGCGCGTTATCCACATACTCGGGTCTCTGGCCAACCTCAACGAATGCCATCCTGGGGGCGTTGTCTCCTTCAAAGGCGGCATGGATGAGCGGCAGGGCGGCTCTGACGTCGGGGCACCATGACTCCCCCGTCTCTGGTAGGTTCGAGGTCGTAAAGGTTATGAAAAAGGGCGAGTCGGAATCATCGAATTGCAGTAGGGACTCGATCGAGTCCGGCAGCGTGAAGGTAGAAATGATAGGCATTTTTGCAGCAATATGCCAATCACAATCGAAGTGAGGAAATCAAGAATTTTGGTGAAGTACAGTAAATCAAAGTAGCGCGAGTCTCATGAGTCGAAAACTGAGCTTCTGTCTCTAGATCAGTCGCCCCAGATCTTCACGGCCAAAATGGCGTGATACATATCCACAATTGTGTCGCCGGTCAAGATCTCCGACACCGGCCGGAGGGGCCCCACTCGGCCGCTCCTTCAAAAGTGGATACCCGGCATTCGATGCCGGTGCGTGGTGCATGCAACACCCAATGATAGCGTCGCTCGTCTGAGTTGGATTTTGGTTTCTTAACTAAGTCAATAGTACGACTGAATTCTACTCGCTAAGAAGGTTCTGCCGCAACTACGACACGGAAACCGTTCCCGCGCCAGAAACCGGCCGGCTCCAGACTCCCACGATATGTGCAGTTGGCTTTGACCTGTGGACTGGAAAAGCAACCACCGCGCAGCACCCTGCGTATTTCGCCAGCAGCCCCAATAATCTCTCTATCGTCGTGTTTCCATGGATATCTGAACTGAGGATTTGCCATATCCTTACCCCAAAGCGTCGTGCACCACTCCCAGACTTGCCCAGCCATGTCATAGCAGCCATACGGAGACCGGCCTTTGGGGAATAGACCCACAGCGCAAGTGTTATTGAAACCAGTTTCTTCCGAGTTCGTGGCATCTCCCCGCCAATTCGAACCCCAAGGATATACTTGCCCGTCGCCGTCGGCGCCATCCTGATCGCCACGCGATGCGCGTTCCCACTCGGGTTCCGTCGGGAGCCGGACGTGCTCAGTGGACGATATTTTGCCCTTTTTACGCCAGCGAACTGTTAACCAGGAACAATAAGCTCGAGCGTCATGCCACGTGAGATCTGTTGCCGGTGCGTTTAGCCTTTCCGGGTCCGCACCGTCCACACTGAACCAATCTCGGCCGGTCTGTCGGGTGAAGGCCAAGTAATCCTTGTTGACGACTGGGTAGATGCCGATGCGGAAACGGCCGAGTGCGATAGAGTTCGTCGGTTGCGAGTTGGGATGATTGTCGGAACCCATAATGAAATTTCCTGCGGGAATTTCTGCGAGCGCAGTCAAATCGCGAGGGTCCCCTAGACGGGAAAGGACGCGACCGGCTCGTTCTCGGTCGCCAGGCGAAAGCAGGCCCTCTTCGACGACTTTGAGAACGAGCTTCGCGATTCGCTCTTCAGCCTCTGACGCTGCGGGAACCAGGTCCGCGATCAGAAGTGCGGCGCGCTGAGAGTCTGCAGGCGAGGATGTTAAAAGCCTCTGAATGAGGCTGTTCGACTTTTCAGATGTGCCTAAGCGTATCAAGCAACTGCGCACGACAGACTTTGATCGGTCAGGCTCTTTGTGAAACAAGTTGACTGTGTTATCAACTGGTAAGTTTACCAGATGACGGGCGGCGAGCAGGTTCTGAATGACGCCGCAGGACAATAGCGAGACCGACGACGGCACTTGTGAGGCAAGGTCGTTCGATATAGCAAGAAACTGCTTTCCACTCAAGGATTCGTATGCTTTGGCTGCTAGAGCGTTCGCACTTTCTTCCCCTGGGGTGATGGTCGACAACCACCCATCCAGAACCTCCTCTGCAAGTCGCCCTGGATGCCCAGCCTGAAGCGAAAGCGCGAACAAAGCTGGGTTTGAAGCTGCATCGCCCGTGGCTACCTCAGTCCATTCCGAGTCAGTCCCCAGAAGTTGGGATACGGTTTGACGCCTTTGAGCTTTCAACAATGGCGAAAGTTCGTGACGGGCCACGTTTGATGGTAACACCCATCGAGCACAAGTGTCGGCATCCCCCAAGACAAGAAACTTGACACCCTGAGGAACAAGATGGCAGAGGCGAGACAGAAGCTCCGGACCTTCATTGCCTGCCGCTTCAATGTCATCCAGAATGATCAAGACACCATCCCCGTCGTGGTTCATGTGGTCCAACAGCCGGGGCAAGGTGTGCTCAGTCAGAGTTCGCAGAGACTCGAGTCCACTAGTAGCGAAGTATGAAGGTAAAAGTTTACCGCCTCCCCATATCTCGTCATGAATGTCCCCGAGTTCATTCCGTATGAGAGGCGATGGCTTATCAAGTCCTGTTGTTGCCAGCGCAAAACTGAGGTGTTTCGCGAACGTGGTCTTGCCACTGCCACTTGCGCCCGTGAGGAATAGTATCGCGTTGTCGCTTACCAGCTCGAGAGCGGAGAAGTATATGGGAGTCTCCGGCTGCTGTCCGGCTTTTCGTTTTCGAAGACCTTTTGCTGCCTTGTCTTCATGAGTGAAGTTTGTCAATAACGGGATGTATCCGTTCGCCAGATTCAGGACCTCGCCATTTGGGAGGGTGAGAAGAGGCTCGTTGCCGAAAGAAGCTGATTGTGAGCGAAGTTGTTCGAGAGTTTGCGTCATGTTTAAACTGTCATATCAAGAATCCATCTGTTGACAGGTTTGCACGGCTACCTACTGATTGCGTGACCAGCCGGTCTTATATACCGACATGCCCGGTGGGTGGACCCGAACTTTCGGGTCCGATGCAGGCGTTCCTTCGGCAGGCAATCGGCGTAGGAGACCAGGGACCCTGGACACTAAAAGCTGTCATTCCCCTCAAGGGTATCGCGGATGGACAATGTTTCTGTGCGGTATCTCGGCGCTCCCACAAGATTTCCAGCGGTCATTGATACATCCTAAGAAGAAATTCAAGGTAAAATATTGTTTGAACGCTCGTAGGGCTCCCAAAGCTCCATCAAATTGCAAAAACATTTGCGACTCGCTGAACCTGTTCTCTTCTCCCCACGATCTGAAAGGCAGTTTCATTTGGGCTCTCCTGCTGACTCTGGCGAATGGCAGTATTTGATGCGACTGGCCGTTCGCAAGGAAAGCCCAAAATAGACTACAGATTCTGTAAACTTGAAATCTACCTGAGCAAGTCGTCATTGCGTGGCGGTCCTCTCTGTTGCAATCTCTTGGCCTCCCTCTGCTCCTTGATCTTCTCGTTGAGCGCGTTTCTGACTAGCAAATGCTGTGAGCTACTGTGTGTTACGAATTGCGTTCAATATCGAACTTACTCTCTGCGTCTGTACAAGTACCACATCAAAGTCACACTGATGATGGCCAGACCTCCGAACAAGATAAGAATCTGGTAACCGTACTTATATTTGGGCGCGTCGTACGTTGGGAAAAGCACCACTTCGCTCGGATTAGCCTTGAACGCCAGGTCATTGGATCGATCGTCCACTCACATGGAACCCAGAGCACGAATGCGTAAGAGACAACATTGGCACTCGCGACCAGTAGCTGTCGGAGACTCGGGTCACCTGCATTCAGTCTGTTTGCCCAACTCTGAGACTATATCAGCACACAGAAGCTGAACGGGACAGAGAATATACTTACGATGAGCACCGGAGTGGCCGCAGACCCAGCGTATGATAAGTAGTATGCGAACATCAGAGCACCCTTGGGGATCGTCCAGACCGACAAGAGGATGTTGGACAAAATCATAAATGCCTGCACAATGACAATCATCAAATAGTTTTGCCCAGTGTGATCGGCTATGATACCCCATGTTACCGTGGCCACGATATTGAGGGCGCTTCCACCGGTGGGCAAGATGTTTGTCTGGACAACGCTGTAGCCGGCAGATTTGAGCCAAAGATTGAAGTAGCTCGTGGCCGAGTGACAGGCAGCGACCATGCTGCCAAGCGGGAATGTGTTAATTCAGGATACGACGATTGCCAGGCGAGGTGCCTTACGTGTAGGGAACGATGAATGCCCAGATCTCCCATCCAAGATAGATACGCTTCACTTCCTTGAAGGTTAACTTCTCCTGGGCCTTTTGGCCGAACTTCTCGATTCTTTCGACGCCATACTTGATATGCTGATGATCGTCAGTGTCTTTGACTCCGCACATGAGATATGTGAGGATTCTCACATCCGCAGACCAGTAAAACGCTCTGGTGTTATGAGGTAGATCCGGCAATCCGAAGAAGCCCCATATGGCGATTGGAAGAGATATGATAGCACTGGAGAAGTCAGTCTTTCTGTTGATCAGGACAGTGGAAGTTTGAGTCCTGACTCACTCCATGACAAACAACCAACGCCACCCAGCAAGGCCGTGGCGACCGTTCATGCTGGTGTAGAGTCCTGCCTGAAGATACCCACTGAACATACTGGCAATCGATTCAACTTGGAGGAGAATAGCAAGGCGCTTGGTGAGCTCCTTCGGTCCATACCAGCCTCCGAGCATCGAAATGTAACCGGGAAAGGCGACACTTTCGAACAGACCGATAAAGAATCGAAGAGCGTACATGGTCTCGATGTTCTTCGAGAAACCCATGCCGATGACGAGCAATGACCAGATTACTTCGCAAGTTGGGATCAAGATCGAAGACCGAATATGACTGAGCTGAAGCATCTGAGCTGGAACGCTACCAATCATGATGCCCAAGCTGAACCAGGTGTTGAGCCAGTTCCTCTCATTGCCGTAGAGGGCAAGGTCCTGTTGCATGCCACTGACGAAGGCATTGCCTAAACAAGGCGTCGAGGTCAGTTTCTAGCATCAGTGAAGATAGCGGTCAACTTACTGTAGTTCGTTTGATCCAAGTACTTAATGAAATAACCAAGACAGACAGTCGGGCTGAAGAGGGTAGCGTTAGACCCGATGATAAGAGGTGATCACTATCCGAAGCTTACAAGAAGAACAGATCCAGCCTCTGGACATATGCTCGATATTCTGGATCTCCTTCGACAGAGTCCCAGACGAGGCCAAGTATCTTGCGCCACCACGATGTTGTCTGCACCTCGTGAGAAGTGGGCTCGGCAACGCTTACCGAACCAACTTCCTTGGAGTTGTCCAGGTCAGACGTGGTATCCGACACAGCCACCGGTGCAATGGCCTTTGAATCCGACATCATGTCCAATGATACGTAAATGAGGGGAGAAGGAATGCGGTGTCTGGGTCTCCGGTCTCCTCTGATGTGCCGCTCAGTCGATTCCAGATCGCTATATACTTTGTCATGTTCGAGAGAAACGATTTTTCCCGATGAGACTAACCCGTTTGATGACCCCTATCGAATCGAATTGCATGGGCTCTCGAACTTCACGCATGCTCATTTGCTACGATAAATGGTGTGATTGGGTCCCTTGTGAACCAGAAGCTGTCGAATCCTTCGGCCCCGTCGTGAACGGCGCCGTTGACGAACCAGGTGGATAGAACACCAGGACTTACCATGCCTTTGCCCGGGATACTGGAATCACATTTCAAAATTGAACCGGCAGGCACTCCAGAGTGCTGATGTCGGGAGATAGCGACTGCATGTGCGGCTCGACCCCGACGCATGTCGTGACCGGGGACCCGCAATGTCGTTATCTCGCTCCGCTCTGTCGTCTTGCTCAACCCCGGCATGACATTGCCGTTGCAGCCATCAATACCTTCCCTATGTCACGACTTTTAATGGTTTTACTGCCGCATTCATGGAGGCACTTGATGCTTGAAGGTGCGAAACTCCTTTTATCAACATGATTGAGGGAAGCCCTCAACGACTTTTGAAGATCCGAGCTGCAGCTTCGAGAGCGCAAAGCAAGGCAAATAAGCCGACGATTCTGGAGGTGTTCATAGGGAGGAGATACTCCGATCCAGCTAAGTATACCGCGGTTCATGGTTGCGTCGGCAATCCGTACCGTTCGGCTCCGACGACCGGTCCATCTGAAAGATCTCCGGCATCGCACATAAACCTCCCCCAACCCAAAAGTTGAGCGAGTTATCATCCGGTCCTACAAGCTTTGCTCTTCTTCTGCCCCTCAATCTCGGCAGAAAACTTCCCGAACGTGCATGAGATACAGGCTCACCCGTCCCTCCCCCAACCCACGCTATTCCCGAGAAGCAGTACCATGACGCCAGAAATCCTCCGCCTATCTCTTGAGAACGTCGACTTTCGGCTCCCAACGCAAGTCACGGACGATAATAGTGTGACAGCCCTCAAGAGTCTCGTCTTCGAACCCTTGCTCCGCTGGCAGCCACACGGCAAAGTCAAGCCCGCACTCTTCGACAGGTGGGAACACTCCGACGATGGCAGGATCTGGTACTTCCATATCCGCGATGAAGCCGTCTTTCACGACGGTAAGACTTGTGTAGCACAGGACATCGTCGATTACATCCTCGGTCTCCTGGACTCGCGCGACTACTTCGGCATGCGATGGAGCTACAGCCGCTACTTCGCGCAAGCGAAGGTGTCCGCCCACAACGATCGGACGGTGCAGGTCGAGAATCCGGAGCCGTTCGCTCATATCCTCGACATCTTCTGTGAGTTCTGGCCGGTGCGGCTGGATTCGAAGGGCAAGCCTGTGCTGGGGACGGGTCCGTTCCGGGTCGTGGAGTTTGAGCGGGAGAACAACATCGGTTCGGCGACGCTGCAACGGCTGAACCCAACTCGGCACGACACGCCTCACACAATCGTCGCGATACATGAGCCCAACGCTGCAAAGCGACTTCAGCAGTTGCGCAGCGGAGAGGTGGATGCTGCGTTGAACTTGGAAAGGGTGGAGGATCTCGATCTCCTCGATTTCGACGCCTCGCTTCGATGGGGCAAGACGACAAGCACTTTGTCAGCGATATACTACTTGAATTGCACCGAGGGCACCTTCAGCTCCCCAGAAGCTCGCCTGGCTGCAAATCTTGCTGTCGACAACGATGCCTTGGTGAAGGAGGTCTACCATGGATTCGCATTGCCATCTGCCACCGTCGTGAGCCCGTTCCACCTCGGCTTCCCAGAGTCACATTTGAAGCCTATCGCATACGATCCTGCCCGAGCAAGACAACTTCTCAAAGATTTGGACCAGATTGCTCCGATCATTTTACGAACGCCGACGTACATGCCAGAACACGCCCAAAAGATATCCAGCTTCGTCGCCAAGTCACTCAGAGATGTCGGGTTTGATGTTGAGGTCAAGGTAGAAACGAACCGTCCAGAATACGCTCGCCAAATTGGCCTTCACAAGCAAATCGGCAGCCTGGCCCTATTCGACTCTACACCAAACAGCACGTTCAGAGTCCTGGATGATAAGATTTCTAGCTCATCTCATGCGACTTGGTGGCTGGGTTACCACGACGATGAAGTCCAGCGACTGTTCAAAGAAGCAAGGGACAAGGTCAGCACGGAAGAGAGGGCGAAGGCGTACGCGCTGTGCTTGGAAAGATTGCATGAGAATCCCCCATGGCTGTATGTCGCGCACCCTGAAGTCGTGTGGGCGACGAGGCACGATACGTCTCTTAGAATCGGGCACTCTGGTATTCTCGCTCTCGAAAACTGAAATAATACATCGTTCAAACCTTCGCAAAGGTATCAGGCAAGATCATTCACGCTCATGCAGTGGCAGGCTTCCGACCAGAGACGACATACCTATCCAACGTCAGCAAATTAGAAACATGCCTGATCACAGTGTCATGTCTCATGAACGAGGATGAGATCGCAACTCACACTGGCCACCAGACATGGATAGTCGGATCCCTCATCTCCTTTCTGGCCTTGGCACACAGGACCGTGACCTCCTCCTTCGACCATCCCTTGATATTCGTCAAGGTTCCCAGAGCCGCCGTCTCCAAGAAAGTGTCGAGATTCGCCAGTCCCCAGCCCCCGATATCTTTCATCACCCTGTGGCGCGGCCATGTGTTTGTAGGCCACTTGTAAATGGTCTCGCGAACATCCGTGAAGCCACGGTCGATGAGCAGCTGCTTCCACATGGTGGGCAATCTGAGCGTGCGCCCGATTTTGTCCATTGCGTCGACGACTTCGACGGCCCATTGCGATAGGAAGCTTTCGTTCGGGATGGAATTGTCGTCGCTGCGGGCTTCCATGCAGACGTCCTGGGCCTCGAACCAGCCGCCAGGCTCTAGTTGGCTGGGTAGTGATGAGTTGTGTGGCTATCTCGGGAGGGCGACTTGACTTACTTGTAGATACTGTCAACTAGCTGCACGGGATTGAGAATACTGCCGCTAAGAGTTCTTGAGAAGATGAAATCGAACTTCTTTGACCACGTCCATGGCTTTTCGATGTCGTCGATCTCGAAAGAGCAGTTGGGTGGCATGCTGCCGGGTTCGTGAGTGATTGACAGCCGTGTCTCGGTGCTCATGGAGACTTACAAGTCAGGTTGCACTGGACTGATATCGACACCAATGACCTGTGCCAATGAGTAAGTCGTCGTAGCTCATGAACAATGAAGACAACTCTTCGCTTACCTCAGCTCCTGGGTTGCACTCGGCTGTGATTCATAAAAGTATGAGCGAGATTCTCGTCGCGCAGACATCCGAAGACTCACCATACTCGAGCGCCCATATACCGGTGCCGGTTCCGAGATCAAGGACTCTCTTGGCCCCAGCTACTTTCGGACAGGTGCATAGTTGACCTTGCAGCGTTCTGATGAAGAGCTCATGCTGCAAGTCTAGTCTATCTTGTTCGACCTAACATATGAACATAAGCATCATACGGTCATCAATGGCTGCTATGAATCTGAGGGCGGTCGCACATTGTCATGAGGGAAGTAATATTCTAGGCGAATGTCAGACGTTTAGAACCTTTGCGAGTTGCGTCCCATGCAATGTTTGAAGTACTCACTTCCCCGAGACTGAGAATGGTAAAGACGGCCGTTGTCGTCTTCAAATTTGAGAACCGATGAGCGGATGGAAGTGAGCGAGTCACGAATGGACTTTTATCATGATCGTTTCAGTATAATCTTCAAATGTGAACCGGAAAATTATGAGCCTGTTGTATGAGATGTGAACAACATACGACGTTGACTGCCGAATCCACCTCGCTGTCATCTGGCGCCTGTTATTCAGTCGCGGCATACGTCAGCATTGTGAGACAACGCCGGTTCATCACGTTTCCGGAGCCCGTACAATAATGCCCGTCGCCGGGTTCTCATCCTGCTCGGCCGGAGCAGCCGGAGCCGCGGGCGGAGAAGAGCGCGTCTCTTCCTGAGGAGTCGCCATGGCCTTGCTAGAATCACGCGAGATCTAGCCCGAAGGTATGTCGAGGTGTTGGAGTAAGACTATGAGAGGCCCTGGGGCGTAGCTTAATTGCCGGAGGATCAGGAAAAGCTGCGCGGGTGGACTGAGTCGCGGACAGCCCGTCTGTTTTATTAGCCGAGCAGAACTTCTTCCCCCAACATCTCTCCACCACCCTTGCCAAGGATCAGTGCCCCCTCTCCCTCAGTCCTCTGGCCGCGGCGAAATGGCCTTCCATCATATTACACCGCACACCGACTCGAACTTGTGCATAGCAGATGCCCAGCTGCGGAACACATCAGTCGACTCGACCTGGTCTGTGGGGAATCGCCAGTGCGATTCCTCCAATGGAGCCGCGGACGCGTTTGAGGATGTAAACTTCACTGATTAGTGGGAGATGGCAGCCAGTAAAACCAAGCCGGCGAACAGATACGGATTCATTAGCCGGAGAATTGAGAGCATCTCTGGCCACTGAGTTGTGTTCTTCAGCGGAAGGGAGCAGGGGGGATGAGTCCGGAGACCTGGATTTGGGGACTTTGCCCGCGTGGAGCGCAGCGGTGACCCGCGAACCAGGTACGGGTGCGCATATTGCGCAATTTTCTTCCCTGCAAACACCGACGCCAATATCGATGACGCACGAAGATTCGAACATCCAGGACATTACCAGCATAGCGCAGATTGATGATTGGAGTCGCTTATGCGAGGGATTCTTATCCTTCACTTCTTGGGAGGGAAGCCATCCTCTTGAAGTGAACTGACCATGTTCTCTGGTGGACTCTTCATCGCCAAGCGACCAATTGCCTCGTCAGTCAATGAAACTCGGTGGGTTACATGCAGTCATCAGCGTGCAGTAGTGGGACACGCGGACTTTGCGCGAGCGACCTTCATCTCATTGAGTTTCAGCTTGGGGATAGGACGGTTATGAGATGCAAATGGGTTATTCCACTTAATATGAGGTTAACTTACGTCCGACGAAGGCTATGTGCGCCAAGCGCCACTGGGGACCACACTGTCGTGAGAGCGGCCCTCACCCGAGGCGACAGCGAAAAGCCTATGCGGGGGCGCCGGGCCGGGCCGTCACTCAACCCACACGCGAAGACCGTGGATTCCGCAAGAGGCCCTTCTTTATGAGAGAACACATGGGAGTGGGATACAAGTGAAGCGTCAGACGTCTATCTTTCAAGTTTGTCTCACGTATCTGTCCATAGCATGAGTATGAGAGATCGCTTCAAGCATATGCCACGACCGTTCACTGAAATCCCAGTTTACATCAAAGATCTCATACTCAACTCATTTCAGGCGACGCGAGCTTCACTGGATCTCACACATTTCATCTTGAACCCCATCGAAATGATTCCCCATAGCAACGTGGAGTAATTTGTACTTCTTTGCGTGTCATCTCACAGTACGTTTGTCTTTCTAGCATTTCTCACAACGCTCACGATGAGACTGAATCTACATCATCTTCCCCCAGAAGCATCTCAGAGAGCTGCCCGAGGCTTCGCCTTCCTCAGCCGAGCGTACATCTCATCCTCAAAAGCCTTAATGAAAGGCCTCACCCCTTCCTCGGCAGCCGGCAGCATCTGCGTCGCGAAGAAACCGCACAGCCCGGTTTGGCGATCAACCCACTGTATCTCGTCAGTCTCCAGCACATCTCGTCGCATGGAATCTCACTCACCCAGAACACATTCGACGCACCGCTCCACATCAGCGTACCATACCGCCGGTTCGGGTGCTTCTCACCGTCAACCAATAGCCCCCCGAGACCCCAATCATACTCCCCAGTGACAGGGAAATGTCCCACCGCCCACTCCGGTGTCTCCATGGCCTCGAGCAAGCTCTTCTTGGCTTTTTGGGACAATTGCGGCTTGAACATTTCGGCTGTTGTGCTCGGGCTGAGTAGCTTCCCATCGTCGAGGAGTAGCGACTCAAGAACCTTCATGACATCGGGCGCTGAGCCGTAGACCCCCTGACCTCCGAGACAGCCCGTGACTTTATCGTTCAGCTCCCTTCCCCGGTGCAGGACGATCTTCCCAGTCTTCCTATCGCGCGTATTCATACCCCACAACCTCGGTCTCACCTTCTCCACATCGAACGTGAAGCTCGTGGCGCCGATGGGATTCCAGACATTCTCGCGCATATACGCCTCCAAACTCTTCCCGGAGACCTCCTCAATCACCCTGCCTAACCAATCCGAGCTCGAGCTGTACGCCCAGCTCTCGCCCGGCTCGTAGATCAGAGGATACGGGAAGCGCTCCTCGACGGTCGCGCCGCGGGTCGGCTTCATCCCGTGGTAGTCCTGCCACTCCCGCGTCGACCCGTCGAGGAAGTCGTAGCTGTTCCCGGCGCTGTGCGTGAGCAGGTGGCGGAGGGTGATGGGGTTGCGCCGCGGGACTTCGATCGGTTTGCCGGAATCGTCGAAGCCTGTGAGGACTGGCTTCTGTGCTAGGGCCGGGAGGTGTTTTGAGACGTCTCCGTCGAGGGTGAGAAGGCCGCGCTCGGCGAGTTGTAGCGCGGCGATGGTTGTGAGGAGTTTCGTGACCGAGGCCAGGGTGAGAATGTCATCGGCGGCAAGCGGCTGATTTGTCTTCAAATTGTTGCCGAAAATGTGAGAGTATTGGAAGTCGCCTGGTGAGTTGTTCAGTAAGAACAGCATGTTTTGATGGATGTGACCGACTCACCGGACTTGTCTCGGGCATAGAGCATGACGCCTGGGATGTCGGCATTACGCACCGCGGCGTCGATGATCTCCTCAAACGAAGGCATCGCGTGAGTGGCTACACAAGATGAAGGATTCAATCGCGCGTGCTAATAAGACGGAATAAGCGCATCTAAGGAAGCTTAACATAAGCTTACTTCGACCGCGAAAGCTGAGCGACAAGAGTGAGAGTGAGAGCTTAAGCCGAGGTGACAGTTGGCACACTGACTTGTCTCATACACAATGACTAAGGTCAGGGGCGCTGCAGATCCCCCGCAACGGCCGGCCGGTTGAGCTTTCAATGGGGCCGAGCCCACAGAAAGCGGCATTTTACCTCGGTACATATTCTTCACTCTCTCATCCAGGACATTTCGGCGATTCGATATCGACGTCAGCTTCATATTCACAAGTGAAACAGCGGAACTGCTTCATCAACCTATACACAAAGAACAAAAGTATCCCTTCCAATCGTCTCAACATCCATCATTCGCATCCAGTCATTTCGCAGCGTCGCGGCGCTTCTCATTCGGTCTCAGGCGTACCGCCCGTGACTTTCCAACCCACGCTGAGATGGCTCAGCTACCCACACTCTCGAGACGATGCGCTTAGCAGCCGACGTAGATGGCGTTGGCGAACAGAGAGTACTATGCGCGGGTTAGCACTTGGTCAGAACACCCAGGTGAAGGGAGATACATACGGTGTCGGCGTGGTTGAGGTTCTGAGCTGCGGTCAAGCTCTGGACGCAAGAGTATCCGTAGCAGGAAGACTGGTCAGTGGTGCCCTTGATCTGGCTCAAGTGGGTGACCTCGTGGACAGCGGTGGTAGCCTAATCAAAACCGTCAGCCAGGACTCAAAACAAATCTCAGCGGCAGAAATACTAACCTGGTCCTGGGCGTGGCAGGTGCGCGACAGAGCAGTCATGGTGAAGAAGGTAGGGCAGTTGACCATGTAGCTCTGCGAGGGAAGCGTGTAGGCAATGACGCCGGAAGAGCAGGCGGGGTAGATGTCGGTGCAGTACTGGCGCGAGACACCGGAGGTGGTAGATCCGCACTCGCTGGCGACCTTGGCGAACACGCCAGCGACCGTGTTACGGGTGGCGGTCGTGGAGGACTTGAAGTACTCGGTCATCTTGGCGGCGGAACCAGACACGGCGGCGGAGGAGGCGGCGGCGGCGAGGGCGCGGCAGTTGCTGAGGGCGGTGGTGGTCTGGGTGCGCTGGGTGCCGGTGCAGTCGGACTGGACGACGGTGCGCTTGACGTTGTCGTGGAAGTCGCGGCGGACCTTGGCGGCGGCGGCGCCGTCGACGTCGACGCTCAAGACATTGGAGGCGAAGGAGGCGGTGCCGGCGATGTCGGTGGACTCGGGCTCGGCGTAGGAGAAGGAGCCCTTGGCGGCGACGTCGAACTTGCCTCCGGCCGAGAGGTCGTGGACCTCGGCGACGTCCCACTCGACGGAGACGGTCTGGCCGGCGGGGATGACCTCGAAGGCGTCGGCGGTGAGGCCCTCGGTCTGGAGGCGGAGGCGGATACCGTCGAAGGCGACCTTCTCGGCTGTGGCAGGCGTGAGTCACGTGTGAAGACGGGAAGGTTGTGTGATGATGTTTTGGTGTGGCGGTGTTGGACTTCAGCAGAAAGCGGGATGTTACTCACAGCCAGCAAAGACCTCGGCCTTCTCGACAGCGAGCTTGTCGAGGATGGAACCAGTCTTGAAGACCTTCAGGTCGGTAGCACCCGTGTTAGTGATGCTGGCCTTGACGCCAGAGTTGCCGACGGCCTCGATCTTGACATCGAGAGGGCTGTCGCGCTTGCCGAGGTCGACGACGGCGGCGCTGGCGAGCGCGGCGAGGCAGGAGAGACCGGTGATGAACTTCATTTTAACGAAGGCGGGGATTTAACCGACAGGAAGAGACTGGAGAGACAAGAGCTGATTGGATTGATTACCGAGGCGGGTTGCGGGATGAGGGAGTGAGTGTTTCTCTGGATCGTGGCCATCAAGGTTCTCAAAGGTGGGATATATATACTCGTTCGTGATACCATCGTTTGGTGTTTTCCACAACAGAGACGACAACTCGAAAGTCCACACAAGCTTCTTCCACCCGAACTCCAGTACAACAAGCATCGATCCGACGTCTGCCAAGACGGGATTTGGGACGAATGAGGAATGTGCGACGGCTGGCTGCTTTGCTTTTCTTCACGATATGAGGGGCTCAGGTGAGCCTAATGCACCGAGTGCCGGAGCATGGCGAAGATGAGGAAGGAAGTAACTGTCAGTGAGCAGGGCGTTCAGGATTGTGCATTTGCCAAGAGAGCCAAGAAGGAAACTCGATCTTGAAGGAAGAGAAACGGTCCAGAACGGCATCCGGAGGTGTGCAATCTGGGGAAGGACGTTGCGTTAAAGCTCTTGGCAAGTCGCCGCACGGCAATGTCTTCTCCACAGCTCGATATTGCAGATGGGATCAAGGATGCCGCTAGACAACATCAACCTTGAGTTTAACGACAATAAGGTGAGAAGGCAGTCTATAGACTAGGTTGACTAGCCACTAGTGGTCTAGACGTCCTCATCAGAGATGTAGGGATACGGCGGACTCCGGTATATCCACCTCCCAAACCGAGCAGCTAGAGTGAGATAGGCATCTGCGAGAAGTCAACTACAACAACCCAGGACGGGATATACGAGCATCTTGCCGCCTAAGGAAGGAGATTTGTCTACCGTCGTGTGATACGCATGCTGGTCAGCGCCTCTTCAGTCTCCGTTAGACTAGCTGGCACAGATATGAAAGCAACAGTCCCATCATGTCTCTTCCTGCGTAACAGGAAGGATTGAGGGCGCAGGCAAATGAGGATAGGGTACGAAGACACGGATATGAAGTCCCTTCTTACTGGCCACGAGTCAACGGATATTCGTTCTTCAGAAAGACTCCGCGCAACGGATATGTGTCTGGATCAGGAGACACCTGTGTTATTCCAGGGGCTGAGACAAGCTCGTCTGCGGGAAGCTTAAGTCGCCGATCGACATCCCGGAGCGTTGTAATTACTGCGGGGAGAGCGTCTTAAGCGAAGTCTCCAGCGCATTTACCGCGTAGTTTTCGTCGATGACAAGCCCTGTAATGTTGACATTCCTGTTCTGGCATCGCTAATAACTAATCACATAGCATTTCCAGGTTATTAACAGGCCTTCTGATAGCGCTTGTCGATGTCCCAATTGAGTCCATTGAACTCTTGTCCTGACAATACCTCTCGACTCCGGAGAAGGAGCTTGAGAACGTGAAGTCATGTCAATTGACCCTGTCAGATGCAACATTCCCATGAACACGGCACCACGGCACTTGTGGCGTCTGGGCATGCGTCTTCGTTGATATTTACGCGCCGTCGTGTCAATCAAGTTGAGGCGGAATGTCACAGCGACCTTCCTATTCTGATACCATCTGCCGGGTCTAGACACGACTCCTAGTCTCCTCGCTCGGGGGAAGCACATCGCCCTGGGCATTAAGTGGCGCCAGTAACGCCTGATTGTGATATTCTCCAATTGAAAGGGCCTCAGTTCCCACGACGTAACAAATTCCAATGCCGATAGTTGGGCGTTAAGCAAACTTGGCACTCAACCCGCACGAATGTCGAGGGCTCTCTTCGTTTGCTTATCGTCTGCCGTCTGCCGTACCAAGATGCGCCCTAGGGCGTTACCGAGGCAGGGAGCGAGACTTGTAAATTGAGACCTTCCTAGAAGAATAGAATAGACCGGGGAGAACGGACTCAGCGCTTCCGACTCATCGTCCTCGATTCTCAACGAGCAGTGGAGTGTGTTGGAGAGGGAGTAGGTCTCCCAGTTTCAATCTCGTGAGACTCGTGGCGTGAAAGTAGGCTTGAACTGATTTCGACAGAACTCACCACCAGGTCTAACAACTCTCCTCCCAGCAATGACAACATCACTGAAACAAATCACGTCGTCCAACTACAACATCTATACTTCTGCATGAGATGGAGTCGCTATTCTTCAAAGAGGCTCATCCTTGGCTTTCCGCCTCTCCAAATTGTTTAAGCATTCGCCAAGTCGCCAAGGCAGACTGGCAGCTTGGTGATGTCGTGCTACCACGCCGCAGACGCGCCATTCCCGTAGAGGAAGGCCTTTGGATACCCCCCTTCAGTCACCCATTCGAGCATCCAGAAAGCGAAAGAAGAAACTTATTTCCGAATTGCACGCTGTGGGATACTGTACATGGTCTATTCGAACACAGAATCGCAAAACCAGCCTCGCGATGACTGCGTCATAAACATGGCAAACTTTTACCCCTTCCCGAGCTCATCACAATTCTGCGTTTTCACCCTCCGCGTCTCCTATGACCTGTCTGGGATGAAGTCCTCCCAAGGATCGTGACGTCCAGTACAACCCCTCAGACTGCAAGAGTCCGGCGGATTATCGATATCCAACACCAACGTCGTGCGAACCGGCCGCCCGTTCTCGTCCGGCGCCAGACGGACATACGTCGAAACCACCTCCCTCTTCTCCAGATCCCACTTGGCGTCCGACCAGATCCACCTCGAGTCCGGCGGGATCCTCCCCTTGGCGTCCATCCTCTGCTCCTCGAGCATCACCACGCCCAGCTTGCCCACCACCAGCGCCTTGCCGTCCCACGCCCCGTCCCGCCACGAGAGCTTCTTCATCAGGTTCGCCGCCTTCATCCGGAGGTCGTGGTTCCTGCACTTGGCGATGATGGTCGTCAGCGGCGTCGTCAGGCCCTCAGCGAAGGTGAAGGCGATCTTGGACAGCGGCTCCGGGTCGCGCATGAAGCGCATCGTCATCTGCATCATCTCGCGGAACTCGGGCTCGAACGCGTCGAACTCCATTTCCGTCTGCTCGAGGCTGCAGCTGATGAGTACGTAGACGATGGTCCGCTGGATCTTGATCATCTCCAGCGCCCTCCGCGTCGTCTTCTCCACGTTCGGGTCCAGGAGGTAGACGTCCAGTATTGACTTCCACATGCCGAGATAGGTCAGGAAGGTGTCCTTCTCGTTCTTCACTGCCGGGTTCCGTGGTATGGTGTGCGTCATTAGCATGTGCATGCCGCGCATTATGAACACGACGGCCCGCGTGAAGAACTTGCCCCATAAGATCTGGAGTTTTGATACGTCTGTAACACCAGGTTGCGGGAGTTGGACCGAAGGCGTGCTGTTCATGAGAGGGATGGCGTCTCGATGTGAGTTGAAAAAGTGGGTGAAGCCGCTCATGAGGGATAAGCAGGGAAGTAGGTGCTCGATGTCGTCCATCTCGTCCTCTCGCATGACCTTCTTGAAGCGAGCCGCTAGCGCTTGATGCTGGCCTCCAGCGTCATCTTCCCTACTACTGGTTGACCTCTGCATGAGCGTGACGGAGCTCTCGATGAGTCGCATGCCGGTTCCCATCAAAAGATCAACGGCCTTCATATTTCCCTGGATGAACTCGAACGCGATAAGCAGCAGCGTCATAATTATGACTGATCTCGGCGACGACCCCGCCGTGCCTTTCTGAATTCGTTGCCTGTAGACTGAGACGGCTTTGATGTGGTGCTGCAATGCCGCTCGATGGTGATGACTGAGGTAGCCGCCACTGGGTGATCCCCCGTCCCACGGTTTGAGGGTCGGCGGTCTGCTACCGAGCGTGTTGCCATGGGAATTCTGGAAGAAGAGCGTCTGAGATATCGCTCCGATGGCCAGGATGGATTCCTTCACACACGGGTCCCTCGAGCTCTCATTGAGCACTATTCGAGACCAGAAGTCGGAGTGAGTTGTGCCGGAGAGATCCCGGATCAACTGGTTGCGGAAGAGATCGTAGTAGGAAACGTCGGCGCTGTCGATCTGGATGAGAGTCGGATTGGCCCGCATGAGAGCCTGGGTGGTTGTCTGCGAGCTGGCCGGGTCGGGTCGTGGTAGAATCTGTCTCTTCGCCGCCTGTGCTGCCTTCATCATCTCCCTCTTTTCGGCTGCCCTCTTGACCTCGGCAGCATCCTTGACGTAGCCGTCGCACTTGATGTCGGCCTTTCCACATCGCTTACACGTAGGTTTGGCCTCGTCGCACTTGACCCTCCGGATCTTACAAGTAATACAGCCCGACCGGACCTTCGGCTTGCTGGCCCGTTTCCTCTTGTTAATCGGTCCTCCGTCCGGAGCCTTGAGTTCGAGGGGGACGCGGTGGCTGATGGTCGGCGTTCTTGGAGGAGTATGGGGAAGTACGGGAACGATGAGGCTCTGGCTCGCTCCCCATGTGCCATTTGATGGAGGAGGAGTGATGGATGTGATCTGATGACCTCGTCGTTCATTCACGGGTGGCGAGGCTGGGGAGTAGACTGGTTGACCGCCCAGGCCGGTCGTGACGACGTCTGCTGACGTGAGGGCGGCTCCAGCTCCATGGGCTCGGCTTTTGTCGAGGGGGTTGGCGAAATGGAAGCTCGCGGAGTCGAACATGATTGTATGTGACCGCGAACTGCAGCTTCCAGATTCTCGGATCTCAAGTCAGATGTCGGGCCGGGACTTTGCTGCCGGAAAAGAAACGGCGATTTGTGAGCAAACGACTGTCGGAATTTGGTTGGTGTTTAAGCATGTCCATCCGCGGGAATCGGCTGGTGAGATTCAGCCTGCAGGCTGAGAGAAGGGAGAGGAGACAGTGAGACACCAGGCAGCCACGAGGGCGGAAGACCCCGGCACCAGGTCTCCAAGGTTTGGCCGTTTCTTAGCCCTGCAGTTCGCTTCCGGGGAGGATCGTTCGAGAAGGTGAGATTCGATTGGCGCCGGAACGCATCATCCAATCATGTCCATGTCTCTGTGTGACGTGAACCGCATGCGTGATTGGGTCTCACCCGCGTTCCCTTGGGTTGCTCCTTGGCTGTTGAGTCAGCACTTGACAATCTTGGGGAGGGCGGGAATGATAAGAGCACGTATTTGGACCCGATGGCCGCTCCCCCGGTTTTTTGATCTCGCTTGATCAGCCTGGAAATTGGATCTCGACAGATTTGGAGATGCGGCTGTGGGATCGGAACTGGTACGGCGTGGCGGTGCGGCGCCGCCGATCGGATCTCCGGCCTTACCGGGTGATTCGGAGACGCTTGCGGATAGTGTGTGTTGGTCTCATTTGGGCTCATATTTGCCTTTCCCTTGTGTCATCAATGTGGCCAAACGTCCAGAAGCTGGCTTCTGTCAGCCTAGCCGAGGAATGCAAATTGACATGCGCACCTGCTCAAGGGCAGTTGACGCTGTTGGCCCCACGTACCAATTGCTGGGTATGTCGAGTTTCTAAGTGTCCAAAAAAACAGATTTGTTTATGGCGCAGCAGATACTGAACATGAGCATGTTGTTGACTGTTTTGGACAATCATCTGGGTAAGATCCCGAAATGGACTTATTCATTTCGCTTCCCCTTTTCTTCATGCAATGCCATCGAAACCGCATACCTGTTCGGGAACAAACAATGGAGTCTGTTGTCGTCGGGCGAGGGCTTACGAATCTGTGCCGCAATCCATCAGGATCTCGGTCGGATCGGATTCTGCGCGGAGACCGCAGATATCACTGCTTTAGATTTACGGATGCCGATATCCTCAACACATTCTGCGTTGCCACTTCGAAAGGACACTGTACACGCCGGGAACCCTTACGTGGCCTGCAAAACCCATGAATGGATTCGTGGAATGGTCTGAGGAATTTATCGGCACAGCAAGGCGTCAATGGCCGACAAGAGGCTAGAATGAAGGCTCTCTTTGATCTCTTGTATTATGATTGAATTTTAGGGTCTAGACGGATTGACTATGCTGCTCTATGCGTCTCAAATGTCGTGACCGCAGCCGAGGTGACGCTCGCCGAGCGCCTCCAACTCCTCGATCCGGAGCATATCAGGCTCCAAGCTGCGGTTTTGCAAGTGGTTGAGCATAGTCGCGTTGACCGAAGTCTTCGGAATTAGAGAGGTTCCGTTCGAGGACAGCACAGTTACCATGTGGGCAGCAGCCTAAACGCACGTCAGTATCACGATCCCGTGCGCCTTCAGCTTCAAACAGAACTTACTCTGGCATTAGCAGTGATCGTCTCAGGGTCGGGGTTCTCGATGGTATCGCACGCCTGGTGGTAGCACGGGTCTTGGGCAACCGCGGTACCGGTGTGCAGGAAGCCAAAAGGCTTGTTCAAAATCTGCCAGAAAGAGGCGTAATCGCTGCCGTTGGTGAGGACGGCAGGCGTGACCTCAAGACCCTTGCTCGCAAAGTACTCTTCGTAGATGTGCTCGACAACATCAGATCCGGGGGGTGCAACGCTGCCGTGGGTGCTTCCATCGGTGTCGGCAACTCCAAAGAAGCCCTTTGAGACCATGTCGAAGTTGAGGTAGACCAGAAGATCGTCGACATCGGAGGCTGGTAGGTTCGCGCAGTAGAACTTGGATCCGAGGAGACCATTCTCTTCGGCTCCCCACCAAGCGAAACGGACCTTGTTCTTGGTTCGGTATTTCGTCAGAGCAAGGAAAAGCTCGAGTAGAAGACTGGTACCAGAGCCTAGATTTAAGGTCAATCAGTGCCTGGCTTCATGCTAGGGTAGTCGCGGCGAATGCTTACCGTCGTCGTTGATGCCGGGGCCGGCCTGCACACTGTCCAGATGAGCTCCAAGCTACTTTTGTTAGTCATACCGTCTCGATTACATCACGATAGGTGTTCCGCGACTCCATGACTTACCATTACGACGTTGTGAGGATCACCCTCCTCAGTCTCAACGAAGACATTCTGCGTAATGCGCTCCTCGACGATCTGAGTCTGCTGGAAGTGCGCCTCGATAACCTCGCCAGCATCAAGCCTCTCCTTGATCCTCAGACCATCAACGCGGTTGATGAATCCAGCAGGGACGAAGCCTTCCGGGTCGGGTGCGCTCAGCGAACCAGCAGTCGCGTTGGTCTCGATGTCATGGTAGACCAGAACAGCAGCCGCGCCGGCCGCCGCAGCAGGCCTCACTCGACCAGCCAGCGTTCCACCAGTCGGACATCGGAAGCGCTCGACGAGCACAATCTTGTCCTGCACGTCCAGCCCCTCGTAGTTCGCCGCGTCGCACGCGGCCGCGCCGGCAGGTCCGAGGACGATCTGGGCCGTGATTCCCTCCTCGCTTGTGGAGGGGGAGTACGTCAAGCCGAAGACGTAGATGGACTCGTCGTCGATGCTGAAGTCGATCGAGACGACTTGTCCGAAGGTCGCGGGGAAGTCTTGCTTCCAGGCCTTCGTTGCCGGGATCGAGGAGATGCGGTCCCAGACGTAGTCGACCGAGGCGGCGTATCCGGGAAGACCGAAGGCGCGGTTGCCGCCGTTTGCGAAGGCGATGGTGTTCAGAGCCTCCAGGTTGGCCATCAAGCTGTTTCGGAGTTCCAGGTCAGTCAATTGATTCCATGCTGCGGCGGATATGGTAAGTTTTACTTCTCGGTGGTCAAGTCTGCCTGGAGCAGCTCAGAGTCGACCTTGGGCCTGCATGTCGTGTTCGTCTGCGCCGTCGAGCCGGTAGCCAGCGACAAGAGAGCCGCGGCCGTCGCTTTGGAGAACTTCATGGCTGCTGAGCAGAAGATGTTGCAGCAGAAGACTGTCGGACAACAGGGTGAGCGGAATCATCAACACGGTGGCGGGCGGGACGCCGCATTTTATTCCAAAGTTTGCCCAGCCGGCCCCTCGCCCAAGGAAATTTAGCATTGCGGTCACGAATCTGCGGGTGAACCGTAAGTCAGTGCCACCGCAGATGCGAAAAAAAAAACACGATATGTTGCATGCTCATCCCAGGCCGCCGAGAAGTCATTGACCCAATCGGCCTCAATCAGTTGGGGTAGCCGCACGAACCGATGGTCGGATCGGGAAGGTCGTCGGGGGAGATGAGGGGAAAGTCGGGACCGCCAAGAGCCAAGCAATATAAAAGTCGAAGGTGCCAGCGGTCTTGGCCCGAGATGTCGTCAACGCTGACCGTTGTTTTGGTTTCTCTGCTTTCTCATCGCCTTTAGTCATTGGTGGTGCTCTCGGTATCGATGGGATGACCGGAAGAGAGGTCCCCATAGATAATGAGATGCCAAGAGTGAGGCAAAGTCTTGTGAACCGCCCGGTTGGTTACTGGACTCAAGACTCTTATCAGTCTTATGACCAAAGCTCTTGAAGTGCTTTCGTTACACAAAATCAAGTGCTCATCTCAGTTCTACGATTCAATTGATATGGAGCATGGCTATGCCAAGTCGGTGCTTCATGCTGTGACCCGTGTCCAACTTCGCAATTGAAAACCTTTCGGTTGTTAAGCTACCTGCTGTGCAGCATATCTATGCGCATCTACTTCTCCAGCAAGTTGCCAAACTATTCAAACAGTCGACCACAAATGAGTTCCACCGAAAGTTCAGACTTGGAGATTTTATCCAACAAGTAATGGAGCTTGATTCAGTGTCGATTCAGCACTATATGCATATCATACGACTTGCATCACCAATAAAGCAATTGCGATGTCATATGGCACTGGGTTGCTTTTATGAACTAAGATGCCCTAACACATGAGCAGGTTCGACGGTTGACTGGGATCAATCTTCAACGTTTCAGCTCGAGGATTGACTCTGTTAATCGAAAGTGACCAGGGGCTTTCTCAACTAAATGGGGCTCAAAACTGTTAGCATTCTGAAAAATCCAGTATATGCTGAGTTTTGTCAGACAAACCGTGATTGAGACGGGTTCCAAAGATCCATGTGCTCACGCGAAAGTTTAGCGTGGCTATGATGTCCATGTCAATCGATGCTGACGGCGACTCATTCGGCCAATGTGCTCTCGCCAAGTTCACCGCTAGGGCTGACTGGTGCCTAAATGGCACTCTGACTACAAAATGAAAACCTCCCAGTACTCATCTAAGCATACCATCTCGTTATGGCATCATCCAAAGACAAAAACACTTCCCAACAGCAATCTGAAAAATTCCACGATGGCTGAGCCTCAGCCCCCAGCTGAACGACCAGATAGCGCATCCGACGTGGACTCTGACGGGTACGAACTCCAGATTGCCCTTGACCAACTTGCAGCTGGCTCGACGGATGCGCTTCGAATTTACTTGGCCCGTAAAGAGGGTCTGGATCCCAATACAGTGTCAATCCGATCACGGCCATGGGAGTACCAAGAGAACTCTGGCTCTAAGCTTTCATACATTGGGGCGATGGACGACATTGAAGCTCCAGGTGAAAAGGATGGGCTTCCAAACGACAAGACCAAAACACCGCCGAGAGTCATTCTCGAAGACACGAAGACGCTTTATAAGTACGTGCCGCTCGATCCAGAACGACGACAATTCCGCCTGCTCAGACTCGCACCACCGGGAGAGAGCGGTATCATCAGTCAATTTCGGCTCGAAACATTCTGTCTCGATGATGCACCGCCTTACCTATGTCTCTCATATGTCTGGGGAGATCCAGACCGGTTTCTCGGCATCAACTGTGACGGCGAGATGATTCCTGTCACGCAGAATTTGTTCCACGCCCTCAAAGCTTGTTTCAACAGACACCCGAACTTTTGGCTGTGGGCAGATGGTATCTGCATCAACCAGGAAGACCTGGCCGAGAGAGGTTCACAGGTCCTCTTCATGGGAATGATCTATCAGAATGCGGCCATGGTACTGGCTCATCCGGGTCATTATTGCTATGGGCCAGTCGAAAAGAAGCTGGAGAACGAGGAAGATGCATCACTGGAAGATCGAATGGACGGGCTTGGTGTCCAAGATATGCTGACCTTCGGTGTGGAACCCGCTCAGAAAGCCGACTCCCGTGACTTTGAACAGTCGATTGGCGTGGCTGGCTTCGAGTTACATTCATTTGACGACGCTTACAGCTCCCAAAACGCCCAAAGCGCGATCAGCATCATGACGTTTTTGACCCGGATTTGGTCCGATAGCAGACGCCGAAAGATCTTGTCCGACAAAGAGTGGGAAAACATCGGTTTACCTGACCCAGATGATGATGATGAGGGTCAGGCGATCTGGGGCAATCTCATGAGTTTCTGGGGCCAGGACTGGTACTTCCGAACCTGGGTTCTGCAAGAGGTCGTTCTCGCCAAGAAGGTTGTCGTCCTCTATGGGGAGGCAGCTATCAGTCTCCAGGCCATCATGGACTTCTGGTCGTTGGCCAGCCAGCATGGTCTCCCTCGTGTTCTCAGAATTGGTCCTTACGCGGACATATTCAATATGGTCAGGCACCTGAGCCCAGTCAGTTCCTTCAAAGAGCTACGGGGACAGAGAGGAGATGAAGATGACAAGAGCGACTCCGAGAAGAAAATAAAGGAAACGACACCCGAAACACATAGCCTTTTGGACCTTCTCTGTTTGTCGAGAAACAATCTCGCCACCGACCCGAGAGATAAGGTGTACGGCCTGCTCGGTCTTACAGATGACGTCGTCTCCCAATCGATCATCCCAGACTACTCCGATGAGAACACCGCAGCAAACTTATTTACCAAAGTTGCGACGAAGATAGTGTTTGCGAGCCAAGTTTCTGGCTTACTGCAGCATGCTGGCATCGACCAAGAGGTTCCGGATTTGCCATCCTGGGTACCGGACTGGACGAGGCAATCTCGCTCGGTACTGCCGAGCCATCTGTACAGGTGTATGGGCGCAACATCTGCCAAGGCTACGATAACCGAGGCTTATAAGAAGGCTAAACTGATGCTTCGTGGCGCGGTCATCTCTCGCGTCAATCAAGTTGGAGCTGCATGGAAGTATTATTCCCATGATCGCTCCGCATCGCCTTTTGGTGGTTTTGCAACGGCTCCCGAGGTCGAAATTCCTCCGTTCAATGATGAAGACGCCAGGAACTTCATTCTAACATTCGCTTCTAATACGGAAGAAGATCTCGTCGGGCGATATGATGAGGAGGGCTTCGGGGATGCTCTAGTTCGTACCCTGGCGGTGGACTGCTCATGGCAGGGCGAGAGAATTGGACCAAGGACGAAGTGTTCAGCAACAAAAGCCCTGCTACCAACATCGGAAGAACTCAAGGATGAAGAACAGCCTGACTCTTCAGCTGCCGACGAGTTCTTTGATGGAGTCGTGGCCTTCAAGCGCTTCTACGCCAGGGGCCCGGACTCTGAAGCCGACCTGACTGCGCCCGGGATTCGAGTTCATCAGACCAAGATTTTCATGTGGCTTCTTGACTTTGACGAGGACGTCGAAGCCGAGCTACAAGGACGTATGGTTCCTTTTACGGTTTCATTCCAAGAAGCGCAGCGAGGTCGGCGTTTTGCGACTTTGGGAACAAGAGAACCTGCCAAGCCCGACGACAAGACGGACCAAGCTGCGAAGGACATGGAGAAAGAGCATAAGAAGAAACGGTACGCGACGCAAGCATTGGAGACCCATTTCATGGGATCCTTGCCATGGAATGCGGAGGTTGAAGACTACATCGTCATGCTGGAGGGCTTCCGGACGCCGTTCGTGCTGAGAAGCGTGGACGGTGCCGACAATACAAGCGGGGAGTTCACGGTTGTTGGGGACTGCTACATTCACGGCGTCATGAATGGGGAGCTTCTACGTTTTGCCGATGAGGTTGACGAGGATCTTGAACGCAAGTACCTGAGCTTGGACGATGAGGGACGGCACTATGCAGTACGGGCACCGCAAGGGTTTGTCCCTTTTACCGAGTTCACTTTGGTTTGAACTGGGGTATTAAGATGAGAGGAGATTCAAAGTTGACGTGTCATTTTATGATCAAAGGCATCAGGGAATGTCTTCGCCGCTGAGTACAGCTTTATTCTCAAGGGGTGTATGGGAGGATCGAAATCTCAGGCGTTTGCCAGATATCCCAGTCCTCGGAACGCGAAACATTACCGAACGGATTGAGGGCAGCGAAACGCATCCTGTCAATTTATCAGATTTAGTAATCGAAACGCAACAAAGGGGATTTGGGACTCACGTATAGTTTCCGGGAGCAATGTAGCTTCCGTTCGCCAGTTTTCCCATCCACCAGAAGCGATCGGTCAACTCACTCCAAGAGGTGGTACGCTCAATAAGTCTTATCGGGAATGGTAGAACCTTCTCCTTGTCCATAGTAGCAGGATCAAAGGTGCTTGAGCTGACAGAATACGTCGAGTAAGTAGCTGCGCCGACGTAGCCGTCTTGTCCCACCACAGGAGGATACTTCCAACCGGCCTCTGTGTAGCCAGCATCGAAGATCTGAAATCTCGTCAGTATGGTCTGCAGCATTCTGTGTGCCAAGTCATTCTTACATCCCAGCGCAACTCTTTGGTTCCCCATTTGAACTGGACTTGAACTTTGGGAAAGTCTTGAGCAGCTCGAGTGGTGTTGAACCCGTATCTGTGAGCGGGTCAGCAATGATGACCCAATTCCATTGGAACGGGTCTGGAAGTACGTGTGGTAAGTGTTAATGTTCTGTCCATTTGGCCCTGACCGCTGAATTGGGAAGCCCTCGGGGAACATCTTGTCCTGCATTTGGTCTTTCAAGTCGAAAGCCGCGCCTAAGAATGATGTCAGCGTATGTTCACAGTCACGGCTGATCAAGTGATGAGTAACCCAAGTATGGAACCGACAGCGTTTCTCCGTTGCTGCCTTTGACGACAACCCTGCCACTGTATATAGGCAACTTCGATTCATCATCGACCTTGGGGTACGAAAAGATGAGTCTAGCGAACATTAGTCGAGGCAAATCATGGAAAGCTTCGCCAGCGTACTCAGCTGTCTTGGTCTCGCCAGGGCTTATCGTCAAAGCCCCAGAAGGGAAGCTGATACCAGGTACAAGGCTAATTGGCTTCACGTCCAGCACGTCGGCCAAAAGCTCGGGTGTACGTCCCTGGGCGTTAAAGCCTCCCGAAGGCTCCAAGGTGAAGTTGTAAGTAACGGGCTCGGCGCCAGTGTTGGTAATGTCAACTGCATGGTAGCCATTGAAGGAGGCGGTGTCGTTGAGCGCAATCTTCTCAAACGATAACCATGTTTTGGACTCCAACAACTTCGTGGCATTGATGAGACCGTTTCCCACTTGCGTCACTGGGGCCGAGAAACCGAAATCGGTTGGGAGTGCTTGGGGCTCAGCAACCTGCCATGGAAGCGACTCGCCGCTGGAGATAATGCGTCTCGAGAGTTCCTTGGCAAAACCTTTGCCGTGAGTTGAGCGACCACCATGCTTACCTATATACAGAGCGGCTACACCGGCAACGTAAGGAGTAGCCATGGATGTCCCGCTGAGGACCTTCCAAGTCTTGTCAAGATAGGTGCTGTAGATACTGGCACCCGGCGCGGCGATGTCTGGCTTGATCTCAAGCTCATAAGTTCCGCCCCAACTAGAATACTGCGAAGGAATTCCGCCGGCAGCGTCGAAGAATCCGACAGCCCAATCGGGATCAGAAGGGTTGGTGAAGTCCGCAGTGACATTGCCTCCAGCCTTGACGGTTTCGATGATTGCAACACCCGCCTTCGCGTCGATCAGAGCCATCTGAGAGGCATACGCAGAATTACCCACAAGCTCGAAGGGTCTGTAGTCGTCGTTGTAGAACAGCACATATCTAGCCCCGAACTTTTCCACGTTGGCCTGCTTGACGTAAGGCGTGCAGGTACCACGTCGAATTAACACGATGACATTCGAAAGATCTGGTGTTGTGTCTGGCAAGGGGCTGCATGCCTCAGCTCTGATGCTGGTGTCGAAGGATAGCGGAAGGATGGGAAGGCCCGTGATGTTCCAAAGCGGTCTGTTGACAGGCGGGATGTATGCGAGCTGTGTCGTGTTGGATACGCCGTCGAGAGTGAAGGTTGCGTGCCATGGTTTTGCGGGAACTCGACTCGTGTCAACGGATGCTACGGCCAGCACCTCCTTCCCAGAGGAACCACTGCTTGCGTAGAAGGGTCCTTCATCGCCGTCGTTGCCGGCCGCGATGGTGACTACGACACCTTGTTCGACGATTCTCGAGGCCACAGTTGCCCAAGGACCGTCCGAGAATCCAGATGCACGGCCGATACTTGCGGTGATGATGTCTGCCTGCAAGAAAGTGAGTGTCAAATACTATCGGTATCGATCGAGACATGAACCTACACCAGACTCGTATGCCATGATTGTTGCGTCAACAAGGGTGTCTTCGTCCGTGCCTTCGAACTGGTTAAATAGACTTGTAAGCCACAATATCTTAGGTCACAAACATCTCGTGGTGCTTACAGCGCCAAAGACTTTGAATGCAAGAATCTCAGCTTCTGGTGCAACGCCAGCATAGCTATTAGCAGCCTTTGTCAGTCAAAGTAGATGAGAGAAGTGAGGCCATTCGTGTCATCTTACAATTCACTTTTGCCAGCAACGATTCCTGCTACATGGGTTCCGTGACCAAGAGCGTCGAGAGGATCTTCGTCAGGGACTTTCTCGTTGGACTCGTCGTATTCTGTGCAACATGTTCAAGTCGCGGCATGCATAGTTGATACTCGGGACCTACTTACCCTCACCGACGAGGTCATAACCCCCAGAGACTTTGAACCCCGGACCGAACCCGCCACCAAGCTGGTGATGTTAGTCCAGGAACCAAGGTCTATGATCTAGACCGCCAGGGAATATTTACCGCTGGATGACGATAGTCCACTCCGGAGTCAATCACAGCGACTTTGGCTCCCTTGCCCATAATCCCGGCCTCGTGAAGTTTATCGACCCCGGTCGAGAAGTGTACAGACCAATTCTGCGCCGTCGCGTCATCGCTGAACGAAGCTTGGGGTATGAGAGGCGCAAGCTTGTAGGTTTTCACCGGCCAGGCTTGAGCCACTTCACTGACGCTCTGCAGGGAGTCCAGGTTATCACTCCCTGTCTCGACGCTGAATCCGGAGAAGATCTCGCTGTTGAAAGACTTGAGAACCTTCGCACCGGTTGCCTCAACTTTCTGATGCAACTCCGCAAGGTCGACACCCTGTGAAAAGGTCAGTTTGAAGGTATATTGAACCATAGAGGGACCAGTCGTCTTACTGCCTCAGCTTCGACGATGAACTTCTTTGTCTCTGAGAGAGTCTCAGTCTGATTGCCATCTCTTCGGTATCGACGCTGAGAAGACGAATTGGCGTCAACGGCGCCCAGAACCGTCGCCCACAGGAAAAGATTCAGACGCATCTTGTCAAATTGGCGACGACCTCCAATTACCAATTCAAGAAACCAAGCGCGCTGCCTTTCTTGTATAGCAGGACTCTATGAGAACCCGGATAGCTTATTGGTAATTCACTACAATCTCCTTACTCCGGGCTCTGCCAATGCGACTTTCTCTCATCCTCAGAAGAGAGCTCCTTCCAAATGTGGACGTTTACTTTGCCCAACTTTCGTGTTGTAGGGCATGTAGCGTTGCAACGCCCTCTGGAATAGGATCGCTCGGCCGCCTGCAGTGCATGTAATTAATCTGTATCCCTGTAAAAGAGAGGTGCCAAGCGCTGAATGGGTCCAAACAGCGCAAATTGGCTCACTGGCATAGGCAGGTCCCTGACGATCCGGCATGAGGCGATCTGGCTGATTATGATTGAGAATTCAGGTGATGTCGTCTTTAAAAATGACGTCGTTTTTGATCTGGATGCAAAAACGTGTGTGTTTTACTTGACGACGTTGTGGAAGATGACAGTCTTTACAATAAGCTGAGTCTCAGCCAACTCAAAAACCAACCAAGCTCGACTTCGAGAGTACTCATATTCTCTCGCTCTATTGAAACCATCAAGGTTCTCAGCAGCCCATACGTGAATGTTACTACTCCTAACTACTTCAAGGCTCCCCATCATCATTCAAGATGTAACGCATGCAAATACGGATGCAAATGCTCGTGAAAATGAAGCCCTGGGAAATTTCAGAGACTAAAGGGTGTTTTTTCTTAGCTAGAGTAAAACAAAAGCTACGATAGTAGTAATTCCCTCTTGTTCAGCATTCATCTGAGACTCCGGTCATAATAATCCGGATTGTAGAACATACCAAAAAGGTCAGATCTCCCCGAGGTGGGCTCGAACCACCAACCTCCAGATTAACAGTCTGACGCGCTAGCCAATTGTGCCATCGGGGAAAGGAAACGGATTGTTGAGGGCATCGTGATGCCAAGTGGATTATTGCCCCGGCTGGGCTGGAGAGAGAATGGTTGTGGGACAATGGAAGCCCTAGAAGCGAGAGCTGTTTCAAAGTGGAACCGTTGGAAACCTGAATCTCTCAGAACATGAGGACAGAAGGTTGTTTTTTTAGACAAGGCCATAAGTCAAGAAAGCTGTTTTTTTCCCTTAATGAAGTCTGATAAGTCCGCGATTTGAGTCTGGGAAACGGACTTCGAGACGTTACCGACGTGTAAAGGTGTATCAGCGGGATTCCGATCCTTGGTTCTACGGTGAAGGTACTGGCGAAAGTTATACCGTGTCTTATTTTCCTACTTCATTATACATAAGATAAATACTAGAATCGATTTTGTGTCGAGCTTGCCGGTGAAGACAAATGTGTTTTGAATTCAATAAATGATCCCAAGAGAAAATGACTGTGGTCCATACGAAGCACATTGTATTCACGATTTGCTTCGTTAGCGTCAAAGTTATGTAACAGAACTGCGATGACATCATGTGATGGCGCCTGCTCACTTTGTGCAGATGCTTACAAATTGGCCGTCCATAGTACTGTTGATCTCAAGATGTCTGTTATTCCCGGACACGGTCGGATAATCCGTGGACTTGAGGGACGATATTCATGTGACAAAGCGCGTACGTTAGTCTTCCGTTGACAAATCACATTCCAGTTTTCGAGACAGTACTTATTGGCATCATACCCTTGGTTTTGTCGTGATATCAACAGTCAACTGCGCAGTCTGTGCCGAAGAATACCTATCATCAGATCACAACGAAAACTTATCAAAATGTCTCACAACATACTCATCACCGGAGCTTCTGGCTATCTCGGCGGTACACTCCTTGCCCGCTGGGCTGAGGCTGACCTTAAGGGCTACGACAAACTGTATGCTCTCGTTCGAACCGATGAACAGGCTGCGGCGGTGAAGAAGTACGGCGCCGAGCCTTTGACGTTCTCGCTCAAAGATGAGACGGCTGTGTCAGACGCAGTTCTGAAGCATCAGATCACGATTGTGTATTATTTGATTGATGCTGTCGCGTCCGTCAGTCAACAGTACTTCATCAAAGCTCTTGGAGATCTGAAGCGCCAAACCGGACTGGACGTTCATTTTCTTCATGTAAGATTTCCTGCATTTCCGACATAGCTGCCTGCAAATCAATTATCTCACATAACGATATTTAGACATCCGGTGCAAAGATGTTCTCAAGTCATGCTGGTGCCCCTACGGATCGACCCTTGCTCGACACCCATCCAGAACTCTATGACATTCAGAAAGCTCAGAAGGCAGCTATTTCTGTCATTCAGCCAGTAAGCCTGTTCTAATCCACGCTACTGAAGACCTGTTTAACTTGTCATAGGGCATTGAAACAAACAAAACTATAACAGATGAGGCTGAAGCCAACGGCGTGAAGTCATACATCTTTGCTCCTTGCATCGTTTGTTAGTCCCCCTAGCTTGTGTCCTATTCCTGATAAATCATCTAATTACCACCGCAGATGGTAAGAATGAGGGTTTTGGAAACCCAATCTCAATCCAAACCAGGGAAATCGTGAAGGCCGCAAAAGCAGCAGGTCGAGTCTACTCGGTTACTCGTGGACGACCGGTAGGACCTCAACAGCACGCCTCTTCTGGCGTACACAACTAGTGCAGCTGTCAAGACTAACAACCATTCTAGACCTGGCCTGTGTGCCATGTTGTTGACAACGCGACACTTTATCTACAAATTCTCCGCTCGATTCTGAACAATGAAAACCCCGGCAGCGGCCGCAAAGGGTACTACCTGGCCTCTCCCGGAAGCGTGGTCTGGGATGACATCTACGCTTCCATGGCTAAAGCGCTCTACAAAAGAGGAGTCATTGAGACCGATGAGGTCGTTCAAGCTGATGAAAACGCACTCGGCGCTATGGCTCAAGGCATGGGTGTTGATTTGCCCCTAGTTGAACTGGGGTTGGCTGGAAAGTAAGACTCAAATGTCCTTCCATCTTGAGTAAGACTTCCTTAATGGCTGCTGACATTGCTGTTCTCAAATCAGGTGTACCTTCACAGCCAAGCACGGCAGCGCGATCGGGTGGAAACCTCAGTACACACCAGAGCACATTATCGAGTCTGCAGACGCCGAGGTGGAGCTCATCCTCCAGAACTTGAGTTAAATATTGAGAAATCATGCTCTTGAAGATAAATTAGACACTGGGATCCGTGTCGCCAAGTATCTATTCAAGCAGTGAAGAGCAGAGTGCCCACGTGGCAGTCGGAAATAACAACGGCGTTTCTATGCACGGAAACGATCATCATTGCATCAATAATCATTCATCATGAAATCTGATTGGTAGGCTTGGTGTTTCAACTCCAAAGTACCTGCAATGTGTAAGCAGTGGATATGAAGGGGAATGATCAAGTGCCCGTGGCGTGGATGAAGCCGTGGGCCGTCTCCGCCCGGGATTTGTCACTGCTGCCTACCACAGGATGCACTTGTGTATCTCGAATGTCATCCTGTCTCCCCACCTCAACCTCCCCGCACTTAAAAGCCAGTTGTCATCAAACATCTAGCTTCTGACTAGCTTCTGACTCTCTACTTCAATTTCTCAGTACATCATAAGCATTGGCAATAACAAAGCAACATGCCGGAACAACTCATTCTCTTCGACATCCCTGACAAGAATGGCGTTACTTGGTCACTAAACCCATGGAAAGGTGAGTCGCGCATTTGACGTAGATAAGGGCAACATTGACATTCTGGCTCAGCCCGTTTGGCTCTGAACTACAAGGGCATTGACTACAAGACGGAATGGCTCGAGTATCCCGACATCGAGCCCAGACTGAAGCCGACCGGCCTCGAAGGCGACCCTGAGCAGATCAAGCCGTACACCTGCCCTGCGGTGCAGTTCCCCGACGGGACGTATGTCATGAACAGCAAGAAAATCATCAAGCGTCTCGAAGAAGAATACCCCGAGAAGCCTTTGAACGCTGATTCGGAGCTGACCCAGGCGGTGCTGGACGTCGCGTCGCCGCTCTTTGATGCTTTGGCCCCAATGCTTCTGCATGCCGTCCAGAGCAAGCTTCTCAGTGAGCGCAGTGCGAAGTACTTCTGGGACACACGCAAGGAATTCCTCAACATGACGCTTCCCGAGTTCGAAGAGAAGTACGGTGGCGAGAAGGCCTGGGAAAGGGCCAAGAAGCCGCTGGATGAATCTGCTGCGCTGTTGAACAAGACTGAGGGACCTTTTTTCCACGGCCAAGACGGTTAGTTTAATGAACACCTTGCCAAATGTCCAATCTAACAGCAATTAGTATCTTATGCCGACTTTATCTTTGTTGGTTTCTTAGACTTCGCCAAGAAGTGTGACGAGGACATCTACGCACGCATCATCCAGGCCTCAAACTCTTTCGACGTGCTTTACAAGGCCTGCGGTCCGTGGTTGAAGCGACGGGATTCTTGAGATAACAACTGCTTTGTTTGAATCTCGAGGTTGAACAAAAATTATGGTCCTTTTTTCATAGTCTAGTCTATCACAGGCAGAAACAAAAGAAAGGTTTATAAGTACAGAGCAGCAAATGAAGAACCAACCCACGATCGCTTCTATTACCCATGAATTCCCTTCAGCGCCTTTCCAGCATGATGTTTCGCTCGTCCCCGAAGCCATCGTTCTTAAAACGAGCAATGTCTCGTACCAATCGGCCCGGGTGAATCCAGAGATACAGACCCATGATAGCCACCATCAGAGTCGCATCGAAAAGATACACAAAGACTTCGTGTGCGATGATGTATCCTCCTCCTCCCTCAAGATACTCAATACCCCTGACCAAACTCCTCACGAACATGATGAATGCCACAAGGTAGGTCATGAGGTAATACTTGTTCCAATGGATCCCGGCGTGGGTCGCGTTGAGATTTGGTGCTTCGCGCTTGGCCCATCGATGAGAATGCCAGCAGGACAGGGCAAAAAGACAGATGACCCCCAGCTGGGCAAGAAGGCCACCCATGATGATCTTCTTACTCAAGTCTATGGCGCTGGGGTCTCCTGATGCTGGCATCACTGCTCCGAAGACCTGGCTCACAAAACAGCCAATGTCGACCATGACGTAGAAAAACGCCGTCAGTCTCGGACTGACCACCGCGTGTCTCCGGAGATCGAGTGCAATGATGATTCGGCCGAGACTCATGTAGATCGAAGCGGCGAAAAGGGGTGGTGATCCGAGAATGAGTAGGTTTTGCATGATAAAGGGGCCTACGGCAGTAGGATCTTGCGAGGCCTTCGCGCGGCCATAGTAACCGAAAGCTTCTCCTGTGTTTGGTTAGCTCGTTGATCTTTCGCAAAACGTCGAAACTGAGGTTCAAATTCTTACCGACGCCTCCAAGAATAAATGGAATGAAATGCCACGCTCGAAGCCAGAACAAGTAACCAATATGAGCGAGTACCCCAGCGGCGAAGAGAACTAGGAACGCCCATCCTGCGGGCCCGTTTGGTCGGTACTCGTAGAAAACGATTTGTGTTCCGTTAACAACTGGTCCAAAAGGGCCGTCGCCATCGTTGACCATGATGTGCGTCGTCTTGCCTTCCTGACAGGCAGTCGGGTAGTAAGTCGGTTCTCAGAGCGAAGTTGGTTGAATAAAAACGAGCGACTGTTAACAGACTGGAGGAACTGTCTCGTCGAAGAAATACACCTGTAAAATCAAAGAGAAAAAGATCTATGGGAATTCGATTGAATACAAAAAGCTTGAGAAGCTTGTTTACAATCTAAGTCTTATAAGTGAGGTTCCTCGACTCAGGGGTGCTCCACTAGATCGTGGCGGTGGTACGGCTTTTTCGTATCTAATACGAATATTCGCATTGGAAGACCGAGACAAGGCGGTCCCTCGTTTGATGCTCATTGATACTAAATTTGTTAACGGAAATCCCGTTGAACTTGGCCAATTTCCATTGAATTCCAATCCTCGAGAACAAATGTTATTGTTGAGATACCAGGCCACGAAAAGTAGATGGACAGCCACTGACTCCTGAGTCCTAAGTTTGACAGCTGTGCCTCGCTAGAGCCGTGGACGTTAAAGGCGCTACATATTCTGACTGAATCCAACAGACTGGGATGGGGCAATCGATCAGCTCTTTTTACCTCGGAACTCTAGTGTTCTTGGCTAGTGTGAATTGAAAGCTGGGCCGAGTAAGAGTTGAACAAGTTCCCTACGATCCAGAGTGTGGTTTGTGCTGATGATGAAATCACGCTGTCAGCGAATCATGTGATTCCGACGGGATTGAACTACCTCGAAACCTTTGAATAGCCCACAAAGCTCATCAGAATGAATGGTTGATTAGCCCTGAATCAACAGAAAACGAGTCCGATATTGCTGCAGTGCGTGGAACAGCGACATGGAGACAGCGTCTCGTGTCAACGCGCTCACATTGCCCGAGTCTTGTTGATCCGGGCATGGTTTCATTGGTCGATGCAATGGCTTCTCTGGAATCAGTTAGTTTCGTTCGGTGGTTGCATCAGTATGAAGCGGGAAATGGAGACTTTCAGAGAAATCAAGGCATTTCTTTCCGAATGGCACAAGTACTTCAGTTGAGCCAGCCTGGCGGGTTCGAGGTCGCAATGCCAACGGTCAAGCTCAAGTCACAGGACGCAACATGCAATGCCGTCGTCGCTCCATTCCAGGTCTAGTAGACCGGACGCCGCGCAAATTGTCTGCGAGAAGCGTGCTTCGGGTGAACTTGAACGGGACAATCGCCCACGACTTGGGGTCAGCAGCCTGCAGGGGGAACGGTAAGCCGGTCCAATCTGAGAGGCGCCGAGCAGTCTTCCCGAGACCGAATATGCAAAGGATAAGCGCTGAAATCCTCAATCCCCGCATTGGCGACCAGCGGATATGTTGCAGGCTTGCAGGACTTTAGGCTAAATGCTATTGCCGGCGTTGATCGTGCTTAAGACATGGGGTCTCGTACGCGGGGTATCTACCCGGGGATGTTGTTTGCCCAGCCGGCCGAGTAACCTCACACACAATCGGCCCTTTGCGCAGAGAGTAGTCGATCTATTCAACAAGCAGTTTCGACTCGCAGGCGCCAAGGGTGCTGGTACCCGTCGCTGTCCGCGTTGGGCCCAATTCTACCGGTAACGTACAGAAACGTACCATTGAGGCATGAGATCTTCAGATGATTTCGCCAACCCATGCAAACTGTGCCTTAATCCTACATATCCTACATATGCGTCTCGTGCAATTAAAATGCTGCCGTCCCCGTCTAAACTTCTGCTTGGACCAGCGATCCATTTATTTTCTTCTAGACTAAGAAGCCGAATTAGACGGGCCAAGAAAAGCCTCTACCGCAGGTTCAAGCTCTGCTATTTACAGCAAAAATGGGAGGCCACTCATCCGGCAATGCTGCCTACGATGCCGCGTTACAGAGACGTCAAGCGCTCATGGGCGCTAGTGGTGCAAGGGCGCTGGTGAAGAACTGGAAGGTGGCTCGGATCGCCGCCTTCGCTTGTATTGGAGGTGTTCTCTATGGATACAACCAGGGAATGTTCTCTGGTATTTTGGCGATGCCTTCATTCGAGAAGCGTAAGTTCGTTCTTGATACAGGGTTGACTTTCGAAATCCACGGCCGTGATCTCGGGTCGGAACTGACGCTGGAATAAGATATGGACGGATACACAAAGAACCCTACGCAAAAAGGTTGGCTGACGGCCATTCTCGAACTCGGAGCTTGGGTGGGCGCAATCTTGTCTGGCTTCATCGCTGAGGTCTGCTCCCGAAAATACGGCGTACTTATCGCGACTGCCGTCTTCATTCTGGGTGTCATCGTTCAAATCACCTCTATCTCGGGAGGTCACGAGTCGATTCTAGGAGGACGATTCATCACGTACGTTAGGAGTTCTTCCTTACTTACACACTGAGATATCAATGCTGACTTTGCAAAGGGGTATGGGAGTCGGAAGCTTGTCTATGATCGTGCCCCTTTACAACTCAGAATGCGCGCCTCCGGAGGTCAGAGGTGCTCTCGTAGCTCTTCAGCAACTCGCCATTACCTTCGGCATCATGATCTCTTTCTGGATTGAGTATAGTATCCCGTCGTGCGCCGTGAGTTCTTATTCTGACTAAGAGGCAGTTACGGATGCAACTACATCGGTGGAACAACAGAAGACACGCAATCTGACGCAGCATGGTTGGTTCCCATCTGCCTACAGCTCGGACCAGCCGCCGTACTTTTAGTCGGAATGATCTGGATGCCATTTTCTCCACGTTGGCTGATCCATCACGGCCGAGAAGAGGAGGCGCGTCGAAACCTCGCCAACCTTCGTGATCTGCCCGAAACCCACGAACTTATCGAGCTCGAATTCCTGGAAATCAAAGCACAGTCTCTTTTTGAGAAGCGCAGCATCGCGGAGCATTTCCCTCATCTCCAGGAACTGACAGCCTGGAATACCTTTAAGCTCCAATTCGTAGCAATGAAGTCGTTGTTCACAACCAAGGCTATGTTTAAGCGAGTCATCGTCGCAACAGTCACGATGTTCTTCCAACAGTGGACAGGTATCAACGCTGTCAGTCAATATTTTCTCCAGAACAGAAAGTTGATTGACTTAAAGCTAATATGATAACAGGTCCTCTACTATGCGCCCCAAATCTTTAGCCAGCTTGGTCTCAGCGCGACCACAACAAGTCTTCTGGCCACTGGAGTTGTCGGTGTCGTCATGTTCATCGGTGAGACCACCCCTTGCATACTGAGCAATCAAAGATCAAATGCTAATCAATTATCCCACAATAGCTACCATTCCGGCCGTTCTGTGGATCGACAGAGTAGGCCGCAAGCCGGTTCTGAGTATCGGAGCTATTGGAATGGGAACATGCCACATCATCATCGCCGTCATTCTTGCCAAGAACATCGATCGCTTTGACCAACAGCCTGCTGCTGGTTGGGCCGCCGTTGTGATGGTTTGGCTTTTCGTTGTGCACTTTGGATGTAAGTTCTCAAGCCTTTAGTTAATGCCGGCCCGGCTGCTTCTCTTAGGGCCCGCCATGTGCAGCACAGGTCATTGGAATATGATACTAACAACTGGGTCAGATTCTTGGGGCCCTTGTGCCTGGATCATTATCGCCGAAGTCTGGCCTTTGAGTACTCGTCCATACGGAGTATCTCTGGGTGCTTCCAGCAACTGGATGTGAGTTAAATGCTATCGCACAAGCATTTGTGCATTTTTGCTAATCGCTACATGTCTTACAGGAACAACTTCATCGTCGGCCAAGTTACACCTGACATGCTCGTCGGCATTACTTACGGCACTTACATTCTATTCGGTCTACTGACCTATCTTGGGGCTGCCTTCATTTGGTTCTTCGTTCCGGAAACCAAGCGGTTGTCGCTTGAGGAGATGGTAAGTGGACTCTACGTTTCAACATGCGTTTACTCATCTTGCTCCAATTACATGCTAACACCTCCATCAGGACCTTGTCTTCGGCTCCGAGGGCACTGCCCAAGCTGACTTCGAGCGTATGGAGGAGATCAATACCGAAATTGGTCTTACTGCAGTTATAAACCGCACATCTCCCAATGCCGGATTTTCCCACTCGGCTGATTTGGAGAAGGAGAAACTGGACGCAGCTGCTGTCGAAAGTCGTTGAGTTCACAGTTCGGATTTCCAAGGATTCTGGGCAGGATAGCTTTGACGCTACAACCGCGGCGCAGAAGGCAGCCAACCTCATGAGCTCATCGCCCCTCAGCTATTACTTTGAAAAGAGCCTCAATCTGAAGTTCCTGTTGCTGTATCACGCGATGTGTATCCATGCTCACGCCTTACCCCGCTCCTTGACGTCCCTTTTGCGAACCACCTGTAAGACGCGCATGTCAGCCTCAAGTTCTGCCTACCTTAGTCCTGTGTCGTGTCATGCATGCTTTGGTTAGTACCATGGTGGCTGCATCTATGCCTGAGGTGATCGTAATCTCCAGTTGTGGTTGGATGGTCTGCTTACGACTAACGCATGGTATGTTGTTACAGTAACACAAACATTACTTGCTCACAAGAACCAAGCATGCATGAGACTGTTATCGTCTTTTCCAACAGGCAGCGCATCCCTCCTTGGCAGTGAAACGAGGCGACCAGTTCGATACGTCTTTGGTGCTTTCTTGGCCAGATAAGCATTCAAAAATTGCCGGGTCAGCCCACACAAATACCCAGTCTTGTCTCGTTCCCGAATGCCACTCTTGATTCTGTGTTGAACATACGGCCGACAAGTCTTCTGACCCTACACTAAGACTTTGGTCAAGATGTCGGCGGTCTTTGACATTAGCGACTCGACAAAGCTCGAAGACGACTTTTCGGTCATCGAGCGTTTGGCCGATGCAATTCGCATTGAGGATGACATCAAAGTCAGCCAGGAGGACCGCAACGCCATTGTCCAGGACCTTTACGAAGGCCCAAGACAGTGTCAATGCTGCATCAACTGGATGACGGAATGTCCTCACGGCGTTGATCTCACGGCTCTCGAGAAGGAGGAGGAGCCTGAGAAGGGCAACCCAATCATCGTCCGGCGTCGCGTCACACCCAGCAAAGCCGGAAGCCTGATCTCGATCCATTCGATTGAGATCTGTCACGCAGCGACTCGCAAGGCTCTCATCGACATCTTCCAATCGTACGACAGCATCGTCCACAACATCAAGTACCTCGCCTTCTTGGCCCCTTTTCACCAGTTCTTCTGGAACTGGGAGAAATTCGAGAACGGCATCACCGAAGAGAAGGACGAAGAAGTCAAGAAGATTCTCCTTACGCTCAAATGGCTGGTCAAACGTGAATTGGCCGAGGCGTTCGCTGTCAGCAAAGAGCTTACCAGCCATGGCGTCATAACGTTCAAATACCTTTGGACTATCTTCCCCCCTGGAGAACTCATCTACTCCGATGACGATGAAGATGAACGGTTCTTCGTTGTTGAACAAATCAACACAAAGCACGCGACCACCTACAGCCTCGTTCTCGGTTATGTGAACTGCGACGGCAAAAGCTTCGGCAAGTCGGCTACGTCCCAACCCCTCTGGCATTTCAGCGGTACCCGTCCCATCGATAGCTTGGTTGCCTTCCCCGCAAAGTATTTGAAGAACTTGGAGGGAATGAAGAGTAAACTCGTCGAGAGGGGCCGGAAATTCGCCAGTCTTGCCGGGCAGCATTACAAAAGCTACCGCCCACGCCACGATACCCACTCAACCGCCGAGCTCCGCGTCATGGTTGATTCGGGCCACAGTGAGGGCCGTAGGAAGAAGCCATCCGCCATCACAGCCTTCTTCTCGTCTTCCTTTCCCGGCGAAGAAGCTTTCATACAGAGAACAGGTCTGATTGTTCAAGCGCCGATCGACTCAACTCCCCCCGGAGGACACATTCCTCTTATGCCAGAGAGGGACGGACTCGATCCGCGTAACCGGAGCGGACCAGGCCCATTCAAGGACTGGTCGAACGATGATCCTGAACGACGACGCCAGCGTCCTCCCGGTCCTCTACCCCCGCCCCGCCCCATGCCAGGCCCGATGCCACAGCCCCCTGGTTGGGTGCCTTCTGGGGGGCCTCCACCACCACCACCACCATTGGTGCGACGACGTCCGGCTCAGATGAAATATCGTCAGCGCGCAAGCTCCACATACAGCTCGAGCAGTGAGTTTATCGGTTGTTTACTACGGCTTAGCACTGACGTTGGTTGCTGCAGGCGAAAGTGGCGACGAGTCTATCGAAGATGCGCGGAGCCGGCTTTCCGACCTCCTCCTGTCCTTGTGTGTCCCTTGGGTTATGGGTTTTGACCTCAAGGCAAAATGCTGGCGTAAGTTTATCTCTTGAAAGAAATATGTTTTCTCTGGCTGAAACCCCACGATATAGGATCCCTCGACGTCGACCGTATCAGTGATATTGAGTGGAACATGCAACCGTTCGAGAGCCTTGTGCTGCCCGAGGGCTATAAAGAGCTCATACTCGCATTTGTTGAAAGTCAGGTGAAAGACAAGGACACCTTTGACGATGTCATCAACGGTAAAGGTATTCATGCACAGCTTTCTCCATTCATGATCTGAGTCTGACTATACTAGGTGGTGGTCTCGTTGCCTTGCTGGCCGGCGAACCGGGCGTGGGCAAAACCCTTACTGCAGAGTCAGGTAAGCCGTCATCAATCACCTTGCTGATTGCCTGCAACACCAATGAGAGAGAAAACTCACATGTCAAACAGTGGCCGAAAAGATCAAGGCTCCCCTGTTCAAAATGGAGCTCGGCGAATACAACGAGGATGGCAGTAGCAGCGACAGTGACAGTGTTGTAGATGACGACGTGCCTCGTCGCAACGGGAACCGATACGATAGGAACAGTCGCAACTACAAACACAAGATCGGAGACTTCACCAAGGCGTTTGAGCTCGCCGCCCGGTGGGGTGCAGTCCTGCTCATTGACGAGTGCGACACCTATCTTGAACAACGTAGCGATGGGTCATCAAAGCGAAACAGACTGGTTTCCCGTACGTTGTGACATCCTTAGGATCGCAATGCCAGAAGCGAGATGATCAAGCTAACAATCCTCCAGGCTTCTTGAGAGAGCTGGAGTACTATCCTTCGCTCCTGTTCCTCACGACCAACCGTGAGCGATGCCTTGACCCGGCCGTGTACTCTCGCATCCATCTGACCATCAACTACCCGGCCCTCGACGAACCTTCCAGACAGAAGATCTGGGAGACCTTCTTGGAGAAGAACGGTTCCAGCATGTCAGATCTTGAACTCCTTTCCCTTGCCAAGATTGAGGTCGACGGGCGACGTATTCGCAACATCGTGAAGACGTCTAGCATCATGGCTAAGCGGGAAGCCCGTCCCATTAGGTTTGACGATGTCAAGAAAGTCATGAGAATCACCGAAGGCATGGAGATCCAAGTCCTTCCCAATTACTAGATTGGGTCGGAGCTTTGGGACTCGTATTTCAATCACGACGTTTCTCATGATCATGACTTGACGGCCTTTGGATGCGATAACTTGAGTAAACGGACTCGAAACCCCAAATTGGCGATTCAAATTGAAGAGAAATGTTTGTACGGTGTAAAGTACACCAGAAAGCTATATACAGATGAAGAAATGAGGACGTGGACGCTCTAGCAACAATATTCTTATGACAGCTTGTCAGATCTTGCCCATCATGAAAACTTTGATGATGCATACTCAAGCAAAGTGAGCATCAATAGTCTTCTTCATGTCCTGAGCAATCAACTTGTGGCCAGCGGTGGTAGGCTGAATGAAGTTCATCCAGAAGTACTGGTTCGCATTTCCCTTGACCATGCAGTCATCCCACTGTGCAGTCTCATCTCCGTCGCAAAACAGGTTCAGCGGCTTCGGGAACCCATACGCCTTCGGGTTGTTCAGGATCTGCACCATGAAGCTGAAGACATCGTAGTAGATGACCTTCTTCCCGAACTGTCCCAAGCTCTTCTGAATCGCGGCGTTGGCTTGCGTGATGACTTGTCCCCAGGTCTTCACGCAGTCGGCGTTGGTTCCGCAAAGATACTTCGGCGTCACAGGTGCCAGGTGCTTAGGGTAGATGTTTGCAACCATGACATACGGCGCACCCTTATCGAGCAGGCTCTTCACCGACGCCGTGATCTTGGTCGCGGCATCAGTCGCAAATTGTGCGTTTTTCGAGTCGCCCAGCCAGAAGGCGTCGGTATGCATGCTCAGGTCATTCTCGCCGAACCACAGGAACTGCATGGACGACTTGATGCCGTTTGAGCCGCTGCTGGTGTAGTTGGCAATCTGTCCCAGCATGTCGGTGGCGCCCGCGGGTGACTTGGTGTAGGCGTTGTCAAATGTTGCGCCAAAAGAGCCACCGCCACAGCAGCCACCGAAAGCATAGTCCGTCAAGGGTACGCCGAGGAGATCGGCGAGGTAGGAGACAGCGACGGGACCATTGGTCCAGGTTCCAAAGCCGTAGACGTTTGCCGGGTTGCCGGTTATGCCGTGAGCGAAACTACCGTTACCATTGTCGCTGAGCTCATCGCCGTAGCCGACGAGGTTGTTGAAGGGGTAGGTGGCGCGAGTATTGAGCGAAGGCTTCTCAATCGATCGCGCAGCGACGCAAGAGAGAAGAAAAAACGTTGAGGTTACTCTGAGAGCCATTCTTAAACGTCGTTGAAATGAATGAGGTGAAATGAGTGTGATGAAAGAGAAAGGCAGGAATGAGATGCGCGAAAGACTGATGCTGGCTTCCGACGTCGACCTGAGCATGGGCTTGGAACTCATTTCTATATCAACTCAAGTACGTCTGTAGTAATTTATCATCATAACAAGTTCATGCAGTGTCAATCCTCTGGGATTGCTCATATTTCCCTGCTCATCTCTTGTCCCATCGGCACGGCTTGGTGGCGGCGCCGGCGCTGGATGAAGGCGTCGCACCAACGCCACGGAACACGCTATACTCCTAGAAGGAGAGGTGAAACATTGACTGGCAACTGTGCTGGTGGTGCTGGTGTATCAAAATGAAATGAGTTGCAGCATTATCTCTTCCAAGCGCAGTATTATCTTCGATCCGAGGCATCGTCTTGCACTGGGACGCTCCGACCTCGCACCATTGTTGTTGTTGCTTGCAGAGGATATGTAGTGTCCCGGCACATCATGGTGATAAATCATAGTTGCGGTATCTCTTGCGGGTGGTTGAGAGCTCAAGGACGAGGAAACCAAAATTAAATAGCCAATTCAACGCCAATCCTAATGGATGATTGCGTTACCTTGGCCAAACTGCTGAGTGCGTCATGCATTGACCTCAAAGTAATGTCCAGTGCCAGACGGCAATACTCCCTCGGAATCAGGGCAAAAATGAGACGAAGATACACCTAAGATGAACACAGATCCACAAAGCTCAAAGCCAGATAGCTTCAGATGAGTGTGAATGTATTTGAGGCAGGACAGGCATGGAAAGCGATGAAAGGTCAATGAGTCAAACGTCCATGCGAGGTCGCAAAGGGCCTTGTGTGGATTTGCTGCGCCTTGCCAGCATCCCCACCACAGGAGCTTGCGAGCTTCACACCTCGCCAACTGGCCGGCTGGCGCAATGGTAGCGCGTCAGACTTCTACTCTGGAATCTGAAGGCTGCGGGTTCGAGACCCGCGTTGGTCAACATGTATCCAAATGTTGTTACCTCTGGAACTCCGGTGGTGGGTATCTTTTTTTGCATTTTTTGGTAAAGAGTTTTCATTTTGTGCGGGGTCCGGTGGGCCGAACGTCCGGTGCGGAGTAGCCGCGGCGGGGCCGCCCCTCCCTGATGTCCCGGTCTGCCATCGGGCCAACGCAGCCTGTGAGCCCAACTATGTTTTCCACTGCGGTTTGCGCTTGTTGAGAAAAGCCGTCATGCCTTCCTTGGCGTCTGCACTTCTCGCATGCAGAGCCATAACTCGTCCGGCCCAGTCGACCGCGTCCTCGTATCCGTCTCCTCCGCTCCCTCCGTCACCGTGACCCCTGATCCCGATCTGCGTCCAATACGCCCACTTCCCTAGTGCCATGGGCTGCCCTGCTGCGCTCGCCAATCGCTCCACAACCTCCGCGACACGACTCTCGAACGCCGCGGCCGCTGTATCTGTAGACTCGGCATGCTCAGGCTCCTGGACCACGTCCACGGCCCCGCCCATCTCATCAGCGGTGACCGGCTCCGCCGCCAGAAGCATCCGGTACGTCTGCCCAGACGATAAGCGGCGCGAAACGGCTGTTGCGGGACTTGTGCATGGCAAGCCGATGCTTGCGCCTGGTAACTGGAACTTGGTCGTGGACAACGCGATGGGGTAGTCTGTCGACAACGCCAGCTGAAGCCCTGCCGCGGTCGCGAGGCCGTGAATCGGGCAGACGACGGGCGCGGGACTGAGCCGGATGAGGGACATGACTTCGGCGCAGAGAGCGAACGTCCGCTTCACTTCGGCGAGCGAGAGAGAGGCGAGTTGTTTGAGATCATGACCCGAGGAAAAGACGGGGCCGGTACTGCGAAGGACGAGGACGTTGGGCAGCGCCGCCCGCTCCTTTGCCCATGCATCAGCATCGACCAGCCAGCTATGCTCTGACTCGTGATGCGAGCTTTGGGTTGTGCGATCGCTGGCGTTTTCCAGGTCGCGGAGGATACTTGGTTTGAAGGGCGGAAGTCTCAGAACGCGACCGGTATGTGGTGACGTCAGGTGGTCGAGGAGCTGCGAGCGTAGGTCCTCGAGAACCTCCAGGCTTAAGGCGTTTCGTCGGGAGGGATTATTGAGATACAGGTATGCCGCCTTCGCTGGCAGCTTTGGTAGACGCATCGCCATGATGAAATAGAGATTGACTTCCGTGAAGGGAACTGAGGAAGTTGGAGTTTGTGGTCTCAGAGGACCGATGTCTACCGGACGGCGAGTCCCAATTACCCCGCAATTGACATGCCATAGCACCAGCCACTACGTCTGCGTTCTCAATCGATCCTCCAACGAACTCAAGCCCGCTGTTTTACGGACACCGCAACAGATGAGATTCTTTGGTAAGAATCCGAAATGCCTTCTCAACGGGCGCGCAGGAAGTTGAGGGTTTTCCTTTTCACCCTATGGTTTCGTCTGACGGTGTCACGGTTTTTAGCCAGGGCCCAGAACCTAAATCGAGATTTCTGAATGAAGCAGATTAACGCTTTATTCGCTCTCAAGAGTCTCTAGCTTTCGGCAAGTGTTGCATGGCTAGAGGGCCATCCGTTTTTGACTGTGCCTTCGGAGTCTCCCTGCCGATCGAGTTCATCCATCTGATCAAAACAGCTGTTACGAGAACTTCAAGTCCGCCTGTCAGCACTCAAAATTTCCCAAGAAGTGTGCGACATCTTCAAAGGGTTCTTACTGTCCGTATTGCAACATGCAAGACAAAGCCAAACCACCTCGCCCCCGAGAGCTACCAGCATCGCCAGATTCCTGTCCTTCGCGTCAGCTGCCGGCGCAGAATCGATGAGCGGTCATGCTTACGACGCGCTGGCTGTCAGAGTAAATAAAGCACCCATCAAAGTTCGCGAAGCCAGCCTTTGCAATCTTTCGTTTGACGGGTTACGTGGGAAGAGTTTTCGGCGAGAACCCGCGGCCCATGGCCTTTGTAGTGAGGCGTGGAAGTAATGCAGTTCTGTTCGTGTCAGTTGCATCTTGTTACAAACATGGCCGGCATTGCGTGTCCCACAGCAGAGGATGACATACTTATGAGAGGTATCAAGAACAGAGAGGTGAGGTATATCTGTAAAGCAGTTGAGGTCAGCGTGAATTCCGACTATTAGGAGAATCTCATTCTGCGCACATTGACTATGACGTCGAAAAGGATTATGGGTATCAAAACGGTTCTCTTCGGCCCGATAATGCATGTATCGCTGATGGGCTTGTAGGATGATGAATGGCTGGCAACGCAAGTCAGTAAAATCCTTACGGTGTAATGATTACGGAAACTTTGTTTGAATACGATGTTTCATGCTCTTACAAACGAAAGTCAAATAAAATGATAGCAGTATATGTCCCTGGGAATCTATTATCAGAGAAAGGCTTCCAGTATTATAATCACACAATCCAAGGGTAAGTACCTAGCAAGATAATTGTGTTGGACATGTACAATTTTGATCTCCAGCGGGGTTTCATCAATCCACGAATGATGTGCTGCGACCATGTAAGTTAGCATTTCATTGCTTTCTCAGTTGACATTGAGTGAACTGACAACTTTTTCAATCGCAAACAAATAAACGAGCTGTGAACATCATGTTATTCGTGTAAGTGGGGCGGAAACGTATACTCTTACTGCCTTTACACGCGTCAGTAGATGAACGTTTTCATGAAATTATGATCAAGCCTACCTTGGTCACGACATAAGCGCACACACAAAGTGTTGCGGCCGCTGAACAGCCTTCGGGACTGATATTGATTCCTTCTACGAAGACGATCTGAAGGGCTGAAGATGCGATGATGAAGAGGAAAGAGGAAAAATAGATGAGAAGAATCACTAAGAACTCATTAGATCTGAGATATGTACTGACATATTTTTGCAACGGTGGTCTTACGCTTTCTTGCCCAAGGTAGTGGCCGCCAATGTTTGACTGTGATCCATTCGTGACCTAGATAGCCATGCAACGATAAACACGATGGCACGATATTTTCACGAAGCAGCGGAATATCTTACATAAAAGAGTCGTTATAGAAACAGCAAGAATGATAGTGACGACGAGACTGAAAATCTGTTCGAAGTATGCGGTGGCCTTCGATCTTTCGTTCGGATTGTTGTCTGGTAGAGCCGGTAAAGGTAGCGGCAAAATCATATTGATTCTCAGGTTCCACATCTGAGGCTTGATATGAGCCTCAAAAGAATCGTGTCTTATGGGTTCAGAAGTTGCGTTTTCGAATCGAAGAGTCAGAAATGATTCAGCATGATGAGTCGACTCTGTGGAACTGAGGAGATCCGCTCAACTGGATATTATAAGAATTGCCACCGGAAGAGATGCCGATCCACTTCATAAACGCGTTTTTCCCCATTCTGTCCATTGACCTACGGACATCTTGAAGCCCGTTTTGGTCCAGCCCTCGTGAAATAAGCTTCACGCTTTGTCCACGTCGCTTTGCGATGCTGGTAACGGCTCCACAGTACTGATAGTCTCAACAATCGCGGAGGAGTTACTATTCACGATGCTTCATATGACGAGTAGTTTGGATGAAACTCCATATCTGGGACGTTCGAACTTAATTCACCGGCAGGCAATCTCATCGGATCAGCCGGCGGCGGCTTTGACAAGCAACAGCTGGGATCATAAGCACACCTCGGCAGGCCGAATTAGGTGGCATTCTTCGTCAACACGAAGCCGAAAGTCAAGATATCGGGATGATTACTTGTTTCTCGAACATTTCTTTGCTTACTCAAAAAGGCGAGGCCATACTCTAAGCCAGCTGACAGTTTTCCACGTCTACTCGTTTTAATCCAGCGGTTTTTCATCGCTCGGCATCGTCTTCAACATCTGATGCATCACCAATGACTCTCCCCAGTCTTATAATCTGCCTTGTGCAGAAGCTGCTTCGTTTCATCGGTGACCTGCCACGCCACGATGTCAGGAGTGTATGCACATTGGCAGCCGGCTGCGATCAGATCCAGCGAGATATTAACCGACGCGATGAAATAAGCTACCTGCACCCATGTCAGTTGGCCTACCCAGACCTTCGGGTGTCCCCATCCAACAAACCCTATTTTCAAGACCCTCCTCCCATCGGCCCGCGAGACACACTACAAGGCTGATGTCGTCCGATGTTTCACGGTCCCTGGACCCCAACGTAGTGGTGGCTGGAGCGGTCTTTTCCCCGCATGTGTCCTCTCACTCTGATTACCTTAGATGGTCTCGTTCTCGCATTTACAGTTTACTGCCCATATAATAGATGGCATGTTTTAGGCCTTCCGAAGCCAACTCATGCATCGGAGTCTCCGTGATGCACCAGTGGCTTTCAGTGTGAATTGCTTCACTCTGGATCGAAACCGACATATCTATGATGGGCAGTGAACTCGCAAACAAAACACCGAAAGAGCTTGCTTGAGTGGAACAACATACCAGATCGTCAAGTTATACGGCGCCTTCATAGCTTGACTCATGGCCTCGTGTCTTCGACGAGACTCATGGCCAAAAAAAGATGACTAGTATTTTCGGGGTCTATTGATATGGTCGAAAGGTTGATAGTATGCTCAAGTGAGGCTATTCGCAAATCCAAACAACCGTTAATATGTAAGCGGGATTTCAGTTCCCTCTTGCCCAACTTCAACAAAATGAGCAATATCCTCGGTCTTCAGGTAGACATCTGATTTGCTAATATCTGGTGGATTAAATGGATTATCAAAAGAACTGATTATTGGAAAACATATGGAACTAGAAATCGTCATGGGCATCATGGTTGCAGCAATCTGTGCGACCATCACACCACATATTGAGTCAATAGAAAAACACCACACCTGCGCTAGTCAGCAATTCAGGGTCTACGTATAGAAAATAGTACATACGGGGAGTAATGCCGATGCTTGAACTGGCGATAGTCGACGACGGCCTTCTACGTTGAATAATATCACGGTCCAAAATACGTCTTCAAACACGTGGTCCTCTGCCGGATAAGTCCTCTTCCAATCGAACACGTAAGTTTCCCGTGTTTTGGATGGTTTCGCAAGCCCGTAGATACCGGCAGTGCTACGCGTGGCTGGTTGAGCTCAAACAAACATCGGATTTCTGCCCATCAACGGCTTCGTGGGGTAGGCAACCGGCCCTGGCCCCGTGTCGGCATCGGCCCCGTTAAAGCACCCAGCCCGGCGTCAGCATTTCCGCTCGTCTGGTCTCTCCGCGCGGCCTCGGCGTCATAAGCAGCGAGTCAGTCCCGTCCCGACCCCTGTAGTGCGGCTGGACGCTAACTAAAGTCGCTTCATCTGACGGAAGGCTCCTTGCGGTCATTTTCCCCATAGCCGATTTTCCCATAGCCGAGAACATGATGGAATTCCAGTCATCTGTGTCATGCTAGCGTTGGTTCAATCGATATCCTGGCCCATGAGGCTGCAAGAATGGTCCGAGTTGAGGACTTGGGAGTTGCTTTGGTGAGAGAGAGTCCCGTTCTTACGGCCGTGCTGGGATCTGTTCAGCTGTTAAGCTGCAAAGAAGTACGGCTCCGCCGATATCTTCAGGTATCAGCCATGACCCGACGGCACGAAGTCATGGGAAGATGTTTGTGTACTGGTGTCCAATCATGACCGTGCAGCAAGCTCGATCGGGCTGTATTCTGAGATCAATGTGATGGAAGCACCAAAGTTCGGCAGAAACCAACAGGTCATACATAACCCGGTTTCCCGGTACATGCCTTTCTTTTTCTTCAAAGCCACTGATCGATCAAACTTGACGTTTGAGCGATCGACCCAGTGGCGCCGCCACCCGCAACACCATTCGACCGAACATGGTGCTGTACGTGGTTGACTTCCCAGCACACCACGTTGACGCCTTGTGTCGAGCAGCACTGGCTTCATTAGCTTCAACGGTGGAATCGGCCTTCTTAGGCGGCATTTAGAACAACGAAGAAAATTTCGAGACAACCAACGGTCTAGACAATCTGACAAGCAGTGAGTGATCGATAGTGGTTGAGAAGCTAAGAGCTGTTAGACGCCGGAACCCCTTGTTAGCGCTCTGGTTTCTCGTTAAAGCTCGCCATCTTGAGCCTAGCGTCAGTGTCCACAACGTGGGATGCCAGGAACAGAGCTGAAGAAGCTGATCAGAGGAGATGACCAGAATTGCGTAAACAGTTGTGGGCTCTTCAGAATAAGCAACGAGGAACTCCACAAGAATGATTCTAGCCTTCCAATATGGCACCATCTTCCCGGCCTGACTTGCCCGACATCTGAACACCAGACATGTCAGATTGACAGATTCATGCTGGTGGCTGTCAACGACGCCTCCGAGTCCAAAGGGGAAAACTGCCCCTGACGAGCAGGCCCTGCACGTCGCGACTTCTCCAATCACGACGTGCAGTGGCGCCTGCTAAGGTTTGGTCTAGTGACCCTGGCATCCAGCTCGCCAAGTCGTAGCTCAGCCAGCCCTCGTGGCAGTCCCCTCATACCATCGCCATGCTTTCCTGGCTTGAGTTGGCACTTGTCCTCTAACGAAATGAACCCTCATCGACAGACTTTAGTACCTACGGCCGTTTCGGACATTGTGCTGCTCATCATTTCTAAATTCGTGAAATCTTCAAGAAAACGTGGTGTTTTGGAGATTTATTCTTGGATGTCCTCGTTGGTGAGTTTATGAGCACAGCATGGATCACGGATGTCATGGAAAGCTTACTGCAACATTTGCTGGTGAAACATCACCCACAGCGGCTTTCCCCAGACGGGCGACCGCAAATCGCCCCTCCCCAACCCCATCTCCCTTCACTCCTTCAAAGTAGGATTTTGATGATGAATTGACAACCGATTTGCCGGGATTGTCTCTCCTTTAAGCCAGGCGGACCCACCAGTTCCCACGTTCTGTGATTTCTCGATGTGCGCTACGTACGGAAATCCCCCATGCCGACATAAGTTTTGGTCCCCTAGCCTGTCATCTGCAGAACCAAATCTCATGGCTCATCATGGGCTTGTTGCCTTCTTGTCCCCATCCACTAGGGATCTGCCCTCAGGGACAGGGTCTCAACGATCGTCAACCTTGGCCTCCGTATCCGCAGGCTCAGGTCCAGACCGGACAAGAGGTTCCTGAGATCGTTTATCAGCTGGTGTGCAGCCACTTTCTGCACTGTCGACGAACTTGCTCATTGTTCAGTGCTGAAGGCATCTCGCGGTTTGGGCCGTTTCCATCGACAAAATTGGACTGGATGCCAACGTCATCGAGAAGGTAGTCGTTTGTAAACGACTCCGAGTCATCAACACCGGTGTGCCCCTGCCGAACGCCACCTCGGCATTTTCCCTCTCGCCAGCCGATACCATGGACCCCCAAAGCCGGACCTTGAGGCCGCTACCTAGCGTTCTCCGGGGCGGCCTCACGGCCGTCTCCTTCTTCGGCTTTCTCTCTTTCGTCACAACAACAACTCTGTTCTTCGTCCTCACATACAGACTGGTACGATGGTACATGTCACCGGCTCCTGCGATGCCGCAGCACATGGCGAACGAAAGGGACCCGGACGCCGCATTAGCCGAGGAGATGGGACTTCCGGAGACTGTCTACGAAGCCGGAGGTCGGAAAATGAAGAACAAGACGAAGCGGGATGCGCCTAATCAGTTTCTTGTGCTGATTTACAACCTGCTTCTTGCCGATATCCAACAATCTCTGGCCTTCTTGCTGAATGCAGCTTGGCTGAGGCGGGACGGCATTGTGGTGGAGACTTCGACGTGCTGGGCGCAAGGATGGTTCATCTCTACCGGCGATTTGGCTTCGAGTGCCTTCATCACCACCATCGCTGTTCATACGTACCTGTCGGTAGTTAGGCAGTACAAGCTACCGACATGGGCATTCTACTGTATGATCTTCTGCGTGTGGTTCTTCATATATGCCCTGGCCGTAGCAGGCATCATCATCACTAACAACGGAGCTGATGATGGCGGCCTATATGTCCGAGCCGCTGCATGGGTAAGCCTGAACCTTTTCGTGTTACTCACATTTCTTAACTAACCATACACAGTGTTGGGTAAATGTCCGCTACGAAGCCATGCGTTTGTATCTGCACTACCTTTGGATGTTCGTATCCTTCTTCGTCACCGCCGTCCTCTACATCCTTATCTTCAACCACATCCGCCGCACCGACCCCTCCCTACAACTCCCCTCATCATCCAATAACTCCTCCGACTCAAAGACTTCCCGTGGCCGCAGACCTAGTCACGCACATACGGCATCCAAGTCCGGCGGCCACAATAGGTCTTCGCAACAGCAAGCTTCAGCGTCAAACCCCAGCAATGCCGGTCATCACCCAGCATTCCTGATCTATCCCATCATCTACATCCTCTGCACAGCTCCTCTCGCCCTGGGTCGTGTCATCACCATGGCCGGTCAGCAAGTCTCCCTAGAATACTTCTGCATCGCCGGAGCCATGATCGCCTCCAACGGCTGGCTCGACGTCCTGCTCTTCTCCACAACCCGTCACGTCATCATCTTCAACGCCTCGCCGGACTATGAGGAGACAGGCCTCGAGACCTTCGCCTTCATGCGTACGCCGGCGAATCGTCGCTTCGGAAACATAGTGTGGGTACAGGGAGCCGGCAGCACACCCAACCACGTCATCGGAGGTGATGAGGGCACCGGTGGGTGGCTTCGGAAGCTCTTCCGTCGGGGAGGTGGGAGCCGTCGCGGGGTGAACCGAGATGGACATCGCCGCAGCGGTGCTCACCGGAGCATTAGCCAGGAGTCATTGAGACGGCGGGGAGCGATGGAGGGTATCCAAATGGAGACTGTTACGACAGTGGTTGTTGAGATGGATGGCCACTCATCAGGGAAGAAGATCAACGGGCGGTCTCAGTCGATCGAGAGCATTGACAAGGAGCGAGCGCAGAGTGTTGGCAGCCTGTCATTCTCATAGTGGCATGACATGAGTGATGAACGGATGTGGAATGCTGCAAGCCAGTCTTGAGTTTCTCTTTGTTATAATGTATAGTATTTACTCCTGTGGGCGTGGGTGTCAAGTAGATAGTCATCGGTTCAGCATCCGGGCGGTTTTCTGTATTAGCTATACCCCGTAGTGTCATTTTTGTAATTGCTTCAATGGATTTAACCTCCGAAAACTCCGCAGTCTTCTCCGCGCCGAATCTGCATGTTCCAAGGGTCAGTCCTGTTGCATCTCGGTCTCGGGTTTGACACTGTGCCGTGCGATGTATGTCGTCTTGTGGGGAGCCCGAGGAAGCTTCTGCTGCTCTGCCGGAGGGAACCTACCCTACACCTCTCATCCCTGGAGCGGACAGATCTCCATTCAGACGATCTTTAACCTTATCTGAACTCTTAATGCTTCTATCCTTGACGGCTTCAAATGGGTTCTAGATCATCTCAACAATACCATCCCAGTTCCAGAGTCATCCCATCGGATATTCCCTGAGTCGCAGACGAGAGACGGTCCACCCAGCAGACAAGAGATGGTGGTCCCCAAATTCATAAGACCTATACCAAGCCCAGCCTTGATCGTGAAAGATTTCCTAATTGGTTACCGAAAGACGTCAAAAGTCTAGACTCCTGTCCGCCAGATGTTTCGAAATCCGATATTCCGGGCCCGTGAGACATGCCGAGACTCGGCCGGGACGGCTCGGCAGCTTAACCGCTTGGTGAATGGGCATATTATCTCAGAACGTTCCTTCATTCCCAGTAGCCAGAAGTTCAATAGCCGAAAGCTTGAAGGGTGAGGATATTAGCACTGATATTACTTGGCTGAATCTTGCGCCGCACTCGCCGTTGCCGAACATCCGGGGAACGCCCGTTGGGTCCGTCCACTAAGAACGTTTCTGTCGCGACGAGCAATACTTTATCTAAAAATTCGGATATTTTTTCTGCTTTAATCTGACAGGAAGTATGATAGCAGATTATGACTAGATTTAGGTCGGTGTACCGCTGGGGGTTTGTGGTTTCGAACATGCAGTGGCAGATGCACAACGTATCGATAATAATCATTCATTCGCATGAAGCATGTTTAGTAACTTTTCAACAAATAAGGCCAAGCTATCCATGATTGAAACCCCCAAGAGCATTCCGTGACAATTTGCAGCTCATTGTTTCTCCGTGGTGCCGTTGTCCTGCGTGTACGAAACTACGGACACTTGAGTCTTAACCCTGATGCCCCGTTCACAGTCGGAGCTATCCTTCCCCTCTGACCCGTGGCTAGAAGTAGTATCACCGCAAGTCACCTTACATGTGAGCTCGACCTCGTCATCCTCGACGACGGAGCGACCTCCCGAGCGATTCGGGCCGAACCCACTGCCACTGGGATGGGTGCCGCGGGCGTTCTGACTTCGGGCTCCGCCGTTACCGGAAGCGCCACCACTACGCTCGCTGGGGTAGGGATACGGGCTGCTCTTTGAAGACTTGTTACGCCCCATCCTGAACAGCGGCGCGTAGGTCGGCAGGCAGGCGGAGATGATTGCAACCGAGGGCTCGAGACTAGACCACGCGAATCCAGGGCCCATCCACCATGTAACGTCGATATTCTGGAAAAGACCGTTGAGATAGTAGATTCGAACGACGCTTGCGACGCAGACACTGCGGATGGGTTGTTAGCGAACAGACAGGCCAGTATCCTCCAAATCAAGAACATGACTTACAAGCCACCTAGCAACATGATTCCAATGATGGATGTCTTCGTACGCTTGTTCATCTGCAGTTCCCAGATGCGAGGAACCGGGACGAAAAGAATAACGATATCGTTGAACATGTTGACAATGCCGAGGAGAAGGAAGAAGAGGCTGACGTTGATACAGCTTCCCGTTTCGCCGAGGTATTGGGTCCAGTAAAAGGAGACGGGGCGGCATGCACAAGCCATGGTGATCCATAGAATAGGCGGATATGTGCTGGTCAAAAAGACCGCCGTCCAATACATGATGGAGTATAGCCGTCCGAGGCCATTCTTGGAGTGAAATAGGCGGCGGTAGAGAAGAAGAATGCTGACTTTGGTTGATGTTACAGCTGTGGCATACACGTAGGGTTCGGCGTAAACGATCTGTTCAAGCAACATTCTTTCAGTATGGATACATGTGGCTTTAAACCAAGCATATTCAGTTGCTGGTAGCGCACGTACCTTCAAGAGTGTCACGAATCTTGAGATATTGCTGGACCACACATGTTCTCCCGCGCCATAGGTACCAGCTGCAAAGAGTCAGCCATCGTCGAAGTCTTGGGCAAATATGACGACTCTACAACGCAACGATATCACCAGGTAGTGGAAATGAACACTCACCCAATATTGTCATGAACGTTGCCGCACCACACAAGAACTAACACCGCAGAGAATTCGTCGTAAGCTCGTGAATCTCCAGGATCAAGTCAACTGACAACTCACAACGCTGAGAAAAATAGCATAGTCGTCGTACCAGAGCTTGGCGCCCTTGAAGATACGGACATAGAAGCGAAGCGCAACTGACGCCGCAGCTACACCCAGGACGACGCAAACAGCAATATTGTGAGAAACAACCGACCGCTCATTCAAGTCGACATCAGCCGGCGCCTCTCCGAAGATAGCCACGATGTTGGGATCGATTGCCATGTTCGCAGTGAATGATGGTCGAAGGGCAGGTTTTCTCACCCAAGGGAGACAAAAAAGGGACGGAGAAAAGCCAAAGAGGCGTGGCCAATTACCACCTGAACGGAATGTTGGAAAAGAAAATAACGACATGAAGGCCGGGTCTCGCCGCCCTGAATTAAATGAGCTGAGCTGATTTTGAACCAACACTTGTTTCATCCATGATCGTGGCTACCTGAACGGAAGACCAGACCTATCAGCTTCGCAAATGATAGTTCATTGATTACGCCCAGCAACATAACGTTCAACTCATCCATTTTCAACTTTGATCTGCAAGCTTTTCGACGGTTCAGCAATATTACGCTCTGCTCATGTTTGCTTCAACAATTGCACAGTAGCCGAGAGGTTCAGTTGGAAATGGTCCTGTGATATCACGATTTCTCGTCAGGGAGTACCGGGTGGCCTAGTCTGTCCGTACCTACATCTACAAGAGAAACGTACGAATACAGATCTTCTGCCAAGGTCGCAGCCCCCGACGCTTGAAGGAGAACACGGCTAGTCTCGTGCTAAATTCTGAACACCAACACCGAGGAAATCACCACTTAGAACAAGAGGCTGGAACTTCTTGTTCTTTGGTACTGTTGGTTTGATATGTGGTCGATCATCATCTATCCTGTGCAGAAACCTCGCAATTGAAAACCTTTTGTATCTCACAGCAGGTAGTCTATGACACTTTGCCTACCACCTGTCATTTTGCTCGGGAGTTCCGCGAGAACGCTACCCCAACGCACTTGGTAGCTAAAGCCACTCTTATATACCGACAATATAGGCATGGCTAGGCCAAAATTCGACTTACTGGCAGGGAACCATGGAGGCATCGTGATGACAGACCTCGATCTGTCGCGAGTAGCCAGAAGGAAACGAGCGGAGGGCGTCTTTTGGTTATGTTCCTGTACCGTGATTTGACTTCTCCCGCAACCCGCAGCCATGCAGAGGCAGGCTGAGGTTGCCGGGCCTCCACAACGTACATCTCTGCTCTTCAGCTCCGCTACTGCGGTGACAAGATTGAGGACTTCTCTGCCGAGTTCTTACGCGACAACGCATCCTTCCCTACCTTCGCCAAGCTCAAGTCTCGGGGATTCCCTTCTTCGGCTGTTGACCCCGCCACGGTCTCTGGGGAGCGGCTGAACCTCACCTGCATGCAGGCGACTTTATCAAAGACAGCATGTTGCTCAAGATGCTGTTATTGCATGCGTATGCATACGGCACTACAACGTACAAGTTCACGAAGCTCCTTGCCGAGGAGGTTCGCCGCCTTCAGGGCATTCCGATCATGCATCCCGCAGAGTTGCCCGTGCAAGACAGATCAAAGATGATGAAGTCTTCGGGGGCTAACCCAGGTCGATGTCGGTCTGAAGATCAAGCGGAGTACATTAAGCTTCCCTCCACTCCTCCCGGACCTCCCCTCGAGCTCGCATCACTATGCCATTACGGCCACATTTTCTGCTTCTCGGTCTCCAAGCCCGACCGTATTCATCAGTGTTGAAGGCGACTTCATAAAGATGCTGCTGCGCGATCCAGTTTGGAGGGAATATGCTCAGGCGCCGAACGGCTCGTGGTTCTAATTTGCTCGTCGCATACGGTCTCCAATTAGTTGGAATATCCGTACAATAACCAGTGCAAACGATGAATTTCTTAATCAGGAATATTTCTCTCCACATTTTCACAAAAACTCTCGGAGCTTAACTCCGTCCAAAGATGACAGCGAAGGATGCCGTTCATCCGTATTTTATCCATCGGATTTTCGCCATATTTTCTGAATCTCGGTATTCCACCACGGAGATCTCCCGGCATTTGCTTGTACAGCATAGACGATCGCCGTCAACCAATCATATGCAGTGAATGCGCCATCGAACTGCCCAAAATGTAACATCTCCATTTCCCGAAAATCGATGACGTCCCGAGCTCGAAATGCTTACAACAACGAATGCTAAGTCACCATCATCGAGCTAGACGCTTGTGACGTCAAAACGATGTGCCGAAAAAACGGCCAAGAGGACAATAAGTAGCCTCTCCCGCAGCCAGACACCATGTAGAACAGCAATTCCGGCAAAACTTCCTCCCACAACCAAAACGATGTCCAGCACGAAACCAGTCCTCGCCGTCATCGGCTCCGGCTGGGGCGGCTTCACCCTCTCCCAGAAGCTCTCCCTCGCAAAGTACAACGTGAAGATCATCTCCCCCATCCGCACGATCCAATACACGCCCCTCCTCGCCAGCGCCGCCTGCGGCCTCTTCAACTTCCGCCTCGCCGAGGAGCCCGTCCGCCGCAAGAGCCGCACCGACATGGACTACTACAAGGCCGTCGCCGAGGACATCGACTTCGAGAAGCGCGTCATCCGGTGCCGGTCCGACGCGCAGACGGGCAGTCACGAAGAGCCGGCCCGCTTCGACGTCAAGTACGACAAGCTGTGCATCGCGCCCGGGTGCGACATCCAGGACTTCGGCACGCCCGGCGCCAAGGAGCACGCCTTCTTCCTCCGCACGACCAACGACGCGCGGCTGATCCAGCAGCGGATCCTGCAGGTCCTGGACAAGGCGTCGCTGCCGACGATGAGCGAGCGGGAGCAGAGGGATATTCTGAGCATTCGCATCGTCGGCGGCGGGGCGATCGGGATCGAGGCCGCGGCGGAGTTGTGGGATTTGTGGTTCGAGGAGATGCGGTTCTTGTTCCCGCACCTGGACGGGAAGTTAAGCATCACGATTCACGATGTGGCGCCGACTATTCTCTCGACTTTTGATGCGAGGTTGGGGGAGTATGCGGCTGAGTCGTTGAAGGGAAAGAAGATTGAGCTGAAGACTTCGTCGCATATTCAATCCGTCGAGGCGGATGCGATCGTCACGAAGGAAGACGGGAGACTGCCTTACGGCCTGCTCATCTGGGCCACGGGCAACAAGGCGAGTTCGCTGGTGGAGAAGTTGCCTGTGAAGAAGCCTGAGAGTGGTTTGCCCCGAATTCTGACGGATAAGTACCTGAGGGTGCTCAGCCCTGACGGAAGTGTGATGGAAGATGTATATGCACTCGGAGATGCGGCGGACATTGAAGGAGAGTCCATGCCTACGCTGGCGGAGGTTGCGTTGCAGAAGGGAGAGTACCTCACCGACATGCTCAACGGTGACGAGAAGGACATCAAGCCGTTTAGTTACAAGCAAAGGGCGCTTCTGGCGTACTTGGGCCGACACGACGGGATCATCGGAGGCAAGCAGGACTGGACTGGAGCGAGTGCGTGGGTGGCGTGGCGATCTGGAAGTCTGGCTTGGACCCGGAGCTGGAGGAGGAGGATGTTCATCATGATCAGTTGGCTCTTCGTGTGGATAGGAGGACGAGATATCGTGCGTCCATGAGAATTCTAACTCGATGACCCGTTGAAAAGTTCCATTGTATAACACCCAAGTCTTGATTTATTTACAGGTGTCAAGTCCTGCATAACTTGCGCTCATTTGAGTCTTGATGTATCTCGGTCTCCTGTCTACAATCGTCGCTATAAGACTCAGCGAACCTAGCTTATTTCCAGAGCAATAGACATTGCGGATGCGCTGGTTGCTCATCCATTCTTGGTCCGCGCCCGGTTGTAGGCGGTGTTCTCCCCGCATACAAGTTCGTAATAGGCCGGCAACAAAACCCAGCTCACGACCCCGTAATTTCTTGCCTGTGGTTCTCAAGTGTTGGCACCGAATCATACGAGAGAGTCACCAGTGACAAACGAAGGATTCTGTCATCAGGTGGAATGTCTCTTCTCTATCATCGGCCATCTTATGGATAATTTGCAAGAGGAGAGGAATGATTCTAACTATCCAGCTTCGGAGTGGGACTGGCAGACCTTGGCTTCAACAAAAGCTGCCGTCAACACCTTTGATGCTGTTGTTTTGGTTAGGAAATTCAAATTACAGTCCTTGAATAATCTACACATAAGCTCCAATATCACATCACAAAACGCCTCATCATATTCTCAGGAACAAATCATGTACACAGTCATGAGCTGAGTATCGGAGCCATGCTAGTACATACCGATACACCGAGTCACAATAAAGCGTATAAAATCACCCCGATCCATCGAACCAAGACACTTGAGCCAAACGACGCTGAAAGTTCCTTCTCCCTTTTGTCGATGAGCGGTCCTCCCAAGTCCCATCATCATACGCCGAGTGGTCGGTTCTCAGGCCACAGCAATGTGCCAGTGCCACCCAACCAGCGGTGTACGCGAGCCACCGCGTCTTCTCCCACGGCAGTTTCTAATCCTGATTCTATTCCATTTGCATACTTCACCAACAACAGAGACCATAGACGATCAGCCAACACACATAACTTAGTCTCAGGAACTTTTCCTACTACTCGAAGCCTGGCTGTTCTGAACTCTCCTAATGTGAGTTCCGTACATTGCTCTCGTCACCGCAAATAACATGGAGGAGGAGGGGGTGGGATCATACTGCCTACAGTCACCTGGACGCTAATCGTACAAGAACCTTTTATGCCCGTTCGATAGTCATCAATTGCTTGCGTTCGGAGGTTATAGGTAATGTCATTGCACCCATCTCACTGGACAAAGTCCCTTCTTGTGTATGTCCCAATTGTCTATAAATAAAAACGTACCAGGTGACCAGGTCATTAAGAAACTTCGAAGCGGCAGCTATAGCCTCAAGAAAAGTCCACAGCTGTGTGCTCTGGTGATGATCAGTAGCAGAGATTGAGCGAGCTCATGAAATCCGCAAGATCGAAACCCATTTGGTAACAAGCCGTAGTAGCACCCACATCTCACACCCAGACAGCATCTACTCCAGAACGAGAGACTTGTTTCTCGTGTCTTCCGATAAAATACCCCAAAGAAACCGGATAACACCTCCGCAAGACGACGATATACTGCATGAAGCCTCCATAATCCCAGCCCTGACGCAAATCGGACGAGGCGTGGCCTAATGGCCTAACGGCGCTTTCTACCCCACCATGGTTACCTCGACCGCTGCAGTCATCAGCTCGTCGGCTGCATTATTTGGTTTGACTACCATCTCATTACTCTCTTCGGTCCAATTTATACCGCAGTCTCCAACGAACCCCCAACTGTCGTCAGCGATATCTCCTCAACGCCGGCAGCCACTCCACCCGACGTTGGAAGCCTTACCGGCATCAAGAGCCGGTTACCGACACTGCGTACCTTATAAAAGAGGATATCGACGTCGAGGAAGCTTTATCAGCAACATGCAGCGAACCGACGTACTTATGCAGTCAGGATATAGTGGCCCTAGGGTGGTTTGTTCCACCAAAAGCGCTTAATCCTGGGCTGGCGACGGCCTTGTAAGCTCTCACACCATCTGTGCCGATGGAGATTGCAGGCGACACATTTTTTGAGGATTGTGCGAAACACCAGAGAGTATTCAATTTTGATAAACGCTGGACCCTGACGACAGGAGACGAGGAAACGTCAAAATCACGGAGCGATACTTTCTCAGGAGGTGCAGTTGTCGAAGACAGAAAGAAGCACACGAGAGAAGCATGGAATCACCAGCAGAACACCTCATGAGGTGTTCAGACAAGAACTATCCGCCCTGCCGAGACCCACAACCAACACCCTAGGTACCACTCAAACCTGCCGTTTCAAAAGCCTCAACAGACGTCAGTTAATGAGGCTCAAAACGCCAAATCTGGAACCGCACGCACGACCAACCGCGTGGTCTGACAGCTGCTCACCCGTCGACAACCGGCTCTTGGATGTTCGTTACGTAGGCGGATAAGGTTCTGACAGAGAGCCGCGCCGTGCTGCAGGTCTCGTGTAGCACGCTGCATGTGCGGGGGAGCTGCCAGGGGGGAAAGCTCCTCACTGATCCAATCAGCAGCGGCAGAGAGCTCCATCTCCGCACAAGCACCACGCGGGAAGCCGCCGATGGGACCCCACACTTCGGTCTCGGGTCGCACCGGACACGGCGTGGGCTTAGCTAAGTCACCTTGTCCTGGTCTCTCCTCCGGCGACCGCAATATTGGAGTTACACTGGGACTGCCCCCAAGAATACGAATAAGAGCCCCTGAGAACTCAGTAGGGCCCAGCGTGCTTCTTCTCATGAGGGATTTCTCGTTCGACGGTATCGGTGCTGTGGCCTCACCGCCGTGGTTTTGTAAGTCATTTGATATCCTGCGCAAGGACCGACGAGGTGAGGGGCTCGAGTACTCCAACTTTCTGGCGCATTGATCGGCTCGGGGTGCAAACGCGACCGTCGTAGGAGCTCGGTCTTGAGAAGGCCGGCATTAAAAAGGCTCGCGGCACCCCCTCATTAGCCTTGCGTCATGGAAAACAAGCTTCTTGCCCAATCCGACTCCAAATTTTCTTTGTTAGCAACTCCACAAGAGCAGAAGTTTGAGCAAGACAGTGAGCGAAGCTGCAGCAGGAACTGATCATCGCCATGGTGCTGGAATCATGGACCGCGAGAATCCTCCTCGGTCTGGCGACGGCGGTGGTCCTGTACCTCTGGAGGATCAACATTCTCATGACGAGTACCCCGCCTGAGGCTCTGCGAGTATCACCAAAGCGGTGGTCCCCGGAAGAGATCAAGCGCACCTTCGAGCGCGTCGAAAAGCAGCCCGTCGATTGGACGCCACACCTACCACCCAAGTTGGACAGGCGCTACGTTGTTGTAGGAGGATCCGGTATGTCATCTATGAGTCGACATCCCGTGAATACTCTAACCTCTTCATGCGTAGGTTTGGTGGGAGGGCAGCTGGTGATTCAACTGATTGCGCGTGGCCAACCTCCCGAGGCGATTCGTATCATCGACTTCCGCAAGCCTGGACGCGATGACATGAGCGAGGGTCCTGTGTCCAGAGTCGGCTTCGCTCAGGCTGACATATCCTCGAAATCAGCAACGTTGGCTGCGTTTTCGAGATCGTGGCCAGAGTCTGTTGCGCACCTCCCACTGACAGTGTTTCATACCGCCGCCGTTATCCGCCCGTCTGAGCGCAGCCCGATGGTCTATGACCGATGCTCTCGTGTCAACGCGACTGGAGCAGCTCACGTTCTCGCTGCTGCCAAGGAGTCTGGCGCCGACGTCTTTGTCTTCACCTCGTCCTGCAGCGTGGCGTTGAAGCCCGTCAACTTCTTCAACGCGCCATGGAAGCGATGGCCGACCAACTTCCTGCAGATTCTCGACGAATTGGATTTCTGGAAACCACTCCGTCCTCACCGCGAGTTCTTCGCCAACTATGCCAAAACCAAAGGAGAGGCAGAGCGTCTCGTCTGCGGCGCGAACTCGATACCGGAAGATCCGTTGCATGACGGAGGATTCCGAACTGGCGCGATCCGGCCGGGTAACGCCATCTATGGGCACAAGGATGATTACCTCGTTGGGGCAACTGTCCGCATGGCCAGTTTTCCGACATTTACAGCGCCCTGGATGCAGAACTGGGTGCATGGGGCCAACGTGGCGCTCGCGCATCTTCAATATGAAGCGGCTCTTCTCGGCCCCCATGCGCACAAGGTTGCGGCGCGGCCGTTCCTGGTCACCGATGGGGGACCGCCGCCTGTGTTCAAAGACTTCTACACACTTGTACAGTCAGTCAGCGTGACGCGTTTCCATGTTCAGTACCCTCCGCCAGTGCTGTTGCTGCTCCTGGCGCACTGCATCGAGGCGTACTGTATGCTGCTTTGGCATGTACCGGTGTTGCAAAAGATCTTCTCAGAACCGAGCATGCCGCTGTACATGATGCAGCCTGCAAGTATAGCCGGCGCCATCAATGCTCTCATCAACGACTCCGATGCGCGAAGGCGTGTAGAAGACGGCGGGTTGGGTTACCAAGCTAAATGCACGACGATGGAAGGGCTTTGCATGCAGCTGGGAGCTTGGAACCGCTGGGTTCGCAGCGGAGGCGAGAAAGTAAGAAGCGAGAAGGGCCTCTTGAAAGACACGCTCGAAGTAGGTGTTGAGCCAGTTGCGAGGAGGGCATGAGGTTTGAGTCTCGTGTTTGCCGTTCGTATACGTAGAGCATAGATTTGCCTGTTTGCGCCGGGTGTTTTACTCACGCCCTGAATAGAGTGCTGGTTTCGCAGCGGATATGACCTGGCAAGTTCAGCCTTTGTGAGAAGAGCAGCCGCAAACACGACGCAAGTGTCGCATGTAAGGTGTTTGCTTCAGAATGCGACGGATTGTTGATTGGACAACCTAGAGAACTGGTCTTCGGAATTGAAGATCCACCTCCGGACCCCACACCGATCCGCCAAGCACAGCTGTCGGCGTTGGCGTTGGCGTTGGGGGTGGCTGCATGGCGCGGGGAAGATCTTTTGGTGCTTCGCGATGGAATTCTCAAAAGTCCCATGTCGAGAAGGCTGAGTTGCGGGCGGAGCTGAAGGTGCGAAGGGTTAGTTGCATGACCTGCTGGGACACATCTCGATTTTCGACTCCCGACTTCTGGTTGCTGCAGAGGTGACAAAGCTGCCGCTGCTGTCGCCAAAATCAACTGCAGGATGAGACGCAAGCTGATGTGTTCGTAAGCTCAGTGGCGCGGTCGTGCCAGCGACGACAACGACAACTTTCGTGGTGTGGCAGAGCTCGTATCGGCAGCCCGATAAGAGTCTAGGCCACTCCCACGCACAGAATCCGACGAAGCTGCAGCTGGAGAGGTTTGGTGGTGGGTGGTGGGTGGTTGGTTCGTTTGGCGGTGGTGGGATGAGATGGATGCAGCTGGAAGATCCGGAGACGCTGCATGCACTTCCGAGTAGATGATGCTGGGGCGAAACGAGTGAGACAAGAATCATTCCGAGCATGCCTTTCTTTCCTCGTCTGGGAATTCATCGGGAAATGATATCGCATGGGCAGTCTGAAGCCGAGCAAAGGCCATGCCCATGCCCATGCCGAGTGTGTCCCCGACCTCCTCAACAAGCCTTATTTGAAGCCGTTCTTGCCGCGAGATATCGAATGCAAAAGACAAAAGCTGATATGCATATCCGTCAGACGATTTCGGGGTGTACCAACCCCTCACGCCACGCCAACGTCTCTGGCGTTCCATTGTCGATGACGATGGGGATGGGGTTGGGGGGCTCGGCATGCAATTGGCCGTCATGATTGGATGGCAAGCTCGTGGAAGCTCCGCGCCCAAGACCGTGGGAGGCAGCTCACCGCGGTGTAGCATGTGTAGCGTGTGCCACGAGCGGTGGTACCCACGGCGGTACTACTACAACAATGTGCTTGCGCGGGCGGTCTGTAAGTGGCCGCTTAGCCGATTTGAGGACGTCTTGTCTTGATTTCTGATTTCAGTCCCGGTTTTTGGACAAAGGCGGCCTCTTTCAGAGCTGTTCGACGCCGATGCCGATGCAGATAGCGCCCACAACGGCGTTGGCGTTGGCGTTGGAGCTTGGGCAGCGACGTCCGTCCATCGGCCGATAGGTGCAATATTCCCTTGCAAGTGGAATTGCAAGGTGCAAGAGGCTAGCGGGTGATAAGGCCAGGAAGTCGTAAAAAACACTGGAGACGGGTTCGACCGAAAAGTGCTTAGCAAAGAAGCAGGCGTCGGTTTGCGGAGGCCATTCTGCCGTGTGATGATCGAATGCTGGGGGCCATTGCATTGTGAGAGATGTTTGAAGGCAAGGGACCGCTAACAGAAACATGGAATGACGCCAGGATGCGGCAGGGGTGAAAATGAGGAAGAGCAGCGTTCAGCGACGCCAAGGAGAAGAGAGGAGGTGGTACTGTGAGAAGGGGTTGGCGAAGTCGAGGGCTGTTTCGAAAGATGAGACGCTGGATCTGGATATCTGGATGGACAGAAGAAATCAGATGTGCTTGCTTGTGTTGTGCAAGTTTGTTCCATCGAGACAGATGCAGTGTAAACAATGCGGTCCAGTATGAATGGGCGGATTTAAGGCGGCGGAGAATGGAAGTCACCACTGACCCCACATGGTGGACTGGACCACTTTTGTTGGGCGCGTGAGGACAGCGGAGGAAGTCACCGATGATTGAAGGCAATTGACCGTGGCAGTTGGGGGAAGGAAAAAAAGAATTGAGAAGCAGCAGCAACAGCGGACGCGACGGAGCAAGTTGCCTGAGGAAAATGGATTGCGTCCAATTGATTGGCAATAGATACCCATGTCTCCACTCCCTTCCGCTGCAGCCCGCAAGTCTCCCGGACCACGGCAAAAGCCAAGGTGGGTGTGTGGCTGGTGCATCTCGAAGAACTAAGCCATTCTGGGCTTAGCTCCGTCTCTTCACGAGCAATCCGCCAATGAAACGTGAGAGACGAGTTAGAAGGAAAGAAAGTCGGAAGGTGGAGCTGCGTTGGGTAACGTTAGCCCGAGATGAGCCCAGGTCTGATGGAAAATCTGAATGAGACCGCTGGAGTCTGGAGACAAGTCCGACGACGAGGAGATTTTCTTCCTGCGATGAGACAGAGACCGAGGAATGTAATTGTAATAGGCCTTGGCGCTGTGACTGTCGCCTGGTCCATGCCATCCCGTCCGATTCCAACCCGACCCAACCAACCCCCAGCCCGTCCCGTCGCGTGCATGTGTCTGGCTAGGTAGAGTTTCTGGACACTGGAGGAACCGCCAGAAGGACAATTCAATCCAGTTCAGTAAAGTCACCGAACAAGCTCCCGTCATGTCTGCCTCGACGAAGAACCTTCAGCTTGGCACAGCCAGCCTCCTGCACCGCCGGCGACTTGTGGACTGCGGTGCATGGTGTGTCTGCGTTAAATTTGGAAGAGGCGGAAAAGATGCGACGACGCGGATGAGGCCATCACGAGGCCCTGAGGAAAGTTTCAGTCTCCAAAGTCTGAGGCGACATGGGCCAGGAATGTTGGACAGGGCAGTCTATGCCTGCCCAGGACTGGCATCCACTGTGACGGTCCTCGCCAATTGACCGGTTGATGACTGTTGATTGCAGCGTGTTATTGCGCTCGAGTGTGAGAGATTGCGATGCAAATCTCGAATTGTTTTTGTAAAGTACCAAGCTTGAAGCTTCGGGATGGTGCTGTCTTAGCTTTTCCTCTCCCCCAGAGCTTTTTCATCTAGACGGCAGGGTACGTAGGGTGCTTGCTGCTGCATCTTCCCGCCTCAGGAAAAGCAAGCGTATCTGAAGTTCAGTTCAATAGAGGTACGTACCACCCCGGCCAGTCGGTTCGCGACCCGCCCCTACCGATAACAGTCAGGTCCTCCCGTCTGTGCATCCCACTCCATTGGACGGACTGCCCGACCTCTGACTTCGCGTCTTCCACCACGAGGAACGAAGAGGAACGGAGACGAGTCCTGCCAGCAACGCGACAGAATGCGAATTTCTCAGCAGCAACTTCAGATAATTACCTGACGGCGGGCGTGTTGGATATCAAGGCACGCTAAGACCGCGCTAGAGGGCACCTTCCTGGTCGTGTCCCCTCCTCTCCACTCTGGTGTGTGGATCCCAGCCACACACACCCTTGCAGTTTATTGTGTTTGTGGGCAGGAGCCAAGACCACCACCTGTGAGTCTGCGACCAAAAGACGTATCGTGGGAAGGAAGGGACGGGAAAAGCGAGCGAAAAAAGTGCCTCATCCACCACCGAATCGCGGTACCTGTCCGGTCCCCAGGTCTTCTTCCTCTTCAAGAGGGAAGGTGCGGTTTCTGTTCCACCAGGACACCCTGTAGAACTTGCTGCCACCTGCACACCTGCCTGCACCTGCAGCCTCTTTTCCCCATTGCGCTTGCCGTATCGGACAAGCAAAGACACACTGGACTGGTCCAAAAGAGCGTGACAGAGAGAGGTGGGACGTTGCCGCCACCGCTGTTGCTCTTGCTGTCAGGTCGTTGTCGCTGTTGCCGTCGGGTTGCCGTTGCTGTTGCTGCTATCGGTGCATTCTTGCCGAACACCTACAAGGTCCCGTCCCGTACCTTGATAAAATCACATCGTTGCCCGCCTCACCTGGCTCTGTTTTGCTCTCTTCGCCCTCTTCCTCTTTTTTTCCCGCTCAGCCATACAACATCCACACAGCAGATCCCAACATCTTCACCACCGCCTATTCCTTGGAACGAATATTGCAACCCGTCAACATGCGTACTTCTTTCGCCGTCCTGGCCCTCACGGCCGCCAGCGCCGTCTCTGCTCAGCGCAAGGTCTTCTCCGCTGCCGACATCAACGTTGCCGCCATCAACATTCAGACCAAGGGTACGTTCAGGCTGTTTGCCACGACCCAAGATACTCGTTGCTAACTTCTCCTTTCTCCAGCCTCCTGGTGCACCGGCGAGCGCAACGTTTGCAACGTTCTCTGCAATCGTGCGCCTACCAACGACTGCGACGCGGTAAGCTCTCTTCCCCATTCCTCGGCCAATTGATCACCTTACTGTCTCAATCTGTCGCAAACCACCCGCAATAATCCCAGCATTCACAAGCTAACTCCACAACCGTACAGGCTACCCTCCAGTACAGCTGCCTTTGCTCCAACGGCTCCGCTCCCGGCCTCGAGTACTACGAGCAGACCCTTCCCACCTTTATCTGCAACCAGGCCTTCGAGGACTGCATCTCGGCCAACGTCGGCAACGCTCGTGGCCAGCAAAACTGCACCGATACCATCAAGTCGCAGTGCGGTACGATCGACGCCCAGTCCTCCGAGGCTAAGCCCTCTGGAGCTACCACCTCGGCCACGGCCACCCCGACCGGTGCTTCCACCACAGGCAGTGGCAGTGGCACCCAGGCTTCCTCGGCTCCTTCCACTACGGCCTCCGGATCCTTCGCCGGCCCCACTGCCGCACCTGCCCACCTTGGAAACGCCGTCGCCGTCGCTGCCGTTGGTCTTTTCGCCTACATGCTCTAGTGCTTCTGCGACCCGGCTTTTCACTTTCCTGTATTTACCAAAAGACCGCCAGCGCCGCGGCACCCCTAATTTTGACGAGGCATACATAGTATGCGATGGAGACGATGGATATTCCCACGCGTATGGTATTTTGAGGAGGAGTCAGTGCGTTCGGGGGGTGGGCTCACCCAATGTTTGCTATGCATTTATACGCATGACCAAAGACAGTCGACACGGACGACGGGGACGGCAGTCAAGATGACGGACGATGGACGGCAGAGATGACAGTCAAGACGACGGACGACGAAGACGGTCGAGATTACGACAAAAGAAATGAATTGGTTCTTCAGTCCCCTGTTCAGTTTTGCTTGATCAATTGCTATATGTGACCAATGCTTTGAACGAGATCAGCAGACAATGAATCGCTCCGACCAGTTCTTTGGGTCGTTAGGTAAAGGTAAGCTTTCCCAAAGCGCCTGGATCATCAACAACTCGCTAACAATGGTCTTTCATGACCTCACAGACAAGAAGAACACTCCATCCAATCAGCTGCCGGGCGATGGCTGCCAAAGAAACTTCAACAATGAGCATTGTCGTCTTGTTCCAGCCAGACTCCGGCTGCTAGAATCACCTAGATATAAAATGTCAACCATCAGCCGACCATCAACTCTATTGAAACAGAAGATCACCACTCCCCCAACAGACGCTAACTTACACCAACAGACTTTGCACCATTGACTGGTCACAGAAACATTACTGAGAGGATCCGCCCATCAACACTCTTGAATCATCCACCATGAGAGGCCAACAGAAACCCACTACCGCTCCTCGCGTTTCATTCGGCATCGAGCTGGAATTCGTTGTTGCGTATGTCTTCGATGGCGAAGCAGACCCGGACGAAGATATCAAGGATGGCATCCAACCCCTGCTGGTCATCCCAAGAGTCGCAGAAGACACATCGACCTTATCCTCCGATTCCAAGGGCAAAGGGAAGGCCAACCAAGGGTTCAGGCCTGTCGTCCCCCCGACGCCCTGGATCTTCGAACAGATCCGCAAGGCCCTAGCCGAGGCTGGTCTGCCTGTGTTTGGAGGAACCGAGTATATGCCGTTGGGATCTGTCCAACAAAAGCACAGCGAGAAGGCCATGTCCTCATTTCGGTTGACCGAGGAGTACACGGTGAGCGAATTCGACATTGACGGGTACAGGTTCCAGGGGGTTGAGTTGGTCTCGCCTGCCATGTACGACATGCCCCTGTCGTTTGACCTCATTCGGCTTGCGGTGAGTACTATCACGACCAAATTTCGCTGCCGTGTGAATCCTACTTGCGGTTTCCACGTTCATGTTGGCGCCGGCCCAACCGAGAGAATCGAGGCGAGGGCGTTGCGCAATTTCGCGGCGCTGCTGTGGGCTGCTGATCCCCTCATCAGCCGTCTCCACGCACCCTGGCGATCCGTCACAAAGTATAGCCAGTCCGGACGTGTGAACGAAGCGACTGCGTTGGGACGGAACGAGGGGCCGTCAGATTCACTTTTGGACAATTTGGGTGAAGGCGGCGTCCCAGTCGGCACAACCAACAGCCTGCCCAGGATACATTGGATCAAGAGAAGCCATTTGAAACAGGTTAAGTACTTTGGAAGAGACAGGCAGCTCGGTGATTCCGTCAATCCGGATACTGATCAGAGAGCACAGCAGCGCGAGGTCGACTTTGATACAGTCGACGACGTCGCGGTCCTCAAAGGCGACCCTTGGACACGTCGAACCCCCCTTCCTCCTCTTGGAAGCAAGCGCAGCTCGGCGTCCCTTCCGACCGATGATTTCGGGTCACCCAAGCTTGACTACGACCCTCCGGTTCCCCGACCGCAGACTTGGGACCGACCCCACAGCAAGGACCACCTCACGGCTGTTGCACCGCCGAGACCGCGACCGCCGCCGATTGAACGTCTATACCCGAGGATCCCCGGCACGATGCGAGAAGACCGCCGCCTCGACCCCGAGTTCCTCGCGCCACACCTTTACCGTCACGACCGCGGTGGCGATTTGGACAACCCAGGCGCGCGCCTCCCCCCTAAACGGTCAGACGTCATGTCCGGCGTGCGAGACCTCCTCGCCGCAGACATGACCTCCGCGCAGATCGGAGAGATGATGCGGAGTACCACGGCCGTGAAGCACATCAACTACAACTTCTCCGGGTACACCCTCACTTCGCTCGGAAACCTGCGAGCGTACGCCGACGGCGTCAGGGTCACCCCCGGGGACAGGTACGACGCCAAGAGCAACACCGTCGAGTTCAGGGAGGCCGCGGGCACGCTCGACATGCAGTGGATCGCGACCTGGGCCAAGATCTGCTGCAGGCTGCTGGAGTGGTCCCGCGACGCGCCGCCGGCGGAGTTCATGGCCGTCGTGAGGCTTCTGGCGTACGCGCAGGAAGAGAAGGGCGCCCAGTACGACGTCATCGACTTTCTCATCGACCTGGGACTCTACACCGAGGCGAGGTTCTGCGAGGAGAGGGTCCACAAGGGGGAAGAGGTGTTTTATGAGTGCTTGAATTTCGAGCCGACAAACGGAACCTCGAGCGGCGATTTGCAAGGTGCTTTCGCGGATCGTGAGGATGTAGAGATGGGCGGGATGGAGGAATCCTCTGACGTCGGCAAAAAGGATGTCGACGGAAAGGGAGGTGATGGGGAGGTCAACAGCGGCTCGGCGGAAGAGGCTGGAGATGATGTTGACGATGGTAAGTCCGCGGCTACTGATTCTGGTGCCGGGGTCGGTGAAAAGAATCTGTGAGGGGGATGATGATGCTAATGAGGTAGGTTTTGTGCTTATTTGATTGTCAATGAGTATTACTTACATTTCGCGGGGGAAATCTTTTTGTCCTCACGGAGTGACTTGGATCGAGTGACTGTGTCCGAGAGAGTTTCGGAGAGGGTCCACTTTTACCGCCGTGTCGGCCCGGGATTTGACGGGGTTTTCGGCCGTGGCCTATGCCTGTTTTCATTCTTCTGATGACGAGAAAATGCAATCAGGCACGGTCCGGAAGTCAAAGGCTGCGGGGGTAGGTTTCGATTGGCGGCCTGGGTGTTGATGGTGTTTGTATCGCGACTCGATAGATTCCACGGAATCGAGCCACCACCTTTCTGCCTCTCACGAATACTTCGCGGGAGATTAGTGCAGTCACCATTTTTTTTTTAATTCAGAGTAGCACTCTGAGGAAGATGAATGCTCTTTCTAGTCAACTACAGCTCCGCTTTCCTGTTTGGTTTTTTGGGATTATTGGACTTGAGAGGTTGGAAATGATTTCTCATGTCCATGGTGAATTTGAAGTGATGAAGCTGTGATCCGGGTAGGTTTGTTCCGGACACGTATATAAGATGTCTTCTTCGCGTAGACGGACAGGGATTCAACAGTGATAACATAATCCTGCTCTCTCTTCATTTCAGACGAGGAAGATGACAGCCGGGTATCTTATGCGAGAGACTCAGCTGGCGTTTTGATCGGTGGCAGCTTCGGGGCGTCGTAAGTCATTGCTCGAGAACACTCTGTTCTGATTTTATACATTACGGTATACCATAGAAGCAGCGGCGAGAAGAGACGTGGGGTTTCCCGAGAGTTTCGACGTCGAAATGCATGGGGGAATGATTCTTGTTGAAAGGCGATGAGTGCTCAATGAATCTCTCTGGCCATTGCACATCAGAGGACGGAGAGTACGTAACGCGTTGTTGCTGCTTCTTCCAATCGTTACTGTTAACGGATTTATATGTCTGGGTAGGTGAGAACGTGTTCTTCTGAAGTGACAAACTAATCTACCTATCGGAGTCTTGATGGAACTCAAGCTGAATAAACTGACATAAACCTCGCAGATGGGAGAACCGCAGCCATTCTGCTTTATAAAACGCGATGCGTTGGAGGTATCTATGACTCCAAATCATACAATGACCAAAGGTAGTTGTCTCGGAGATCGCTGGAGCCTTAGTCTTGGAGTCGTTCGTTCTGACGTTTATCGTGCTTCACACGCGAGAATACTAGTAGCAGCGTTCAGAAGCTGGGCGTACGTTGAAGGCAATCATCCCTTGGGCTTCTGGAGCATTCTACGCTGTATCATTATGGGAAGGAGATGAAGATGAAAAGCAGAGTCGTTTGTGCGACAGTGTGATTAGCCTCCGTAGAGATGTGTCGACGATCATCAGTCAGGTGAACGAACGCCGTGCCTAAGCCTTTTTCTGAGAACAGACCTATCACGACTTCACAGCCAACCAAACATCTGAGCAGGTAGATTCGATAATAAGCCAAACCTATTACTCTGGACATCAAATATACTCGAGTGTTCGAATCCCGATCCGTGGGCGCGGAAACCAGAAATGCTGATCTAGAACACGGCCCGGGAGTCTTCCCAACGGATACCAGACCGAACAACACATGGTGGAAGACTGAGTGACATCCGAGTCTCGCCGAGCTTTCCAGAGAGACATCTCACGCAAGCATTACTTAGCCACAATCGACAAACATCCCCGCAAGCTCAATTTGGCCTCCGAAAAGTTGGGGAATGGGTGGACTACAGCATTCGTAACGTCCGACATCCAAAGGCCCATAGGCAGTAGGAGGACATCCCGCGAAGTCTGCAGACTGAAGTAGACGCTTCACGGACCGTCGAGGCCTTCTTGAACACATCCTTTCGGCATTTTCTGGGAGGTTTCTTACAGACTTTATATATGCAAGGTAATTTCGCTGACATCCCAAAGATTCCGGGGAGGCGCTTGCGGTAGTGTCGGTTCTGAGTCGGATGCTCCCGATCCCTGCCTCCCACACCTCCCCTCACTCCCGAACCCAACATTACTTAACCACGGAAATTCATCCCGAGACAAGATACCCAACCAGGCAAACACAACATGTTGGGCCGTTATCATCTGTCTGCATGTGGCAACCATACACTGGCTCACACGTATCCAAACCCGTGGCCGGTCTTCGATACCGAGCCGTCCGTATCAGCGGTTCACGAGACCATCTGGAGTCACGGGATGGACGGTCTACGGCCCGGAGTCCGTGGTAGAATCGACACGATAGCCCCTCCTCGGGGTATTACAAAAGGCTCCTTGATGGCCTTAAACTCCCCGATGATAGCAAGCACAACAAACAACACACAACCACGCCTCAGATATCACACAGCCACTTCACACATCTCTAACCCTCAACATCGAAAACATTACCCACACGACCAAGATGCCCTCCGTCCTCCTCCCGCCCGCGGCACCCACAGTCCGCAAACGCGCCCCGGTGGTCGTCGGCCCCACAAACAAGACCCCCCTCCGCCCAACCAACAAGCTCCCGCAGGACCTCATCGAGACCGCACGCGCGGCTCCGAAGATCGACTTCGACGCGTCCAAGCACGTCTGCTTCGAGCCCCCGAAGAGGACGTACACCATGGAGGAGTGGGGCTACGGCGACCAGGGCGTCTCCCCCATCGCCTCCTCGGACCCCTTTCCCCTGTTTACCCCGGAGGCCGTGCAGCAGGTCAGGCGGGAGCTCTTTAGCGAGCAGGTTCTGGACAAGTGCCAGTTCTCGTCGACTTTTACGAAGAATCAGTTGAGAGGGTACTCTAGAGAGTAAGTGAGATGTATCTCCTGAATGAAATTTGATGGTGAGAAGTTGAGAGATGTTTGCTGACACGACTGGAACAGAGCCGCACCGTTCATCCACGCCCTGTGGAAGAGCGACGAGGTACGGAACGCCGTGTCGCAGGTCGCGGGGATCGACCTCGTCCACGCCTTCGAGTACGAGATCGGACACATCAACATCATCGTCAACAGCGACGAGGACGCGGGGAAGGCCGGCGGCGACAACGTCGGGTTCTCGTGGCACTACGACAGCTTCCCCTTCGTCTGCGTCACCATGCTCTCCGACTGCTCCAACATGACCGGGGGCGAGACCGCCGTGAAAAAGGGTGACGGCGAGGTCCTGAAGGTGCGGGGGCCCACGATGGTGAGACGACCCTCTGCCATTTCATTCCACTTACACAGCCTCTCGACGCAGGCGAACCTGACACGTACATCTCTCACAGGGCACCGCGGTCATCCTGCAGGGCCGCTACATCCAGCACGCGGCGCTCAAGGCGTTCGGCAAGGAGCGCATCTCGATGATCACGCCGTTCCGGCCCAAGTCGCCCTTCGTCCGCGACGAGCTCGTGCTCACGGGCTCCCGCCCCATCAGCGACCAGTCGATGTTGATGTACGACTACACCATGTACCGCGCCGAGGTTCTCGAGGAGCGGTTCCGGGAGGTGCAGAGGAGGTTGAGGAGGCGGATGGAGGCGGGGAAGAAGTTTGATGTGGAGGATATGAGGGAGTTTCACGCGGAGCAGAAGGAGATGCTGGAGGCTACCCTGGCGGAGATGATTCCCATTTATGACGTGGTTTAGATACCTTAGTCTATCTAATGTCGAATTCAATTTGTTCTCATTTTCTTTGATGTCTGTGGATATTGGATGCGAGGCCGGTTGTCTAAGGACGTTCGAAGGTGACCGACAAGTCGCGACAGTCTCGTAACGAAAGAGCTGTTCCGATCAGTCGGGTCTGCGGCTGTGTTCCAGGCCAGGCTGGTGAACAGGCTGGTTGGTCCGCGCTACTTGTGGCTTTTACCCTCGGCAGCCTCGAGGCCTCGAGGTTCGCGGCCCCGGGTTTTAATGGCATTGTTCTCCCTTTGAAAGACAACGAAAGACAAGGGTACTGGCGGGGGTACTGTGAACAAAGGTGCGGGCCAGGCCGCTATGCGGAGAGAATCCAATGGACTGAACATACAGAGATCTGGATATAAATAAAGTCATCGGTCTTCTCTCCCTTGCTATTCTGTTTTCTAGTCTCTAGAGCTCCCAAGGAAACTCGGGACAACGATCCCAGGAACAGCCGAAGCCACCATGGAACTCTCCCCACGTACTGACCCTTCCGTCCTCGACCGACTAACAAACCTCCCCGTAGAACTTCAGCGCAACGTCCTCTTCGAGCTCCTCTCCACAGAAACCCCCTGTGCCTTCGCTCTCTTCGTGCCGGAATGGCGCGTTTGCTCCCACGGCACCGACCCCGTCAATCGTATCTACGACCTGCAGCGGACCGACGTCTACACGCGCGGAACAGGCCAAGACCCAGGCGTCTTCGTCTCTGGCGCGACGCACGGCGATGGAGACCACGTCGGATTCTCCATGAGAACCGCGCCCGCGAACACTTGTGTGCTGATGGAACAGCTCAGGGCGAGATTTCCGGTGGCCCTCGACTGGGCGCTGCGGGACGTCGAGAGGACCCGGCTCCGGACGTTCGAGCAGGTGTTCCCCCGGGCCCCGGACGACGGCATAGGTAAGTGCATGTCTCACGGCGCGCTGGTCTACAGGTCTTCTTCGTCTCCCCCCGGCTCCGACGACGACCGCCTCGCGCCGCGGCACCTGATGTTCAACGGCGTGGCCAAGGACCCGTGGTTCGAGCTCCGACTGCGCAGGAACACCGAGACCAGGATCGGGTTCGGGATGAGGCTCTTCGTCGAGACGGAGGCGAGCATGGTCGAGGTCGACTGGGCCGTGATGCCGCAGCTCGAGACCGTCTTCCTGGACCTGCGGTCGTACGGCCGGGGCAGGGTGGGCGAGGAGGGGATCCGGAGGGGCGCGGGGAAGATGGGATGCCTGCGGCTCCGGTGCTTGGTGATTGCGGGTTTGCGGAGCGGTAAGTGGTACGTCAGGCCGCCCGGTTGGGAGCTGTGCGGCTGGGAGGCGGATGACAGGGAGGTGGACGGCGGGGTCAACTGGGTCAAGGTGTTTTGCGGGGCCGTCCGGGAGGGCGGGCGGTTGGTGTTTATCGATCGGAGGATTGCGGACGTGGATTGGGAGGGTTGGAGAGCCAGGGCTGAGAACGATGGTCTCCTACCCAGCACTGAGGAGGTGAGTCGAGGTGAGTGCAGCGAGAAAGCCTATCTGAAGCACGTTGAGAGAGTGATGGGTGATGGTCATCACAGCGGATAGAGGAGGTATGTGTGTATGTGGTCATCTTCTCTTTAATGTAATGCGTATACCCTTCAACTGGCCTGAAAGAATACTGTATGCCGGCGAGTCTTTGCAACCACGCATCCTTCCAGGATCAACGCCACCTCCGTAGGTTAGACAACGTAAAACTACTAGGGCTGATTCGAAGATGGTGGTGATTCAAGTTTGGTAATCCCTCCGAATCCTAGTACAGGCCCCTCGCCATTGCCCAAGCAAGATTTGGCCAAAAGACTCGTTGCAGAGCGTAAGTCAGGTGAATAGTCGAAGTTGTTGATAGATGTAGAGGTAGGCTGGCGTGCTGTACACCGCCGGCCAATGCGGTGGTTGAGCTAGACGGTAATGCATCTGCTCGACATCGCCATAATTTGGCGAACCACATAAAACTCAATTCACCCTCTAGGCCTCCAACGCCTTTCATAATGCATGTTCATCTGCAGCACCTTGTCAGTTTTACATGAAACCCCAGCAGGCCTGGGGGATCTCTTACAAGTCGTTCGTCTCGTAAAAATGTTCATCGTGATCTCAAGCCAGACGATGGTCGCGTTGAGGACTCATGTCCAGGCTTGGCATGCTTCAAATAAGTGCGCGGCCGGCGCCGAGGTGGCCGTTCACTCCTCATCAGCAGGCTCGGGCTCGGCCAGCACCCGCAGCTTGGAAGCCTCCTCCTCGGAGTCGCCCGGGGCCGGCTTGTTGGGCTTGATGCCCTCCATCTGCAGGTAGCGGACCAGGGTCTTGGTCGCGCAGGTCAGGTTGGCGTCGCGCTTGAGCTCGGCGTAGGAGATGGCGGGCTTCTCCTTGAGGACGCGCAGGACGGTCTTGACGTCGCGGTCCGACAGGATGCGAGGGCGTCCGGGGCGGGGACGGTCGCGGCCGGCCTGCTGGAGGCGGTAGCGGGTGACGATGCCCTTGATGGACGAGACGGGGACGTCCTCCTTGACGGAGATCTCCTTGAGCGACATGCCCAGCTCGGAGAGGACGGCGATGCGGGCGCGCTTCTCGGGTGAGTACTGCGGCTTGCGCGGCTTGGGCTCCAGGGCGGCGCGTCGAGGCATGGTGCTGGTCGGTTGTAGTGAGATGACGACGGACGGAGAAGGACGTCAGTGAGAGCGGTTGTGGTGGTGAAGCCGTGGGTGGGCGACTACGACGTCGAAGTCGATGACAACGAGAGGTGAAGTGAGAGGAAGCTGTTGAGATGAGATGAAGACGAAGACGGGAGCATGGGCGTGGGCTTTTTTTTTTTTCCCTTGCCCTCACGGCCGGTGGAAGGACCCACTTTCTCGGGGTGGATCAGGGGGTGGGCCACCTGCCAACAGTCGGGGAAGCTGAGTGTGGAGTGGATGCGAGGGCTGCCTTGCGGGTATGGGTACGTACACTTTCCACACCCTGAAGGCACAATGGCGATCATTTATCACAGGAATAAGCAAAACGGGATTGAGATCTATCATTTTTCGAGGTTTCTTCTTGGGGTTTTGGATGGTATCAACCAGAAAAGTCCGCCAACTGGAAAAGACCACTCTAGCCTTTGTTGAACACGCCCCCTTTCTTTCCTGGTATCAGGTGATCAGACCGTCATCGTCATCTAAGACGCATTCGGGGTACCTCGGCTAAACTCCGTATCAAGGACCTTAGGTAAGCAATCTGCCGATAACTCTATCTATCCCCTTCCCTTGATTCGCAGCCCCGGTTTCCATTCAACATCACCCGCACTTGCGTTTGCAGCTGTTGCTTCATCCATGAAAAAGGTCCAGACATCAATGAGTCTGTGTTGTCTCAGAGAGTCCGTCAACGGGCGTGATCTCTAGCTGGAGACCACAGAGACCTCCGCAAAGTTGCCGAGGACCGTGTCGCACCTTCTCGCGACGCGTCTTTACGCGTTGGACGAGCTCCCTGCTAGTCATCATGTTCTAAAACAGACACAAGAAAAGGCCAGTCAAGCCTGTGCGTTGTGGCCAAGACACGAACGACACATGTCGGCCGGCCTTGCGAACGCAAGACATCGATCGAGCATTTTCAGCGAAGAAGAACGGTGGAAATGGCCCCCAAAAGTACACGTCCTCGTTGCTTTTTTTTGTTCCACCGAGGTCGGCTTTCGCAAAACTCACAAACGCATTGTGTCATGTTGCTTTTGTCGATTCTTTTCCCTAACCCTAGTCATTTACGGCGTTACTTTTTCTCTGACCCTCTACCCTCCAGAGGCCTCGAGCCGGTAGACGGAGGATCCCGAATCGACGATCGACTCATTCCAGTGTGGCTGCTGGAATTCTCGGCCAGCTGAACCAGCCAGAGTTAGGCCACTTAGACCCTTGTGCCGCCGATTGCCGTGTCGTTGGCAAAATGCTTGATGCGACTCGGGGACAATCATCGACTACTCGGTTTCGACTCTCCTTTTCCACGCGACTTTCTCTTGCGCTTTCAATGAACAAACACCAATATTCCAGTTCCATCTGAAATCTCGCTTGTTCGAATGAGTATCTACTGCATCTCCATCGAGTCACGTCTGAGCCCTGTCTCAGGTCGTCGTCTTCACAGCTTCCGGCTTCCTTGCATAGACGAGATGTCTAGCAGACGTCAGCATACAGCATGGAATAATCAAAGACACACCTACAGGTCGAAGAACGGCTGGAGCCTGTAGTCCTTGATAGCTTGGCGAAACCGGGCGACGAATACCAAGACGTCGGCATCCTGCCAGCCCATCACTTCCTTCAGGAGAAACGTCACGAAGCCCTCGAGGGATTGGTCGAGGTAATCCAACGATCCCGTGCCGACATCTCTCAGAACGGGATCTTTAGCCCAGGGTCCGACAGGAATCGCCCACTTCTTTTCGACGATGCCGACGAAGCCAGCTGCTTCAAGGCTTTTGGCTATCCCACGGTCGCGACACTGGACCCCTACCTTGCCGAGCTTCTCGGCAGCCCCAATAAGGGTTTTGGAATACGTTTTGAATGGGTGATCATCACCCAAATCATAATGCGTCTGGGACCGAATTTCGATGTCGAATTCTTTGATTTCGATGTAGCCTCCGGGCGCTAAGCATTGGAAAGCCTGTCGGTAGAGATTTGTCCAATTCCCGATGCACCCTTCGAGGTTGCGTATGTGAATGAAGTCGAAATGATTTGCTTCCCAAGTCCATGGCTGCTCTATGTCGTCCATCTGGAAAACACAGTTGGGAGGGGTCCAAGTTGGTTGGATGGGTGAGACGTCAACCCCGATCACCTCGGCGGAAGGGAACTCGTCGGCGAAATCGCTGCAGTTATCAGACAAGTCTGTTCATTTGTTCGGTTGGTATCGAGACGGGCACTCACATCGCCCAAGTTCCCGTCCCAGTGCCGAGATCGAGTACCCTCTGCGAACTATCAGTCTCATTCCATGTTGATAGGACAAATATCCCGGAATATTGGCCACCTGTGGATTATGTCTAATTGGAGCGAGAAAGAGCTGATGGCCGAGAAACAGAGTCATCCACCAATGGCTGTTGTCATATATCAGTCAACTTTTCGAATACGAAAAAGTCGCTCTGAACGGCGCTCGTGGATGAGGAGAACCATCTTACTTGATGTCGAGTCCAAAGTTCTGCCTCTCGTCATTCGGCCCCCAGTAGTCGACTTTCTGAGTGTACGTTCGACCGTGGATGCGGCGATATTCGATAATGCTTTCGCTCAACGATGCGGTCGATGAAGCAAGGCTGGTATTGGTCATAAACTTGTGCTTACGCCACCCCTTCTCACACAACCAACCTGATCATGTCTAATTCGCATCCATCTTCGGCCTCCTCGGCGACGGCAGGGTTCTAGAACGGACTTTGATCAGCACGCAACGATGCAATACGTCGAAAACACCCGCGTCTTACGCCGAGGAAAAAAGCAAAAACAAGAAAAGAAAGATGAGTACCCACGATTTCGATAAGGCCTTCAGCGCGTCCTTCTTCAGCGTTCGCCGGTGAGGACGGGACTGACTTCGGAGACGCTGACATAGCGGCACCCCCGTGATCCGTTCCAATTTATGGTGGAAAAGAGATGGATGGAGAAATCGATATTGGGGGATCTGGGTGTTCTGCTCTTTTGTACAGAGCCTCGGACCCCGTTGGTCCTTCGAATGCATGAAGACCTGCAGGCGGAAGCGGACCGCCAAGCGGGACAGCTGCAGGCCATGCCTCGCTGCGCGAATGAGATCACATCGCTCAGCCGTTGAATTACAGGGTTCCATTACATGCTGATTCAGTAATGCTGATTCCGGAAGGCCGTGAGGGACGACCTGTGGGAAACATCAACGCCTTGGGAATAATACGGAGATGCTACGCCCCCGAGATTCGAGAGATGGCGGCACATCCACGAACACCCTTCTCAAATCAACGTCATCTCACCCCTCAATTTCTCTCGCATTACCACAACTGCCACCCACGAAAGCACTTCTCATCTACGAACTACTCGTCCCGATAAAGACCACAAGCACCGCCGCATACGCCGCCGTGCTCCCCAGCACATCCTTCCCCTCGTCCAAGAAGTACGCCATCAACAACCCGAAGGCCGCGACGAACGCCGTCGTCGAGATGAGGGACGTGTAGAGCCCCCTGTTCAGCACCATCAGCCACATGGGGCCGATGAGGAAGGCGCCCCCGGCGGCGGCGAGCACGACGCGCTCCTTGAACCCGCGGAGCCACGTCCTGGCGACGTTGCCGGTGCGCGTGCCGCAGATGGGCTCGTGGTCGCGACCCGAGTCGAGGCTCTCCCACGGCCGGGGAGATTTGATTTTCCTCATGTCCTTAGCTTCGGCGAGGTCCCGGTCGATGTTGCGGTTGAGGACGTAGTTGTCGATGGCGTACTCGCCCGTGGCGAGGAAGGGGTCGCGGATCGAGTTGCTGCGGTTCTCCATGAAATCGTGGTCCTGCAGGGCCTTGACTATTACAGATGCTTCGTCAGTAATTGGGGATTCCAAGGAACCGAAATGGAATGGTCTACAAGGAACGGGAAGAGAGAACGAAGATGAAAAGAGATGTCATACTATACTTCTCGAGCGTCTCCTCCCAGCCGCTCGACTCTGACCCGTCCGTCCGCATCTCAACGACATGCCTTACCAGTTCACACTGTAGTTTCCGTATTCTCATCCGCTGGACCTCGGCAAAGTTGATCTGAAATCGCTTTTTATCAGTGGAAGTTGACGAGACGGACGACGACGGCAGCAGGGTCTCTTTCCTGCCACCTCTCATCCCCCAAACCCGTCCCCAGAAGGCCTGGAACGCCGACGAGAAAACCCCGACCTGGGGCTCGTCCAGCTCGATAATCAGGTTATCTCGATGGTGATCGATGACCCAGCCTCCCGGGTTGTCACGGTCGAGTGCGACGACCCGCCTCGCGTCCCCGTTGCGCGGGCGTGATCTCGTGCTGTTGAAGCTGTTGCGGCCATGTTCTACACCTTCGACGGTGAACCGAGAATCTTGAAAGAAAACGCTCGGAGTGCGTAGGCGGTATCGGGTCTTGTCTGTGCTACTGTTACTGTGAGACAAGACAGACTCAGACTCGGTCGATACTGTACTGCGCGGACGAGACCGGACGCTGGCCGACGTATCGTCGTCGACTTCAGCTTGCGGCGGGGACAATCGTCAGTGCTTGTCTTTGAAGAATCAATCTAGAAGAATGAGATGCTCACCAGTCTCAGTCGCGGACGTGGGGTCGCCTTGCTTCTCGTAGATTGTGTCGAATGTCATGTTTTGCCAGCGAAGCAAGAAAAAGAGTGTTGTTGTCTGGAGACGAAAGATGCGCAGCAAAACCGCTCCTCGAAGCCTTGTGTGTCTCGGGCATGTCGTTTGCTGCAATACCAGTACACAACGACGTTTATTCCCAAAACGAGGCACTCTAAGTATGTGCGGCTGAAGACGATCACCGATAAACTACAGCTCTGCCGGTGGGGGCGATTCGGCATATCTCAAAGAAACTTGTGTCACACATCCGTCTAGCTCCAGTCCGTCGCGGCACTCGTGTCTTGCCAAGCCACGCGGCTGGCTGAACACTTGATATCATTCACCAACCTCGTGGCTAGCGATACCGTTAGTAGCATTTGTACATAACTTACTTGTAAGGGCTACTCAGCCGCAGGAGCGCAACTTGCCTCTCACTTTTCAATCAATATCTTGGAGAAAGAAAAAGCCAGATATCACGTCCGTCGATATCAATCACAATCAAACACTTGAATTGTTTCTGGACTTGTCAACTTTCATCAAGACATCAAATAAACCCCCTTCTATCAAACCTTCTGCTCAGACTTCTCAGACTCTCCATTCCATCACCATGCCCGAGATCGACGCCCTCCGCTTATACGTCTACCTCCACTTCTCCAACAACACCACAACAGTCGAAGTCGAGTTCCCCTCCACGGAAAAGGACCTCGCCGAAGCATACCGCCAGAGCATCCGGCGGCACAAGGACCTGGAACTCTCCCGCGACGACGGCAACATCGTCGCCTTCGAACTGCCGCCCTCCGCCACCGACGTCTCGACGACCCGCTCGGCCCGGGCCATCATCGTGCACTTCAAGAGATCCAACGACGCGAAGCGATGGGCCGACGCCATCTGCAGGCCCGTCGCGGACTCCTCGCACCAGGTCTATGTTAAGCAGTACTGGAACGAGGCGGACCTGGCGGGGTTGAGGGAGAGTTTGAATACTTCGTCGTCGTCGTCGCCGCCGAAACCGTCGTTGCTGAAGCCGTCGTCGGATCGTGGGGGCGCGCCGCCGCGGCCGGCGCTGACGTCGGTGAATTTTATTGGACGTTTGGGCGCTTTGGAATGAGCATCACACACAGCCGCCTAGCTTGAATTTACTCTACCGCTCCAGAAACATGTTTTGGTTGTCGTTGCTGAAGGGTTATTTGCGTCAATGCAGCTGGAAAGCTCGATTTCAGTGTCCACCAGGAGAGGCATGTCGAGTTGTCCAGAACGAATGAAGACGCAGATCGTTCCTCTCTCAGCATATAAACCAACTTCTATTTCTCCATGATACGGACTTGCAATATCGTAATTGACACTAGAAATTGCGATTTGCCCCGTGAATCAGGATTACTGAAGTGAACATCCGGACCTCTCATTGCGTCGAATGCTGTATATGTGCACTTATACTGTGTCCTACGTGCATGATACAATCGAGCCTTTGCCTTCGTTGACACCCGAACTTTCAGCTCAACCCTCATTTTCGCATTCATAGTCTCTATCACCAGTAGCGGTGTTTGTTACAGTACTTAAAAGCCCAAAACATGATGATAATTGAAAATTACCTACAACAACAACAATGGAGGACGGAAGTTGTCATTACGATATGAAGTCCGTCTATACGAGCTGGTTTTCGATGGTCTCGCTTCTGATGAATACACCATCACTAGCCAAAGAACATCACACACTCCACCCTACCACCCTCCTCAACGGTCGTAATACGGCCAGAATACACCAAAAGAGATGAAGAATAGAACTCCAGTGTAGAGGAACCACTAGGCTAGTTTTCGTTTTCGTTTATGATCTAGAGGTCATCGATTGGTTGCGAGGAAGACAGTATCGAATAACGTGGACTAGCAACGTCCGGATCATCTGAATGGACTACCGGCACTACGGTTGCATAATCGATATCCCCTCCGAACCGACGGCTATTTATACCGGAAGGGCAAGTGTATTGGAGGATGTGGTGCAGAATTTCCGGGACTCGTGCAGACAACATGGCAGAACCTCCATCATGCTGACCCAAGGATTGTATGGACGACGCTCTAAGGCCCGCCGACATCGAGCAGATGAGGCTAGTATGTTCTCGAAAAGGAAACGGAGGCGGCCATTGACTATATAATTCAGACAAGTTGACAACTAAATTTGAATAGTATGCTACAGTCGATGTCGGATCCATAACTCTGGTACATTGGGGTTCTAACCCGGATGGTGATCTGGGATGTCACATGATATCTACATGAATGTGTCATCACGTGAACAACCTAACCTAGAATTCAACGCGTATGTCGAATTATACGGACAACAATACGCCACGAGCGATGAACGACACAAGCGCGGGGCATGGAAGTCAGCCAGTGAAAGCCCTGCAACATTTCAAAGACTCGCATGGTCGATGGCGGGATCCAGACTGCTTCTCAGACATCCTTGCAGTTGAATGGTTCGACGACCAGAAGTCGCTGGGCTCACAGAAATCCTTGCTTGAAAGTGATATTTATTCTTTTCCCCGTCATAGGCTAACACTTTGCAAACCCACCCGCAGCCTTCACTCTCCAGTCCCCGCCGCCCTCACTGCTTCGCCTTGGCCTCCTGCTCCGCCATGAACCTCTCATAATCAGCCTGCCTCTCCGGCGAGACCTTCATGAACGGAATATCATCCTTCATCACCTCCCCGTTGACCTCGACCGGCTTCGCGGGCTGCAGACAGAAGACCACCCTCGCCCACGCGTCCGTCGCGTTCTTCCACCCGTGCATCGTGCCCCTCTGCACCATGATCTCGCCCTCGCCCAGCGTCCGCACGGCCCCGTCGTCCAGGTGGCACTCGACCTCGCCCTTGAGCACGATGCCGTAGTCGCAGCTCTCGGTGCGGTGCATCATGGGCCCCGTCCGCGGGCCGAAGTCGACGACGCGCAGCACCGAGCCCGAGGGCAGGTGCAGCGTCGGCATGCGCGGGTGGTTCGGCGCGTAGGCGCCCAGGTCCCGCTCGCCGTCCATGTCGACGGGCGAGGCGGGCGTCGTGTAGCAGGTGTGGAAGAACATGTTGGGGAGCGGGTCCGGGGTGACCTCGACGGGGAAGGCGTCGGAGAAGACGGCGCGGCCGTTGGCGTCGTGGGTCGTGATGTGGCGGCGGACGGGGCCGAAGGGGAGCTCGTCGGCTGCGGGGGCGGGAGGGGCTCCGGAGGACGACATGTTTGCTGTGTACGGTGTATGTGCGTGTGGGTGTGTCTTGGAAATCTTCTCGGTTTGGAGCTAATTGATAGCTTGGGGAGGGAGCAAGGTTCGGTGACAGGTCCTTGACACTTGACGGGAAGCAGCGTGGGTTGCGAGCAGGATGTAGACAAGGTGACGTGCGCTGTTGATGCTTCTTATTCTTTGTGACAGGAACGCCTCGATTGGTTGACGAATCGTCCGATGGTCGAGCGAAGGACGGGAATCAATGCGTTTCTCGCGTTCCAAAAGATGCGATTGGAACGGGAAGAGGGGATGGAGGGGTTCTTTATGAGGTGCAGATGTTTACGGCCGTTGGCTTTTTCGCGGCGCACGGGGAACCTCGGGGCGCTCGCCGACGTGACTTCCGACCCGTCCTCCCCCCTAGCCAGTTGTCCTTGCCTTAGATCTCCTCCTCACTTGAGTGTTGTCCCTCAGCTGACACAATACGGAAGTTGCAAGTCCAGAGTACGTTCTGCATAGTATGTTGTCGAGGGCTTTGGCGGCATATCTTGCAGGAGAGGGCATTTCACGCGCCTGCTTCAACCCAACTACTGGCTGAAATCGAGACGCAGGCTGGCGAACATCAAGCAAGGTTCGTCTCGTCCAAGTGCTGACGCCACCCTGCTGCTGCTCGGGCAAGATTGGACCCCGAGCCTTGCAGTACATGGTCATCAGCCGCTGCGCACGGAGACGAAAAACCGTTGGCGCACTTTAGAAAAACCCCGCGGCAGCGTGCCGCGAGCTATCTCAACATTTTCTGAGGTTTGTATTCGACGTGCAGAGGCTGGCAGGGATGGCTTCACCAACGGTGAGGGGGAGCTTGCAGGTTCGGGGTGATTACTCGGATTGACTCGTGAAACATATCTTGGCTTTGTGGATGACGGCTTGGCAAAGTTGTGCAATGGCGATCAATCTTCGAGCTTCGGGGACGCTAACAATCTCTCCCGGTTGGCGATTGTTCGGGGAGCTGTCGTAGGATTGTTCTGAATTGACTTTAGGCTTTATATTGCTTCAGCTTGGCGGTGGAGCTTCACCTCCCCGAAAGATCCGTTCGTCCCCTGGATTTTGGTGAAAAGATGTATCTTCTTGTTGAGTACGACTCAATCCTTCGGTGTTGCCTCCGCGAATCGCGCGGCCAAAGAGCGAGACATGAGCTGGGACGTGTACCAGATGACTATGCAGATCTGGCGGTACATCCAACGGTCTCCTGAAGTGCAAAATCCACGCCTGTTCAATCATCATGTCATCTGGCAAAATGACACCAATCGGATCAATGAGATGACATGCCTACTTGTCAGGTTCTATGCTGTCGACTTGCGTAACACAATCCGAACAACGGGGAAGCCCCGAGCGGTCAGCATACGTTCTGGAACTGTTCCAAACGGTGGCGTGCAGGTTGCAACGCCAGAAGCAATATTTGGAAAACAACGAGGGCAATTTCCTCCCCGAGTTCTTCACGCTCGGCGACGTCCCCGTGAAGCGAGAACACGCTGCTGTAGACGGGCGCAACGACCGACGGGGAGTTCCTTTGATTCCATTGATTCCCGATTCTTGCCAACCAGTTCCGAGTGATGTGTTTCGTGGCTTGCCATCGAAGACGATAGTTGTTGCTCGACTTGTCGAGGGTCCAACTTGGTTGCCGGATCATCCTCAAACGTAACTCTGCCGCGAAAGAGACCGCCGGGGAGAATGGCCAAGTGCAAGATATCTCGACTCCTCCTTGAAGATATCGAGATCGGGGAGCTGCCGGCGGCAGCAAGGCCGATGAAATAGATCGTCAAAGTCGAAGCTTGGCTGATGCGACTCTAAAGTCGTGCGGCAAGCTGTCAGATTCAGCTGACCATCGACCTGTCAGCGCGCTTGCCGAGTACCGAACACGGTGCTGAAAGCGTGGGGGATCGACGCGAGGTGCCTGGGATATCAATGAGATGACTTTGGTGGCAAGTCTGGCTGGGCGGGGCATGGGCGAACGCCCAAAGCATGAGCACAGCCGCGGATGCACCCCCACGCGTAATCCCTTCTTCTGGGGCATGCGATTGACAAGAAACGTCTTCTGAAGCTGTAGAAGCTAGACATCTCGGGGAGAAGCCGTCGGCAGCTTGTCCCCGAGGGAACGACATGGTATAAACATTCGCAACTCTTGAAGATGAAATCTCGGGGTTTCTCCGCGTCTTCGTGGCAACCCACTAGCTTCTTCGAAGGAATGACCCGATATCATACTTGCTCAGCAACAGCCAGACCCCAGTTTTCTACGGAAATGGTCGCCGAGGACTGCCGTTCATCCACTGCCCGTGGCTGCAACCTTGCTTGACCACCATGGTGCCCAGTCAACCACCTTCTTGCCCGTCCGCGCTTCTTCTGCAGCAAAGACCATGGCATGCGAGCGAATTACTTCCTCTAAGGAGCAACCGATGTATTCGTTCTGAGCTCTCTCTGGCGTCCATCCGTGGTTCTTAACTCGGTCGACAGCTAGAATAAACTGTCGTGCAAGTCCCTTGTCACCACCGCCGTGGCCGGCGTCTTCAATGGTGGGATGATATGCTTGGGTGGTACCGGTGTTGAAGTTCTCGATAGTGATGGTACGGGAATCGGCGTAGATCTCACCTTCAACGCCGTAAATGTGTGTGTATCTCTCACATATTTTCTTCGTATGCGCAACCATGTGCAGCGTGGCGGACTTTGACAGTTTAGGCTCTTCGGATTCGGTAGAGACATCATCCCAGCTTATGGTCACCGTCTGTTCGTCACAAACGTTGTTGTCCGCCTCGAAAACGCAACGGCCAAACCAATTCCGCGATGAAACAACTTCCTTCGGGGTCGATTCGTCGTAGTCCTCCGCGAGCTTCGATGCCAACACCTTGCTTCCCTCGGAGGCTGTGCCGAAGTCCTCGATCTCGGGGAGCACTATGCTGACAGGCCAGTCGGTGTTCCCCGAGCCCAAGCCTTTGAGATCTGGGCCCAGGTAGATATTCTTGGCCGAGTACTTGCACCCTTGGTCGCCCAGTGGACAAGACAGACAGTTCGTTGCATTTCCTGCTGCGACTGGTTTCCGAACCTTCCTGAACATCTGGAGAGAACCGTTCGAAGATACAGTAGACGGTAGATGCGGTGTGCCTTGGCCAGCTTTGACGGGTGAACTCAGAAGCCAGAGAAGCAGGTCGATATCATGACAACTCTTGGTAAGCAGACTCGGAGCTGTGGTCTTCTCATTCCGCCAGTTGCCTCGGACATAGGAGTGAGTGAAGTGCCACCACCCCACTGGTTCTGTGTGAACAATGTTGATGATGTCGCCAATGACACGCTCTTCTAGAAGAAGCTTGCGAAGGAGCATGTTGTGCGGGCTGTAGCGAAGGACGTGGCCGATGGAGAAGACGTTCTTGGGTTCCTGACCAGCAGGGGGCTTGAGGGCCTCGTACATGTCTAGGCAGTCTGCCAAAGATGTCGCCAGCGGCTTCTCGCACATGACGTGCAGTCCAAGCGGAGCCAGTCCGACGACGACATTCCGGTGCATCTCGTCGAGCACGCAGATGAAGACGGCATCGACACCGGGCGGTACAGTCTCCCCAGCAGCTTCCCTTTCACGACGGCGTGTCTCGTAAGCGACGAACTCGGTCCAGTCGGCGAATTGCTGGCCTTCTGAGGGAGCAGCCGAGCCCCAGATGTACGTCCGGCCGAATGACTGTCGCTTGTAGGCGATCGGCTCAGCGACAGCAGCCACGACGCCATTGCTGGATGTTTCGGTGGCGCAGGCGTAGGCTTGGCCTCTTGATCCAGCACCGATGATGAGAATGCGCGGCGGCGATGCAGACATTGGAGGCTTCTCTGGCGGCACAATTGAGGGCTCCGGGGCCACCGCAACGGGCGAGCCTGATTTCTTGATGGAGGACATGGTGGACTTGCGGTTGTCGAAGCAGCCGCTTTGGGTTCAGGGGGTCGTCGCTGGTGCTTCTAACGAAGCTGGGCGCTTTCTTGTGCAATTTTTTTTTTTCAGGACTTTGCACAATCAGACTTGTGTGACGACTGGGGATCTTGGAAACGAACAGGACACACACAGCAGGGGGTTCACAATAATAAGCAAGAGGTGAGGACGGGAATGAAGTGAAGCAGGAGCTCTCGCGGTTTACAGCTTCCCCGGGCTGAAAAGCGGGGGTTTGGCGGGATCCGACCAATCATTGTAGTGGTATTTGAATGCCAGCTGGCGAGGCGTTTCTTATCGTATCAGCTCTGGCGTTATCTTATCGTGGCAGCCAGCCGGGGCCGGTCCCGTCGAGACGATCACCAGATGCCTCGTGCGCCACGACGGTGATGTAAGAGAAAGCGGGCAGCCACAGACTGTTGGAGCTGTGATGGCTGAACCCCACCTCTTGAGGTAAGGTACCTTTCGGCCGAGCCAACTGCAAGGAGAAACTGACCTCAATTCTCTGCGACTACCTTCAAGCTCCCTTTACCGTTGGTCACGCGACCATATTCCAGAGCACCGAATACCTTCAGTAATACGCCAAATTCACCATGGACTTTTTGAGACCCAAGGCACCGGCGCCCAAGATGAAGTCCGCCTCAGACGGACCCCTCGTCTGGATCGACTGCGAGGTGAGTGCATGAAGTCTACTTTCGACGAACCATTCAACTGACACACTCTCAGATGACCGGCCTGGACCCAGACAAGGAGGAAATCATCGAAATCTTTTGCATCATCACCACCGGCAACCTGGAAGTCGTTGACCCCGAGGGCTGGGGCTGCGTCGTTCACCAGTCACAAGAGCGCATGGCACAGATGGACGACTGGTGCACCAAGACGCATGGAGAGAGCGGCCTGACCGCGGCGGTCATCAAGTCGACGACGACGCCGGAGCAGGCGGCGGACGAGCTGCTCGCTTATGTGAAGCGGCACGTCCCGGAGCGGAAGACGGCGCTGCTGGCCGGCAACAGCGTGCATGCTGACCGGTCGTTCCTGAATAAGGAGCCGTACCGGAAGGTCGTGGACCATCTCCACCACCGCATCTTGGATGTCAGCACCATCAAGGAGGCGGCGAAACGCTGGGCGCCGACGCAGGTGGTTGATAACGTGCCTCAGAAGCAGGGCTTGCACCAGGCGAAGGAAGATATTCTGGAGAGTATTGAGGAGGCCAAGTACTACAGGGAGGCCATCTTTGGCTTGACATGGAGGCGGGGCGGCAGCGGTCAGGAGACGCCGTTGAGTGAGCAGGACGAGGAGGAGGCCTGGGCGGATAACTTGCTTTAGGGCAGCATAGGATGAGATGCCGAATACAATCAAATAAATTTATCAATTGACTGATCACGACACCGTTTGAAGCCAGGGTACCTATCTAAAAATGCGAATGCTCTCATTAATCCAAAATATCGGATAACAGTGTAGAATCAACATAATCACCGTCAAACCCACCAAAAACCGCACGAAAAAGACAGTGCGTGAACACGAGCTCCTCCACCCCGCCATGATTCGCCAGCGTCCCCTGTGCTTCGTTGAGGCGGTATGCGATCCCCTGGAGGTGACCTGGAGGTGAGGGGCTCTCCACCAAAGCTGCCCCTCCTTCGCTGCTCAGTGACCCCGCCCACGTCCAGCCTCAGGATGATATCACTGGCCAAGCAAACCCCCACCTCGACCACAGCTCTCTATTCTGACCTATCACGTCGCGTCAACAATTCACTGCTGCTGCCATTCACCGCAGCGAACCTGGAAGCCAGCAACCTTTACAGGCCTTTTTGCCCCTCCTTCCAGTGTCGTCCCCTGGTCTGGCCCAGTTCAGTTCCATGGAGTTGCCATACCTACCACCTCACGCATTATTACTTGCTACACAGGTAGCTCGCCCAATTCTCGACTCTCCCCTTTTTCTACTCTGCATCACGTCCTTTTTGCAGTATCATCTTTAATTGGTATCATTTGAAGTCGCAAAGCACCATGGACGTCCAGACTGTCGAGTTCAAGCCTTTCCAGGACCAGAAGCCCGGAACGTACGTACGATATTTGCACAAACACCAAGGCCGATCTCGTCGACTTTCTGCCACCCCGCCATAGCTTCCATCACCCCTCGAAGGACTCGATAGCTGACATTTCACCAGTTCTGGTCTTCGCAAGAAGGTCACCGTCTTCCAGCAGCCTCACTACAGCGAGTCCTTCGTCACGAGCATCCTGCTTTCCATCCCCGAGGGAGTCGAGGGTAAACAAAACTCCCCACACCGCATCACCATCTCCCACGAACTGACAGACCGCCCCCGCAGGCTCTTTCCTCGTCATCGGTGGTGACGGCCGCTTCTGGAACCCCGAGGTCATCCAATTGATCGCCAAGATCGGTGCCGCCTACGGTGTCAAGAAGCTGCTCATCGGCCAGAACGGCATCCTCTCCACCCCCGCCGCCAGCCATGTCATCCGCAAGCGCAAGGCCACCGGCGGTATCCTCCTGACGGCCAGCCACAACCCCGGCGGTAGGAACTATCTACGCATCAGAGTTTGATTTCTCAAAGCTAATCGACCCTCGAACAGGCCCCAAGAACGACTTCGGCATCAAGTACAACCTCGCCAACGGCGGCCCGGCCCCCGAGTCCGTCACCAACAAGATCTACGAGGCCTCCAAGACCCTGTCCTCGTACAAGATCGCCTCCATCCCCGACGTCGATATCACCACCGTCGGCACGAAGACCTACGGCTCCCTCGAGGTCGAGGTCGTCGATAGCACCGCCGACTACGTCGACATGCTTAAGGACATCTTCGACTTCGACCTCATCCGCAAGTTCTTCCAGTCCCACCCGGACTTCAAGGTCCTCTTCGACGGCCTCCACGGCGTCACCGGCCCCTACGGCACCGCCATCTTCGAGAAGGAACTCGGCCTCCAGGGCGCCACCCAGAACTGCGTCCCCAGCCCCGACTTCAACGGCGGCCACCCCGACCCCAACCTCACCTACGCCCACTCCCTCGTCGAGGTCGTCGACAAGAACAACATCCCCTTCGGCGCCGCCTCCGACGGCGACGGCGACCGCAACATGATCTACGGCGCCAACGCCTTCGTCTCCCCCGGCGACTCCCTCGCCATCATCGCCCACCACGCCAACCTCATCCCCTACTTCAAGAAGAACGGCGTCTACGGCCTCGCCCGCTCCATGCCCACCTCGGGCGCCGTCGACCTCGTCGCCAAGAAGCAGGGCCTCAACTGCTACGAGGTCCCCACCGGCTGGAAGTTCTTCTGCGCCCTCTTCGACGCCGACAAGCTCTCCATCTGCGGCGAGGAGTCCTTCGGCACCGGCTCCAACCACATCCGCGAGAAGGACGGCCTCTGGGCCGTCGTCGCCTGGCTCAACATCATCGCCGGCCTCGGCGTCCAGAACCCCGACGCCACCCCCTCCATCAAGCAGATCCAGAAGGACTTCTGGACCGAGTACGGCCGCACCTTCTTCACCCGCTACGACTACGAGGACGTCGACTCGGACGGCGCCAACAAGGTCGTCGGCGTCCTCAAGGACCTCGTCGCCGACCCCAACTTCGTCGGCAGCAAGGTCGGCGACCGCACCGTCACCGGCGCCGGCAACTTCTCCTACACCGACCTCGACGGCTCCGTCTCCTCCAACCAGGGCCTCTACGCCACCTTCTCCTCGGGCAGCCGCATCATCGTCCGCCTCTCGGGCACCGGCTCCTCGGGCGCCACCATCCGCCTCTACCTCGAGCAGCACAGCAGCGACCCCAGCACCTACGACCAGGACGCCCAGGACTTCCTCAAGCCCGAGATCAAGATGGCCACCGACCTGCTCAAGTTCAAGGAGTTCATCGGCCGCGACGAGCCCGACGTCAAGACCTAAGCGTCTGGTCCCTGTTGTATGATCCCCGGGAGAGAGAGAACAAAGACACAAAAGAAAGTTAGGGAGGGTATAAAAGATGCGCTTCGGTATAGAGGAGCCCCAGCACCCGGCGCGCGCTGCGGATGATGTTACGATGGTACACGATAGCATAAATTGAAGTCAATTGACGTAATTGCATGGCCTCTGTCACTTTCATCTCGGCACATGAGTCCGTTCACATCCTGATTTTGTTCAGTCTGTACTAGCTGTCATTATGATTCATCAATCATTAGAACAAAGAAGAGAGATATCAAAAGGCTCAAAATAATCAAAAAACTGAATAGACAACATCATGAAAACCAAGAAAGAAAATAAAAGCACGCTGCGCTTATGTCGAAATCCAATACAAGATCAACACACAATCAATCTTTCTCTTCTCCTCGGGGTATTTCCTCCGAGGTCAAACAAAGGGAAGGCGCAGACAACCGTGGAACACCACGGAATCTCTACACTAGGGGGCCAAGTGGAACGAGTTCCCACCCATCGTATATTTTTGGAGAGGAGATCCGGGCGGGTGGCTGAACGTAACGTGGGTAAGGGAGGATACGAGGGACTCCACCGACGTCAACGGGGGCCGGGGCCGGTGGGCGTCGTTATCCATCGCCCGAAGACCGAGCTTCGGACCCGGTCGTCGGAACGATCACTTGGCACCCTCGATGGCGCCGGCAGCCTCCGCCGAGGTCTCGTCCGGGTTCGGGAAGAAGACCTCGCGGAAGCGGGAGGCGCCCTCGTCCGAGACGAAGTTGATCTCGAAGGCGCCGCCCTGGCCCTTGCGCATGTTCATCTGGCGGTAGCGGTGGCAGAAGACGTAGAGCTGTATGTCCTTGAGCCAGACGCGGTGGCGGGACTTGCGGTGCAGCCAGGTCGGGGAGGCGGACTGGTGTGTTACTTTTGTGGTAAGTCAGCGGGGGAGTTCGCAAGACGAGACATAGTGAGGGTGTTGAAAGGGGAATGAGCCCGAGACATACCGAACGCCGTCCACACCGGACACTGGCGGAGTTCGCCCTCCCACACGGCGGCGTGGAGGCGGAGGCCCTTTGTCGCGACGTCGCGGTAGACGATGAGGGAGTGTTTGAACCCGTCGTCGATGATTTGGCTGCCGTTGTTAGTGCATTCTTAGTGCATTCGCCAGACGGGAAACCCAGCGGGCGTGGAGGAGGGAAAGCCTTACGCTTGGAAGAGTCTCTTCTCGCCCGAGAGCTTGTACTCCCTGGCGTTCATGCTGATGGTGAGGGCGTTGCGGGCCTTGAGGGAGACGAAGGTGTTGTGGAACAGGACGAGCTCCTCCCAGGTCTTGAAGCAGAGCCCGGCCCACAGCTTCGGCATGTTGTCGACCTGGCTCCAGCGGTTGAGGCAGAGGGTGCTGCCCTCGCGGTGGATGACCAGCTCGTGGGTGCCGCGGAGCGTGAACCACGGCGCGCCCTGGTGGAAGCTCCGCAGGAGGACGTACGGAGTCTGGTTGAGCAGGTTGAGGAACATCATCAACGCGAGACGATCCTCGTCAAAAGGCCTAGTTGCGGATTAGTAGACCGTGACGGTCCTGAGGAGCATCGGCTACGTACCGCCTGAAAAGCATCTTGGTTTCCTTCGGGATGTTGAGCTGGCCCCATGCCATGAACTGGCCACGGGCCTCTGAGGGCTTGTTGCTCTTCAAGGCCGTCCGAGATGGCAACGGTAGTGAGAAGATTTGCTCGGCCCAATGGTCGGTCTAGTCGTTGTCAGTAGAGCATCGTCATACGACCTGAGGCACTCACGGGGTCTTGAACCGCCGGCAAGAGCATGGCTTCTGGACGAAGTACCGGGCCAACTTGTGTCGCCGGTGTTGCTATAACAAGGGTCAGCATTGTGGACTTTACATCGGTCTTGGGGTCATACGAAGGCCTCTTGCTTCCCGCAGACCAATGATTCTCGTTCGTAGGCTCTCCAAACTGTTGAGATCAAAATTTGGCGACCTTACACCTGTTAATATTCATCTCGTCTTGGATATCAGGCCGACTTCGACCTACCTCGTCAGAAGATGCTTCAAGCAAGTCAGGAAGTGGTTGTACAAAACGAAGCGCTGGGGGAGCGGCAATCCGCCGACTTCCTGCGTCATGGTGTGGTACATCTTCCGCCATCGCATCTCCTTGCTCACGGTGCGTGTCTCGTAAAAGTTGGTGATGTCGCGAAGGGTCCTCGACAGACACGGCAGGATGATGTTGAGGTAGTTGAGGAGTATCGGGACGCGGTTGAAGTGCATCTGCGAGCGGTCGGCCAAGTCTCGGAGGATCCTTGCGCAACTCCGCATTTCCTCGACGAGCGCGGCGAGGTGGCCGCCGTAGCTCTCCGGCAAGGCGAGACGGAGGCCTTCCAGATTCACCGATACCAGATCGGCCCTCTCGGCCTCGAGGCAGCAGCCCTGGAGCAGTCGAAAGTCGACCTTTTGCAGGCTTTGTTCCATTTTTTGCGGGTTTAGTGGTGTTGTTGGGCCGGGTTGGCGATGGTGACTCGGCTCAATATCTCATGATTCGGCGTGGGGACCGCGCAATCGGGGTAGTCTGGTCGGTTCCAGTTCCTTATCCTCCAAAACAAAAGAAATGACGGTGGTCTTTAGGTTGTGTTCAGATAACAGTCTTGGGTCCGGGAGCTGCTGTTCAACGATGGCGATGAATAGCTCATAGGGCTGTGATGTCGCCCAGAAATAGTGACAGACAGGATTGCTGATCGGAGGGAGGAAAGGAAGGAGAGATGACCCGCTTCTTCAGTTCGGCATGATATTTCTCTGTTATGGTGGTGGTAACGTGTGGCCACAACGATGGGCGCTCAATGGGTGGAAAGCGGCTGCAACTGCGATTCGGAGCTGCAGGTCTCGATTTCGACGGCCAGCCTGGAAACACACGCCACCACACCCTGCCAGACCTCAATTCCAGTTGTTCCGTCTCGTTTCTGCGCTGGCGGTACGAACCCAAACACCAACACAGGCTGCTCACATCTGACGTGTCCAGCGTTCCGTGGTCGCCGTATGTTGCTTTTCTATATCCAGGACAGATTCGTGTCGGATGATATTGGTGGTGCGCCGCCTTTGGGCTTCAATTGATGCTATTACTTGAGATCGGAGCTGAAAATAAGCGCGCAAATTCGAGGTTGGATTTGGGCTGATAGTTACCACCAAACCAACGTCGGTCTTAGACGTTAATCGTTCTGAACCACCGAGTGGACTGACCGACGAAGGCGCCGAGTGTATCAACCCAGGGCCACAAGAACACACCGAAATCCCCAAGGCGAGATTGCAGAGCCTCTGAAGAAAATCCGGCGAAGCTGCTGGAAGTGACTGAAAAGAGGAGCGTCTGTATGTCAGATTGCTGCCAAAGCAAAATGTGTGGGCTCAACACATATTGACCCGACGACGGACTAGCCAGAGCATGCCACGACTGCTCAGGATGACCCCATGGACCTGTACGCTTCCCACCTCTGCATGCATTAGGAACGTCCAAGACGGTGCGGCGGACGAATGAGGCCGGCCCGGAGCCGGCGGGGGATGACCTGGGCGACTAGCACTTGCATAAATAGTGCAGGCGAGCACCAACTTTTGATAAAGACCTCGCGGAGCACGAAGAGAAACCACGGCGCCAGATCGGCCGGCAGCTTGAGACGGAGTGCAGCGACTGGCCGATCACTCCAAAAAGGAAGTCCCGCGTCGGACATTCGGTAACCAACGAGGATATTGACGATACATCATAACGTCGCATCGCTCTCGACTATGCTTGGCTTCAGAGCATCTCGCAGGGTTTCCAGACGGACGGGTTCGGTTGACGACGTAAGAAAAAGCTTGGAGAACACTCGAGTGCTGTGTGCGGCGTGGAAAGTATCGTGGTGACGAGCGAGTAATGACAGATGCATGGTGAGATGCAAGACGATGGAACGCCCTTCCGCATTGGTCTGGGAAGTATCCGTAATGCACCGCGATCTCGTCGTCTCCGCAAATGCATGCGACATGACGCTCCATCCATCCCTTCTTCATTCGCACCGCTCGCGCAGAGTGCAATGCGCAGAGCCTCTCGTAGAGATGAGGTAATCCAGCCTGATGCTCCGGGCCGGGGTGAAGATGGTTGACGAATATTCTTGAGACGAGCTGCAGAACGTCGATCGGTTCATCTCATCGAGTCGACAGACGGCCGCTAGGCCCAAGTCAGGCATGTTGCCAACAGGCATGATGGGCTCGGCAGACGAAGACCGTCATCTGGCTTGCGGCACCGCAGACCATGGCGATGTTGATTATCTAAAGGGTGCGCTGGCCGGTGATGCACGGTACGATTCCGTGGTTGGTAGATGGTAAAAGTTTTGGTGAGGATAGGAAGTGAGAAGGTGCCCGTTGGACAGTAAGATGTGGCAGCGAATTTCCGCCGGTTTTATTCGAGGCAACATTGATCAAGTGAGAGCAGGAGGCAGCCTCACCGTGACATGGCCCAGGCATCCATCCATCCATCCATCCAAGCACCGCTGAGTGGAGCGCGTTCATCGACGCCCCCCGATTCTGTACGGCAAAAAATGGAAGGTTTCAATCCATGGATGTCTCATGCTTCCACAATTTCACCGGTCGGAACACCCCGACAAGCAGCCACTGGAGCCCCCACCACCTTGACCGATTGACCGTCTCACCGTTGAGTCCCGCCCTCCCCTTCCTCCATCCGCGGGGACGGCTCGACGCGCCGAAAGGCAAGACACGGACCACGAAAACCGGCCCCAGACCCAAGATCCAAGTCCCCGGCGGCGGCTTCGCTGGATAACACAACCCCGGCCTAGTGGGCGCTGCATTAGCGGACAGGCCGATCCTAGCTGCTGCCGACGGCTCGGCCTGGGCTTGGGCGCCTCTCCGTCCGCACCCCCCCGCGATAGGACGGACGGCCTGGCAGGTTTAAAATAAGAGCTCAAGGCCCTTGCCTTGACTGGCCGACGATAGGATATTAAGGCCCCTCCGTCCAGATCCCCGGGTCCGGGGAAAGGACCCTTCACGAGCAAGGGGCGCGGACCAGCCATCCGAACAATCACACAAATCGGTCACACAGAATAAGCCTGGCAAGGTGAGTATGTTTATGTTGATACAATTGTGTGAAGGAGAATCATTTCAATTCACGGAAATCGCCATCCCCTGACTGGTGGGATGAACAACTCTCCCAGCAAAACGACGCTTTATCGTAGCCCTTTCCGCCCAATTCCGATAGTAAAGTTCCGATAGGTACACCGTGAGGCCCATGACTAAGATGGAGGGATGCGTATCATTCATGACGCACTCCTCAACCAAAATAAAGAAACAAGAAAAACACCGCCGCGTTTAGGAAGACTCATCCTCCTCCTGCTCGGCCTTCAGTAGGGCTAATTAGCTTCAGCACGACACAGCAAGGGTGGGGTATGGGGGACATACGTTGTAAGCCTGCTTCTCGTCCTCGTAGCGCTTCTTGTCGGCAGCGGCCTTGGCCTCGTAGGGGCCGCGCTGCTTGTCGTTGAGGGCCTTCCAGCGCTCACCGAGGATCTTGCCGACCTGTCCGAACGAGATGCCGGGGTTCTCCTCACGAACGTTCTCGCGCTGCTCGTTGGCGAAGAACATGTAGGCGGACAGACCACGCTTGGGGGCGTTGGGGTCTGCGTACCACGTTAGTTACACTGGACAGAGACTGCATAACGAAGCGTACGGCTCAGTAACAGTCAGGTTTTGGGGTGTTGGAAGCAGACAGCCTGGGTCGCCAGTAAGGCAACCCATTCATGGCCGTATGCCGACAACCACCACAGCCACTGACCGTGCCGAGCGTAGCTTTCGACGAGAATGACGGTAACGTACCCTTCTTGCCGCGCTTCTTCTCGACCTTGCCGGCGGCGCCGCGCTTGGTTTGTGCCTTAGGCATGATGTCTGCGAAGACCGGTGTTAGTTACTGGATTGAAAGCCGCGCCTGGTGGAAGACTTGAGTGAAGAAGAGTGTTGTTGTGGAGGGAAAATGGGCGTTGCGCAACAGACGAGTGGAATCGCCGTGTCTCGCGGAAGAGGATAGTGCAATGCGATGCTGGGATGGGGCGGGTCCAGCGATGTTGATAGTGTTGGTGGTGACGGGTCGCAAGAGCAATTGCGGTCGGCGACGCGCAGTAATTGCAATTCGAAGCTTCAAGTCGTTCAAATGAGATGGTAAAGCATACCTGAGAGGTGTGTGAAGTGGTTGAGACGGTGTTGTGGAAGTGGTCGCCTAGACGCGTCAAGCTCTGTTAGCTGTTGAGCTCCTTTTGGACGATAGATGAGGATGCGCATCGCTCAGCCAGCTGCCATGAAGGTAACTTCATGGCAACCTCTGCGACCGATGCAACGGGAAAATCGCATGGAATAAAGCCAAATCGTGCAGATTGCGTACGATTTGACTTCCAATGCAGCGGCAAGTGGAAAATAAATTTGTTGGTGGCCGTCGTGGTGTTGCGGTGCTGGGTATATTGGGTGATAGGTACTCACAGATAAAAGGTGCGCGAAGGCAGCTGTGTGTGTATTGCGAAGAGTGGTTTGTATGGGAGGAGGATTTGGGTGGGAGATTTGTATGGGAGAAGAAGAGGGAGGGAAAATGTATGGGGGAGGGCCAAGCAGCCTTTTTACTATGGGGGAGTGATTGTGCGGCAGCAACGCGCTTTCTTGCACTTGTTTTTGCTGGGAAGTCGGGGACGGCGGTCGACTGGGGGGGTCAGTCTGGGAGAGGGGGGAGAACCACGACTTGGGAAGGAAGGAAGGCAAGGCGGAGGGGGTGAGTGAGTTGACTGGAGGCGTGCCAGGTGGAAGGCACAAGGGAAAGGGACAGAGTAAGGTACCTTCCTCACTTCAGAGTCTAGGTATCTATCTGTAGGTAGGGAAGGGGGGGTCACCTTGGTCCTGCTTTGCCTGGTCTGGTCTGGTCTGCTGGTCAGGTCGCCTTCAGGTAACAACAGCTGGGCTGCTTTCTGGGTGCTGAATGGGTGCAGCAGTAAAGAAAATTGGATTGCGCACTGGCCGACTGGGCACGGCGCGCCGCACCAAAAGTCGCGCCCCCGGTGTCAACTGGCAACTGGCAGCTGGCAACCAAAAAAAATGAGGGAAAAGGTAGGAGAGAGAGGGGAAAGTGCCATGGGAAGGAAGGGTGGGCGCGGCTTCCCTCCCTGACACCCAGAGGCAAGAAGCCAGAGGTCCCTTCCTTCCTTCCCCTTCATCACCCACTACCCATCACCCCCTCCAACTTTTGGTTGCAAGTTCACCACGCAGTATCCGTCAGGAAGGCACGGTACACGTCTAAAAGAGGGTGCGGTAGCATGTGCCTTTACTACGGATACCACCAGGAAGAGTACCTCCGTCTCCGTCCTCCTTCCTCCCCCTTTACCCCTTCCTCTTGCCGCTTGGTTGCCAGGGAAGGAGGCAGCACCGCCGGTCAGCCTACCACTTGCCTTACATTTGCGGGAAAGTACCACCACACCTGACCTAGTGCGGAGGGTACTTCTGTCTTATACACTGCCTCTCAGCTACGAAGTACGTGAGTGCATCTCAAGGCAGAGGCAACAGAGAGGACTGCAGTGTGAGGCAGTGGCAGCAGCAGCAATTACAGTAGAGAAATCGAGAATCTCGTTGGCTGTCACTTGATTTCCAATTCCAATGTCTTCCTTCAATGAATCCATCCATCCATCCCCATCCCGTCTCTTCCTCCCACCTCCAGCTATCATTTCTCGAGTGAGAGTCCTTCACTCCCTGCCTCTCCTCTCCTTGTCGCTGCTATTATTGGTGGTACTGTATAGATACAAGTTGCGCGCAATACTCCGCACCCAAGTACTGTACTTGCGCTTTGTACCTCTGCCTTCAAACAAATTTTCGCACTGGCTACTTTGGCGCGCCTTCCCTTCCCTTCCCTTTGCCTCGCGCCCATGTACCTTCCCTGCCCAAGGTATCCGTCTCCCACCCGCCTTTTTTTCCACCTGCCACCAGCGCCTGCTCTTTCTTTTGCTGTCCAAGCCGGCCGTCATGATTCTGAATATCTGATTCCATCAACACCGATGCATCTCCACCCTTTCCTCCGTCTGCAGCGCGGTGCAACTGGACAAATACCAGGCATCAGACACCCAGACAGGACCATCTTCGTGTCTGGTCCACTTACCGACTGACCTGAGGCCGACTCCAAAAAACTTGCTGAAGCTGATGATGGCTCTGGGTCTGGTCACTGGTGTTGAGTCGTCGTTGACCGGGACGGGACCCTCACCAGCTTATGGCCACTCCACTTACACCGATCAGCAACAGCACCGGCAGCATCTTTGCTCCATTATCATTCACGAAACCATCATTTGCCGGCTCTCATCACATTAAAACACCCGGCTTTCTTGCAACCCGAACGCAATGCCCAGAAATTTCTGCGCCATTCCATGTTACTTGCACCCTCCTTTACGACTCTTCAAGTCCCTCACCTGGTCTTATTGCCAACTCCTTCAACCAAAGCGTGTGCCGTGGCAGCGTACGAATACCTCCCATGGATACGGACAGGATACAGACACCTCCAACCGACAAGACGCGCAGTGACATTGGGACACCTGCCACCACACAATCACTGAACCTGGCCTGAACCGGGCATCTCCTTCATCATGCTTACCGGCGCTAAGGGATCCCCTACCGCCTGCTGGCTTGCCAGGCCGCATATGCCCTCTTCCTCATCCATCACTAGGACGGATAGACGAGGATGAATCACCAGAACCCGCGTCGTCTGGCAGGGGAGACGGTATTTCGAGCTGCCCAGCTTCGCCTCGAATCTTACCACGCAGTGCCGTACCGTCCTCTCCACACTCAGCTCTCGTCCCTTCTCTACTGCCCAGGCACCCAGGGTAGGACGGTAAGTGGTTTGGGTTTAGCTGCCCTGAGCAGTGTTTCTGCAGTACCCTCGAGCCAAGTGTGCTGCACCTTCTGACTTACAGAAATTGGGACGATATCACTCTTTTCGCCTTCGCCCTCCATACCTTGGTACCGATACACCGCCAAAGCAAACATCGATTGTGGCAGATAGCAAGAAACTCGCGTCAGTCTCGCCGCTCTTTGCTGGGGCTGTGGGTGTTGGTGACCTCATGGCCGAGAGCTTCCTCTGTTAGCGTCAACCGACAAGCTTCACGATTTTCGGATTTCCTCACCAAAGCGACAAGGCGTGCCTAGGTGTGAACCTCATGGACCGAAGAGATGGAGCACGAGTGGCAGCTGGGAGGTCGTCGGAGACACGGGAAACGCCCAACTCATCACACACCACACACGCACACTGTGTCTGGTCTCCCTGGACGTCGTGCGCACTTTGCCCACACTAAAACACAACTCGACACACTATGCGCCATTCCCCCTCCTTTGAGTGGCTTGTCCCATCATCATTACACCTAATTCATCGTCTCCAAGACCACACCAAGTCGAGTACATCGGCTCTGAGTTCTCGACAAACGCTCTATGCCAGGCTTGTCCTGGATGGCCAGTCGAGGCGGTTAGACAACACGCATATCTCAATAGTGGCTTTCCCTGTGCGGCCCAACCTCGCTATCTAGGTACACCATCACCGCAGTATTGGAGCACCTCTTCCGACCAAGTACTCGCACCACGCCGCGGCTCGACATGACCTGGAGATCATTCCTCCAACGACCTGCGTAGCAGCAGCCTCGTGCAACCCTAAGAAGCGGCTTCCAGCTTTGCTCCCGCTGTTCGAGATGGTTGTACAGGTCAGATTCGGCAGGGGCAGAGGCACTTTCCAACTGCGGTACGCTGGACAGTTGGACGAAACGACTTCGAGTGCTAGACAGACGGAATGCGCTCTATTGCCAACGGAGATGCGACATTGGAAAGACCGGAAAGCCGTTCTGACTCCGTACTGATGGGGATGGCACTCAAGCATGGCGAAACAAAACTCGGGTACTTTATTCATGCATACGCCCCATGTATCGTCATACGAGATTGCCTTGTACTGTTACATGCCCTTATGTACCTCCAAATTGGCCCACCGCGTACGGAATCATCTTGAGCGGACGCGTCGAATCACTCTCTCTCTCCGGCCGACGGTAGTCTCTGGACTTCCCAGCCTCCATCTTGCCTCGACCACAGCTCACAGCTTTCCTGCTTCTTTCTCATCCTCTCGACTCACCGGCCAATCTGCAGCACGTGCTGGCATCGTCCGGATGATACAGAGTAATTAACAACAGACGACACCTACTGCCAGTTAACCCGGTGATGGTCTGGATCACTGCGAACTGGGAGAAAGAATCGAGGCATAATTTGAAGCAGACTGATATCTCTCTCTGCGTACCGTCCCTTGCCGCAAGAGATGCGCAGTATCTGTCTGGAGCGGCCTTTTCTGGCTTCAGCCAATGGTCATCTGTTTAGCGGAAAACGAGTTCAGAATCAGTCGCCCTATCACGGCGGATCACCGAGGTTTGGAGCAGAGGGATATCAGTCGACACGCAACTACAGGCCGAAGGCAAACGGCGCGCACCTCTTCTCTCTGTGCGTAGGTATGCCTACGGATACCAATGTCGCGCCATGCAGCGGCCAGGCGGTGCAACACTCTCGGCAGTGAGAGAAGAGTGGGAATACTTCGTCATGCGCACAAAATGTGCGGGCGCTGGTGTACCCCGACGCGTCTTGCTGGGAAATGCCTGCAACGGAGGTCACAAAGACCCCTCTCGAACGCACCCAAACGGCCAATGCAGGCGTCTCTGCAAAATCACGAGCCGGCAAAACACCTTGCCATGGGCCAGACTGCCAGTGTCTGCCAGGAGGAGGACGCTTCCGCACCATTCCAGACGAGCCGCAGGGCCCAGCCATTTTGCTTTTGCTCGCTTGTTCCCTGTTTGGTTGGCACTGGCGACGGTCAATGGCAATGGGAGGGCGGCTTTCTGGCGAACAAAGTGTACGCAATGTACCAGCGACTTGCAGCGGATACACGGAGCCAGACAATTTGGCTGGGCTAGTCGTCTTTGCGCTGCTAATACTGTGCTGTACCTGATGCTCCCCGGCAATCTTCGCCCTCCCTGGAGGGCACTCTCTCTCTCACACACCCCCTCCCAAATCAAACACTGTCAATTGCTCGCGCTCGACGACCCTGAGCTCGCGAAGGTAAGGTACATAGCCGTCCTACACTACGCCAGTCAGCTCCACTCCTTCCTGGACCTCCTGGCTGATCTGGTGCCGCAATGAGAGAGCTCGACTGACGGGGAGCTTTGCCCTCCCCCGAACCTTTGCACGCTCTGATTTCCTCGATTCCTCTGCTCTTTTGGCGCACCTGGAGAAGGCAATAAATGCAGCAATACATTCTGTCGTGTCTTTTCGCCTGTCACGTGAACTGCTTCGTGTTGGACACCCCAGGCAAAACGATATAGCGAAACGTTCCGCATTGCGTCCTTTTTTTTTAGTTTCTATGAGTATTGGACTTTTGATCCGCCATCTGGCTCAAAAATCTTCCTGCTACGACAGACGGTTCTCAGACATCAGAACCAGGCTCTCATCGTCGGCGATTCAAACATTACTGCGAGCAAGATCTTATCCCACGAAGCCAAGATATCCCACGTGATCAAGCATCGCGGTGGTCATAGCGTCCAACCCGCGCTAAGCCCTGTCAAGCTGCTTTCGGTGCTCAGAGTGTTGAGATCGTGTGGAGGTGACAGGGGCTGGACATCAGCCCAGAAACAAAAGACCCTGAAGTGCCGACGCAGCACTGTTGGAGCGAGGTGAGGCGAGGCAAGGCGAGGCGAGGCAACAGACGACTGATCGATCGTGCGCAGGGCACGACGAGCTCCGTGATCTGGAGCTCTCAGTCTACCCTGCCCTGACCTGACGGAGAAGCAAACCGCCGCCGTGGGATGTGCTCCAAGGGTCCCGTACGGCCCGTACCTGCATGCTGTACATCGGTCATCGTGTCTGACGAACCGATTCAATGGCCGCGATCCCGGTGACAGCTCTAGCAGGCCCACCACGCCCGCGACCCTTCAAATCTCGATTCGGCGACTGCTTGGTGGCTCCGGCCCGCGATGGAAGGCGAAATGGATCATCCACGATACGTCAGGCCGAGGCCACATCTCAGAAATTTCCACCATAGTTACTGCCTCGCGAAGCCGGATTACTCGGGGGCATTCTCTTGGTGGGAATATTCGATGATGTTTGCTCCTCGACCTCGGCCCTCACCCTCGCCCTCATTCCTCCTCAGGGTCCAAAACCATGTCCCTTAGCTCCGCATCCCTGGCCCAGTCCACACCGCTGCCCGCAACGATAGCGCTTGCCGTGCCTTTCGTGACCTTCCATCGCTGCCTGCTCGCCTTCAGCTCAGCCTGTAGCCTCGCCATTTGGGTCTGTACGGCAGGGTCGTCAGTCTCGCCCGTCTTTCTCGTCTCCGCCTCCTCGGCGAGTCGCAGGACCTCGGCTGTGAGCTCGACATTCCGTCGGCTGACGCGAAGGCTCTCGGCCTCGACTTCCGTGAGCTTGTTGAGAGTTGTGCGGATCTCATGGGACGTTTGCGCGAGGGCGATGGATGTCTCGTCACGGGCGTTGATGTGAGGTAGGAGGTCGCTGGCTATGTTAGTTGACGAGGCCCGACGTGAAGGAAAAGTCGACAAGTGCGGATGCAACTGTAGAGTTGACCATGAACTCACGATTCTATAGGTGTAGCTTGCGTGCTACCATGCACGGCTTTGAGTATGGGGTTGGCCGTCAGAACGTTATCCGTGATCTCGTTTCTCAGAAGCCACGCGGCACGCGCCTTGGCTGCGCCTTGCTGGGCTTTGCGAACGTTGTCTTCGTCATTTGGTATTGACGGATCTATTTTGCTCTTGTGAGAATGTGAAATTTGAAATGACTTCGAGTGAAGACGTATTACCTGGTGTGTAACTCTGCTGAGCCTTGATAAGAGCAACCCTGACCTCGAGATCGCGGAGTTCGTCATATAAAGCGAGGACGCGCTGCTCATCTTTTGAGAGAAGAAAAGGAGGCACCTCGTTGCCCTGTTGAGGCGCCGATGTGGGTTGGTTTCGCGGGTCATCCATGGTCGAGATCTGTCGCCGGCATCAGGCTGTTCACCGAGCCTCTCCGAAATCTGAAATCGTAAACCGTCGGTTTTGGTCCGCTTCTGCCCGGCCGCGTTCGGAACGCGGTAGGTACGCGACTCAAGCTGTCCCGAAGTCCACAGGATCCGGCGGGGATGACTGGAGACGGGTCCTGACCTTTGTGGCGTTGCGGTTCGGAGCCGGAATTGTCAGCGAGGCTGGTGTTTGCTATTACCTCATCTTGTGGCTGGTGTCTCCTCCTCCGCGAAGACCCAATCAAATGACAACAGGGATCACGAGGCGACATCACGCTATGCCCACCAAGGTTTTTCTAGCGGGTTTGCAGCAGCCTGCACGAGCTCAGGTCCGGCCGCCTCTCAGCGGGTGGTCATCTTTTTTTGGTTGGTAAACCCGGGCGGAACGAACGCTCGCGCCTTGCAACAACAGCACCTGCATCCTTCCACCGGTGCCCCGACGACCGACGACAAACGACGACGACTTGCGCGAGAGCTGTTATTGCACACAACTTCAACCCTTAGTCGAGACGACGTTCGCATATACTACAGAAGAGCTCCACGGCACACCGCTCCGAGACCGAGACCGGCGGGCCAGCTATCGCAGCTGCCGCCAGGAGATGTTCCGGGATGGCGACGCAGGTGTTGATCGCCCACACGGGCCAGCGCCTGCAAGTGGACACGACGCAGTTCTCCGCGTAGGCCTGACTTCTTGCTGTATTACACCGTCGAGAAGCTGACTTGTTATTCTTTTTTTTGTTTGCAGGCTTGAGGAACTCAAGACATGGATCGCGAGGAGCACGTCGATACCGGCGCATCAGGTTGTCGCTTTGACTTCTCAGGGTCGAGCTGTGAAGCTGCAGAGTCTGCACCAAGAGGTTAGAACAACACAACACGCACTCCTCAAGAGGAAATAAGAAGAGAAAAGCTGACTTGGACTTTGGCAGTCGGAGATCTACGTCTACGACCTCCGCGTATCCTCCCCGACCTCCCCCGGCGCGGCCTCGTCCCAGAAGTCCGAAGTGCCCCTCCCCAAGCGCTACTCCGTCCCGACCGCACCGAACTACATCGGCAACATCCGCGTGCTCTCCGAATGGCACGCTCTCTATAAGGAGCGCCAGACCTGGGCCCTCGGCATCGTCGACGACGCGGCGCGCATGGCCGCGCAGGTGCAGGAGCGCTACGGCGAGATGGACGTCATGTTCAAGTGCCTCGATGTCGCGGTGACGAACCTGGAGATCAGCGTCAAGCAGATCGAACCCAAGTACACGGAGCTGAAGAAGTGGGTCGACCCGTCTCTGGACGAATACGAGCAGCTCGCCGACGGCTGGGAGCGTTGCCTGGCCGTCGCGCGGAGCGTGCCCATATCGCCCGCCATGGTCCGCTTCATGACCTCTCGCGACATCAAGAACAAGCAGACCACCCTCGAGGACCTGATCGACCTCGACACGGCCAGGAAGTCGGGCAAGCTGGCGCCGACGTCGCTGAGGAAGTTCAGCACCAGGGCGACGGAGCTGGACAAGGCGGCCCAGAAGATGTACGCGGGGCTCGACAAGCTCTGCGAGGAGATGGACGGCCTGGTGGCGCGTTCGGCGCTGTCGCGGAGCGGGGAGGCCCCGCAGCTGCTCCAGGACATCGAGGCCGTGGCCAAGAAGATCGACACGGACTACAACGCGATGCTGGAGTACGCCGACACGCAGGCCAACGTCTCGCAGGCGTCGCGGACAGCGGAGAACCACACGTCGCGCTTGATTCCCAGCCTGAAGAAGCGCGTCTCGGAGATGGACGACATGCTGCAGTATGCCACGCAGGCGCGCAACGCGATCGCAGGGGACTCGGTCGACTTTATGCGGAATATCAGTGAGATTACGACGGTACACAGCAGCGTTAAAAATCAAATCACGGCGCTCAATCAGGCCGTGGATATCATGGCGACGTTCGACTACCTCAGGCTCATCAAGGAGGTGCCGTTTATGTACGCCTCTTTCGCCTCAGAGGCGATCCGCCGCCGGGAGTGGGGCGACAAGATCAAGACGGACTCGTCCACGCTGGCCAACGAGATGGCGCTTTTCCGGGATGAAGAGTCGAAGAGACGGCGGAAATGGCACAAGATGATCGGCAGCACGTACGGCCGCGAAAACTTGGATGCCAACATCCTTGGTCTCGAAGTCAACCTACTGGGCGAGGAGGAGGCGTGGCCGAGCATGGTCAAGCGCGATCTGGAAGAATTCTTGGAGCATTTGCAGAGACAGCAGGCCGATGTTTCGATTATTGAGGACGTTACGAAGCTGGCGAACGAACTGAACAGCCCGACGAAGCAACAATCGAAGAGGCTAAAAGCCTTCAAGAACGGAAGTGTTCACGAGACGGCTCTCGGACGTAGTGGTCTCATGATCCGCGGCGATGATGAACTCTTGCGCAGTCTGCAGGACGACAAATCCAAGCTCGAAAACAAGCTCAAGACTTCAGAAAGTAGAGTGCGGCGGTTGGAGGACCTGCTTCACAGGCAAAGCCAGGCGTCACGACCTGGCATCGGCGGTCTGTTCGGCCACGAGAGGAACGACTCCACCAACTCGATCAAATCCACGGCACCCGCAGAGGACAACCGGCGCGCATCCGGCAACTCAGAGGCTCTCTTGCAAAGGATACAGCAGCTCGAAGGCGAACTGAGCGCCGAGAAGGAGAAGTCGGCCACACTCGAAAAGGACCTGAGCACCCGGACTACTGAGCACGACGAAGCGAAAGGGCAGATGGAGGAGGCCAACGCCACTAAGAAGGAACTTCTCGGAAACATGGAGGCTTTGCAAAAGGAGTTTGTCGAAGAGCGAAAGTCACTCGAAAACGAAATCAAGGGGCTTAAGGCGCGTCTTGAAGAGACTGAGGACGATATCGAAAACTTTGGCGAATCGAGGGAGAACGAAAAGGCGACCTACATCGAGCGGATGCACGAGATGGAGTCCGAGATCGAGAGGCTGCAGAAGGACCAGAAGGACGAGGCACTCAAGACCCAGGGCCAGGTCGAGTTCCTTCGTAACGAGGCGCGTCTGCAAAGAGAGCAAAACGGTCTTCTCGAGCAGCAGCTCCAGGCGGCGAACGAGGAGGCGAAGAAGCTGTCGAAGAATTTGAGCTCCACGCAGGAGACTGCCGACTCGCAGCTGAAGGCCCTTCGCGATATTCACGATCAATTGTCTCCCAATGACGATACGACGGAGGATCTCAACGATCTCATCGAGGCGCTCGTCTACAAGGCTACCGACGTTGCTGCGAAGCTGAAGACCCTTGATAACGACAGGTCTATCCTCAAGGCTGATCTCGAGCAAGCAGAGGAGCATGTCAAGAACTTGAAGGCCGAGATGAGCGAGACCAAGGACAAGCTCGCTGCCGAGGAAGAAAAGTCGAGATATCTCAAGGAGAACTTGGATGAAGAGAAGGCACGGGTGTCTGCTCTTGAGAAAGAGGCTGCCGAGAGCAGAGAGCAGCTCGATCAGCTCCGTGGCCAGATTGCGGACGGCGAGACGGGTTCAGAAAGTCTCAGGAAGAAGCTTGACGAGGAAGAAGAGCGGATCAGCACCATCACGGAGGAGCTTGCTTCTAGACAGTCTCAGGTGGGCAGTCTGGAGGAGGAGCTACGTCTCTACAAGGAGAAGCTGCAAAACTCTCAGGCTAAGCTTTCGACCGTCAGCAGCCACTTTGAGTCCAGGTCGGAGAAGACCAAGGACCTGACGCAACGTCTGTATTCCCAGAACGATCGCCTCTGCCGCCTCTTGGAGCGGCTGGGATTCTCCGTAACCCGACAGGACTCGACGATGACCATCCAGAAGGTCCCCAGATCCGAGAGAGGAACAATGAGCCAGATCCAGAACGCCAACGATTCTTCTGACCCGGCACAATCCATGATCCGCCGCTCCGGCATGCTCACCAGTCGCACCTTGGCCGATAGCACCGACCTGGACCTGTTGTACTGGATGAGCCCGACAGATGCAGACGCAGAATCTGACAAGTACGAGGCCTTCATGACCAAGGTGGGCAGCTTCGACATGGATCTGTTCGCCGAGACGGTTTACAGACGCGTTAAGGACGTCGAGCACCTCGCACGTAAGCTTCAACGCGACGCGCGCGCTTACAGGGAGAAGGCGCACACCCTCCAGAGGGACTCGCACGAGAAGATCGCGTTTAAGGCGTTCAAGGAGGGTGACCTGGCACTGTTCCTACCGACAAGGAATCAGACAGCCGGTGCTTGGGCGGCGTTCAACGTAGGCTTTCCTCACTACTTCCTGCGCGAGACCGACGCCCACCGACTCCGCTCCCGCGAGTGGCTCGTCGCCCGCATCACCCGCATCCAGGAGCGCGTCGTGGACCTCTCCAAGAGTCTGCACAAGCAGCTACCCGATACCGACTCGGTCAACGGCGAAGCAGACGATAACCCCTTTCAGCTGTCGGACGGTTTGAGATGGTATCTGATCGACGCCCACGAGGACAAGCCCGGCGCGCCTGCCACTCCCGGCCTGGGAAAGTCGACGATAGCCACGAATAATGTCGAAGCCATGGCGGACATGCACACTCACGCGCAGGCAAACGGCAAGGACAAGCATCGGGCAAGCACCCACAGCATCGAAGGCGTTAGCAAGGCCCTTAGCAAGAGCCTGGAAAGCCGCCGGAGCAGCTCCAACTCCAAGAAGGCGCTTCCCTTCGTCGGCATCGGGGGCGCTGCGCTGCTTAAGGGTAACGCGCTCGGCAGCGAGACGAACTCCCTCCGCGCCGTCGCGCCGGAGACGCCCACGGGTACCAGCCCGCCCCAGGGAGGACTGCACGGGTTGGCGAACGGACAAGATCAGGGGCAGGCTTCCACCAGCCCGCCGCCGCAGACCGAAGGCCAGCAGCCCGCGCAGGCGGGTGATGAGAGGCCCAGGTCGCCCGAGGTACGAAGCATGATCGATTCCCTCGTCGGACCGTGAGAACGAGCTCCCCGCTGATACCGGTGGTTTTTCTTTTTGCGGCGCGCAGAAAGCCAGGTCGCCCTTGAGGTTCCAGCGTCGGCGGACCTCGGAGAGTCCCACCAAGAAGCCCGTCGTCTGGGACTCGTTGTGGAGCGTGGACTTGAGCTTCGAGAGCGGCGGCGGCGGCAGCGGCGAAGGGTCTGGGAGCCCGAGTAAGCGGAGATGAGAGATTCTCGCAGCGGTTTGATTGTATGACTTTTTGACTCCGGGGTTCTTTGGTTTTTTTCCAATGACCCTGGCATCTCATCTGTGTTTTGTTTTGTTTCATATTTTTGTGTATGGCATTCTTTATCGCGGGGGGAAAACACACAAAGGGACACGGGGAGTGATGGATGGGGGCTTTTTCTTATAGGGCTTTCTCAAGTTCATACCCAAAGGTCTTTTTATGCCGTCATTGCTGATGGTTTGAGAGACTTTGCAAAGGTCTTTATTTCTTTGGTAGCTCGAGGGATGGGAGTACGGGTGCGCCTGCACAAACAAGGAAGAGAGCGAAGCGAGACTGGTGTAGAATGATGATGGGTGATGGGCTTTTTTTCTTGGATTATGGGTGGTTAGGTGCATTGCCTGGCCGGATAGAGGCGCCCTTCTTTACCTTAGAAATATATCATGTTCATTGTTGTTCACGTTCTTTCACTTTTCATGAGGTGCTTGAGGGCATGCTTGTTTGTTTGGCTTTTACTTTTCTAAATAGGTTTTTTTCTTTGAGGTGAAGGATCTTGACTTTCTCTGTGTTCTCTTTGTGGATTGAGGTAAGCTGTCATTAAGACCTTTGAAGGTGTAATGACAATAGCCTTCCAGGTTGTTCTTGTTCTTCTTAGGTCAAAGTCTGTTAACCGTTCTACTGGCAACTGGCATTCAGTTATCAGTCCATGGACTAAGAAATAACACATAAAGTAAATGAGAACATCCACTGGTTTCCTGAACTATCTTACCTATCACCAAATCAAAAGTTTCCAGAGACTTCCAACCAAGCCAGAGCCAGAATGAACAATCCACTCAACACACAGAACCCCCCAGGACGCTGGGAAGAACCCCCAGTTCCCACCATCACCGACATCCTGACCTCGAAAAAGGACCACGGCGACGCCCAACTAGCCTACAAAGTCCTCGGCCTCCACTCCACCCCCGACCGCCCGGCCGCCGTCCGCCCGGACCTCATGGACCTCAAGTACTGGTGCAACCGCGTCCTGGGCCGCATCTGGAGCGAACACAGGAACAAGACGGGCACCTGGCCGGCGCCCGGCAGCGTCGAGCACCGCCGCATCGTGGAGGCCAACAAGCGCCTCCTCTCCGCGATCCGCACCGTCGCGGGCGCGCGCAGGCCGGGGCACCCGTACTGGTCGCCGTACCAGTGCGTCAGGGTCGAGAGGCCGGACGATTTCCCGACCGACTTGGATCACCGGACCTGGCCTACGTTGGGGTGCGTCCCGCTGCCGCTGGCGGCCTTTGATGCGCATTATGAGAACGCGGATGTGGAGGCGTTGAAGGAGGCGCAGGGCAGGACGGAGAGGGTGTGGAAGCCGACAAGGAATATGGTGTTGGATAAGAGGCGGAGGGAGGAGGAGGGGATGATTGACGAGATTGCGTGTTATGGGTTCGAGGCGGTGCCGGGGTTTGTGTTTCTTGATGATAAGACGGAGGAGGAGAAGGATGTGCTGAGCCACGTTTTTTATGCTGGACCGACGCCGAAGAACGAGGATAGTCTTTGGAATTCTCTTGGGTAAGTTTGATGAGCATTGAGTCTGGCGTCGAAGGGGCTGACTTGTGTGACCAGGACATTGCTCCATTGCAACCCACTCAGAGGCAAAGATGTAAAGGCCATGGTGTCGTAGTGGTTCACGGAGGTCCTTTGCAATCCGGACTCCGTGCGCCACCGGGAGCGGTTCCGGATGTACGCCCACCTCCTCCAAAACTCGACCGAGAAACACAGCAGGGTCGACGTGCGCGACTGGGGCGAGATGGACATGCTGCGCTCCCTCTGCAAAACGACCCGGACTCGGGATTGCCCATGGACCCGGGCTACCACGAAATGCTGCACGTCATCGCGGACCTCCTCGACTGCGAAGTCATCACCTTCACCCGCCCCGCCGGGATGCCCGTCCTGAGAGAGAACGGCCTCGACACGAACCGGGATAGCTTCCGGTACACCATGCGCGTCTACGGCAAGCCGGCCTCGCAGTACGACTGCGCCATCCTCTTCGGCTGGCGCAGACAGATCCTCCTCGTCACGGACCCGGAGCTACGGCACTTCCAGCCCGTCATCCGCGTGGAGCCCGAACTCCCGATCTTTTGCAAACCCGACGGGGATTACACGATGCGCCGGGCGCGGGCTCTACCGACGGACGCATTCGATCCCTGGGACCGCTTCGCGCCGATGCCGTGGTGGCCGGGGTGGGCGCGCGACGCGGACGGCGAGGTGATGGGGGACTGGGAGGACGAGGACGAGCGGCGGGATTTCTCGGCGCGGCAGCTCGCCGACATGGCGCCCTCCGACATCACGACGGGGCTGCTGCACCCGAGTATCATGCTTTGGGGGAGTAGGCAGGCATTGAGTCCGTACGGTTATTTGAGCGACCGGGAACAGGCCGATTATGAAGAGTGTTCTGACTGGAAGGGTTTCTTTGACGGGGACGGCGACCCGTTGATGGGTGCTCTGGAGCGGGTGGATGTCGGGGTGATGGACGGGTGGCGGGGACCGGAGCCGGCGGCGGGCGCGCCGGGTGATCCGGTGCCGGAGGTTGAGATGATGAATGGGAAGATGGTGGTGGCTTCGGCGGGGACGGAGAAGAGTGTGTATAAGTCGAGGAGTCACTGCGAGGGGGTGAAGAGGACGTTGGATATGTATCTTGAGGATGAGGTGTCGGCGGTTAGCCATGGGGATCCCAAGATTTACGGGTATTTGAAGGTTTTGTTGACGGAGGATAGGGATCGGCGACCGGTTTGGCATAAGATGAAGAGGAGGTGAAGATCGGGCTGAGTACTGTTGGGATCGGGTATTGGTGTTAATGGTGCTTTGGATAAGGGGTTGACGCGGTTCGATATACCCATGGAGGTGATTTGATACTATACAAAGGATGCTACTTTCACATATCATGTTGAAAGTCCGGTTGAAACTTGGCTATAGCATGGGGTTTTTGCGATGGTGCACCGGCCAAAGGCCGGACACCGACTTGGCAAAGAGAACTCGGCGGGTCCAAGATCGGGCAAGTCCTCTCAAGCCGAATATCCTAGAGTCTGAAGTTGCTGGGGGGACTTTATATGTGTCATGTGGCAAGATGAGACGGAGACTAGATAGCGTGTCATGCCGATGATAAGCCCGTAAACCGTTGGCTGTATCAAGGATTCCCGACTTCAAAAGGAACATTCCCTCGTGGTCTGACCGGCTATCAGTCCTTACGTGCGGCGAACCGGTCAATCGGCCGACTCCCAGCCGCTAAGCAAGCCATCAATGAATGATTTGTGGGACTGCCTAGATATTCTCGTCCCAATACGGTTCTCATGCGGCTTGGTCGACGATTTACCGTGCGACACCGGAGTTATCGTGTGTCATCAGAAAGCAGAGAGGTCTCTTATAAGATGATGTATTCCCACTTCACGGGGTCGAAAAGGTAAGCACAAATGATGATGAATCAAGTTGGTATTCGCTCCATTATTACAATATCTATCACACTTCCTCGGACGCCCCAGAAAAGAATGACTTAGACACGCTCGTCGTTCTGCCTGACCTCAGCGACCTCATCCTCCGACCCATCCTCGGGATCCTCGATGCCCGTCATCTTCGCGACGATGACGGCGGCGAACAGATCACCACTGACGTTAGTCGCGGTGCGGAAACGATCGATGAACCAGTCGATGGCGACGACGACGCCGTACATGCCGCTGGGCGGGATGCCGACGCTGGAGGAGATCATGACGGTCAGGACCAGAGAGGAGCTGGGGATCGGGGTCGTGCCGATGGAGGCCAGCGTCGAGAGCAGGAGGATGATGATGTAGTCCGCCGCGTTGAGCACGTGGCCCTGCGTCTGGGCGAGGAAGACGACGACGATGGGGAAGTAGATGGCCGTTCCGTCCATGTTCACCAGGCATCCCAGAGGCACTGCGAACTTGGTGATGGTGTTTGGCACGCGGACTGGAGACACATGAGGTCAGCGTTTCTTGGTCTTTTCTCAAGGGGTTTGATCATTCAGAGTAAGGAACTCACGTGTTTCGCGGACGCATTTCATCGTCACGGATAGTGTGGCAGCGGACGAAGCCGTACCCCACGCCGTCAGCCAGGCGGGGGAGCACGAGAACCAGAGAGTGTAAGGGTTCTGGCGAGTGAAGGCGTAGAAGATGATGGGAAGGATGATGAAGAGATGCAGGAACATCGAGCTGATGGCTCCGCCCATCAGAATACCCAGGTTTACGCCGATATCGTTGATGTCGAGCTTGAACATGTTGGGCAAGATGAGGAAGAAGACACCGATGGGGGCGAGCTTGATGAGGAACGTGATGATGACCATGATGAGAGCCTCGATCTCGCGGCATGCCTTCAGGATGGAAGACTTGCCGCCGCGGTCATCGAGGAGGTAGCCTACCACGACGGCGGTGACGAGGACGGCGAGCAGGTGGTCCGACGCGAGGGCGTCGACGACGTTGGCCGGGATGAGGGAGTTGAAGAGCTCGGTCACAGTGGCTGCGATGTCCTGGTCCTGGCGCTCTTCGTAGGCCTCCTTGTCCTTCTCGGTCATGCCGTCGACGTTGATGGAGTCCGCGGAGGCGGCGGTCATGAGGCGCGCCCAGACCTGGGAGGTCATGATGATGGAGTGGACGATGGCGACGATGGTGGTGATGACGTAGTAGCCGATGGTCCATTTGGCCAGCTTGGCACCACCGTGGCTGATTTCCTTCAGTTTCTGAACGGCGAGAATCATGGCCGTCACGATGAGGGGTAGGACTGGAGACGAGTTAGTCACCAGTTTTCAGACGCGGGGTTGATGAACGGATGGCAGTGCCATCGCGTTGCTTCAGAGGCAACAAGTGTTGCAGGAAAACTTACCAACAGCCTTGAGAGCCCTCAACCAGAGGTTTCCAGGGATGATGAGGATGGTGGTCGCCGCCGAGGGGATGTTCGGGTGGACGGACTTGACACCCAGGCCAATACCCACGGCGATGGCGGCGGCGATGATGATTTGAACCGCGGATCCAGGCTCAATGACCGGATGCCACCACGGCTTCTTCTCATGCACCGACTCCCCCGAGGTGATGGAGGTTTGCTGCTGGACCTGGTCCATGGAGGAGTTCTCCGCGACCGGCTTGTTGGCGGTGCCCATCTCTGACTTTTCCATCTTGACTTGCTGCTCCTGAGTCGGAGAGGCAGAAGGCTTTGTCGGCGAAGCAGATGTTTTGTCCTTAGAGGAACGAAGCAAGACTTCAGAGACAGCCCGGAACAAAGTCACTGCCACGCCGAGGAAGGGAAGGACGGAGGGAAGAGGGGAAGGTCTGAAAGGCTCTGATCGGCGCTTGAGGGCGAGATATATACATGAGCGAAGCCCGGTGCGTGGGTCAAGTCCATTCCGAAGGTGAGGGAGACGAGAATGTCTTGTCTATCAGCGTGGCGAGACTGGACCGGACCGGCTACGAATCGGTGGAAGCGACCAGATTCGGACACATCTTGGAGAGAAGGGTGGCCCCTCACCAAGGAGGAAGCTCGCGTGCGCGATTGATAGCTGAGCTGTCTGGCGAACGGGAAGGCAGACAGGGCTGGCTAGACGAGGGATTTCACCGAGATAGGGTGGCATATCTTTTACCGCCAAGGTGTGAAATCGCAGCTTGGAGAGGGCACAGTAATTGTCTTTCACGCGAAAGGAAGGTGTAAGAAGATCCATTCCATCCCCGCGTTACCCACTTGCCCACCAGTCGCGTTCGATGGGAGGCCGGGCGACTTGGGGTCGACTTGGCTGATCCATGAATCCGGATTGGGGAGCCTGAGAAGCCTGGGCAAAGATACGTGGGAAGTACGAGCCGGCGTGGAGGAAGAATCCAGGCGAAGTCTGACCGGACGGAGCGCGGCAGGGATGTGTGCGTGTGTGCACGACTGGATCACCAGCTCATCGCGAATGAGCGGGAGGGACGTCGACGAGAGCGGAATGGATGCAGTGTGGATATCACCCGAGGGACCTCGTTTCTCCAACGAGGGATTTGGAAAGCTGCCGACGGACTAATAGATAATGTAATGGAGACTGACTGGTCGAGTCAGTCCGCTGCGGCGGGATGCTCCTCTGGGTATTGCCTTGGCCTGATTGCTGACTTGGCAGTGACGACGGAGGCTTTGATGGTAGGATTCTCGTGGAGAGACACCCAAATGGTAAGTGATATCAGCCGTTTTCGTTGATACGCGTGGGATAAGCGCGAAGAGCCTCAACTCCCGGATCGCAACGTTGCAGCATTGACAGGCCACCATGCATCATACAGCTCACCGATTCCTCGACAACTACCATCGGTTGATCCAAGTTCTAGAAAACATCTCTTGCAAAAGCTTCATTCCCTCTCCCCCTGGGGTAGGAAAGGGGTTCGTTTCCACAGACACCCACCGCAAAGAACCACCCCACGCGCCATGCGTCTCATCACGGTCTCCCGATGTTGACAGCTGACAATGACCAACAGGCCGTTCGCAGAGTGCCAGCCATCCAGAAAGCTCCCGTCGGATGCTGACCTGGCACCTGGTCTGTTTTTGTGGGAGAAGGATTATCACCCAAGAACCCCAAGGCTCGTTACCAAGAGGACCAAGAAGATATGCCCATTTGGCGGCGTAAGACATGACTCTCGGACGACGTTGGCGAGAGGAACATGTCCGCCCATTGGCCCGCCACGGCGGATGCCGTGCCGCGCCGAGAATTGCCGAGAGGCTCGGCGGGAACCAGGGAGGAGGACGGGGGTCGGGGGATGGCTCCGAAATTTGGGACATGGGGGGGAGAGGAAAATTCAGCTTCCCAAAAGTCTTGGCCGTGGCACCGGAGCTCCTGACTTTCCACCCCATCTCCGCCCAGTCTCCCGATCTCGACGCGTTTTCCGCTTGCAGCCAGCGGTAGCCGTGGGAAAGCGTACACATCACCCTGCCGGTTTGTTGTGGAACGCGCCCTGTTGACAGTCGATGGCTACAGGGCGCCGTTGATGCAGACCGTTTCTTCGCCGGTGCCGGTCCGAACGCGCCCACGCCCCGGTCGGCGTGTTTGCTCATTACGTACAGTGTAACGGCGAACAGGGAACTCATGTGGGTTGCCGAGCGCCGAGAAATGTCGGGAGCCAGGAGGCCATCTTTGGCAAGTTGAATTCTGTTGAGGACTGGAGTGTCTGGCCACTGACATACGACTTGATTAGCTTGTCACCCCGTCTTCTGGGGATTGCTGCAGATAAGAAAAGGACCCTTCTTGTGCTGGTTTCTGGGTGTCTACGTCTTGGCCAGTTCGGTCTGGTCATCCTGCCAAATTCCACTCCGCACATAATACATGAAGATGTAATTCTGTAATACTTATTGCATTGCACCTTACTCCCAGGTTGCCTTGAAATCTTGGGATTCTGCGATCGGCACAAACAGAGATTTTTCCTTGCGGACAGAGAAAAAGAGCCGACGACTGATTCGTTATGCCGTGATGCTTCCCTGTTATCAGACGACGCCTGGTGGCTACTCTTAACTGCGTTCGTGGCAAAGCAGGTGCGGTAATGGAAAAGCAAAATCATTCCACAATGTTCGTCATAGATCTAGCAGCAAAAAAAGACTCCATCTGTGCTTTGAATACATGGAGAGTTCAGGTCACCCGTCTGGTTCTCCATCGAGATGCAGTTTCTGCAGCTTCGCTTATCGGATTGATGGTGCAGACAAAGCCTTGGTTCGCGTGCCATGGCGCCAAGTCGCCCGGCCAGCTGATGAGTCTCATGTGTGACCCTCAATGATCGGAAAAGGCGTGTTGAGGAGGTAGCTTACTGATTGCTTTGGATAGACTGTCAGCAGAATTCGAACGCGATGCATAGTTCTTTATTACGACATGGAAGCAACACACAAGACCCAGTTGTGCATGCAGGACCAAACGAATGTATTTCAAGATGGACCGGATACTCTACATTCTATCTATCCGAAAGCCACTGAGTTCTAACGAGCGACTGCCCCATATCGAACATAACGCCCATCATACTCGCAATCTAGATATCGAACACTCAGAACTTCTCAAAGAACAAACTCCAGCCCCATAATAATCGTCTAGTCTGCAATCTAGCTCTAGGGAATCCAATCTCTGCCCCAAGAAGTTCGCGGTAGACTTGCCTCAGCCAGACAGGCTCTGCAAGTCGACAAGGCTGCCCTTCAAGCACTTCGCCGCGTTGTCCAACTTTTGCCGCCGGGCAATTTCCTTCTCAGGTTCCGAACCAAGTCGGAGGAGTTCGTCATCCGTAAGCTCTGAGATCGTTGTGGGATAGAAGATCTCAGGCAGAGGGGCAAGAATGTGTCGCTCGACAATTTGTCGGCAGACGTTGTCCACGAACGTCTTCATAGAGACCTGCGGGATAATCAAACTTATCAGAACAGGTCCTATAATATGACGTTTCTCAAGATAGAAGTACTTACTTTGTAATACGCGTTCAAGCCCGCCAGTGCTTCTTCACAAGCCTGCATATCCATGTCCACGCAAATCTTGGGCTGCAGAGTAGAGATGAATCGAGCCATTTCAAAATTGTTGCTTGTGTCCAACTTTCCGTCACTGGCTGCCCACTGTTTGGCAGTCTCCTTCAAAGCATTTTGTATAGCGTTTCTCTGGCAGTCGTTGCGGGCCTTTTGGATGTTATCCGTGTAGTAATGGTTATAGGTGATCGGATGCTGCTCCTCGTCCTCAAGAAGCTTTCTCAGTTCATCGTAGGCATTCCGCCTGGCATTTTCCAATCGCCCCTGACAAAGGGTGTTGACGTCAGCCCTGAGTCGCTCTTCTGGGAAAAGCCGGGAGACAGCCTGGTGCACCCATTTGGAAATACTGTGAGAAACAGCGTCGAGGTGTGACTCGGCAATTGAGCGCCAAGGGCTGGACTGTTCATGGAAAAGTTCGGCCAGAAGAATGTGATTGTAATTGCCGGGAAGCTCACGACCCCTAGTGTCCCGGTAGGTCTACTTTCGTCAGATGAGGAGGCTTGAAGCACAAGTTGAATCTAGCATAGGGATTCTTACCTCAAGAACCCACGAAAGCATCTCATCTTTTGTAACCAAGATCGGTCCTTCACCCTGGTCGTGCGTCTCTTCTTCAGAGTTCTCTTCGCCTGGCGCTGTAGGCACGCCACCCCATGTCCGTTCAGTGACCTTCCGCTTGTGGCCACGCTCACGGATTGCCTTGGCAAAGTCGCTGTTCTGCTGGTGGATATGAGAGCGAAGTCTGTTGCCATTTCCTCCGCCAAAGAACTCCCCATCGGAATGGTGATAGTTGCCGTCGAGAGCCGCCTGCGCCAGCTGATAATATCTCATACTGAGGTTGGTCATGAAGGACCGGATGTCGCTCAGAGATCGTCGCTCCGGTCCCATGGCTTTGAGCTCTTCTTCGGTCGTAGCTAGGACACGGCGTATCTCGTCCCTGACCTTGGGAAGCTCTCGATCAAGGTGACCATCCAGAAGTTCTTGCAGGAAGATCTTCAAGTTATCGACCCCCACTCGACTCATGTCGAGATTCTGCTCTTTCCAGGCAGGAGAAGAGAAGAAGATGGTCTCCAGTTCTGCACGACTTTTGCCAGTCTTCACCTCAGAAGGGCTGGGGTTCTTGAGGAGGAAGAACCCTAGTTTGAGCTTGATGGAGTCCTTGTTCTTTGCAATCTTTGCAAGTTTGGCCTCAGCACCGACGTTGATAAGATCAGGCTTGGTGATGATACCCACGGTTCGCTGGCCGTCCTTGTCGTATTCGCGGGCGATCTTGATAATTCCTTGGTTGGCCGCATCATTACTGGCCTGAACAACAGCAAGGATGATGGTGCGGGAGCTGGACAGATAACTTCTAACCATGGCGTACACGGCTTCGACATCGGCCTCGGACTGTTCTTCGTTGGCGACTGAGATAAGTCCGGGAAGGTCGACGACACTGAGTTGGAGCCCTGTCGGGCCAGTAACCTCAATACGGAGAGCATCAGAGGCGAAGGCTGGGTCATCCTCAGAGTCCGTGAAGCCGCGGATGCCCATGAGCTTGCTGACCTCCTCAATGGCAACAGGCAGGTCAGATAAGTCCTCTTTCATCTCTCGTCGATATCCGCGCAGAATCTGCGAGCCGACTCCTGAACGAGATGAATGAGGCCGAATGGTTGCTGTGGCCTTCAGCGGGGCGGTAGAATGGCGTAAAATGATCTCGGTCGGAAACCTGGTGCAAAGACCCTCTTGGCGAGGAAAAGGTATGCCAGTGATGCCTTCGAGCACTGAACTCTTGCCGGCAGACTGGTCGCCGCAGACGACCAGCTGGGGAAGATCGACGAGGTCGCCGATTCCATTTGCACGGATCTTCTCAATCTGGTTGAGACGGTGACTGGATCTCTGGGATCGAAGGCCCATAGAGGGAGCTGTGGGTCTGATTGGACTGGAGACGGACATCGTCATTCTTTCAAAAGGTCAAGGTTGGATATGTGTGGGCAAAATCTGTGATGGTGATAACGGTTTGGTGTCTCAGATGATTTTCCTCTCTTAAGTATCGTCGGTTTCTCGCGGCCGTCCCCTCCTTCCCGCGATTGAAACGTGTTTGACTCATGGCGAGGGCTAGACCTGAGTCCATCATTGCGTATAATGCATCTTGATTGTGATCTTTCATGTGCTATCAACAGGCGAGAGATTGAGTTGAAACTATGAGAAGAAAGAACTTACGCAATCGACACGCTCTGCACCTACGATGCTTATTCCATGTCTTATCAGTAAGTGCAACTACGTCAGCCGTTTGGAAATTGGCTTGTGATCGAGGAAGTACGGCGTTTCTGCATATAACTTTGGGCTCACGTTGTCTGATCCAAATGCAATTGTTACCGATAAAGCTCTCAACACTTTTGATCCTTTCACATGTTTATCTTCGCGGTGTGGAACGGCATTTAGGTTAAGCTCCCGTCAACGTCACGTCCCGTTCCCATCCCGGCAGACGTTCGGGTGTCCGAGTTTGTCGCATGTGTTCATCAAATCTTCCGCCGGCAATCTTGCCCGATATTGTCAAGTATCCTTGCTGAAAGCTGTCTTGGTGCGACGAAAAGTTGCCTGACTTGAATCCCCGCTAGAGCGAACAGATATGTTGGATTTCCAGTCGTAATTCACTATCTCTGCAACTACGGGCTGTCTAACATGAGCTACACAGAGGACTCTATCTTGCAGCTAGTCGTCTTGAAGCCACCACAAGTCACGCCTTGTGGTTTTGTTTCCGGACATCAGTTCAAAGTTGACATCTCAACAAACTCAGATTCGTCTTGAGATGTGAGTTCAAACATGAATATTTCACATGTGAAAACGAAGAAGCATGAAAATCGAAAGTTGCTCATTTTGACCAAATGCGATGCAGCAAGAAGCAAGCTTCTATAATACGTCGTCTTCAACCCAGAAGGAAGAATTCCCTCATGGAAAGATCAAATCCCACGGTATCCCTGACTCAAGATACCAAGAGGCTTTTTTGGTTTGCATGTTTACTGGTCCCGGAAGCACGTCATTGCCGAATAGTATGCCGTTCGGGAAACATCGAGCCTATTCTCGTATGTCTCCCACCTTCGACGGAAAGAAGTATGCAGTGGCTCGATGACCCCAAATGTGACCATGAATCCAGAAGTAACTTTCCAAAGGTGAAGCCATTGAGGTTTACACTGTGAAAATACTTTGCAAGAAACATATTCAAATTTGGATTCATGTCGGAGGCAGGAAACAAATACCTTCCCAAGCTTTGTTTCCGGGCGAGAAGCCAGCCGATGGTTAGAACACCTGAGCCTCAGAGGACCGAAACCCGATCCTCGCAATCTACAAGCAGAAAGGCCCCTTCATTGCTAATTCCATGACAGTCGCCAATCATGTATGAACAATCTACTGGTGGTTTTTAGACAGAATAGCATCAAATAACCGCATCCTGATTTCAGCCAATTTTAAATCGATGAATAATTTGGATTAGGGTTCCATCTCTGGACGTCTTATCTCATAAGTTTCTCTACAAGAACTACTAGACAGGTTTCTATCTTTCGAGACAGAAAGGAAGCCGAATGGCCCAACCATCTATCCGTTGGAATAGACAGATCACAACGCTCACGTCTCACACCTCATGTAATGGCGCCTCAGTAACGATTCCTTCGCTGACAAGGGTTTCTACTCGAACTTCCTGGCGCCTGCTGCAAGACGTTGTCGGCTGCTGAGTTCTTCTGATTCTGACTCGAAGATATATGTTAGTTGTGCACTGTCGAAAGCTAATCTTCTCGATTGTTTGAATCACAAACATCAAATAAGCGCAATAGTGACTCTTTTGATCATGTGAGTACGTCTACTTTTGTGGCGGAGCTCTCGCTAGAACACGACATATGCTGACTTAGTTTTGAATGCTCGCCGTGTGCGTCAGTAAGCCACCGGGCGCTCTTCGTTTGAGGAATTTGTGACTTTTCTGTCTCATATTGAGACTATGACAGCTCAACCGTGGTTCTACATGTAGCTAAGAGTATTCATCGAGGATCAACAGCTACACTAATGCCAGAGTAGTGCGAGGCGGTTCGTATCCCGCCGGCTGTAACACACATGGCGCCAGCAATCGAACCAGACTACTCCACATAGCGTTTCCATACTTGACTTTGATTGGACATAATCTTTCCTTAGATGTTCTTAAAAGGCTTTTGCTCCGCTCATCGATGCACTGCAGTACAAATCCGGTTAAGGTTTACACACGGAACCATTTGGTGTGTTGGCATAGCTATCGCACATGCTATCGGTCATCATTCGTGCACAAAGATATTGAGACCGACTTGTATTTCGCAATTCATGAAGTACATCTTTCGGGTGGAGGATGATGACCTGGTGAGTTGCGTGACTGCAGTACGACCTCACAGCAACATAGGCACGTCAATTTCGGCATCCACTAGAAAGCATCGGTTGATATTCTTGATCGCAACGAACGAGCTCTCCAGCTGAAGACAGGGCGCACAAAGCCCTTACTTATTCGAAGGGAGCTGCATGTGTACACGGATGATTCCGGTCTTATGCCGTTTGTCGGCGCAGTAAGGGTTCGCATTCCCGCTTTTGGCCCGCTTTTGTTTGAGGAAGGTGACATCGGAGGGTACATCGGATCAGATAAGATGGGATAAGATGCCATCAGATTAGATGAGATGGATCTGATTCGAGGAGCTGCATCTTACGGCCTCGCCATTGAAGAATTTTCCACTCACAGACCCATTCACGCTTGGCTTGGCATTACGTCGATTTAACCGCGAGTTAACCAGAAAGCGGGATGGATTTCCCCCCTCCACGGGTAGTGGGCTGTTTTCTCCCCAAGCCACGGCAGTCGACGGCGTCTCCCGTTAACTGCCAGAAGTATTGATGGAGTGGGATATGGTTCTCACTCCAGAGTACATACCGGTTTCGTTCCAATCAGGCAACTCGAAGTTGGCGAATTTGGAGAAAGCGGACACTAAACTGGATCATCCGCCTCCATGGTCCAGTGAGGACTCAAACGATGGCATTGAAGAATCGAGCACATGTATTGACCGGGGTTGCATTTACCGACGAAGGATGATCGTCGGAGCCCGTTGCGACGCTCGTCATAAGCACAATGACATGGGTGGTTTTTTTCCCCAGCCCAATATATACCTCCTGTACCCCTCCAAAAATGGCGCAGCGAAGTTTTTGAACTGTTTGGGCATTTCATCCTGAGCCACCGTTCCAGTCTTCTCCTGACGTTCACGAGCTGTCGGTGCAGCTTCCCCCGACCTCAAGATGGCTTTGCTCAGCATCTTCAACAAGCTCGATGTCACGGCACTTCTGCAATGGAAGCTCCTCGTCTTGGCGGCGATCCCGCTTGCCGTGGTCTTCTATCTGAGGAGGTCAAAGCCGGACGAGCTTGACATCAAACTCTTTTCGCATTTCCCGCAACCTGAGGAGGCCGACCCAAAGAGAGGTCATTGGCCGTGGATTGAGAAGGCAGCTGCGCTTGGTGACCCTCGAAGGTCTTTCGGTACGTGAGAGATTGCCATCGGGTGGGATGAAGCGGGACGAGGCGGAACCAGGCGGGATCAGGCGGGAGCGAGAAGCTACACTAGTCGGCTAACAAGTTTCGCGTTCAGATGAACTCCTTTACGAACAATGGCAGAAGCTCGGAAACCCTCCCGTCCTCCTGGTGGACTGGCGCCCGCTGGAGTCTTTCATGATTCTTTTTGTGCTTGACAATGAGGTCGCGGAGCAAATCACCAGGCCCACGAAGCAGTACAGCACCAGTGTCCCCAAGCATCCTGCCATGCAGGACCTCGCTCCCTTGGTCGGCGCGCGATCTCTTGTCACGACTGACGGCGACGAATGGAAGGGCCTGCGAAAGAGAATCTTGCCCGGTATGGCACCGCAGCATCTGCTCAGTCTCGTCAAGGTTATCCTGAACAAGACGGAGCTCTTCATCAACCTGATGGAGGAGAAGGCATCTACCGGCGAAGCGTTCAACATTGATGAGTACACTACCAACCTGGCTTTCGACGTCATCGGAATCGTCACCTTCGACATGGACCTCAACGCCCAGATTGAGGGCAAGCAGAGCAAGGTCTTGACTACGTATCGCGCTCTTTCTCATGCCTACATCAAGCGTGAAGTTGGAAAGCACTGGCTTCGTAGATACTTCTCTGAGAACGAGCGCAAGATTCGCCGCCTCGACAAGGAACTCGACAGTATCCTCAAGGAAGAGATCGTCAGACAGCACAAGGCGTTCAGGGCCGGCGACGTCATGGCTTCCCGTAGCGTGGCTGCCCTGAGTCTCCACGACGTTGAGAAGCTGACCCCTGAGATCCTGCAACAAACTAGCGACACCTGCCGAGGTTTCCTCTTCGCCGGTCACGACACGACGAGTATTCTCTTGCAATGGTGCTTCTACGAACTTCACCGACGTCCCGAATCTGCCAAGGCTCTCAAGGAGGAACTCGATGAGGTCTTTGGCGACGATCCCAGCCCTAAGTCTGTTATTGAGCAGCTCTCTGGCCCTGGTGCCGGAAAGCTCCTGTCCCGTCTGCCCTGTAAGTCGATCTTCTAGATTGTCTCTGATGTGCATGTTTGAGTCTGATACTAAGTGCTTCTTGCAGACGTCGACGCCATCATCAAGGAGGCTCTCCGTCTTCACCCGCCTGGAACTACTGCTCGCGTCGCTCCCAAGGGCGCCAACTACACCATCACTCTCCCTAACGGACAGCCCCTGGTCGTCGATGGCTTGTGCCTGAGTCCCCGAGCCTACATCATTCAGCGTGACCCTAAGATCTTCGGCGAAACCAAGGACGAGTTTAGGCCCGAGCGTTGGATCGGACCCGAGGCCGCCAACATCCCGGACAGTGCTTTCAGACCGTACGAGAGAGGCCCCAGACGTTGCACCGGATCGGAACTCGCGAACCTGGAATCCAAGGTTGTCTTGGCCATTATCGCCAGACACTTCGAATTCGTCAAGGTTGGCCTCGGTGAGCTGGATCTTAAGGACGGAAAGCCCGAGCTTGACGAGAGGGGTTACTACAAGACTAAGGGCACTCTCTTCTCCGTAAGTCAAGCGTGAAATCATGTTTTTCAGAGGTGTGGTATGCTAACTGACGGCATGACAGACTGACCTGGTTACTTCCAAGCCTGTTGATGGCATGCACTTGAGGGTCGAACTCAAGAACAAGCCGAAGGCTTGATTTCTCACCTTAGATATTCGAGGATGAGATCGCAGCATATTATACCAGTAACTGCGAGATGCAATTATTCGTCTCGGACGTATGCTGTCCTTTTGGCTGCGAGGGGAATAATTTAGGATGATGGAAAACGATTGTCATGTCGATGAAACAGAGCAACTAAGCAAGGTCGCTCTGATGACACTAGTCTTAACGATTTCAATTCAAAATGGTGTATGACGTTCAATTTGCAGTTGCATGATCTGAAAGAACAAAGTGAATTTGTACAAGCCTAGTTCTCAAGACAGCCTACTTGAGACTTGATCGCCCTGTTCCTCACGTTTCAGAGACAAAAGGTTGATGCAGAAGCTCCAAACTCATAATCCAAGCCATACCTGAAGTCGAATCAATGGATTGGCTTACTCCATTTCTAAGAAATGATCTAAAACGGTAAGTTGTAACGAGATGCATCACATGTACCGCAATTCGTTGACATGTTTAAGAGTCAACGATAAACTCGCATGCCGACCACGGCATCTACTCAACTGAGAATGCCATGTCAGTTCTGTCTAATGTGTCTTCAAACGGTAAGACTGTCGGTAAAACTTCCTCGTGTAAACCAATTGACAGCTTCATCCTTCAATTACGACTTCTAAATCCTCTCGAGGTTGTCATTTCCGGCAACCCCTTTCAACTCACCAGATTAACACTACTAATAAAAGTTTAATTCATGGAGCAGTTTGCCTTACATAATGTCAGCTCAAACGGAGATACGCCACTGACTCGGCTACCAAAAGCCCGGGCTTAGCTGACATTTACTCTTCACATGACCATCAATTTCGTTGCTCGCCGTGGGAAATTATAGCGAACTTTGCCGTGATCGACGTCCAGAGCGTGAAAGCGAAAGCGAAGAGACCTGAATTTAGGCTGGATCATTTCCTTTAACACGGCTTAAGATGAAGTTGCCTACAAGAGGTATGGCGCGTTCCACATTCTCGTAAAGTGAGGAAGTTTGTTGTCGAGAAAGTCTATGGCCTGACTCGTTCCACCACCATCGTAGCGGCGTGGGCCAGTTCGAGGTATCACAACATGCAAACCCACGGCCTGAGATCGAAAATCATAAAGATCATTCTGTGCTCTCATTCGAACATGGAAAAATTGGCACACTCGAAGACATCTGATTCTTGCTACTCCATCAAATTCATCTTTTCAAGAATACGTTTCTGTGCAATTGTTGCCCACATCAATTCCTCTCAAGGTACATCACCGCCAGATCTCATCATGGCCGATCATAAGCCTAACGACTAAATACAGATGCGCCTCTCAATCTTGTTATCAGCGGCGGCTTTCACTGTCTCCAGCACCTCAGCAGCGAATAAATGTACTACTACAGGTCGCCCTGACGGCCAGGCTCTCACCGGTTTCAGATTCAAGAAGGGCAGCGATACAACATGGGAATGGCGTTCCCGCGATGCAGGAACTCTTGTTACGTTGGATCAGAACTGTAGTCTTCAACAGGGCGGTGGTACCAACCCTCTGCTGAAGACACTCTGCATCAACGCGTCCGGTGCATATGTTTGCTACAGCTTGCCGCCAAAGACCCAGGGTTGTGTTCTCGACACCAAGGTCTGTACCCATGTTACAAACATGTGGGCTTGGGCATGATTGGTATGTATTTCTTGGAACATTGATCATTTTCGATGTACTAACATGCCATGAGACAAATCAGAATCGTAACGGCACACAAATTTCCACCTGAAATCGAGTCGAAGAGGCTATACTGAGATCCTACGTATTTCAATCTCCATAGATACGTGCAAAAGAGAGGACTGCTACGATGAAGTACTCAAGCGGCGGCGTTAGGGTTGATGTTTGGGATATTATTCAGAAGAAGTCAGACTCTTTGTGTCAAGCATACAGCATGAACTTTCACGCATCTCCAAGCGCGGTGTTGCCTATGTCTTCACTTCATGCCTTTTCGATTCAATTTTCGCGAGTGAGCCTTCGAAATGCCGTTGTATGAGTACGTCAAGGATCGCAACGACACTTAACAGCAACCGAAACCAATCCTCAGTCATGGATATCTCTCTCCACTGCGCAAAGTCCACGTTCCGAAAGTTGCGGTGAAGTATCTTACACGACGGCGACGAGATGTGCGGTCAACGTCATTGAAGAAAATAGAACATTAGTTTAGGGACAAATCACGATGAGACCACGTAACCCAAGATTCCCGCCAAGGGTCCGTTGGTTTCTATAAGCCACGCCTAGTTCAAGCTGCAGACGGATACAAAACTTAATACCGTCTTTAAGTCCGATGTTGGGCCCTTGTCATGAACGACGGGAATCCCCATCATGGCTGCGAACTCCGCAACTTCACCAGGATTGACCATGATAGTCTCAACACTCCGCGATTCAATCGATCAGAGCCTCCCGCAAACCCACTCCTCTTCAGAGGCCGACCCTTCGGCGCAATGCATTCTCTTAGTACAAGACAGCTGTTGACAGGGTCCTTCGGTCAAAGAAGTGGCAGACTGCTCAGGCTGCTGAAGAAAGTGATTGGCGCCTCGTGGAACTCGTCCGCCGGAGTCTCGGGATCTACCCCTGGACCGGTTGTCTGGAAAAACAGGGTCCAAATTGAGGTCTGACAACATCGACGATCTCCGTTGGCGCGCCTTCCGTGGGCCAAGGATGGGTCGGACCACTTTACATATGGGTCCCGTTTCCTCCGCGTCCGCCGAATCCACGGACGGAACACACTCGGCACCAACGAGCTTGCTCCTTTGGATCACTCTGATATCAGAGGTCCCCAGAAGATGCATGGAATTTTTAAGCGTAAACCCACAACTGCAGTGCGAGAGCTTCACTGTGAGGAGCACGGGACACAGACGGCCCCGGGTTTGGCACAGTCCCAGCAATTGCCTGCCATGAAACCCTGCATGTGCTCTCGGACTTTACCCTACGCCCGGGCTGGTAAATAGTAGAGTTCATCATGCTTCTGCCCGAGGTCGATCTCAGTGGGCATCATATGGTTAAGGTTGGTATAAAGGTGACGGCATCGAACGCGTAGTTTAAGTGTTAGATCTTCTGCCATCTCATCAGATCTTTCTCCCTTCCCTCTTCTTGTAGAAGCTACTCTCAGTCTAGCGTCTTCACCTATCCAATAACCAAACATCACCATCATCCCCAACATGTCCGGCATTCAAACTCTTTTCGCACCGGCTCCCGAGCCCAAAACCGAGCTCGGTCGCTATCGTGTCCTCTCCTCCACGGCAGGTGTCAGGGTCTCCCCGCTCTGCCTGGGCGCCATGTCCATCGGCTCTGCGTGGTCCTCTTTCATGGGTTCCATGGAGAAGGAAGACTCGTTCAAGCTCCTAGACGAGTTCGTCGATGCCGGTGGCAACTTCATCGACACTGCAAACAACTACCAGAATGAAGAGTCCGAGAAGATCCTCGGCGAGTGGATGGCCGCCCGCAAGAATCGCGACATGATTTTCATGGCAACCAAGTTCACTACTCAGTACCGCAAGCAAGAGCTCGGACCTGGGAAGTGTGTCAACTACTCAGGCAATCACAAGAAGTCGCTGCACCTCTCGGTCCGCGACTCTCTGAGGAAGCTGCAGACCGACTACATCGACCTGCTCTACATCCACTGGTGGGACTGGACCACGTCCATTGAGGAACTCATGGATTCCCTCCACATCCTTGTCGAGCAGGGTAAGGTCCTGTACCTTGGTGTTTCCGATACCCCCGCTTGGGTTGTTTCCGCTGCGAACACCTACGCCAGGGCGCATGGCAAGACCCCGTTCTCTGTCTACCAGGGTCGCTGGAACGTCTTGATCCGCGATCTCGAGCGAGACATCATTCCAATGTGTCGCCATTATGGTATGGCCATTGCGCCCTGGGATGTCCTTGGAGGAGGCAAGCTGCAAACCAAGAAGCAGCTCGCGGAGCGTGAGAAGGCAGGCGAGGGATTGCGTGGGATGTTCGGGCCTGGCCAGTCCGAGGAGCACCGCAAAGCCAGCGAGGTCCTCGAGGAGGTCGCCAAGGAAGTCGGAACAGAGAGTATCCAGCAGATTGCTCTTGCCTACGTGATGCAGAAAGCCCACTACGTCTTCCCCATCGTGGGAGGCCGTAAGGTCGAGCACTTACACGATAACATCAAGGCCCTGAGCATTCATCTGACGGAAGACCAAATCAAGAAGATCGAGGGCTACAAGGAGTTCGACATTGGGTTCCCTATGAACTTCATCCTTGAAGATCCCCGAGAGGGTGGTCCGACAGCTCCTCTGGTGGCCGCGTCCGCACCGATGGCGTGGCAGCAGAGCGGGAAGCCGATTGGTCATGAGTGAGTGCGGCGGCTAAGATACTTCCAGGAGACACATTTCCACAGATTGCGATTGGTTCTTCATATTCAAATCAATTTCGTCTATTACAATTAACATCTGTTCCTGTACATCGGTGAAGGTTTTGTGTCGTCAAATCGTGATCAGGATCTCAGCGTCAAGCCGACGACCCGCCGTTGTCATGTCTCTAGTAATACATAATAATACAGCAGACTATCTGATCGGTTTGGTGACCTGATAGGCTGTGGGTTTGCTGACCAGGGTCTTCTGGGAATCTGCGGATGAAGAGCCGGACGAAGATGAAGACGCCCCTGCTGTCGACATGGAAGCGCCCGATGACGCTAGATGCATCTTGTCCTCGGGAGTCTCGACCGTTCTTCTCCTCGAAGCCCTCTCTGATCGTCTTGTTGTGCTTCTGACTCTCATTTTGATGGCTTCCGGGAGATATCGGGTTTTTACCGCAGTGTCGCGCAGAAGAACGCGTAATACGGGTAGAGTTGCCGCCATGATAGTAATAGCAGTCTCAGCGGCAGCCCAAACAGCCAATTGCGCTCCACCGTCTGAAATATCGTGTCAGCAGAGAACATGGTTTGGTCTCATAATTGGTGAAACTCACGCGAAAAATCTCCTGTTGTGTCGTTCACGGACCTCATGTAAGATGCTTTCACGAAGGCCGCGATTCCGGCTCTGAATCGGATTAGCCAACCGCTAGGCCGAACATTCATTCGAAGTCAACTTACAACACGCCCATACTGAGAGCAACGGAGACGCCGATCTTCTCTTTCTTACTGAGAGTGAGACCTGATGATTCTTCTGCCGGCGTCGGGCGCATGAGGATCATCCACGGAATAGCAGCGAGTGCTAGATCCAGAAGACCAGAGTACTACATGAACTCGTCAGTCCAAAGTTCTTGCGCGAGAATGCTTTAGCCGATTGACTCACCACTGACACGAAGACCCCAAAGGATATCACCCACTTCAAGTCGTAGCACGTTCCTTCATTAGAGAATGGTTTCCAGCGCTTCTCGAGTGGCACACAACCAATCCAGAAGGAAAGGGCAGCGAAGGCGAATAGGACGTTCATCGATATGATGCTGAACCAGACGAAAGCCTTTTTCCACCCGTCACACATTCGTAAAAGCGAGATGGCGAAGGCAGTTTTGCTCCAGACCTGGCCCACAAACGAACATGTGATGGACGACAAGCCGACGATTGCTAGTGTGCTGATGTTGTCGATGGTGATGGGAAAGTCGGGGCGGCCAAACCGAGACTTGATTATGAATTCGTTGAGAGAGGCGTCTCCAGCAAGAACGAGCTGGAGTGTACGTTAGGATCATGAACTTTGACTGCCTCTAGACGGGGAAGACCTACCCATGACGCTATGAGGAGCGCATCCTCAAACCTGAACTTTGTGTACGAATATGATATCTTGCAGTATAACCGGAGACCCAAGAAGATAGCGGAGAGAACAACGAGTATCCATAGTACAGTCTGGATAGACTCGGCGGTGGAGTCGTCGTCGGCTCGGATGTTGAGTGACAGAGTCGTCGTGTCGAGGTCAGGACTCGTCAAGCGTGTCGTGTTGACCAGTTGTGCCAAGGTGTCCAACCTCTGTGCGCGACTTGTTGAACAGCCCTCACACAAATGAGGAGGCACGACGGCCATCTTCGGTTTTCCGAATTGGCTACCGACTGAAGTGACAGCAGCACCTACATTACAAGGGCATCCAACACATGCCTGATGATGTTGGGCGTGGGTTGAGTGGGCGTATTATATTATCGACAACGTCTGTCAACGGCGAGGGTCTGATGTATATCAACGGTGGTGGGCAAGCAGAACCGTTTCGTTATGTAGCACGTGTAGGCCGACAAACTACACAAGAAACTGACAAGTCTTGACTGGGATGGCCATGACTAGACAAGTGAAAGTCTTCATTCTCCACAGCTTTCTCGCATCACGGCACTTAGCGGACATGATCTCTGATCGAGCACAGATCACGTTCAAGATCCGCCGGCGGGCAGCAAGGTTGTACAGGGCGACGGACGAAGCAAAGCGCGGACTGATGCTTGCGGCTTTCTGGAATGTCGGGGTTCCGTGCGCCGGCGAGGATTACCTAGAGAACAAGGTCCACGGACTCGTATATCATAGGATGGCGTTCTTACTCGTCTTCATCGACTTGTGGACGAAGCTGCCAAGAGGCCACCAACTCTTTGACCTCCTTCGTCCCGACTTGCAAGCGCAGCCGGGCACAGATATGTGGAGACTCACATGGTGCTCTCCACGACATATCCTAGCCGATCTTCGCACAGCTAGACTAGGAATATATCGTAGAACGTTATTTGAGTTGTAACCACTGTCACAGCCGTGTCGCGGCTGAAGAGTGATCCTAGTATGCACGGCCTGTCGTGGTGAGTACGGCCTTGTCTTCGAAAAGCTTGCTTGCTCTATCAGATGCGTGGCGTGTACTTGTCAGGATGGTCCCGGATAGCCGTTCAACCCTCCCAAGGCGGCAATTCGTAAGGACTTGCTTCGCCTCACGGGCAAAGTGACTGGCGGTATCGGATTCTGGGTCGTCTCTTATCCTTATCCGGAATGCCACACATCCGCCGCACAGTTACTGCACGATTTTCTCCCATCTTTTTAAGACCAGCGACTTGCCCATCTTCGCGGCGATGGTGAAATTACACAGAAACGGCACTAAGAGTAATAATAGCTCTCATTAAAGACACACATGAGCTTCGACGAATCGACGAGAGCTGTCGCTCCCGTGCGGGGAAAGGAGCTCTTGCACAAGGATGGGACCCGGCATGAGCCTTATTCAGTCGCTGTAAGATCTGCACAAAAGAGGCATGTGGGTATCTATAAGACAGATCACTATGACGAACTACCAAGCTAGCTGCCGCGGGATGCAGCCCTGTCATCGCGATTCAGCTTCTCCCCACACGACGCCGACGCTTGTTGCGGGCTAGTGGACGGCCTTTCCCATCCTCCAGTGCGGCTCTGCCCCTTGCTCTCGACCTACATGCACAAGTGGCAGGAGAGCGACTAATGGTTCAAGGTTTTGGGATGAATGTCAAGAGAAAAGGGAAAGTCGTCTGCTTCGTGTATGAAACTTTGCGGCTTTCTCTCCGGTCGAGAGTCCGTCCACTAAACCGTCTTGCGGCCCCTCCACCTGCGACAAATCGGGAATTGCCTGTGCCGGCGATGGGATCATCTAAAGAATAGAGTCTCTCGCAAGCGCTTTCAACTGTCGGCGATTCGAGGCCAGAACATCTTCTCGCTTTGGCTGGTTCGTTGGCAGGAGACCTCCTTATTCTGAACCGAGTTTGACATTGAAACGTGAAACTTTTCCACGGAAAAAACGGCCATCGCCGGACACACGATCAGAAGCTGGTGTTGCACTGACATATCCGAGGGAGCATATTACATGAGCAGGCCGTCTCCCGTCCTAGATCTGCAAGTCACCTTTAGCTCATCCTCACCCATGCACCTCAACTTTGCATCAGATGATTCACTTATCATATAGCTCTACATATCTTAGACAACTAGCGTCGAGGCACCGAGCTTGGCTTGCGCATTGCATACTTGGCTTGATTGTCAATCTCTTGGTCAGGTCTCATATGAAAAGCTCAATAATAGCTGAAACTCTCGGCAGGGCATCCATAGCTCAAGATGATGCCTTCATATATGAGTTTCGTTTGAAATATTCTCCGCTGTAGGCCCTGAGGATAAGCATAACCTCGGCGCCGCTCGCCTTGCAGAATTAGCGTCGATGATCGCGCATACATGCGGCATCTTGGCCATAGCTTATGCCGACGAGCCTTCAGGGGGCAGAGGCAATTGTTCCTGCGTACGGGCCATGCCGTCGGGATATGAACTTACATGTAGGCTTTTGAACTCAAAAACAACGCGACTAGACCGCGCCCTGGCAGCAGCACCAGAGGACTTTCGCCGCCGGTCACATAGTGAAAGTCGGCTGAGACAGAGCCATAGCGTCTGGGTACGAACGGCGAGGAGCTGTTAGTCATTCTATAGTTGCCAAGTAGCGAGTATTGTTTCTGAATATGTTGATCAATCTCGGGTATCTTACATAGCTGTAAAGTTAGCTAGCGAAGGGGCAGATGTTCACCCAGAGGGTGCATCAGTTGAGTGTTTGTGTTGATGATTCAGCACTGACATGAAGACTGGAAATATCACGATGAAAGCCTAAGATGAGCAGATCGAAGATCAGAACGATATCGGACGGCCTGGCGCCAACCTCATGATCTTGCGCCCCTGTGTGGCGATTGTTGTCGTTCACTTAAACCCGCGGCATGGGAATATTCCTCAAAGCCCACTTGCTTCGACGATGAGCCTGGACGAACAATACCTCAATGAGGCACGCTAGTGTCGAGCACCTGACCAAAGACATCAAACGAGATGAACTCAACTGAAGAAAAGCACAGGTGGTGACGACTGGAGGTCAGTGTTCCTGGACGGATTGATATGTCTCACCACAGCAGTTTTGTTAGCGCGATGCACGCCAGACATGCCACACACAAAATTAGAAACTATGTGGTATCTGCACATGCATGTCATGGTTTTATTCGAAGCCGTTATCCAGTAAGGTCGGTGTTTAAGATCGCCCCGCCAGGTAAAGCTTGTCTTTCGCCAAGATGTAGGATCGGTTACAATCACCCTGGAAGATTCATTTGTAGTTCTGGCGTACTATCTCAAAAGCCCCGCGAGTACTGGCAACCGACGCCATTGGAGCTTTATCTTCAGCGCCAAACGTTACGTGCTCTGAGCTTTTCTAGAATGGACCGGGCCGAACGCCTTTCATCTTGCCACCTTTGAAAAGGCTCGTGCTGCGCCTCCAGCATTGAGTTTCAACGTTGATCGGCCAACATCAAATCACTGATCAGGGCTTTCCTCATTGTTTGAGGCTGTAATCATTCCAAGGCCTGGTCTCTTCCGAGTTGTTCGTCACGTGTAGTAAGAATTAAGGGTGCTGTCGAGCGTACCGGCCGAAAGCGTCATCAATCACTGCCGTCTTAGCCGGGCGGAATCGTTTACGTTGGTGGCGTGATAGTCGCGTGGCCCGAAGTCAGCGGCGCTTTACGTAAGAATGCCGCGATAAAGGCCAGATTGATCACCAACATATGTAATCTCTCAATACAATGCAGCCAAGCCAGACTGCTCACAAGAAATTTCAGGGCCATTTCTGATCCACACGGAACGTGACTTACACAGCCCTACACGGCCAACTCGATAGTGCCTTGCTTACACTGCATCAACTTGGAGTTCTAGGACGCACAGGTGGATAAAGGTTGGAGGTTCCCGCTTGCTACCAGAGCCAGAAGTGGGCAATACAACCAACACGCAGCAAGAAAAGATTGCGGGGCAATACTCGATTTCGACAGCCCAGATCTCCGTTGAAAATCACAACTACTGCGCTCCAAAGTACCACAACCACAAATCGACAATGGCCTTCTGGAAGTCATCATCCAAAGAGGGCGACGAGAAGCCAAAGAAGAAGTCTCTCTACCAACGCTACGAAGACAAGAAGACAGGCCGCGACAAGGTCATCCCGGACGAAGACCTTCTCAAGTACACCGGCAAGACCAGGGAAGAGATCAACGCGTGGGCCAAAGACAGGCCGGGTGTGGCGGGAAACCGTGCCGCAGGGACGCTGGCCATGGGTCCGGCCACGGGGTTTGGCGGTGCAGCGGCCGCTGATGGATACGGCGGATGGGGAACTGATGCCGGGTCGGAACCCAAATATCCACCGCAGAAGACGGTTAGCGCGGAAGGTGGTGTCGAGTCGTCGAAGTAGAGCGGTCATGATAGTTGCGAAAACGACAGGTTATATTTAGAAGGTGGTTGCAGTTAACGTTTGGACGGGTGGGTCTGTTCGTCGCGTGCGACTGCGTCCGGTCGTGAAGAGGGGTAGCTTGGAAACGCTCGTTCGTCCGGAATGGTTACAGCGGTTTTGTCATAAGACGATGATACCATCGCAGTACTTCAAATGAGAGAATCATGGACATGTTGTGCCGCCTAGCATGGATGACTTGACCTTGCATGCTGACTATCAGTTCTATGGCGTGCAGTACGGTTATACATTGGATGATTCCATATTCTAACTGTTCCCTTTGCAACTGATCAGAGCTTCTTTCTACAACACCGTTAAGTATGACTATGTCAATGTCGTTGACTGCATGCAAAAACGTACACGAATGACGATTCAGTTATGGCGAGTTGTGGCCTGGATACCCTGCGTGAAGACCGAAGCTTTCGATGCGCATATCACTATCGTATCCCCGCTTGGCGACTCGAGTTTGTTTTGAAGGCGGGCTACGGATACTCAAAGATTCCGAGATCTGCCTGCCTGCCCCTCCTTTCCTCGTAAAGCAGATACTGTGATTAGTTGAAGCCTACGCCTACAGTGATGTGCTCGATTCCAAGCCCTATCTGACGATCTTACTTACATAATTGCAGCTTTCACTCAGGGTATCCTCAACATGAGTAGTTCTCGTGATCTTGGCGCGTGGATCGAACAGAGGGCGCAAACAATGGCAAGGTTTCGATAGGCCATGGGAGGGCTGTAATATGTCGAGATCCTTGTGAATATGAAGGATAGGTAGGTGGCGGCGACTCAAAGGTCATGACACGTTCAAAGGAGCATAACCTTGAGTTTTGTCACGATTCTTACGGGGCAATAATCCACCGTAAGCGTCAAATATGTTATAATCAATGCCGAAGCTGTTTTGCGCTTTACTCAAACCTAGAGGAAATCTGGTACGAATTTGTAGATATGTGGGAGGTTGAGATTGCAGAAAATACCTGCCCTGAAAGATCTACTTGCTCAACAAAGCCGCACCCTACATATCGCACTACACATTAAAACATAATTCAAATTACATTATTTTCTAGTCTTGGTGAAGAGTTAAAAGAACTTGAAGCTAGAGTTGTGGCTTTTGATAGGATTGAAGTTATTTTTTGTAGACTAATAAAAGTTTCTAGTACCTAAATTGCAGAAGGATTTCGCTCCATGTTTCGTTCTATGGACTATGGTATCATATTGCTTGGGGCGTAAATAACTATGATGAAAAGTTCGTTTTGTTCATTTGATCTTGATCAGACTACATTTGTAGTTCCCATGGGGATTTCTAACACCCCGATTGACGAAAGCATCCTGTTTTCATGAGATGTTCAAGTGAGTCTATGGTGATTCAACTCTTTTGGTTGGAGACGTGGGAAGAAAGTTTAGATGAGATTTAGCACACATGACGCGAAATATCTACAGATTGAATTCAGGTTGAGAGAGCGTGGTATCATCTCATACGCTTATAATTATACACACTGACTATCAGTTTTAGTTTAGCTGCTTTTTATCTAGTAAATGGCATAAATACCCAAAATTAGTGGGATTATATCTAGTAAAATATCTCAACATGACACTGCCGCTCAAGTTTGTGACTCTTCCTTCGAAAGCTGGGGTATCTTCGTGACCAAACACTTGTTCAAGTGAAGGTGACAGCCTCTGGCAGCCTCACAGAAATTGGTCGCAACAAAAAAGAGCACCTATCATCAACTCGAGAGTTCAATAAAATTATATCGCTTGACACGGGCATTACTCTCATAGTTTTTAGTTGATGAACAGGTCTCATAATTTAAAGTAGAGAATGATGTGGCGATCTATGATTGATGTCGGGTTTTTGAAGGCCGATCCAAGTATACATTTTGCCATCTTCTAGCGGCACTGGCATTGGAACCAAAGAAGAAAAATACCACTATTATCAACACTACCTTATGTTATTGTCATAATTATAGCGTACCATACAAACTATGGATTAAATACAAGGATGACAAAGCTCACTAGCTGTTCATACCTTCATGAAAGTATTGGCTTACACAGTGCTCATCCCTTCAGCTTACTTCAATCAACTCGTGAGCAACACGGAAAGCATCACCAAAGTGTCTCAATCTTCCTTTTTCTGAAAGTCTGCAAGTGCTGTTTGATCTCAACTCTCATTAGGCTTTCCACCGTGTCAAATGACGGAACAGGTACGAGGCTCGCGAATGAAGGAAACATATATGTAATGGGGCCTTTCTCAACAGGGTCAATCAATACCGAGGTTGCTAGCTATCGGCACAATCGTACACATAGACCTCTAAAGGTTGAGAGCTGCGGCGGAAGAGAAACTCCTAGAACTTGCCGCGCTCAGGCACGTGCAGGTCTCGGCCACCGATGCGGGGAAACACTGCTAGCTCTTCATGCATCAAGCTTCAGCCATCACCAAAACGACAACTCTAGAGACCAGAACAGTCTAGCGAGGCTCACGGCGAAACGACGGCGTCCAACGTCAACGGTGACTAGCGGCCCATCAGCCAAAAGCAGAGCCACTCACTCTCTCGTAGATAGTTGGGTGGTTCCTCATCGTCTCTCAACCAACACCGAAGCATCTCATCTTCCAAAACCCTCGGTCGATGAATCAGAAACAAGGATGCATCCCTGCTTCGTCGAAATACACAGCTGACTCAGCGTTCTGGACTGCTCTTTCGGGCCCGCAACGCACAGTGACATCCCGCCAGCCTAGACTGATGTCATCTTCCCGCGCAGTGCGGGGCGCCAATCATCGTGTCCCCCCGCGACCTGGAAACCCTGTTCCTCGCCAGCTTTCGGCCGCGACAACTGACGTCACGTAGAATTTCCATCAGGATTTCGGCCGGCGGACGGCTGCTGAGAAGGCAAAGGAAGGACGTCAATCGGCGCTGGGACCGCATCATACCACACGTAGCTGTGCCAGCTTTTTTTTCCCGTTGTCTCCCCCCATTTGAACTGCTCTTGTCCCCCTCCGTTGATTCCGTGAATGTGACCTGGCTCTGATACCACTTGCTCCATCTACAAACACCACAGCGACTTTCATTGACGAGCAGCGCAAATAACGGCGCAAAGATCTCGAGCTACAACTCTCAACTCCCGTAATAGACAAGCCAAGAGAAACGCCAACGCAAACATGCCTTCCGTCCTCGGTCTGACCAAGGACCCCTCCCCCCACGGCCCCGGCGCCGAGGAGCGCGAGAAGAAGAAGAAGCCCCAACTCCAAGGCGGCCAGGACACGTCCGACAAGCAACTAGCCCACCGCGAGCGCAAACCCTCCTCCTCGCAATCGCCCCCGCGCGACGACAAGCAGAAGAAGCCGAAGAAGGAGAAGAAGGAAAAGAAGGAGAAGCCCAAGCCCAAGCGCCGCGAGTACGACACGGACGACGAGTCCGAGGACGAGGGGCCCCTCAACACCATCGCGAAGCGCAACCACGCAAAGGCCATCGAGATGGAGACGCTCCTCTGGGGCGCCCTCTGCCACAAGCCCAAGAGCGCCCTCAAGTACATCGGCAAGGGCGCCATCATGTGCAACCCCCTGCTGTTCGGCGACCCGGAGGTCTACTCCGAGAAGTCGGAGCCCACCCTCAAGGAGGTTCTCAAGGACTGCGACCGCTACCTCAGCTACAAGATGCACAAGCCCCATACTGTTGAGATTGGTCTGATGGCCATGGCTATCTGCTACGACATCACGCTGTTCCGCCAGGCGGATGATGGCACGCTTGAGAGCGAGGAGGCAACAGTCTCGACGAGCTGGAGGCAGTGTGCCAGTGGTGATTGGGAGATGACGAGCTCCATGGCGGGATGGCAGGATTAGATCTTTTGGTTGGTGGTGTATTATCTCTATTATTTGGCGTCGACGTCTGGTGTTATTTTTGATGAGATCTTAGTTGTATGTAATGTATCACGGCCTGCATGAATTCGAAGTTTTGCATCACGAATCCCCGATCGCCAACCCAGACCTTCTCGCCCGTGGACATCAATTCGGCCCATGTCTTAGGCCTTCGAACCGACGACTTCCTTCACCATATCGCCAAACCCGACCATGCAGACAGTAGCCCAAGCAGCGACACCAATGCGCGGCACAACACCACGGAAGAAACCGCCGAACCCATTCGTAGCCCAGATGTGCCTCGCCGTAGACGCCATCGTGAGCTGCTGCGGTCGGCCGGGATCGGCCTTGAGGGACTGCATCTCGACTCTCACAACCTATTCGAAATACGGTCAGCATCTCTTTCAACACGCAGCAAGAGCCCGGTTCACCTCAAACGGCTGGTTCCAACAACTCAGCGCGCCTCCGATGATAGAAGCCACGATCTTCTCGGTAGGTGCCAACTTCTCTTCCGGCGACTTGCCTCTGAACGACCTGATCTGCCCCTCCGCGACCCTCGAGATACCGATCCGCGACGACCACCCGGTGATCTGGCGGAGCGCGACGGCGTTGACGCCGCGATTGACCCCGCGGATGCCCTTCGTACGCAGGATCTGGAGGAATACTTCCATGGTCCCGGGCGTCCTGCCTGTAGCCTTTTGCCTCGTGACCTCGACGGTCTTCATGCATGTGGTCACACCTGAGGAGGACCGTCAGTATTTGAATTCCGGATCAGCAATGTGTATTAACTCACCCATCGTCAGATACGCTTGAGAGGCACCGCCGACGATTCCTCCCAGCACGCCTGCTACCTCAGTCCCCAGCCCGGATCTCTTGGCGTAAAACTCCACTTCAGTCGACGTCAGGACCAAAATGGCGCCTTTTGTTGATGCTTCTATCCAAGCCTGTTGAGGCCCGTTAGCTGGCATTGACGGGGCTGTGTGAGAGGAGAACTGACCCATGGTATGAGACCTTGATAGAAGCCGCGGAACCCGGCTCGACCCCAGGTTTTCTTGACAGCGTCGCCCAACGTGTCTGTCCTGTTTGCGCTAGCCTAGATGAGAGCAGAGATGGAAGTCAACTCGAGATGCTCATGTCATTCAACTGCTCGGAGCGGCTTGCATGAGTTTTGATCACCTCCATCGGTTGGCCCAAAGTTGTCACTAGAGATTCTGTCAGCGTACCTTCACTTTGATTGGACAGAATAGACTCATCGGGCTTTCAATCACCTTGAATGATATTCATGCAAGCTCCTACCAGTAGATTTCTCCATGGCGTCTGGCGCTTTTCGAGCGCCACTGCGGACGGGGAGTACACCGCCGTGGCTTCCATTTTTCAATTTTGGTAGCCCGAATAGAAAGCTGTCTGGTTGAAGAGACCGGATGAATACTCGATGATGATTACGGCAACCTAGTATCATCGGCTAACGCTGATAATAAATTCCATATGCTCATTGGTGAAAGCTCACGCTCGGTCAATTGCGTAAAGAGCTATCGGATGAGGCCGATGCTACGACTGTTGGGCCATCGGACCCATCCGACAACATGAATTCGCCCGGACACAGCAATGTCACCTAGGAAATTCTGTGAAGATCTGTGCAGCCCGAATCGCCAGATTGCGTCTCTAATGAATCACAGTCTATTTGAGTCTATGTAATCAATGAAAGGGATACGACTTGAAGCATGCCACTGTCCTGACCAGATTCTCCCCCTCAAGTCCGCTTTTTGAAATCATTCTTGGGCACTCTCATGACCCAATACAGTCCAGCAGCCACGACAATGTTGAAAACGATGTACACCCACATGAACCCAAAGTCGCGCCACTGGTTGCTCAAGCTCATGTTCATCCCAGACAAGAACTCGTTGGTATCAGCCATCCCGCAGTACTGGCAAGACGTCGCGTTGGCGTCGACCACATAGCCGCCATTGCTCTGGATGTACGACGCCATGTAGTCACCGCAGGTGTTTCCGTCGGGCGCGCTGAACTCGAGCAGCTCTGAGGGGTTGCAGGTTACCGGTGCGTCTGCCAGACTGACGCCTAGGAACCCTTCGACGACGTATGTCAGAGGGTTCACTCTGTACATGAAGATCCAGAAGCCAGGCAACTCGCTTGGTCCAGCCAGAACACTGTTGAGAACAGTAGTGTCAGCAGACATGATCATGGTAAAATGGGTGCGCAGAGGGGAGGTACTCACCCGCAGAAAGCAAACATGAGAATGAAGAGCAAGTTGAGAATTCCACCCGCGACCTCGGCGCTGCCAAGCCCGGCGATGAGGAGATGAGCGAAAGTGCTGGCGAGCAAGAAGAAGGCCCAGCACATCAGGAATAGAGCGATAGCCCGCGAGTGGACAGTGTTGGTCCATTCGGCATTCCGGTCGAGTCTCATCGGAAAATACCACAGCAGAAAGGCAAGTACTGCCATAATCTGCCCAAGCCGTCAGTACTCAGTCCCATGCTGCAAACACCAGCTCAAGTGACTTACCGAGTTCCAAGCCATTTCCACCATTACGTTAGCTGCGATGAAAGCTTTCCAAGAATAAGCCTTCGCAGGCCTTTCTCGAGCCTCATACATGATTCGTTGTGACACGAACACGGGCATGATCTGTTGGACCATTTGCGTGAAGATGAAGAGGAAGATGTAGACGCCAAACATCTGGTTCTGGAGGCCGCGCTCTGAGTTTTCGCCGCCAGTAAGCGCCAGCCCGATGAAAAGTGCCTGTCAAGCGAAGGTGGTAAGTCATAGTCTCGAGAAAAAGGTCTTCGGCATTTCAATTCATATTAACTTACTGAGCCAAAAGTCAGAATCGACTTCGAAAGGATGTACAACGGGCTTCGCCAGTACTGTTGAAACACCCTGGTCGTGACTTGGAGGACTTGGGTCCGGAAGTCCGCTGCAAACTCTGCGTATGCCGAAGGATCGTGAGCATCGTCGTTTGAGAGACTGGTCTTCTCGTTGGAAACGCCTGAGAGTCTTGCGAGTTCGTTCTGAACGGCCTGGTATTCCTCACTCTCCCTCCAAACAGATGGCCAGTCGATATCGGTATGTGCCTTCGGAGCAGCCCCTATCACTTCGAGCATGTACTCGGCAGGGTTCGAACCGTCCTGGTAGGTCGCAGCGCCGTGCCGACTGAAGTAGTCAACGAGAATGTGCGAGTTCTGGCCTATGTCGCCGAAGTAAACCGTGCGACCGCCCTTCGCCAGGAGGAGCAGCCGGTCAAACCTCTGAAAAAGGGATGCCGATGGTTGATGAATTGTGCAGAGAATTGCTTGCCCATTTCTTGTCAGCTTTTCCATCAAGTCACAGATGGACCAAGATGTTTGACTATCCAGGCCGGATGTCGGTTCGTCAAGGAATAGAAGCAACTGTGGTCTCGCGACAAGCTCAACGCCTATGGTTAAGCGTTTGCGCTGTTCAACATTCAAGCCTTCACCCAGCTCGCCGATCACGGCATCAGCGTATTCCTGCATACCCAGCAAATCGATGACCGTATCGACATAAGCCAGTTTCTCATCGCGACTGTATCGCTGGGGCTGACGTAGCAGGGCGCTGAAGCTCAAGGCCTCTCTAACAGTCGCGGTATGGAGGTGGAGGTCTTGCTGGGTTACGTATCCCGTCTTGCGCTGGAACGAAGAATCTCGGAGGTGCCCATCAACGAGCATCTGACCGCTGACAACACCCATGGTCACACGACTGGCAAGCACATCAAGCAGACTGGTCTTACCAGCTCCGGAGACGCCCTAGTTTAAGAGATGAGTATGAATAATATTGATGACAGATATACGCGCAAGTACTCACCATCAATGCCGTCAAGGTTCCTGGTCGAACCCAGCCATCGACGTTCTGGAGGATCTTTCGAGTTTCGCCTTTAACGTTGACTTCGTAGCTCACATTCTGCCAATGAAAGATGGAGGTCTGTTTGGCAAGATCGGGACCCTCACTGTCGTTGCCGCTCTGGATAGCCGGTTGAGATCCCCTGTCTGTTGTGTTTTCAAGGTCTTCCGTAGTTCTCTTGACCTTCTTGAGGGCACTGCGAGTGAAAACCAAGACTTCACCCTTTGATCTCTCGGATGATACCCATTCGACGGCAAAGAGGTACAGAAGCATGAAGACGATCGTAAGTGCCATCAAAATGCCAAAATTCCTCCAGCGATGGCTGCTGTAAAAGTCGTACACGACCCGAAGATGTTCCTCGCCACTGACAAAGTTTGCGCCTGGGGCCGCGCCGCCAATGTCGCAAACGCGTTGCGAGGCCGACGAGACGTATCCCGGGCCAGATGGAACAAACTGGGCGCAGCTGAAGTTCCTTCCGACGAGCTCGTTCAAAGCCAGACTCTCTTGCGCGTAGAATACGGGATTCACCCAGCGCAGCCACCCGATCCAATCATGGAGATAGGCTTGCGGTATGGCAAACCCGCTAAAGAGCATGAGCACCAATAAGATAATGGACGAAGGTGCCAACGCTTGCGCAATTGTCTTGGTGATGGAGCCGAGGAAGCGGAAGATCATGGACATGGAGACCGTGATGGTGAAAGAGAGCAGCAGAAAGAAGAAGAATGGTCCCGGGTCTTCGCGTCGGAGATTCGTCATGAAGTAGATCGGAACGTTGATGGCCAAGGCGTTCAGGAGCTTGTAGGGAAGATCGACGAGCATGGCAGCAACTGCTTCGCTGCTAGGGTGATAGAGGGCATATCGCGCATGTTTTTCGATGATCTTTCTTTTGCCGTAAAGAGTGAGGATTTCGAGGATGCTACCCATCGCGTTGATGAGAATAGTGTAGAAGATCAGAAGATTGCGACTGTAGAGGGTGGACGAATCGGCAGGCAGGTTGTAAAAGATACTCGAAATGATGAGGGACTCGAAGAAGTTCGTCGACAACATGGTGATCGTCATCCATGGCTCGCTGACTAACAGCTTGAAGCTCCGCCAGAGATTGAGGTTGACTTGCTGGAAATAGGATAACGTGAAAGGCGAGGAAGATCGTGTTTGCTTGGATTGATGTGCTCTTCGCGTAGCGAGGAAGTTGGCATGAGTCTCGCCTCCGAGCGGAAACTGACTCTCGAAACGATCGATCTCGTTTAGTAGCAGTTGACGGTCCCGGCTCTCTTTCCATGCTTGAGAAAACTCGTGAGAACTCCGAGGTGGCGTTTTCCCCTTCCAACCAGGATGAATTACCCTCTCGGAAGGACTTGTCATGGAAGTCAGGAAGTCGGCGGTAGTCTTTTGATCGGGGCACTGGAACCCAAGGCCTTCGAAGTATGCCTTCGCATTAGTCGCCTTTCCGAAATAGATCTGACGACCCTCGTAGAGCACGACAACCTTATCAAAAAGCTGTAAACTGAGTAAGCAAGTGAACAAGAACGAATACGATAGGTAGAAGAGGTGTGGTGTGCTTACATCGTAGGCCTCCTGAGGCGCCTGGTAGATGGCCACGCACGAGCTACAACGGAAGATGTCCGCCTGCATGCGAAGAGTCCGACAAAACTCGATTGCGTTCGCCGAATCCAGTCCTCTGGTGCTGTTGTCCCAGCACTGGAGTGGCGCATAGCTCAAGACGGCCTCGGCGATACTAACTCGCTTTCTCTCGCCACCACTAACGCCGCGGACGAAGTCGTCTCCAACTCGGGTATTCTTGGTGTGAGAAATCCCAAGCATCGCCATGACAACGTCCCGCAAGTGTTCAGCGTACTGGTGCTTGGAGATGTTGTCCGGGAGATCCATGTTCTGTGGACATCTTGCTCTGGCTGCAAAGTAGAGTGTCTCGCCGACGGTGAGGTAGGGAAAGTGGTGATCGAACTCTGCTGTGTAGATGGCCTCACCTCTGAATGTTGTCCGCATATCCTCAGTTGATATACCCTGGTAGTTGAGAGTTGCTCCATCAGCAACGTAGAAGCCGTGGGTATCGCCAGCGATTGTCTTCAGAAGAGTTGTACATCCGGATCCAGGGGGTCCCAACACCGCCAACATCTCGCCATTTTGGACGACACCTTCCAACTCGTGCAGAATGTCGATACGCTGTTGCTTCTTGGATGGCGAGAATACCGAGGCGTAGTCGAGAAAGAAGTTGCCAACATTCTTCTGGTAATCCATCGTTGTACCCAGACCATAGACATTGAGGTCCTTGAAGGCTATCCCGGCCGTGTTAGGGGCATTGCCAAGCAGAGCCTGGGTCTGGACCCTGTAAAACTCAGTGGCCCATGCTCGTGCATCGAAGTCGGGGTTGTTTGGATCGAGGGTCTTGTCGGATGGCTCAGGAAACAACGAGTGGCCTCGACCTCCGTTATGAGACACGCTTGTCAGGCGTCTGGCAAGCTCATTGATCTCTTCACCTATAGACACCTCGGCGTCTGACTGGCTGGTTTGGGCCGTGTCGATATCAAGGTGGTGCTGAGAGGGTTCGATCCTGTGGAGGTCATGCTCAAAGAGCCCAGTGGTCGGCATGATCGCTGGATGGGGCGAATTCGGCGAAGGCTACGACGTGACGAAGACGGATAGGTCGCGGAGACACCTAAGATGGTAAGGTGTATTGCGAATTAAGGGCCAGGCCGAATCGTCTGGTCACACTCGGAGCAGCCAGCTGTATCTGGAGCTTTCAACACCGAATATGGGGTGAAATATGAGATTTTGAATGGTTCAAGCAAGGAAGATTGACGAAGATGATGATCTGAAGAGGCATGAAATGCGGCACATGGCCAAAATATTTATTGAGACGGCTCCCGAATCAACGAATCTTTCAGACCGCCTGAAGTTTAACTTTCTATCATGAGCCGGTTCACGATGAAGTTTTCACGGAAACTGCGAAAGTCCCTGACCAGTCCTTCCGGGGGTCGCCTCCGGAGCTGGTAACAGCGGGCCGGCAAGAGCAGGGCCGCACTTTCGGAAAGTGCGAAGTGCCGGAGAAGTGGACCCCGGAAAGTTAAAGTGGATCGGTAGCGGCTTCCGGGCAGTAAGAATTGTGGATTGCATCGCCAAGACGTACCAATTGCAGCTGGAGCTCCTAATGGGGAAATAGCGGGTCAGCTAAGCGAGAAAGCTCGGAGCATTCGCTGGTCTGCGTGTCTCACGGTCTCGGGAAGGTGGGCCGTTTGCTCTTAGAAGGAGAATTCTTATTCGTCATTCAGCGAATGACTCTCAAATCCAGATCTCTTGTTTGTGGGGAAGCTGCAGTCTGGCGGCTTTGGGGCTGCGTGGGCTTTCCAGACGACATGATTCAACCGTCACAAGCCTGTCGACTTCTTGCGATTTTCATCATTTCTACATTTGACTGCTCCCACTCATCCGGGCTTCCGAACACTTCCTCCACGCTTTATTCTTTTGTCAATCTATTCTACGGTCCCAAATTGGTCTTTGCTGTGCGGAACTTCGAAACCTTACTCGTCCCCAGACGGACATGGATCGGCAAGGAGTCGTGGTCGTAAACGGTCTCTCGGTAAGCTAGGACTTGATATCCGAATCAACGACAACTCAGCAGGTCATTGTGCTGTCATGGTTCAGACAGGGGGCGGGTCGAAGAGGGTTGCGCCCGGACGATAGGATCACGCTAACCTCCTATTCGCAGTGTACAAATTGTCGAAGCAAAAAGGTATGGAAAACTTGGTACAGCAAAGAGTCCCGAGAGCCTAAATCTCGTGCAGATCAGATGCAGCCGTGATACACCCACGTGTGAACGGTGCAGTAACCAGGGTCTGACGTGCCACTACCCCCAACGGAGAACGAGGAAGAGTACACGGAAGGAGACGCAACATCACACGTAAGTGATCAAGTCCATACATGGCATGTACGATAAGAGAAACTTACCAACCCCAATTGGGATGAAGAACCGACAACGAAACGTTGTCGCTGATCCTCGAGAGACTACAGCGCATCGAAGGCAGATACACATCCAAACCATCCTCGCCGACACCCGGTTCTTCATCTCATCGTCAGCGATCAACCTGCAGTTTAGCTAATACAACCGACAACGATGTCTCTGAAACACCCTGCTCTAGCCCGGCTTCTTCCGGGCAGCCTTCTCCAATGCTCTCAGTCGAGGACAGCATTGGTTTTCTGGCGCTGAGGCCTAGCACATCTGAGGCTATTCCTTCACAGTCATCTCCACTTGACGTAACATCCACCCTCAGTGACACATTCGACCGTGTACGAGATCTCAGATTGAGACGTACAGTAGGGCTCCAGGCCATCACCACAGAACATGTTTACATTCCACCGGAACTTGCGAGAACATGGATACACAGTAATAAGCCCCCAACCCCCCACCCCTCGGCTCGAATGATAACTGACATGTTATCAAGACTACTTTCTTTACACTCCTATAGAGACCTTTCTCAGTCTTGTTGACCGGAAAATGATCGAGATGATCCCTGACATGCTGACTATGAAGCATGTCACTCTGGACCCCTGCATTCTGGTTGTCTACTACATCATCCTTTGGCGTGGATGTTACATTCTCAACAGCAGATCATATCAGAGTCCCGATCGGAAATATGCAAGATATCTATACATCTGCTGTCTGCGCGCCTTACCAACTTGGCAACAAGAGGCGACTGGCTCAATAACAGACTTCGTGGCCGCTATTTTCATGGTACGTGAAAGCTGAGAACCCTCCAATCGTGGCAGGCAGAATCGGTTTAACAGATTTACAGACTGGTGTCGCTACGGAAATGTTCGACTGTGAATTGAGCTTGGAAATGCATCAACTGGCATGTGATTATGCCAAAGGCCTTCACATGCACAGTCTCGATGGCAACGACTACTTCGCAATAACAGGATCAACCAGAACGGACGACGATCGCCGAGGGATGTGGGAACTGATTCAAACGGATCTGTTCTATCATTTGATGTACAACAAACCAGCAAAGTTGTTTCCCAACTTGGACAGCTGGCAAGTCAATTTGCCGTGGCTTTCACTCGACTCGACCCCCGACGACAACACAAAAGTGGATACCATTGCTTTCCTATTTCGCAGCCGGCTTACGTTCGTCCTGATCCATTTCTTTCAGACCCTGAAGACTGTAGACTGCGAGTCCGAAGCTGTCGAGGCTATTGAGCCACTGTGTCACGAGATCGAAGCCTTGTTCGGGGAATGGAATATTGTAAGTGGCCCAACATACGATGCAAATCTGAATCTGGGCTCAACAGTTATACAGGACGACTGGCTCGAACGGTCCGCATACGACATGATCAACCAGTGGGTCCTGGGCGACTTGGTTCTCAACGGTTACACCTGCATCATCTTCATGCTCCGCAAAGCCACACTACTAAAGACCAACTCGCCCAACCCAATATCGTCCGACGACAACATTCCCAAGACCGATCTTGCAGCGAGAGCTTGTCGCCGAGTGCTCGAATTGACGTATTTGATGCTGCATGTCTGGAAGTTTCCGGTAGCAGAAGCCATCTCGTATATACTTGGCGCTTACCGAGCTCATATCGCGTACGCCCATGTGGCTAGCAACGTGATTAATTCACCGAATGCCGGAGAGATGGGTGCTGATCTGGACTTACTAGATCGAGTAGCTCATAGTATCGAGACAGCTGCACAGGAAGAGAACGATTTTGTACCCTTGGTGCGAGTAATGAAGAAGATCAACGCGGAAGTAAGAGAGAGGGTGACAGGGGAGAAGGGAGACTAGGCTCGGTTGATAAGCAACATAAAACGACGGGTTATTCAGCTAGGTTAGCGTATTTCGTCCATCGGATCGCACCGAGGACCTCGGTGAAGAGACCGGAACAGTCCGACAACCACTGCCTCAACACTTAGGCGCTCGATTTGTCACTGCACCGGGAATACTGAAGAAAGACTATTTGAAATGAATTTCCCACGATTGGTGAATGAATTTCGACATATTAGTCAGACTTAACCTTGACGCTGGCATCATCCTCAGGGACACGTCGCGATATGTACCACCAGGCCTCGAGACCGCTGGCGCGCTTAGTGTCACCGCGAAGACATGTCTGTGTAAGACGAACTTTGGCATCAGTGAGCCCGGCAAACGCAAAGGCAAAACTCAGTCGATTTGAGTCGGGCCACACTATCGACTTTGGCGACCTAGCTCAGCGTATCGAGTCAACTCGGAGGATGTAAGCACGCCTACAACCATAGTTGAACCGCAGAACCGAAACTCACAAAATCCCAGACTACAACGACCTCTAACATACGCAGAAAAGGTCCTCTTCGCCCACGCCGACAACATCGGCGACCAACCCCTGGAGCGCGGCAAAACCCAGCTCAAGTTACGTCCGCGGCGGATAGCATGCCAAGATGCCACGGCCCAGATGGCAATCATCCAGTTCATGTCGGCAGGCCTCGACTCCACCGCCGTGCCGACAACAGTGCACTGCGACCATCTCATCGTCAGCCGGACGGGCCAGGACGAGGACCTCCCGCAGGCGTTGAGCACGCACAAGGAAGTATACGACTTTCTTTCCAGCGCTTGTAAGAGGTACGGCATGGGCTTTTGGAAGCCCGGCGCCGGTATCATCCATCAGACCGTATTGGAGAACTATGCGTTTCCGGGCGGCATGATGGTTGGGACGGACTCGCATACGCCGAATGCGGGAGGGATGGGTATGATTGCGATTGGTGTTGGTGGTGCGGATGCGGTTGACGTGATGGCTGGGTTGCCGTTTGAGTTGACGGCGCCGAACATTATCGGCGTGAGGTTAACTGGTCGACTCTCTGGATGGGCGACGCCTAAAGGTGAGCATTTCTGGTTTTGATGGAATATCTGGCATGCGCAAGGTGACTGATTGAGGTTTCAGACGTCATCAATAAGCTGGCTGGGATCCTGACCGTCAAAGGCAGCACGGGTTCCATCATCGAATTCTTCGGACCCGGCACGGAATCCCTTTCTGCGACTGGTATGGCAACGGTTTGCAATATGGGCGCCGAGACGGGAGCCACTACGTCAATTTTTCCGTACTCAGAGGCCATGAGAGATTATCTACAAGCAACTCATCGCCACGATGTCGCTGAAGCCGTGGGATTTGCGGCTTCAGAACTTCGAGCCGATACAGATGCCCAATACGACAGGATTATTGACATCAACCTGTCAGACCTGGAACCCATCGTCAACGGGCCCTTCACTCCGGACCTCTCAACGCCAATTTCAAAACTGTCGGAGACTGTAAGCAATGAAGGCTGGCCGAAGGACCTGACGGCGGGGCTCATCGGCTCCTGCACAAATTCGTCGTTCCAGGATATGTCGAGGGCAGCAGAGCTGGCCAAGCAAGCTTTGAGCGCCGGACTAGAGCCCAAGATGCCGCTCTTCGTGTCGCCGGGAAGTGAACAGACTAGGAAGACTCTACAGGAGAACGGGGTGCTCGAGGTGTTTGAGAAACTGGGTAGCAAGCTACTCACCAATGCGTGCGGTCCATGCTGCGGGTCTTGGGATCGCCAGGACATGGAAAAGGTACGCACATCTCATGTTTAGCGGTTGATGTATTCCTAAAGAGTCGTTTCTAACGTCCAGAGCAGAGCACCAAAAACTCCATCCTAACCTCCTATAACCGCAACTTCACAGGCCGTCTAGACGGAAACCCCGCCACGCACATCTTCCTCGCCTCGCCAGAAATGGTGATGGCCAAGATCTTCTCCGACGACCTCGGCTTCGACCCGACATCAGATTCCCTCACCACGCCCTCAGGCTCCGACTTTCGTTTCCAGCCCCCGGACGGGGATGCCCTACCTGCCCGAGGATACTCGAACACGGATTACGTCTACAGCGCGCCACCGCCAACAGGTCGGGACGAAGTGGAGGTGCAAATTGCCGAGACATCGAAGCGCCTCCAGCGGCTCGCTCCCTTCGAACCGTGGAACGGCGCGGATTTCGAGAACTGCGCCATACTCATCAAGGTCCGAGGGAAGTGCACGACGGATCACATCACGCCTGCCGGGCCGTGGTTCGCGTATCGAGGGCACCTGGGGAACATCTCGAACAACACCCTCATCGGCGCCGTCAACGCTGAGACTGGCAAAGTGAACTCTGTGCGCAATTGGCTGACCGGCGAAGAGGGTGATCTTCCTGGCACGGCGCGGGCCTATAAAGCAGCTTCTCAGCCATGGGTCGTCGTCGGAGATCATAACTACGGGGAGGGGTCTTCGAGGGAGCACGCAGCGCTGCAGCCTCGGTACCTTGGATGCGTGGCTATTTTGGCCAAGAGCTTTGCGAGGATCCATGAGACGAATTTGAAGAAACAGGGGCTTTTGGCGCTCAAATTTGTGAAGGAAAGCGATTATGACCGCATCAAGTCGTCTGATCGGATCAGCATTGTCGGTTTGAAGGATGTTGAGCCTGGGAAGAACGTGGCAGTGAGAATCACGCCTACTGAAGAGGGCAGGGAGGCGTTCAGCATTGAGGCTAGCCATACGTTGACGGGGGAGCAGATTGAGTACTTTCGAGAGGGAAGTGCGTTGAACTTGATGGCGAAACGCAAACAGATGAAAGAAGACGCTGCAGTATAAGAGACTATTGTAACCTAGATTGCTCACGGATGTAGTTACCAAGCAGTTGATCATCGGAGTGAAACATCGAGGGGATGATCACGAGAGTGAACTCGGAGCAACTCTATGTCCAAGAATCTTCAGCTGCGATATCAAGATGCCTAGATATGTTTTATTGAATTGCTTGACCTGAAAAGTGTATCTTTACTTCCAAAATACTCTGCCTTCCATCAACCTACGGGCCGTCCTGTAGACAGTCGCTGACTCCAGAGAACCGTCCTGTGCGTAATCGGCAGCGACATCCAAGGTACCACTCGCGTGGAAGATCGTCACATCACCATCACCGTCGCCAGTCTCGACACACTCAGAAACCACAGTACCCTCAGCAGTCGCCGCCGCCGCAGCAGCCAGCGCAACCGTGACGGGGATGGCCTTGTGGGGTTGGTCAACCGACATCGCCCGAGCGACGAGGGTATTCCTCTTCCCATCCTTTGGGGGCGACACAATCGCAATCTTGGGCACGCTCCCTGGGACCTTCTCCTTGGACTCTGCCAAACCCATGAGAACACCAGCACCGCGACGTATCTTGTCCAGAGTCTGCAGAAGAGTGGGATGATCCTCGATACCCTGAGGCGTGATGGTTCCCTCAACTCCAAGAGCCGTTGCCTGCACGAAGACGCAGGGGTTGCCGGCGTCGATGCAGGTAACCTTCACATCCTCAATCTCATCAACCTTAGACTCCGTTGGGAACAGCTTTCCAGTCCGGGATCCAGCCGGATTGAGGAACTTCAGCTGCACCTTCGCCGCCGTCCCCGCCACGCCGTCAATCGCAAAGTCGCCATGCGCAGCAGCTTCCTTTCCGTCCACCGGAAACACTGACTCAATGACCTTGCCGGTGTTGGTATTGAACACCCTCACCGTGGCCTCCGTCGCGCCGTCCGCTACATCCACCAGACCGGAGTCCACCGCGTACGGGCCCACCGCGGCGCTCATGTTGCCGCAGTTGCTGGAGTAGTCCACGTTGGTGTTCTTGATGCCCAGCGACACGAAGGTGTAGTCGACGTCCGCGTCGGGCCGCGTGCTCTTCCCGATGACGCAGACCTTGGACAGGCTGGAGATGCCGCCGCCGAGACCGTCGAGCTGCCGGCCGTACGGGTCCGGGCTGCCGATGCTGCCGAGAAAAATGCGGTCCCACTCGGAGCGGTCGGTCGGCAGGTCCTCGTGGCGGAAGAAGATGGCCCGGGACGTGCCGCCGCGGTAGTAGGCTGCCGGCAGGCTGCTTTGAGCGCGCATTTGGGTGATGTTTCGGACACGGGTCAGGTGTGAAGGCGAAGTTGTTGAGGTTGCAATGAGATGGTCTAACGAATTCAATGAGCGGCGGCAACGGCCGCCAAGAGTCCTTATTGATGCCATTCTGGCGGTCGAATGTGCTGAGAAAAGTGACTTGGCCCAGTAACGGACTGCATTGAGCGAGCATTAAGTGGACAAAATCCGGCAATGAGTCCGGCACGGGATTAGCCCGCGATTCGGTCTCCGAGCGCCGTGCTTTCGGTTACATCCGATTGCCTGCTTCTCGCTGGAACTTCAGTTCTCCTTGAAATGACGTTTTGATAGTACACATGGCAGTATTCTTATTCCAAGCAATGAAACAGAGTAGGTATAACTAACTATTTCCATCAATTATATCCGTTATTGGTCTCTTTGGTGGTTACTCCTGGCGCTGTATTCTCCGCACGGGATCACTAAACAGCAGCAGTAAGTCCTTGGCCCAGTGAACATCAAGATCCGTCGACATCTATTATTTGTATACCTTCCCCGGATTCGTCATCATGAGCTTTTCCCAAGTCTCTTGACTATCGACCCATTTCCTGATATTTTGGACAATGAGCTCATTGTCAATTTTCCGAAACTCTTCAATGGCATCTCTACCTCGCGTCAGACGATTATGGCCTTCGCCAGTGTGCGGCCAGTCGCTTCCCCACACCAAGCGATCTGGCGCCGCCCTAGCCAAAGTACTGATGATCGGCTCCATGTCGTCATAGCCGCTTTCCGTTCTGTTGGAAAGACGATATAGCCCAGAGATTTTAATGATCGCTTTTCCCATCTCCGCCAGTCGGATCAGTGAGTCAAAGCCAGGTTGCTTGGTAGAGTCAACGGTCCCAAATTCTCGTTGATCTGGCTGTAGCTTAGAGGAGCCCCGCAGCCCGCCGACGTGATCCGCAATGACTTCGACAGGGAGACTTGATATCGTATCGAACAAATCTGACACCGATATCAATAATCTTTATCGGAAGTCATCAAGATTTTTCACTTACCGTCCCAAATCGGCGCAGCACAAAATAACTGAATCTTCCAACCTGGCAAGCTGTGAATCCGTACAGCGGTCCTCACAACCACGTCCCGCAGGGCCTGGACATCAGTGTCGCGTCCATCTGCCTGCATATTAATCCTCAAGCCCCGAACTCCCAGCTCATGCATAGACTGAAGCTCTTCGTCACTTGTGTTGTCAATGTCAACGACCGCAATCCCTCTCGAGGACTGCGCGCCGTCATCGCGGAGCTTGCGGAGGTGGTGAAGGAGCACCGTGTTGTCATTGCGGTAAGGCGACGGCTGGACTAGAACTATGTTCAGCGGTTGACTCCCTGTGAGGCCAGAGCTGAACTTCAAGAGCTGCGGAAGAGTAGCTTGAGCTGGAGTATACGACCTCGAAGGCGCAAAAGGGCCAACGGTCGAGTCAAAAATGTGAACGTGCGTGTCCCAGCATTCTGGTGACAGGCTAAGCCCCGCGACGCTTTGAACTGGCTGAGCCGTGGAAGAAGGGCTGTAAAACAGTGAGTATGCACGGCCGCCCGCCCTGGGAGCCCATCCCGGTCTAACTCACCTGCTTGGAGTATTCTCAGCCATTCTGAGGCTTGAGTACTGTTTTCTACCAGCAGACAGTGTTGGACTAATTGTCCTGAACTCACAGTAGCCTGCACGAACGGACCGTGAAAATATGACAGACATTGCTCAATACCACCAGATACATTGTGCAACTAACGTGAGGGGTTCCTGACGGATAAAGTCCGCCATGAGCGGCGTTTCCCCGAATGCCGTCGTCTCCACTTTTATCCGGATCGATCCGACGGACCGGCTCCGATCTCTTTCTCAACCTTCGACCTCGCATCGTCATCCTGAGACAAGCAACTGCAGTCTCTAGGGACTAATCTGCGATAACTCTCTGATCCATCATCGATATCATTGGGGATTTGTGTTGCTTGGATCACCGTCAGTCTTTACTATCGATGGCAGAAGACACAGCCGTTGACGGGGCCTCTCCGGGGTCTTCGCCGGCTCAGGCCGAAAACATCACGACCCCTAGCTCCACCAACCGGCTGAGGTCAACAACACACCGGCGAGGCCTCAAACGTGGAGTTGCAGCCTGCGAAAGATGTAGGAGGAGAAAACAGAAGGTGAGAGCAGAATTGACGGGCTTTTCCCGCTCCAACGGTGACTTCTACTAACAAGGGGTCCATCTGCGTGTAGTGCGACGGGCAACTTCCGATATGTGGGCAATGCTCGGCGGCAGGCACAACATGTGTTCCTTCGGAGCGCTTTCATGTCCGAGTGGCCAATCCCGATTGCGAGTGTGAGCGCCTCCGAAGGCAAGTGGACGACCTCACTGCACAGCTTGAGGCGTTGATGGCTGCCGTCGCAGATGGGAATGTCGCTTCACATTCGTTACATCCTCCAACCACAAGTAGTTCAACGGGCAGTCTCAGACCACAGTCATCTTTTGAAAGTCGAGCGGCTAGCTCGTCTCACGTCGATCGCCTTCTCCGTTCTACATTCTCAAAGACAGGGGTAGTCAGGGTCGGGGATGAAAGCCTCCTGAACAGTCCATCCCGTCTATGGGACGGGGTCTCCACTGGAAGAACGCCTAGTTGCCCAAGTGTCGCGATACAACCGAGCCTGGAGGACAACAACCATCTGATCGAGGGTTTCTTCAGCCGTCGATGGCCACAATTTCCAGTTCTTCACAAACCAACCTTTTTTGACAAGCACTATCTTCCGTTTTCAAGAGGAGAGGAGGTCAGCGGACTTTCGCTATTCCAAGTCAACATAGTCTTGTCCATTGCGGCCTCAGAAAAAGGTCGCACTGACGAAAGACACCGGCGCTTGCAGGATGAATTCTTCCAAGCCGCTACAGACAACCTGGGCGATGCTTTAGCGGCGGATGACTTCGATAGCATTCAATGCCTGCTACTTCTTTGCATATACGGAACCAATGAGCCTCAGTCAGTCAACTTGTGGTACGCCATAGGTATGGCTCTACGCCTCGCGGTAGGCATGAACTTGCATCGTGGCGAGGCACTCGCATCAAAAGAAGCCCTCGAGGCAGAAATGTGCAAGAGGCTCTTTTGGTGCGCGTATACCATGGATCGAGGTATATCGATATCGCTTTGTCTGCCGCTAGGGATCCAAGATACCGACATTACAATGCCTCTGCCTTTTTCGATATCTGACGATGTTCTCGCCAATCCAGCGCAAGACGCAACTCTCAACTTCGGTCCCGATGTCAACGATCTTTCGACATTCCTTCACATCATCGAGCTCCGGCGCATCAATGCTGATATATACAAATCGCTCCACTCTGCCGGGGACTCAAACCTTGCAGGAAGCAACATCGACGTCATTCGAGTTCAACATCATACAAGATTGAACCAATGGCTCGTAACCGCGCCTCGATACCTTGTTCCGACATCTATGCACCAGACACCGGAATGGTTCCAGATCGCCTACCACTGGGCAATCATGAACCTTTACAGACCATCGCATGCCTCTCCAGTCAGCACCATCGACGCACTCCGCCACTGTGCCGACTCCTCCATCAGCCTGATTAGCTGCTACGGTGCCCTCTACGCCAAGAATAAAGTTACTTACACCTTTGTGGCCTTGACCTCACTTTTCATGGCTGGCGTCACGATGCTTTACTCTCTGAGAGCCAGCGCCGCGCTACGGCAGCAGCTTACTCGAGACATCGTGGAATCGAATATCAGGTCCTGCACAACTTTGCTCCGTGACATATCTCACGGTGGGGATGTCGTGGAGAGAAGCGTCGAGATCATCGGGAGATTGGGGAGAGCTACTCTGGCATTCTTTGAGAGCAACCTGGATCCTGCGGACAACCAGGTAGACACGGAGTTCATGTCTTGGTTCGGACTGAAGGGACACCATCCACCAGACCATGGCTCGGCTCAGCCGACGCCAAGTGCTGATATTCCCTGGAATGACTTGTTCGAGCATGGGTTTGATCTTGGCAACATTTATTGCGGTGATGTGTTGATATAGTGTACAATTAATCCATGTTCGTCTTCAACATCGTACAGAAACTGCTCCAGGCTATTGAGGGGATGATTTCTCTTCCAGCCAGTTGATGTAAATTCGCAGTCTGTGGCTTATGCGCCAAGCAACGTATCATGTCGGGTTCAGAAGTGTGCACCCGCAAGTTTATCAGTCGGGTACTTGATTCGGAGCTCATCCGATGAATACCAATCGTGTTTGTTGGCAATACTTGCCAAGCTCTCAGCAACGCAGCAACGCGCCATGAACGAGCAAACAGAACCCCCGGGCCAAGTCCGCTTTCCAATGTCTGAGGTTAAAGTTGCCACACCTGATCTTCCAACAGACATTCGGAATGTCGTGAGGATAAGGTTACTTTTGTGTCAAGCGTTGGTGTCGTTTCCTCGCAAACCCCGGACCCAATTCTAGCCCATCTACTCACACCGACCCATATCCCCGCGATCTCTTTCGCTTCTTATTTCCCCAGGTTCTTCCAACATTGCGGGGAATCCCGCTTAGGAACTGCCTGGGGTTTAGGGTGGACTTGGCAAGAATGAGAGGCGCTCAGGTAGACGGAGGTTACATCTGAAAGCCGCAGAAGTATAAGAACCATCAAGATGACTAGATGTTGGTAGACAGAAGTATTCCAAACAAGACAAGACGCGCCCATCTCTTCTTTCATATCATCTCTCACGAAGCTATAGGCCAAGATCAATATGGGCTGCTTCAACACCCATGCCGCGGGAACGAATGATCCCCCTGAAGTGCGAAATTGGCGCATCCACTTGATCGCCCTTGTGGCCTCCATGTCGGCCCTCGCAAGTGAGCACGCTATAATTCCTAATGTCTTCTTACCAACTTGATGAAAGTGAATGCTCATGACCTCAAAGTGGGTTACGACAGCGCTGTGATAGGCGGTACGATGGCTCTCGACTCATTTGTCAGGGACTTTGGCCTCCTGAATACCGAACAGGCCAAGAGAGACGAGGTTCAGGGCAACATCGTCTCCACGTTCTACGTAGGAAGATCTCTTGATTCTTTCTTACGCTGGCCTGTCAGACTAATTTGACGGGTTTCCAGGCTGGCTGTTTTTTCGGCTCCCTGTTGACCTTCCCCATTGCTGAGAAGTTCGGCCGAAAGCGCGCAACTCTCATCGCTTCTTGTGTCTTCCTCCTGGGTGGTGCCGTTATGACAGCAGCTAACGGCAACATGAACATGATTATCGGCGGCCGTGCCGTCGCAGGCCTCGGTATCGGCGCATGTGCTCTCGTCGTGCCTGTCTACATCGCCGAAACGGCCCCACCATCGATCCGCGGCCGTCTCATCGGAATTTTCGAGATTGCATCACAAGGCGGCGGCATGCTCGGCTTCTGGATCAACTACGCAGCCGACCAGATCGTCACTAATGACGCAAAGGGGCAATGGATTTTCCCGTTGGCATTCCAGTTGGTCCCCGGAGGTCTGCTCTTTACGGGCATGCTGTTTTGTCCCGAGAGCCCCAGATGGCTGGCCAGAGGAGACCAGTACGAGGCGGCAGAGCGGGTGCTCACGAAGATTCGAGGCTTACCGAGCGAACACTCATATATAAGGCACGAGATGTCCGAGATTCGTGCTCAAATCGAAGAGCGAAGCACCACGAAGATGAGCAAGACGGCCAAGGTAAAGAAGCTGTTCCAGAAAGGAGTACGCAATCGCATGGGCATCGGCCTGGCCCTGATGTTTCTTCAGAGCTTCATGGGAGTGAATATTCTGACGTATTACTCGCCTCGAATCTTCGAAACTCTCGGTGTTACTGGAACATCGACGAAGCTGTTTTCCACTGGATTTTACGGAGTTGCCAAGACCCTGGGAATGATTACGTTTACGGTCCTTATCATCGAAAAAGTTGGGCGCCGCAAGGGCATGATATGGGGCTCGGCTTTGGGATGCATCCCGATGTTTTACATTGGGTCCTACGTCATGAAGGCCAACCCCATTGAAGCCGCTGCTGCCGGCAGACCGGTCGTCAAGGATGGTTGGGCTTATCTTGCCATCACCTGCGTGTATATCCATGGCTTCATCATCACCGCATCTTGGCAGGTAAGATAACCCGTGAGGTTCAAAGGAGGTCATTGAAACGAATTTGACTAACAGTTATCAACAGGGAATCACCTGGACCGTGTGCTCCGAGATCTTCCCAATCGATATCCGCATGTTGTGTGTAGCCCTCACGACAGCCGACACTTGGGTAGGCTCTTTTATCATCGCGAGGACTACGCCGTACATGATATCAGACTTGGGATATGGTGCCTACTTCTTCTTCAGCACCATTCTCGTGGGCATGGGTATATGGGCTTTCATATTCGTACCCGAAACGAAAGGTGAGCAATCCGGACTTTTCAACAATGCATAGCCTTCTTTGCTGATTAGTTATGTTCAAAATCCACAGGTGTTTCGCTCGAAGAGATGGACGCTCTGTTCATGAAACCTACTCACAAAATCGTCTGGGCTCAGATCCGTCGGAGACCCTTGGATCTGGATTCGAACAACGTCCGGGGAGATGGCAAGGAAGTGGAAGTCGAAGAAATTGAGAAACGATGAGAACAGTCAGGACCCTACTTCAACAGTCCACCTCAAGGTGAGACTGCGTTGGGCGATGTTGGAGAAGGCTTTATTGTGGGGTGGCTATCGTTCTTTCGTCTGCCACTTGCCAGAGAAGCAGACTCGTGGAACACATGTATCTATGTAGGCCTTGTAGGCAGTGGAACATCTACGTCGGCAAACACAACGACCGCATCCTTCTCGTCATAGTAACTACTATAACAGTCACCACCCCAAGGGCTCCAGTACGCGCTCCCATACCCTTCCACCGGTGTATTGTCCTTTCGACTCTTGACTTGATCCCAAAGCTTTCTGATCTTCATGAGAAGCTCTGGGTGTCCCATCGGAAACAGTGGTAGTGCCTTTCCGTACATGCAAAGAGCACGAGCGAATTCCCCTTCCTCCTCCTTCGCCTGAGCGAGAGATGTGAGCCAGCAATCATCCAAGCTCTCGGCATCCTTCCTCAGAACAGCACATGCTATACTATCCCCTAGACTGGGGATAACTCTGTTGAAACAAACATCCTGAAGTTGATCCCGCTCCGCCTCCTCTTTCTCGATTATACGATCGACTTCACGCATATCCTTGTCGTTCCAGAACCAGCCACCAATAGCCACGGTATCCTTGATCATATCTGCGGTACCAGAGTCCAGAAGTGTAGCGTTTGCAGTTAAAAGAATGTCTTTGACGGAGTAATTTTCAAATATCTCAACATGGAGGCTGATAATTGGCTCGCCCTTGGGCGCGGGAGGAATACCTTCCAGCCGCAACTCAATCAGTGGAATATTTCGCTCCGTCGGAACGAAGCCCCCGAGGATGATTGGTATTGAAATTGTGGTTTGATTGTCAAACGTTGTTGTAAGATTGAGAAGCTTGTCATTGGGAAGGAGGGAGTTCCGCAGAAACACCTGCTCCGTGACACCACCGACAGTGCCGACCCCTATGGCTCGGCGCAGGACCTCAAAAGGGTAGCCAATCTCCCAGCAATCAGGGCCAGCAAGAGTGTGAGTTACCATGGAAGTACCCAGTGTAACAGCGTTTGAGCCATCTTCAAGGGAGATGAATTCGAGTGGTTGAGAAGAAGAGTTGGTACTGTAAAGCTCTTCCAACATGGAGCGGACCAGTGGGTGATTGGCATGTTCGCCTGTCAAGATAATTCGCCGTATGTCCGTCTTCGTCAGGTTGGCGACTCTGATAACGTCTTTGACGTGCTTCATTGTCTTTTGCAAGAGGTGACTTTCAACCTCAGGGCTTCTTCCGCGTTGTTGTTGGATGAGACTTGTGAACTCGCTGGCGATACCGGTATCTCCGTAGGAAGACAGCGTCTCGGTCACACCGCAATCGATTTCGAGAACCGATGCCTCAAAGTCGTCAAGGCCGAGGCTGTATACCAAGAAAAGCTCCTCGTAGTCACATTCTTCAGTTAACCCATTGCCCCATGCCGCAGCACTTGGAGCCATGGCGAGTCGGCTGACATCCAAGCCTATCTGTTTACCGAGGTCCTTAATTATCTCACGCAAGGGCTCGTCGTATAAGTATTTTGGAATAACAACAACCGTAAAATTTGATGCTTCTCCTAACCAGCCTTGAGCAATGTCTTTTGCATGGCTTAGGATGGCGGTCATTGTCTTATTAGATGAGAATGTTTCGCTGTGTGCGCGGTCGAGGGGTGGGTTGTCGAAATCCTTGCTGATGTAGTATTCTGGTTCATCTTCAAGACAGATCATGCGGCTGTTCGTCGTCGCTTAGTTGGAGAATAGTCATGCGCGTATGAGCTGAACGGAAGACTTACCTTGTGTTGAATAAAACGTGTGGTAGACTTTCCTCTTCACGACATCGAAACGTGTCAGGGACTTTTTGGTGAAGCGGATAATATGTCCAGTCTGCGAAGCTCATCAGTTGGTGATGCATCTTGTGATCCGTATCTTGAGGCGCATCACATACTCTGATTGTGCGTTGGCGTTCTTATGATCCCTTTCGCGATTAATCCCACGCTTGAATGCGAGTGACCTATGTTCTTTTCGACTCGTTAATGATCCAGCTAGTGTTGTCAGAGGCTATAGAGAGTTATTACCACGGCGAACATGTTCGGAAAGGCACTATCTCGACATTCTATCGAAGAAGACTGGGCGACGAAAGTCAATAGTAGAAGGGCTGTTGTGACGATGGTAGAGCAGAGTTCGTGCCGTCGGGCGACAAACTTGGACATGGTCATAGGACTGCGCTTGGCGGGATCTGGTGTGAAAATATTTGGGAAAAGTCCTCGTCAAAGAGCTTTGAAACTTGGCGTATCGAGATTGTTATGCCTCAACATAGCTTTGGGTCTGGCCAGATTTTGAACTTCGCCGAAGTCGTGATGTTCAGGCCAGATTGCCAACCCGCTGATCGCACAACTGCCCTTCCTCTCATCTAGGCCGCACAGGCAAGGTGCTCACTTATAATTAGGTACGTGGCCCGTGCAGCGACTGTGATGATGGGCTTAAGGTCCAGGCAGCAGCGGAAAGTAGGTAGCCGCATCATAACAACTATGGAAGTTGACTGGGGAGCAGAAACTTGAGAATAAACTTCTTCGCAAGAAGATTCATAAGATGACATGATATTGGCTTTGTAATCGGTTCATTACTGCTGCTAATACAACGTTTCTGGTTCCCGGCCGATGTGCGACGAGATCGGCCCCACATATCCCGCTCCGGCCCGGGGTTATCGGGATGGGAAGCAGACTACTGAGCGGAAGGCCCCCTCGCCGTTTAGCCGGGTCTCATACCGTCATCGCTCCCGTTCAAATCCCCTAACGAACAAAATGCTGACACTTGAAGGAGTGAGTAGATGCAGTGTGAAGTCTATTGTAGATCGCCACAAAAGCCCCATCCTGGTTTCGCCCTGTACCATTAATAGTTAGATCATGCATTTCTCATGCCACATAAACGCTTGGATGCTTACATGTAATACCAGTTGGTGTACGCAGTCTGTCCACCGAAGCGACAGCCTGCAGCCTCTGACATCATGCCGCCCATGCACTCCATTACATCGATGTTGCGGCTGTCCTGACCGGTGCCGATGAACTGCCGTTATGTGTCAGCAAGATGATAACACTTAGTGGTTTCCAAACCAAACAGGCATGAGAATCATTGAACAAGACTACAAAGTATAGTGAATACATCCATACATACCTTTAGCTCAAAGTCCCATCTCGAGCGTATGTCATCCTCCAGGCAAGCGACCTTTGATTGACCCGGTTTGAAGTCACCAACAAAGCTCCTACAGAGGTGTCGTATGTTGACGATCTGGTTCGACTCGGAGAATAACGTTGATCTTCCCGTATTGAAACACTTCGCTGAAGTACCAGAAGCAAACGCAATGGTCGTGAGGGCAGCAATTAATTGCATTTTGATTCGTGAAAAGAAACCGATATCCTCACTTAATTGAAGAGACTAGCTGAAAGACAAGTCTTCGGCTTTTCTGGTGAACCTCTTCAACTTTTATGTGGAGTTTCATAGAGGGACCGAAGGATGACAGCACCCAAAGGTTTATATGCCCACAGGGTCGTCGCTGACTTCTAAATCACGTCTGAGCTTTGGGGCAAGGGCAACATTGATTCTTTGTTATTCGTTCGAGGGGGCTTTCTGGTGTAACGGACTTTGATCCGCCCTCGTAGCAATCAACTGAGCAAACGACATGGAGCTTCGAATCTCGATCATGCCCCCGAAAGACAGCCTCCCAATTTCTAAACAATAAAATCCAGCGACTTCTGAAGAAGAACTGTGGAATCTCATATCAATGAATAAGCTCTCACATCATTTCGGAATCGCGAGTTGCAGGACATGCATGGAGATAATGAGCACTCCGAGTAGTTGAACGATGGCGAGACATGGCTTGTTTCGTTCCTACTCAATTCTCCTTGTCTGGCGAGCGACAAAAGCCCTTGATTGCTTGTACATTGACAAACTGCTTAGCCCTTCGTACGACAGAAAAGTCAAATTTTTTTTCAATCTGTACTACGATAACAATAGCTGAGATAGATTAGCCAGTCGTGTATGTGACCTTCGCCGAATTGGAATGAGCCGAAGACCAACCGGTTAAATTGGAAAGTCAAGGGTACCTGTGTAATTCTCACAATTTGTCGCGATGAAAAGTGCAAGCGCAGGGCTGGGTGACCTCAATGCCGAAGGGATGCAGGAGCTCTCCCGGCCACGATGCCGGCCACGACCGAAGGTGGGGCCGATATGTGGGGATGTGTGCCGGACCCGTACCGGCGAAGTATTGAGAGCAGAACGGCAAGTGTAGACCACTACAAGATCCGAGCGGAAGAATTGTTTTGAAGAGATTACACTTTTTGAGTCCTTCTTGTTCCGTCAAGAAGCTCCAAACCTTGAGATCCATGGCGAAGTAGGAGCACATTTCCATCTAATCGTCCGAAGATGGCAGCTTCCCCAGCAAACACCTCAATACGGCCGCATGAATCTGGACGTCTTTTCACAGCTTTATTCACATTTGTAATTTTTCTAAATCAAACACGGTGGCACGGGGTTTTGACTACAACATCTTTTCATTGAATCGTCTCCGACTATGGATACTTGACAGTCAGTTGATACGAATCTTTCTCCCTGCTTCCAGAAGAATCGGTCAAAGTCGTTTTCAGATGCTGAGACCAAGGTTGACGACGCGGACCAGCCAAGTTGCCATCAACATTGAACATCAGTGTCTCAAGAGTCAACACAGCCAGAACTAATTGAGCCGATCCCACGGATATCCCTCCTATTTCAGAAATCCTGCTCAGACAGTCGCGATCTAAGCACGTCTTCCCAAGCGAGACTTCCTGCGGAGAGCGCGCTTAGCACAGTCGGCAGAGGCGACAGGGGCGGCGGAAGAGACAGCAGATGGCTGAGCCACCTGAGTGACGGGGGCGGCGGAGGTAGGGACGGCGCTGGCGCTGGCAACGGAAGTCGGGGCCGCGGAAGCCGCGGGGGTGCCACTGGCGGGGGCGTCCGAGACGGGGTCGCCCTTGGCGGAGTCCTCGAGGGGAGTGCAGTCACCGTCGCTAGCGGCGCCGTTGAGCACGTTGACGGTGCTGTCGTCGCATTCGTTGGGCCAGGCCTTGGGGCCGGGAGGGGTGTACTGTCTCAGAGGCGGCCAGTACCTAGTTTGGCATACATTAGCTGACTTGATTTGAGATGACAGCGGAGAAGTCATTCAGACGAAACGTAAACTGATCATCGACGGGGCAAACGTACATGTTGACGAGGATGCCAGGGTCTCTGGGGTCGTAGGCACCGGGGAACTTAACGGTGGGACCAGGAGTACCAGCGCCAGAACCGGTAACCTTGATCTGGGCGCAACCCATGTCTGCGTCGATTAGCCAGGTTCGAGTTGATAAGCATGATATTACTCACAGAACTGGGCCTGGTAGAGGTCGGCGCTGTGAAGGGCAAGGTGCTCGCCGCGCATGAGGTACTCGCCGGCGGGGAGGTCCTTCGGCAGGGTGAAGGTGAAGTTGCGAACACCGCCGCCGATGAAAGATGCCCACTGCATAGGGTCGACCGTCTTGTTGGACAATGAAGACTGGTAGACCTTGAACCATTCGCCGTCGCCCTTGTAGGTCTTGGCCGTCTCGGGGGCCTTGCTGAGGTAAACCGCCAGAGGGCCGGGGTGGCCGATGTACTCGTTCATCTTGAAGCCGACCTGGTCGCCGGCGGCCACGGTGAAGGTCTCGGTGGCGGCCATGATGTCGTCGTCGATTCCGCCGTTGTTGCAGATGATGTCGGTCGAGTTGACGGCCGTGGTGGGTCCGTTGCCGTTCTTGGTCTTGCGGACATACTTGTAAGCGTCGGTGCTCTCGCCGTTGACGATAAGGGACTCGAAGTTGTAGTGAGCAGAAGCGGCGCCCGCGAAGAGCGCAACAGCGGTAGAGAAGTGCATTGTAAAGAACGAAAGGGGCGTCAAGCCAAGTATGTAACTGAAGTGAAGAGAAAAGAAGGTGGTGGGCAGAAGAAGGTTTGGTGATAGACCGGATGGCTCAAGGTCTGTATTTATGTCAAAGGCAACCAACGAACAAGCGCTGGCCCTGGCACGCGAACGCCTCAATAGGCAATCAATTCATTCCCGCATCGTAGTTAGCGCATGCGTTCCTGTTTCGTGTAAGAACATTCAGGAGCTGTTCGTCCACAGTCTCTCGAGATTTTGCTCTTCTAGGTCGGTTGACTGAGACCGGGCGCTACGGAGTTGGAGCCGCTGTCCCCATTGGGCAGTACGGCGAGATCTGTTTGAGTTAAAGATCGTGTACCGTCCGGAGTAAGGACAATAAGATTAACAAGCGATCATAAGGATCTCTCCAGGCCCATAATACTTAAGCGTACATCCGTGCCGTCGGTGGGCAGATAGATTTCGTCCAATAAAGTTCACAGAGCTTGTTGCTTGGCCTTTACAATCGCTCTCGCTTTCGGCGTCACCCGAACTGGGTCCCCGACCTGCAGGCTGCTGACATCTTGTTTCTAATACACTTTATTTAATAGCTGTAGAGGTTGTAGCTGTTAATTAAGAAGAGTCTCTACGCGCAAAGTATTTCCACTACTCATTGACATCGGTGGGCATATGTTCTTTTACCTTTCAAGAGCGGTCGATAAAGTGAGTTGCACTGGCAGGATTTTATTCTGATTGGGAGGCTTGGCGACGACAACGCACGGTGCGACACTACGGACGGCAAGCTGGTGTTTTGGTGAGTTAGGCAATTTTTTTGCGAGAAACGGTCAGCCAGCCAGGAAAGGAATCGCGCAGATCAACGAAAAGGGGGCGTGATCCAGTGGATTAGGGCAGCAAGAAGTTTTCGATACAGTATGCTCCACGAGGGCAAGACGGCAGAACTATTAAACAGGCCCTGGCGGACACTCCTTATTCTTCTGCCAGCCGGTTTGACCGAGCCCATCCTAGGATGTGAGGGGAAGTTCCCTTCCAAGAGTTCCAGCATCTGCAAGAAGGCAGCTTCATCAAATACAAATTGTGCCAAGGAGGTCGGACCAAGAGTTCCTAAAGCAAAAGGAGTATATCGGAACCGTCTCCAAACGAAGGGAGTGATCAAGTCCCTCCAGCGTCGCCTTTCTTACTATTGACTTGCCCTTCGAATGCCACATGATTGATATTATCCGTCAATGAAAGTCCCTCTGAATCATTAACTACCACAAACTTTACGGCTCAAGACCAACGAGGTTTTATCAGTGATGGAATATCAGCATCAATATTGGTCTCGTGAACCTTCTTTTCGGGATCTGAACATAACTTAGCTATCACACTAGACCCTAATGAACTTTCTATGGAATACTTCGGCACAGTACGCGGTCTGCTGTTGGTGGTGGTGGCTCTTTCATTCCCACCAGCCCTAGCCGCCCACGTCGAGACGGTGTGATCTGCACGCGCACCACAGACGTTATTTTCAGCGCCACGTACTTCTGAGAATCTAAAGAGACAAATCTGACGTCTTGAACTATAGCCTGATTCAAGACTTGGTTTTCGTAAGTTCGAACACATATCATCTTTGGATTTACTGATTTGAATTTTCGTCGTAGACTCCATGTCGACGCCCGCAAGCTGTACTTCCTAGTTGTGGTGACTTAGGTGTCTGGAAGTTAGCCCCTGAAACGGACGTGGTGTTCAACACGCAGATGAACTTCAAGAGTCCCAGAATCATGAAGCATATTCCAGTATATTCCGAAAACAAAGTTCTTGAAGGCGAAAATGATAGTCACATTTCGCAGCGCATTAAACGAAGGAATAACGACAACTAGGCACTAACGACAATACTTCCATAAGTAGACCCCGCGCGATCTTCATCTTACCTCTTCGCGGGTGGTGATCTTTCCACCACATCAGTAATTCCAATCAGTGTTCTTCGGGTGGCAGTATGAACCCCTGAAATGTGCTTTACTCACTTGATGTTGAGCAGAGCTTGGAAAGAGACGGAAACTTTACCCAAAACTTGAGTCAATAACAGAAGAAATTCACTTCGAGTCATTAGACACGACCGGATGCTTGCTACGACCTGTTTTCTGAGCATTTTGCTGTGCTGGGTAGATGTGATTGAAGATCTCCTAGGGGGCTGTACAGGCGTTTTGCCCAATAACCCAGGGGAGCCAATCCACCCCTTTATGCTAATAGGGGCGGTCAGTTTATCATGGTGTCGCATTTCTGGCTACGTGTATCTTTGGATATGTCAAGAAAAGCCGAGGCATATCGAGAGGTGATGAGAATAGGACTGCGAGGTCGCCTCTTGAGTCTTTTCATGAAAGTTTCGCGGTGTCTAATAACTTACTCAGAAAATACTTCTTCTTGGAAATCCTTGGATCGTTCAAACAAAATACGGGACCAATGCTGATGGATTAGTAAAAGTGTAAGATCCTACCTCCAAAGATGACCGACAGGGAGCGTTCGGGCTGGTGAGCTGGCTGGAGGTGTGGTTTCACTCGGCCGCTCGTCCCGATCTTCCTATTTCTTAAACAAGGAAGCTCAAAGCTTCCTTCTGGTCCTGCCCGACTCAATGCTCCTCGGCCCACTGGCCACTCCCAAGCTTGGGCACCTTAAGATGAATTCCTTAAGATCATCCGATCTTTCCTCCAAGGTGTGGTTGACGGGATCTAAGCGGGTCGTGATCATCCGGATGTCGCGCCTCTCGGTAGAGGGCCCAAAGCTACGGGTACTGATTCCAGATCAAGCTGAGATCATTCCTGGGGCCTTTCGATCCCTTGATCACTCTGCCCCGAGAGTCCTCGATTTCTTCTGCCCAGCAGGCCCAGCAGCCTCCTACTCCGCTTCACGAACTCCCGTACGAGGGTAAGAAATCTCCATGCGGCAAGGAAGACGAAGAGACCGCATTCAAGATGCAGGCCTCAAATTCCATCAATACCTTGTCCGCATTTTCCGAATGGCGCTTGCTGTCTTTCGTCACACGGTCTGGTCCGGTCAGCTCACTCGCGTCTTCGCGCCTTCGCCATTGCCCCCCTGCGGGTAATGCCACACTCGCACCTGAAACTCATCTCAGGACTTGCTTCTGCGCGGCACTATGATCAAAATCGCCCCTAAGTCACCGAGCACGACAGTACGTCTGCGCCGTGATTAGCTTCAATGAGAAGCGACTTTGCCTGAGGGCAAGTTTACTGTTTACTGCCTCCTCGGGAGATGGGTTCAGCGAAAGAGACATGGCTTGACCGAATACGTAGGCCTCATATGATTCAACCGCATAGCCACTGTTGTCGATGTTTACATGAATGCCATTGCGTTAAAGATCCTTCTAGCGGCGGGGCGAGGATGATCCCAGCCGGACGACCGAACTCCAAGCATCTGAATCAACGCAAATGAATCACGAAACAAGGAGGGGCCCATTCAAAGACTGACGTGGGTGGGACTTCCCTCCACAGTAATCTTCCACGGAGAATTGACATCGGCGCCCCATGCTCACCAGCATCCGATCCCTGCCCATTCGACCGAATACGCGGCATCGCTTTCGTCTTGATTTTTGCCATTGCCATGTTCTACCTTTCCAACACTGTCGGCTTTCACATTTATGTAGCTTCAATACGAACGGAAGATGTGAAGAAGCTCTGTCGTGTGTAATGTGATGATACTGCAAGGCTGCTAGTCCCATGTAGTCATGACGAGCGGACCAAAGGTCCTCTCAGACCGTTGTGGCGTGATCTCTTCTACACAGCCATCAGTCCAGCAAAGCATTTTAGGGTCACGTCGGCCGATTCTTCTTGAGCTATGCCTGAAATCATCTTCTCTCGAAGCACTGCCAACAACGCGATCGATCTCAAAGCAAGCTGCAAGAGTCGCGCGCTTAGCAGCCGCCTTTCAGCCACAGTCAAGCACGACGGAATTGCAGGCATTTGCACCGGGGACCTTAGCACGAAGAGGTCCTATGGAAAGTTAGCAGCTCCAGTCAGCCAGGTGCCGTGTCTTGACGTAACATGCCAACGCTTCAATTCTGTTACCACTTTCATAAGGTAGTTGTCATGGCGATCTTGCAGCAGCTTTTTAATCTGGAAATCTGTATCTCTTCATCTCTGTCGCCTTCCGCGAAGTATTGCAGCTTGTCAAAATGCATTTCCCACTTGTTTTCGCAACGGGACGAAGACAAAAGCACCCACCAGGGGCAGACTGCGAATTCGCACGTGTCGTTGAACGTTCGGCAGACCCGTGCTCTCAAAAATCAGGAACCGAGCCACCTATTCCATGTGGTTCTTGCTCTTCAGACTCTAGCCGCGTAACTTCTCTTTTAAACCATTAGGGAAAGCCACAGCGAAGACTCGGCGCCGCGTGAACCGGGTTGTGGGAGCACAAGCTTTCAAGATTATGCTGTTGGACTGCCATGATTCATGGCGCCAGCAATCGTCGCACGAGCCATGACTCAATTATGTACCCGGCTTGTGCCATGATGCTTCTCTCCTCCAGCACAACAGCCCTTGCGAGACCCGTCTTCTATTAAAGCTTCATGTCATTGCGAGCCTGTCAGAGAAATTCAAGCAGCGGCTCATTGCTTGGTTCCACCCCTTCTCCTGGGGATACAAAGTGACAGGGGCAGTGGTGCATCTCTCTCTCAGGCTCAGTTCTCTACAAAACAAGCCACTCCATCTCCGTATATGTGAACTGTCCCACATCCCTAGTATTTAGCGTCTTTTGCAGTGTATTCGATCTCATGTGACATATCAGCGCTCGCACTTCTGCATTTGTGAGCATGAGGCAAACATCATCGCATGCTCGCTCACTCAGACTTGCAGCAAATGACAGCCTCCCTGCACTTCCTTGGGATGCACTCGGAGTAACCCGAAATTCCCGCCTTGAGATGTCGGTCTGGCCTGTTTGCTGTGATGAGGGTGCTCTGTGATATTTATGTTCCTATAGAAAGATAAGTCAGCCTATTGTCGAAGGGGTCTTCCGGTGTGGCACACGACTTCACGTCGTCTCACCACACTTTTGTGGGCTGTGGGAAACACACCGTTGTTGAGCCTTTTCCCCATCGCTGCGACTTCTACAGCAGGTTCCAGCATTTCGAATGACTTATCATTTCACAGCGCTAGGCTGGAATCACATGAAATTGCCAACGAACCGGTTCTTTGTGTCGACTACTCCTTGAAGTTATGCTTCCCAGTGTCACACTTTGCCTGTACCCGAAGTGCTGAGGGTTTTTGAGTGTCGAGCATCAAACTTCCTCCCGTTCCTTCTAATTGACTGTTTGTCATCGTCGCTCGTGGACGGCTCTGTTTCTTGGCGTTTATTCGGTGTAGTCGGACCGGGAAAAGTTTGAACTTATGACAAGTAAGAAGTGTCAAAGCCCTCACCTCAAGACTGAACACATCTTGGTCGGATGAATAGCATGTCGGTCTTCATACCAATCTCAACATGGCCCCAAATTTCACCAGGCTTTCGAATATCCCCCTCATCCACATCGGAACAGAGATGCCTCTATAATATACCATTCTTTCAGGGTGAGCGGTCGTGCTTCCACACTCATACAAACATTTCCAACTCGGTTCGTAACCTGTAACCTGAGGCTTGCCTCGTCTTTCTGAAGACGATCGTTCCAGACCGCAAGGATAAGTAGACGTATCAACAACATAAAAGCACTACGCGTGATATTGCGATGTTCCAAGACACAGGCTTAGAAAGATCGCTTTGAGCAATACACAAATGTACTCTCGTAACTCGTCATGAAGTACTAAGAGTCTGTAGAAGGCTTAGTTAAGCCTCCATTAGCCTAATAAGTGACTTTCAAAGAGACTTCCCAAGAACCGACGTGCTAAAGCGAGGACCATGGCGGGGCTCTGAGGTCTGTTGAGCGCTCAAGGAAGAGACAAGTTGAAAATGGCCAAGCTATGGACTGTATTCTCCACAAACGATGCGATAACCCTTTGAGTGTATCCCATTGAGTGCTACTGGACTGCAGTATAAGATAGCCCCAGTTTTCTCTAAATAGCCTCAACCACAATATTCGCTATTAGTTCAGAAAAGACATCCTGTTACGTGATTGAACAGATCTCCGTACGGCAAGTACTGCAGTCCAGTAGCACTCGATGGGATACAACTGAGAATCATAGCTTTCGTGAACCTTCTCTGTCTTTAGGCCAGGCTGTCGTTCTAGTTCTAGTTTATATGATCCTTCCTCATCGGGCCGTCTCCTTTCGCTACTATCGTCGCTGCTGTATTGCGTGATGCAGGCTAGTTCGTGACCCGCTGCCGGCTAAGATATCATCCGGTCTACACTCCGTTGAAGAGCTTGGCCTTTAGAACCCTTGATCTAATGTGACCCGCAGTGATGTGTCAGCTGAGAACCAACATCGAGTAATCCATTTAATGATTACTGACGATTTAGCTGGCTTATCATTCGCCAAGCACCATGCGGCAAACCGAATCCGAGATGCTGGCAATCCTCCACCTATTTCCAGTACGCGGCTACGGGAAATTGTATCTTGGCAAATACAACCCTATTCATACCATAAGCAATCGGTATGGAAGTCCGCACACCTTGTCGGAGATTATGCGAGCATTCTGATATCGAGCAAAAGGCCACCCGGATGTTTACGCACAACAACTGCCATGGATACTTACTACGTTTACTCATCACTGATAAGCAGCTGCCCCTGAGCAATAACCTCAAGTCGAGTCAGTAGATCAGATTGGAATCAAACCAAACATGAAGTTAAGTGGCAGGGCTTTATGCTGTCTTTTCTGGCAGTGTCCACCGTACATGGACTAGCCCGGGGAGCGCCGTCATTCAAGCCCGGCCAGTCATTTGACTTCAAACTTGTCCATCATTGAAATAGCATAGTGTACGGGAGCGTAATAATTGTCTCAACAAGTGTATGGCTCTCATGCCACTTCCATGAGACTGGCGATTACCGGCACAAACTGGATTTCGATGTCGAAAAAACTCATAGACCACCACCTAGGCCCAATAAAAATCGTCTTTGAGCTCCGTAAGCCTATAGAGTTAAGCATCGAGAAATCGAAATGCATAGGGTTACAATACTGCGGCTGCGCAGGGATCCAATACGATATGTCGACCTCACCTGTCACGAATCACATCCTACCTAATTGCCAAGTAACAAATTGTCAGCGACCTGGGGTAGATCACACGGAAGGAGCTACCCTATTCCGCGGAAACTCCGCCGTGTTTGCGAGGCCTCTTGCCAAGACAACCGTTCAGGGGCGAATTCCCTGCATCCACGGGGCCATCAAGACGTTCCTGAGTCGTAGTTTGGCGGATAACCAACTAGTTCCCATGTCGCAATCGCGATGAGCCGCACGCTGATGTAAAACGCGTCATCGCATCCTGCCGGCTCTACGGGCAGGCCGGCCTGTAACCCCTGTTTTACACGATATCAATTCCAACTACGAGGAGATAAAGATGAAAATTTGTCAATTGCCGAAGAAAATTGCTGCACGATGCCTACAGGTCTATATTTCACAAGCACGTTCTAATTACATGTATCCAGTCTTCAGATATTCCTCAGTAAGACAGATCCAGTGATAATAGATTTAATTTCACGGCTCTTGAACCTCACTGGTTAAGGTACTTCAATGGAATAAGGAGGGAGGGGTCGGGGCGGGGCGGAGCGGGAGAGACGGCTGACCTGGGAGCTGCCGCGTGGGAACTTCTTGTTCTAGGTTAGGCTTATCTGCGGGTCACTTAAAGCATTTTTCGCATTAATTATGGTATTGCTGGCGAAGCCAATTCTTAGTTAACCCAGTCAACTTGTATGGGGAGGCTTTTCGCCGCTGACGGTCAGTCCTTTGCAGCTTTGCTGCGTTGGCCTTGAAGTTTCGTTCAATCTCGGCGACCGAGCAAGCCCCTGGAAACCAGGAGGGTTGCAGTTGCAACAAGAAATTAGTAGGCTCATGGCCAGTAGCATATAGCCAGAAGCAAGTATGTCCGGCCTTTAGACCATCTTATCGCCACCAGTCATTACCGGTCCAGTACGCTATGGCATGGGTACGCAGCTAAATTTGAACATACAAACCATGTTCCCCCTTCGTGGGGCTTCATGCAACAAGGTTGCATACAGGCTTCTCGCTAAGCCCGCGGAGCCTCAAAGTGCAGGTGAATTTGATCGGTGCATCGGATGAACCACCGCGTCTAGTGTAGACGCCGATTTCAGCGGTACACGATCGGTCTTCGCCGACTCCGCTTGCCGCGTAACCTGATGAATGCTACTGGAAGAGATTCGTGAACGGTCATGTCTTTGGAGGCATTCAATTTCGTGTACGGAGTCATGCTCTAGACAGGAAGAGGATAAATACCTCCCTGACTTCCGGCCTACATCTGATCTCGGCAAGCACAGCTTCTTTACACTCGCTCATTAGCCGCATTCGTTTTGCTGCCTCAATCTAGTCGTTCTTGCAAACCACTCCTTCACCCACTGATTCAGTCTTTACCTCGACTTTTCAACCTATCACCAACAACGTAATCATGAACAAGTTCTTGGCCAAGGCAACCATCCTCCTCGGTGCGTCTGAGGCGGTGCGAGCAGCCTGCACAAACCCATCTGTCCGAAAGTCTTGGTATGTTCACACTTGTACGAACATTTTGGAGCGAAAAAACGCGGCTTACAGAGGAGAACTTCAGGTCCGCCTTGTCTGACGACGAGAAGACGTCGTACATCAGCTCCACGCTTTGCTTGATGGACCCAGCTCAAGCTCCCGCCAAGACGGGGTACGCGGGCTCTACGACTGTCTGGGAAGAACTTCAAGCTGCCCATGTGTCTCAAGCCCAGTTTATCCACTCTGTCGTGAGTCTTCCTCTCTGAATCATGCCGCACCAAGTCGGTAACTGACATGGGATTCGTCTTCAGGGGGCTTTCCTGCCGTGGCACCGTTGGTACATGACTGTACAAGAGACCTTCCTCCGAAACGAGTGTGGCTACAATGGACCAATGCCGTCAGTCAAGTTCTATCACAAAACAGTTCCGCACCTAGCTGCTGACAAAGTACAGGTACTGGGACGAGCAAGCAGAACAGGCCGTAGGCCCGCTCGAGAACGCCAGCATCCTCAACGGCAGCGCCACAGCCGGCTTCGGCTCCACCGCTCTTGACGCCAACGGCTGCGTCACCGACGGCCCTTACACCGACATGAGGCTGACGCTCGATACCGAGCTCAACCGCGTGGACCCCGTGTGTCTGAGCCGCGACTTCAAGCAGAACCAGTACGAACAGACGGCCCAGAAGATCATCGACGCCTGCATGGCCTTGGACAACTACGTGGACTTCAACAACTGCCTGGGCGCCTCCCCTCACACCGGCGGACATTACGCCATCGGCGGTACCGTAAGTTGACGTTCTTGCTTCACGAATTCGTCTAGACCTTGTGCTCATGCTATGCTCCGCAGATGGATGACCCCTCGCTTTCTCCTGCCGACCCGCTGTTCTTCCTTCACCACACCAACCTGGACCGGATCTGGTGGCAGTGGCAGGTCCAGAACGAGTCACGCTTGACCGACATTGGCGGCAACAACGTCGCTGAGGGGTTCTTCTGGTCCAGCGTCCAGCCTTCCTCTCTCGGTGTTAATGCTTTCCTGCCCTACTTCAACGACGACGGCAACACCACTACGCTTGACCACAACTTGTGGATGGCCGGCATTGCTGAGAATATCACTATTGCTGAGGTCATGGATGTCAACAGCGATGCCATCTGTATTGAATACCAATGAGAGGTTTCCGACATGTAGATTGTTTGGCACTAGGTAGTTCATCTCAAAACTAAAATCTCTTATCGGCAACTTTTCTGCAATGTGCCAGCCAACACGAACAGAAGCCTTGCTTTGTTGGAGCGGCTTCTGGATTTCTGAGAATGTATTGCTGCCGTCTCTGGGACATCAAGCAGTACTCTCTTTCAAATAACGTTTATAAGGGGGCTACAAGAACCTCGTTGAGTTCAGGGGATGCCGGACTGTCAGTGCTGTGACTCGAACCCGCCGCATCCGATCTATCGTACCTCGTATCTCGAGCACCCTAGAACCCATGAAAACTGGACTCTGTTACAGTTTCATCTTCGTCCATCCCGGCCACAGCAACGTCCTCTCAAAGAACAAAGTCTATGGGGCCTGTAGCTACTTAAACACCCTTCGTTTCCAAGACAGGTTCTTCTCTACGCCAAATACCGACACCTGGGCCAGCACTACAGTGAGCTCGGGTTGAACCCATGATTTTCGTCCGAGTTACCGAGAAGGCGCTTTAACACCGCTAACCATCAGGGCAGTCAAATCATCACTCCTTCTCCAAAATCTTCCCGTCTTACCTCTTTTTCTGTACCGGAGTATTCTTCCAACGTATACACGTCGTCAGAACCAGATTGCCAAACTACCCGCGATGTATTTTCGGGTAACCTAAGAACAGTCACAGACTCCTCTGGCTACCTCGTGTTGATAGTGTAAGGCGGCAGTCGACGTTACTCGTCGCGCAGATCTGCGTTGTTTCTACCATTAAACAGAATTCAACAACGCCTTTTTATATCCATTCTCAAAAGCTCATAGAACACGCATACCCGAGCTCTCGACTCCAATACATCCATCCTTCTACACGTAGCGCATGCTGGTCCAAGACTCGTGCATGTGCCACATGCATCCAAGCAGAGTCGGAGGTTAACGCAATCTTGGTCAGATAAATACGGTGTCCATTCGAAAATTAAAGTCTCTCAACACATTGTGCCCTTTTTTCCACCTCAGCTTCTGAGTTTGGCACACTGCATGAATCCCACGTTCCCACGACATACATGAGTCTCCGTACGCCCAACAGCTACACCCTTCCGTCAAGTCTCACCAGGCACCGTAGCATCCCAACGATCCCCCGTCACCGTCATTGTCAATCATCGACGTCTCCAATCTATTCATCAATCTTATGCACTCGTGGATCCAAGTTCGAAAGCCGATTTACCGAACATTGGATTCTTTCCTGGCCATCGGTCAAGGCCTCTTCCACCTAGACTACTAGAACCAGCACGGCAACAGGGGCTAAAAGCGTTCAGAGAAAAGAAGCACCTAGGTGAAGGTTGGGTTCTGAAAGCTCAAGTGAGAGAGGGAACTGCTCAATATATACTCCCACCTCTTCCCTCCTTTCTCCTAAGTACCCTCTCAATCAATCAATCGTCAGACAGCAATCACAACGTCTCATTGCAAAGAAACGATTACCACCACACCAAAGGACTGCGTACCGAAACGTATATAAACACATTGTCTTTGCAGATATCACGTTCTACAACCTCCAAGTCTTTGAAACCCGGTGTCGAAGATCATTCGGGGTTTGTCGCCTTTCCGACTCTGTACTCAAGCTCCACCAAGGTTACTCAGCCAATGAGCATGGTAACAGTCGATCGAGGGAAGCGAACCTGGTTCGACATCTCCGACATTCATCCTGATTCCCTGTCTCTTCTCACCTGTTCCACGTTCAATACGCAGAAGAAAGAGGGACATTCGAAATGATGAAAGACTGCAGCTTCGAAGTAAACCATGCGTGCGTCAAGCCCGCCGAGTGTGTGGGAGTGTGACAGAGACCTTCGAATTTAGACCCGGCCCTGCCCGGCTGGACTGCTGTCTCCTGGTGACTGGATCATTTCATTCTCGCAGTGATATGTAACATACCGTCCACATCTTGCTTCCAACCTCAAATGTGTACTCGTTGGGTATGGCGAGATATCTATGACCAGATTATAAGGGTGGCTGCATTGTATTGCGCGGCGTATTGCATTTGTTGCTTCCAACCTCCGGAACTCGTGCCTTGGGGGCTTGACATGGCTCCACAGGTAACATACTACGTTCTCACGCCTTAATGGTCATACACCTCTCCAACTTCACAAATTGAACTTGAATGGCACAGAAGCTGAAGGTCAACAAGTTTGTTTTTACAATGCCCGCTACTTTTGCGTCTATGTCCAGCACACATTTCCACTGCATACAGTACATGGTATCATATATCATCTCCACCAACGATCCTAAAGACGCCAGGACGCTTCGGCCCATGCGATGGCCAGCATTAAGCATTACCCAAATTAGTACACGAAGATATGTTCAGTCCCGCTGCGAGGGAAGCTTGCTTATACAGGCGATCAAATCATCATAGCCCAGGCAAGAGCGCCGGCGAGGACACCGCCAACGGAGAAGATGGCACGTCCGGCGCCGCTGACCCCAACGTGGGTCGGGGTGCTTGTGGGCGCAACGCCATCGGCGGCACCGGTGGGGGTTACGGGGCCGAGACCGACGTTGGCGCCGCCGTTCACCGTGGCGGAAGCAGTCGGGGGCTTCGCAGTGGTTGCGCTGCTGGATCCCGCGGTCTCGCGGTCCTTCTCGCGGTCCTCCTCGGAGGCGCTCTTCGATGGGGTGGCCTTTGCAGTAGCCGACTCGGTAGCTGAGGCAGTTGTCTTCGCTTCGGTCTTCGCCTCGGGGGCGGAGGTCGTCGTCGGCACCGCGGGCTTGGTGGTGGTGGTGGGCTTAGGCTCCTCCTTGGTGGCACCGACTGCCTCGCCGCTGGTGGGATCACGGTACCAGTTGGAGGAGGGGTCGCCGAGGCAGTCGCCAATGGTGGTAAACTCGAAGCCCTTCTCCTTGGCGACATCGATCATGTACTGGACAAAACCGTTGACGGTGAAGGTGTGGATGTCGTGAGACAGTGAAATGAAAGAGTCGCTCGCAGGGTTACCGGCGTTAACAGCGCTGGAGTAAGCCTGCTTGGAACCTGAGCCGTTGTCGACCCAGTCCTTGGTGTCGAGGTTGTAGTCGGTCTGGAATGCATCAGTATTGGCGACATCCAGCGGTCAAACATGCGGTTTTACTCACAACATGGTATGACAGCTCGTTAAGGGTAGCAAGGCATTCACCGCCGCAGTGGGTGTAAGGTGGGCGGAAGTACGTCGGGATGATGCCGAGCGTCTTTGCGAAAATCTCCTCGTTCTTCACAATCTCGTCGATCTTATCTTGCTTCGAAATGGTATCAAGATCCTTGTGGCTCCAAGAGTGGCTAGCAAGTTGGTGACCAGCACTCAACATGCGCTTCATGACAGGGACGTATGCGGAGTTCACCATGCCGCTGTTGCCGTTGGTGCCAACAAGGAAAAAGGTAGCCTTGATGTTGCCGTTCTTCTCGAGGGTGTCGAGAACCTTCTCGGTGTACTCGCCGGGGCCGTCATCGAAGGAGAGAGCTACTTTGCCCTTTACTGTGCACTGGGTGATATCGACACCATACGGGACGTTTCCGAAACGGGGACGCGGCATGTCTCTTGGGGAAAGTGCAGACGATGACTCGAAGGGGATGGCCGTGGCCAGATCTCCTGAGGCGGCAATGGCCGCCAGAAGGAAAAGTGAGTGTACTCTAACAAGCATCGTTGCGGTTGGATGAAGCGAAAGCAAAAGACTGTGGTTTACGAATGGGGTATCAATGGGCCAGCCTGAAGATGAAGGGGAAACAGAATACACTTATATCAAATACAACGCCAAGGGAGGAGCCCACTTGCTCGCTTTTGAATGCATAGCACGCCACGGGGATAATAGGAAATGAACAGCCAGGCAGATCCGCCGAGCGGAGCGTGGGGAAAGCTGGGCAGGAGGTGACCGCAAAGGCGGCGTCCTGTCCGCAGGCGGCAGTCAACGGCGGCGGCCGAGTCCTCGGGCGAGATGGGGAAGCAGGGAACATGATTTCTTGCGCTGACCTCTCGTCCCATGGATCCCAGAAGCAGCTGCAGGAGGATTGCAAGCAAGGGGATGTCCGTAAAAATGGATGTCTCGCAACTTGGTTGGAAGGATGTCTATCCGCCGGGGTGAGATGGGCCGTGGCTCGATGTCGCAGCAGACGGGCTGAGAAGAAGCGGCCCAAGTGTCCGATTGCCAGTGCGGAACCTCCACGGGCAGACGTTTTTTGCGGGGATATTTCTGGCAAGTCCATGTTGAGCCTTTCCAGGCAGGATCGTCACCAGCGATTCAGGCGAAGAAGAAATGAAGGCCAACAGACCCAGGCAGCGGTTTGGTCAGTCCTCACGGCTCTGGTTTTGGCGACTTCGCGTGTTGGCAAAGCCCCTGGTTCGACGAGGAGAAAATACGAGCATTGGCAATCCGAGTAACTGGACGTCAAAATTGCAGTCCCGGTGGTGTGCGCCCGAAGCACTTGGCGCTGAAAATCCGGGCTCCTTTTTTACACCCGCTTGTACTGATCGGGAGAGCCGTAGCCAGGTAACAGGCAGACGCCCAGCTAGGGCGAGGAAAGAGACTTTTTTTGACAGGCAACCCAATGGCACTGGTCTATTGAGTGGGCTTTCGGCCTCGTGTGTAATGAATTGGAGGCTTCGGGTGCGGCGCGGTGCCAATGGCGCAGTGGAGGAAGTTCGTTGGATGGACGGACGTTGTTGAGGCTTGGTCAGGGCCAGGTACTTCGTACGTACGAGTACTCATGGGGGCCCCCAGTTGGCGATGTCATCAGGCAAACTCTTTGAAAAGAGGGTGTGTGACGGCGCAGGCCTTGGCGCATTAGGCTCGTATGAAAGGGGACTGACGCAAGGGACGCGGCGACTGTGATTGGTTGTCAGTATCAGCCATTATCGCTGTTGCGCATCGTGTGATGGGGGTCCAACCCAATTTGCACCTGCATCTGCAACTGAATGCAAGAAAAGGTCGAGGCAGTGGTGTATTTCCCGAGTGTGCATCCTCGCGCTATTCGGGGAACAGCAAGGGAGATCATCTGGCGCGATGGGAAGTGCAATCGAGCGGGAAAGCTTGAGCCCTGAGGAGCACGGTGCGCTGACGGCGACGGCGGTGGCTGGTCGTGGACAAGTTGATGCGGTGTTCGTCCTAGCAAAAGTTGAGACTAGATTTGAGACGAACCATGGATTAGTGGCGTCTTCCATTGCTTCTTTTTCTCGTGGGTTCGGTCCATTACCGTTCGTCGTCCGTTGGTTGTAGCCGGACCTGCATATGTACATGCAACGCGTCGGTCTTTCACTGTGAGGAGTCAGTCACTTTCATTCTCGTTCATATCGACGGTCCGGGGGCCTGAGATTTCTGCTTCCTCCTTCCTGCGAGGCAGACTAGGGGCCAGGCTTTGCTGCACATTGTCGGCGAGCTGGATGCTGTTTGCTAAGGCGCGAATGCTGTGCCGCAAAGGCGGAACTGCAAAAGCGACAGCATTGGATTCTCAGGGCCCCGGATTCGGTGCCGGTGGTCCACGTTGTCGTGGAGCCCCGGTCTGACTGCTCTTGTCGTTGTCTCGGATGTGGAGAGAATCATGGATGAGTGGATGACATGTCTTTTGAGGTTGTCGTCCCCGCTTCGTGCTGACAGGTTTCTTTCTCTGATGTCTTGTCCGACGTCAGATTAATTGCGAAAAGTATGAATAGAATTGCGCTCGTATTGGGGCTCCGCTGCGGCGACCAAATCAGAATTTGCGGTGCAGTTCATGTTGGTATTGTGTGCTGTGCAGGGTCGACGAGACCGCGACTGCCCCGACGCCCCCCAGACGAGAGAGGAAGGCACGACCGGCGGCACCCTCAATTTGGATGGGAGGGTTGCATTCCAGCAAATACAATTGGTTTCATCAGCCTTACCAGTATTATCAGGAGGGGTAAAAAAACAACTGATAGACACGCAGTCGCGGTCGCGGTCGCTGTCGCAGTTTCCTCCTTTCACCTTCCGTCACAACTGCCGCCAATGTCAATTTTGCTACGGATTTGACTGCTGACTGGCTGCCCTGACGATCACCCAGTCAGTGGTTACCGCAGCCAGACCTTCCTTCCACAATGCGCTTTCCTGCTCAGACTTCATTGCTCTTATGCTTATGCTTGCGCTTGTGCTCTTTTACTCCTTCCCTCCCAGCCTCTTTCCTTCCCGGCGCCTGCTTAAAAGGGCACGTTGACGACGGAGGCCGAGCTTTGCGCGAATGTCCCGGAACGGTTAGTCTCGTAGCTTCTTTCCCGCACTGTGACATCAGTCAGCCAAACCGCAGATGCTACGGTGTAATTCCGGCTGCGCCGCACTGGTTGCACAACTCCTGCTCCGTGCTTTTACGACCTGCACTTTTCCAGAACTCAGGTCCCAAAACCTAGCCAAGCAAATCCTCGAAAAGCTTTTTCATCCACTCTGGTCTCGCCAAGATGCTTTGCACCGTCGAAGCTACCTAGACAACCGACTTGGCAAACAGGCACTACGCTGTCAACTCAAGCTCCTATCACCTTCGATTTGGCCCGGCAGCATGAGACCAGACATCAGACCAGGCACGATATCGTTGCTTATTCCGTTTTATTTCAAGTCTTATTTTTGGCGTCGCCTAGGTTCTGCCTGCCTGCCTGAGCCACGGATTCCCTGTGGCGCTGCCCTTTGATGGCCGCCTGATCTTGTCAACGGGCGCCAGACTGAACGAATACTGACGCTGGTTGATATGTCTGTTCTCGGTCTCACCTTTGATCGTTCGTCTAGTCAACTCATATCCGCCTCATTCGTCGTCATCACTCATTTCCCCACGACAAATGTATTCCCGATGGAACAGATTGCTGAATTTTCGGCGTTTTGGCGTCCTTTGACGGTTTCTCATCGCCACTAATCACCTCCGACGGCGTTCAAGAGACGCCTTCCCGGCGAACGGACGGCTCCTGCGATTTGACAACCCCCCGGTCAGTGCCAAGCCCGACCGACATCGCGTGTCGGACCATTTACCTCACTCCCAAGTTGCCCGTCTGCGGGATGCTCAAGCCCTGCATCCCAATGCCGATCACAATCGACCGTCCGCCAACACACTTTTGAACAACTGGTGCCTGCATCGACGACGACCAACGGCAGTCGAAAATGCCGGCTATCGCATCGTGGATGATGGATCCGACGCGTCGGCGGCAAAGTCAGAATCTCAGTTCCCGTTGCCCTCCCGTCGATGAGACCATTTGAGTCACATTATCGATTCTAGAAGAAGCAACTACACTCTTGTCAGCCTCAACTACTCACGGGTACTTGCTCCATCAAAGCTTGTCTGGCTTTTCCCACGCGATTACCCGTTCACTATGTCCATCACTCAGAGACACGCTGAGACAGTTCGCCAGAGATACAGTGCCTGCAACAAGGGTCATAAAATGAACATGTCTCTGACTGCATGTTGTTCGTTGAGGTCGCCGCCAGGAACGGCTCAACACTCGATCGTGGCGGCAAAACACTATGCGAAGAAACAATACCCCGGAGCATCTTCTGCGGACGCCACGCTGCCCGCCGACTGAAGGCTGACTGGGCGATACTGACTCTCCTTTCGACTGGTGTATCCGTATATTGAGGCTATCCACTCTTCCCAATCTCCTCCAGGCTCGCCGCTCGCATATCCGCGGGGCTGACTGCATCGCACAGCCTCTTATGCGCAGACTATTAATACTGCCAGGCACGGCAACTGTCGACCAACAGGAAATATCTACATCATGCGCTTACGACGCTGCCAAGCTATGCACTCATTCAGCCGATGCTTGAGATATCAAGAAGTGCTTCCGAGCCTGAACCCTGAGCGTACATGCTGACCGCGGCCGCAAGCTTGACCGCAGCTGGTTATTTCTGGACAGCTCCTGCTGACTGATTGTAGACGCCAAGAGTCGATGGGACTCGATGATCTCGTAGCTGATATGTATCTTTTCACTTACCTGCCGACTGGACAAGATGGTCGGCCTGACCTTGGCAGTCCCCGTCGCATATCATTGACCTCCTTCCATCTTCTCTCCAAATGGCCTCTGCGGTAAAGCTCGAAGTTCTCCACTGTCAACGTCTTAATGTCGCTCGGTCTGGATGCTCGTATGTTCCTCTTTGGTTTCTCCGGAGTTGCGGTCTGTCGTTCACTTCAACTACAAATCGCCTAGTGCCGATGCAACGTCTTAAGAAAGCCGCAATGGGTCTTCGTCAATTTCCAAAGATGTATCCACATTCTAAAGAACGGCCACAGCCGAGACACGCTCTCCAGACCGATACGTTACTCCGTAACATCGACGGCAGATTCATCCTGCTTGATGTCGATCATTCTGGAATTGCTACCTCCCCGTTCGAGTACTTTCGTGTAAATTCCCCGCATGCTGGTCATACAAGCCTAGTGACCATCTTATATGTGTCTTCCGACTTTCCAACCCGAGTCACAAAAGAGTTAGGACTCAGGGGCCACACTTGAACTTCACTACGCCAGGTCTCCATGTCACAGCCCTCCATGTCACACCCTTTCGACGAAGACGCATACTAGCCTCTACGCAGCTTGGTTGTGATGTGCTATCGAGATGGACTTTTACAAATCTATAATTGAACTTCCGGACCTGACGTATCATCGATCTGGCAATGTCGAGGAGGCCATGACTCTGAAATGCGTAGCAAGCGCTACATGTTGAAACTTGTCCGCCTTCCACTTCTCACATGGTGACTATGAGAAGGTTTTCGCGGAATGCCATTCACTTGGAAACATTCATCATCGACGTGAATAGGGAAGAACAAAAGGTCAAGTCTCTAGCGGGCATCGACTTTTGGAATTCACGTTGCGGTCTGGTTTTCCTACTGTCGGGGGAACCCGTGCGTATATGTATTCATGTTGGCTCTCTGAAGTGGTGGAGGACAACAGTTGGAACTTGTAAGGGTCCTGTTTCGCTTGGTTCCAGGCATCGCCCAGATTGGTAGTCAGGTCCTATAGCTCACTAAGCTCATGCTTTCTGTTTTCTCTGATGCCCACATCGACACGAATTGACCGGTTCCGGCCTATATCCCGCAGTAATAAGCCCGTGTCAGAAATGACTACGAACGAATCTTGGCAGGGCCACTCGTAAGAGAGTTGATGAGCGTCACCAACAGACGGTTATACGTTGCAACTTATGCTTTAGACACGCGTTCTCGCTGTTCCTGGTTCTATTGATTGTGATGCTCCCCAATCATTTGCTGCTCTGTCTTTGGAAGCCCAACTTTGTAGCTGCAAGACGAATTATTTATAATAATTCTATGAGTTGTCCAGTTTCTCGCCTGTAAAGCTTTCCTATTACATAGTCATGATCCCGCAGGTGTCCCAAAATATCATCAATGAAACACGGTGCCAAATATATTCGAGTAAAAGCTGAACCTATCATACTCGTTACGACGGACTAGATGGTCTGCTTCCCTGTTGGCTGGCAGAAGAGTTCAATCTGAAGTTGCGACGACGAAAGACTTCTCACCTCGGATGCATACGACGAGAGAAGCTGGGTCTCAATTTTGTGAGAGATATATCTCTCAAGAATTAGAACCGTGTCCTGCATACTCTGTCTCAACATACCACGCGCTTCCAACGACATCTAACGAACCCCTGGACAGTGACGCCTAGACATTGATCACTGGGATTTTGGCAAACATATCGCATAATACAATAGATACAGATAGCACGGGCTGAAGTCCTAGAATTGTCTTAAAGAACTGAGGAACTCGCATTGGCAAACTGCTATAAAGCTCCCTCAGTGCCGGGCAATACTCACACCCCATACAATAGATACTTCTACTTAGGTATATTACTCACTCTAGAATAGTATAATGGGAGGGAAAATGAGGTTTATAGCTTAATTAGTTTCTACATGTATATCACAAAATCAGGTAGCTCAACGCGGACGCCCTTTACCTCGGACGTACCAGCAATTAAACAATACTACTACCACCACCCTGTCTCTTGAGTTAAATTTAATTGCCATTTGATGTAGCTGTCTTCTCCCAAACGCATATTCTTTTTAGGGTCTAGTTCTATGATTCCAACCAGGGTCATAGACCAGCTGTGACTAGAGATGTAGCTACAATATATTAATCATACCTACGTGCGTCGCAAAAAGGTGAATCGAGCAGGCTGCAGTAAAAATTCCAGCGGCGGCATCCGACGTTCTTGAGATTTGCCTGGGCATTTTGTTAACGTCGAACACTGATATAATGTGATTCGTCGTAGGTTCCAAAGTATCAATGTGGGCGAAACGGCGGCGTATAGCACCAAAATGATGCAGTTCACCCTGTGAATCGTTCAGACATGGAGAAGTTGTGCAACCCGATCATGAAGGTATCATGACACTTGATCATGAAAGAGTAAAGGTATTGTTCATTCTCGTAAGAAGCACAATCCTGGCCTGATCTGATCCACCATCTAGCGCGCATACGTGATCGTGCGCTCAAGCTGTCACCTCACCAGAGGCTTGAACGGTAATAATCCTCAACAAACGCAGACACAACGCTGTTCGAAGATTACAGTGGGTATTGGACAGGGTCTGAGTCCCAAAAAAGTCTCTTGACGGGTTGATGACCCCCAAGCACGGGAGTGGTTCTGGTTCAGCAAGTAGATAGGGAGCAGGTAGTCATGTGTGATGAGAACGTGATCATTCCACTGGGTCTGTGGGCTCATGGGAGACACGATAGTCAAGAATGGCAAGTCTTAGAAGAGGCTCTGATCTTGTCTTTTGCTTACAGGGGAAGTTTTGGCGACTCTTTGCCGTGGACGCTCTTCTCATGCGGGGCAAGCAGTCCGGCCCCCACGGGACTAGAATCATAGTCTCGATTCTAGATCTATGAATCCTTCTGAATCGAGCTTCTCGAAGTGCGAGAGAATGTGTTATGTACTCGGACACTGACGGTCCGAGAGCTATTAAAAGTTGTCTGATTTCATTAGCAAACTTTTGACTCTACCTCCGTCACCCCTCTCGGCTCCGAATCTGTCGTTATGCACCCGACTTAACTATAAATTCCGTGATATCAATGACGAAGAACACGGACCGGATGAGACGGAAAGACACCACTTCAAAGCCAAGTTCAGAAAGTCGTCCGAAGCTGACAAATGACGAACAGAAGGCCCAGCAGGAAAGCGAGTCGCACTGTCGCAGACAATGAGGTCTCATCGGGGTCCAAGTTGCCCCGACTCTTTGGAATCCTTAAAGATTCATCCGGATGGTTGCAATCCCGAGAGATCACAAGCCCCGTCCTGCGCCTCTGTTCTCCACGTCCTCCTGCGGCTTCGGAGAGCCTCCGTCTATGAGGCATTTTTACGCGAGGCAGTCGGACCTCAGCCAAGACAATATTCACCAAGGAAACGGCAAAAGTTTTCTCTGCGATCATCCGCGTCGAGTTGCCTGATTCCAATGAGACCCTCGTGTTGGCCTCCACTCTGGGGTATGCTTATATTACAAGATCCACCGGACGGCCGCCATCACTGCCGTAGATGGTTAGCACAGCCCGACACTGCGGAGCGCGTCCCAGTACCGAGACATGGTAGTTGAATAAGATTATCACCGGTTTATCAATCTCATCTTATCAATCCTGCACTTATAATGCCAGCCCGCCGCCGAACATCATGACGTTTTGTCCCCATGCTTCAAGCTCTTAGCTGAGTGTCCTGCCCATTCCTTCTTTGAACCGCGCTATCAGGCATCATGAAGTTCATCACCGTCAGCTCCGCGCTCCTCGCGCTCGGCGAGACCGCCGCCGCTCGCATGTACGCCCGCGACAACACCACCACCACCCGCAACGCCACCTACGACTACATCGTCGCGGGAGGCGGCACCGCGGGCATCGTGGCAGCCGAGCGTCTCGCCAACTCCGGGCGCAGCGTCCTCCTGCTCGAGCGTGGTGGCCGCTCCTTCTACATGACCGGCAACAACAAGACGATGCCCTGGAACAACACCGTCACCATGTACGACGTCCCGGGCATGTCGGACTACACCGGCATTGACCCCGACCTCCAATACTGCAAGGATCTGGCTATTGCTGCCGGATGTCTGCTTGGTGGCTCCACGATGCTCAACGCGCTCATGTACGTCCCGCCTCGCGCGGCGGACTTCGCGTCCTGGCCTGAGGAGTGGCACTGGGAGAACGGCGTTGCCGATGCGGCTGCCGAGTTCTACAAGCGTCTTCCGGGTACTACCCTGGCTTCGGAAGACGGCAAGAGATACGACGATGGTGCTTTCGAGATCATGTCGCGCTTCTTGGATGCCAACGGCTGGAGCGAGCAGGATGCCCTGAAGAACCCCGAGGCGAAGGAGTTGATGTACTCTCACCCTCCTTGGTCGGTAAGTTTTACCCTCAAAACGAATATTCGCATAAGATCCTAACACCGTATAGATCGCCCACGGCCTGCGCGACAGCCCCGTCCGCGCCATCCTCCCTGACGCCGAGGCCCTCCCTAACTTCACCCTCGAGCTCAACACCAAGGTCCTCCGCGCCATCCGCGACGGTGGTCTCGTAACTGGCATCGAGGTCGAGCACGACAGCGGTGCTCGCGAGATTATTCAGCTGGCCAAGGGTGGATCCCTCGTCCTGGCCGCCGGCTCCCACTCGACCCCCCGTGTTCTCTTCAACTCCGGCATCGGCCCGGCCTCCCAGATCGAGATCGTTGCGTCCGGCAACACCAACATCAAGCTCCCTCCCAAGGAGCAGTGGATCGAGCTGCCCGTCGGCGAGAACCTCAAGGACCACGCCATCGCGACCGTCACCTTCACCACCAAGGATGAGTTCATTGCGCTCCCCAGCACCGCTTGGACCAGCCCCGACCAAACCAACATCGATCTCTTCGCCCACGGAAGCGGTCTCATGGCTCAGTCGGGCCAGCGTCTGAACTTCTGGACGTCCGTCAACACCACTGATGGAGCCACCCGCCACATACAGGGTACTGTCCGTGGAGACGCCAACAACACCATCGGCGTCAAGGTCTACCTCACCCACGGCACCACGTCCGTCGGCACCGTCGGAATCACCGCTGACGGAGCTACCAACATGACCACGAAGCCCCTTCTCCACACTGAGGGCGATGTCGAGGCTTTGACCAAGATGGTCGACACTCTTCTGCAGTACGCTCGCCAGCCCAACAGCATCTTGACTGTCCCCGAGAACGCTACTGCCGAGGCCCTTGTCGCCGCCGCGGGTAGCGGTAGCCACTACCTGGGTACCACGCAGATGGGAGCCGAGAACAACGGCAAGAGCGTCGTCGACCCCGATACCAAGGTCTGGGGCACCGAGAACTTATTCGTTGTGGACGGAAGCATGCACCCTGAGGTTCCTACCGGTAACACGCAGGCCCCTATTATGGTTGCTGCTGCTTACGCTGCCAAGAGAATATTGGGTCTTCGCGCATAGACTACACTTGATACCATAGAGCGTGTTCAAAATATATAGAACTTTAGTCAGAGCTGTACATGCATAATAGACTACACATCCAGACATTTCGCTTACATCTTGCCTATTTGCTATCTATCTGAAGGAAGGTTGAACATCTTATTCCTTTCAAAAGGCGAGCCAGCTCTTCGAGGCTTTGAAAGGATCATCGGTCGACTGCCCCCCTTGATTTGGCATTCTATCCACTCGAATCTCAACATTGACTGACTTCTGAATCCCAGACACTCGGGTATTCATGTTGTTCATCTCTACGCTCCTCGTCTCATCAACATGAGGCACCAGATCCCTCTCGCTGTGGCTGTCGGCATCAACCCCGCTGCCCTTGCGCACATACCCTGCCTTGCTGGCAGGAACGCTAGACCAAGCTCCCGTGTTAGATCGCATATGGCCGCCGCCGGTGTTGGAACGCCCGTCTTTTCCATAACTCTGTATGTTACTGCGAATGCCCAGCTTGTATGACAGGATGCGGATGAGAGGTTGTAACGCGGGGAAGGATGCGACCCAGAGGCCAACGTGCCCCTCCAGGTCAGTCCAGATACCGATAGTCGACATGTTGAAAGTCCTGTTTCGTGACACGCAATCAGTGACCATGCCTGATACTAGTAGTAGTAATGGGTGATGGGTAGACTTACGGATCTCCGAGAAACTGGCGCTTTTTCATCATGACTAGCCGAACGCAACCTGTGGCTACGACGAAAATGCCAACGCTGAAAACGCAAATCACTTGAAACGCCATTTTTGACCAGAGCATCTTGGTGTAAACTACCCAGATGGGTAATCCCATCAGGGCGAAGTCGAGGATCAAGCCAATGATCTGATGTGCCACCATCATAGTGTTCTGGTGTTCGGGCGGTACGCAATTCTTTCCGGGGAAGAAGGGTGGCTTCCACAAATGCCTGAGGGAGTTGCATCGTCAGTAAACTTATCACTAGTGTACGGGCGAAATCCCTCTCGACGTACCATATTGGGTTGCATTGAGTCAATCGATATATGAAGCATCCAAGCGTCTGGGCTACGACGAAGAATCCAGTGACATATGTGAGAAGAAGATAAGTTTCTGTTCATTATCTGTCAGTTGGGGTTCAAGAGGTCAAGAACTCAGAAGATATGCGCCATACTATCTTGGCTTAGGCGAGGGAGGAAAGCGACGATGGAAAGCCTCATAAGTCCTGTGCCAACGAGGTATATCAAGCCGTTCGTGACGATACCCTGTGCACGATTCACAGTCAATAACCATAGCACCAATCTCATTGAATTATACGTACTTCGAACCATATCGTAAACTTTGGCTTCGGTATGTATTCAAGGTGCGCTCCGCTACCATACTGAACCACTTCGTCTCGAGTGAGTGAGCAATTCGGAACGCTTGAGATCTCGTATGCTTACGTCGTATGTCCAAGGATGATAGGGTAACTAAAATTCCCTAGATGTGCTTGGTCAGACACTTGAATCAAGAATGTAATAACATGAAGCCAGTAACTCACCCAAGCCAAGAAGGCTAGAAGGTCGTCGAGACCTAACGCCTTTGCCATGAAAGCACGCACATACAGTCTCAAGCCCACGATAAAAGAAGTGCAGACGATGAGTGCAATATTGACCTGCAATACTTTATCACCGGCGTACTCCGGCGAGTCCATGAAGTTGGCGTACGGCACTGATGTGTTGGCTGCCATCTTGATTAACTCTCATCGCAGAGCTGATTGCAAAAATTGCGAAAAACTTCGACGAGAAGATCGGGGGCGTGGGGCAAGACGATACAATAACTTTGTCCGTGTAAGTGCGATCAGAGAGACGTAACCAGGTTCTCGGCCCGAAAGACTAGGAAGGCCTGTTCAAGGACTTCACTCGCCACACCATGGCGATTGTGCCGCGCCGGCGCTCCTCCCATGGTCTGCAGGTTTGATTCTTGAAAGCATCCGGGAAACAGGTACTCGCCTCTGCTGTGCCTCAAGTGAGCGTCTAAGAGAACACACTTGTCTGTTGGTGCATTGTGTCTCTGTCGTGTTATCTGTACAAATTCCATGGATTCATATCTTGTCATATCTCCGTAGGTTCTGTTCCACGAGCGTGACGAAAGCAACTTATGAGATATCCTGATGCTGTATGTGCTCAGGTATACCACCGTGTCCTCGGCTCGACACAAACCAACCCAGATGACAGGATCTTGTCCACATGTGGTTTCCACAGCGTCGGCGCCATAAACGACCTTTGCGGCTGCTTGAAAGCGTTTATAACAGGAGTGATGACGGGTGAACTATGATTTGATGTTTATACAATAGTTCAGAACAACTTTGACTAAAGTAATCCTTCAACTTGTGCTGGCTAACTGCTGAGTCTGCTACACATCACGATGTCAAAGCTTGCCTCCGCCCACATTCCGGGTGGTGGCGACATGATCCTGCAAAATTTGAGACTGGTGAAATGATGTTGAAATGCTGTTGGTCTCTAATCTTGCCAAGTTGCAATCTACAACGTCCACGGGTTCCGTTCCATTGGTCCGGAAAGAGGTTTCCGTGAAGTGTTGTTGAAGTCAATCAAGAATTTCTATGATACGAGCGGAGATGATAGCCCAGAAGATGCTCGCTTGTCCGGCCCCTGACAATTCCTTCAGTTGGTTGCTTTGCACCAACAACGGCGTCTTCTCTTGCTACAACACCGTCCAGGGTTCTCATCTTGGCGTACATGTAAGTCCACACAGCCAAAATCTTTTACTCAGCATGATAGGGTCGCTTGCGTAACAGGGTCTGAGAAAGTGTTCTTAAGTTCCAACCACCAGCCAACACGAACTGCAACCAACCAACCAACGTAACCAACCTGCAAGCCAAGTACGCCAGAGAAGCTACTTTATCCACAATGCCTGAGCAATGAAAATTGGGAGGACAACCCTGACCCCGGTATACGCGCCGCTCAGTCTCATACTACTAGTATTGTGCGTGTTGGCGTGCTACTTTCCTTCAGTCAAAGACTTAGTTGCGGATGAGCACCAACACATCGGCGCAGCCTTCAAGAGATGATCCACAGAAGAGATTCCTCGGCAGCAAGCCGGATCTTAGCTTTGGGTTTCTCATCGAGATGAGAAGGCCCGACGAACCCCACAAGGTCATGGAACGACTTCTAATTGCAAATGCACGTCCCCTGAGGCTACAACAAGGACAGGGTTTCTACCTTTTTTCAACGCCACAGACTACTGCGTCAACCCCAGTTTCCGGCCTCATCCGGAGTCTGAGTTCTGGGTATCCGTTCCTCGCTAGCATAATGTTGATCTTGCCTATTGGCCATGATAAAGGGGCACTGCTGTACTTCATGGACAACACTCCGTTTATCCGAACTCGCACGTATTTCAAGGGCCAGAACGAAGATAGTCACGCAGATAATATCGAAGTTGTAATCATTATAGCAATTATAGAATACTAAGTTGATAAAAGAAAACTTCACTTTTGTGCATTTATTTCATCCGTCCGGCAGGAGCAAAATACAGACCGAAGACATCGAGTGAGGGGACGGGACACGCATACGGGGAAAGTGACTCTTAGATCCGTCAAATGTAATCAGTAGTGCGCCTCTTCTGACCGAGTAGAGCAATCAATGGTGATCCACTCACCCGCATTCTAGACACTTTCCACTTTCCCAGAAGGGCTGTCGGCAAGCTGCTTGCAGAGGCGAACGTTACATCCCACAACCCGACTTCCTGCAGCCAGGCCCCAGCACCGGGGTTTCTGGGCAAACAACGCCTGATTCTTTCGGTTAGTACCTAATAGGATGACAATTGACGGTACATATCAGTCCGAAGAGATCTTGTAAAACCCTTCTCCTTCTTCTCATTGCCCGGCGACCATTCGTTTCTTCAGAGTCTCATCGAAAAACGTCGAGTGAAGGGGTCTGCATTCGCATTGAAAGCCTCCGTTGGCATTTTCTTTGGTCTACCATGAAGTCCCTCGCCTCCCTGACCTGTGCTGTGCTGGCCTTCATCAGCTTACAAGCAGACAGCGCCGTTGCGGCTCCCACCAACGGGACCCATCCAGGATGTTGTAAAAACCCTTCGATCAGATACGAATGGCGGCAGTTGTCTCTCGAGCAGAGGCTTGACTATATCCGCTCTGTCAAGTGCCTCATGGCTCTGCCGTCCGAAGGCAATGATCTCTGGCCTGGTGCGAAGTCACGATACGACGACTTCCAGGGTATGCACATATATATGACCCAGAAGGTGCACTTCAACGTAAGTTGAGTCTGCTGTCCGATCTGACAGATTAACATGACTGATCTGAGCGACTGGTTTGACAGGGCCCTTTTCTCCCGTAAGAAGACGACTTCCAATTATCAACCCTCAGTCTTCGTGGCTACTTGCGACTGACAAGTCACAGATGGCATCGTTGGATGCTTTATCTCTACGAGTCTGAGCTCCGCGATAAGTGTGCCTACAAGGGCACTCTTCCCTACTGGGACGTAAGTTTGGATAACACAGCTGAGGGGTTTCTGAACTCGCCCATCTTTGACAATGTCTATGGCGTTGGGGGCGACGGACCTTACATCGAGGATGTGAGCAACAAGACCGAGTTCCCCGTTCAGAAACCAATCACTATTCCGGAGAGAAGCGGTGGAGGCAAGTCCAATCACTTTAGTGATCGATATGGAAGATAAGCTGACTCAGGTATCCAGGTTGCGTCCAAGAGGGGCCTTTCGCCAATACCACTGTCCCAATGGGTCTCGGTATGTCACTCATAGCTTTCTCATGATCGATATTGAAGCCATCGCGAAACCGTTGCTGACCAGTTCAGGTTATTCGCTTGAGTCCACCCCTCATTGCCTCCGACGCGACTTCAGTCTACCCATTATCACTGCTGCCCTCAGTGACGAGGTCATCGATCGAACCATCGCCGCTGCCTCTTTCTCTGAGTTAAACGTGCACATTCAGGGTTATAGTATGCAAGTCAGCGGCATGACTCTACACGCAGGCATGCACCTGGGCATCGGTGGTGCTGTTGGAGATGTAAGATGAACCTCAATGTCATGATGATCTGTTGTGATCGTCAAGTAGACTCAACTGACCCTGGAAGTGCGCCGACATGTACTCGTCCCCCGGAGACCCTGTCTTTTACTTCGTCCATGGCGCCCTCGATAAGATCTGGAACGATTGGCAGCGCAGAGGTACGTCTACCGACACCTTGAGGCTCAGAATTAAGTCTTGCTTTCAAGTTTTCTCTGGACACAGTCTGGGAAGATGTTTCAAGTTCCCTGCTAAATAATTACCGTCATTGCGGTTCTAGATTGGCCCGCACGAAAGACCGATATTGGTGGCCCCGATGTTATGTACGGCTACCCGTTCAACTTCTTTGGGGACGTTGCCTACGAGAACATCACCTTGGAGTACCCGTTATCTTTCCCTAACTTCGGTGGGGACATGCTGGTTGCTGATATGATGGACATTCACGGTGGCCCTTTCTGTTATGAGTATAGGTGACCCAGGACTGCTGTAACGCTTCTTCGATGCCTCTTGAAAGTCTATGTATGTAACTCAAGCTGGATCTATAGTAGTGTCACTATAATCAGCCTGGACCTCTTCCTGGCCCAAAGTACTCCCGACCTTGTTTACAGCTACCACATCGTGAGTGCACACAAACACTGCAATAGTCGTTCGTGATAGGTAGCCGATCCTTTGCACATTGGCACTGTTGAGTTGTTAGCAATAAAATGGTTTTCCGCGTTGAGTGAGACTGACACAAGTCCATAAGTATGTGAAGCTACGCCGAAGCCGGCTTCCAGGTGAGCTTCTCGCATTCTCCTCCACATCTACCTTCTTCGCTTTTTTAACCTTTTTGGTGTTTTCAATACCTTCATCAATTTCTTCATCATCTTCAGTCTCTTTGGCCCTTTCCTTTATCTCCAGCCCGTCGATGCTTGAAGAAAGCGATACGAGAGCGACTTGTTGGAGATGCTGCGCTACGTGCCGCTGAAAGGCTTCAACTCTGTTCTTCTCGGTCGAAGAAAACGTTAAGTCGTCGCAGAAAAGACAGGAGGAAACGTCGATTTTTCTTCTCCTTCTACCTGTCGCGATGACGACCGAGATCTGATCTTCAGTCACCTGCAGTTCATGGGTGGTCCTAATATGCGCTTCCAGCTTTTCTGGGGTTTCCATGGTGTTTGCAGACTCTTCGCAGAGAATGCAAACCCAGATTCTGACGTGTTCGTTCTCATGCTTTCGCCACGAGAATCTGGTTTCAAAAAGTTGGTTCGCTTGCCTGCAGTGTTCAAAAGTGCATAGATAAGGCTGAAGATCGGTGAAAACGTGCTTCCTGTCGCATACCTAATTAATCTTCGCATCTGGCTCAACTTCGAAAGTCACTACTTACTTCCATTCCCGTCTATTCTCAACGGAACAATTGGTTCGACAATAAGGGCACTCAAATGGCACTCCATACTTAAGCTCGATACCGTCCAGTGTCATGCTAGTCAGGTCAGGAACGGTAAGATCGCCATGGTCGCCTTCAAGTAAACTCGAAAAAGATGTTGCAGGTATCCTAATAGAAGACACCACATGAGGCCTCGAGGAGTTAGAGACTTCGTAGCAGGCCGTAGCCTCGGAAGAATTAGCTTCGTTGGCATTTTCTTTTTCTTTGTCGTTGTTGCTAGAAGTCCCAGGGCGGTGCTCCTGCCAATACTGAATCATACGTCTCCGTCTTGTCACTGCATTTCCAAGACGTTGCATTAGCCATGGCTTGTCTTTGACTGTTGGAAGTATTTCGCCGATACGGGCAATGTCCGGCGATGCACTTTGATTCTCAAACTTCACAACCGGGAGCCGTGCCCCCGGTCTCTCCCTCATGATGAGGACGGATAATTCGAAGAGGTGCCCTATCGCAAATTTGATGCTCAGAAGAAGCTCTTGTAGCTCATCCGTCGCTGAGATCGAAATGGTTGCAGAGGAAGCTTTGCCTCTATTCTCGAGCCTTCCGGAGGCAATTTCGGAGGCTGTAATCCTTAGCAGGCTGGAAACTAGCTTGGGTCCACTACCTACCTGTCCGAGCCGAATCGCGAACTCTGTGTAAAGCGGACATGACACTTGACCTTATCTGGCTTGCGTTGCTGAGTCGAGCATCAAGGGAGCTGATTGATGTCGGTGGATACAACGCTCCAATACTCGCTGCCCATACTCGAAATCTTCCCCTACTGTCATCGGCCATTTCCTGCCGTCCATCTTCGTTTGAGGTGGAAAGCTCTGTTACAAGATCATTGAGTGCCTGTAAACAGGCAGTTCCAAGGGACGAGGTCGTTTCTAGGGCTGGGCTTTTGTCCATCTCTGGTTCCTCGTCGCTCCTGGTCATGCAAACGTGTCTCCCGTAGGCAAGTCAGCCTCTACGATGAGGGGTAAAGAACTGTCTCGATTATTGTGATACGGAAAATCGTACGTCATCTGCATAGGACCGGGTCAGCTGAATGTCAGCACCACTCTCAGGACCAACCAAACGCACAGGAGTCGCACAGAAGTCGCCACTTGCATAAGGCAACCTCTTCGCTGGGAGCCTTAAAATATACCCCGCGCTGCACCATCTTCCACTCCCACCATCGTTGCCAAATTTCTTCCGCATATACTACATGATACTACGACCGATGCAATGTCCGGGATTGAAGTGGCGGGTCTTGCTCTTGGAGCATTTCCTCTACTCCTTGAAGGGGCCAAAGGTCTGCATAACCAGGCCACAAAGGCCCAGTTCTACTGGAAATTTCGCACGAAGTTTCAGATTTTCTTGCAAGACATTGAACGAGAGAGCATAGCTTACGACCAGATCTTGCGAATTTTGCTGGACCAGTTAAACCTTACATCAGATGAGCAAGCCAAGTTCCTGAATGTCGAGGATCAGGATCTGTCCGTCCACTGGAGGACCCGCCGCCTCGATGCGCAGGTTCGGCGAAGATTCAAAAAGAGGGAGGTTGAATGGCTGGGATTTCAAATTTCCCGAGTGCAGGAGGCTTTGCAAGGTCTCCGTGAGCTGCTCTCAACTCATAAGGTAGGAAACTACACTTTCTGATTCTTCAGATCCAGTTACATAGCTTACGAAACAAAGGCATACCAGATAGACGCCCATGACTTCGATAGCCAACTTTTCAAAATAACGACAAGCTTCTTCAGCAAGAAGGATGAATTGTTTTCGAGGCTGGCACAAGGGAACAAAGACATCTTCGACTTTCTTGATCGTACGTCTCGAATTGGTACTTCGGGTCGCTCGGAGATCCAGGGTCTAAAACCCCACCAAAAGCAATTGCAACGTCTTCAGACTATCCAAAAGCAAGCCAAATCGCTATACAATTGTTTTCAAAGACATTTGTCCTGCGACTGCAACACTGGCCATCCTTGCGGTGTCACAATCCAGAAGCTCGGAAAGGATTCCAGGGACGATCGTGACATCATGGTGATGTTCAACCCTCTGGCAGAATCAGAACATCTTCGGGTCCGAATTGAAGTTAAAGATTCGGTTATCATGTCTACAAGGGAGAGCCAAACCATCGCCAATGCCGAATACTCAAATCACATTGAGTTGACTCGCTTGACGCAACAAGTGGCGACTAAAAACGCTCAGAAAAGAGCGGTCAAGACTGTTGGAAGTTTGACAAAGTTGGTAGAATCCGCTACCGCAGTACTCGGTGTCTTACCAGGCTCATCAAGTGAGCACCAAGGCGAAGTGGAAAAGCAACCAAAGCGACTGACGAAAACCCCCATGCCAAAAGTTTCAGATGTGACTTCGCCAATAACAGACATGACTTCGCTGAAGTCAGGCGCAACTTCGCCGGTATCAGACAACTCTGCCACAAAGAAGATAAGTGAGCCACCCTCTGCTGCTTCTAGGTCAGTTATTTTGCTCTTCTACAGATTTAATCTGCTCTGACATTCGCCTCAAGCCAGATGAAGGATTCGGAGTCGAAACTTCGCGTCGATATGGCCGAAGATCAAATTGCACAGCAGTCTGGATTTGATAATGACATCCGAACCAAAACCATACCTATCAAAAACCTTTGTCAATCTATCGCTTGTGGTCCTCACCTGCCATGCCTTGGTTATCTTGATGGAGATGACCAGACTCGCGTTTATCTGCACGCCGAAGTCACAAACCCGACAACCGACCGCGTCAAATTTGATAGTCTGCATTCCGCTCTCAAAGATGGGGTCTCTCGCCCAGAGCGCTTGAAAATTGCCCTCATTGCAGCCTTCCTTGTGGGAGGTATGGGCGAGTCCCCGTGGCTTAAACCAGAATGGACCTCCGGAGACTTTTATCTCTGGACGGAGTCGGAAAACACGGCGTATCAGCCATACTTCCTTCACAGTTCTCTATTACATACTCTCCACAAGTCTACAAAGCTCAAACAGACATCACAGGGACGGACCAACCTCTATCTCTTGGGTGTCATCCTTCTCGAACTGGTTTTCGGCGAGAGGCTTGAGGATCAACCGATTCGTGGCAAGTACTTGGGGAAAGATGGAATACCGAATGAGATGACAGACTTCTGCACAGCTGTTGAGTGGAAGACAAAAGCGCAGCAAGAAGTGGGATTTCGGATTGCAGATGGAATTGGCTGGTGTCTCGGATGTTTGCACGGTCCTCCGCAGGACATTGGCAGCAGCGAGTGCTTGAAAAATATATCGCAAAATGTCATCTCACCCTTGGAGGAGTTCTTGAAGCAGTGGTTCGAAGATCCTGTTTCCTAGACTCTCTAAAGATAGTCACGATTTCTGAAAATAACAGCCTACCTGCACGATTGATGATTATGAAATTGAGGGCAAGCATATCCGAGCCTGATGTTCTTGAATAGAAGTAAGAACCTTCTCTCATTCTGTCCACATCGAATGGGCTTGAATATTTCAACCGGTGGCAGTTTGAGGGCCCGTTGAAAAAGTAGAGAATTTCCTGCGCTCTTGTGCTTCTGCCTTTTGGTATCTTCATGAAGTGCCGTCGTTGGAATACTAAGGTAAGCCGATGAGTGGGGCCGTTATCCGGCCCGGCCCCTCTAAAGATCGCTCGGATCCCGCCGACGGCGCGAGGAAACTCCCTCGGGGCGATGCTACCTTACTTTAGCCAACTTCAGCTCAATTGAGCTGATGTCAGGAGAGTGTCAAGCTAGCTAGTGCCATCTGATTTTTCTGCCCTTGGAGAATAGGTCTATCTTGAAGAAGGTCGGAACTGACGAAAACTCAAAGCTAGAAGGAACAATCTCTTTACAAGCAAGATCTTGCAGATCTTCATTGTCTTATTAGTACCTACCCTTGATGCCCCGCACAGACCATCTAAGAAGAGCTAGAGGTGACAGCAAGGTGAAAGTAAGCGGTGAATGTTAACCACCAGGTGAAACCTAGTGGCTAATCTTAGGAAGAATTGACATCTTTAGTTGGTAATCCAGCACTAATCGCACCTGCCATCACCAGTTCAACACTCTTTCAGTCTCTGGCAGGTCGCAGTGCGCAGGCTATCTTCATGCACCCCTGAATGCCGTCCAATTGAGGCAGAGCAATAAAGCTTGGACCATGTAGCGGTGAGAGGGTCACCAGTACCTGATTGGCTGTCAGGACCCCCGCAGGCAGTCAAGTACTGGAGACCCAACAGACCAGAACAGCAGTGGCAGACTGGCGCTAATCCCAGTGAAGGAGGGGGAAAGCACCCTTCAATGGCAGGCCTGTCGTGCCACTGGTCGGCCTTGTTGATTTTTGCCCCGCCTTGCCCACAACAAGAGACCGTGGACCCTCCAAACCTCTGAAAACCATCACCACGGCCTTCCTTCCCCCTAGCTCTTCCGAACCTCATCTCTGCGCTGCGCGCGTGAAAATATTCCCTTTCCCCATCCCAATTTGCGTCGCAGTATCCCTCCAGCTTCCTTGAGCTACTATTCATCATGAAGGGCGAGGTAAGTCAACGCGTCTTCCTTTATTTCCTACTCCAAAAATGCAACCGCAGCTGCTGCATCGTGGCTTTGCTGGCCATTTTCGCGTCGGAAACGACCCCTGAAATTTGGCCCAGCTATCTTGGGTAGCTTACCTCGGTCTGGAGCTCGAGTACTGATATCAAATTGTCTCCAGATTCTTCACCTTCACCTCGGCCAGGCCGGTACCCAGCTGGGTAACTCTGCTTGGGAGCTGTACGTTGACCTCCTTCGTCCCATATTGTCCTTATCCGATTGAAGATGCGATGGACTGACCGCCAGCGCGCAGTTACCTCCTCGAGCACGGCCTCGGCCCCGATGGTCGTCCTGACCCCAACGCCAAGGACGTCGTCGACGGCGGATCCTACGAGACGTTCTTTACCGAGACTAGCAATGGCAAATACGTCCCTCGATCCCTCTTCGTCGACCTCGACCCCTCCCCTATCGACGAGATCCGAACTGGCGGCTACCGCCAGCTCTTCCACCCCGAGCTGTTGATCAGCGGCAAGGAGGATGCCGCCAACAACTACGCCCGTGGTCACTACACCATTGGCAAGGAGATGGTCGACAATGTCATTGACCGTGTCCGCCGCGTCGCCGGTTCGTCTCCCCATGCCGCCTACATGGTCGTTGGCCCGCGCCCAAACTGACGGAAACCTTCACAGACAACTGCCACTCCCTTCAGGGCTTCCTGATCTTCCACTCCTTCGGTGGTGGTACCGGTTCCGGTTTCGGAGCTCTTCTTCTTGAGCGCCTGTCTACTGAATACGGCAAGAAGTCGAAGCTCGAGTTCGCCGTCTACCCCGCGCCCCGTGTCTCGACTGCCGTCGTTGAGCCTTACAACGCTGTTCTGTCCACCCACAGCACCATCGAGAACTCGGACTGTACTTTCCTGGTTGACAACGAGGCTGTCTACGACATCTGCCGCCGCAACCTGGACATTCCCCGTCCTTCGTACGACCACCTGAACCGCCTGATCGCCCAGGTTGTCAGCTCCATTACCTCGTCCCTCCGCTTCGATGGTGCCCTCAACGTCGATCTGAACGAGTTCCAGACCAACTTGGTCCCCTACCCCCGTATCCACTACCCCCTCATCAGCTACGCTCCCGTCATCTCGGCCTCCAAGAGCTCTCACGAGAGCTTCAAGGTCCAGGAGCTCACCTTCCAGTGTACGTCCCCAATCCCACAAACTTCTGGATCCTAGAGACTGACAGATCGCAGGCTTCGAGCCCAACAACCAGATGGTCGTCTGCGACCCCCGCAACGGAAAGTACATGGCTGTCGCTCTCCTGTACCGTGGCGACGTCGTTCCCCGCGACTGCAACGCTGCCATTGCCGCCCTCAAGGCCAAGGCCTCGTTCAACCTCGTCGAGTGGTGCCCTACTGGTTTCAAGCTTGGCATCAACTACCAGAAGCCCATGGCTGTCCCCGTCGCCGCCAGCGACGGTGGTCTCGCTTCCGTCGACCGCTCCGTCTCCATGCTTTCCAACACCACCGCCATCGCCGAGGCCTGGTCGAGATTGGACCACAAGTTCGATCTCATGTACAGCAAGCGTGCCTTCGTTCACTGGTACGTTGGTGAGGGTATGGAGGAGGGTGAGTTCAGCGAGGCCCGTGAGGACCTTGCCGCGCTTGAGAAGGATTACGAGGAGGTTGCCGCCGACTCTTTCGAGGCCGACGAGGGTGACATCGAGTACTAAGCCGACACCGGACATGTCATTTCTTCGTCATGTGGTATATCGACTGCTGCAACGAACGACGACATACCTGGTGGCAGGCGAAACGAATGCATGAAAAAACTTGTTCTGGCGACCGTTGGAGTGTCGGTTCGGTAGATTTCTCTGTTCTCGTTCTCGCCGAACGGATATGGACGCGAGGCACTGGGTTACCCCCCAAGCCCATGATGGATATTTCGGAGTCAAGCTCGAGTTGATAATAGATGAGACCAAGTCACTTTTTTCTTCACGCGAGTACATACACGTCGTCTTCTGGTTTCCCAATTCTTGAGAACTTGGAACCTTTTACCGTAGTCAAATTGTAACTGGACGTAGCCTGAAACAACTGTCATCGACTTCAAAGTGATCATGGTGATTTGACGTGAGATGTTGCCGAATTTGAAATAATCACAATCATGCATGGATGCCCAAAGTCAATGCAGCGGTATCTAGATTAATTTTTGGACGCCTTTCCGATGCCTTTTATGCCCACAGTGATACCCGGGAAACTTATACATGAGCCAGTCCCTCACCCTTTGTATCATTACACCGCAACTTTACGAAGACTTCTCCTTCTTCCTCCACTCCTGCGCTCTCTTCGCGCCACGACCCGTAGGCTTCGTCGACTTCTTCACACCGCCCTTACCCTTGGTCCGCTTGCCGAACTTGAGGTCCGACGGCCTGCCGTCCTTGGCGCTGGCCCGACGACCCTCGAAGATGAAGTCCTCGGGCGCCTTGATGTCGTCCTTGGGAACGACACCGGAACCGTTGGCCTGACGCGGCTTCCTGTCGCCGCCCTTGCGGTCGCGCATCTCGCGCATGGCGCCGGAACGACCCAGCAGACGACTCGCGCGGCCGGCCATGGATTGCTGCTCGGGCGTGATCTTGGCCTTGTACTTGGTGCTGCCGGGACCGCGGGCGCCGGGACCACCGGCTTGGGGCTTGCCCTTGGCGGAGCGCTCCATGGCGAGGGCCGTCTTGTGAGGGGCCTTGGCGCGGGTTACGCGCAGGATACGCGGGAGCATAGGCGGGTACTTCTTGCCGTCCAGGAGGAGGGCGGCTTCGACATGGTTCGCGTCCTGCGTATTGTCAGTATATTGCGCTTCCGATTTGGGGTCTGTAGGATACTCACGTAGAACTGGACATAGGCGAAACCCTTGCCTACTCTCGTCTTGGGATCGCGAACGACGCGCACGTTCTCGACCTTGCCGGCCTGCTTGCCAAACGTCCTCCACAGACCCTCCTCGATGTCCGCGGGCACCTTCGTCCTCTTCTTCTCCACCCTCTCGCCGTCCTCGCCCTTGGTGACGATGGTCTCGTCGTCGACGAAGCCGAGGTTGCCGACGAAGACGCAGCGGCGGTGGTCGGTCGCAGCGGGGTGGGCGACGCTGTCGACGCGCAGGTGGCGGTCGAGGACGACGGAGCCGTTGAGCTCGGCGACGACCTTGCGGGCGGCGGCCGGGGTGGAGAAGACGACGTAGGCGTTGGCGGACTTTGTCGTCTCCTGCATGATGGAGCTGGTGATGTACGCGGCGCGCTTGGGGAGGGCGCCGGTGGAGAAGGCGAGGGAGCGGAAGCGGACGGAGTCGATCTTCTGCGCGGGCTTGGCGTCCTTGTCGAGGACGCTGGAGAGGTGGGCTTCGAGGGTGCGCTTGGCGGCCTTGTTTGTGACTGCTTCGGCGGCGACGTTGGAGAGGAAGACGGTGCGGTTTGCCTTTTCGATTTCGTCATTCTTGTCCTTGTTCTTGGACTCGGGCGCGAGGGATTCGTGGACTGGGACTTCATCCTCGTCCTCGTCGTCGTCTGCCTCCTCCTCAGCGTCCTCCTCGGATGTTTCTGAAGATTCGTCCTCCTTATCCTTCTTGACCTCCTTTTTGGTGCGCTTCTCGGCGGGCTGTTCCTTTTCCTCGGCTTCCGCGAGTTTGCTCAGGTATTTGCCCTCGATATCGTCCTCCTCCCTCTTGCGCTTGCGCTCCTTCTTCGGCTTCGCGGCTGGTTCTGGGGTAGAATTTTGCTCTGACGCGTCGCTTTCGGAATCTTCCTCGCCATCTTCGTCTTCGTCCTCGCTCCCCTCTGCTGAGTCTAGCTCGGAGAGCTCCTCATCGTCCTCCTCGTCGGCGTCGGGCAGTTCTTCGTCTGAGTCGACAGTTTGGGCCTTTGCCTTTGGTGGAGGTGCTTCAGAATATCTCTTCACTGGCGGCACAACGACTGGACCCGACTGGAATTTTGTTAGAATTTTCGAGGCTCAATTGGTCGAGATATCCAAGTTGTCCGAGACTTACACTGGATGCGAACAGCGCATCAAGGGTGGGGTCGATGGCCTTTGCAGAGGCCGTGATTCTCGATTTACTTTTGTACATGTTAGTCCTTTCAGAATTTCCAGCAGAAAAGATGTATCACAAACCCCTTTGCCATTGTTGCGACAATTCCTTTTTGCTACGTGACGTCCCGATGTTTTTTTTTCTCTGCAACGGGCCTACTGTAGATGCACCGACCCCCCCAAGTCTCGCCGGCAGCAGAAAAAAATCAAGCTCCTCTATCTCTGGCCTGCGCCCACCCCAGCCGATAAGAGATTTTCGGGGGTTCGGAGGCTGATAAGAAACCGGATCAACCAGCAATTGGTGCAAAACGTCAGCAGGCCGCTATTTGCCGAGATCAAGTGCCCCGTGCCCACTGTAGTGCCAGCGCTCACCGCTTTCGCTGTCAGGGCGAGGTTCTGCCGACCGATCCTGGTTCCGCACTGGGAAGACGGGAAAGGCACAGAGAGGGAGCAGGTGAGCGCATCTCTCGCGGAGCGGCAGGTCACTAACGCCTCTCTTCCCATCCCCGAAAACCCACCACAACACCACCATTTCGCGCTCGCCCACGTCTGTTTCCGGGCCCAGGCAATCCCAAGCTTTCATGCTGTCCTCTGCCAGCTTTTATTCACACGACGATTTTGGCAGACACTCTCTTTGCTTCCCACAACGCCCAGCCCACCTCTCCAACCCGCTGCTGGCTGTCCCTCCGCGCCCCGTCCTCGCTCCCACGAAAACTCGTCTCGCCGAATTGCACACCTCCACGACCCATCCTGCCTCCAAACCACCCGACTTGATATCGCACAGCTCTGTATCATCACCTCGTCCTCAATGGCAGCTACGGCGTCAGCGCCGCCTGCCCTCTCTCCGGGCCAGGCGACGCTCGATCACGACGACAGTGCCATTTCCAGCCCGCTAACCGACGGCCCTCTGACCGAAATCGGGGAGGGAGACGGCGCCGAGTCTGTCGATGGCATGCAGCTGGACCCGTCTCTGTCAAATCATGACGACGCGCTCGACTCCGACAGCAATCTGTCCGAGGTTCACGATGAGGCCAACGATACCGAGGCGGAGACTGAGCGTCTTTACGACTCCCCGCAGGCCCAACGTCACAAAGACGTGGTCGTCAATCAGTTCAACGACGGCCAAGTCTTTGAACGCACCCCGAGCAAGCTTAAAAAGACATTTTCCATCGACGGCGCCGACGATGGCGACGACGACAGTCTTTCCGAACGGGACGATGCGTCGATGACCTCCAGCCACCCTGACGAGGCATCTCCCAGCAAGCCCAAGAGGTCCACCGAGCTCCCCTCTACTGAGGACACATCTGAGAGCATTGATAGCAAGAAGCGAAAGAGGTCTCCCGTCGCAGAGTCCTCTGAGCCGGGCCAACCTTCAAGGAAGCGCACCGGCTCGGTCGTTCCTCAAGAGCAGGAGCAACACAAGCATGACGTGGACATGCACCAAGACGAAGCCCCATCCGCAAATTCGCACAGCGGCGATCACTCCGCGACCGATGATAACGCGCCCGAGCTTCCACCTGGCAAGCGTGGCCTGTCGCGCGACGGTCACAGCCCCGTCAAGGACTCGCAAATAACCAAGAAGATTACCCGCAACGGTAGCAGGCGCAAGGGCAATGCTGCCGAGGCCCACGAACACGACAGCCATGACGACCCACGCGATGACGGCCGGGGTGACGAGGAGGTTGGGGTTCACGATGACGATCATGCCGAACATGAGGGTGACGATGACGCGGAAGCGACGCATGACGAAGAACGTAAGAAGCGACACCATCAACCAGGCATACCCAAGCTGACAAAATCTGCAGTAGAGAAGAGGCGTGCAGCCGTCGAGGAATGGACTGACCTGGAAGAAAAGTTTGTGCTCTTCCGTGAGCGGTGAGTCTTGGGTTGTTCCAACGTTCGCTCTCAACACGCGCTGATTGAATTGCCGCAGATTATACAAGGATCGACTAGAGCGCCTCGAGCAGGAGGAGAGTTCTCTGCAAGCCGAACCACCTTCGCACCCCGAGTACCTCAACATGAAGCAGTGCTTGGACGAGAGGCTTGACAAGAAGCTCCAGCACATCAACAGGGAGTACGAGCTCTCGGTTGAGGGGCTCGAGCGACTCGCGGTTGCTCGCCGCGCCCAGATTTGGGATCAATTCTACCAAGGCGTGCGGGAACAGCGCTCCAAGATGCTGGAAGACCTGAACAAGGAGTGGTACGAGACGCAGAATGCCAGGCGGAGCGCGCACAGCGTTCCAGACTATGGTCTTCTGTTCCCCACAAATCCCGCGCAGCGCACGAGGAATGCTGTCGCGTACAACTCGGAGGTCTCCTTCCTCGCAGGCCTTGCCAAACACGAGGGCTTCCCCGCTGTTCCCTCCATGCGAGGCGCCAACATGTCGGAGATCGATGATGATTTGGAGGCCATGAAGGTAAGCCGATGATTTGCCCCTCCCGTGGGGCTTCTATTGACCGCCTTCTTAGCGCAATTCAAAGCCTCGCCAACGATCGATCATGCAACCACTTGAGGACTATCAAGCAGTCGCATTCGGAGGTTCTCTAGGTCCTGCCGGTGAACAGTTCATCAAAGACACCCCTTGGGCAAACCCAAATCACATTTCACACAAGATCAACCCAGGTCCTACGGCGCAGGCAGTTCATGCCAACAGCCCGTCGCAGGGGAAGACGGCCATGGCCGGCCCATCACATCCACCGCCAGCGCTATCTAACGGCCACCCTGTGCCGCAGACGTCGCCGCACACGAGTTTATTCCCCTCGGCATCCCCAGAGATGGTACGGACAGCCAACGTCTTGACGCAGAGCGCTCAGATGAAGCGCGCGGGTAGTCGGGCGTCAAAGGCAGCAAAGGAAACGGCGCCTAAACAAGAACCAGTTTCGGCGATGGCAAGTTAAGGGCGGCATCACCGGGTCACTGACGGCGTTTTCGAGGCTTACTGTACTGTTATGATACCCCACGACGGCTTGGGCGAAGATCGCCCTTCTTTTTCTCTTTTCTCAGTTACGTTGGTTGGGACTGCGCAAGAAGGCGCGGGCTTTTCACTCTTGGGACCGCATAGAAGCGCGGAGACCCTCAGTTTACTAAAAAGTAGGGAGGCTTGGATTTGATTGGGGGCGCCTCGTGTTGCATTGGGACGGACACTTTCTCTCCTGTACCTTGACGAGACATGTACAAAATCACCGCTTGAGGACTTGGTATTTTACATTGATGTACCCCGGCGTAGGAGCGAGTTATGCCTCGCTGATATATATTACACAATGCAAATGCTCATTCGCCTGGAGGAACCACCACTGCAGTACATATCTGCAGCCTCGCCACGGGAACCATTCGCATAATCATCTCTCATTCGTTGCAATTCAGTTGGACTTCGCAGGCTGTCTCGGGGTGTCGGGAACCTTGACGTCTTCGAACTCGTCTTGTCCGACCGCCTTCAGGGTGTACCAGTCTAAAGTGAACATTAGCCACTATTAACCTGCACCGTGATCCAGGACTGCGACATACAGACTGCGCCGGCGAAGCACCACAGGCCAGTACCGACAGCGAGGTTCTTGACGAGGTACGGCTTGCGGGCTCGGATCAGAGCGGGGCCCTGTCGCAGGTTGCGATCGTAGTAGGAGGACTTCTTTGGGCTGTCATTTTCACTTCGTCAGACCACTCATCCGGAGAAAGACGGGGCGAGATCGAGGACGCAATTACATTGCCATTGCGACTGTGTATGTCTTTCGGGGGTGACGAAAAGTCTATCGTGGTCGTAGGAGGCGGGGTGTCGTAGCTTCAAGTGCCCGGGGGCGATCGTGGATGCGCCGTGATGGGAAGTTCGATCTTGGTCGCAAATGATGCAGAGGAAATTCACAAGCCCGAGCATTCCCTCGTCGCTGATTGGTACCTTATCGATAAGGCGGCAAAGGTTCGGTGGAATTGATTGTGACGTAGACTACGCCGATAAGCTGTGACCAGGGACCCTGCCGGCCGGGTGGTGTTTGTTTTTTTGGGCCAGAGCAAGAGCCGCCGCTTGATGCTTCAGCGAGACATTCCTTGCTGCTTTTCTTGCAGTTTACTGAAGTAGCTACGTTTAGAAGCTGCGACGGCAAGCTCAAATCTCCAAGCCAATTGCATTACAAAACAGACGAAGCTTCCGGCTATTTCGTCGTCATTCACGGAGCCAGCTCCTTTTCTCATCACGTTTCGATCCATTCTCTCGCTCTCTTCAGAAAATTGTCCTGCGGCTCTGGGCAGCAAGGACGCTAACCGAATACGGTCATCAAGGAAGACACGCCCCGTCATAATCCGCGTCGCTTGTCACGCAGTCTTTCGACGTCGCCAGACGCTGGAGCTGCCTGCTGGAGAACCCTTCAAACCTACTCTCGGGTAGGGCAAAAACGGGCAATCGCATCTGAGATCAATCGCTTCTGAGTTCGCCCAGTCGCCCACCTCAAATCCATCAATCCTTCCCCAGCGGCTTTGACGATTTCAGACGATTTGCGGCCCTGTGTTTATTTTCGGCGCGTTGGAGGATGGTTATCCAGAAAAGCTTGAGCTCTCCATATTTCGACAAGTCGCGACAAGCTCCTGCCCTCGTGATCTCAAACCCCTCGGCCTTGCCAATTTCCGCCACCATCAGAACAACGACCAGCAATCGCGCCTTGCCTTGATTTCTTGACCTCTTCCGACAAGCATCTCTACCATCCCCGTAGTTCGTCGATTACCCCCGCACCGAACGATGGCGTCCGCCTCTGAGCAGGCGTCCGTCAGCGAGCAGATCCGCCAGCTCAACGACGCACGCAAGCTCGTCCTCGGCGACGTCAAATACTACCCCAACGTCGTCCAGAGCATCCTTCCGATCGTCGGGCCCGCCGCGCGCGTCGAATTACGAAGATGGGGCGCCGACTTTCTGGCAGAGGCCTTTGCGACGCCCGCCCTGCCCGGCAGCGAGAAGGAGACGATGCAGCTTTTCGTGCTGGACACGCTGCAGACCATGGTCGACAACCCCAACGAGGACGCGCATGTTCTGCGCAGCGCCATACAAACTGCAGCTAGCATCTACCCGTACGCGATGCGATGGATGTGCGTGCGAACCCTGGATTGAACTTGAATCGTGTTGGGGTGGGAAGGCCTGGATGCTGACTTTTTATCGGTAGTATCAACAACTCGTACGACACCGTCACATGGGAGCGGATGGTCGCGATCAAGAAGCGCATTCTCAGGATATGGGATGATGCTGAGCCTACAGTGCGGATATGCTGCATCAAGTTTGCGCAGCGAGTTGTACTGGCGCAATCAGCTGCCAACCCACAGGAACCCAGAGTAGGCTCGGCCCGTTGCATCGCCATGCTGATGATACTGACAAACCCGGCAGCGTGGTGACTCTCTGGACATTTCTTTAGACAAGATTCCGCCAAATCATTCGACTCTCGACCCTAGAACGCTCGACGCCGAAGGAGCTGGACTTTTGGACAGAATGCTGAGTGTGTTGCAGGAGAACAGCAGGTAAGGACCGGTCTGGGGGAGTAGACTTGGGCCAAAGCTAACCACAGCGATATCGTGATAGTGATGTCCTCATTGTTGATGCCACCCTCAACTGCTTGTCTGTCTTGATCCGCACCCGGCCTGGCACTGCCAACAGGATCCTGAATGCCGTGCTCAACTTCAACCCACTGAAGCTCGCAAACTCGCCCATGACTCCCAAAACCCGCGTAATGGTCAAGTCCATGGAGAAGACCACCCGTATGCTCTTGATCCATCTGTGCAAACGGTATTCCACACTGTCCATGACCCGTCTACGCCATCACTAACATCGAACCGCAGCGATCCCCACAACCCCATGGCGCCTCGCATCCAGCAGCATGTTGAGAGAATGATGCGCATGCGCAACGAGATCTTCGACGAGGCCGGTCGGAAGCGGGCCTACGAAGCCCAGCATCACGACGGCATGGAGGCGAAACGTCAACGAATGGTGCCTCAAGTCTCGAACGTACCACAAATACAGATTACGCCTCTGCCACCCGGCCCTCACAGCCTGGGTGATGTCTTTACTCTGACGGGTAGTGAAGGCCTGAAGGCTTTCAATGTGGCGACTTTGCCTACTGCAATGGCAGCCAAGATCAGCATCACCACCCTGCTGCGAACAGATCAACAACTCCTCGCCAAAGCCGTAGAGGTAGGTCTACCATGCCGTGTCATGGAACAGTCTTTTAACATTCGCAGGGCATCCGAGGACGACTGAACGCGTTGGCTGCTCAACCGCCGCCAGCCATTAACCCAGAAACTGCTCCCTTGGGCGTTGAAGAGGACGATGACGACTATGAGCCGGACTTCTCCGCAGCCGAGGATAACGAGCAGATTCTGAACAAGCTTGATAATGATAGCGTCACCAAGCTAGATGACGGAGACTTTGGTTTGAGGTCGTTCAAGTTGCCACCTCCCCCAGCGCTCACACCAGAGCTGGCGCTCAGTGCGGGTCAAGGCTCTGTGATGTCTCTATTCCAGTTCGTGAAAACGCTGGAAGACCCCGCCAAGAAACCCAAGTCCGGTATCAACCGGTTAGCGGCCAGTAGCAATGATCGTGAATCATGGATCGCCATCATCACGCGTCTGGCAAGTCGGTCGTCGGCAGGCATGGAGGAGGTGGACGTCAAGGGCGAGGGCAGCAGCTCCGCAGCTCGGCTGTCCCTCAGCAACAGCATCAGAGATTCTCTATACACCTACGTCCTCGAGGACTTCCGTCGCCGGATCGACGTAGCAATCACCTGGCTGACGGAGGAGTGGTACAACGACCAGCTTCAGAAGAAGCAAGAGGGCGACCACCCTCTGCACTACGAGAAGTGGGCGCTGAAGCTGATCGACGGCTTCTCGCAATACCTCACCGCCCAGGACAAGGTACTTACACGCTTCCTGGGCGAGATCCCGGAGCTCAGCCCGGCCATCCTCGCCCGCGTCAAGACTATGTGTCGAGACCCGCTGGTCGTCCCGCTGGCGTTGACGAGTTTGTTGTATCTTGTCATGATGCGGCCGCCTGTCAAGGAGCTCGCTCTAGATACGGTCCAGGACATCTGGACAGAGTGTAAGTTACGGAAACAGCTCTCCGTGGTGTTTATTTAGTCGGCATTGCTAACACCTGATGACAGTCGAGGACGCGCGACCGTTGGCCGCCAAGTATCTGGTCAAGTTTCGCCCGGCCTTCCTGGAGGCCGCCAAGGCTAAGGCCGACGCGGAGAGCAGCAACAACAACAATGCCGCCGCGGCAACCAACAACACGGCGATCGCAACATGAGCATGGCCGCTTCGCATGCGGCCGGCAGGGTCACGCGACCATGGATGATTTCACAAGTACGACCATGCAAACACGGATGTAGAGGGTCGGGCGGCCCAAGACGGGAGACACGGAAGAGGTTGTCGCTACGGAATTCGAGTTTTACGAGAAGGCCAGCTGCTGAGAGCCTCGGTATACCCACACACCATCGAAGAAACCAGAGAGTTTTCGAGCTTCGGAAAGTCACGCACGCGCGGCGGCGGCGGACACAGATTAGCATGGCATTGGGCTGTGGCGTTTTGCTTTTTTGACATCGTAGGACTGTATGGATAACCAACAACTGTACGCATAAGTATACCTCGAGGGGTTAGGACCTGGTCAGGAGAGGCGGCAGGCGAAGACAGGGAAAACGAGCAGAGGTCCGAAAAGCAAGTAGTGGAATTGAAGGTTTCGGGACGGGGATGTCACGCGGCCGAGTCCGCTCCCGCCTGTTATTCATTTTGAATGAAGACTTGAAAAGGATCTGCTGCATGAGAGACGATTAGTGCCCAAGAAGGGATTGAAGATGTGGAACACGCGCTGTGAACGGGTAATACGGATTACGGGAACGACTGGATGTTGGCGACGGGCTCGTTTCTCGACCATATCACGTTGGGCAGCAGTCGTCTGTCAACGAAGACACCGGCCACAAGGACGGTCGGCGCTTGGGCTTGGGGGAGGTGCGTTTGATGGGACGACGCGCCGTTGAGATCGTGGCAGGTACGGGTTTTCTGGATGGCTTTGGAGGTTGTCTGTGTTTTGAAGTCAAGGGTTGAGTTGCCGCGAGGGACACATATCGAGGCCAAGTTCAGAACACCACAAGCTTCTCACTTTGTGTATCAATCTGGAAAGTCGTTCTACGAAACTTGCATTGGATAATCATGAGAAGTCGCGTTTTGCTTTCCAATATTGGTAGTTCGGGGCATGCGCGTAATGACGCGCAGTGCAATACCGCAGTGATGCCTGTGATCTTTACCCGGACGACAACGGTGACGAAGCCGAGGTTGTGACGATGTCTTGCGCCTTGTTAGAGTTGGAGGTCATCGACATACTTTCGGCCGAGGCCTCATTGCGCACCACACGCCAACATCCCTTATGGCACCAAATACCGAGTGCCTCAGTTTCAGGTCCCCGACTTGAACTCAGCATGAACCGCGTTCTCTTTTAGGAAATGCAGTTTAGAAAAATCCAAGTCTCGGGAATGCTTCTGGGTGGTAATCAAAAGACTGGTTATGCGGAACTGGCGAAGGAGTCATCCTCAGGGGAGAGCGCATGAGGCAGGGCGTAGGGTACGTAATGCGCGTGACCGGGGCGTGTTGCATTTTGATGGACGACCGGGCTTCGTTGTTGTTGTTGTTGTTGTTCAGGATTCGAGACAGGCAGACCCTACCGAGGACGATGCGTTGGAGGGCGGGCCGAGGATGGGAGGAACCTTGGTGCTTGGGCGGGATCGAGGGGCTGGATCTGCGCTGGGGTAGGTCGGCTTTTGGATGAGGGGGGGCTGAATGAGGCTGAGCTTGGCTTTTTGGGAATGCAGCTCGTTTTATTGTTCATGGTGGTGGAATCGAAGATGTTGGAAGTAAGTAGGGACTGGTGGGAAGATTGGATTTTGTGACAGACATCTGTACTTCGAGCTTGGATTGCCGGTTTGCGCCCTGGGGTGGGTGCGCTGCAGAAATAGGGGAGTTGCCAGAATAGTGGCCTACCCCGGAGGCGATCCGTCTCCGACTATTCGTGTCGCCTTACCTTAGGGCTGAACTGGGCACCTCACGATGCACTTGGGAGCAAGTCCCGGTCTTTAGGCACCCGTAGAGCTGGTTGGTCTTTACGTGTAATAAGAAGCTAAATGAGTTGGTCGTTGGTTTTATAACTCGTAACAAGCTACGGAAATCATGGGAGTCTCAGTCTCATTCCGCGAATTAGTAAGAGAGATGACGAGAGGAGCTTTTTTGATGCCGAAGCGCTGTGTGATCTTCATTATGCTGAATAACGGCATTGCTGTCTTCTTTTAGATGGACAATCCTATTAGTTGGTAATCCTTCAAATTGGCAAGTTTTGCTTCCGAGATATCATGGGCATACACGGCTTTGACGCGGCGGTCTCGGGCACTAACACGGTGCCGAGTAAGCGGCGTCCGGATGTATAGCGGGTCCAACCCCCGTTGCCGAAACCACTGCCGTATTCTTGACTCCGGCCCCGGGCATCTCAGGTCTGGTCGGTTCATACTGGCAAGACAGCCATGCGATTTTCTTGTCATCTAATATCGATTGCACCATGGATGGCGAAGTGTGTGTCTGGTGATCGTCACAGGGTCGCGATAGGTATATAGGTAGCATGAACATCAGCTTCCAGTTTAGCTTGATTCTTGTTAATGGGCAAGTTGAATCATATTTTACCCGGTTGTGCTTGATATTCATTGAATAATTGATATTGTCCCTTAGCTCTCACCATGTCCGCTATTCCCGGTCTGCTCGAGAGAGACAAGGAATATTACAGACTTGATCTCAGCAACAACTTACCTCCAGGAACCGATACACCAGACCAACTCGACGAGAATCGGAGGCAGCCCCGGCCCCCGGCTCAGCCGAAGAGACCTGTGCCAGAATGGCCTCCCGAAGAGGAGAGGAAAGGCAAATGGATTTCAGCGTATCTCGACAAGGTGAGAAACGATCATGCCGGGAAGCTGGTGGACTGAAAAAGCCGTTGCAACGAGAAGGCTAACCGATGTCCTTTCACTTCCAGCTCGACCCGGAGACCGAGTACGACCAAATCATCAAAACAGCAAACTTCTTCGCCGGCACCACCTTCGCCGTCGCGCTGGGCTACTGCTCGACGTTCGTCATGCTCACCCAACCTCCCGGCGGCGCCGCCGCAATCCACTTCGGAGCCAGGGCCTTTAAGCGGCCCCACCGCCGATTCTACGAGACAGCGGACCAGTTGCTCGACTGGATCTGGTACGGCAGCGCCTCGGAGGAAACGAGACGCGGCATTGAGGCCGTCAACAGGCTACACGGCACCATCTGGAAGAGTACGCCGGGGGCTTTCAGCAACCCGCCCGAGGGTCAGATGTCGGTCATCGGATCGGCCGTGTTCGAGACGTACCTGAGGCGGCTCGTCGGCGCGAGAAAGCGGGAGCCGCATCCGGTCGTGGCGGCGGCGTGGCCCGCTTGGGCGGAGAGGGTGCTGGCGCAGTTTCGAACGGAGCCGGCGGACGGGGGACGGAACTTTGGGGTTAATTTCCCCCGGACGTGGGAGGAGCTCGAGGGGTTTTATGGGTGGTTCCAGGGACTGCCGTTTGACCAGTGGACGAACGAGGAGGACAGAGAGAAGGGACACGCCATCGCCGAGGCCTTTGTGATGCAGTTCAGCACGCTGTGGTTTCCCAAGTAAGTTGAGCTGAAAGTGAAAGAAGCCGACGTCTCGAAACAGAGTTGCTGACTGGGCCTAGACATCTGCACTGGTTCGGCCGCCAGATGCTCCTGACGGTCCTCGCGCCCAAAGTTCGTGAACAGCAACAGCTCGGCCATCCCAACCGTCTGGTCGAAAGCTTGATCAAGCTTGGGCTCAAAATCCAATTTGACGTGATGGACGCTCTGCCCGACCCTGTCAAGCCGGGGCTCTTTGAGGAGTACCAGGCCGTGAAGAGTTGGGGGTGGGCGAGGATAGATGCCGATGTGACGCGGGAGTGGAAGCGAAAGGACCGCATCACCGACGTGTGTCTGATGGTTGTTCTCCTTTTATGCGCAGTTGGGTTCTTCTGGTGTAGATAGAGTGCTCGTAGCTATATTCTGTAAGCTATTAATTGAGCTCATGGCTTTAACTGCTTTTCCCCTTGCCTAGCGCCAGGCACCATCTCGTCAGCTAAGACACCAGGCAAAATTGACAGGGGCGGGCTAACAAAAGCAGACACGCGAAGGGGCCGTGCTGGTCCAGAGCTGCAAGGACAGCAGAGTGACGCAGCAGCGATCTTCGTTGCTGGGGAACAGGGTGATGTCCTGCTTTTAAGTGGGGGAGGACGTCGTCTTTACCAGTGAAATTGAGGGTCATCATGCTGCGGCAGCGGCAGCCGGACAAGCAGGCGTTCGTGGTCTGCTGTGATTTGTCTGTCCAGCGCGCTGGGAGTGACGGGAGTGACTTTGCCCCTCCACCATGAGGCCTGGCCTGCCGATGGTGTTGTGCTGCTGCAGCGGCGCGGTAGTGGTGTTGTTTCTTGACGCGGTGTTGTGTATTGTCTAGGATGTGTGTACTAAATTGTCTTGTGCCTGACTTGGAAAGGAAATGGAAATGGGAATAGAAATGGGAATTGAAAGGAGCATCCACCTCTCTGAAAAAAAAAACCGATGGGTCGCTTCGCTTCGCCTAACAAGGACGGACTCAGCCTGCAAGGAGAACCGCTCTTTCTCTATCGGTCATTTCTCTGATCTTCTGCTTAACCTCGCTAACCCGGCCATTTTCTACACTAATTTATCTGGGCTTTCCCCTTCTCGCTCGACCCTCCTTTCCCACCTCCTGTCAGAGGAAAATGACCTGACCTTGACTTGACTGCCGTGATCTAGGACTGACGTAGCCCACGGCACGGAGCTCACGGCCTCGACACTTCCTGAACATTACGATACCAGCCCTCTTTTATCGTCTCCAGAAGAGGACCGAGATATCCCATATTTCGCCTGCATCGCCATTGCGCTGCATTGCGCTGCAGAGAACACAATCGAATCCCCGGACATCCGCCCCCAACCGAACCAAAGAAAGAAAGAATACCTCATTTCTTCCATTCCATTCATTCCAGCCCTCAAACATCCTCGCTCGACCTCAGCCACACACCTCCAAACGCCGCGCCCGCGACTTCAGACGCACCCGCGCTTCGCCGCGCCGTTTTCGACCACAAGACAATTAAGGAATCCCCCAATCCAAAGACGAACACGCGCCCCCCATCTTTTTCCCTGCCTTGCTGCAACCACCGGTCCATTCACTACCACACACCACACACCACACTCCTACTACCGCCCACGAACTACCTCGACTTGGACCAGCCTACCCGGACTAGATAACCTTAACAAGACGGATCATGGTCGAGAGATATGCCTAGTCGACTCCAAAAACCACAGAAGCAACAGAACCAACGCCTCCCCTCAAATCCTCCCCAGGTCCCTGATTTCGATATCCAGCAAGATTTTGCTCTTGGTAAGGGTCCCCGTCCTTTCCGCTCTTTGCTTGAAACCTCGCCCAGTCCACCCTCCGCCCACTCCTTTAAGCCTCTGATCGGCGACCCTCTCCGTGGTGTTCTACGCCACTGCTTCCAACGGCCCAAAGGGGGCAGATCACTCGGGAGAACTTCTCCTTGGCTGACATCTCTGCCTCGCATTAGATCTCCGCGCCTCATCCTCCACGAACAAATCTTCCCCGACGACATCGACCCCGTTGAACGGTCCCAAATCCAATCGTAACCTCGTACCACCCACAGCAGGCTCCCCTCGCAACAGTGTGAGCACTCGCCTCGACAGGAACGCCAGCATCCCGTCGACGAGCAGCCCCTCCCCGTCTCCCCGAGGCGCCCAAAAGATGGTCCAGACCATCCGCACAGTACCCTCCTTCGAAGCCGCGAGCGACACGAGCTCCGACACCCACTCCCGAAACTCCGCCTTCTCCAGCTCCGTCAACAGCAACGCGAGCAGCATGGCCTCCAACCACCAAGACAGGTCCTCCCCGAACGTCCGGCTAAAACAGACAAACGGCGCCGACGCGACGATGAAGTCCAGAGATGACTCTCCCCCGATCGACGACGAAACCGCAGCGGCGGCAGCGGCGGCGGCCACCGACGGACAGGGCGGCCCGGGATGGGACTCAACGATCGGCAAGGCTGGCCTGGGAAAGACAGGGCGCGTCATCAACAAACTCGTCAGCGACAACGAGGCTCTCAAGCGCGACATCCAGATCGAGCGGTTACGCGCCGACGAGGCGAAACAGGCCGCGAAGCTCGTCGAGGACAAGATGGAGCGCCTCATTAGCGACTACGAATCCCGCCTGCTCGAGGCCAGCGTCACAAAGACCCTCCTGAGCCGCAAGGAACGCCAGGTCGAGTCCCTCCAGGCGAGCGTCGAGCTCGAGAAGAAGCGTACCTCCGACGCCCAGCAGAAAGAGCGCTCCTGGCGCGACGAGATGGAGAAGATGCGGTCCAGCACCACTAAGCAGGTCGAAGACGCAAACACCCACGCCGCTCTCATGGAGGGGAGGTATAACGCCATTAGCTCCCACTGGAAGGACCAGGGCGACGAGGTGAAGCGTGCCCACCTGAAGCTCCGCTCCGAGATCGCCGGGGTGGTCGAGGAGAGGAGGAGAGACGACGACAAGATCACGGCGTTGAGGGACCTCTGTGACCAGCAAGACGGCAACATCAAGGAGCTACAACGGCAAAAGGAGGATATAGAGAAGAAGTTCGCGGATTACAAGGCAGAGCAAGAGGGTGCACTGAAGGGTATCAAGACGAGCGCGGCGGAGAGGGAAGCGGAGCAGGAGCGGCTACTCGAGGAGACGAGGTCGACGTTGGCGAGGTTGAAGTGGGCGCTGAATGTCAAGGAGAACGTAAAAGATCTGCTGCAATGATCTCAGTCTTTTCCCTTGATACCCGAGCCCAGAACGCCAGCCATACCCCAGGCGCACCCACACTTACAATATAAAAGCACACGACGAAGGTTGTGTACACCGAAACACGACGGTCAACCATCCATACGGGACCTCGGATCGAATTTTTACTTTGTCTTTTCTTCTACTTCACTTCACGGTCGACGGCACAAACCCAAAGGAATCGCAACATCCGCACAGAAAGCATCGCAGAAATAGAGACACCGGGCGGATAACGGATACGGGTTTACTTCTTTTTCGTTTTTCCTGGATACAAAACGGACTTGGTCATCTGCATTTCCAACCATTACCAGAAGGGGTGTCGTCTGGAGCATCGGAGACTGCTACTTTACATCGAAAACGATTAGGGAGACCGGAGGAAGCACGTTGCCTGAGAAAGGCCGTCGTCTCCTCACTTGTTGATTGATACACCTCATCAAGATACTACTAGGGATCGGGAGTTTGCGGCGTTGGGAAGGGCGGGTCTGATAACGGGAGATACAGGCCTTTTTGACGTCTGCTTTGTTGTAGTTTCTGGCTTTGTGAGGGATTACGAGAATTGTGGTAATCCTTGCCGGAGCGAAAGCGGACTTTGGATCTGTTACGTTTTATTTCAAAGTGTCAGCGACAGGCTGTTGTCGGGAGACGGCGACTTGCTAGATTGTTGTCGAGAATTAAATCAATTCGAACATGATGGGTGCCGTGGACTTAGCTGTGACGAGTGAGGATGAATCTGAAGTGGAGATGAGGAGTGAACCGCTCTAAATAACGTGACGCTTTCTTAATCCTTCCCAGGCTGCGCTAGGTGTCTAGACTAGTTACATATATTGCTATATCGACTGTACAGGAGAAAGTGAAAAGAGGACGAGCACGACAGATGCGATTCCTGTGTCGTACTTGGGGTGAAGAACACGATGAGAGCAGTTGTTCCGAAAACCCTCAAGCATCTCGTTCCACCTAGCCAGTGTGTTACTACAACCACTAGTTCGAGACAGGACATCGGCAGTATCCTCGGGGTATTCTACGATACACTCAACAAGCCTCCCGGACGACGGCGATGAGCCCGATAATCCCAACTGTTGGTTGGTATCTACGGCCACCCGTCCCGCTTCGTCGACTCTGCCTGCAACACGGACGTCAACGCAGTCGGAATCCGACGAGGGAAGCTCTGGGATTGTAAGAGAAGGACTGAATAACGCCATCATGTTCCCCGTGCTTTCCAAACAGCAAATGTTGATACAAAAGTCGTTTATAAATACGAGGATAAGAGTCATGGAGCAGACTTGCACCATTACTGCTGGCTGTCTGCGTAGAGTTGTCTCGGCGGAGAAAATCAAAAGGGACTATCGGGCCACTGCAAAGGCGTTCTTCTTTCCCAGAGGCTGCTAAGGTGGAAGCGGTTGACGGCCACAGAAGAAGATATCCGGTGGAGATGCCATCAATAACGTTAAGTACGTTGCATTTCACAGGTCCGATCCGGCGGAGAAAGGCTCGGCACGTACAGGCCTCCTTGAATGGTAGTCAAGTGACCCTTGCAGGATCAAGTCGATCCGGCCTTTCGCTCATAATCAACGCAGCTTTACCGAGAGCTAAACCGACGTTGTTGTTCATGGGGCCGATGGCTCCATGCAGACGGCACATCACGACTCCGGTGGGGGTGGGGTCGGCGGCCGGCCATCGCCGTCGGACACAACAACCGAGTGAATGGTATTGGTGCGTTTGGCCCTCACAGGGCGATATGATCCAATAGTCAGAGTCAACTGACTCCCTCAATTCCCATCTTTGTCATGACGTTAGGACCAAGTCAAGAGTATGTTAGTATATTAATGCTGCACGCAACCGCAACATCCTTCAGAATGAGACAACCATGCCCTCCTGGAACTCTTTACCATGACTACTAGGATTCTTTCTCTCGTCGCTACCCTCGTGGGCCTCGCCAACGGCGCAGCCCTTGAACGACGATGGTCACCCGATGCGGTTGCCACCGTTGACCTTGCGATGAACAGGGGCGCACCGCAGCACCTGGCAAGTGGCATCATCTACGGGATACCAGACGTCCCAGACCAGATCCCTGATCACTTTTACACCGACATTGGACTCCACTGGTTCCGCGCCGGCGGCGGGCAGATGACTGCGCCCAACCGCGGCTGGTCCTGGGGCGAGGCCGAGATGGAAAGGAGATGGGACTCGACGCTCAGCAACTACAAAACCGTACGGAAGTACGATGGAAAGTTCCAGCTCCTACTTCATGACCTCTGGGGCACCGACTTTACCGACGAAACTATGAAGTGGCCCGGTGATGGTGGTGACTGGACCGATTATGACCGCTTCCTGGACACCATCATCGGCAGAATCATAGCGAACGATATGCTCCCGGGATTGTACATCGACATCTGGAATGAGCCTGAATGGGGCTTCTGGAAGAGACCTCAGGCACAGTGGCTTGACTTGTTCGGTCGAACTATCAACAGATTTCGGTATGTTAGCACAGCTCTTTCAACGCGTTAATAGTAGCTTACACGAGAAGTTCGGATGATCGTCTTGGAGGGATTCAAATGATTGGTCCCTCTCTCTCACTGCCACCGACAGAAGACAACACATGGTGGTCCAACTTCCTCTCTTATGTCGCCGCGAACAACTCCGCACCGGACCTATACACATGGCACCACATTGAGGCACTGGACAACCCCGCCAACGACCTGCAGAACAGCTTGGCCACTTTCAACAACATGCGATCTGCCGCCGGTGCTCCGGAGAAACCCGTCAACATCAACGAGTACCTCAACCTCGCCGACGAACTCAACCCAGCGGCAACGGTATGGCATCTCTCCCGATTCGAAAGATACGATACCTCGGGTCTCCGCTCCAACTGGCGTGGAGGTCCAGATGGTTCTCATCTGCGCGATTTCCTAGCCAGCCTGGTATGGCGCGACAGCGAGAACCTCCCGTACCACCCAAACGGCGACTGGCAGGCACTGAAGTACTACAACCTCAACATGACTGGCCATCGAGCCGGCTCAACCGGATCCGAGGACCGTATATTCGATGTGTACGCCACTGTCGGGGATGACAAAGTGCGTGCCCTTGCTGGGGTACGGGTCAAGACCGGCACCTGGGCCTTGACTTTCAAGAACCTCAGTGCCGTGGGCCTGCCCCGGGACGGGGAACTGCAGATCCAAACCTGGGGGTTCACTTACCAGATCCCGGAAGCCGAGTTGGATGCTCCCACGGACCGCGGCGTTGTCACACACTCGTACACGAACGACGAGATCACCATAGCGATTTACCAGACGGAAGAAGACTGGAAAACTGCGTGGGCCTTCGAGTTCCGGATCTAGCATGATCTTATGGCGATGATACGTACTGGCTGCAGTGTAGAGGAATCATCCGCATATATGCGAAGAGCGAGAGAATGGCGTTTTTAGTAGGGCTGGTCAAGGGCTTTGGTGTCGGAAATTTCCACGTTTGACCAGCATCGTCGCTGTACATGGTCGGGTCTCGCCAATTAATCCAAACTGTCGTGCTCCAAGATATCTGTAGCTCGTCCATGCGATTTGTGGTTCATTGATGTCAGGCATCATCACTCATAGCAATGTACGTCGGTCTTACTCTTTGCTGCAAAATATGGCCCTCACTTCATACTCAGAAATGCAGCTGTTGGGGATTTTCTTCCAAAACAAAGTCTAATCGCCATTGCTGGGTTTTAATAGCAGTAGAGCAATCTGTGACAGGATATTCTCTAGAAAACTGACCTGCATCGCATTTGAAATTTAGAGGTGATCCATTGGTATGATGTCACATTATCGTTCCATAGCTTCTAAGTTCGTCATCAAAAGCACGGGAATATTCAAGGCCAGGTCAGGCATGGTTGAGACTTCGGATGGCAACTGGATAAGGAAGGAGTTCCTTCAGATGGATGGATGACTGAAGTAAAGCAAAGATGGTCATGATCCAATACCGAGGCCTCGCTTTTCTTGTCATGTCCGCTGCTCCTGGTTGTCTAGTCAACATAGATATCGTTTCTGCGTCATCTTAAGTGTATTGACTTCATGTGCTTCTTAGATTATGAGGAGGAACTAATAAATAAGTCTCGCGAGTTGCATACGCTGTACTGGCTAAAACTCCTTGACAATGCGCACTCACGAAGAGACTCAAGCGGAAGGGAAGTGGTCTTCTATTCTACTACGCCACATATCAACTTTAACAATATAATTCATGAGAACAAATCAGAAAGCATTGCGTAAAAGAGACTGCACAAGTATGCGGGCGGTTTCATCTGTACAATTGAAGTCATCGTGTGGCTTTCCGTTCGGCGCGAAGGTGCTTGCAAAAACTCGGCCTGCTGACATGGATTCCAGGCTCACGTCTGCCGTGCGACATCTTGCAGACCGATCCAATTGTCACGAGATAAACTCGCTTCTTCATTCCCGCTGGTTCAATGGTATTTAGATGTGAATACAAGTAAGCAATCAGCTTGCATAAATACATCAACTGTTGGGCGCAGAAGAATTGACTACGTAGGAGTTGACAGGTGCCGTTCACCTCGCCATCTCTCAGCGATTCATGTCTGAATTTTTCAACTGAAGAGAGTGAGAGGCAATGATATGAACCAACAGCACAACACGTATGCCTGAACTGAACATATTTTCTAATCTTCTGTGAAGTTTAAGACACTTGGCCAAAATCGGGCGAGTTTTGTATTACTATGTTTACAGTTTCCAAGACGCAAATATCTGCGTCGTCGGGAGTAACCGTAGGTAGATGTAAGAGCTGCGGGCCACGCAATCAACCAAACGGAGGTGTTGTCATTAGACAAGCAGCAGCAGATTGGGCCTCCTTCCATTGGCCTCTACGTGACCAGCTACTTCCCCTCCTCGAAGGGAATCCTATTCGTCCTTGATACCTGCCTGCATATGCAGTCTGACAGGTCACGAGATGAGGTTGCTGACCGGAAGCTCTGCGGTCAGTAAGCCTGGGGCACAATCGATGTTACCCCTCTTTGGATTTTACGCATTTTCCTCATATCGATATCTTCTCACCTCCCTAGAAATTGATTGTCATCGTAGCTGCAATACTCTCCCCGATTATCATTGTCTTGCAAAGACTGACAGCTGAGGCGGATGCCCTGCCTTGGTTCGACTCACAGACGACATCGCTGGATGCATCATGATTTGTACTGTCTGTAAAGATGCCATAGAAGGAGTTTGGGACCCGACCAAGACCAAACGCCTTGCACAGAGATCGAGCTTGGCGCACAACGACCGACTTCGTGTCAGAACATACATGCAAGTACCTGAAGCCAGTAGGTCATCCTGAACGCAACGCGGACGTAAGCGCTTCCGGTCCATGCTAAGAACTTTCTCTCTAGACTTATATACCAGCTGGGAAGACATCTACAACACTGTGGAAGCGGAACAGTTTGTCTTTCAACATCATTCCTCTCAAGCGTCTTATGAGGAGTCGAAGCGACAAGGCTGCCAAGTATGTAGCCAGTACCCACCGCACAACCGCGATAGCTCAATGTTGAGAAATTACGCATGCTTCACAACCTTCTGCGTGGATATTGAGAGAAACCCTTATCAACCTAAAGAACACTCACGTGGGTTCAGTATCACCCCCGACTTCTATCCGAACGGTGACTACAGCGTGTTTGTGCCGTGTCCCCGTAAGTAAATGCCATTCTCGAATGATCACTAGACTACAACAGCAAGTGTTGACTGCCGTTTCTTCAGTGGAAGATCGCATCATACACAGCAGTCTTACGAACTCAACGCAAGGCACTGGTACATGGTCCTTGGTTGAGCGTTGGGTGCAAAATTGCGTGTCCACTCACGACGTTTGCTCTGTTGCATCGGGCTATTTACCTACACGATTGCTCAAGCTTGAAAAAGGGACATTTCAACTAGTGTCTAAGGATCAAGTCGAGATCGGATCACGATACGCCGCCTTGAGTTACTGCTGGGGAACCAAGCCTTGGGAACCGCATTTGATCCTCAATCGCAAGAATTTCTCTGCCCTCAGCAAGCAACAGAAACTGGGCATACTCCCTAAGACGTTTCGGGACGCGTTCGAAATTATCCAGCGGCTGAACACCCACTATCTGTGGATTGACCGCTTTTGCATTTTCCAAGACTCCACGGAAGACTGGCGAGCGGAGGCATCTTCGATGCAAGCTGTTTATAAAGGTGCTTTCATCTGCATCTCTGCCTTGGGTGCTGCGAACGACGATGAAGGGTGCTTTTTTACACGAGACCTTCAAGTAGTGTTGCCTACTACTGTGACCCTATCCCTTGATGGCCTCAACCCTCCAGAGGTACACGTTTCAAAGCGTGACCTCGACAGATGGCGCGAACGCGAATTTGGAAGCGAGCCGTTAGTCTCCAGGGCGTGGGTAGTTCAGGAGAGACTTCTGGCCCCAAGAACCTTGCATTTTGGCAAAAGTCAAGTCTTCTGGGAATGCAATCAGGATTACCACTCCGAAACCCAACCGCATTTTGAGTGGTCGAAGAATGGAATTCTTCCACACAGAGACTGGAGACTTCGGCGGCAGCCTCTCTGGAAAGCTCTTATTGGACAAGAAATCCCAGTCCAATACTCTGAAGATCTGGCACTCGCCGAAGAATGGAGCGCCGTCGTACAACTTTACAGCGGAAGCAAGCTTACAAAATCGGAAGACAAGCTAGTGGCAATCTCAGCTGCCGCCAAGGATATGAAGCAACGCCTGGAGAAACACAACTTGTCGAGTCACTATCTAGCGGGTATATGGCACCAGTGGCTACCACAAGCTCTTTTATGGACTGCAAGAAAAGGAGCTACTCGCCAAAAAGCATATCACGCTCCCACGTGGTCATGGGCCTCGATCGAAGGCGAAGTAATCTCAAGGATACAGGATTACTTCATGGGCCATAACAACACGATCCTCATCGCGGCCTTGGAGCGGGTGGAAACTGTCCCTTTGACAGACGATGAAACCGGTCAGGTCGCTCATGGATCTGTTACCCTGAAGTCAAAGTTAGTAGTCGTCAAAGTAGGAAGGACCGCAGTGGAGGAGATAAACGAAGATTCTGAAATATCAGAGCAAATCGTAGGTTTCGAAACAATCGAAGGGGCACCTATTCATTGCTCTATCAATCCGAAGGGGTACTCGTGGGGAGTTCAACTTTACTTTGACTTAGGAGAGGAATTTGCCGAAAGAGTGCTTTTCCTTCCGATCTTGGTCGAATATCCAACATATTGGAGCCTATATCACGGATTACTTCTTTCCGATGTTGGATCTGCATTCATACGAGTTGGGAAGATGGCAGTATTGATCGGAGAGAATAACGTGATGGAGTGGTTGGAAGATGTTCCTGACAGTGAAGTTCAGATCTTGTAGCAGGATATCAATCGTTAGTGCACCTATGCTATTTCGGGGACTCTATGTACTACCGACGCAGGTTTTCATGCAGAATAGGTGAGATAGAGTGAGATTTACGATGCCACGCATGAAGTCATGTTGACCTGTCTTATGGTGGGTTGCTCTCATCAGCCATCGGCTCGTGATCCGTCGTCTTCACGTTGTTACTTGTTCCACGTTTAGCAAGACCTTCAACTTGACGATCCCTCTCGATGAATTGAGTCGACGTAACAGCTAGGTACCCGTAAAAGTTGTGCGTGGCCTGCCATGCATCGACTCAGATCGAATTGGCGGTCTAAGTCTACTACTGCATAAGCACTTAATGGAGAATTCATATATAAATAACCTTCCTCATGCCTAGTGTGACTCAGAAATCCAAGTTGAGAGGATAGTTGGAGAAATATGAGACGAGATCCGGCACAAGGAGAGGAAGCATATATATTCTGGAGAATGTTAGATTCGGAGAGATGGCACAGTCGACGATGATTTGTGCGGAGAAAATCATCTGCAAGTTCAAAGAAATGCGGATCACTTAATCATCAATTAATTATAAATCAACTGTGTGTTATATCGCCAAGTACATCGAGTCATACGGCATCTTTGTGTAGGTTCTGTCCTTGATCAATGTCTCACTCAATCTCTATGCCGAATTCACTCAATCAGCGAAAGTCTCTAAGAGAATAGCTTTGCCAACCCTTCAACTCCAACATTGCCTCCACTCAGTACTAGCCCCAAATCCCAACCTTTCTCGCCGGCCTCTTTCTCGACCAGACTCCGAAACTCTTCATTAAATAAAGCGACAGCTAACGGTACTGCTGCAGCTGGCTCGACCACAACCTTCAATCTCTCTAGAATAAGCTTAGTAGCCTCCAGAATCTCCACCTCAGAAACCGCAAACATCCCGCTGACCAACCTCCTTTCGTATATGATCTCCCAGGGCATTTGCCCGACAACCCCAATGAGACCGTCGGCAATCGTACGCGTGTTGACCTCTGTAACTCTGTTCCCCGAGTAATAGCCCCGTCGCCCATCATCGGCTCCTTCAAATTCGGGCTCCGCGCCAAAGACCTTGACACCAGTCCCTTCGCAACTGAGAGCAACGCCAGAGAGAAGACCACCACCGCTGCAAGGCGCAATGATGGCGTCGAGATTCTGGACTTGGTCCTGCATCTCCAAGCCAACGGTGGCTTGTCCGAGAATCACATCTGGATGATTGAAAGGCGGAATCAGGCGGGCTCCTGTCTCATTGACGATCTGAGCAGCCACAGCTTCGCGATCTTTGGGGCCACAAACGACAACGTTGGCGCCGTAGCCCTTGGTGGCATCGATTTTGTATGGTCTGGTAGTGCTCGGCATGACGATGTGAGCCGTTATGCCATTCTCCTTCGCAGCTAGTGCTAGAGCCTGGGCGTGGTTGCCTTTGTATAGATGTTAACTTCGGCCTCTCCGTTGTGTAAGTAGAACTGTTTACCTGCGCTGAATCCAACTACTCCTTTGCGCTTCCCATCGTTCTCCAGCCACCCCGGCTCCTGTTTCAGTCTTTCGATTGCGTGGAATGCCCCTCTGGCCTTGAAAGCTCCAATTCGCTGCATATTCTCGCACTTGAACCGGAGCCTGATGATTGGCTGTGCGGGCTTACGATTTCCAACTGATGAGGAGCTTCTAGGAGTAGATGCCATTTTGCTGAGGGTCTTGTTTGTCAGCACAGGCGTGTGGTGAATGTGAGACTTTATGAGCTTATGGGCCTCAAAAACCGATTCCCTGGTTAGGGGAGAACATGTCGCTAGATTCGCCATGAGTGGTGGAGTGTTTAGAGAGCAATAGGTCGAAAGAGATCATGTCTCGTAGTCGGCTGATTGTAGCGTTATATGAGTTGGCAATGCCTGCACTGGACCATGGCGTGCTCGAATGACTCGAACTCAGAAACCGGCTTTCCCTTAGATTTTGGCCGATGCCGCACTCTGGTCTATCTTCAGGTGTCATAATGAACGGCGTGAGAAGATAAGCGAGACTTTAGCTACATGTAATCTGCCTTGGGTTCGGTCATTATGCCCGACGTTGAAGGTATCGCCGCACTGACAAGTTTTCGGCGTAGTTGATACGATGCCGAGAATTTGACGGCAACATCGACGACAATCCCGAAGGAGGCAACTCAACATCAGCGCAGGACAGTATCAAGTTCATTAATATGATTCTTGCAAAACAGTTTTCATGGAATTGCAATCGGCATCTGATAAGCCTATCGGAAGCCGTCCCCGAAGCTTGGTGGCCCGGACTTACGTGTCCGTGAAGTTGGACCTCTGTTTGACTCGGAACCATAAGTGCGGCCGTTTCAAACTGCAGAAAAGAGAATGAGCATACAGACTTTCTTCATAAAGAAAGTATTGACGGTCGGACAAAACGCATCACCGAATCGGCACCAGTTCACCCTTCTGTTTGGAAATCAGTTATATCTCTACTCCAGGCGATCAGTCACCATGCCTAGCAACGGTGACGCGATCATTCTTCCTACGGGCACCGTCAAAGGCCTCGCCAACTATCCGCGCGGTCGTCTTGCGCCATCTAACACTTACCGTACTTTGTACATCTCCGGCACTTCTTCCAGGCGCACAGACGGCACTTTTGATGGCGTCAAAACCAACGCCGACGGCCATGTTGAGCTAGACGTACGACACCAAACATCCGCCATCATCCGAAACATAGAAGAAGTAATCAAAAACGCCACTTCGAACGAAGGCGGGCTCCAAAATGTCATCGACGCCACAGTGTTTCTTGTGGACATGAAGAGCCACTACTCCGGCATGAACGCTGTCTGGAACGATATTTGGCCCAATGTTGAGGAGGCCCCGGCTCGAACGACAATAGGAGTAAGAGAGCTCCCCAGTCCAGAAATGATTGTTGAGATCAAGTGCACTGCTGTTGTGGAGGTTACACGGTAGAACAGAACATTGAGGAAGTGTTTGTTGCCAAGAGGGCCTTACCTCCGTATGCTGCATGACGAGGCCATCGCAAATATAGAAGATCACGATCTCATTCTTTTTGCAATTCACTAATATATCATTGAGCTTACGTGATTTGGCGTCCATCAAAAATTCTGTTCTACGCAAATAGCGAGCAGTGACCTCCGACTTTGCATTGGGTGATGGAAGTGAGTTTAGAAAGAAGATGGCTAGAGCGGAGGTTGCTCCCAGAAGCAAAGCTTCCCCATGTTCATTTGTCTCATTCAACTCGTCAATTCCATACCCCATGTCGTTTGTCGTGGAGTATTAGCTGGTGCCTAGAATCCTTCCGTCAGCCGGCATCAGGAACCCGCTACCCCCGGCCGCATAACCAAATTGCTGGGCCCATTCCTCAGCCCATGTCAGAGCAAGATGAATATTTAACCCAAAGCTGGAGGAAATATCTCACGAGACTATCTTGTGTGAGGATGGTTTTTGTATTTGAGGCTCAAGGGAGTTCAGCTGTATCACTCGAGGCATTGTAGATCCCAAATACAGGCCATCTTGCTGTCTAGTCTCGATATCCAGTTGTCAAGCATGTCGAGGCCAGTCTGATCAAGTGATATATAAACATTCCGTCTTACTTCGCCCAAGTGTTATCCAGGGATTCATATCCCTCACCGTCAAATAGCTGGCTTGCACTCATGAGGTTAACTTCGGACTTTGCGATTTCCCCACAGTGAAGGCTCTGACAAGGGTCATCCGAAGTTCTCGATCAGCTTATGGTCACTTTTCAAGGTAAAGTTGCATTGCTATCCTTGAATTTGAATTCAGAGAACCGGGGGTAAGACGAAGGCACAGATAGGGCAGTGCCAACTGCTGTCAGCGACCAGGGGCTATGTGGGCGAAGGATCAAGCGACATGAGCCCAGCCCAGCGCGAACCCAGAACAAAAAGATCTTTCGTCCCTGTCCAGTTTCCACTGCGAAAAGAGCGCTACCTATTTCACAGTCAGGCAGCCGAATTAGAAGGCTAGACAGGAATAACCGTGATCCTCCACCAAGGCTGTCGCCAAACAACCATGTCACCATGCTCGCGCGCTTACAGACATCAATGCCAGAGGCTCCGCCGAATAAGCAGCCAGGATGAAGATCGATACTTAAGAAGACGATGAATCCAACTCGATCTATCCAGACTGCCTCTTCACTCCCAAGTCACAGCAATCACGCCGTCCATCATGTTCAACCTCACAAAGACTCTCGTCGCAACCCTGGCCCTCGCCGGCCTCGGAGCCAGCACACCCGTCTCCCTCGACAAGCGCCAGCCCGGCCGCGTCGTCAAAGCCGGCGAGCCCGTTGTCATCGACCCGAACGGCCAGTACATCCGCGTCAGCCACATGAACGACGGGACTCTAATCGGAGGCTACGCTGCGAAGGAGGGCGACACCAAGATCATGCGTGTCATCCACTCCTCCGACGGCGCGAAGTCGTGGGAGCATATCGGCGAGGTCTTCCGCGGGCCCGTCGCCAAGCACGACATGGACAACGCGTTCCCGATCCAGCTGCCCGGCGGCCGCCTTCTCTACGCCTACCGCAACCACGACCGCACTGGCGCCGACCTGCACTACACCTACTTCCGCATCTCCGTGTCCTACTCGGACGACAACGGCAGGAACTGGAAGTATCTCTCCACAGTTGAGGAGCATGTTCCCAAGGGCGTCAACGGGTTGTGGGAGCCCTTCCTCCGTTTTGCCAGGGACGGCACTCTGCAGTGCTACTATTCTGCCGAGAACGCTGCCAACGACCAGGATAACTTCATGAAGCACTCCAATGACGGTGGTAAGACTTGGTCTAACTGGGTCCCCGTTTCCGGTGGTGACCGAGTCTCCCGCGACGGCATGGTCGGCGTTGCGCCCATCGATGACAACGGTAACTTGATGTAAGTCCCCAGCCATAAACATTCTCATCAAACAATATGAAAAGAACTAACAATTTCCAGTGCTGTATTTGAACACACAACCAGCGGAATCTTCAACGTCGACTACGTCATCTCCCACGACGATGGCTACACCTGGGGAGAGCGCGGAAGCCTCTACACCGCCGCCAACGGCAAGCTCTCCGGTGCACCTCAAGTCTACAACGTCGGCGGCACGCTTGTGGCGAGTTTCATGACCAACGAGGACTATGACAAGGGTAACAACAACGGGTACAACTTTGGCCAAATGAAGGTCGTGACCAGCACAAATGGTGGCAAGTCATGGAGCGGCAGTGTCGTCACGGGCGAGGCCGAAGCCCACTGGCCCGGCATTTTCAACCTCGACTCGACTCACTTCTTGGCTCTGTACGCCAGAGAGGGTGTTGGCGCCGTGAGCCAGCTTTACGAGTTGGTGAACTAGATCTTTGGCGAGGGATTAGGGGTTTACGATGTACATACTTGACGAAAGCGGTCTGCAAATACTTTGTTCGGTTGAGGTTATGAACTCTCCGTTTAATCTGATCAACTTTGAAACTGTACTTTCTATTATTCATGTGCTGAACTGAACGTCATTCTTCTTGGACTTGAATGGTCTACTGGTCTAATGGCCGCAGCTACAACGGCAGGTTGCCATGAATACTTGGGCCTAGAGTCGTGGGTTCAGACCTTGTGTTGCCCTAGCCATGTTGCATGGTGAAAAGGCCATCTAGAGGAGACTATAAATATTCCATGCGCTCAAGATGTTTTGGATCAACAACATGATACCTAATCATAAATCGACATCTTCAAGTACATAAACATCGACACACTTATCACACGAGCTGATTGATACATGGCGGAGCTTCTGGTGAGAGGCAACTAGGTGCGTACCTAGTAAGAGTAGTCTCAACGGCCGTCATCGCCGTTGGTTTAGGTTTATTTCCATGCTGTATTATCATTTTGTTGCTGTTTTGTTAGTTTGACGAGATGGGGCATGAGAGCGTCGATTCGAATCGGATCGGCAGCTAATGCCACCGCCTCAACTTTGTCCCACTAGGACTGCTAGATAGTCTCGTGTTAGATCCATACTCTATTGTCTGACGTTAAGAGAAACAATGACCCGACATGTCTTGTGCACCTTCTCAAAAGCCCTAGGCGATTCAGCATGCTCAGCGAAGTTGTATCTTGCCACCGCCACGCATCTACTCTGATCTTCAAAGCGTGCATAGTAATAAATCTTGATTACTTTTCCACATGAATAACCAAGATGAGTGCCGATGATTTCGTTCGTAGGCACAGATGTAGTTGCCACCCTGTATCATCAGAGCCATTCACATCCCGCCCCAATATACCACAACAGCGGAATGCTTCACATTCCAAGCGTTTACAGCGTCCTTCCACACACGAATATCACTGGAAAGCATGAGCGAAAAGTGACACAGATGAAGGACCAAGAAACTCGAAACCATTAGCGGCCCAACTCTCCTCAACGTCGCCCGACGAATACTGACGGTTATATGGCATGTCAACATCGAAGCTACAAACCAGAAAAGGGTGAAGAGAAAGCATATCCGATTCCCGACCAGAATCTGCTGTGCCGGGTGAGTTATAATCGTTTCGTCATTCAACTCACGTTTTATACGTATCCGGTACCATCTCCTGAGACCAAGTAGCCAGACCAGTCCTCCCGCGATGCCACCATCCATGACCACTCACCATGTCATCTGATCCCACGCTTCCCACAAAAAATGTGAGAGATAAAAGCCCAGGCTTAAAGATTATTAGAATCAAAAGTTGCCAACTTGGTCGATTATCTTCAACAGGTTCAATATGACCATTCCCAAATTCATGCATTCGTCGAGGTCTCCGCGCAGGAGTAGCACACCTCGAGGCCAAATAAGACGTCGAGAAAATAACTCGTCTGCAGTTCCCTTCATCTTCGCCGCTCTGCGTGTATTACCTTAGCCATCTCACTAGCTTCAGGTGAAACGCAATATCGCACCGCGTCTCGTCTCTGATTCCTCATGGCGACCGGCGATGCGAACAAGCAAGCTCACAATCATCTTACTTCTTCGCGGATGATTCCAAACTCCTGATTGTTGCCGTAGAGATCTCGCTCAGAAGACATTGCATGCCATCCTTTTATAAGGAATTTCCAAGGCAGAGCAACGATGTCCCTCAATCCCATCTCTCTCCACCTTCTACATAGGAACTCACAGCTGGGGGTCAACTACTGTTCCGGCCAAATGCCCCCAATTCTTCCGCCGTCTGTCTATATTATAGAGAAACATACGTTTCCCACTGCCCCTCAAGACACAGAAGCAGTTGGTGGGGTCTGGTGTCTTCTTAGTACGTCCAATCGTGCATTGTTGGAAGGCCAACTTCACAACGCCATCAACAAACGTTACAAATCACTTCAAGGCAGCCTTTTGCCTACGTTTGGTCTCCAGTGTAATTACACAAACTAAATACACGCAAAACACCAAAGACGATGCCCAGAAGAGGGGTCCCAGAACTATACATACGCCATCCACATAGGCATCATCAGGACCGACGACCGCCAACACTGAGAGAGCGACAAGATGAGATCAGAACTATTCCAACCTCTCACCGCAATCCCCCTAGGCGCTGCGCACCATTCACAGCACAGAACCTGCATAGACTTTTATATCCTCAGAGCCTAGCAGAGAGATGAGCGGCAGAGGATATCCGCCTACCCCCGTGTCGAAGTTAAGGATACCGGCACGTGTGTTCCTTCCTCAAACGGCCCTCAATGACTCTCAGGAGGAAACGAGTCGAGGCCGATCGGTTACCTGTGGGGTATATATCGTAGCCGGCTTCATCAGCTCTTCCTGTCCTGCGGTGTTCCATGATGGAGCCTCATCCCGTATCTCAGAGCACGAAGACTTCGACCCAGTACCACAAGTCCAGCATTCATCTCCCTCGCCTCGCCGCAAATCACCACCCATCTCACCACGCCGTCATCTATCACCATCCATAACTCATTCCACAAGCATAATCACGGGACACTTTCATACGTATGTGCTCAAAAGGGGGTCAATTCCTCTATTGTATCTGGATATATCCTTCCAAAACAGAACCCACACACATAGTTCACGCAGACACACTTGACACACAGAAAAGCCGTCCCGTGTTCCCCGACTTTCTCAAATAATAACAATGAATGGCGAGGAAAATGAATTTGTTTGTAATCGCGACACACAGAATTCCAAAATAATGTTTCAACCCCCCTGCCTTTAAAACCGAAAACCAATCGCACTTTGTTTGGTTATAATCCGCTCTTCAAGAGAGAGAGATGTATCAAACCCCCGTTTCCCCGGTTTCCTAAAAACGCCTTTTACAGATGGACACACACAGACAGAGAAAGACGAGAAGAAGAAGAAAAAACTATCATTACTTTGATGATGTCTGGAATCAGGAACAATACTGACAACGAAGAAGATTGCTGGTGTCGGAAAAAATGATGTCCTCTAAGCGATAATGGAACAATGGTTGGCAAGCGGCCTGTTGGAACAGGAATCCCAGAGGGAAGAACAGATGGATAAGGGCCGGTTCGTGATGCGGATGATGGAATGGTATAATGCGAGAAGAACCGATTCCCAGAAAAACAAGACCGCCTTCTCTAGGGCGGCAGGGTTGTGGAAGTGGCATACCCGCCAACGCCATACTTTTAATGCTTTTTGCTTGCTTGCTGTAGTCGTCTTCGTGCGGGAGGGGGAGTAGCTCGAGTCCAGCCGTTCTCTCTATCCAGCCCCTCCATGTCGTAACGCTTTTTGGCCGTTCAAACGGAAGAGTATGCCTCAGAAGCGCCAGCGTCTCAAGGTCCCATCAGACGGCGTCTAACCAATCTTTCTGAAACCCTCGACGGTCAGCAGCGGCACCTCGACGTCGCTGAGGCCAAGGACGCCTTCGTCGCGTCTCCGGTCGATGAAGCCGTTGCACTCGGCGACGACGATGCTCCATTCGGCCAGCGCGCGGCCGGTGTAAATGGCGCGCTTGGTGTACATGCCCGCAGGACGCAGAGGCTGGGTCAGGGGCTCGGGGCCGGACCTGCGGCTCTGCATCCGTGATGGGGGCTGATGCGTCGTCTGCTGAGGCGGAGGGGACAAAGGCTGGTGTGGCTGCTGCTCCTCCTCCTCGATCTTGCTGTCCACGGGAGAAGACGCCGTGGAGGAAGATCCGGACGAGACGGACGATGCGGAGGATTTCTCCGCGCCTTCGAAGTCGAACGTCATCAGTTCTGCCTTGGGGTTCTCCTCGAAGTCGAACTTGTTGCTGAGGCGGCGGACGAGAGACGTCGAGGAGACGGCGGTGACTGAGGACTTACGCTCGAGTGTGGGAGAGACCGGGCTGGCGTTCCTGGCTTCGTCGACGAGACCTTTGTGCTTGGCACCGGAGACGCGACGGGTCGGCTCCGGGAGACCAGCGGGGGCGGGCGGGGGATTGCTGCCGCTACGGGAGCGGGCGCTGACCCAGGATTGTGCTGGGGCAGGAAGGCGCGGGCGGGTGAGGATGCGGTCGCGAGGCTGAGTGACGGCGGGAGGTTGCCATGTCAGTGTAAACTTGAAGACGAATTTCTGCTCCATGAAGATGGGTGAGCCTCCAGGAGAGCTGCCGTCCGAGGACGTGGTCACGGTAGAGGCAGCTGAGGTTGAGATCTTGGGCGGCAGGGGCGGGCCTCCCTGGCGTGCCTTTGCGCGAGATGACTTCGACTCCTTGCGTGGCTCGTTGTCCTCGCTGTCAGAGCTAGAACCTGCACCACCAAGAGACAAGACTTTTCCAAACAGGGACCAACGCTTCTTGCTGTTGTCAACCTTTGGAGGGGCAACTTCGGTCGTCTCAGCAGGCGGCGGCGTTGCCACGGATCCTTCTCCGTTCAAGATCTTGGAGAACGAATCAAAGGGCTGGTTGAAGTAGCCCGGCTGTGGGAGATTGACTTCCGTGCGGATGATCATAAACTTCTTTCCTGGCGTCGGCAGGCATGGCGATGTGGAGGGAGGGAGTTTCCCAGTTGCGTCGGCGGTGTTGCGCAGCCAGAGAAAGTGAGCCCAAACCGTCTTGAGTCGGGATGCAGCTGCCAAGAAGATTTCGGCGTCGACTTCGTTGGCGCTGCCAGCGTCCCGACAGATCCGCCAGCACAGGAGGCGCATGTAGTAGCCGCGCACCATAGGACACCAGTGGTTGAAGTAAGTGTCAAAGATCTCTTCCGAGAGCAGCCAGTCCAGACAAAGCACCCTCTTTCTCTGGGGATCCGCGGTGACCGTCTCCCATGTCGAGTAGATGAAGGACAGAAGGCGAACCTCGGTCATGGCGTTGTCGGAAACCAACATTTTCCTGCAGACCTCAAGCCAGAAGGGCCAGTCGATGCTCTTGGCGATGTTCGGGTTGCTGATGTCGTCGAACTGATCGTAGGCGACCAGGGCCTCCTCCAAGAAATCGCAGAGCGTGAAAACGGCGCTGTGGTCGTAGCACGATACCTTACGGGTCGCGGCGCGGATAACAGACAGGAAAGCCTCGGCGAAGGTCCTTCTCGCGGCGCTGATGATTGCTGGTGATTCGCCCAGGACGTCCTTCAGCAACACGATGAGACGGTTCTCTGCCATGTTCTTCAGCAGATTGGCGGGGACGTTCATCGAGGTCGCTGCAGCGTCAGCACCGTAAAATGAGTCGCCTGCCGTAAGCGGGTTCATCATCGCGTCAACCTCGGCCTGTCTGTGGATCGTGGATTCCAAACAAGCCAGGAGCTGTGCCTGAACAAGGACAAATCCTGGCGAGCGTGCCTTCTCAAGCAGTGGCAGACCCTCAGGCATGAACTCCTCCGACAGGATGTGGAAATACTTGCAGAAAATGAAGAAGAGATCGGTTTCGCCGCCGCGCCACCTAGTCACCCAGGGGCTGAACCACGGAATTCTCGCCGCCATGACGGACAGCTTGACCCTCTCCTTGAAGCGCATGCTGATGTACCTCTGCGACTGCCACCCCAGAACACCCAGATTAGGCGGGAAGAGAGCCATGATGTCCTCGCTTTCGCCGCCGTTCTTCTTGGGCAATCCGAACTCATCAGCCGCTCTTCGAATGAGGTCCGGCCGCAAGTCCCAAAGGCGAACCAGGATCTCGGCGACAGACGGGCAGAAGAAGAATCCGTAGGCGCAGGCCTTACCGCACCAATTGACCAAACTCAGGGGCGCATGACGCAGCGACATCTTATCGACCACGATCTGCATTTGCTTCATGAGATTGCTCACGAACATGGTGCGGACGTTGTGCTCGGCGGACTCGGCGAGGAAGGCTTGGCTCGATGCAAGCGAGGAATCCGCCGTAGACTGAGTTCCTGACCGTGGTCGAACGCGCTCGTTCGGTGAGCGGTCGACCAAGGGCATGAAATATGTTGTTGTTTGTCGCCATTCGGATCGCATCATCAGCATCGTCAAAGCCTCAAGCAGGACCGGCCGATCGACACCCGGGAGAGACTGGCCGCCCTGGCCCTCGAGCATGTCGAGCAATCCGCCCCACCATTTGTTCAGCACCGTCGCTCTCCGCTCGACATCCTCGAAGTTGAGTCCCTTGTTGGAGATGTGGTTCATATAGGTCCTCAAAAATGGTAGCAGAGTGGCTCGGACCACCTGCATCCGCTGAGCCATGGTCTTGCTGGGGAAGCCTGCATAGTCGGTGTCGAGTGACCTGAAGGCCGACCAGATTGTGTCCTTATTAGCCGACATTTCGCTCCACGACTCATCCGTCACAGTCGTGTGAGACTCGGTGAAGGACGCTGGCTTAGAAGCCGCCTTCGAAGGGGCCGGTTTCGAGAGGGTTTTTGGTTCAGTATTCTTGTTATTATTAGTGTTGTTATTGCTGCTGGTGCTGTTGCGCTGATCATTCCCAGGTAAGGCGCTGGGCGGCGCCAGGTTGACAGCAGGTGCCGAGAGATTAACCTCGGAATCGCTGCCCGACCCCAGTTTGATGAGCATGCTCGTGGGGCGCTGCTTCATCTTGGTCAGATACGTGCTCGCGCGGTTCAGGGTTCGCGACGTGGGCTTCAGCGAGTCGGTGCTCCGTGACGCGGGAGACTCTGACGTGTCGACGAGGAGCGAGACTGGCCTCTTGCGCGGCTCGGCGGCACCTTTGACGGAATCTTCGTTGCTCGGGGCCCTGCTGCGGGAAGGACGTGTCGCGGGTTTTTGTGCTTGTGTGACGGGTTCTGGGTTCCTCTTCGGAGAGGGGGAGCGCGAGGTAGACATCCATGACTTCTTCGCAAAGGTAGCGAAACTCGCTGAGATGGTCCTGGGGCGTTCGAGCTCTGGTGGTCGCGTCAGCGGTGCCGGCGGGGCGGACGGCAGAGCAGAAGCAGCAGCAGGCGTAGGTGCGGTGACGGCGAAGTCCACGTGGTCTCCGGCATGTGTGCTGGGTCTTTCGGGCAGAGGCGGCTCTTTAACTTTCGAAGGTGATCGCGAGGCTGGCAGCCATGACTTCCGCCGCTCCATCAATGACGCCCTCCTTCCTCTCTTGAAGAGCTTCTCGTCTTTTTCCTTTTGCTTCCCATCTCTCGAATTTTCCTTGTCATCGTCCTTTGGGGCCTTTGACAGCTTCACCGGGTCGGATCGTACCTTGGTCGGCTGCAATTGCGGCTGCGGCTGCGGCTGGGACTGCGACTGCGTTTGTGGCTGTGGCTGCTTCTCGTCTGTTACCGGTGCCGTGGTCGGGGTTTCCTTGGGGCTCTTGACGTCGAAAGAGAGTGTCGTGTCGAAGTCGGGAATGGTGTCGAACGACGGCAATTCGAATGCAGCGCGGCCTTGCTGCTGCACGCTCGGCCTTTGCTGCCGGTTCGTCGGTGCTGGTGTCGTTGTCGCATCGGTCGTGCGGTCTTCGGAGGTGTGTGTTCGGTGCAGGTAAGAACCATTGGATGGTTCGACAACGGCCGGGGCCATCGTCAGCGTCGGGCCATTCATTTCATGGCCAATTCCCATTCGCGGAGTTGTTTCTTTCGATTCCTTCCTTCTTCGACCCGATTATAGCAGCTGCAGCTTGCCTTGGGGGTTCTCGTTGAGATGGTGCCTCGGCCAGCTAGGTTGGAGGGTTGTTTATCGGCGACCTGTGACGACAACGGGCGGCTAGAACATGCGGATGCGCCTGGGAATTAGGTCGAGATATGGCTGAGAAGGGTAAGGGAGGGCGGCCGGAATGCTCGGTGTCACTGTGGCACGACGTCTGCTTGCTGCCCTAGGTGAGGTGCGTAAGGTATGTAAGGTGAAGGTAAAGGTGTAACAGTAGGTGGTTCGGAGTAGTAGGAGAGGCGAGATAAGGTGAGGTAAGGTTGCTTTCTGGAATGCCCCCTCAGTCCGACATGACCATGGGAAAGGAAAAAAAGGACGAGCTGGGGGTGGGCACAGTCCAAGGAACCCAGAGAGGACCACGGTACTTGGTAGGAATGCGGTTGTTGCGGCGCGGTGTTGTCGGTATCTCTGAACCGGCAGAGGGAAACTGGATACCGTTACTGCCAATGGAAAAAAAAAAAAGGCAAGCCTGAAGTTCGTCCTTGCTGAAGCCTGTAGACTTGAAGGGGGGTGTTCGTTCGTCTGCTGTGGAGGGTTGTGGATATGAATAGCAAAGAACGACGAAAGGAAGCCTTAGGAAGGCAGCTGAACGAACGACTGTCGAGACAACCAGCAGCTTTCGTCCGTCCGTGTCTGGGCTGTCCCGGCTATCTCGAGGGCTCTGTCTTTTCGCTCCAGGTGGTTCTGTGGTGTCGGTGTCGGGGATGGTGTGTCGAGGCAGACAGAAAGATGCAGAAAAGGTGCAGCTGCGAGGAATGGTCGGGGAGGGTTCCCTGTCCAAGACTGGAGCTGGAGCGTTTCAAAGAGAGCGATAAAATAGCGGAGCTGGGATATTATGACGAGCCTCCACCTTTTTTTTCTTTCCTATCCTTACTGGCACCCTCTCTGAACAGTCGACTCTCAGGCCGGGGAACGCGCGCCGTATTGCGACAGGACGGAAGATGATGCAAATTAAACGCCTACGGGTCGCCAGGCGAGACAGAAGCTTGTTGTAGAAGAATGGTGAGGTCTGAGACTCGATCGAGTATGTCTCAAAGACAAGAAAACAGGAGACTCTGAGAGAGAGGGGTTAAGGGGGTCAGCAAACAGCTTCGTCTCTTTCTTTCTTCGCTCAGCACCGCAGTGACGGGTTCAGGTCGACAACAAAAAAAAAATGGCGACGAGGTAAGGTAGCGAACGACAGAAGGCCAATGGAAGACTGGCAGATCGAATAATCGGGATACCAGGACGGGGGTACGGGTTGGACGGGGACGGCGTACGGGGGCGTCCACGGACGACAGTAATAATAGAAATCAAGAGGGAGTCGGACACACAAAATACGTCAGTCGGTGCAGGTATTAGGTATTCCACTAGCAACCGTCTCCAGATGAAGGTACCAAGTCCAAAAGTGATATGACACCTCACTACATGGCCAAAGTACCTTACCTCCTCCTCTCCTCTCCTCACCTCACCTTACCATGTGCCCGTACCCGTCTTCAAACAGCGCAAAGAGAACCAACCGCCCGTTCGACATCTCATCTAATAAGTCACCTTAGGTTCCCTAGCCGGGCCACCAAGAGCCAGACCGCCGGGCGGCCACCATGAGATAGGTTGGTATTGGTCGTCCCAGGAAATAAGAATAATCAGATGGTCAGCTTACAACACACAGACACCGTTTCTTCTTGTGTCCGTACCTTTCCCAGACGCGGATAGTCCTGGACTGGCATAATGTTGCGACTGTGACACCGAACGAATACCACCAGCCCGTTTGATCAAATGGCGAGAACCAACGCCGCGGCGCCGCGATACCATCCCGTCCAGGGCAAGGCGAAGAAGCCACTGCTGCAAATCAATAATCACCACAGAGTACTTCCCAGCCTCTCCTGCTCGTAATCATGTACAAGAGGCAGCCCCTAGCGCGATAGCGCTCTGTAGGAGAGAGGGGCGGGCTGCGAGTTGATCGCCCAGGTCGGCGGGGATTAATACGAAAGAGGGTCCGCCTCTCCTTTCTGCCGGCCAAGGAAACAGGAATCCTGCCTTGGTCACGACAGCCCTGCCGGCATGGGAATGAGATGCCTGTATCTTCGCCGCCCGCCCTTCATTCATTGTCTTGTGCTGCAGTGGTTCGAGTGGTGTACTGTAAAGCTGGCAAAGACAAAGGGCCGCCGAGATACCAAAATATGCCAGCCGGTCGCACATCATTCCTCTCTCAGATAATACACTTGTTGCGAACGTGAGGGGGAGGAGCCCCATGATGACCCGAGACCCTGAATATGTATCTCGTCGTCCCTCGTGCCCTCGAATATCTAATTAACTTTATTCGAATCTCTCCCTACGCGCTCACGGCTCCGGTACCTGTTCCCGACCGCAGTGCGGTGCAGTGCACGCATCGAAGGAACCTGAGACCAGGCGTGGGCGATGCGCTCTCACCTCATTCTGGCCCCCCCATACCACCCTCCCATACACGTCAGTCAAACCTTGGTCCTTGGGGATCTACCCGTCGGGCGGCTGCTGGCTTGTCTTCAACCTCCTCTTTCTCCTCCTCCAAACGCCCTGTCCCGAGAAAGGCGCCTCAACCCCTGGCTAAGACTGAACCGTCGGGTCGAGCGTTGTCTCGCTGATCTCAAGCCAGCGCATCGACTAGCGTCGTGAGGCGCCGCAGGCGTTTCTCTCTCGAAATCTCGTTTTATCCTTAGGCTGAAGGAGCTGTGCGAAAAGAGAGCTAGCAGCCGGTTGCTCCAAACCGTCGTCGAGCGATTGGAGAAAATAAGACGTTATTGACACCTGCAAACGCTCGTCCTTCTCGCGCCCCGTCCCCGTACCCGTACCCATACGGCACACTCGCAAAACCATGTCCCTGACTCTCTCTCTCTCTCTCTCTCTCGCAAGGCGCGGGAGGGAAGGAAGAAAGGAAGGAAGGCGGTAAAGAAGGTAAACTCGACCGTCAAGCAAGGCAGAATGCCTGAGGGAGATCAAACCCGGTCGACGACCATTTCCGGACAGCATGTTAATAAACCCGCCCGCTCTCGCTTCATCGGCACTCGGCAGGGTACCGTGGCCCAGCACGCGGCGGGCCAACATTCTTAAACAACGCAGAGGGTGCGCTACGGCATACCCACGACTCGTGGAAATGCGGCGACTCGGCGAGGAAGGGGTCAAGCGCTGTCGCAATGTCGTCTGACAGAGAGAGAAGATTGCGTGCGTGGGGGGAGGGAGACTGATGAGAGTTGAATGCTGAGTGGTGTGGGTGGCCCTGTTAATTCGGCCGACGCTTGTTGAAGTTGTTGTTGTCGCCGCTGCATCTGCATCTACCGCGCCGTATCTGCAGACTGCAGCTGCAATCTGTACGATACCGGGGCGCGGACGTGTGGTGATAATGCACGCGACTTGAACCAGACAAGAGGATACATAGTGATGAGACACTCAGTCCGGCTCATCATCGGCGCGCCCATCGCCATCGCCATCCACTTTGTGTCTCTCCTTGACCAGAAGGGCCACATCTCCGACGACCCGGGCTGTATGAAAATCCCGCCTCCGTCGACGCGAACCGAAACAACTCCTTTTTGTGCCGCCAAATGCTGAAGCGTGTACAACGGCGAGTTTTATACCAAACGCTCGCGTTCCCGCTTCTGGTCAACCGAGAAGCGCCACCACTTCCGTCTCAACGCGGCGACTTTGGCTCGCTGCTTGCTGCCAGTTTCCGGGGCGCGTCGCCGATACGCAAGAGCCGGAAGACAAATTTGTTGGCTGTCTTTCAGCTCGACAGGACGACGCTACTCTCTCCCAAATACCGACCGCCGTTGACGATCAGCAGGCACATTTTTGTGTCAAACCTTGTTCCGGGCGCGACAATTGACTGCTGAATGTCTCGGCTGATAGATATTTCTGCACAATGTCGAAGTGAACACAACGCGTATATATGCTGTCTTGTGCAATGTCCGAAGCGTGAAAGCCACTCTCAGGCGGTGCGGCGCCAATATTCCCAATATCAGCAACCCAGCCCAGCGGCTTGGGCGAGAGAGACACACAGGCCCGACCGGCCTCCTCCGTCAGCTGTCAAATCGCACATCGCAATCCTCGACAATCCAATTGCCCATACCTACCTGAACGCGACCCCCCTGTCCGGGAGTGGGAACCGTTAGCTCGTTCGATAAGTTTCCCACCTGTACGGGCTGTGATACCCCCCGCCGCGGCTTATGCCATGCCATCATGGGCTTCTTTCTTCTTTCAGGGCTTCCCTTCTCAGGTCCTGCTGGCGGCAGCGACTATCCGTCAACTTCTCCGATTCCCCCGATCTCCTTGGGGGATCCTTGGGGTCGAACTTTCAAGAGCAAGGTGCCGGGTTGAAGTGATTTTCCATGAATAGTTTCGCGCCGTTTGTCCAAGTGATGGGACCCGTTCTGGAAAAAGGGTGACAGCTAATTCAACAGGTAAAGCAATGTGGTAGTCGGTCGGAATATGACTCGGAAAGAAATAAGAAACCCCATCTGAGGCGAAGAGGAAAGGCGCGGGTTTTTCGAAGAAATTGGAGAGCGTCCGTGAGCCCCAAATCTCGTGGAGGTCAATGTGGCGTACCAGGTCATTTCGCCCGCGTTCGCCCATTTCGCAATCCCAAAAGAAATCAAGTATCGGGAGCGGCCTCTCTGCCCGAATCTGTCACCAAGAGTCAATAGGTGAGGCCAAGCGGGTTTAGCGAGGCTGGTTCACCCCACCGACATGCTCGACATCAGATCATTGATATGTCGATGTCGGCTGAAAATCTCTGATCTCGCGATTGGCTGTTTGCGGCAGTAGCCAGTAGATAGGCCAATACGCGGACAGCACATGCTCCCGTCCCCAGCCCATGCTGTCGGCCGCAACTCCAGCAGTCGGGGTTGTGCTGAGCGGTGAGCCGGAGAGCCCGGGCGGCGGAGAATGGACTGGGGCAGATTGGTGTGGAGGTTGCTTCATTTGAGCCTCCTGTCTCCGTCAGACTGACTCTGGACGCTGTCAAGCCGCCGTCATTCGGACATTCCCCCCCATGGGAAGAAAGAATTCGCGTTGCCACGGGGAAAGGTCCCGGCCGAGTATCAATTTGTCTCGGTCCAGACGGACGAACCACCATAGAGAAGGGGAACATCATCGACAAATCATGAACATGCTTCACGCGAGTATGTCGCCGGTTCTTCATGCACCAGAGCTATCGAGGAGAAGAGCAACATAGGTGTTTGGTAATGAATTGGCAGATTTTGATCTTGGCACGTTGAAAGTTTCCTTCAGCAAGAATGGCACAGAGAGAGCCCATTGCTGTACACACAAATGCCGTGTTGTAAACCCCATCCCGCCATCTTCGCAGATGACAGGATGCGGGATGATGTCAGAGCAAGCTGTTTGGGATGGTTTGGTTAGCTGCGCAGGTCACAAATCCTGCGTGATGGCGAGTCAGAGATCCCATCGCACTCGCGAGGTGACCAAATGAGCAGACTTGGCAGTCCGGACGGCGACCAGAAAACGTCGTTGTATCGCCCGACAATCCGAAACGAAACCAATGCAAGGCAGCCGTGGAAGTGAATCCGAATGTTTGGATTCGCCCGTTTCCAAGGCAGACGCCGAGCGGCTGAGATGAGAGTGTGCTGAGGTTTGCTGCAGAGACTGCCGCAGAGGGAAATCGGGATTGCTCATCCTCATTTGGCGGCAATGACAGCGGTCGCCTCGTCATCGCGTCGCAAGCTTTGCGGTGCGCTGATATGGGAATGACGGAACGTCGCAAAGATGTAATCAAAGCAGCTTGCGTCGTCGCACGCGAGTGTTTGAAGTGTATTGCGATTGCAACACCCAGATTCTGAGATGATGGTGATGTGAAGGAAAGATGAAGCGAAGGAGAGAGTTCCGCGGCAGAGATTTTTAGCAAAGGACGGGAAAGTGGGTCCCGAGAGGAACCTAGCCCCGCCGCTGCGATTTTTCGGGGCGTGTCTCGGCCCGAACAAAAAACCCACTGGCGCGCTGGGCGTCGGTGGTGGCCCGGTGAGTGCTCCGCTGGAACAGGGGTCTTCCACGTCCCGCTGCCGTTTTCACTCGGAGGTTTCTGGCGGGGTGACGGTGACGGGTTTGTCTTTTCTCGAAAAACAAGGCGCTACAGGAGACCTCTTTTCTCCGGAGTAGAAGGACAGTTGACGGGAGAGACCCTCGATGCGATGATCACTGCACATGCATAAGTCTCCTGGACTCAGCCTCTGAAGATCTCACCTCATCTAAACAACTTGAACAGACGAGATATTACTCGGGCGTTCAACATAGTTCAAACCCATTCTTGAGTCGTCGGCCTTATTTGTTGTTGCTTAGCCATCTCGTTTGAGCAAGTCACTTTGGTCGCTCCAGGGACATCCCCTTTTATGTCGCTGCCCAAGGAACTCGTGTTATGGAAATAGTTCTTCCGTCTTCGTTCTCGCGACAGAGGAAGTCCCTGCGAAAAGTGTGTTTATATATCTTGATTAAGGGGTATTTCGGTTTCAGGTCGACATCGAATCGCTGCCTTGAGTTTCCGCAGCTGAGGTGAACCATCTCGAGCAACGCATGAATGAGGCGGGAGCTGTAGGGCCTGGTCAATTTGACAAGTTCAGGGTCAGCGAATTGAGACGAATGGAACGGTTGGATCTCCTGCTAGCCTCATTCGCATTATGAACAGAAGAATTGAAGGGTACGCGAACAAGATACCGTCGTAGAAGACTGAAGGCCCGAAGAAAGAGAGAGCTTGACGGCACCACAACATCCGATTCCAGTTGTCGTACCAAGATGGGATCTCCTAACAGTGAATGGCGCAGCATATTTCAGATGGGTAGCGGCTGAGGTTTGAGAGCTGCTATGAAAGAAAGCTAAGAGTTGGGTTGAGTTATCTCATCTGTTTCGCGCTTTGGAGATGGACTACAGAAGTTGCCAGGTGGTTGGGGCGCGGAGTTCTGAATGAAATGTCACTCCTTTACTCTGATTGGCCGGTCACGCAGAATCTGCGGGCTTCTCCCCGTCGCCCACCTCAAGTTGACCTGTAGCCGTCCCCCGAACACCATTAATACAAACTGCCAGTGAAGTTGATTTGGAGCGAATCTAACAAGAATTGTTCAATTAATTCGTAATTCTCTACCATAATATCGATCATGTCAGCTCTGTCAACTGGCACGAGCACCAAGTCACACTTGACTCCGAACGGCGGAACTCTTCCCGAGAAGCCAGACGGAAGCGGTGCAGGCCGCGATGTCGAGCAACAACAACCTTCCGAGACTGACTCGACCGGCGAACCCTCGATGTTCAAGTCACTCGGTCTTCTCGACCGGTTTCTGGCAGTATGGATCTTTCTTGCCATGCTGATCGGCATCCTTCTCGGAAACTTCGTTCCCAACGCAGGACCTGCGTTGCAGCAGGGCAAGTTCGTTGGGGTTTCTGTGCCCATAGGTAAGTTGCAACCATATCTGGAACACAAAGCGGCGCATAATCTGACCGACTACAGCCGTCGGATTACTTGTCATGATGTATCCGATTCTGTGCAAGGTACAATACGAGAAGTTGCACGACATCTTCCGCACGAGAGAAATCTGGGTTCAGCTAGGGTTCAGCATCGTGATCAACTGGATCATCGCACCGTTGTTCATGGTAAGTACCGCATAAACCTCTATGTGAACACTCGCAGCTGATACCAGAGCAAAGCTCGCGCTGTCATGGGCGTTTTTACCGGACAAGGAGGGCCTTCGTAATGGACTCATCCTCGTCGGGATCGCAAGATGTATAGCCATGGTGTTGATCTGGACAAGCCTGGTTCGTGCAATCGTCCGCTTTCAAAATCTCCGAAAAGCTGACAGGTTCTTAGGCCAGAGGAGACGGAAACTACTGCGCAATTCTTGTCGCCGTCAACTCGTTCCTGCAAATCGTCCTCTTTGCCCCCGTCGCCCTCCTCTTCATCCGCGTCATCGGCCAAGACAATAGCATCTCCTCGATATCATACTCTACCGTCGCCTCCGCCGTAGGCGTCTTTCTCGGCATCCCTCTAGGCGCCGCAATTCTCACTCGCCTCGCTCTCATCTACACCATCGGCCTCAAGTCCTACAATAGTAAAGTCATTCCCTTCTTGGCACCGTGGTCCCTCGTCGGCCTCCTCTATACCATCATCGTCCTCTTCGCCTCGCAGGGCTCCCAGGTGGTCCACCAGATCGTCTCCGTCGTGCGGGTGGCCGCGCCGCTGGTGGTCTACTTCTCCGTCATTTTCTCCGCCACGCTGCTCGTCGCCCGAAAGCTGGGCTTCCGCTACGGCCTGGCCTGCACGCAGGCCTTCACGGCCGCCAGCAACAACTTCGAGCTGGCCATCGCCATCGCGGTGGCCGCGTACGGTCCCGACTCGGACGAGGCGCTGGCCACGACCGTCGGGCCGCTGATCGAGGTGCCGGTCCTTCTGGGTCTGGTGTACTTTGTGAAGTGGTTCGCCAAACGGCACGGCTGGGAGGACTAGATTGGCCGGCGGGGGAAACGGCGCGATGGTATCAAACCACATGTCCCTGTGTGTCATGAGCCCAGGAGCTGCAGAAGGTTTCTGCAGCTAGCAGAGTTCGCGGGCGAGACCGAGCCGACGGGCTTAGACGGTCCAGAAACCATGGAAGGGATGAGTTGTCTGGCATAAATCTAATCAGTAATTTAGCCTTTTGCGGTTATACGCGACTTAGTTGTCAATCAAACGCACGACGTGGCAGCGTCATTCAGTCTGTTGAGTGAGTTGACAGTGATGGTGGTGTTCCTGAAGAATGATGGATGTGTGAAAAATGTAGGTAGCTGTAGAGAAATTGGAACTTCAGGACCCTGAAGCGAGATGCGGGGACCTCTGACGGGTGAACCCCTGCTCCGCCTTAGCGCACGTTGCACCAAGCTGAAGTGACACCAGAGCCCAAGCTCCCTATCGGACTGTGTCCTACCATGTTCCAGACAAGTCCCGTCCCGATTCCGACCGCTAGTTCTATCGTCACTGGACGGCCTTCCGAACTTGGCCATCTTCAACCTCGAAACTCCACTTGACGATTGACCCAGACAGCACCCTCCGTTGCTTTCCACGTAGGTGACCGGCTCACCAATCGTTCTTTCGGCTGCTCGTGCAGCAATTGCGATACGTCGAAGGCTTCCCGACCGTCGAAGCAGCTCCTCCTCTCGCCGGAGCTTCCCCCCGCGATTCCACGGCAATGGAGTCGCTCCCCCGCGAGCTCATCGATTTGATCCTCCAACAATGCGTCTCGGTAGGCCCCCGGAATAACGTCCTGGGCCTGCGCCTCGTGTGCAGAGCCTTCGACCGCTTCCTCAAACCGTTCGCGTGCCAGACAATCGCCGTCGAATTCAGCAGGTTAAGCAGGACGAGCCGACGGCGGCGGCCCGATTTCGACGCCCTACAGACGATAGGATACCACTGCAAGTCCATGTACATAGACCTCATGGTCCTCCGTGATGAACGTAAGGAAACGACGACAACACTTTGCGCATAGTACCTGACAATCACCAGTGGAAGTCGAGTTCCTATCCACCATCTTCGACCGCATACCCTCCATGAAAGACTTCGTCCGGACCCTCCAGCGCGAATACTGCATGTCGCCCGCCTCCTTCACGACGATCGAATACCGAAAAACCCTCGAAACGATCCTCTTCAACTGCCAATTCGTCTCCTCCCTCCGCCTCAACCTCCCCTTCCAGCTCGTCGGCCACCGCTGCAACGCCGCCACCATGATCCTCGCAAACACCTTCTCCGCCTTCTCCCGACGCCCCGAGGACTCCCTCCCCCTCAAGACCCTCGTCCTCGAGAACGTCTCCGACCAGGCCGTCGTCGACCTCTGGACGAACCCCTCCGACGTCATGGCCATCATGCGCGCCATCCTCGAGCTCGAGCACCTCGTCCTCTCCTTCCGCCGCCACGAGGTCGACCCCCCGCGCGTCGCCTTCTACGGCACCTGCCTCTGGGACCTCATCCGCAACGCCGACGTCCTGCAGACCCTCTGCCTCTCCGGCACCGACGACGACCGCCCCCCGCGCGGCCTCAAGCAGACAAAGGCCTGGAACATGACCCTCGACGAGTGGCGCGCCCGCGCCCTGCCCCCTCCCCAGATCGTCCTGCCCTGCCTCACGGCCCTCGAGCTCAAGCGCGTCGAGGTCACCCCCGAGGTCCTCCGCTGCGCCGCCCGCAACTTCGGCTGCACGCTGTGCGAGCTCTACCTCAACGAGGTCTACCTCAAGACCGAGCAGGGCCAGAACCTCAACGAGGACTCGAAGCAGATCCTCTGGATCGGCCTACCCAACCAACGCCCCGGCCTCGACGACGACTGGATCGCGATGATGATTCGCGAATCCTGCCCCAAGCTCCAAACATGCCGCGCCTCGTTCCTGGGCTACGACCTCTACATCCGGGACGACCTGCCCCCTTCCCCCGCCCCCTCCTCGCCGGACTTCGACTTCGTCGACCCCTGCGGCTTAGGTCGCTCCATCGCCCAGCGCTTCGTGGAGGTCGTCCTCGGCTACGCCCAGCCGCGGCAGATAGACGGCACCCCCGTCTGCTTCCTCCCCGTGCTCGACTCCAACGACCACCTGCTGAACCAGACGCGGCCGCGGACGCGCGCGCTGAGGATAGCCGAGTACGACGTCAACGCGTACCAGACCGCCGTGCGCAACGCGACGAGCGGCTGGCAACGCAGCATCGACGGGGTGTTCCCGAACTGCAACAGCGGGACGCTCGAGGAGCTGCACTACATCGCGGAAACGGCGTGTCAGGGCATGAACGAGATTCAACGGCAGCGGAACGAGCACATGAATCACGGGGAGGAAGGCGGCGGTGACGGGCCCGGGGAGGGGCCCGGCGATGGAGGGAATGATGGTGCTGGAGGAGGCGGAGGAGGAGCAGGCGGCCAAGGTGGTGGTCTCGCCGAGAATCTCCTTAACCTGAATTTCGCAGATAATTGAAGCTGTGCCCATCTGCGCAGTTCACAGGCAAGCAAGGCGCTTGAGACGCGATGCGCCACCAACATTCACATGACAGGAGGTTCATTCGACCAGGTTCTAGACGGCGCAAAAGTGTGTTTTTTGTATTGGCAGCGTAGGCCAGGATATCATGGGTCCCGTTTTTTCGGAGTTTTTTTGTGAGGATATTGACAATACCCACTCCTGTTCTAGAAATTCAATTGCTTATAATGCCCTATGCCCTTCCCGTTTTTTTGTGTTGGCCCTTGGATGAATGATGATGATGATCTGAAAAAAGATGCAAATCTCCCGTCGTAAAAGAAAACCGCGTGAAAGCCCACCACCCAAAATTGTGTCAGCGGCGGCGACATCCAAGGTTTCGCTCGCTATGATAGAATCTTAGATGAATCCATGCCGCCTTAGAAACGTTGATATAAGAAGAAAAATCCCAAAACAAATGCTCCATGATATCTTCTAGTGTCCGTTAACGCCGTTCTTTCCGTTGGTGCCGTTCTGCTCCGCGACAGCCTGCTTCAGGGCGTTGAGGACGTCGCGGCGCAGGTCGTCCGTGTCCTCGATACCGCAGCTGATGCGGACGAGGTCGTCGAAGACGCCGACGGCCTCGCGCTGGTCCTTGGGGATGCCGGCGTGGGTCATGCTGCTGGGGACCTCGACGAGCGACTCAACGCCGCCGAGGGACTCGGCGAGGGTGAAGATCTTCGTGAGCTGGCAGAAGCGCTCGGCGGCGGGGTGGCCGCCCTTGATGCGGAAGGAGAGCATGCCGCCGCCCATGGCGTCGCGGTGCTGCTTCTTCGCGATGGCGCGGTGGGGGTGGGAGTCGAGGCCGGGGTAGTTGACGGCGATGACGTTGTCGGTCGCGGCCTCGAGGGCCTCGGCGACGGCGGTGGCGTTGACGGTGGCCTGGCGGGCGCGCAGGTGAAGCGTCTTGAGGCCGCGGTGGGCGAGCCAGCAGTCGAAGGCGGAGGGGACGGCGCCGATCGCGTTCTGGAGGAAGCCGAGGCGGGCCTTGAGGTCGTCCGAGTTGAAGGCGGCGACGCCCATGACGACGTCGGAGTGGCCGTTGATGTACTTTGTGACGGAGTGGACGACGATGTCGGCGCCGTGGTCGAGGGGGTTCTGGACGTAGGGGGAGAGGAAGGTGTTGTCGACGACGACCTGGATGCCGTGCTGGTGGGCCTGGGTGACGACGGCGCGGATGTCGACGAGGCGGAGGGTCGGGTTGGAGGGGCTCTCGATCCAGACGAGCTTGGTGGCGGGGGTGATGTGGGCGGAGATGTCGACCTCGATCTCGGGAGTGAAGGTGACCTTGACGCCGTGGGCCTTTGCGACCTGGGTGAAGTAGCGGTGGGTGCCGCCGTAGACGTCAGAGACGGAGATGACGTGGGAGCCTGCGGCGAGTGACTGGAGGACGACGGCGGTGGTCGCGGAGCCAGAGGAGAAGGCGAGGGCGTATTTCGCGTGCTCGAGAGCGGCGACGGCCTTCTCGAAGTTGTCGCGGTTGGGGTTGCTGGAGCGGGAGTACTCGTAGACGCCTACGGGCTTACCGACGGCAGTCTGCGCGAATGTGGTAGAGAGGGAGATGGGCTCGATGACGGCGCCGGTTACAGGGTCGTGGGGAGAGCCGGCGTGAACGGCGAGGGTGCCGAAGTTGTGGACAGGAGAGGGCGCCCTCGGGGGGGTCTCGATGGGGTGCTCGGCAGGGACGGTCATGATTGCGGCGGTGATGGTGGTTGTGGTGGTGTTTTGCTTTTGCGACAGACCTGGAGGGGTAATGTTCTGTTGAAGGAAAAAAGTAAGGTGGGGGGAGGGGTCGAGGGTCGACCTGGAGGACCGGGAGTAAGGGGGATGTTGAATCTCTTGTTTAGAACAAAGAAAGAGTTTTGGGAGGAATCTTTCTTTGATCAGATTAAAAGAGAGAGAGAAAACAAGATCCCCGAGAATTATGGGAAGAAATAGTCTCGGCGGATTTGTGCGAATAAAGTCGACGGTAACCGAGTTTGCGGCGCCGCGGGGTCTCGTTGAATTTCTTGTATGTTATAGAAAATCAGAGGACGACTCGTTCGCGCACGACGGGTGGAAATGGCCCCGCTCCCGCCGGCGACTGCACCAGGGAAGAGAAAAAAACGACGGCGGCTTGATGTCGGGGTGCCCCAAGCTCCGAGAGGAATCGATCACGCAATCGCGCGCCTGCTGACCTTTTGTTGTTGTTGGTGAGTCAATGGGCCGGTTTTGGGAGGTCAATTGGCGGTATGACGGGTGGAAGAGGAACGGGCGGTCTAATTGCTCGTTTTCCGATTTCGACTATCGTGTACTTTTGGGTTCGGCGGAGGAGCGGGTGCGACGGTTTGAACGAGGCAAGGTACCTTGAAAGTTGGTTCGCGAGTGGATGTTGAGAATGGCGCAATCCGGAGCTATGCAAGGCACTGGAGGTCGATCGGTTGATCGGGAAGGTCTATTCGACGGAGCGTGGAGAAATCACATTTTATATCTAGCCCTGGATGACGCCTTCGATTTGGTGACGACTCAAAAAAAAAAAAAAAGAAAGAGACACACACCGCCTTCGGTTGGAAGCAGCGAGAGAGCTGAGAAAGCCGAGTTCCATGTTGATGATAAACCGCCGCCGTTTCGACGTGCTTCCGTCATCACAAATCCCGATGATGCACAATGTAGAGTTTGCGCCCTGCCGCCGCCATGTTGGTACGGCTGCAGTCTGTACGCTTCATAATCTGTAAGCTAAGCTGCCTGTTATCTAGCATTGTCTCGGCTGTCATCGCTGCGATTGGCAGCTGCTAAGAAGCAGCGACAAGGGACCTCGGGGTCTTGGTTCCGCATGCCGACATATCGCAAAAGTGTCATGTCGCTAGAATAGGAATTTGGAGCGCGGTAAGGCCGATGGTGGTGGCTCTTGAAGCAGTTCTCATCAGAAGCTGCACTGCTGGACGTTCAAAATCTCGTGAATCGTCAAGTCGCGAGGGCTTCCTATCCCCAAGCTCTCTAACATCAAGCTAGATATAGTCTCCTCGAACAATTGATATATCATCATGACCTCGTTATTGATGTTAGCCTCTCTGTACTTGAGCCTAGCAAACACCGAAAAGTTCATCTGACCCGGATGGACAACGGCACCGGGAGAACTGCGGGAAAGTGGGTCAACGGCCAGCTTCGGCCCTCCGAAGCTGCCAATGTATGACTAATAGCTTCGCTTACATCAGCCTTGGAATGAAAGTCGAGGTGCGTCCCCACCTACCGGTCCAACCCTCCTTCCCGCCCTCTGGCGGCCGCGTCCGAAGTCTCCTGCTTCGAGCTGTCAACTCTATCCCGGCTTTCAAACACCCAAGTGTCGCATGCGCCTGCTGCTGAACCAGTTCTTGATGACAGCTTGTTCACTACTATCGCCTATTTGACAAATACTGCCCAGCGACTTCAAGCTTATCCATACCGCTGGATCCACCCTGTCCTGGAGTCGACACGGAGTTGGAGAGCTTCTTTTTGCACGTGCAAATGAATGCAGCAACGAACCCCGACGGGCCATGAGGTCTTCTGGTTGCCTAACTGGGCAGGTCTTACGCGGATTTCTCTGCGCCAGGATACCAAGGGCCGCACCTGGTCCAGCAGATCTGCGGGCACCATGAAAGAAACGGCAACGGCTACGGCGGCGGACGGTGACGGCGGGGAGAGGTTACATTAAGGTGTGATCTTCCTTGAGGTTGTTTCCTGAAGAGACTTGGAGTCTGGGCAAGGGAACAGGTGGGAGTCGCCGTTGCCCGTTGTCCGCTAGCAGCTGTTGGCTCTCGCCATGCAGACATGCGACGGTCTGGCTGGACTGGGCGATCGCCTTCGAAATAACGTCCCCTTCGTCTTAATTGTTCCTCGCCCAGACTGCGCAAGGACAATCGCCTTCGCCTGCCTTATACAAGAAGACACCCGTCAGAGATATCGCCTCGAACCTTCAGCGCCCACCAGCTGCAGACTAAGCCATTCCGAGCTCTGCTTCTATTTTGGCATCAGCCCGCCACATGGCTTGGACATCCTGGCGTGTCACCAAGTCATCGGTGATGGACGAGCAGTGAGTCAGTCGAGGGACCGTTGACAGGCAGTACCTTTGCTGTCTCGGCCCATCATCGAGATTGTCGCGGACGACGAGATTACTCACTACCATAGTACAAGTACATGCACGCTCGGCCGAGACGGACAAGGGCACGGAATGCCCTACTGATCCATTGTGAAGACGCAATGCGTCTGTTCTGCTTTCGGGGTTTAACTACCTTCTCGGACTTTGAATCAAAGATCTGATGTCGCATCTACGACGGACTTGTCCAAGGTTCGACACGATGAGGCTCTGGCATTGCCTCAGAGCTACTTTGCACACCACCTGTCGCGCCGCATTGCCAATCACAACGGCATTGACCTCCCACCGTCAAGAGTTGTAGCTTGTCAGTCTCGGGCAGCCTTCCGTGCCCGATAATTATGCCATCCTAGACGGCGTCTGGCTCCGCCCATCCACCATGGCATCATTCTTGTCAAGCGTTTGTCAACGTTCCAAGTCCAACCTTGGATGCCACAGGCGGGGAGCCGCGGAGTCCCTGGGGTCTTCCCCAAACATCGCATATCTGTTCCAGCCACGAGCTTTATTACGACGATGCTCTTCTAGAAACCTCACGGGTAGATGGCATGTATCACAAGCGCCTCACGGACCAGGTTGGCCACCTTGGACGCCCCTCCACCCAACCCCAGGATGTTTCAATTAACATGTGCGGTGCGGCTTATCGACACAGCCCACGCCTCCCAGATCTACGTCAGCCCCCAGTCCCGTCACACCACTCGGATGGCTGGCGTCCGACCCAATGGAAGTTTTGGTGTTCCTGCGCGCACCACCTTCAGCCTCTATTCGAGCTCACTGATTTGTCCATGGCCGCCACCGTTCAATCGTGGAGGGCATACCCAGGTCGACACTAGCAGATCACCGATCATATTGGTCGAGATATTGACGACATGTTTACTGGAGAATGCGGAGCGATTCGCGGAGCGCCAGCAGATGAGTCGAAAACGCCGCATTCACGGCCGACCCACGGCGATGCATCAACTGGGAATGGAACTCGCGGGTCAATCGTTCATCTGCCGACGTAAACTGCAGGCCCTGGCTTTGCTATCGTCAGCCGCCTTGCGAGGCTTCGCCCCCCAAAAAAGAGTTCCCAGTCGGGGTTCGGCGCGTCTCTGAGCAGACAATCGGAGTCGGCTTCATCAGTCTCGTTCGTCTGACGTGCCCGATACTCCATGGTGGCACATCTCTGCAGATGCATCTGCAGCCGCCCGGACCGTTCAGGCTCGTCATTCCTTCCCGACTCATGTTCTCGACTTCAGACTTCCGGCAACGGTGCCGACGTGAGAAGTTTTGGAAGTATCGGGCGGCTGCAGAGGCCAAGTGGTTGGAGAACCCACCAGACGTGCTACGACAGGGCTGAGGGGAGCCTGCAAGAGCAGGGAAGGCCCCCTCTGGGGACTTGCATGCAGGCCTGGACTTGACACCGACTTTGAGTGTCTCTTGGGGGGCAGGATCATGGGATACAGGGACAAGAACGACGGCAGCTTGAGTTTGGCAGCGCAACTCACGTCCCCTCCGTTCTGCTCCGTTCCGCACGCTCACCCGCCCGCGCTCCGAGTGGGATGTCTCGCAACATTGATGCCTCGACCAATCCATCGCCTTCTCGGCCGTGTTCTCAGGCCGTCGTCCGCCCCTCGTCCTTGAAGCGAAACGCATGGCGGAGACCCCGGGGGAGTGGGCTTCTCTAAGAGACTGTCTCGCCGGCGCTCAGCGGGAGCAAAGGTCGCAGGACGGGGCCCGGTGCCGGGCATGGTACTGTGGTGCTCTATGCAGTAGCTGGATGCATTGGAAGCGGGCAGAATTCGCGTCGAAGCTGTGGAGGCGGCTATCAAGACCCTGCGGTGGATAAGGTATCCGACGATCCCTGCTACCGATCTCGTCCGGCTCTGTTTGGCCGTTTGACTTGGTTTCTGCGCTTTGCGCTACGCCGCCCCGGCTGTGGTCGTTTACTTCGTTGCCCGAGGGCTAACAGTGCTGTGCAGACAAGCGTCTGTGGGTGTATGTGTTGGCCGAACGGGGACCAGGGCCGATGAACTTGACGTGTCGGGTCGGGTTCGTACAGCGTATTACTCGTACCTTATTTTGTAGTTGACGTGCGCTACATGGACGACAGACACGAGACCAAGGCAGACGCGGGAGCTATGTCATGCGTGAACGCACATGTCAAAAGTACGTTTGATGTTGATGTTGTTGACTGTGCAAGCTTCAACTGACAGTTTCCAGTCGTGTCTTGTCCGGGGAACTCGTGAACGCAGCAGCACAATTGGTGTGCGGAGGGATACAACGGCAAGACGGGATACAGGGGATACGGACGGGAATGAATGTTTGTTGCAATTCTCGGCTTGCAGGGCCCTGTCGACGGCTGCAGGCCTGCAAGTGCCACACGATGGCTGCAGACAACCCTGGAAGACGCATGCTCGTCCGTCGATTCCGCGGTGTGTCGTATCCACCTCTTTTCCTCGCCGGCTCCGTGGATCGTGGATCTTCGGCGTGGGCCATGGCGTGGCTGAGCACAAGATTGACAGACGCAGAGGCCCTTGGGCAGCTGAACGGAGTTGCTGCGTTGGTGCCCTGTTTGAGTAATCTTCTCGTTTGTGATTTCTCACGAGATGAGACGCACAGCAACAGCAACGACCTCAGAAGAAGTTTTGGGGCTTTTGCTACTTATGCTACTCATCCCGTCGGCAAGGTTCCGAATTCCAGTTATTTGGCACTTTGTTACAAGCTACCTACCTATGATAGAATAATCACCAACCTGAGTCTGAAGTGACGAGAAGGTTGACTTGACATGACATGGCCGTGGGCAGTGCCAGCGCAGCTAACCTATCACTGGCAGCTGGTGGCGGGTCTCCACCACACCACACCGCCCGAGTTCCGTTGTCCTTCACCCCTCCATCTGCCCTACGCCGGCTGGCGGGCAATGTTTAACTGCCCGCTACTCCGTACCTAAGGTACCTACATGACAAACCCAAACGCCTTTTTGAATTTCTTTTTTCAATTTCTCACACATCAGACTTGGGGTGAAGACAACTTGACACGACCCGCGACGTCGACATTGGCACACACCTTGGTCCTCGACGATGGCATTGTTGACGGACGACGTACTCCTTTTTGTCAGCTGAGGTATACTTTAATTCAACTTTGGTCACAAAACAACAAGAACACACCTACACCCGGGCTCAACACCAACCCGCAAATTCACACCGAGTCGGTTATTTCCCGACGACAGTGGAGGTATCCGTACCAAATCAACTTGACGCCATAATTTACCCTCCCGCTTTCACTTCGCCCTAAAAGGCATCCCCCCCGGTCTGTGAGACGTGTCTAGGGTGGAGGTGACCCTCTTCAAAAGAGACAACCTACTCTACAAGACGGGAGACCACGGCCGGCGACTCAAAAGTCCAAACCAAACCAAACCAATTACCAAACCACCTGGCACCCACCCCCCAGACCCCCGTCCCCGTTCCCCGTCCGTCCTTGACCCCGAATCGTCATCTCCACCACCATAAACAACTGGTCCAATCTTTCTTCCTTCCTCCCCGAAACTTCAACCTCGACACCGTCGCGCTCCGCCCTTCCTTTTGGCTCTCCCACACTCACCTCCCTCGCTTCATGCGTCCTCATCCGCGTCTGTCAACCCTTTAAAGACACCTGGTTCGCCCCATCTGCTGCTAGCGCCCGCTTCTGTAAAAAGCCTTGAACTTCTGTCATGCGCCTCGGCCTGTCACCGCCGCCTAGCCCCCACGAGTCGACCACCAACACGTCGACGTCAATTCCGCCGCCTTCTCGTTAACGACACGTGAAAAGCAACAGACATCCCTCACCTTACTTTATAGAGTGGACCCACGACCTCCAATTCCTCCTCTGTCTCTGATCACCAACTACCTACCCACTTCCACGCCGATATGCCTCCAAGGAGATCCCACAAGAAGTCGAGAGCCGGCTGCAAACGATGCAAGTCGCGCAAGATCAAGGTAACGTCGCCATATCCCGCACCAACTTGCGTTCCCCTCCGCCTGCGCGCCCCGACCCCCTCGTGTTACCCATAACGAGCAATATCTAACACAATGTCTTGTCATAGTGCGACGAAGTCCACCCGAGATGCGGCAATTGCGTCAAGCACGGCGTGCCATGCGACTTTGAGAACCCCGATATCTTCGAAGACCTCCTCACCGCCTTGACGCCCTCCAACACGACCTCCTCACAATCTCCAATCGATAGAGCCGCTTCCACCGCGCCCTCACCTTCCGCAGCATTCTTGAATCGAGCCAGGACCCCATCCGTCGCAGGAGGCTCACCTCCCACCACGACATGTACGCCGCTGTACACGACACCTGCCACCGCTTCTATATCCACCACGGCGGCCCCGAATAACAGGTTGCTGGAGCTTCGATTGATGCACCAATTCACCTCAATGACCTCCAGCACTCTGGTGGTGAATACCCCCGCTACCCATGACATATGGCAAAACACCGTGCCAAGGCTTGCCTTTGGCGGGGCAAGCTACCTCGCCGACGCCATGCTCGCCGTAGCGGCGTTGCACCTGCGGTCCTTTAACCCGGACGACAAGGCGCTCGTGAGGGCATCCCATTCGTACATGGCGTCGGCGCTGGCCGCCTACTGCTCATGCTTGCAGAATGGTATCACCGAAGCCAACGCCGAGTCCCTCTTCCTGACCGCAGCTCTCATCGCTTTCTCATCCACCGCCACGCGGATCTTCATTCGCGACGAGGCCGACCCGAACGACCCCTCCAGCGCCTATTCGCTCCCTCTCTCATGGTTCCATGCGTTCCAGGGCGTCAAGACCGTAGTAGCAACATCCTGGCCTTGGATTCGCAATAGCGGCATCGTCATCCCCATCATCGACTCTCAGCCCGTTCTCCAGCTCGACCTGGATGCCACGTCACCTACCTCATTCTTCGGCAAGCTACTAGACAACTTGGAAGACGAGTTGCAGGGCGAAGACGCCATTCTGGCCATGTCGACGAGACAGTCATACCAACACGCAGTTGCCGTCCTCAACTGGGCACACAAGCTACCCCACCGCGGGGCCGCCCTCGCCTTCCCCGCCACGGTATCGAAGCGCTTCATCGAGCTGCTGGAAGAGCGCCGGCCACGCGCTCTCATCATCCTGGCCTGCTTCTTCGCTCTGCTGAAAGGATACGAGTCGGCGGTGTGGTGGCTGCAGGGCGTCGCGCGCAGAGAGGTCATGGGCATCGTGTCGCAGTTCGAGGCCACCAGCCCGTGGTGGGCTCACCTCGAGTGGCCCGTCAAGATCGCCCTCTATAAGCACAACGTCATCCCGCCCGACGTCTGGGGATCGGACTGGATCACCGAGGAGAACAAGGCCGAGAAGGGTCACAACATGAGCGCCGAGACCTTTGTCAACCACATCGAGATCCTGACGGGGGTGTTTTCGAGAGCGCAACCGCAGATGCCCGTCCCCGTCTCTACGAATGCAGTGTAAGCGGAACAGCTGGCTACGACGCGAACACGAAGAGCATGCGACGACCAAACGTGTAAATGTCAGGTTGGGAACATCTAGATCGGTTGATCTAACGACACATAAGAACGGGGTGGGAGTTTTGGGGGAAGGAGTTCTCACTGCCGAAGTATGGGAGCGGCTAGAACATTGGGGGCGGGCATGGAGCATGGGAGGGTTTTGATTTTCCGGGACCATCTTTTGTTTTCTTTTTCTTTGCGGATCACAGGCCGCCGGGAGAATTGATCTAAGGCGGGCTTCATCATCAACATACAAGGACATAGGGTTTTTCGGGTTACGGTATCAGCATATTTTTACGGCAAATCTAGGATGGGAAGCGGACTTTCATGGTGTTCTACATGGTACATACACAAACGGGCTGATAGCGGGGTTCTACGGCCTGGGAAACAGCTCAGACAGAGCATAGCGTTTTGACGACTTTCACCATTATGGACAAAAAAATCAATATCATAAGTGGAAATTTTTTGAGATGACATTGGTGGCTCCTTCGGCATTCGGGGACGATTCTGCAACGGAAAAGACGTGCTGGTTTTCCGCCTCTGGATAGGCTCGAGTAGCCTTTTTCGTCTTGCTCTGAAGGGGGTTCCCTCGCCCTGAATAGGCTCGAAAAGCGAGCAGGCTTGACCAGATGCCAGATGCCAGCCGCGCCTTGCGCCAAGACACACCATCTGTGGCCAAGTTGACAGCTGCCTTTTTCGAGGGTTACGTTATTTCTTTGCCCCGGTTCGGATGGCACTTACCTAGCGTGAGCAGCATATCTGCCTTTTCGGGTTTGATTCTTCAATGGCATAGGAGTGGGATGCCGAGGACCGCCGGGGGGAACCGTTTTGATATGACACCATGTGACTTTCACGGGTGCGCTAACCGATCTTTTTCAATCGTCGGGAGCATTCCTCGGTGTCTGGTTCGCGAGGGTTTGGAGTACGTATCGTGATAGATAGACTATTTGGGAGGACAACAACAAGGTTGGCAACGTCATGCTGGGCGTGGGAACGGGCGGATATGCCGCCGAAAAGAGGTTGTCATCTCATCTAATCCGTGTACCTACCTGGAGTAGAGTTGGCGACGTGCAGGCACGTAGAGCGCGTTGCCGATCTCCGCCGTTGAGAGATTCGATTTTTGTTTTTTCTGCCGAGGTCTGGGGATGACCGGCATACTTAACAAACTCTCTCTTCTTCTCTTTTTGGGTGACTTTTTGCGGGAAAAGAGGTACATAGGGATATGCGAAAGGCTGATTGCTTGCGAAAGTCTGTGGCCGTCGGCACCATCAGTGACGTCGGGGAGCGTGAGCGGGAGGACGGGAAGGAAAGGCAGGAGGTCTTGCTCCGGGGGTGGGATTCGCAGCCTTCCGGCCGGGGTTGCCGTAAGGTATGTAGCCCCATTTGCGCCCGCGGGGAATGACTCGGCGTTGTTTGCGGGAGGATCCGGTTGTTTGAGGACCTACCGGGGCCGGAGGGTTTTCCTGAGAGACAATCCCTCGGGGCGGGTAAAGTTGTTTTGTGATGGGCCGGGGGCGTTACGCGTACGTCTAGCAGGAAGCTTAAGAATGCTTCTTTTTTTGAATGATCTGCCGGGCCGCCTTTGGGGGTAAATAATATTCAATGAAGGCGTGGGATGGGTTTGGATGGGATGGCCTTGTCTTCTCGGCGCAGGTTTGACGAGAGATGTACATGAACTGCTGCGTGGTCTTGACACATTTTTGACAGCCCTGTCAAAAGAGGATATTTCTTCGTTGAGACTGATCAGTTTAAGAAGGGTAAGGAAATAGAAACCGAGTTTCCCGACGGGAGAAGGCAAAGAGTTGATTGACATTTTTGACTTGCATGTGAGATCACCGAACCCGCGCCAACCCGCCCGCTCGCTTCGTTTTTGGGTTGGGTTGTAAGTTTAAGCGATGGTGTGTGCTGCTGGTTTGTGTCGTTTGGTTCTTTTTTGTCATTCCATATTTCTAATTTTAAGGTTGACTTTTTCATGGGAGGGAGGGAGGGGAGCTCGTTCAAGCTCGTGTGGCTCGGTTTTGGGTTGGGGTGGTTTCCTGTATGACATCCGAATGGACTGTTCGCGATTAACCTTTTTCCCGGGGCCTGGGGTCTAGGGGATTGGGGGATGATGTTCGACCGGGACATGGCTTAGCATTCATTTCAAAAACAAATCCGTGTTTTTTGACAAGCAGAAAGGGAAACGTAAGACAGTTTACGCGGCGTGAAGGGTTTTAAGTCGACACGTGGGAGAGGCGAGGTGTGCGATGCGTTCGGATAGCGGTGCCATACCGGGGCCCGGGGTCGGGGCCGGGGCCGGAGAGGCGGAGGAGGTCGAACAGGGAGGTGAGTGATCTGTCATCACCTTAGTCGTGAGAGTTCTATTGGTGTTTTGGCGAGTTGGGCGTCGTCGAGTAGATGTGTCTTGATTGGTGCGCATGGGTTGGGCGTTCGTGGTATGGATTGACCGCTGGTTAGTCGTGTTGTATTAGTCAAATTAAGACTGAATCTTTTTTTTTTCGGTTCTGAGAGGCTATGGGTGGGAAATATTTGTGTTCGTGTAACTCGAGGCGCAGGAGAGTTGTATCGCGATGAACGCTGCGAAAGTTGGTCTCTTTTTTGACACGTCGGGGAGGCAAGATTGTTGAAGTCAATCTCGACGACTATTTTTCGTATGAACCGGTAGAGACACTGGTGTTTTTCTTTCATTTTTCGTAAAAGATGGCCTATCGCGGACATTTTGGACGGAGAATTGATAAGGTGAGATGATATCAGAAAACCGCCGAAATTTCGTCTGCCAGCTGGTTCGGATCAGTGCTCCGACCAAGCTTAATCCAACATCGGCCCCTCCTCTTTTGTTCGCTTCCGTGGACTCCGTCTGCTCATATAAAAGAAGGACCGCACGAGCCGTCTGGTAGTATAATAACGGTCGACTGAAACATCGGAGCATCCTGCATCGAAGAGTCGAATTACGGGAGAGCTCACACAAGAGCAAGCTCGGTCCTTTTGTTCAACCCTGCCGCGCCGGGACGGCACATTGATTAAAAAAACGGACAAGCAAGTGCCGAAAAGAGGTTCGGCCGTCACCCCAAGCAGGCCCTGTCAAGACTTAAGCCCGTCCGAGAATGGAGCCAACTGCAAGAAAGGGGTTAAAGAGCGTTCGCCAAGTTCCCAGGAACGGCGGCGAACTGTGGGGAAAGGCAGTGCCGATTGGAGGAGTCGAGATGTTCCTCCCTCCCAGGTGCGCGCGATGAAACGTCAAGCCAGCTGAGCTCTTTTTTGCTCCACCGACATCAACTCGCAACGCCTGTGTTTGGCCGTTGGCGAGCAGGCTGGCTGCTCTGGCGTCAATTTGTCTGAAGCAAAGGCATGCCTGTCCGCTCCTCTGTCTGTCACTCTGGCGAGTTATAGGCAGGGGTTGCTTGTTATACGAGACCGCTACCCGGGAGGGAACGACGAGCTCTCCCGCCTGCTGATGTGCACCTTTTTTGAGATTCTCGCGCCGGTAGTTCGGGAAGTGAGGGTCCTGATGGGGTTTTGAGGATCCCGTCAATTAGGAAATGAAGGGAGGATGATGCGGCTTGGTATTGATGGAGTGACGACTTGTTAGTAGTATATACCAGCTCAAAACCGCCGGAGGAGGAAACTCCCTTTCCCAACTCTTCAAAGTTCGCCTTTCCCACTGCTGAAAAGGGATCTCAGTCCCTTCCCCCCATCCCTTTTCTCGATTTCCTACGGATAATCCCAGAGCAGATCCATCGATCAAGAAAGACGATCCGCCAAGATGCTCTTCTCCGTGTCCTCGGTCCTCCTCCTCGCCCTCTCCACGGCCAACGCCGCCCTGACCTACAAGGGCGCCGACTGGTCCTCGGTCACCATCGAGGAGAAGGCCGGCATCTCGTACAAGAACTCGGCCGGCGCCTCCCAGTCCCTCGAGGTCATCCTCAAGAACGCCGGCGTCAACTCGGTCCGCCAGCGCGTCTGGGTCAACCCCTCCAACGGCGACTACAACCTCGACTACAACCTCGCCCTCGCCAAGCGCGCAAAGGCACAGGGCCTCTCCGTCTACCTCACCCTGCACTTCAGCGACACCTGGGCCGACCCGAGCAAGCAGGGCATCCCGTCCGGCTGGCCCTCCGACATTGAGAACCTCAGCTGGCGGCTGTACAACTACACGCTCGAGGTCAGCAACGCGTTCCAGAAGGCCGGCACGCCGCCCGCCATCATCAGCATCGGCAACGAGATCCGCGCGGGGCTGCTCTTCAACACGGGCCGCACGTCCAACTACTACAACGTCGCGCGGCTGCTCAACTCGGCGGCGTACGGCATCAAGGACTCGACCCTCAGCCCCAAGCCCAGGATCATGATCCACCTCGACAACGGCTGGGACTGGAACACCCAGAACAGCTGGTACACCAACGTGCTCGCCCAGAACGTCCTCAAGGCCTCCGACTTCGACATGATGGGCGTCTCGTACTACCCCTTCTACGGCAGCGGCGCCACCCTGTCGGCGCTCAAGACGAGCCTGACCAACATGGCCAACGCCTGGGGCAAGGAGATCGTCGTCGCCGAGACAAACTGGCCCACCTCGTGCCCGAGCCCGGCCTACGCCTTCCCGAGCGACCTGAAGGACATTCCCTTCTCCGCGGCCGGCCAGGCGACCTTTATTAAGAGGGTTGCCGATGTCGTGGCCGGGGTGAAGAACGGCAAGGGCCTGTACTACTGGGAGCCCGCATGGTGAGTCAATTTCCGTGTCGTGTTGTTTAAATGATCTGGTTTGCTAACCCTGATGTTGTAGGATGAACAACCAGGCCCTGGGATCGAGTTGCCCGTCGAACACGTTGTTCTCCTGGCCCGGCACCGCGCTGTCGAGCTTGGATGTCTTCAAGAGCATCTGAAGTGGCGTGCACCAGATGGTAGACATCAGTGCAGTGAAGAGTTGCACTGGGTCCATCGAACTTATCTTCCTTGGAGATGCATATATTCCGGATGCCGCACCCGAGAAAACGGGATCCTCGTTAAGCTGACAAAAGTGTCAGCAAGCAGTACATGGTTTTATCTTAGCAGTAAATAGTTTGAGCGCTTCTCGTACATACCTACTTGAGCCCGGTGTCAGGAGCACCGACGGCGGTACATAAGATTCAATTTTCTACACTCCAATCGGTCATATAGACCAAACTTACCGAAGAGCATAACTGAGATGAAATGCGATTTCCTGGTCGAACAAGCACTCAGCTCGCTGCCTTGATGAACATGATGAAATAGAAAAAGGGCAAAGGAAAGCTCAGATCAGCCAGGCGGGAACAGCTGGCAGCCACATCAGGAGCAGGTGGATTCCAGCCAGAGCTTCGTCGCGGGGCCGATAAGATTAGATAAGACGGCAGATAACGATAAGCAATTTTTTTGAAAGAAGACTCCAATGCAAGTCGCATCCCAGCCACAAGCAATACACCTGACGGACGACCAACACAACCACCGGCACAATGCTTCGTCAAATGTGAGTCGCGACTGCCATCTGTCGCATAATGGTGACTTGTGATTCTAACAGGCGTTTATAGAAAACCCCGCAACGCCCGCTCCAAGCGCGCGCTCGAGAAGCGCGAGCCCAAGGAACAGTACGCCAATCCGTCCATCCCATCTTCCTCCTCTCGCAAGCTAACGCACCGCCGCCAGAGAAAACCCAAAGACAGCCCTCTTCCTCCGCGGCAGCTCCTGCTCGCAGGTCGCCCAAGATGCCCTCAACGAGCTCTACCAGCTGCGCCAGCCGCTCGCCAAGCGCTTCGTGAAGAAGAACGACATCCACCCCTTCGACAACGCCGACTCGATCGAGTTCTTCTCCGAGAAGAACGACACCTCCATCGTCGTCTTCGGCCACACCTCCAAGAAGCGCCCCCACGCCCTCACCTTCGTCCGCACCTTCGGCCACAAGGTCTTCGACATGCTCGAGCTCTACCTCGACCCGGACTCCTTCCGCACCCTCGCCCAGTTCAAGGGCAAGAAGGTGCCCATCGGCCTCAAGCCCATGCTCAACTTCTCCGGCACCGCCTGGGACAGCCCCATCGCCAACGAGTACACCCACGCCCGCTCCTTCTTCATCGACTTCTTCCGCGGCGAGCAGACGGACAAGATCGACGTCGAGGGCCTGCAGTGGATCGTCTCCATCACCGCCGACGAGCCCACCGGCACAGACGACTCCAAGCCCGTCATCCGCCTCCGCGCCTACACCATCAGCACGAAGCGCAGCGGCCAGAAGGCGCCCCGCGTCGAGGTCAACGAGATCGGGCCCCGCATGGACTTCCGCGTCGGCCGCCAGCGCGAGCCGGACGAGGCCATGCTCAAGGAGGCCATGAAGAAGCCGCGCGGCACCGAGGAGCGCACCAAGAAGAACATCAGCACCGACGCCATGGGCGACAAGATGGGCCGCGTCCACGTCGGCCGCCAGGACCTGAGCGACCTCCAGACGCGCAAGATGAAGGGTCTCAAGCGCAGCAGGGACGTCGCGAGCGACAACGGGGAGGACGACGGCGCGGCGGCGGCGGACGAGGAGCCCAAGAAGAGCCGCAAGGCGTAATAGTGGTTGTCCGGGGCTTTGCGTGTGGTGTATTTGTTGGAGATTTCAAAAGACTACCAAAAGAGTGGAGGGAGATGCGGCGGAAGACTACTCACCGGCGTTATATGTATTGTTTTGGTCAGGAGGCATTCCCACGGTCGGAGTTTTCAGCTTCTTTCAGCAGATGGTCGGCAGATTACAAAAGCAGGAACATAGTCAAAAAGCATTTGAAGACCTCAATTCGCTGAACTGATTGCCCTTGATAGTTAGGGCCTCATACTTAAAGGAAGGGTTGACCTAGTTTTAGGTCCCAGTTCAAGATTCATCCCGCCCAGACTTTTCTTGCGAGTCTCGAGGGATGAGGCCATCTCGTCTTGCTCTTTCGAGTGGCGTCGTGAGGATGTCCTAGGCGGTCTTTATGGCAACTCATAGATGTTGATCCTCCAATGATTCGCTTTCTCCGGTTCTCATCTTGGTTGTTTTGCGTGTATGATGCCGTGTTATCGTACTCGGGTATCAGGCCAGATAGGAGTTGTATCCACAGCATGTGTGACGCGAGATGATGGTCTCACGTGAAGTTCCCTGAAACATTACGCTGCATAGACTGAAGCAACACATCCAGTCTTTAACTCCTTGGGACAAAGTGCGCCTATGTTTCTTCGGCAGCGGCTGGCCAAACATATCCTTCTTTTGTATAGCGAGACGGCGGAGGGATTGAAGGAACGTCTTCAGAATGCAACTCGGCATGGGGAGTTCTCCCCGGAAAGTAGAGGAACTGGGTTTAGATGCCACGTCGAGAAACGTCAGACGCTCTGGTATGGCGATTTTCTTATAAAAGCCTTGAACGGAAGGGTTTGTGATGAGATCAACAATGCGGTCTCTTCCATCACTGGGAGAATATTCCGCTGTCATCCATGGCTCGCTGGTTTAATTGCCAGACATATAGCATCAGAATCATGAAGAGTCCGGTGCGATGTTGTCTCGGTGCGAATACTACTCACTCAACTCGGCGAATACACCGGAAGCGAGGGAGGTGACAAGATCCGGAGGCCGCACGATGTCTTGGCATACCGCCTGACGTGAGCCGTCATCATAACCCCAGAACCCTCAAGTTGTATCCTTTCACAAGGTCAAAAGATACCACAACCTGCAACGAGATCAATTTTGGCCCTTCTCGGGTCTTCCTTACAATGAAAGAACTTTATACACGAGTGTCTAGTGCAGGCGAGACCTAGCGCCTGAGGACGATGACGCTGAACTCATCGTTGTCATTCATAAAGTGCTGGCGACTCGCAACTCCCATTTTTGGCAGTTGCCAGCCCTCAAACAGTGGCTGGTGCTATGTGCTGAGATATTACGAACTCTTTCCCAATGCCAGATTCATGCGCGCTGCGTATGCTGGTGGAAAGTGTCGAGGTGAGATGATGTGGCGAATGGTTCGGGAAGGGCACCGCAAAAGGAGTAATATAAATACTTGGTCTCGGGACATGGTCCTTGATCCTTAAAACAACCGGGCTGTGGGATGGAGTTCATTCTCTGGTAAAGGTCTTCCAGAGAGTGCTGGAGGGGCAATCGCTCTTGTACTTGCCTGTGGGCGTATGTTGAAGTGATACAGGCGATATTGCTTTTGACTCTTCTTTGCCCAGCCCTTCTGTTGCCAGTTTATCCTCTTTGTATATGTTGGCGAGTGATAAGAGGCTTCCGGCGCTTTGGATGTAGTTCTAGCGCGGTGTCGGAGACCTTGCAACACATCATCGTAGGGTCCATGGTCATCAATCTCAAGCTCCACAGCCACGGGTTTCTCGCCCGAGCAGCACATGGTTGGTGTATCGAGCCAGAGCTCATTCTTTTTCAAACCGGCTACGATGAAACCTCTCACAACAACCAGGGACTGTGGTCCTTAAAACCATTTATTTACGTTGCTTGGTTTCCATGGGACATGAGTGAGGTCGCCTTCAAGAAGCCGTCTTAACCAGCTACGGTCAGCGACATTATACATATTTCCTATGCGATGTCTGGTTAATCAGGTATCCAAGCGGTCAGATTTAGCCGAATGTTAATTGCCAAATCGATGGACTCTGATGGATTTGAAATCAAGGCGTTGTTCTGGGTGGTGACGGAGGTCCTGTAAGGGGCCTTAATGCGAGCAGTGAACCTCCGCGCAAACCACAGATAGCTTATTTTTTGCAGAATAACTCATAGATAGCAGTGACAAGAGCCACTCTGAGTTGATTTGTTGTTTTCCCACGTCGGATCTGCCACATGTATGATACGTAGACTGGAACTTGCATTGAGTGCTCCAGTCGCTGCTGCAGATGGAATGCGCTGGGGAGTGGAACTATGTTTGCTCTGATTGAATGGAAAAGTCCTGACTTCGACTTTTATATCAAAAGAATTATCTTTCTGGCATGTCTGGCCTGTCTGTCTGTCTCCATCGAACATGCTCGGATCATCACAAAACCACGCAACTTCGTTGGTCCAAAACTCAGGTTACACGAAGGTGTTTCACAGCGAGCGAAGGGATGTTCCTTTGTTTGTGAAGCACTTCATTCATCCACTGCTTTGACGAGACGCATTCTTCCTGACGCGATCCCAGGGTGCGTAGTAGAGCGCTGGGGTATAAGATAGCGCCGCCTCACCGGAGTCATGTTCAACACAGCAACGGCATTGGTGTAGTGACGTACCGCAGAGCAATGGAAACCATGTTGCTCCCTTCGCGATCCTGGCTTGGACACATCGACAGCGATCTCTGTGGAACGCGTGTCAGCAGGAGAAGAGGTTGGGGTTTCGGGATCGCGATGGCGAATGTTCGTTCCTGGCGGTCTTCGTCCTATTCAGAAGAAATAAGTGGACACGAGCACTGGACATCGACGTCCGTCGCTGCTGAAAGCAGCTGATCTCCCGGAGGTTCGACGTTTGGCATCATCCTCGTACTTCAAGAGCCTCATAGATCAGAGAGCACCACGTCAAGTTACGACAAAGCGCACGTGCAACGTGTCGAAGCAATCCAAATCGACATATTCCGTTCTTTTATACCATAAAAGCCCATGGAATCTTAGCAGCACATATAATGCGCCAGAATGTAGATCACATAAACTCGAGAGATGCGACTCATTCTGAGGTACAAACGTATTTGTTACGAGCTGAAGAGACGCACCCGAGATGCACTACTGTCATCATTGGACCTGGACTGAACCTCTCAGACGGACATGTTCTCGTTCCAAGGGCTCTAGTGACGTTTTGAGTTTCCCTTTCCATTGCCATCACTTCACTTCCATGATCTTCGTTTCGGGGATGGATCCATGAACGTTTAAGTCACCATAGCCTCCGAAAGAACTCTAGTCAAGACTTCCATACACAATGACTTGAGCAATCCATTGAACGTTCTAAAAGACAATCGGGTAGTTCAGTCTTCTGTCTTCTCCTAATCGGTTCCCCTTGCGTCTCGGTCTCTCCTCTCCGTCATCTTTCTTCTCACAGTCGCTTCCACTCCGCCTTCTCCAGGCTTGAGCTCGGCGTGCCTGAGCCTGGCGCGTTGAATTGTCACGATGTAGCACTGACGATCTTCCACTCTGCTTTTCGGCATCATTGCCGACTTATTCTGCCGTAGGAGTTGAATTCGATGCAATTTGCAGATATGAAGAATGATCTTACATACCGCGCCGTCTCACACGCGAGTCAGTCCAGTCCTGATCTCCGATGCTTAACCTCGCAACGTCAACAACAATGTTCCCATTGACTACCGTCTGTCGATTCCCAACCGTTTATATCATGTGCCCCCTAGCTATCTAGCCTGAGGATTTGCAGAGAGGACCCAATGAATCTCTCACAGGACTCACGACTCTCGTTCGCTGTCTTAAGCTAAATACTATGTGAGCGGCAGGGCGCCGGTCTCCTTAAACCCGAGCAACAGAGACAACCAAAGCCAGTGACAAGCATCTTTTGGGTATTTCATCTGCCGCCCGAGTCGACGTCCGGATTGATATTCTGAGGCCCAGGAAAGCTCCGGAGATCCATCACCACGGACGGGCGCACAGCAGTGCAGTTAACATGAACCAGCGCTTCTCTCACGGGGTATCATCAACGTATAAATCGGAAGCAACAGAACGAGATACTGTGAAAAACTCCTGTGTGTGTGCCTCAGCCTCAAATACCGAGAACATTCCATTACGTAGACATGGGCATCATGACATGCCGTCGCTGGAAGCATCTTTTCCTTCCATCTGGCCGGGTCAAGCGTTTTTCGCCAACCCATCGTTGCTGATCAAGCACTAATGAGCTCTGATGCTACCACTTTATGTCCGGTTTCTGCCACCCTCTGCTGCGGATGTCGATACTCTTCTTCACGTCGAACTGCGCTCCTACGCCCCGCAGCCCCCTGTGACAGCAAGCTTATGGTTTTCTAGAGGGCAGCAAGCATTATAAAAGAACCAGTTAATACGTCGAAGGGATTTCTAACCAACCAAGTACGAATCGATGATGTATCTGTCGTTCATCGTAAGGCCAATATCCAACAAGAGCGCGGAATACCCAGGCTTGTCTACTTCATGCAGCTGAAGCAACATAGACCATGAATTTTGTTTCTTCTTCGTCGTCCCTCTTTACTCTTGTGATATCACAAGCTGTATTACAAGCCATCTGATACCACGGTCTCCAGTCCTTCATTCGTTTTGGCCTGCCGTTCTACCAGATGCTGCCTCAATGGATTGGCACGGTTTCAAAACCCCCCCCCCCCCCCCCCCCACGACTCCGGAGAAGAGCAGCTCGGAGAAGAGTAGTTGGCTGAGGTTTGAGAATGAAGCGGCCTAGAAGCGCATTTAAAAGGGGATCATCGTCATCATATTCTAGGTTTCAATGGAGAAGGCGCATCGACGTTTGATGCGCGTGGTTGAGATTTCACCAGGAGACGTTCAATTATACACGCTAGATGCTTTTGTCCTAAAGAGAGAGTCTGGACGGTTGAAATAATTCGGTCTTCTAAAAGAGGGACCAGCTTGCTGAGCAAAATCACGAACTGCCGAACACTATCCCTCGTGAAATCTTTTCAGTGTCATCGGACGCTGAAAGCACTTCTATTTTCGAAACAGAGATACAATATCCCTCAAGCTAACCAGTTTGACGCTGGCGAGAAAGTAACAACATGCCATGCTACAACAGAACACCCCATCGTCTTCGGGAACATCCAAATTACCAACCCCCTATCAAACTAATGACCAACTGCCGCACCTCAAGAAGAAGAAATGGTAAGCTCTTAACGTCAAGAAATGCAACCAACTCGCTCATGACCAGCAAAAGAAGAAGAAAGACTCCACTCAAGCGTCGAGGCCCTTCTCCTTACGCCACGCCTTGATCCTCACACCCAGCTCCTCCCTCCTCACCAGCGCCTCGGGTCTCCAGACACCCTCCTTCTGCGGGTAAAACTCTTCGAAGCGGGGCTTCCCGTCGTCAGGGATCTCGACGTAGGGCAGTTTGCTCCGCAGGAAGATGTAGACGTCTGGACCGCCGAGCAGGGCAGGCGAGTCCAGGGTCCCGACGCGCAGGAATTTGAGGAGATGGAGCCCGGCGTAGTTGCTCCAGACGGCAGTCAGGCACACGGGGCAGCGGGCGATGGTCTGCGGCGCGCCTGACTCGGCTGGAACAGGGAGGAGAATAGGTGAGGCGATGGGAGCGTCTCTGGCGTCTCTCGTCAGCCCATCCGCGCTGCCGGTACCATCCGCAGACCCGGGCCTGGAAGGTCCAGAAGGTCTAGAAGCACTGGAAGGGCCAGAACACTCAGACGGTCCAGACGGTCCAGAAGGCCTGGACCGTCTAGGGGTCTGGTCGTCGAGGATGGCACCAGGGAACGTGACCAGCGGCTGGAGCGTGGTGGTGCGGCCGGGGAGCAGCTCCACCTCCTCACTCTCAACAACGGCGTTTACCGCGAAGGCGGTGCCGGACTCACGCTGGCAAGAGGTGCAGTGGCAGCAGTGTACGACGAGCGGCGCAGCCTTGAGGGCGTAACGGATGTTTCCGCAAGCGCAGCCGCCCTCGAGAGGGAATCCAGACCGCGCCTCCGCAGGCTGGACAGAGTCTTGAGACATGGTCGGGCGGTGATGGCTCGCCTGTTTCGAGGAGAGACCGGATGTTCTGCGTCCGTAGTCGATCAGTTCGCCAAGTCTGGGCCCTGACGGAGAGGGCTTTTGAGGTCTCGACGCTGCCTTGGTTGTCTGGACTGTCGAGGGAGGATTGGGTGGACGCGAAGGGGGTCGGCGGCCTGGACGCAAGAGGCGTGTAAGTGACATGTCTGCGGGGGGCTGGGGATGGGGGCGTGTACTCTTCACCTGAGTCGAAAGTTGTCTTGGAGGGACCCTTAATTTAATCTGGGAAAGATGGGCCTGGATCTGATAGAGGTCGGAGGTTTTGAGGAAGAGAAATCATCAGGAAGAAGAAAGAAAGAAAGGAGGGAAAGGGGATGAAGAGAAGGAGTAAGCGAGCGGAGAGGACACCAGGGCTTTTGGGAAGCGATGCATGAGATTTCCGTCGTGCCAGTCAGGAGCGACGTGATGGCCTGAATAGGCAGGTTCCTTATCTAATCACTGCAGGCAACGGTCGCCCCCTCTTCCTCTGCGTCTTTTTGCAAGAGGAAATGGCGGCATAAGCAGAAAAGTGCTCGATAATAATACGGAAGTTCTTTTCGATGTGGATTTACTACTTCCTTGCGTTCTGTTCTCTCGAGAACATGGGATTTGTTGATCGCCGAGTGTGGTAATGTCATGTAAACATCCACTTTCGCAAGAGGCGCTTTACGAGCGAAGAAGAGGGTGTGCTGCGGCTCTTCAAAGGCAGCGTTCGAGGCAACGCCTGAGACCAAGTAAAGCGACAGCTCACTTTGATTATCCTTGGCTTCGGGGAGCCCAGGCGTTTTGAACTGGTCATTCATAGGCATTGTGGCGCCGTGAAGGAAGGGGGTTGGATGGCCGGCTTAGACAGAAGACCCTTCGGTCTTGGGCAGCCATCACAGGCACACACAGGGTCTGAATCGTGGTCGCCCTCCTCTTACGAGGTCCGCATTCCAGAGGGTGGCAGGTCGTCGTTTGAGGTACGGCGTGACTGATCAGCATTAGGCGCCGTTGAACATGACGTTAGGATGTCTCTTCGTCATAGGCCTGGTATGCCGGTTTTCCAGAATGCGTTCGTTGTATATTAAACCGTTGTTGCCACGCCTTCTCGTTCTAGACCTCGCAAGACATCAAACCCTTCAGTTCTCCAACCTCAATCAGCCACTTTGATAAAGGCAGTGGAATTCAGCATTCCGAAAACACTCAACGATCACGATCAATCTCACGAACTTGCCACCTATCCGAAAATCAGCAATCATGCAGCCCGTTACCTACCTAGGGATGCTCTTCTTCATCTCAGCGTCGGCTCTCGCCGCGCCGCATCACCACCACAACCACCTTCAACGACACAGAGATCGCGTCGCTACACATGCACATATCAAGCACGACCACGCGATGTTGGCGAAAAGAGCAGAGCAGATCAGAGTGGACTCTTCGAAGGCTGCCCAGGCAGAAACGCAAGATTGGTCCGCGGAAAAACAACCGAGACAGTCGCCGTCAGAAGAGGGCCCGATTGTAACGCTATGGGAACAAACGACCGGGCCCAAGACCGCCGCGGCCGGGGCCGAAGAGGTCGTAATACGATCTTCCGAGCCGATGGCCGTCCGCGGGGAGGCGTACGGGAGAAGCAAGGTTGCGGCGCACGGCGACGTCGGGCTGGAGCATGCGGTGGAAGGTCTCGACAGCCGGCACATGAATGCGGCGACGCGGTTGTTGCTGGCTCATGCCGCTAGGAAACACCATTAGGTCTCAGCGGCTGGACGTTGATGGAGTTGGCGCGTGTATTTTGGCTGGAATGGTGGCTTTTTGTTTCTTGACTAATAAGCGGTTGGTGAGAGATCAAAGTTAATGAGCTAGACGAGGAAGCGAAGCGCGAGCGGGCGGCTCGCTGCGGGATCAGCGGGTGATGCGCGCGGGATGGTGCTTCGTAGGGCTGGTGGTAATTTTAGAAATATTTTTTGGAGAAAAATACCATTCCTGTTCTTGAATCTTGCGTGCTTGAGACGATCCCAATTCGCATGACATGGCACCCGGGTCGGCGGAAGGTAAAGTCAATGACGATCTGGTTAAATGGGTCCCGGAATGCTCGTCATCGGATCTTGTTGTCGAGATTGTATCAGGCTCTCGACGAACTTCTCTGATGGTGTGTCAGTCAGCTTCTCACATCCCTGCGCACACCGAGTGACAAGAATCCGCTTCAAGGTCTCCTGGAGACAGTGCCCGTCTCGTCAAATTGGCGGTGCATTTCTCTGATTGTGGTGCTGAAGCGGCTACGGAAACGCGGGCGGGTCGAGCTGCCTCCCTTTGGTCAGATACCGGCGCTGATCGGTGAGAATCCCTCACATATCTGGGTAGTGAAAAGTTTTCGAATGATTGAGGGCGGTAGGGGTTGACATCACATCGCGGTGATTTGTAAGGAGGTTTGCGGCGAGGGCGACCTCTGTTTCGTTTCGAGTCGTGTCAAGTCGTCCCGTCTTGTTTCCTCCGGCTGTGTCAGGGCGACGATCCTCCGAGCCGTCATGTTCGGGTTGAGACACTGTACGGTGATAGCATCGCGTCCGAAGTTTTTGGTGTAGAAAGACAGTGTTTTGTTGATTACATAAACAGTACGGAGTGATTGGTGCATGAACCTGCGATGGACCCACCACAGCTTCCTTTCCTTGACGTGTTGAACTTGAGGTTGCAGGTACGAATATCGAGGTACTTTAATCTTGGCGCGCAGCACCTTGAGGCCTTGAGGTTATTATTTCCAGTCGCGTGCTGCCTCCAATTCCATGGCCCTTTCGGGTGAGGTGCCTTCTCAGCTGAACGAATCGAATCATTCCCGCCTAGTGTCCGCGAACCGAAGCGAACCTGTCACCTCAAAGTCCCAACGAGAGACAGACACCACTGTTCAGTCACGGGAACTGAGTTGTCGATCCCACTTCTAGCTCAAGCTCTCCATCACCGGCTCCCACGCCGCCTCCGTCTGCCTCCACCCGCATCTCCTGTCCGTCTCCTTTTGACCATCACACGTTTCGACAACGACACGATACCAAAGCGCGAAACTCACGATTCGCTGCGCTGCGCTGCCCCTTTTCGACATTCAATAGGTACTCCATCGTCGTTATTGCTGCGATCACGACGCCAAAAGCATTTCGCCTGGTTGCCTAGGAGCCTTATTAATCCGACGTCCACCTATTCGAAACACACAGCACCCCCCATTGCTGGGGAGCTCCGGAACGCTTGGGCTCGCTCTTTTCTACACCACAGACGCAGGGAGGAACCATTTCGTGTCCAACACCCGAATCCCTGTCTTCAGCTGATTTTGTCGCCCGCTTGCTACCGTAGCATTTACGAGTCGACGTCTCCTGAACTTCTTCCCGTTGTTGCACCACATCGCAATTGCCCGTACCCGAATCGAAGCAATCGCGACTCTAATTGAAGCGACGAAACCCGACCGACCTCCTTTGCGGTTGCCTACGTCCCCAAAACATACCCCGACGTACACCGCTCAGACCTGCGATCCCTCGCGATGCCTTCGCCAAGGCAACTCCGCACCCTCATGATTGGTGTGCTGATCGGTGTCGTTTTCGTTCTCTTCTACACATCGTCACTCCGAAACAGCGACGTCAAGGACGAGCGAAGTCTTCAAGACTTCTACCACAAGACAGTCAACGGTCTCAACAAAAAACCGCCCGGCCAGGCGGTACTAGATCAAAATAAGGGCAAGAACTCCGGCCATGTGCCGGTCGATAAGGATGCCGACGGCGACGTCGACGAGGACGACGCCAAGTTGGCCAAGGACATGCAGGATAGGTTGAAGGCCGCCGAGGACAAGGCCAAGGAAGCCGCGAACAAGAAGTCGCCCTTGAAGCCCGATGCGCCGAGCGACGTTGTCGGAAAGGGGAACTCGGCCGCTGGACAAGACAAGAAGAAGGAAAAGACGGGCACCGGCAAGGATGTCGCAGCGGAGGGTGCAAAGGAAGAAAAGAAAGAAAAGGAGGAGAGCGACGAAGAGCACGCTGTCGAGGTTGAGCTCAACTCGATCCTCAAGAAGTCTCCAGGTACGTAGCGTCCTCGGGCGTGCAGACATGCGTGTGCTAACATTGTTGCAGTCATCATCTTCTCCAAGACATACTGCCCCTACTCCAAGAAAGCGAAGGAGATCCTGCTCACCAAGTACTCGATCGAACCCGCCCCCTTCGTTGTCGAACTCGATAAGCACCCACTCGGCCCCCAGCTCCAAGCATTCCTGGGCGAGAAGACAGGCCGCAAGACCGTCCCCAACATCTTGGTCAATAGCGTGAGCATTGGTGGAGGCGACGACATTGTCGAGCTCGACACCCAGAAGAAGCTGCTACCCAGGATTGTCGATCTTGGACAGAAGAAGGTCGAGATGAAGTTATCGACCGGCGATGCGCCGAAGAAGGATGCGTCCAAGAAGGATACGTCCAAGAAGGATACGTCCAAGAAGAATTAGCTCGCTTGAGCGTTTTCGTTCTGTTTCTATATTTCACAGTTTCTGGCCGACATGTTCTAGTGGCAGCAAAATAAGGATACGGTGGGAGACTGGCGGCGGATCCCCCAGTAATGGATATTGCATACTCGGCGTTTGGGATCAATTCAATTCTCGTCATCTGCAGCAAGACCTCAGCGAGCGACGTGGGATCTTTCGAGGGTTCCTATCGCGGACCGATTCCTGGAGACGACGGAGCGAGTCTGAGAGAGTCCGATAATGCGGAGGACTTGTACGATTAGTGTGTTCAAAACATTAACATGGCCACACCATTCAACTAGGCGCCATTTTCGCTATCGGCATGTGCCTGTCCAGACGCCCTTTCATCGTCTATCATCGAAGTCGCCAACAAACACTTGGCGCAGCGCGCTGAATTAATACCTTTTCCAACACGAATTGACAGCCGACACAGAATTTTCAGGAAATATTATCAAGTCGCAATCTGACCGATCGAAAATGAGGGTTAGAAGGTAGGCAGAGGCACTCGAACAGGGTCTTTGCGGATCCAAGAGGCTCTTTGCCATTACCCCGCCAAGATCGGCACCACTTCGAGACCAGGATCAACTACCTGACTTGGCATGGCAGGCCATAGAGGTACCGGGTATGATCTAATCTGGAACTCATCGATTGTTCGGCACGCATTTGTTCAATAAAATGTCCATTGTGACTGCAGTGAGTTGATTGAGTCTTTGTGAGTGCGGGAGTCTTGTTCTACCCCGCGATGGCCGACGATGCCCCTCGTCTGCGCCTACCACAACATCACAAGCCTCCTCAACTCGATGCTGTACAAACAAACCAGCAACGCTCAATGTCACACACATGAGTAATGCCGCATGACTTGCGTCTCTTTTTTCCAAAGATCCATCCTCTGACACCACTTTTTTTGATCTAGACAATTCTGGGGCCGCAATGCAGTCGCCATCATCGAGTGAGAACCCTGATGGCCCCTGGTCGCGAGATGAAAAGGCAGCCCGGTGCGCACTTGCGCCTGCAGCCCGGGTCGATCAATGGTCCTATCTTTCCATCTCATCATTCACCTCTTGCCCCTCGTGCCCCTCGCGCTCTTGGCTTTCGGAAACTTCACGTGGCACGGCTGTTGAACGGTGGTGGCGCCTGACCCTTCGTCCCATATCCGCCTCAGTCGACTTACACCACGGCAGCTACTTCAAGTCGGCGCATCGAGACGCCAATAACTACTTCACATCTTAAACAACACCATCTTTCTCGCTCAACTTCTCCTCGGACATCTTTGGCAACCCCTGTTATCAGACAATATACAACGTACCACTCGCTGCCTCACTCTTTTCAACCTACTTGTTCTTCACAGTTTTGGATAATGTCGCTTCTACCAGGCTACTTACTCCTCCTCGTCGCGGAGCAGGCGGGCTTCTCAGAGATCCAAGCCCTCCGGGCAACCTGCAAGTTCAACCGCTCCCTGCTGGACAGAAATGAGCACAGCGTAACAAAAGCAAACACATCCCGCTACCCATATGCCCCTTGCAACCACATCCTCGCCTCCGACACCCGCGAGCGCGAGGTCCTCCCCCTAGACACCTTCGACACCATCCGCGAGCTCCAGACCCGCCAACGCAACATAGACGAGCTCGTCAATGGCAACTTTCTCGACTTCTGGGACGAGTACGACCTCGACTACCCCTCAAAGGCCGACTTCATCCGCGGCTCTCTCAGAAATGCGCTGTGGCGCTGCTCGGAGATGGCCGACCTCGAGACGCATTCGATCAAGTACAGAGACGACGTCGTGCCGAGAAGAGACCCCTGCGTCAAGTCGCTCATCCACCAGGACCTCATCCTCCGGGACGCGCCGCCGCCAGACGGGTGGCACCTCGCGCTGAAGGAGGTCCACGACTCGAACCGGCAGGACGTGCGGCTCCGACAGATCGCACATATACGGGAGTGCCTCGGGGCGTCGGACCTCGCGGGCATACTCGTCCTCGCCCACCTGACGAGCCAGGGGTACATGCGGTACCGGGCGCCAACCTCGGCCCGGTCAAGGCCCGAGATCGTCGAGATGGGCGTGTGCATGGCGGAGAACGTCCTTCGGCACGGGGTCTTCTTCCTCCACGCCAAGATCAAGGGCGGGGAGGACGCCCACGACCACGCCAAGCTGCTCCTCGACGATACCTACGAGGAGATGCGCAGGTGGGAGACCGGGGATCCTAGCGTGATGGCCGGTCTTACCATGACCGTCGTCGCCAGGTTCTGCGAGGTGGTCGGGTGCGAGCGCAAGGATTACCTGACGGCGGCGTGCACGTTGGTCAGAGGGGACGTGTGGAAGAAGGAAGAGGACGAAGGGGAGGGTGAGGATGATGAGCGGGAAAAGGAAGATGGTTTGCCTGACGGCGAGGGCGCGGGTTTTGGCGAGATGGCGTAGGTTGCCGGAGATATCCACGGTGAGGTCAGTCATTTGGAGTAAGAAGGTGTTGGGATAGGGATTGATGATGGGAGCACGATGATGATCATGCGTTACGACCCTGCAGAGGAGGCCAGCCGAGCCGATGAAGTATTGCATAGCGACACCAAACATAGCAAGGAGCTTTGAATTCTACGTTCTTGAGTAGTCAATACGATCAGCTTTTTGAATATTTCTTTTGCCTGTACTTACTGGAATGAGAGGTCACGCCGAGTGCATAAATCCACACGGATGGACAAGACCAAACTTTCGAATGCTCTTGAAGAATTCATACAACCCTGGCCCTTCTCTCGCGCAGAATGCATTTGTGACTTGTGAGCGTCCCTCAATAAATCGAGCTTTCCAAGTAGATATCTGGCTTCACGACAGCACATCTCGGCCATTCGTGGCAGACGTATTCATAAAGACACGAGCCAGTGGAAAATTCCAGGCTCAGCTACGCAACGAAAGCCAAACCATTTTGAAAAGCCCCAACCTGTTGAACTCAGTATTAAGCCAAGATTCACTGTATCCATGACCTTCTCCACCTCCGAGAAGAAACCTCCCTGTCGGCCTTGTGACTTGTGGACGTTCCTTCCACAGCCACGCGTCACCAAGCTTGCTCTCCGTCGTTGGAGGGTGCTGGATTTGGTCGTCTTGCTGCATGAAGCACCGAAGAGAGGAGACTGGGAAGCTCCCCGTGGTAATCTTTGAAGCGCTGTCTGGTTGCCTCTCGATCTAGGCATCTATTTAGTCAAGAGGTCTGCGCGAGTTCTCGGGATCCAAGTCGGGGAGAAGGTGGTCTATGGATAGGGGGGTGCCGGGATGCTTTGGTAAGAGTTTGAATCTTCGTCGTCGATATTTCCTTGTTTTTAGACAGACGTCTTTGTCTTGTGAAGCTCATAATCATGGGTAGACACTGGCCGTGGATGTCGGGCCATGGCGGACTTCTTCAGGGATGGCGTGTATGGCTCTGTCTTCAGGCATGATTCCTCGCAATCTTGTGACAAGGCTTGACATGGTAATGGATCAATAGCCGAGACTTTCCGTGTTCTCTCTCCCCCTGTCCCTTCCAGCGGCGTCGGGATGACCTCGCCAGAAAGACGTGTTGAAGCTGAAGAGCGGGACAATCTCCTGACGAGGCCATGCGAGGGAATGGGTCAATAGCTGGGACTTTCCGTATCCTCTCTCCCCCTAATCCCTCCAGCGGTGTCGGGATTGCCTCGTCAGAAAGACGTGTTCAAAGCTGATGAGCGGTAAATTCTCTACCAAGGCAGCTGCAGTGAATTCTGTGACCAGAACTCAACGGCATACTTCCCAAGTGCCGACTCTTTCTCCTTCGCCTTGGGCTCGTGACGAAGCATCGAGGGTGTCAAGTAGACAGACAGCTGGTCGAGGTGGACCGCAACAGCCGCAGCCGGGGCATACCTGTCTTCGAAGCACCAACTCGCTTCAGCCTGGCTTGGTAAGGAAGGCACTGGAATTCGCAGACGTTACTCGAGTCAAGATGAGGGACTCGTGGGGAGTTGACGTGGCCTCGAGAGTTTCTTTGCATTTCGTTGGGCCCCTCAGGCAGAAATCAGTTTGTTAAAATTGGATTTTCCCCTCTCTCCCTTGCTACGAATCCTCGAGATTGACAGCAGCGATAAGATTCTCTAGTCTGAAGCTATTCATTCAAAAACGTCCAAAAGCCATGTTCTACCATAAGACAGTCCTGAATCACCTTTGACGATAAAACGTTTACAGGGCAAAAAGGGTAAAAACGGCAAAAGGAAATGGAGCCGGGAGGATTCGAACCCCCGTCACTCTCTCGCCTGAGAATATATCGGATTTTAGGATCTAGGGAAAGAGGGCGAGAGAGGCTTTACCACTAAGCTACGGCCCCTCTGGGTTGTCTTGTTGGGTACTAGGAGGCTGAACTTGGCTATAGGGTCTTGCTGCTGTTGACTTTGTCTCCTACCTTGGCGGGTTGGTGAAGGCGGGTTGGTGAAAAGTTAGATGCAAAAAAGAAAATGGGCCAAAACGACAAAAAGAAGTGATGGGGCCGGGAGGATTCGAACCCCCGTCACTCTCTTGCCTGAGAATATATCGGATTTTAGGATCTAGGGGAAAGAGGGCGAGAGAGGCTTTAACCGCTAAGCTACGGTCCCTTTGAGTTGTGCTTGTTGGGTACTAAAGAGTTGAATTTGGCTATAAGGCCTTGCTGCTGTCGAGTTTTTACTTTTGGGGCTGACGGTTGAACCGTTGAGATCGTGAAGGCTGATCTATCACGGTGACGAGGTGGACCGGAAGCCTAGGGCGGCGTCCACCTGGAGAGCGCCGGAGTTAAGAACTTTGGACAGCAAGGTGACTAAGAAGGCTGTGGGAGCCTGGAGGCATGGATATCGCCGCAGGACTGAAGCGGCATAATCCAGAGTCTGCCTGGCTGCAAAAACCTGCCGAGTTGTAGTTGCCTGATGAGCATATAAGTTAAACCGGGGCGGAGCAGAGGCACGGGTTTCAGCGGCAGAAGGACGGAGGCCAAGCCGGGATGCGATCGCCGAGAGATCGGCTGCTTTGGCGCCAAATACAAGCTTTTCCAAAGTACGGCCGGGGTAACGGTGCCTTGCAGGAGTACACGCGGAAAACGACGAGGACGACGACGTGGAAGGAATGGTTGGTTCACCGAAGTGGATATGGTCGTGATGGCTCATCAAGAGTCACGGGTGGGGTTGGTTGGTTCATCTCTGATACGTGGTGGTTGACTCGACAAAAGACGAAGGTGACGGCGGGAGTTTCCTGACGTGAACGATAGATACCCTTGATCCGAACTGAGAAAAGATGCAGGGTTCCGTTTCGTAAAATTCTTCTCCTCGAAAAAGATGACTGCGTCTGCGATGTTGCGCGTCCGTATCAGCAGATTTCCAGGCTTCCAGATTTCTACGGCGGGAGGGAGTCATCGGGGGGCGCACGGTACTTTCGGGGACCCTGTGCCCTGGGAAGGCCTCTGATTGGATTAAAATGGAGGCGTGGTGAGTGTCGTCACGGGCCCCCGCTGATCCTCTCTGGACATCCTAGTCCCTGTTCTTTAGGGATCTAGAACTTGCAGCATCGTGGCCAGGACCGACGATGGTAGGACTAGTATGTGCTTGTTCGGTGGGTGACTCAGGCCAATACCGAACCATGTCTCTCGAAAGGGGGACGGTAAGCATTGCGAACACCATCTCCACTACTATGTTAGTGGTTGCGACTAGAGTTCCATTTGCCGTGGTGACAACAGGCGGTTTGCGCAAGCAGGGAGCTTAATTTGAGCCCTATTTCGCGTAGGTCGTTGCCGGGAGCCGAAGCGGGACGTAGCGGCCGCGTCGTCTGCCTGCGCTGCACTGCACGCACACGTACGGATACGGATGGCAGGTGGTTGGGTAATCTCCCCGGACGTGAAGAACTCGTAAGGCGATTGCGTTTGTGTTGTTGCGATGCTAATGGGACTTGCCGATGCTCCATCATTTGGCGGCGGGCGATAGATGCCGACGATGTGTGTGATGGCGACGAGTTCTTGGCGGGATTGTGTGAGGCAGGCTGAGTTGTGTGGCTTCCTGCCAAGCTAGCAGCTACCTTAGCTTGTAGCATTATTGCCTTTGTCACCGGCTGTCGAGGACCGCCAGAGGGTTTGGGTACGTTATCCGCTGGTCCTGGAGCGAGATGTCCGATGCAAGCGGCCGCAGTTCGACTTTGGCTGAGGGTGCCAAGCCGACCCTGGATGTCTGTCAATTGATTAGGTTGAGTCACTACCGAAAGGGAGGGGGATCGCGGCCATGAGGAAGAGGGCTGAGAAGAAGGAAGCTTCCGAGTCTATCGGATTGAGGCATTGACGGTCCACGAACCGGCGTCACTCCTGGGTCGTGCCCTTGATGTGGTGTTCTGGGTCATCCCGGCTGTCAAATCCAGGGAGAAAGAACCGGCCTGGTTAAGCTCACAAGCTTCACGATTCCTGGCACGAGCTACGCAATGGTGTGGGGCTGCGCTTGTGTCGCTTCCGGTGTTGTGGTTGGATGCCCAGCTGAACGAGGCGGGGGAAGGGGGGGGATGAAGGTTGCTTTGGTGAGAATGGAAGAAAAAAGGTACACGCAATGAGTGTGAATAACATGGGATGGATTGGGATTGGGTTGTGGTGGTGTGCGAATTAACGGCGCCTCTGCAGGTTAGGGACCATGCCTGTTCTGCGCCCGTTGCACCCATCCCATCACGTTTTTGGAGGGGAACCTACCTAGTGTAAGCATGCATCCCAGATACCTCGACTACCTACGCAGTAGGTCGACAGCAAATACGGGTGACATTGGGCTTGGGGCGGTGCATTTCTTGGTGAAGCATATAAAGACCCTAGGAAACGCCGGATCATGCTGCTCTTTTTTGTTCTTGGCCTGCGTCAGCAAATCAATCACTTCTTCTTCGCAAGACTACCTCCAAACATAAAACAAACAAACAAACCCATTCTTCACCCTCGTCTACATTCTCGAGTCGAGAAACAGCAACATCACATCACCACCCTCAAAATACTACCATCCACCAACACCACAACCATCATCATCACCACCGCCACAACCGCAATCATGGGCAGAGACTCCTTCTCCGAGACCTCCACCATCTGCTCCTTCGAAAAGGAGACCACTCCCGAGGCCGCCCCCGCTCCCACGAAGCGCTCCATGAGACAAAGGGTCAAGAGGGCCCTCCGCGACATCGGCCACCCGCCCACCTACCGCTACGACCTCGAGCACGGCATCGACACGAGCAAAACCGTCCCCGTCGGGCCCACGGGTTCCAACGTCCTCAACCAGCCCTCGCGCATGTGAGAGCACACGCACACACACACACTCGCAGCGGGGCCGGGAAGAATGGAGAATGCGATTTCTCTTCTTCTTCTCTCCGCGATACCTTTCTACGCGGATTTCATGAGCGATTGCGGACGGGACGGCGTTTGACGGAGTTGGCGGGGCCCGTTTTCCTACGGGAGCGGCATCCCGAATGTCAACATTTTTCTTTTCTTATACCACGACCAAAAAAAGACGTATAGGTCGTTTCTGCTGTTTTTACGATGTTGGCGAGCGAGGAGGTTGTCGGCAGAGACGGGCCTTGCGATGCGGGAGATTTTACTGAGAACTGCCGTGACGGAGGCGTTGTGGCTGTCTCTCGGGGCTGCCCGTCTTCCAAGGACTAGTGTCGACGGCCGACTTGCACGCTTTGGAGTTGGGAAATCGACAAAGATTGCTGGATACCCCCAGATAGCAGATGTCTTTTTGATGAATGAAAGAACAATACCACTAAATTATTCTTTACTCTTGGCTTCGCTTATTGCTACGATGATCTTGATTGAATTTCATTTAAGCCACGAGTGCTTGTTTACAAATCGCGCTGGATGGAAAGATATTCTGATGTCACCGACGACATCAACGTTTACTGAATCGATTGAAATAATTGCATAAACAATTTATTGCGCTTATTAGACTGATGATGACGCATCCCTAGATAAAAGGTATCGCGGCACGGAGCTCTGCGAGACCCATCCTGCCGGTTCTGTCCCGAGCGCCCCCGGCGGAGTGGGGCTCTCCAACTCCGTGAAGCGCCGGAGGGAATGTCTTCGCTGCTGGAAGTCCTGACTCCACCTTGATACCCCCTCATTTATCAAACTTCGATGAACATCGAAGAAGCATGTTTTGCTCATTCAGATCTTACGCCGTCGGTACCGTTTCGGCGCCGTCTTGCAGGTCCTTTCGGAGCCTAAGTGTACTGGACCTACCTTACCCAGACGGGGTTAAGTGGAGATACAGCTTCCGTTGCATCACCGAAGACGTGGGAAACTGGATCTACGGTGTTAGCTGCGGCATCAACTATGCAGCATCACCCTTCCCACATTAAGCATCTCTGTACCTCTTGATGCCTCTTTAGAGCAGTATTTGCCTTCATCGATAAATTTTCAGACCCATCATGCCATGCCATGAGTTGACATTATTATTAGACCGCCATGAACACGGCAGTTTGGAGCTCGAACCCTATGCCTTCCACGCATGGAACACTTGACGTAAGCAAAGTCAATTCATCGCTTTTGAATCTGAAATATCCCAACTTTTGAAACCAAGCTGTCAAAAAAGGAGCCGCCTTTCGGAAGTCTGAGCGGCGGGGGAATACGCCGGGGATTTGCGCTCCTTCTTCGGCTTAGAAATCACCACCATTCTCGGCGCCGAAGAAGCACGGCATCGCCAAGCTTATTCAGCATGCACGTCGTGTAAGTGGAATACACAACAGAGCCGCTTGGTGTGATATGTAGAGCCGTAATTTTTCAACGGTATTTTCCAGTTACGACTCAGACTTGAAGAGAATGAATACAAAAGGGACTCATTCTCCCCTCTCCTGTCCAGGGCCTGACGAACTACACGTCACGCATCAAACCGCCTCGACGATCAGACGAACGATATTGCATCACATACACACACTAACTTCCGCATAGCAACAACCCCCTCTCTCCCAAAAGCTTAACAGTCTTCGAGAAAAAACCATCTCATTTTCCCTCGTCATGGTCACCATCCCAAAAACACACAAGGCCGTCGCCACCCCCGCCCCGCGGGCCCCCCTCGTCCTCCTCGACCGCGACACCGAGGCCCCCGGCCCCGGCGAGGTCCTGATCCACAACGAGTGGACGGCCTCCTCCCCGCTCGACCTCCACCGCGCCGACGGCGGCCTGCTCTGCCACCACCCGGAGGTCATGGGCGGCGGCGCGGCCGGCACCGTTGTCGCGTCCGGGCCCGGGACGGAGCATCGGCTCCGGCCGGGTGATCGGGTGTTCTACTTCGCGTTCCACGACTTCCGCGAGCGCGCGCATCAGGATTTCGCCACCGTCCCGGAGTATCTTGTGTCGGCGCTCCCCGGAAATGTGAGGCCCGAGGAGGCTGTGACGGTGCCGACGAATTTGATTACCGTGTTTCATTCCGTCACGGCTGACCTTGGGCTCGAGTTGCCCTGGCCGAGACCAAGTGGTTGGGAGCCGAGGGAGAGGGATGCGCCGGTGCTGGTTTGGGGCGCGGCGAGTAGTGTGGGCGTGTACGCCGTGCAGGTGCTGCGGTACTGGGGGTACGACAACGTGATTGCCGTCGCGAGCGAGAAGCACCATGCGTACCTGAGGGAGATCGGGGCGCGGGAGACGTTCAGTTATCGGGACGCGGATGTGGTCCCACGGGTGTTGGAGGCTGTGGGCGAGGACGGGGTGCCGTTCGTGTTGGACTGCATCGGGTCTGTCGAGGGCACGCTGAGGCCGTTGACGAAGATCGCGAGGAGGGGGACCAAGGTGGCTATCATGTTGCCTGTTATCGTGAGGGATGCGACGGAGGAGGTCGAGCCTGAGTATGAGATGGACGTGGGGAATGTGCTTGTCGGGGAGTGGGATGAGGGTGTTGAGTTGAGGGGCGTGAGGACGCATTTCTACCTGGCGGTAAGTTGAATTCTTTTCTTGGAGTTTGGTGATGATTGGTGCTGACGATGGACGTAGAATGAGTTCTTCAAGGAGAAGATGCAGAGGGAGATCGTGCCCAAGTTGCTCGAGGATGGCATCATTAAGCCAAATAGGCAGAAGATCGTGGAGGGAGAAACGATGTTGGAGAGGGCGCAGAAGGCGATTGAGTTACTCAGGAAGAGGGATCCTTCTGGGGAGAGGCTTGTCTGGAGGGTGTCGGATCTGAAGTTGTGATGAGTGTGAACAGCATCCACATATGAAAAGGAAAAGAGCTTAAATAGTAATGTTGAAGGATCATAAGAGATCTCATAAAGACTTGGTGTAGTTTTTACGGTGTTAAGAAGACCACTAGACAGCGAGCGTCCACGCATATCCATTCCTGCAGATACCATATGTCTGTAGCATCGTGTTAATATAGATGATCCCAGTACTCTAGGTTGCACTTCAACTTGGACTCATGCCTTCGCATATCATCATCAATAGTGATTGGTTCAAACCAGCCCGCTCCCCCTTGTGGAATGGTTGGATTTACTCTATGTCGTCAGCTTCCGAGGGTCATTGGAGTAGCAGCCTCCAGCAATGTGACACACTTCCAGAAGGGGGCTTAGAATATTCACTGCATTTTAAAACTGCACAGAGGACTTGTGTTTATCGCATCTCACCAGCCTATCGTATTGCATCGGCCTGCATCTTTCCTCTGATCACCTCCTTGGCAAATATATGATCATCTTCACTGCATTTTAAACCCACCTAGAGGAGGCCGTTTCCTTCGAAGTTCTCTTGGTCGCTCAACGAGACGCAGCCTTCTCGGAGCAGGTGCAGCTCGGCTTCAGTACATTCAAAACCCGTTTGGGGCAGTTGAATCCGTCGTTCGAGAATGCGCGGCTCAAATCTCAGACTCGTAATGCAGCCAACATTGATTGCATTTCGAATACACTCGAAGCGTTTGATGCATTTGCTGTATCGCGACGTTGATTACTGCAATTTCAACTCACGTAGTTGAATGTGGTGAACCCCCTTGCTTGTCGCTCAACAAAGCGCAGCTCGATTTCGTTATTCATCTCGGCCTCACCAAATTCGACTGGCCTGAGATAAACTTGGAGTGTCTCTGATGAAGTTTTGACGTCAGTTAGTACGCGAAAGTAAGAGGGGGGGAGTAGGAGGGGGAGCCGCCTTCACGGAATTTTGAACCTGCCCCGAGTATTTAATGCAATGGATGCGACCTGATTGCAGCACTTCACTGAAGGGAGGAAAACAGCCTGAAAAGTGATGGAAAGTAGAAAATAGTGTTTGTCGCTCAACTCGCCCCCTCGTAATCGCCGAATCCTACTTTCAATCATCACGCTGTGGGGGGATCTAATCTACAAACATACGAGATGTTTTTGTCGACCGTGCTTCACAGAGTCATATCCACCGGCACGGCTCCAGCTGTGGATGCAAAGTTCAGAGCACTCGCATCGGCGAAGTGGACCTGAACCGGGCGACCGGTGATGTCAAGCAGAACGGGGAAGACGGAGTGGACGGAAGGTCCGTGCACCATGGTTCCTACCTTTTTGGCCGCACAAAATCACATGACTGCGGGGCGCAGGGCAACCGAACCCTACAGACCAGAAATTTTGGGGCGGGCGTGGGTGCAGGTCAAGCGAAACCCCCAAGCGACCGAAAGCCCCATTGCCTCCCAAAACTTCAACCGCACCGGCATTTCAGCTTATTCGCTCTCGATAGACCGCATCGAAAGCGAATTCCCTGACCTCACAACACCGCAAAGATGGCTGACGACGAATACGTACGTGCGACCCTGCTCTTCCCTCCCCCGCTCGATGGAAAAACAGACAGACACCGCGCCGCCGCGGCGATGACGGATTGAGGAGGAACACACACGCACACGCCCGGGTGGCGCGACACACAACGAGATCATCACGAACAATTTTTTTTGGCTGACTGGAGGGATAATACAGAACGCCGAGGAGGCTGCCGAGATCAAGAAGAGAAGAGCCTTCCGCAAGTTCTCCTACCGCGGTGTCGACCTCGAGGCGTACGTTTTCCCCGTTTGAGAACCCTGTCCACAAAAAGAAAAAGAAGCCCGTCCATCACGCAACCCCCTCGAGACCGTCTCCGAACACACCCCATCCATCCCACGAACACCGAACGAATCAATCGCCATCTCGAATTGGAACCGTCCAGGCTAACGTGATGCCCTCTCTCACAGTCTCCTTGACCTCGACTCCGAGCAGCTCCGCGATGTCGTCCACGCCCGTGCCCGCAGGCGCATCAACCGCGGTCTCAAGCGCCGCCCCATGGGCTTGATCAAGAAGCTCCGCAAGGCCAAGCAGGAGGCCAAGCCCAACGAGAAGCCCGACCTCGTCAAGACCCACCTCCGTGACATGATCGTCGTCCCCGAGATGATTGGCAGCGTCATCGGCATCTACTCCGGCAAGCAGTTCAACCAGGTCGAGATCAAGCCCGAGATGGTTGGCCACTACCTCGGAGAGTTCTCCATCTCATAGTACGTCCAATACGCAGCTTCATTCCAGGAACCGCATGTCTAACATGATCGCAGCCAACCCGTCAAGCACGGTAGACCCGGTATCGGTGCTACCCACTCTTCTCGTTTCATTCCTCTCAAGTAAGAGGTTGGTTGTGGGCTGTCTTAGGGAGGTTCTTGCATTCAACGGACATCAAGGCGAAATGGGAAATGGTTTTGGTAGCATGGCAAGGCCACTATCATGTTGTTTGGGCAATGGTAGTTCAATCCAACATCGTTGTCCGTAAAAAAAGTTTGAGCCTCAAATGGGAATGAAATAAACGACATGGAGATACCAAAACTACCTGAACTTGAAGAATTTGATTCGCCGTGAGTGTGATAACGTGTCGCGCCAGAATGCTGGAGAAGACGGACCCCGCGCAAATGTTTGAACCAAAAACTTAAAACAGGCCCGCCATGATGCAATTTGTCACTCGTCTATCTTAGCCCTTGTGGGAGACCCGCTGAGGGCCCGATATCAAGGACTCGTGCGTAACACGTCCAAGTTAGGAGGATCGATCATGGACAGTAAAATCACGTGGGTATATCGTCTAAAGTAGCACTACGTCTAATCATTACAACTCCTGCTTGCCCAGCTTCTTCAGCTGCGCCTGCTCGTGCGCGTCCAGCCTGTCGTACAGGTCCTTGCTCCAGTGGCTCTTGTCTCCCTTGTTCTTCTCCATGATGGTCTTGGCGGCGGCCTTCCAGTTGCCGTCGCTCACGCGGTCGGCGATCCTCTTGGACGCGTCGGCCTCGGAGGCCTTGAAGAGGGGCCACACGCCGACGTCGGCGCCCATGGTCTCGTCGAGGAAGCTGTCCAGCACGAGCTGGCCCGTCTTGCGCTGGGCGCCGTCCCACCGGGCGTCCTCGGGCGCGAGGACCTCGAGGAGCCGGTCCATGCCCTTGCTCGCGATGAAGTCGTCGCGGATCGCGGGGCTCTTGAGGAGGCCCCGGATGGCGGAGACCTGGGCCTTGGCCTTGTTCGCGGCGCGGAGGACGTCCTTGTCGGCGGTGCTGGCGGAAGCTGCCTTCTCCAGCGAGGGCATGAAGGAGGCGTAGAACGTGTCGCGGAGCTTGGGTGCGTCCTTGGACTCGGTTGTGGAGCACGAGGCGTCCATCAGTTGAGACCAGACCTTAGAAACCTCCTCCAGAGCGGTGGGGTTGTTCTGGAGGGCACCGGAGATGATGGCCGCGGCCTGCTGGTCTCGGGGGACGGTGCCCTCGCTGGGTGCAGGCGTGTTGGGGTCGGTCATGAGGCAGAGGAGGGACTTGACTGTGTCGAACGTCTCTGTGATCTTCAAGCCGTAGTAAATGTCGTGAGAGATGTCCTCCAGAAACTCGAGGACCTCGTCGATGGGGAGGTCATTTCCGTTTGCGCCCTTCTTCACGTATTCGAGGTTGGAGTAGAACTCATTCGACTCCTGCGGGGGCTGCTTGACCGCACCAACAGAGTCGTACTTTGGCGCGCCCTTCGGCAGCGGCTGCTCGTCCTTGGCCTCTTCGCCGTCCACGACCACAATGGAGCGGTCCACTGGCATGCCCTCCAGTGCCGGATTCTTCTCGGTTGGGTCGTTGATCTTAGCCTCTTTCTGGCCGGTGTTGATGTTCATCCGTACGTGGAGTCCATGGGGTAGTTCTTGGTCGTCATGAACAGTCTGGAATTCTTCTGTTGGTTGGAAGACCTTAGGGTAGCATTCTGCCGAGTTGTCTGTGTGGCAGATGAGCTCGACTTCAGCTGCTGGTGATGATGCGGCTGGTGCTGGTTTTGAGGCAGCGACGGCGGTTGCCAGAGCTAAGAGGCCGAAGAGGACCATGAAAGCGGTAAACGGGTGGAAATATGCGCGAGTGGGGGATCTCGACGCCATCTTGAGAATGGTTCTGTGTGGTGATGTGTTGTTGAGGAACGAGGTTGTGGTCCTCAGGCTTCATGCTGCCCCGTTGCGGTCAATTGTGGTGATGGGCCCAGTTACACAGGACACTAACAAGTGAACTGAGATGTGAAGTGAGTTTAAGAGAAAAGAAAGTGGGTTTGAAGACAACAGCAATGTGAGATAAAACTCGGAAAATGCGCGCACTCTTATAATTGATGAAATGAACAAATCAATCTTGTATTGTCTTTCGAATGAGTCAACCATTAAAAAAGGACAGTTTACTTCAACGATGGAAATCCATCGAAATCACCCGTCTGGCCAACTTGTCTCAATTGCCCCATGGTATCCATCTTGAGAGGCGATTCTCTTATTTGAATTCGGCAAGCTGTGATTGGCCAAAACAAACGCCCCAGCCGCCGAGCGCGCTAAACCGCGAAAAGTGACGCTCCCTCCGGCTACCGAGCCTTGGATAACCTCCACACCCGGAAAGCTCCCTCCTCAAAGCCAACGACCTCAATTCCGAACCCCCCTCGTCAATTGACATCGACCGACCGACCGACCGGTAACGTCATTCACGATGCAGGCCATTCGAACGCGGGGTGCCTGCATCGCGCGCCAGTCGCGGCTGACTGGCCTGCGCCAATCGAGATCCTACGCCTCCGGAGGTGACCACGGCCACCACCACGCCCACGACGTCCAGGAGCCCATCGGCGTACGTTTTGACGGCCTCTGCCGCCTCAATTGCCGTCACACTCTCGATTCAATAAGCTGACTGTTGTGTCTGCTGCTGTAGAACTTCTTCTGGGCGACCGTCGCCATCATCCCCGCGTCATACTTCGTCTACAAGATCACCCAGCCCGGCGAGGACGGTGAGGCACCGTACCTCACCAAGAAGATCCACGAGGCCTGGCACTGGCAGGAGACGTGGGCGGAGAGGAGCCACTTGCACACCAAGGCCATCGAGCAGGCCGGTTTCGACAGGTTGCTCTTCTTCTCCACCCCGGCCAACCGCGATGTCGACCTCCGATTCCCCGAGTGAGCCGTCCCTACCCATCGACGATATACCCGACAGTCGGCCCTAGTTCGTGTCGCTAGAAAGAAGCAATGGGCTAACAAATTGTCTGCGCAGGGCCATGTCGAACCACGCCGCCCGCAACGTTGTTGCCGGCTCCCAGACCAACCTGGACCACGTCGTTGCCCACTACAGGAAGCTGCACCTTGACGAGGAGGAGCGGAAAGCCCAGCTGCTTGCGAAGAAGCAGGAGTAAAGGGTTGTTGGTGGTGTATGATACCGTTACATAGATCGACTCGAGGTTGAATCAAGGCTTTCAGTTCATTTGTTACGTTGACGACTCACCAGATGCTCGGATGGTACGTACCGACTTGTCTCCCATATGAGCTCTTTCTGATGCTCTCTAAACGAAGACGTCTGAAGGCTCATAGACGCGAGTCGTTGGTGCCATGAAGTACCTGAAGCCCTTCATGTTGAGATGAAGCGCCGCTGGTTGGCAGCTGCTCGTGTACCCCTTTCCTTGGGGTATCTACTCGAGCTACATCGCCATTGCACGGGCAGTTTGAGGGAATGTTCTCTTAAGAAAACCTATGTAGGTATTGATGCACCTTCAAATAGGGCAAGACCAAATCATGCCGAAAGGCGGCCTCATTACCAGAACAAGCAAGAGACGACCGTCGTCTTCTAATGTGTCTACCACCTTTCCGTAGAATCAGCATTACGTAGAAGGAGACATCCTTCCGAACACCTTTACCACAAGCAACAACTGCTTAGCTCTTTCCAAAGACGCAACCTACTGCTCTGAGGGCAATGATCGCTCCTTACTTTTATCCCAGTCACTACCTGATCCTGCAACGGCATTGTCCGCCAACTATGGTGTCCGACCTGTGTCACTCGCTGCCTTGAACACTGCCCCCGTTTCCCCCGTCTTCTCTTCTGCAACTGTCTGCTTCTTTGCATTATCACCATCAGTCATCGTCTCGTCATCATCAACCATCAGTTTCTTGGGCACCGCAGAGTCATTGCTCGCTCCAGCACTACTCCTTGCTATAAATCGCCTCTTTTTTGTTTGCTTTCGCCTTTCGAAGCCTTAACGGAAACCACCGAAAATGTCTCTCGTACCTTTTTCAGATATCAGTTACGCGCCCATCAACAATGCTTCACCTCAGATTACGTTCACAGAGGGGCGGAAGTTCATCGCTGAACGACGCTACCTTTTCGGGGAAGTTGTGCTGGATGTCAACCCCCTTTGGTATTATCGCGAGAGAATAATGGCCGAAGATCTCAACCGATTCTTCCACGTTCTCGACAACCCAGAAACGGTCCGGGACATCTGCGCCCAACTAGAACCAAGCCTTGCAGACATTCCCGTCAGTCCAGACGAGATGACTGCCGAGCACCACAAGAAATTATGTCAGTTCATGAACCGATGGGGGTACAGAGTATGGACTTGGTCACATCCAGAAAGAAATCATCGCGTGTCATTCGGGGAGGCAGACAGAAGTGGCAACTTGAAACTGACCAGGCTGTATGGCGGCGAGCGTCAGACAGCCATACTCGTTGCTACCGAGCCCATCCAAGAGGGCGATGTGCTTCGGTTGAAGCCGAACTACTATTCGTGCAGGTGCAAAATGTGCGAAGCGAACCGACGGCTGAGTTCAAATGCATCCTCAAGGGAGAACGACGACCGACTCCTGGACGACTACGGCAACGAGAAGGGGGAGAAGCCAGTTGATGGGTCGAACCTGTCTTGGGGGGAGCTGACTCGAAAGCAAGCGAGCGACGCACCGCATTCGAGTGATTCGGACGCCCGTGTCGGTTCTTCAGGCCAGCGAAGTAGCCTTGCCGGAAGCACTCCTGGCTTGGGAGTAGGAACCGAAGCGACGTCCTCCACTCAGAACCCGGCTGCATCACAAGACAGACCGTCTCGAAGTACTGAGAGTACAGATCATACACATGTCGGCCTCCCTGACGCTCCTTCAGACCAGCACAGCAGCCTTGCGAAAAGTACTTCTGACGAGGGAGGAGCTGAAGCAACAAGTTCGACACAAAACCAGCCTGAATCACAAAGCAGACGGTCTCACAGTTCCGATTCCGAACGTACGCATGTCGACCCCCCTGGTGCCCCGGATATCAATGGCCCTGGTGGAAGCCTAGAGTTATATTGTACGCAATGTAACACAGTGATATTTGAGGACGAGCTACCTGTACCGGACAATTGGGACTGTCCCGATCCCGATTGTGAGGGAAGACTAGATCCAATCAACGGGTCCCAAGCCTCTGTGAACTCCTTCAGCGTAGGGGGGCTAGCCCTCGAAGAGATAGCAAACCAAGAGGTACACTCGCGAATCGAACAGCAGCAGCAACAGCAGGCCGGTCATAACACGCAGATTGATCAGGACCAGCATCAGAATGATCAGAACCATCATCACCACCACCACCACCACCAGACCGACCAGAACACACAGAATGACCAGGGCCATCAGCAGAATTATCAAGACCAGCAGCCCCAGCAGACCGACCAGAACACGCAGAATAATCAGGGTACACAGCAGAATCAGGCAAAATGCCCTTGGAGGGATGTGTCGGATGTGAGCACGCAGAATAGTCAGGGCCAGCAGACTGATCAAGGCACGGGGACTGATAAGACAGCTGAACTGGATGGGAAACGTAAGCAGCTGCGACTGGGGCAAAACGATGGGCAAAACGATGGGCAAAATGATGGGCAACAAGACGACAAGCCAAGAAAATCCCTTGCAAAACGTCTGTTTGCCAGAATTTCTCGTAGATGGAAAAAGATGATTGGGAAGTAGCACGACGTGAGACTGATGCTCACGGCTTGCTGAGTTGCAGGAAAGTTCCTGTAGCACGTTAGCGAAATATCTACTATGCGTCAGCGTTTTTTGTAATTGGAATGCATAAGGGATAACTAGCGAAGAGACAGAAATGAACTTGAGTATTGGATTCTGTTGGGCCTAATCGCCGAGTGCCAATGTAACGAGTCCTTCGAATGGCCCGGGATGGGTCATTTTTGGCTCTTCCAAAATCACGATATCACACAATTTACGGCATATCTTGCATAGCTTTTGACGGTTTAATTCCCCGGCCCAACGCTACTGATAGTCATCTCCATATCTGATGCTGCTTTGCTACTGATACTGCGTCGAAGCATGGCAGCATCGGGAAATACCGAGAGCGGTAAACTGTCAAACTCATCAAGACAGCAAGTCCCATGCCATTCGTCGCGGCGCCAATCCAGTCTTGCTCTTTGGCCGAATGTAAGATGTCTCCCGCAAGCACCTTTAAGACTCTGCTGTGTCCCTGAACTCGACCTTTCGGACCGCACGCACATTCCAAACGATATCCTGGGCCTTCTTCACGAGGCCCGAGGTCGCAAAGAGGAACATGCCCGGTAGGTACTCGCATCGGCTCGGGGATGCCGGAATCCGGTCGGCTGCGAGGGGGAGCCGGCGCCTCCTGGCGGTAACGGCCTGTTTAGAAGCCGTGGACTTTGACGAGCTGTGTGGGAAGAGAGAGAGAACGTCAGCGGTGTTGTCGAATTGGTAATGGGATGGAATGTGGTGGTTCATTATGGACGGGTAAGGTAGGTAAGGAGGTAGGCAGGTTGAAGCTGCAAATGTGGGGGTCTTGGAGGGGTGAATGTGTGATTGTGTCGCGTGCGTACCTTGGAGTCCATCTCGAGACCCTCCTGCTTGTCAATGAGGAAGTCGTGAATGTTCTTGCGCTGGTCGCCTGTTTGTCGCGCAAGTCAGCTTTGTTCATGGCTTCTTTTGGGGAAAGCATATGGGGGGGCGCATGTGTGCGACGACGCACCCTGGAGCTGGATGACCTCGCCGAGGTCCATGTCCTCGACGATGGTACCGTTGCAGGCGAACTTCTTCTTGATGACCTTCAGGATCTTCTTCTGGTCGAAGCGCTTGGGCAGGCCCTGGATGGTGGTGAGGGTCTTGCGGCCATTGCGCTGCTGGATGCGGATGTGGATGTAGTCCTGGCCCTTCTTCTGGTTGTTGATGCCCTCGCCCTCTTCGGCATCGGCGAAGGGGTCGATCGTCTTGAGGTTTTCGATGGTAGTCATCAGAGCCTGCGGTGTCGCGCGTCGCGTGTGTTTTGTGGTGGGGTTTTTTTGTTGGTGGGATTTTGTTTAAGCTGGTTGAAATTGGCGTTTAGTTGCGGATGCGATTTTGGGAAGGTGGTTTTTTTTTACTCACGTTGGTTCCTCGGTGTGAACTGGTTTTGTTTCGGTGGACTTCTTGGAGTGGAGTTTTTTTTTCTGTCAGATCGATTTCCTGTCAATGAGGAGCTTGAATGCGCGTTTGGGCGGGGGAAGCTTGTCAGCTTTTTTTTTCGGTGTGAGGCTTCGGACCAAACGACGATGAGGGGGAGCTGTTGGTGAATGGCGGGGTTGGCTAAGGTGGGATGGAGGCCCGTGCGAGAGCGGTGATCTGCCTGCCACAGGCAGGCACTGGTGTGAGATCTCCCGGCAGTCCACTGACCTGACCAGGACCTGGCAGATAACATCAGCCACATATAAGTGGCGCATTACAGAAACATTTCCAGGTTCACTTGCGTGCTATGAGCTTCTGCAATCAACGTCTATCAGCTTCTGTACGTCTTTAATGAAAATTCTCGCCTGAAAAACGCCATGGCGACAGTGAACAGCGGCTTCGAAGTCCGCGGCGCAAAAGGCGGCGCCAAGGGTGGCCGCTCCATCCACGCGACGCGCCGCTTCGACCCGGGCGACGTCATCGCCCGCTTCGACGACCCGGACATCGTCCTCCCGCCGGGCCACCGCGCCCTCGAGTACTGCAACCACTGCTTGCGGAAACGGGGCTCGCCGGGCCTGGCGGGGAGGCCGCTCCGCGCCTGCACGGGCTGCAAGACGGTGGCGTACTGCGGCCCGGCGTGCCAGAGGGCCAACTGGACCCTCATCCACAAGGTCGAGTGCAAGGCCATCCAACGGCTGCACGAGCTGAAGCCGGCGCACCAGCCGGACTGGGTGCCGACGCCGATCCGCGCCGCGGCGCAGGTGGTGCTGAGGCCGAAGGTCGTGGAGAAGTTCAAGGAGTTGGAGGGGCACGTCGAGGAGTGGAGGAAGAATGACGAGATGGACCTGCAGCTTCAGGCGCATGGCGTCGTGAGGTGTATTGGGGTTGAGGCGGTCACGTTTCAGGGGCTGGAGGAGGCTTTTCAGGTTTTATGCAAGGTGTGTGTTGTGCTTGCGCAGAAATGGTGAGGCGCTTGGAGCTAACGTCTCGCAGCTTCAGACGAATGCCTTCAGTCGTACGGAAGAGTACTACGAGACTGGCGGCGTGTTCCTTGACACGACGTTAGCCATGATCAATCACTCTTGTGCGCCGAACGCAATGGTGCAGTTCAGTGGACGGTCTGCGGTTCTCAGGTCAAGTGCCTTCATTCAAGCTGGAGACGAGATTGAGATCTCGTATATCGGTAAGAAACTCCTCCCCAACCAAAACAACCAACGTTCCACCTAACTCATAATACAAGACCAAACGCAACCAAAGGGGAAGAGACAAGGCGAGCTCGACCTCTATCATTTTGGATGCGCGTGTCGCAAGTGCGAGGGTGACTTTGACGAGTACCAAATGGCCATGAAGGACCCCACCGTCGACCTCAACAAACTGAGCGTCATGCCTGACATTGAGCGCTTCAAGAATCCCCCCGGCGGCGGCTTATTCCACGAGCCGCAAGGGATGCAGGGGCTCATCGTCAAGAAGATCATGCCAGTGTTCCCGCGCGACATGAAGCCAAAGGAGAAGCACGAGTGGCTTAGGAAAGCGTACAAGACGGGGTCGTACTTCGTTGAAACGGGGAAATGGGCCATAGAGCCCTTTGCGCAGGTCGTGGACGAGGCTTCGTTTTATTTCGGAAAGGATCGAGGGAACCATGAATGCGCCCTCGCCGTTGCTTGCCTGTCGGCGTACGAGATCGAGCCGTTCAAGCACGTCGCTCCATTCCACCCCCAGAGGTTGAAGGGGCTATCTTCCATTGCCATTGCTTTGTCCAACACGGCGCCCGATCCAGGGAAGCTCACTAAGCTCGCGAGAGACATGGCTTCGTTGAAGAAGTTTGAGCCGAAGCACGTCAAAGTTTTGGAAAACCTGGACCAGGTGTCTATGTGCCAGATGGTCTTGTCAATGATTGACATGTACAGCCATCTAGCTCCGTCGGCCGACTGGGAAGTTTTGGTGTTGGCGAAGGAGATGTTGAATGACATCGAAAGCTTGCCCGGTCGAGAGAAGGAAAACAGCTTGATCCTTGCGTGGAGGAAAGACCCTAAGGACATGGATGAGTTCTTCAGATTCGGTCTTATCGAACCGATCAAGGCGTTGTCTGAGCTCGGAAAAGTTGTGTTAGAAGTAGATCTGGGTATGGACCGCGATCTGTCTGCCAAGTGATACCCACATGAGGATTTGAATAGAAACAATCCTCAGCGACGCTTGGAATTTGGCGTAGCGATTCCCGGCATCTCTTCCGGGTTGTCTTGACTGGTGGGATGATTTTTCTCCTGTCTTTTGATGGTCCTCTTGTCAATGGCACCTGACTTGGTCAGTTTGGGAGCGGTAACATTCCCCTGACAATCTGGTAACCGGTCAGAAGGGGCCTTCCTCTTCCTACTGCGAGGCTGCGAAGAACTCCCATGACCATCGCCATCGTTGTTCGATCGGATTTGGCGTTCCACGGGTACTGCTGACTGGCTGCGAGTGCCATCCGCCATTACCGATAGTCTATCGCGTTCTCTTGTGGAGGGTTCCATGGTCGCCTCAAGACGTAGGACTCTGCTCTTGAATAGGTCAAGCTCCATTTGCAATGGTTCGACCAGGCTTGCTCTGTTTCCAATCTTTGTGATGTTGCTTGCTAGTATATCCAGTTCGCTCGGCAAAAACAAGTGGCCTTTGGACTCGTATGCCCTAGAGCGGTCTTGTTCCAGGCTCTGCTTCAACTGTTCAAACTCCGTTCGCAGGTTCGTAACTTCGTTGGCACTCTTCCTGGCCGCACTGACGGCATCTTTTGCGGTTTTCTTTGCACTCGCAAGCTCTGAGAAGATGGTCATAAGCTGCTTCTTGGTATTTTGAAGCTCTTCCTGAAGCTCAGCGTTTTCGCTCTCAATAAGCTGGGTTCGATTCGTCACTTCTGCCACAGCAGCACTTGCTGTTTGCATTGCGTTCTCTAGGTGTGTGAGACCACGGACTTCAGAGATGTTTCGTTTGACATCTGAGATACTTGTTTTGACGGAAAGGAGATCTGCTTTCTGGGCATCCATCACTCGGCGCAGCTCGGCCATTGTACCGTTTAGCTTCTTGACGTCGCGGTCGATACGAGTGATGGAGTTGTCAAACTTCGATACTGCCTGGTTTCCGGCAGTGTTGATCATGTCGATGTGTTCACTCTGCCTGTTAATTTCAGCCTGCATTCCGAGAAAGTCGACGTCTTCAGGATCGAGAGACGGCTGATCGTTGCTGAAGCCTGAGCTGTGACGGTGGCCAGCTTCGCCTGGAAACGCTCGGCGCGGGTCAGATTGTACTCCAGCGCTCTGTCGCAACTTTAGCGTTCGCCGTATATCCAAGTCTACTTGACGGCCATTATTTCCCAGAAATAAGACAGAGGCCTGCTTAAGCAGTATCTGCGAGCTGAACATGGTGAGCACTTGTATCATGTAGAAGTAGGTGACTTACTCCTCAAGCACATGGTTGACAGGAGTAGTTAGACATTTAAGCCCAACAGTTTTCTTGCATTCTGCGCAAGCAATGTCCTGTAACTCACTACATAAAATCACAATGTCAGTCTCATCGAAGTTCATCTGAGGTAAGGTATCTCAGAGACGATAAATATTGACGTACCATCCAGCCACCAATGTTTGTGTGTCTCCCATCCTTATCGGCCCTTGAGTGATGATGTTCAAAGCATTCGTAGCTTCGAGAAGCGGACTGAAGTAGGACTTTGCGATCTGAGTCCACAGATTTACAAAATTCGCCAGGTGCGCGTGGCAGCTTCCGCATTTGCACAAGAGAGTTTCCATTATGCTCTGTTGTCAGAAGGCATTGGCCGAAATGACTAGTCGTGAATGAGTGTCGTATTTGTGCGACGGAGAGAAAAAAATGCTGGTCTATAGCAATGATAATCTCTGACCAGGTACTGGAAGATGGCCGAGGAGTAAGGGTGATGTCGAGTGTGAGGCCTGATTGATGCGAAGCAGCTCAACCTTCAGGATGTCGAGGTCCCTACCTGCATTGGCAGGGGTCCCCTACCCGCCCAGGCGACCGTTGCTTCCTTATCTTATCAAAATAGCCTGTGATTGGCTCACCCCACAACGGTTCCATAACGGAAATCGCATCCTGCTACTCGATTGACAGAATGGATATTTTTTGGCCTCCCCGGTTGCAAATTTCCCCGACCTCAACTCAACCCAACCACAATCCCTTGGAAGAGCAGCACTGCCTTCCTCCTCCAGCCAAGCATCAATACACTCTGGAGCCTGGGATCTATGGGGAGAAATCGCAAAAACCGCCAGCGCAACGACGCGCGACTTGCTGCCGAAGAAGCCATCGAAATGGGTTCAGACTCCGTCACCCAACCGACCGACGCGGCAATGGACGCAGCGACCGACAACCAGACACAGAGTGGCGAGGTCGAGGTTCGTGAGAGCTCGTCGCAGACTCAGAGCAGTGGAAGTCTTAAAAGATCTGCCCCGGATGACGACGACGATGATGGAGGTTGGCAGAAGGTGGAACGATCGAACAAGAAGCGCAAGAAGGTCCCTCGCGAAGGCTCAAACAACTATCCCGCCATCACCTTCTCGCCGAGCGCCAAGATCTTCAGCAAGATCAACCTCGCGATGTTGCGCGACCTGATCCTATACATCTTCGCGGACGGTACTGGGCCCAATTGGGTTTCGGTCTCCCACAGGCCAAACTTTCGAAAGATTGTCGTTCTGATGATACCCGGACTTGAGGAAGCCATGTTCAAGGCGGCAGTGAACTTTGACAAATACAAACCGGGCCCGGATAGCACCCAGGACCGGGTGGAGTCAACGCCTGACGACTACTATCCTCGGCAGCTCGCCGCCGAAACACTGCCACCTGCGCTTCAAGGATTCGCCAACATGTTTCCTCACCTGTGGCCAGTCAAGGCTCCTGGAGACGACAAATACATGAAACTTCATTCGCCCCTGGGCACGTTCTTGACAGCGCCGATGCCGAAAAACAAGGACGACAGGAAAGGACCCAAGCCGGCGAGGGAGCCCAATGGATGGAAGAACGAGCGAACTCCGATCACCGAGTTTCTGGCCTCACTCGAAGAACTGGAAGTCGCCGGCCACCTGATTCATCCAGCTCTCATCGAGAACGAAGAAAGAAGAGCGGAAACCAAGATTCCGGAGGGGTGGGTGGTCTCAAAAGTCGACAAGCTCGAGGACGGCGACGTTCCCGAGGCTGAGATTGAGCAAGGCAGTGTTACGGCTGGCCGAGAGTGCTTGGCGCTGGACTGCGAGATGTGCATGACGGGAGAGAGCGAATACTCTCTTACGCGCATCAGTATCATCTCTTGGTCTGGAGATCTAATCATGGACGAGTTGGTCAAGCCCGAGAAGCCCATCATCGACTACGTCACCCGCTTCTCTGGTATCACAGAGGAGATGCTGAAGCCTGTGACGACAACTCTGCAAGACATTCAAAAGAAGCTGCTCGAGCTTGTCACGCCGCGAACCATCCTTATCGGACACTCGCTCGAGTCTGATCTGAAGGCTCTTCGGTTTTCTCACCCTTTCATCGTCGACACATCACTCATCTACCCTCATCCCCGAGGACCTCCTCTCAAGTCATCGCTCAAGTGGTTGACCCAAAAATACATCAATCGCGAAATCCAGAAGGGTGGTGCTAACGGACACAACCCAATTGAGGATGCTCGTGCATGCCTTGACCTAGTCAGACAGAAATGTGAGAAGGGCAAGCTTTGGGGCGCCTCTGATTCTCAGGGTGAGAACCTGTTCCGTCGGCTGGCGAGGGCTGGAACAGCATACAAGGCGCAAGGCGGCAACACAGGAGGCGAAGCTACCGGCAAGACAAGCGCAGCAGTCGATTGGGGCGACCCGTCCAAGGGACCTGGTGGTGGAGCAACGCACAAGATTGGCTGCAAGTCCGATGCAGATGTCGTCAATGGTGTTATCCGCGCCGTGAAGGGAGATCCGGATGGACTGGAAATTCCTGGTGGTGGTGTTGATTTCGTATGGGGTCGCATGCGAGAGCTGGAGGCGCTTCAGGGTTGGTGGAACAAAAACAGAGTCGAAAACGCCAGCAGCGATGGTGGTCCGCCCGATTCTACGGAATTTGATGCGCAATTTGGCAAATCACCTCTCGAGCAGTGCTTGGCCCGTCTCACCAAGCGCCTGCAAGAGATCCACGACAGCCTGCCGCCTTGCACGGCTTTCATCGTGTACTCGGGCTCCGGTGACCCACGCGAGATGAGCAGGCTCCAGGCCATGCATTCTCAGTGGAAGCGGGAGTACAACACCCCTGGCAAGAAGTGGGATCAATTGTCTGTCAAGTGGACAGACGAAGAGGAGCAAGCTCTCCGACGCGCAGTCAAGAGAGCCAGGCAAAGCGTTGGTTTCATTGGTGTGAAATAAGTATGCCTCAGCGCCTCAAGGTATCGGTCATGAGCTGGCGAAGAGCTTAGACTTTGTAGCATTTCACGAGTAGACAGCGTGGCATATATAGTATCCGGGGATACTCTCGAAGGAATGGGTTTGTACTGAGGCGGGCTGATGGCTGGTCACAGGTGGATGATACCCCTAAGGTAGTTTGACGATAGAAGCAGAATGCCCCGCTGCAAAGGACTCGAGGTCAAGACGACCTTTTAGAGTCATATTGAAGCACGAAATAGCAGCCAAACTTCCTGGGTCTTTTGACATGATGTTTGCGCTTTTAGACTCCGCCCCATACCCGATGTCTTGCTTTAAGCTTTGGCATGTAGTGAGCAAAACACCCTGTCGGCTTTCTTGCAGCAGTGAAGTGTTTCTTCCAGTATCCATGCACAGCTCACATGCCGCCGCATCGGAATTCCAAGGTTCCTCCAGCCAGGGTCCACAGTATCCCCGCTGCGCTTATCCGCCTTGAGTGCATTCTGATTGGTCCCCCCGCCTCCGGCTGCGGAGAAAAGCCATGGCCGAGCCCCACGCCGGCCTGCCTCGGCATCTTTTCGGAGAACTTGACTGCTTGCTGCTTCCCCAATTACCAACCAACTCATTCCGTCCGCCTCTCATTCCCACCCACGACGCGCACGCTTTCGAACACGCCACCCCCAGCCGATATCTATATTCCTTAGCTCGCAGCCATTAACCTGTGGTGTATCTTCACGAATACCTCCTCTACCCTACGCCCTCCCAGCTGTCCACCACGCCGCCAAGATGTCGTTCATGGGTGGCGCTGAATGCTCGACCTCCGGCAACCCCCTCAGCCAGTTCCAAAAACACGTCCAAGATGACAAGACCTTGCAAAGAGACAGGCTGGTGCAAAGAGGACCGAATGCGCTCGCCGGTGGCTTCCGGAGTGCCGGCGCAAACGCTCCGCAGGATGAGGTACTCGGACCCCGCATATCCGAACCTCCATCGACTGACTGATATGGCAGATGATGAACGGTTTCCTGAACAACGCCCCCGGCCTTCAACCAGAGATTCCGATGCAAAATGGTGCTGTCCGGATAGACCCTGCCCAAGGCGTACACCTCCGCGCGAACTCGACATCCCCGACATGGGCGAATGATTTTCAGAACCAGGCCGCCATGGAATCGGCGTTCAACGCTCCTCCAGGAACACAGTTTAGCCCCGAGGAATTTTCGCGCTTCAGACAAATGAACCAGCAGCCCTCATCGGCCCGAGCGAGCCCCATGCCCAGCCAGATGTCTCAGCAACCGAGAATGGGAATGAACATGGGAATGAGCATGGGTATGGGATACAACAGCATGATGGGCTCCTCCATGTATCAGCCCATGTACCAACAGCACATGCAACAACAGCCGATGCAACAAGATGCCAAGGGAAAGGGAAAGCTGGTCGAGTTGGATGACAACAAATGGGAGGAGCAGTTTGCGCAGATGGAGCTGCAAGAGAAGGAGGATCAGGAGGCCAAGGCAGCTGAGCCGGAGCTGGAGGAGATGGACAAGGCCATGCAGTCAGAAACCGGTTACGGCGACTTCGAATCAATATGGAAGGGCATCGAAGCGGAGACAGCAGCGGCGAGAGGCATGGTCGACGACTCGACATTTGACAAGTTCGACAGCGAGGACTGGGGTCCTGATTTCACCGGTATGAACAGCGACTGGGGACGTCTCGGCGACCCTGTGGTGGAGAACTACCTCTTTGAGGAGGACAACTTTTTCAGTGAGGAGAAGAACGCTTTCGACGAGGGTGTGCGGATCATGCGCGAGGGCGGTAACCTGTCTCTCGCCGCACTCGCCTTCGAAGCTGCGGTGCAACAGAACCCAAATCACACCGAGGCCTGGGTCTACCTCGGCTCGGCACAGGCGCAAAACGAAAAAGAAACCGCGGCGATTCGTGCCCTCGAACAGGCACTCAAGCAGGACCCCAACAACCTGGCTGCTCTCATGGGACTGGCTGTCTCCTACACTAACGAGGGATACGATAGCACCGCCTACCGCACGCTGGAGAGATGGCTGTCAGTAAAGTACCCGAACATCATCGCCCCGAAGGACCTGCACCCCATGGCCGAGATGGGCTTCACCGACCGCCAACAACTGCACGACAAGGTGACTAGCCTGTTCATCAAGGCTGCCCAGCTCAGCCCGGACGGCGAGCACATGGACCCCGACGTTCAGGTCGGACTTGGAGTCCTCTTCTACGGCGCCGAGGAGTACGACAAGGCTGTGGATTGCTTCACCGCGGCACTCCACTCATCGGAGCTCGGAACCTCGAACCAGCAGGAACAGCTGCATCTGCTGTGGAACCGTTTGGGCGCCACCCTCGCCAACTCGGGCCGCTCCGAGGAGGCCATCGCCGCGTACGAGAAGGCGCTTAGCATCCACCCCAACTTCGTGCGCGCGCGCTACAACCTCGGTGTGAGCTGCATCAACATCGGCTGCCACGCCGAGGCCGCCTCCCACTTCCTCGCCGCGCTCAACATGCACAAGGCCATCGAGAAGAGCGGGCGCAACATGGCGTACGAGATCCTCGGCGGCGGCGACGGTGCTCGCGGCGGCACCAACACCGCCCACCTCGACGAGCAGATCGACCGCATGACGGCGCAGAACAGGAGCACCACGCTGTACGACACCCTGAGGAGGGTCTTCACGCAGATGGGCCGCCGGGACCTGGCCGAGAAGACGGTCGCGGGCGTCGACCCCGAGATCTTCAGGAGCGAGTTTGACTTTTAGAGCCCCGTCTTCTATCCTGGAGATTGTACACTAGCGAAGTCTCAAGCGCCCAAGCGGCGATGCCTTACCTGGTAGGCGTCGAAGCAGCGCACCCTCATGAATTTGGATGTACTCATGAATGACAATCACGTTTTACGAGGCTCAAAGCCGCCTGTTCGGATCCCTGCCTTAGTACGCTGGGACGGGAGGTACACTCATTCAAAAAGCTGTCTTGCACATGAGCGCTTGTAGTTTTGTACGGTAGTAGTAGTAATCATGCCTTCTTGCCATCCTCGTCGTCTGCGAATGCCCGACGTCTGCCGCCAACGTATTTACACCGTGATCCCCAGACTCGAGTCCGCGGCATGCTTCGTGAGATCCCTTGACAGTCCCTGATACTATTACTAAAATGATCCTTTCGTTACGAGTTTGACCAAATCTACAGCTTGGCTGGGATGGCACCAAGTGCAGTCTTCCCCATCTACAACGCCAATATTCATTGATGAGGACGAGATGTCGGTTATTTGATCCCTCATGAACAGGCTCCTGCGAAGAAATTGTACCTTTGCGGCAACTGTACACTCAGCTGTCTTCGAACTGGTGGGAGGGGAGGAGTCATTACGCTCTAGGCACCAGCCACATCAAACACCCAACCCATCACCACCATCATCATCACGATTCCGCTCGAATCTTCAACCAAACAAACACACAGAAGCAAAAGAGAAGATCACAGATTAACACACTAAAAAGACAAAAAAAGTTGAACAACGCGCTGTATTTCAAGCGCGCCACCTCGAGCTTGTCGAAAAACACACAAGGCACTGGAGACTCGAACTTGGGTGGTATTTATGCGGCCTCCTAGCTTGGCACCTTCCTGCTTTTGCCGACTGAGCCAAACGGCTCGCATTATCGCCGAACTTGTGGTGACGGGACTGCTTTTTTTAGGGGGCATATACCTTTGAGCGTGGCGGGTGGTCTTTTCTTTTGGGGTGGAAGGTGAGGGAGGGAAGGAAGGACGGGAAGGTGCGCGGGTTGGGTGGGGTGGGAGGGAAGCAGACGTGGCTTCCTTTTTTGTCAGGTTGCCCGGGACGATTAAGGCGATAAATGGAGGGGAGTTTACGGGGACCTTTCAAACCGGGAACCAGACACAATGCTTTGGGTCTGGCATATGTTTGCTTGATATCATGCCAGTCCAGACATCTATCTCCAAGAGAACGTGGTTTTGTTACAATGCGCTCATGGAGAACGACGGTCTGGTAAAGACTATCTTCTGTAATTTCTGGGGTATTATTACCTGTTGAAACTGAAAATGACAAACAATAGATCTAGTGACTGTTCACTCATAGACCTTGAGTGTCTCGGTGGAAAATTAATGAACGTTTAGTGTACTTGGTCAACGTACTCGGACGCCTCGCAACTCGCTTCCCAACAACTCAGAAGATCCCTTTGACAACGATTTCGCATGCTTGTGGACAGTAGGCGATGACTCTGCGTTATTATATAACATCCATGTCGCATATTTCTAAGCCCAGCCGGCTTCTTAATGGACTCGATACGCAAGCCTGCTATGGGCTGCGAATATCCAAGGCCAAACACCAAAGGCCTTTCTTCTACTGTGTCTTCGGTCTATATAACCAGAGCTAAGAATAACAGAGCCGGAACTGATCACCCCGTTTTGTTCTTGTCTGCTCCGAGCAATCCAAGCGCTCCAAAGCGATTTTCTTCTCGGCGTCTCCCATGCCATTCAAAATAGCCAAAACCAATCGATATCAGCTACTTAGAAAGTTTCCTTTTGCGGTTTTTTGGTTACCCAGTGACCGCACAGCCTCCATCTTCCAGTACTGTTCCTCGTCAGTGGATGTTTATTCACAACGCCCTCTTGAGATACTCAGCTTCTGCTGTCGTGGGAAGATGAGCATGCGCTGCTCCACTGAGAAAGTGGTCAGAGGTCGGTTTGGTCTGATGAACTCAGGAGAAGAAACATAGCAGTTTGTCTGTCACTCTCGTAAGTAGGCGCGGGACTCAGATTTAAAGCAGGCCTCCCGGCTAGTTTGAAGCTGGAGTCAGGTGTATTTAATACGCTCGTAGCTCGTCAGAAATTCCATCAAGCCACAATAGTCCTCAACCGGTTACGATGGAGACCCAATCCCATTCAAAATTTTCTATACTGTTCCATCAGTTTCAATATCTTGCATGATGTCGCGTTGTCTTATTTTCAGTGCCCGTCCATTTTGCTGTCGTCCAGCCAATGTGTGTACAGTCGTATACACCACGGCCACATTGCATGAGACAGACTTCGTTGGCAATATGCGATTTTTCCATACTTCACAGCGACTGCATTGGATTTATTCTAATCTGGGGACCTACCTATGCACTCTTAGGGGCCAGATCTGGTAGATCCATTAGTTGGCAGAATACATACCCTGAACATACTCGTTTCTGGACCCCAACTGCGCGGTACACATCTTGGGAGTCGGCTCAACCCGCCGAAGCAACTGCCGAGGCAAGACAGTTTGAGATCACACCGTCCTTAACTACATCGTTGCAGAAATGGTCGGATGCAGAGATCAGCTTCAGGGAAGTTCGAAGTGAATCTTGGTGGCTTCAGATCATGATATCATTTCATGGTAAGCGAAAATGCACGAAGAAGCTTACAATGTTGTCCGTTTTTGACGGCTACCGAGGCGAACTGTTTGCCTCTTTTATTTGTTTATTGACTGTCGAACTGGGAATAACTACCATATGGCACGAGTGAGCCCCAGCACTTGGACGGAAGCCCGACCTCTCTCTGGGTGTGGTGTAAGTCGGAGATGCCGGCCGGGATGGGGCGGGTGGATCGGGGTCAGCATCCCGACGGAGGCGGGGCCCGAGGCCGGGGTCTGGCCGCCCCGCCTGAAGTCTACCGAAATTCGGTTGGCAGCTTCCAATCCGAAGACGAGTTCATCCCACGCCTTCTTCCGCTCTTCCGCTCCGCTGGTGAACCTGCTCCCAATTTTTCACTTCAGGGGGCTTCTTTGCGCTTCAGACCACATCCAGCTGGATTCGGGATTCGACAATATCCCGCGCAAACCTTGTCGGTAAGCTCTAAACGGTTGTCCCCGAAGGATCGCGACCCCTGCCGTCTGAACCTCAAATTCTCAGTCCACATTCAAGCTGCGCTGACTGTCACCCACTAACAGTCGTCTCCATCAACACACTTAACCAGACATCATGGGCTTCATTCTGCAGACCGGCGTGCTATTCACCATCCTGTTGGCGGTGGGCTTGCAGCTCGTACTCAAGGATCCCATCAAACTAGGCCTCGGCATCGGCAAGACATTCCAACCACTCTCCGACTTCCCCTACTCGTGCCGTCGCATCAAGGACCCCTCATTGCAAGCATGCGAAGACATGTATCTGTTCGAGCCGACGCGCACGCTTTTCCTGGCCTGCTCCGACCCATTGGCGCGTCAGCAATGGATGCCCAAGTGAGTACTTCCGCGAGACGTTGAGGCCTCGAGACTAAATGCACATCTGAAGTGGCCACCACTTCAACATCTCCGGTCGCTCACACCGGGACGCAATCATCGCTCTTGACGTCGATAAGCCCACGGGCGATGGATTTCAAATACGCAGACTGGTGACTCCGGGGTTTTCTGGCACTGCCGGCGACGGTCTGCTCCAGCTCGTTGGCTTCACGGCATTCCGAGCGCCTGGTTCGCAAGAGAAGGAGCGTGCAGAGCTGCTCATCGTCAACAATCGCCCGCCAATTGACCCAGCCACCGGTGCTTTGCTCCAAGAGGCTCATGAGGGCGCCAATGCTACAATTGAGCTCTTTGAGAATACTCCCCCGTCGCCGGAGTTGAAGCACATCCGCACCATTGCCAGCGCGAACATTTCTACCCCGAACAACATCGCCGCTTTATCCAGCGATTCGTTCTACTTCACTAACGACAGCGGCGACAAAAAGAGGGGGCTGGTGAGTACTTTTGATCGTTATTTAGCTAAGAATATGTCGTTGCTGACTTGTTTACAAAAGGGATTCTACCTAAGCTGGCTCCTAGGCCACGGCGACGTATCGCACTGCAACAGCCAGGGATGCAAGCGCGTCTCCGCGCACCACAAGATGCCCAACGGCCTGACGTACGGCGCGGACGGCCACATCTACGTCCCGAGCGCCATGGCCGGCGGCGTCCAGGTGTACCGCGTGCGGCCGCAGGACGACGGGCTCGAGAAGGTGGCCGACATCCCCGTGCCGTACGCCATCGACAACCTCTCGCTGGACGGCAACGGCGACATCTGGGCGGCGGTGTTCCCGCGGGGGATCGAGATCATGAAGGCGTCCGAGGATCCGTTCAACGTGAACCCCAAGAGCGCCGCGGTGCGCATCCGCAAGGACGGCGAGGGGGCGTACACGTGGGAGAAGGTGATTGAGGACGGCGAGGGCGAGGTGCTGCCCGGGTCTACGACTGTGGTTCACGATGCGAAGACGGGCAGGCTTTTCTTCAGCGGTGAGTGAATGTTGCGTCTTGCCGTGAGTAGTGGTTTTGCTAATTACTTAGGTGTGACGTCGCCCTTCATCGCTGTGTGTGAGCCCAAGCAGTGAGTGAGTGAGGTGATGGCGGTGACATTTGATGATTCAGAATCAGACCCTCTCGCAATTGTCGTGGTTTAGAAGTCTAGAATGAGAATGGGCATCTTAAAACATCAGGGATGGAATTGCTAGCTGGGGAAATTAAGAATTGCGATGAATTTGGCTCAATCGGACGGCCAAGTCTCATGAATTCGCTCCTGTACCTTACCATATCTCACCTCCAAGTCAGTCAAACTCATCATATCTCATAAGGATATTCTAGCGTATCAGAAATGCCAAAACGACAGAAACGGAATTGAACAACTTGAAGCATGTGGGAGGCGGATTTCCGGAGGTAGCCCCGTTTTCAGACTGTCTACTACGTAGTAAGCAGCGCCAAGTGACATAGCGAAATTCACATGGAATTCGACACCACGTGGGGGATACACCGAGACACTGACTCTTGTATCTGCAGCAATTCTTCTCACCAATGTTCTCTGCGAGATTGCTGCGTACGGTATGAGAGCGAGGTGAGCGTGCTCGCAGACAGTGAAAATATTATCAACTAATAGGAAGCACTCAGAAACCACCGTCTGAAGTTCGCAGGAGCAACACCCTAATTGACAACACACATCTTCTTCTGCCGGTCCTGTCACAATTCGCATCTCTCATCACATGCCAAAACCAAGCCTTTTTCCCCGGACGGGCATCCCTGGGGAAAACGATTAGCGCCATCCCGACCGTGCGTCATAGGGGCATGTGGGGGAACCGGGGGGCTGGCCGGTTCTGCAGTGCTGCTCAGTGCCGCTCCAGTGCTCTGAAGCGACGCAGCTCCAGCGCCAGCGTGACTCGCCAGAGCCGAAGCCATGGACATCCGAGGTACCTTTCCCGTCGCGGCCGTCTGCGTCTGCCGTAATCAATCAATCAACCACGTCCGCCATCCCATCCTCTCCGACAACTGCAGTATTCCCAGACACCGACATACTTCGTTCTTACGCCGTCGCTCTTTATTATTGTATGCAGGCTTTTAACATCATACTACGACCCATGCGCTGAGAACACGATTGCCCATTGAAGAGCGACCTTTCGTCGTCGCATACCCGCCGTTCACGACCTGCCAATTGCCGAGGCTAGCCACGACACCCCCATCGTCGTCGCCAACATGTCGCTCGCCGCCCTCGATGGCCTCAAGGTAGGCATCCGAAATGATTTCTGGAGGCAGCAGCATCTCTTCAGACTCCAGGAGCTGACGCGCAACCCAGGCCGCGATCGAGCGCATCATCCTCGACCCGAAATACCATGACATCCTCGCCGTCGTCAAAGGCGCCCGCAACGGCGCCGTCTACGGCACCAAAGTCCGCTTTCCCCATGCGCTCGTGTACGTCGCGACCCCTCGATCACATCCAATATTGCGAACACTGCTAATGCTCCATGTTCTACCAGAATGATCTTCCTCTTCCGCTCCGGAACGTAAGTCCATCCAACCCCAACTCCGGCCGGCGACCACCGCTGACGCCCTCCTCTCACAGGTTCCGCCAAAAAGCAAGCCTCGTCTTCAAAGCGACCCGAACGCACGCCCGAAACCTCGCAAAGTTCGCGACAATCTACAAGGGCACAATGTACCTCCTCAAGCACTACGGCCCCACGCCCGGCAAGGAGGGCCCCTACGACTCCTTCTTCGCCGGCCTGCTGGGCGGCTACCTCGTCTTCGGCGGCCGCTCCCCGCGCACCGGCAAGATCTCGAGCGTCAACCAGCAAATCGTCATCTACGTCTTCGCCCGCGTCGTCCTCGGCCTCGCCCGCCTCGCCGTCGCCCCCGGCAAGGGCCTGCCCGTCGTCAGCCGCGAGGACCTCTCCGCCAAGATCAGCTACTACGCCTGGCCCGTCTTCGCCAGCACCTCCTGGGCCATGGTCATGTACCTCTTCCGCCATCACCCGGCCGACTTGCAGCCCAGTCTGCGCAGCAGCATGAACTACATCTACGTGCAGAGCAGCGAGTGGGACTCGCTCCGGAATTTTATCTGGCACAACAAATAGATGCGAGGCGTTCCGGAGGCGTGTGTTATATCATGACGGGGATTGGGTAAACTGCGAATATTCTTATTTCGGCGAGGCGGGCGTGTATTATCAAGAATGGATCGGCGTTTTGATGGAGGTGTACTTTGGGCCGCTTGGTGTCTCGACAAGATGAACGGATGTCCGCGCGCATACTTGGGGGAATCTTGATTTACTTCTTCAACTCATGATCTGGCATTATAGACCAGTCTATCAACCATATACAATGACGAACTTGATCTATCAACAATGCCTCGCATGCAACGCTTTATATATGCTTCCATCCATTCATCCACATAATCTGCATCTCGTTGATGAGGCACATCTCCCCTGGCTCCGTCCGCGGAAGCTCACTCGCTGGGGTCTCATCAACCCACTGCCTTAACCTCATCTCAACCACGCGGCTCTCCAGCGCGAACTGTACACTGTTCCGCACCCTCAGATACCTGTTCGCCCAAACACCAACCACCGCAGCCCACGCCGTCGGAAACCTGTCTAGCTTCGTCTCGTCAAAGACCTTCTCATTGTACCCGACGCGCACATTCGGGTTCAGCCAAACCCCCTTCTCCCGACTCAGGTAGTTGTCCGCATGGACCAAGCAGCACTCGGAACCCTCGAGATGCAACGCCGCAAGGCTGTCATCCACGCCACGGAACCGCAACGGCTTCTCCGCATAAAACGGCGCGGCGTCGAACGCCACCATGCCGTTCCAGCACGACCTCACCTCGACGGGGTCCATGGCCTCCGCCGACGCCCGCGCCCGCGCGCTCAGGAACCACGGCCAGTACCACGACGCCGTCTTCAGGCCGCGGTCGTCCCGCAGCGCGAACGTGTCGTAGTAGTACGGCCACAGCGTGAAGTCCATGGCGCACGCCGCCGCGAAGTCCCCGCCGCGGGTCCCCAGCAGCATGGCCACCTCGCGGTTCTCGAAGACGACGTCGTTGAGCCAGAGGACCTTGTCGAAGCGCCTGCCGTCCCGCGCGAGGAGGTCCGCGAGGGGGTCCATGGCGCGGTTGCGCTCGCGTGCCAGGTACGGCACGCGGCGCACGTCGTACCGCGCCTCGTCGGCGTTCCAGATCCAGCCCGGCGGCGGGGCGGCGGCGGAGGGCGGGGGCCGGTCGTGGATCTCGTCGAGCTGCTCGTGGGCCGTCTTGCCGAGGGAGATGGTGTTGGACACGCCTTTCGCGTCGAGCTTCTTCTGCAGGAGGGACAGCTTGGCCTTGGTGTCGTCCTGGGAGCCGGACTCGACGGCGGAGAAGTGGACGCGGTCCGGGCCGAGGTAGTCGACGAGGTTCAGCAGGTTCTTGGACATGGACTGGCCGAGGACGGGGCCGTTGTTGCGGTGGATGCTGGCGATGAAGAAGGTCTCGTTGCCGGGGTGGCGCGGGGCCACGCTGGCCGGGTACTTTGTCAGGGGCCGGTTGCGGACGATCAGGAAGGCGTCGAGGACGAGGAGGGCGAGGAGGATGTGGAGGAGGTTAGCCCGCCTCAGGCGACGGGTCGGGAGGAGCATGGCATTTGGCACGGGTGTTTTTTTTTTTTGAAGGTATTCAGACGAAAGACAGACGGAGGGAGAAAATGCGACTCTGAACCGCAGCAAAGGCCGTCATTGGGTCGGCAGTATTCTCAGGCAGATCTTGTTGCCTGTTTCTCACAAAAAAAGCAGCGTCGACGAGGCTCTGAATTTCGTTTTTCCTTTTCGCCGTCCTCGCCCTCGTATTGGGGGCTGACAAGGATGGACAGCTGATTGAAGTCGTCGTAAAGTTTCTCGAACTTGCAGATCCGAATCTTCGGACGCACGTTGGCACGTTGTCAGGCATGTCATCAGCACAGCGGAATTTTACCCCTGACAGGGACGGATTGCCTTTCCGCATCATGCATAAAAGCGGGGAGTTCGGATCGTGGCGCGTACCAAAGTCACCTTATCCTAGTATCCGTACGCCACATTGGATTTCAACGCCGACAACACCGTTACAGAGCGGTGAAATCTGTTGGAGAAGAGACGAAAATCCCGTCAAGTTGCCGGACCCAAGTTACGAATCAACGAGGAAGTTTTTTTCTTGCCGTTCAGATGTTTACGTGCAGAACCAACTTACCAAGCAATGGAGACTTTGGCAACAATGCCATCTAATCACCTGACATTGGAAATCTCTGTTAGGCAGAGAACCCTGGATCCTCTCCACTTCGCCAACAAACCAACTCACGAATGTCACAACAAGCCTCAACTCCAGCTCGCAGTTTCACGACGGATCTTGTTGTTCCCGGCGCAATCCCGAAATCGGCATTGGCATGCGTTCTATTAGAAAACAACAAGGGGTGGGTCGCATCGTCGGGCCGTCGCATGCTGTCCTCGTGGCATTTCTCAGCACGTCAGAACTTTCCTCCGAGCTTAAGGTTGCCGAAAACCTCCCTTCTCCCGTCCCGGATCTGAACCCCGGATCCTTGAACACTGGAGACGTCATTCCCGTCCCTCTTCAGACTTCGACCCCTCGAGCACAACCGGCCCCCACCACGGCCCCGTCTCGTTGCCTCGCAGTTTCTTTGGCGTCGTATCATCGGATTTCTAAGCAAGCACGCTGCCGACGTGGCTCCAGAGCCAATTGTCCACGATGATTCGCTGCTTCAGGTTCTTTCTCTGCTCGCAGCCCCCCTTCTCCCGTCCAGACCCTTGCGGAGCCGCAATCTTTGAAAAGCCTAGTGGCTTGGGTTCGTTCGAGAATGTTTCCTCGACCCAGGAACCCGCGGCTAGCGCCCTGTTGATAGGACGACCTGCTTACTGACCGTCCAGTCGCCCTTGAACCACATGGCACATGCCTTCGCTGTCGGGTTCACCGCTCGGGAGCTTCACAGAGCTTTCTGTCGGACCCGCTCCTCCGAGTTGTCGCCGTGTGGTGTACCACCCGCAGAGGAGACCCCATTTCTAAGCTGTTCCAGGGAGAAGAGAGAGAAAACTTCTTCGCCCAATGGATTAACAAACCCATGCGGGTAGATCTGGTTGTGGGGCGGTTGTTGAGAATCTCTGCGAGCCAGTGGGACTCTCCAGATGATTCCACGATGGTGGGCTCTTGTTGACTTACACGATGTTGTCTAGACATAAATACCCTCAGGCCGTCCGCCTCAAGTGAATGAGAGAATTCCGAGTAGGCAGACACAACTACAAACCCGTCTCTAATATCTCATACTACTTTCTCACAACCTTCTCTACTTTGATACCCCCTCGAGTGCTAGTTTTGTCCAAACCGCTACAATGGCCGCCGAGAACAACACCAAGCTCTTCCAGCCCCTGAAGATGGGCAAGATGGACCTCGCCCACCGCGTGGTCATGGCCCCCCTCACCCGCTACCGCGCCGACGACGAGGGAGCTCCCATCCTCCCCATGGTCGCAAAGTACTACGCCGACCGCGCCTCCACCCCGGGCACCCTCCTCATCACCGAGGCCACCGCCGTCTCCACCGACGACATCGGCGACCTCAACCTCCCCGGCTTCCAGACCGACGCCGAGCGCGCCGCCTGGAAGGAGGTCTTCGACGCCGTCCACGCAAAGGGCTCCTACATCTTCCAGCAGCTCTGGTCTCTCGGCCGCGCTGCCGACCCGGACTTCGTCAAGGGCCGCGGCTACAAGTACTGCTCCTCCTCCGACATCCAGATGACGGGACGCCCCTGCAAGCCCGACCCCCTCACCGAGGACGAGATCTGGGAGAAGATCAACCACTGGCGCCGCACCGCCCGCAACGTCGTCGACGCCGGCGGCGACGGCATCGAGATCCACGGCGCCCACGGCTACCTCGTCGACCAGTTCACCCGCGACTCCGTCAACAACCGCACCGACAAGTGGGGCGGCTCCGTCGAGAACCGCGCCCGCTTCCTCCTCGAGATCGTCAAGGCCTGCGTCGACGAGATCGGCGCCGACCGCGTCGCCCTCCGCCTCAGCCCCTTCGCCACCTTCCAGGAGTCCTACTCCACCGACCCGGACACCTGGGAGCAGACCGCCTACGTCGTCCGCGAGATCAAGAAGGCCGGCCACAAGCTCGCCTACCTCTCCCTCGTCGAGGCCGTCGGCAACCCCGTCAACCTCGGCATCGTCCCCCGCCAGCCCACCGACGACGTCCAGCCCTTCGCCGAGGACCGGCCCCAGACCCTCGACTTCATCCTCGAGGAGTGGGACAACCTCTCCCCCGTCGTCGTCGCCGGCGGCTACCTCGGCGACAGCGCCCACTGGGCCGTCGACGAGCGCTACAAGAAGTGGGACGTCGCCGTCGCCTTCGGCCGCTACTTCATCTCCAACCCGGACCTCGTCTTCCGCGTCAGGAACAAGCTGCCCTTCACCCCCTACGACCGCTCCACCTTCTACCTGAAGAAGAGCAACGAGGGCTACAACACCTATGAGTTCAGCCAGGAGTTCCTCGAGGCCAACGGTTCCGCTTAGAGGGAATTGGTAGTCGAAGTATGATAATATGATCAGAGTCATGGGCATTGGAGCATTGCATCGGAGTTTGGGTTTCCTTTTTAAAGATCACATCACATAGCATTTTGACAAATACACTTTTCATTTCTTCGAAATAGTGCCCGACTGTGAGGATGTGATTCGTTAGGTAAATAAAACGCTGCGCGACTGTCGCCTTCAACACTAGTAGGAGGTAGAGGTTTCCGAATTTAAGGTTTCCCTCTACCTCCGGGATCTGTTGGGTATATATATCCACCGCGAGACATGCTAGAACTTTCCAATCTCGTCATTGATGGGTTCAAAAAGGTCTCCCATTCGATAGAGCCAAAGGCAGAGAGAACCACTCGTCAAGCATCACTCGCTAGGAAAGATAACACGGTTGACCTAAATGTTGGTAACGAGCAACTGGTTCTATCGCTCATTGTTTCCAACGTAAACACCGGAGAATACTCGAAGAGCATTAGAACTCATTTTGAGTCTAGGTTCCATCGCATAATGGCTCTGCCAATCTCTAGTTGGTGAACAGCTCCAATCGTAGACGCTCACAGCTGAGAGGGAAGACATATTGCAAATCGCATAGAAAAAACGATCAATCTTTCGCGTTGAAAGAAAAATGCATTACTATTTGGCTATAGTTATATACTATAGTAAGCCCCTCAATTCGAGTAAGTTATGCGAAAATTGCGTGACAATACCACATAGTTTACTTCCAAGATCCAATGGTAGAAGTTTCGCGCCTAATGCCAATATCTGAATACAAGAACGCCAGGCGAAGTACGCGAATACCAATGAAGTAGTCTACAGCGGATATCAAGAGGCGGATGGTAAACTGGGGGGCGGCCGATGGTGCTATCGGTAATCCCTGTGGCTGTTCAGGAGTCGATGGGAAGGCAGAAGACTGGGGGTGGACCAAGGGAGCGTATGCCTGTTGCAAAGAAGACTGGGGAATGATACGTCGTGGCAAGTTCTTCGTCTCTCTCGCGCCTCCTCTCACTGTCGCTTCTGACTTATTAAATTGAATACTTCATCCTCTTCAACTGGCCTTAGAAGCCAAAGCCACAATTATAGCTTCAAGCAGACGCATATTAAGAGCACCCGGAGTCTCTACCGCCCATACTTGGGCGCAAACTTTGGAGCGAACAGGGCTCCTTAACGTCATTCCGACTTCACTCGAAGCCAGAACTACTTGCAGTACATAGATCTGTGCATCCCACTGTGTATCTTAAATACGAGATCCGAATCGGGTTCGAAGAGAGTGTTTTTGGTTGAAGGCCTTAACCAGAAATTGAGAGGAAGTGTATGAATACACCAGTCACTTGCCCATCTCATCAACTCACAGATCAGATCAATAAGTGCCACGAGACCGTCGCCCGGGCTTCCGAGGATCTTATGGAGGTAAAGATTCTAAAGCGATGCGGGCGAGAGTCTAAAGACTTCACTGGCAAATACGTGTCGCGCGTGCAAGGAATCAGGCAGGACATTACGAACTGTTGGTGGCTTCGAAGTATTCAATAGCAAACACTTCAGAGGACAGCGACGATGACGGATGGATCAATGAGTGTGAGAACAACTTTGCAGCGAGAGAATCCGACCCTTTTGAAACCAGTACCAGAACTGAACTCGCCTTCATTCTCCATCTATAACCCCAATGATGATGACGACATAATTTTCGCTACATTGGAGCCGAGTACCTGAGCAATGACCCTTCAAGTTCTCGCGTTCTGTATCTAATCTTTATATACTAGTCCGTGTTCACATCTACATCATTTTCCACTTCGTCTATAAATTCACCGAGTCTTTGGCGGAATCCGGCCAAAGGTAGACATCATCAGGGCGGCCCCCGGTGTCAAACATCGCAAATGCCACAGTGCTGTCTCCGATGACAATTCCTATCAAGTGATTTTCTGTGGTGTCACCATGATAATGAGTTCCACATAGGTACATGGACTTCCTACGAATCAGTCCTATGAATACCTTGACGATGAAGGATGGCATCGAGAGACGGCGAGAAAACACACATCGAACAACCTTTTCGTTCCATGTAGGATCAACGTCGTTTCCCTAGCCATCTGTCAGGCTCACTAGACAGTTTCATGGCGAGGAAGGGCACGTCACTGAAATACTGCGAGAAGCGCAATTGTGGTTTGAGCACATATCTCACGATCGAGATGCTGATTTTATACTCCTTCGGGAGGAAAGAGAGTGTTTGCCCGCCCATCTAGCATCTGGAGTCGAACGCCGGCATCTTTGCGGATGCCATCCGTGTCTAGATACCGAAAGACTAGCTTCAGCGAGTGCTTCAAACCGGGATCTCCTCGTTTTCTTTACAACCACATCTTATTTCGAAGCTGATGAGATCAAATCGGTAAGTAAAAAAAGGCTTTTCTGCTACTCCGTTCGGCGGGTTATGGCCAGAGCATAGTAGGTACGCAAAGCCACCGCAGGAGCATGGCGTTAACGTTCATGTTATACTCTGTGCGCTTAACCAAAGCCTTGAAGGTTGGATACTTGTCAACCAAATAACGACCAGGCAAATTCTCGACATCCCAATTCCAGAGCTATTTTTCATCTCTATCGTTTTGGAGCTCTGGCTGGTTATTACACTCGTATCAAGGGGAGAAGAACTTCCTCGTCCTGGTCCCCCCTCGAATGGTAGCGAACATGCCTTCTTTCTCATCTTGACTCTGAGATCGTCAGTGAACTAACGGCCAGGGCATTTATTTCTAACAATCGATCAACGATTCAGCCTCAATCTTAGTACAAGGAAAGACAGGCCGCCGACGCGAGTATATATACAAGAGCTCAAGAGATCAGACAACAACGCTTCAGCTGCTGTCAATCAACCCGTCTGGCCACACTTAGGCATATGTCGTAGTCACTTTCGGAGGTCGCTATCATCGTAATCGGGCGGCATGTTGTTCCTGGTGGGGGAAAAACGGCGCGGATCACAGAGTTATCCTCATTCCGATGCCGCACAAGGTGCCCTTCTACCAAAGTAGTCCCAATAAGTTCAGATTTCTGCCCCATCTGTCCTATTCTAAGACGAAAACGATTGACGTAAGTTGTTGCTATCGTCGTATCAAAACATTTCTTGACTACCGTCTGCCAGGTCTGGAGACCTGAACGCGACTAACACAACCCTCCTGACAGAATCTCAACATCTCCGCCCCGAACGGCATCTCTCGGGTTTGTCGTCTCTGAACGCCGCTGAGTTATTCCATTAGTATTCCGGGGATATCCGGAGGGCGACCAGGCCCATGACAGCCGGTGGATGAGATGCAAAAGGTCCTTCTAGGCCGCCTTAGCAGTCCATACCATGCTGTTTTGTCTCTGCGAGTCTCATGAATGGTCGGCGGGATGTATGTCGCTGGCGTGCTGTTCCAGTTCTTGCGCCATGTCGACTTTTATATACTCGTGGGAGACAATCCTTCAGGGCGCCGGTAGAAGAAAAGTTCGGCAGCAATTCCAGCTTGAAAGCTGGTGTAAATGGCCCGATCTTTTGCTCGGAATCCGGGACATCCATTTGACTGTGTGAAATTCCTCACAGGAGAGTACTTGAATTATCAAAGATGTCGCTGCCATTTATCGATATGATCCCAATGTCAGACTCGTCTGCTGCATATGCTATGGCTCAAGAAACGAAACTTCCTCGTCGCATCTAACATCGCGTCTTACAACCCGGGAGCAACAACAAACACAAACACACCACGAAACATCTACAAAGAAACCACCCATCACCTGGGCACTCCCAAAAACGAACAGACCAGAGCACCCAGAGAGACAAACAAACCCACCCTCCTCCCACAAGCAAAACCCTGCCCTTACCCCCCTACCCACCTTCATAGTCGCCCTCCCCCTCTGACTCACAAAGCAACCAAGCAGTCCCCATCAAGGACTACAAGGCCGGTTGGCCCAATGGCAAGGCGTCTGACTACGACTTCGTACGGAGATCGTGTAATCAGGAGATTCTGGGTTCGACCCCCAGGCTGGTCAATTTCTGTTGTCAATTTCACTGAATTTTTTTGGTTTGGTGCGGGCGGATAAGTGCGTTGTTGGGCGGGTGGGTTCCCTTATTGTAAGCACCCGCGTAAGGAAAAAAAAAACATTTTTTTTAAGAGCGAAAAACTTGATATTGATCCACAACGCTGACCGACGAATCGCGCATACCCAATTAGGCATCCGGATACGACCTGACTAACTCCCGCCGTGCCGGCGAAGCGGGTCGGGGTCCCGCCGAGTCGCACAAGCTCAACCTCCGCCCGCGCGGCCGACTCGGGTGCGGGCATGCCTCGGCGGGCGACTTCGGCGGGCGATCTCAGCGGGCGGCCACGGCGAGGCCGGGTATATACTTTTTCGCATCGGCGGGAAAACCCAAATCCCCCACACACACCATCCTCGCCATACTTCCTCCCCTTTACATAGGTAGTAATACCAAGACAGGGATGTAGAAACGGGCGTAAAGGGAACATGTTCGTCACGTAATCAACAAGAAACGGTGGGGGTGTAAGTTGTTGACAAACATAGGAACAAGAGGCACGAGGACGTGGATGGTGTCTTTTCGAGATTTCTCTCTTAAGACTGACTCAGCCGGTAACTGCCTACCAGAAAAAGGGTCGACCGGCATCGCCTTGACCACCAGCACAGAATAGAAAAAAAACCAATCATGGACCCCGCGAAACCGAGGATTTGGGAACTTGGTCCGTGGAGTCCGGGATCGAACAAAGAACGAACAAAACATGGAACAAGGCCGGCAAGGCCGTCCCCCTCAGCGTCGCAACCCGATGGACGAGATGTTTGCTCCGCCGGGGTGCTCCCCTCCACTGCCGGGGCCGGGGACGGCTGTCCGGCGTTCGTCCCGCGCCAGGAACATTCAGGGGGGAGGGAAGACGAACAAGAGGTTTGTCGACCGGAGAATTTAAGACAGGAGATTATTACATTCTTTCGGGAAGGGTTATGTCACATAACTCATGTCCCCCCTAATTCTTTTCTTCTATTAATCATACATCGCCACCAATCTGACTGAGAAGGTATTTTCGTGTGTTCGTTACGGGGGTGAGGAAGACAACGAGTAAAGCGACGGAAATTTTTCTTCTTTTCCGTCAAATCGTCCTCATCAACCGTTCTTCCCTATTCTCTTCAACCAGAAGATGCATTCCAAACCGCTCAACCCAAAGAGCCCACATTTGCCCCACCCCGGTCGTTGCGTGAAATAGTCGTACAGATCAGGAAACCGTGAGAACAGGCCGAGTCAAATCAGAGTTATACACACGCGTCTTCCCAACCGCATCCATGTGCATCATGATGGATCGCCTTAAGCGTTCCAGTCGGTCTTTTGGTGCTTGCTCTGCTCCGCGGCCTGGGCGGCGTCCGCGTCTTCCTTGCGCTCGGGGGCGTAGTTGGCGATGACGTTGCGCCCGCGCAGCTCCTTGCCGTTGACGGCCTCGATGCCTGCGGCGGCATCCTCGAGGGTCTTGAACTCGGCGTGGGCGAAGCCGCGGGGCCAGCCGGTGTGCTTGTCGACGGCGACGCGGACGTCCTTTACGTTGTTGAAGACGCTGAAGAGCTGGTTGAGCTCGGCGTCGGTGGCGTCGAAGGAGAGGTTGCCGATGAAGATGGTGTTGGTCGGCGGGCCGCTGTATTGCGGCTTCCTCTCTCTCCTGGTGTTGTTGTTGCCGCTGGCCGGTGATTCGCGGCGGCCCTTGGGCTCCGAGACCTTGACTACGATGCGGCGGCCGTGCCAGAAGGTGCCGTCCACGTTGTCAGCGGCGGCCTGGGCCTCCTCGGCGGTCTTGTAGTAGACGAAGCAGAACCTGTTCCATCGCAAAGCGCCATCTTGTTAGTCGACTGATCTCTTGTCTTTTGCTCTTCTGTACGTGGTAATGCTTATGACCATTTATATACGGGGAGAGCTTACGTCTTCTTCATTGGCGTGTGAACGTGCACGACTTGTCCAAACTTGGAAAAGGCCTCGGTGAGCTCATCGCGCGTGATTTGGAAGGGGTAGTTCTGGACGAAGACGCAGTGCTCGCTGACGGGCATCCGGCGAGCGTCCGGTGATCTCTGGTCCCGCTGCTCCTCAAGACGAGCAATGGAGTTGGAGAAGGCTCTGGGGGCGGCGATGGAGAAGCATCGCGCGGCGTTCACTGAGCGAAGGGCGAAGGCGATGGATTGTGTCTTGGGCGCGGCCGAGGTGGCGGTCGAGACGGCGCGGGTCAAGCTGGCACGGGTGGCCGTGCGACGGATGGAATTCCTGTATCGGAGAGATTCAATTAGCTCTGGTTCGTGAGGTAATCATAAAAACACATATCGACGAACGATTCCGGGTGGGCAGCTTACATATTGGCGTTATGGGGGGTATGAGATGGTGGGAAGGGGTAGAGAGTGAAGGCGATGTGAGCAGATGGAAGATTTTACCGTCGTCGACAGATGGAAATTTTTGGGTGACCGTGTCGAGGGTCTTGAGATTGCTACGCACTAGTCTAGATTGGGTCTTAGCGCTTCTGACCTTGACCCACCCGACCCCACTATGTCATCCCTGCAGTATCCAGTAGAAAGAGACGTTGTGATTCTTCCCGTCGTCGTCGTCGTCCACGACTGTTTTCCGACACTCAGGATGCCTTAAGGCGATGGCATTTTGACATGCTAGATTGACACGATGGTCTTGGATTCATCTAGGAGACTATAGCTGGGGACCCGAAGGCTAATCGTCTACAGAGCCGAGAACCACGCTCGTCTCTGAGTATACGGGTGTCAGTGGCGGCTGACCGCTTGTACATCCCCGCTATCCCCGACACCTGAAAACCTGTCCACAGATGCCGTCAATCATTGAACCCGCCCTACAGTTTCCCCCAAAACTTTTGTTTTTCTTCCCGACGCAAAGCATTGTAGTTTTGTCAAGCTTCAAGCCATCATTGCTTTCCCATGGACCAACGCGTGGGTATATACACCAGACTCGCCACCCCGATCCCGCCCTGGCCTACCTAATCGATAACCCCGTATCGATATTGCGACCCCAAATAAAAGAAAAAAAAATCTCGGCGCCGTCCGACCTTGATCGACTGACAAAAGACGAGGGTATTGGGCCGTCCTCGCTGCCAGTGTTGTACTGAAGCACGATTGAACTGGATATAAGCCTTTTGCGGTGGGTGTTATTCGCATCCCCGACAAGCCTAGAGAAACAAGTCTCCTAAAAGCGCCGTAGAGCAAGACGCGTCTCTGAAAATAAAAGGTACAAAACTGTAATAGAACACGCAGACCTGACGTGTAGGCCGCGGATATTGCGAAGGGGTCTTAGACTGGTTCTTCGGGCCAGGCCTCTCTCCTTCGCCCTCGTGATGAGCGTTAGGGAAGAGGTGATTCAATGTGGCTGAAGCAGTGGTGGACAGACAGAAACACCCCTAATACCTCTCGGGACGGTATCCGTTCATCCTCGGAGCCTCGTACTGAACCCCGGTCATGGATTCGGGCCCGTTAGGCATTGCACCATTCAAACCCCTGATCGGCGGGAGCTCGCGGCGGTTCGCGTACGGGTCCGTTTGGTAAGAGGCCTGCTGCGGGGGCGGTGGCGCTACTTGAACCTGAGGGGGAGGAGCCTGGCCCGTTGGTGATTGTTGAAGCCGCAGATTGTGAAGCTCGTTCTGAAGGCGTTGAATGTCGACACGAAGGTTGTGGTTGTCCTGTCGCAAGCCCTCGTTCTCCTGAACCACGCTCGTATTTTGACCCTGCACTATGCGGATGAGCTCCGCCATTCGCTGGTGCTCCGAAATTGCTGCATCGGAATCGTTAATAGCGTACCGAGACGGGCACGTGTCTCGTTGACTGACCTTTGGTGAGGATTTCCCACTTGGATGCCTTGGAACCTCGCTCCTGTGGCATCAAATCTCGCAACTGATCAAACAGCTCTTTCATCTCTGTCCTCCTCTTGCGCTCCGCCAGCTTGTGACTCTTACGCAGTTCAGGTGTGCGGCTGTAAGGCTGAGAGCCCGTCCGTGACGCGGCGTCGTCGTCGCGAAGGTCGCCGATCTGCTTGTGTTGCAGCGAGTGGTGATGCACGGGTGGGAACTCGGACGATGTACTCGAAAGACGGTTGTTGTAGTCGGCGGGCTCATCGAGGCGTCTTTGACCGGGAGGTAATCTCGATTCGGTGGTGAACTGACTGCTGGCGATGGACTCGGCAACACTACTGCGCCGAGAGTCGAGGTAGGCGTCGTGAGGCCCAATTCGCTGAATCTCCTCCTCGGGAAACGCCCAGGCTTGACCCTTAGTCGGCTCGGCGGCCCTCGCAATGTTGCTCGTCGCGGGGCCCGTAATAGCGGGAGCGGTTCGGATTATCTTGGGATTAGGGTCAGGATTTCTGTCATTACTTGGCTGGTAGCCGTTGGAGATGCGGTGTACCGATAGATTATCCAGACCAGGACGCGGGTTCCGTTGCTGGTTGAGAGTATTTTGTATCGACGTCGTAGATTGGTTGTGGCTCGCGTACGGGGAGTTGCCGCCCAGTCTCATATCGTGGAAACCTTGGTTTATCCTACTGTCGACGCTCTCTCTTCGTGATGCGGAGCCCAGGTCATGGGCTAGAAGTTGATGGCCCGAGTCCAAAGATATCGGTCGCTCGAATCGACGAGGGTCGGCACTGCCCGGTGTCGTTGGCGAGACCATGGAGGCGACGCTCATGTTGCTCTGTGCAGGCGACACCAAAGGATGAGGGACTAGGTTCGCAGTGATGGGTGACGGCGTCTTGTCGGCCAACGAAGACTGGTAGCCTGATCCGGTAGGGCTGAGGACATTGGCACAGGAAGCGGCAGAGTTGTCTGTTCAATATTTTGTTAGCTTTGTCGTCGTCACACCCGTCGCCGTAGCTCCGGTGCCAACGTACGCTTGCTGGAAGCATCTGTGCTGGAGAAGTAGGCCGAGTCGCGGTTTTCGTCCGGGTTGAGGACCCCTGCTAAGCCAGCGGGCAGCTTCTGAGAAGCTGGTCGTTGCGCGTCCATTGCGTGCGTGTTGTGATGCTGCTAAAATGAATAGGCGTGTAGAGTCACTGTCGAGCTCGCGAGGTGAAGCGCGAACGCTGGGTTCTGTGGGCGGCTCGAACTGCGGGATGAAGGAACCGGGTGATGTGTAGGAGGGGTTAACCGGGCGGTATACGCAACAGACGCGTTGCGAACTGTTGAATAGTCTGACACTCAATTGCGCTGAGCATACGAAGATGACAGCCACTACTCCAACAGGCGTCTAGTGTTTGCAGGCTGCTCGGTTCGTCAGATTGTGAAGTAAAGAACGTGTGTTGATGGAGGCAGAAGAGGTGGTGAGGTGAGGAGGCCAGGCGAAATCGAAAGCAGGGGGGACAATGGCGAGGATGAGGAGGTTAAGTTGGACGAAATGGAAGAAACAAGGAGGATAGGTGTAGCGAACTCGAGGGTCGGCGTAGGCGAAGGCGAAGGCGGGCTGGAGGAGAAAGACGGCTCTCAGCAGTCGGTTTCAAGACTGGGAAGAGCTGGGGGTGGAGGGGATAAGATGGAATTGAACGAGCAAGCGGCAGCGCTAGGGTGACTTGGCCTGAGCAGAGCAGAGCAGAGCAGAGCAGAACAGAACAGCCAGGTGCAGGCCCAGATGCACATGCAGAGCCAGAAATGCCCACAAAAAGGGCGACCAGGCGGGCTTCATACCGTGCCTTCGTACCGGGGTAGACGACAGCACAGGTCACTTCAACAAGCCAAGGACAGGCAAGACACGCAGGGTTTCTGGGGGCAGGGGTGCGGTATTCGTAGGGGAGTGAGGGTAAACTCTGTTCTGTTCTCTTCTCTTGCGCCTCAGTTGAACGAGGTATTTCCGTACCTCTCATAAGGTAGTGAGTGACAGGGAGGAAGCAGAAAAGGTAACCTAACGTCCACACAGAACAGAGTGTAGAAGGTACCAACTAGTAGGTCAGCTACATCCCATCTCAGACGACCATCACACACAGAGCCAGAAAGACAGAAATACCATCCAACCTACACTGCTTCAGTACAGTACCTTACCTAGCACGAGGCCAGGCGAGATGGCGTCCGGGAAATACCTTACTTTAGTGCAGCGGTAATGGCAGCAGGAGAGAGGGGAAAAGGTGGACAGGCGCTGCAACTTGGACGCTGGAGTGGCACTGGCGTTCTGGCTCTCGCTTTGCTACTGGAGTACAGAGCAATGTCAACCGTGAAAGGCCGGGCCTGTCAACCTCATTCTTCTTGCCATCCCCTTCCTTGTTGCTGCTGATGTTTGTGAAGGTGCCTTGCTATCTATCCTCTGCCGAAGAACCATTGCCGATTCTCTCTTCTGTTGTCCTCGTAATACCATCCCCCCTTCATTCCATCAACATCCCCAACCGGCTTACCAGCCAGCCCATCTTTAGAGAGACTTGAAAATAAGGCATCGTGGGGAAGCCATTGTAGCACTGCGCTACCACCACGACAGGCACCTTGGCCAAGTGCCTTGATTAAACTACACTTGTGCCTTAGCCCGATCGAGTGCATGTACCCGTGCCCTTTTGGGTGCCGCTGCCAGCCCACTCTCCGTCCACCCACGCCTCCAAGAACAGGGCATGGGGGGTTTGGCGTCCGTGTCGAGGCAGGCGAGGAAAGTACTCGACGATCAGGTATTGTCGACTCTTCCTCTCTCTCGACTACGCAGTAGCGTCCCTTGAGAACCAACTTCTTTGTCCTACGCCCATGCTAGGTGCGAGGATGGCGGCGTGCGCGAACCATATTCGGCTGTTTTTGGACACGCATGGGCACTGTTCACGTTTCTTATTCCCCGGGCTGGGCGGTAGTGTATACTTGACTTGTTTGTCTCGTCCCGGCTCAAATCCCTGTCCCTGTGTGTGGACGGTCAGCCACAGCACCTGGAAAGGCTGGTCTCGGGGAGGTACTGATACGCACGCCCTCGTGGATGTGCCAAACCATCGAGGACGACTTCTCCGATGAGGGTGGGGTCGTGGCCCTCACATGCATCGAGCACCTGCTTGTCGTGTGGCATCCTAGAGAAACTTTTGTTCGTAGCCGTTGGGGTGCCCGTCAAAGCCTCTGGTGTGTGCTGTGGATGAGAATTGAGGTTCCTCCAGAGAAATGAAGCCGTGGCTTTGCATTGCTGAAGTACAGGTTTCGCGACTGAATTTTCTGTTATATCTGAGATGCTGTCGATCTCTCTATCCGTGCGCACTAGACCCTGCCTTGTTCGTTCTCTCCTCGTTTCTTTTGGGGCGTCCTGCTGGCCCTCTGTTCCTGGAGATTGAGTAAAAAAATGTAAGCAGAACCCTGAATTGTTGTGTTAAGGATGAACACCCCATGAGGCGCAGGAGCTCATGGCATAAAAACGGTAACATCGGCAGCGGCAGTAAGCGGCAGCAGTAACCGCGAATTGCGAGCTGAGCGACAGGTTTAATCGCACAATTTTTCCCCCAGTGTCCATGAGACGAAATTGCCCATCGCATGTCATCCCACAACATGCCGTCGATGCCCAATACAAGGCCAGACCAAACCAAACCTGACCGGCGTGTTAGTTGGGACAGGCCTCGGGCAGCATGGAGTCAGCGCCTAGCAGCAAAAGGAATGGATGATGATGGTGGTGGAATCTGATGATAGCTCCGCTGTGGTCATGTTTCGTCTCACCGTTGATCAGAGACTGAATGCCATCCGCTATCGGGGCTTGCGAACTGGCGGGGGCTCAGAAGAAAGCTGGCGGGCCATCATGGTCAAGACAGGCCGGTGAAGAGAGAGAAGAAAGGCGGACCGATCGTGTCTGATGTCTGCAACTTGGATCTGGCGCCATGTACGACCAGGCGTCACTATTGTTGTTCGGGCTCGGAAGCTGGTCCGGTCGCTGAACCAGACGGTGATGTTTTGGGTTGGCTTGTTCGCAGCTGGGACAAGATCGCCAGCATCCGCACCAGCGGCAGGGCAGGTACGGACAGGCCGTGCTTTACAGCATCCGTACCGCAGCAGGTGCAAGGCACAGCGGTCTAAGGGCCGGCCGAGAATTCCAGCGCCGTCGTCAACAAGGGCCGAGGCCCGTCAAGTGCTTTATGTGGCACATTTTACCGCTTGTATACTTTATATATAGGTCGGGTACCTGACGCATGTGAGCAAGTGCAAACGGAGTTGATCAATATTAATGTGCAATTGGATCGAGCCAGGAACCGCGAATAAGGCTTCGGGGTGATCGAGGCGTCGTTCAGCATCTACCTTGTGCAAGAAAGCTGGGCTCCTGACACTTGTGCGTGCGCTCGTCTCGGGAAGCTCGTGAAAATGTGGATGGCTTGGGGATAAAGTGCCCTGGTTGACTGCCTTGGCCCGACCTTGAAGTGCAGAGCAGAGGAGCGGATGGTGTTCCCGGGGGATACGCCGCTGGTGGTCGATGCCGATGGGAATTAAAATTCTGAAGCCCAGGGACCCTTTTCATGACCGAGCCCCTATCCTCACCGAAGGAAGGGATCGGGGGGGAAAGGACAGGGCTGGCAAGCGGCAGCCCAGAGACAAGCTCCCGGCACCGGGGACGAGACGGAAGGGGATGGCGTTTCTCGTCATCCCAGCAGGAAACCTCGACAGCCAGTGGCAGGAAGCGGAGCCGAATCCAGGTGCCAGCACATGGGTGGATGGATCATGGCCCAGGATTGAATAAGTGGTGGATGTTGAGCGATGGACGATCCAGGTTCGGGGCACAGCATGGCATGGCCGCGTGCGGTGCTGGCAGCGGCCAAAGCACTTTGATGTCTCTCTGTGCTCTGTATCAATTGGTGGCTTTCCGTGATGGATAGGTTCTGCCTTTGCCGCCTTGGTTGCGTGCCTCGTGGGCAGCGGGCCCATGTGCATTCCATGCGTACAGTGCCTGCGAGGATTCCGTGCCAATGGTTTCGGTTTGTTGCTACTGTCATTGGTGGTTAGCCTAGAGGGAGTTGAACAACGTAAGCAGAGGCAGAGCAGAATGAATACGTGGAACGCCTTACTGTGAACGAATGATATAGTATACTGCGTAGTCGGTGGGTGTTGACTCGACCAAGCTTTGACGTAGTCAGGTTTCCGTATCCCGTGTCCTGTGTCGTATTTCTGTTTATCCCTCGAACCGCGTCTCTGGTGTCTTTGCCATTCCTTTGTTACGAGCCATCGAGGGTGAGGAATTGGGTTTTTGTCTTTGGGGAAGGAGGTGAGAGGTAAAACAAGGTTTGCGGTCACGATAGCGAAGAGGATGGCGGCCTCAGCCTGCAATCAGGATGTGGTGTTGAACTCAACGCTGGAGAAGTTGGATGCTCGGTTGATGCACATGTCGACTATTTTTGTCCGAGAGAAATTTTTGGTGGAGGTTCTTTCCATCGGTTCCTGACTCTTGGGAGAGCACCTTCCTCTCAGCGGGTGCATGTCAGGCAGGTAGGTGCCTTCCGCGTTTTCAACAGTTCGTAGGTCCTGCTCTCAACCAGGACGAATCCAATAAACCTTAGGTATCTATTATGCAGTATCCGTACCTACCTACCTAGACAACGATGCCTATGCAGAGTAATGAAGCAGTGATATTAGGAGGTACACTGTAGCGTTGATTGTCCGGCCGGCATGGCAGGCAAGACAATGAACCCCACGTTGGGACACATTTGACTCGCCTTTTCCAAATACCTACACTAGTAGGCGCTTGGTAGCGACATTAAAAGTACATTTGCGCTCCAAAATCCAGGCCCCAACACAACTTACTGAAGCACACTATCATTGCTCTGGCCATCAAGTGTCTGGAGAGAATCAAAGAAGTCAAGACCTCTTATGCATTCTGGAACGGCCATGTTATTCATCTTCCAAAGCCAACGTACCTATCCACACACATAGCAGTCGTCCCGGAACCGGTGACGTCCGCGCCCTCACTGACTAACTAGTCTAGTGCACGGGGGCCTGCAGCCAAAAAGATGCAGTCCCCCGGTGTGTCTGGATAAGACGGCGCTAGCTGCCAGGAACTTGACAAGGGAACCTCGTGCGAAGTGGGGGAA